CCCCCCCACCCCCTACAACTGCATCCATGTGCTGTACTTAGGAGTCCTGTACATGTGTACTGTACGCTGCATGCAGATACTGATATGAACCTGGAGACATATAACATTTAGTTCGCTTCGCTCCGTAGGATCGGTTGGCGCTCCGAAGTGGTACCGTGAACGCGGCACTGGGATTGCCAGCAAGGAAAGGGCCTGGGTGACACTGCATGAGAGATGGCTTTTTCTTGTATTCAAGTTGTAGAACACAATGCCTTTTTGAATATTCCGTTCCGCAGTTCCTATGATAATACCTAAGTAGGTAGGTTACGAGATAGTAGCCTCATGCCAGTACCCTGTCTGTGCTTTTGAACCAGATCATCTCATCCGTTCCTTTTTTTTTTCAGGTGCCCCAACTATCTCTGAACAAAGCCTCCATCTTTCAACTGTCTCTCCCCTTGCCTTTTTTTTTCCGCTTGTTTCTAGCTCTTAAACAACTCCTCCAGCTCCTTCGCAACCGCATCCCCCACCTCAGCCGTCGAGTTCTGGCCACCAATATCCCTCGTCGTAACCCCCCGTTCAATGACATTTTTCACAGCCTCTTCCACCAATCGAGATTCGTTCGGCATATTCAAACTATAAAGCAACATCATGGCAACACTCAAAATCGTAGCGACCGGATTAATCACCCCCTTGCCCGCAATATCCGGCGCCGAGCCATGAATAGGCTCATAGATACCATTACACAACCCATTCCCATCCGGAATTCCACTCAGACTCGCGGATGGCAACAGGCCCAAACTGCCGGGGATCACCGAGGCCTCGTCGGAAATAATATCGCCGAACAAGTTCGAAGTGACAACCACTCCGTTCAGAGCACGGGGGTTCTTGACCATAATCATGGCGGCCGAGTCGATCAATTGATGCTCGAATTGTAGCTGCGGGAACTCTCGGCTCAATGTCTCGGTCACGACGCGGCGCCACAATCGACTTGTGGCCAACACGTTGGCTTTATCCAGACTCCAGATTTTGGCGGGTGGAGTTTTTGCGAGTGCAAGGTGGGCAGCGAGACGGGTGATGCGTTCGATTTCCGCGCGCGTGTATGGTTCGCGGTCTTCGGCCCATTCGTTGGGTCCGTCGGCTGGGTTCCCCTCGACCCGGTCGCCGAAGTAGATTCCTCCCGTGAGTTCGCGCACGATCATGATGTCGGTCCCCTGGCAGATTTCTTCTTTCAGAGGAGATCGCGATGCTAGTGTGGGTGAGGCGAAGAAGCAGGGTCGGAGGTTGCCGAATGTGTTCATCTCCTTGCGGAGTTTGAGGAGACCTTGTTCCGGGCGGATGGGGCCGACGCCGTATTTGGGCCCGCCGATTGCGCCGAGGAGGACGGCGTGTGCGGATTGGGCGGCGGAGAGGGCGGTGTCGGTTAGGGGTGTGCCGTGCGCGTCGATTGAGCACTGGTGGTGCGTGTTAGACATGATGATAATGGATAGTGACAATGCTAGGACGGAACTAATGGATGGTTTTGTTTATGTTATGTTGGTTGAGCGAGTGGGGGGAACGTGATATGACGGTGGTTGGGTGTGATAGAAGAAACAGAGTTCGGTTGGACTCCATGATCAATTATAACCATGATTGCATTGATAGACCAGGGCTTGACTCTGTTTCAGGGGATAGGATCGATTGCAGAGAAAGGACAAGGACAAGGACAAGGACAAGGACAGTAGTCACTTACACCTCCAAGCAGATGCTCCTGGAAATTGAACTTGACATCCTTGGCACACTTTTCAACCACCTTGAGGACCTGTTTGTGGCACATCGGGAACCTGTCAGCACTTTGCTCATACCTGTATCCATAACATACGAATATATGTGAAAACTAATTCCTCGTTCATGCAGAAGAAATCCAACAACATCCAAAGCCGGGACAAAGGTCCGGTGTTTAATCAATCGTTCAAGCAACAACAGCATCAATCCCCTGCGCCGTTCAAAGAGGAGATTCACTGGCTGAGCACCCAAAGCTCCGGAACACGACAGAATGCTCCCATCCTCTGAACCTTGGAAGGGGTCGAGATTGTAATTGATTTTTCACACAACAACACGCAACCACGAGAGCGCACAGCACACACCTTGATTGCCTCGTTGGTCACCTTCAAGAACAAAAGTTTATATGTTAGCCAAAAATTCGACATGATATTCGGTCACTCGACCAGTAAGTAGTGAGCAGAGCAAAAAGGACAACGAACCTCTGGCCCAGCATAGTCGCCCGCAAACACGACAATGTTGAAAGTCGGCATCTTTGAATCCCGGCTTTCCTTGGGAAAGTTCCTGTCCACTGTTACGATCTTCCTCTCTTGCCAGACTCTAGCTGACAACTCGGTTTCTTTTCGTGGGATCTACTGAACCAAAGTCGAAGAATAGTTGCGGGCTCGATTTTTATTAGAATCAGACGCTTTGTGAATGGACGTGTTGTGACTTTGGAGTGCCCTTGTTTGGCCGCCGGTTATCGGCTTTACCTCGATGACTGGAACCAACCTTGGAATTCAAATGTCGCAGCAAATCACGTGATAGGGGCTGAATCACCAATATTACTCAGCAGAAAGGATCCGACAACGGCATATGTCTCATGAGCCTTTGCTTGGGGTTTCCTCTTCTTTTACTGAAAACACGAACCAGTGTCTACGACGGGCATTGTGACGGTTGTAGGGTTCTAGTCGCGAGACTGACTACCCAAGAATATCTGATTAATGACTACCTGGTGAAGTTATGCGATAGTGCATACAGTCTTGCTGCTTGGTCCGCCGGCCGCAACACAGCCTTTTTTCCATCCTTCATTGCTTGTAGAGCTTGAGGTGTTGTAATAGGCATCAATGGTTTTGACTGTCATGAGAACATCACTCGTGCTCGGTGTACCACTCCACCACTTGTCACCGTCTGCCCACACCTTGAATTGAAGATTGCCGCCTTGCAACGGGACGCTGTGAGAACTGGTATGCACCAGGCCGCCATCGAAGTAAAACTCGACACCCCGACGAGGATGAGAATCAAACCGGTATTCGTGGAAATCCTCGGGGCGGAGATGACGTTGGTTGAACGGGACTGAAAGCGTGGCGTTCGGTATGGGTTGCCCGTCTGATGCTAGCGATGGATGCGATGTGTAGTTGATTGTCCCGTTGACGATCGAGTCGCCGGGTGTGACGACTTCAATGTCAATTTCCGACTTGTCGTCCTAGAAAGCCAGGGGCATGTCAACATTGTCAACATTTCTCCCAAACGGCCATTTTGGGTAGACTGAAGAACTCAGTCGGCGTGCCATACATGATACCAGAACACTCCCGCACACGCTCCTCCAGTAGCACCCTCTAACTTCAGAACCGCCCGGTATGTGCCCGGCATCATGTCCAGAGTTCGCGACTGAATGGCGGCTATACTGACATTGCGGTTTGCTCGGAGATCCGCCGAGCTGAAGCCGCGTTGCTTGAGCACGAGGTGCTGATTCTTGATTTCGACATTGGTCGCGTCATACTTCGTATTGAGCCGGGTCTTTGGATTGTCTGCGCGCTGCTAGTAATCATAGATCATCCAGTTTTGGTTAAATCCAGCCGCTTTTGGGTCGGTGAGGATTGATTTAATGGCTGGGTAGCTGCTGAAGTCCTCGTGCAGTCGATGGGTGTATGTTGCCGTGAATACTTGGCTGCCTTCCTTCTTTTCGAGACGCCAGCCACAGGGGCATTTGGCACAAAGACCAAGTGGCAGCAGCAAGCTAATGCTAAGGGCTAATAGAATATTGAGATGCATTTCCGCGATACAACTAGTGCAAGACACAGGCCTGTATGAGTGGAGCTGTTGAGTAAGGGCGGAGATGCAGGCCAGGATCCATTCACCGAGTCACCTTCGTCGATGAGCAGTTGATGCAAGAGCCATGGTATTGGACCAGAGCTGAGAATTATCAACAACGACTGTTGCACCTGCCTCGTTCAGTATGGCTTGAATCGTGCTTCGGTAGCCAGCCCCTTTTTGAATTTCGGGCTTCTGGCTCTTTCCTGCAGAGAGGGCTCAGGATCTGGCTGTCGCTCGGCGGGTCCGAATGCTGCAATACGTCCGTCTTCGCCAGCGGTGTAGATGACCCCGCTCTACGCAGCGTTAGTAGTGTGTACAATTCGATTGGAGGGCTGATCTAACCGAGTCATCTGCAAAGATGGAGCGGACAACATCTTCCCCATGGGCGCCTTCGAGGACAATGCGTGGAGCAGCGTCTAACTTCAAACCCCTGTTCACCGGGACGAGATCCACCCTCGATTTGCTACGGCATCCCATTTAGTATGGTGACAGACAGGTAATCACCGGCTAACACATACCTGTGAGATCCACAAGCAACGACATGATCGACTCCAGAACGGAAGACATCGATCACGTACTCACAAGGAATAATCGGCCGAAGATCCCCAAGCTGGTCGGGAGCCGGCTCAGGTGTGTCGGTGTCTTGGAGGGTCAAAGAATGAAGTGCGAGATTCTGGTCGGAGCTCAAGGCATAGAGGTCAGAGGATCCCAAGAATCCTGCCTTGTGGATGGGTCCGTGATTGACGGCTTGCACGAGACTGTCTTCCTCTTCCGCGATATTGGTGTCGAAAATGCTCACTAACCCATCATCGCCCCCACTCAGAAGCAGGTTTGGCTGGGAAGGATGATAAGCTAAAGCGGTAATCTCGTCATTGATCTCGGTGTTCTGCCATCGGAATCGGTTCTGTCTACGATCCCTGCAGATTGGTTAATGGGAGCTCGGGGTAGTCACCTACTGCGCGAAATGTACTAACCAAACAGACACGATAGCTTCACCCCCAAATGCTACATCGCTTCCTGCGCAAGCTAACGCGTTGACAGGTTTGCCTGCAGGAAGTGAAGCGTCAATATGGTGAAGAAAGGCGGGGACAATGTATCATGATACGAGTACAGTACCTGTTCTGAACTCAGCAGTTCTGGACTGCGTTCGGACATCGAACAGCGCCACCACCCCGTCGCCCCCTGCACAAATTGCAGTCGACCCTCCATCAGTCACGACCAGGGAGGTCAGCTCGTGAGGAGTGTGCTTCAACCTGGACACACCAGCAACATTCAGAGTGTCCCGTGGGAGGAAGATCAGCTCGTCTGCTGAGGTGATGGCAGCCAAGCCATTCCCTATGAGTGGTGCTATGGCGTAGATGTAGACATCATGCTGCTGGGATGGGGCACAACTAGCCCGCTGGTGATAAGTGCGAGACATGTGGGATCGTCGTGAACGCCTGTCGAGCTTGGCGAGCCGATTCTCGAATTTACCTCCAGATCGGGCTGGGTGGAAACTGCAGTTGCACCAGCGCCGTCCGAAATATGTCAGAAGACTTGGTACCGGCTATGAATCGAGCGGTGATCACCAATGAGAACTGAAGGGCTTCATGGACTCCTTGCAAGACTCCCGCAGGCGCAAGAAAAAGCAAAGAATGAGGTGTCAGTGGCTTGAAGAAGACGCCAGCATGTCCAGCCCTGTCATTGGTCAATTAGAGCTGTCAAGTTTCGAGGCTAATCCTATCAAGGACTAAGGGCGCCTTTCTGAACCAGATTGTCGGGACACGGCACGTGACCTTAGATTTGCCCATCCATGCCTGTGATTGGGCCGATTCAGTTTGAACAGCGCCCACTGGCAGTGGAACGAGCCAACATGAATGGTGCCAGTGGGTGCCGTGGTGGGTGGAAGAGACATGCAGTGACAACAGAGGACTCCTACAGGGAGACCTAGGAGACCCCCAGAATGGAACTGAAGAGATGCACCTGCCAGAACACCTCGAATCTGCAAGCATATGCACGTACTAGTACGTTGAAGCGAGGTCGATGCACCTCCATAGATGATATTGCACTCCCAAGGTGTTCGAAAGCCGGGGGATGGTCAGAAGGATCAGCCTTCTGGCACATGACAACCTGCTGGTATCACATCCTCTAAACTCGGATCCCACCAACCATGGCTCTCGTTCTTTCGGCATCTTTGCCTTGACACAGGCGGACTTGAGACGAGAACCAGGAGTTCCATGCCGGGGCTGCATTATTGCGTCCCAGTCCAGGAGTGCTTCTGAGACGGGAAATGACCCCCCTCTGGGCTTCCGGGCGTGAGTCCTCCGCACTAAATCATGCACGCCTACCTAGGTAGAGAATGGGTCAAAGCATCGACCATTCACCCCATATCGACCAAGGGAGTTATGGAGGCTTCTAAAATGGACAAATTTCAGGCCCTCAATGCTTAGTGGCGGATGCCGATCCTCAGATCGAGCTTCAGCTGAAGTAGAGAGAAACGCAACCCAAAGCCATGGAACTCGGCGACGCCAAAAGGTTGTTTTTGCGCTCTCGATACTCGATCCGATTTGAGAACCGACAGTGGCAGCGGCACAAGTCTCGGTTTGACAAATGACAAGTGACCGCTACCCACCACTGCATAACACGGAGGTTGTACGGAGGTTGAGCTGCCAGCGTGGTCAACCAACCCGGGCCCCTCTGGCCACTGGACGCTTCGGCTCGACTCGGGACAAGTGGGCAAGGAACAGGCTCTGGAGATCCCGTTTTAGGGGCCCCAAGCAAGGGCTGTCAGGCTCAAACCCAACCACACACGCCCACAAGATCCTTCTGAGCAGCCACGACTCTCCTCTCTTACGCCTGAGAACTTCAGCAATCGAGCAGGACACTTGGCTGGCGGCAATACTTTTGCACCATGATGGTTGCGCCCCGAATCTCGCCAGTATTACTATGTACATAGTAGTATGCGATATTAGCTACCACCGCCGGGGCTTTGCCGAGTCGGGAAGAGTCCAGCGCTTCTTCCGCTGCGATTCAGTTGAGCGCACAACCAAGAGTCAACCATTTCAGGGACCGTCAACCCGCATCAAGTCCCCACGCAGCTGAGCACAAAGCAGCCGGTTCACCCCCTCCCCGACCTCGCCTCATATCTTAGGTCAATGGAGGGATGTCTTGCTATGTAACAAACAATACATTGCATCCCAGGGTGTCTGTGCAATGGGAGTACTACTATCTGGCCTCTCTGTTTCAAGATTTGCTAGCGACACAACGGCGTGGTCTTGACTGATCTGCAGATGCAGCCTCCGCCAAACCAACGGCCTCGAAGGCGCTTCTCTGCCTCCCTGTCTCTCGCCACCGGAATCCGGATTCGGCTGCCGGCAGATCTGGAAACCTTTCAAATTTCCAGTCAGATATTCCGACATCCTGAAGGAACTCGAGCTCCAAAGCTCTCACAACTGTGTCTGAATGTCTAATAAGCCCGGCTTCTCGGGCTTTGAATTTCGCCTGTCTCGACTGTGCGATTGGGAGTATTTGCAGGCCACCGGATCGAAGTGCCAGCCCTCTGCCTCTGATCATGGTAGCTTCAGATACCCACCACCTATTTCCACCTAACGAACCCACGTCGTTGCGCTATCTGCAAGACCCAGGAGTCCATTGCCGCTTTCTCGCTACTACCACCGCTACTAGTGTAGCCATAACACGCTTCTATATTACCCACTCCCATATATGATCCTGCTCGTGCTCCATCCTAATATTCTTTTACCCAAGCGGAATCTCACCAACACCCCGGTCTACCAGATACAGTACAGTACTCTAGCCGGACAAACAGATATTTATCAATTCCCAGTAGTTTTCGTATAAATTTTTTCTCGTTCTGCGCGATGCTGCTCTGACAAGGGAAAGGCTTCGCAGCCGTAGCCGCAAACTCGAACAAGGGCCTCTTTTTCTGCTCACCGTCCGAGTCCACCCTCCCAACCACTTAATAGTACTGCACCCCCGTCGCCGGCGCCCATCCGCCCGATCCACTTTTCCTTCGGTTCAGACGGCTCAGACAGACTTCCCATTCCCTTTTTCGTTTCTTGTCCCAGGCCACAAATCTTCAGGTTTTCAGGCGTCAAAGCGAATAAAGTACCGTACTTAACATTTGGCTTTGACAGCCAGTTATTAGTTCCCTTCTCCACCTCCGTTTTTTCTGTCCCCAATAATCAACGAGGGCGGCAGATCGACTACCTAAGGTCCCGTACAGTACCTTCTTATCTTGCCCACCCACCTCCAGGGTCCTGGGCCTACATACACTATCTATCTATCCATCTACCATCCAGTACTGTACAATCGATCGGAGTCCATTCGACAATACCACACGACGACATAATTTCTGTCATCTACACTAAATACACTATCCGGCCAGCTCTTACCACTGTTTCGCCTTGCGTTGCCTTGACCGCCTTCAGTTGCTCTTCCATTAGGCTGAGTGCTGAGGGGTGAGGCTGAGGGCTGGCTGAGCTGGCTTTGCGGAACTGCAAGAGGAACTCACCAGCCTGGTTGAGCTCTCGACAACTTCACTCGAGACAACACTGCTGCATTTCAGTTCGATAAGCTCGAGGAACGTTTCAAAGCCCGACTACTGCCGACATTTTGACTTCTCCGTTACACACCGCTTTTGATATTCAATCGATGCCACACTCTTCAACAGGGTGAATGAGGGAGTGAGTGAAAATATATATCTCCCCTCATCCTCATGGCGCTGCGACCACGAACGCATCCGCCTCCCGACAAGGAGGGCTATAAAGTCGTGTATGAATTCGGGAGGGAATATGGGGTCTATAGAAGGTAAGTTTGTTTTCGTCTCCTGTTGGTTTTTCTCCGGCGCTGTGTTCTCTTTGGCGCCTCGCGAACAGACAAGAAATATGAGACATGAAGGCAAAGAGCCCCATCCAGCAACATTACACCCCATTAAACTCGCTCAACCGCGAATCTCGAACTTGATCTTGTACACCCTTGCAAACCCAGCCACACAGACAGACAGTTACTAACAATGGCCATTTTTGGTTTTCAAAAGAGGTCAATACATGTTTCCGCACGACGAGAGAGAGAAGATCCGCCTCGACATGATGAACACCATGTTCAAAGTATTACGACCGGGCGGAAACCACCGCCTTTTCAACGCGCCGGTACCAGGCCTCGAGCCGGAGGGGAAAAGCAGCAACCGAAAGAAACTCCCATTACGCGTGGCGCCGCGAATACTCGACCTAGGATGCGGGACGGGGATCTGGATGAACGAGATGGCCGTGGAGTTCCCGTATGCCGAATTCGTCGGCGTCGACATCCACTACATGGCATCCAAATGTCACCCGGAGAACGTCAGCGTGCGCGTGCCCTGGGACTACGAGAGTCCCTGGGCTATGGGGGAACGGTCCTGGGATTTGATCCATATGCAAATGGGACTCGGGAGCGTGTCGGACTGGCCGGGTCTGTACCGCAAAGTCCTGAAGCATTTGGTCCCCGGCTACGGCTGGTTCGAGCATGTCGAGCTCGACTTTGAACCGCGGTGCGACGACGGCTCACTCAGACCGGGCAAGCTGACTGAGTGGTGGCACATGTACCTGAAGAATTTCTATGCGTCGATCAATCGTCGATTGCATTATGATCCCGACACGGGCGAACTCTTGCTCGCCGCGGGGTTCAAGGATATCCATCATGCTGTCTACAGGATCCCTTTGAATCCTTGGTCTGATGACCGCGGTGAACATCGTGCCGCCTTGTGGTGGGGCCAGGTCATGTCGCGTGGCCTTGAAGAGGATGGCGGCAATGGATTTGAGGCGCTCAGTCTCGCGCCGCTCTGCAGATATAATGGCTGGGCGCAGGATCATGTCGAACGACTCTGCGAGGAGGCCCTCGATCAGGCTTGTGATCCGGATTGTCGGGTTTATAATGAACTTCATATTTGGTGGGCGAGAAGCCCTCATAAAGGTGAGTTTTGGATTCTGTTACTGTCCTGTTTGATGACCTGTTCTGGACGCAAGCGTTGTTTGTCTTTTCGAACGTTCTCGTGTATGTCGAGTGGAGGGAGTACATGTCATTCAATCCCCGTTGGTTTGGCCGTGTTCTTCGAAGTGGAATGGAATCTTGGAGCTCTGCTAACTCACGTTGTTTCTGCTTTCCAGGTGAGGTTTGAATGCGGTCAAGTGCTCGCCGAAGGCACTGAGATATAGTTCCCTACACATCTGGGAGATATAAGAATCCAGAACATTCGCAGAGTCGAGGTGACAGCGCGGGACGCGAGAATAGTCAGCATGCAGCTGATCGCTTGATCTTCTTTGTGGGAGATGTCACCAAGGGTTAGGGGACCTGATGGCACATTTCAGACCTTTGCTTCATATGAAGCAGACCGTGGGAGAATAGTACACCATGTTTTTCTTCTTTATGCTTGGGCCTACAGGATTCTGCAACTTGCGGCCTGGCCGTGAGAGCTGTGAGGTGCCAGTTATGCTCGCAGGGCGAGTAGTCAGCTTTAAGTACGTGAGCTGAAGGTGCATACTTAGAATAATGATGATAGAGCCATGAAAGCGACGCTCTGTTCTGTTCGTCAGCATTTGCTCGATGATGCTCGGCATCAGCCAAGGACCCAGGTCGCGGTATTACACGAATTCCTGTAGGGTTTCACGCGGTTGGGCTCAAATCGAACGGAAAGGCAGATTCTCGCCGAAAGAAAAACCTTGAATATTCATGAACTTGAAATTTTGGCAGTTGCATTCATTGTCTTTTTGTTCGCTGGCACTGCATGCGCTAAACGCCAACCGTTTTTCTCATGGAAGGCCACATACATACAGAGCTTGCATTTCGTCACCACTAGGCCATCAAGAACCGACGCCCGATCTGCACCTGGTTCTTCCCCTTGATGCTTTGGTATTTTCGAGGACAGTGCTTTGCTCCGAGTGCGCATTCACTTCTAGCCTTCCTCGATCCTCGTGGTTAAGAGCAAGTATCATCACCCTCCGATCTGACCGTCCCAGGCAACCCTAGCACTGCCACACAACCACTGCCAGATGGTCAAGCATCACAGAACCGTGAGGAACCACAGCTTCCCCAAAACAGAACACGGAAATATGCGTGAAGCGTTTAAGCGAAGGTGCTTGGTCGGTTCGGGGTGAACAGCTTCTTGGACTTGCTGCTGCGGTGGGGCAGAGGGAATTTGAGGCCTTTGGAGATGAGCTGCTTGATGTATGGTCGCTTGACGTCGTCGGGCTTGGTGAGTTCGACAACCTTGAGGATCTGGAGAGCAAATATCTAGTCAGCCTACCAACCATTTCTCCAACCCAATCTGCGCATAAACAAAAATGTGGGTGGTTATAACGTACGTGGATGCTCCTAAATCTGGCACGGTGGCGGGCAGCCATATCTTGGTACAAAGCCTCGACGGCCTCGGTGCGGCTCATCTCTCGGTACTCCTTGTACATGTTGTGGGTGCCGGACCGGGAATCGTAACGGATCCAGATACCGAAGTTCTTGACCTTCAACGGGCGTTTCTCGTGGATGACGTTGATAGCGACAACCTCTCCGTTCGACTTCTTGACCTTGCGCAGCTTCATCAAAAAGTACCAGAAGCGCGACTTGGCGACCACGGTGTTGGGTGCGAAGATGCGCATGCGGTACAGCTTCGGGGTCGGGTTCGAGTCGGTGGGCAGGTGACGCCCGATCACTTGGTATTCTTGAAGACGACCTGGAATGACAAAATTTGCGTTAGTATTGCGCGTGCCGGTGTGGTAGGTATTTCGATCAAGGGTGTAAGGTGCGATTATTTGACGGCATCGAGCGATGCTTCCATAGGCCCCTCCTCAATATTTCAACAGATAACCCTCCCGTCCTTGAGTCCGGCATAGATCCAAATGCCTCGAGGCCCTCCTCTTGATATCGTGGTATACGACCGACGCTTGTTGCTAGGAACCTTTGTTTCTCGCATCGCTCCAGGACGGTTGTGATTGTGTAGATTCAAAAAGAATGACAGTGCGGTGACTTACCCATCTGCGACAAATTAGATTAGCGGTGAATAAACAATCTTTGCAGCGTCCAACATACCTTGACTTGTATCTGACCGACTGAGTTGTGTGCTGGTCGTCGTCGAAGTGGTTGATCGCAGAGTGACAAAATCCCAAGTTCGATGGGTGCAGGTGAGGCCTGAGTGCGCTTGCTGTGGAAGCCAAGATTCTCCAAAATTGAAAGTGCGCCAAGATTCTGGTCGGAGGTTCGGAGAAATAATGGTTGGTGGCTTCTGATTGGTCATCCAACCTCACTCTTTGGTTTGCCCGCGACAACAACCTCGCGACAGATGTGAACATAATACGACAACTACTGTTTCTACAGTTTCTCTCCATCAACGGCTGAGTGTGTGGTCTCACTGCTTGTCGTGATGGGGAGCATTTTTGCAGATTTCCACCAGGCTCAAAGGAACGGGGACGGCCGCCTCCTTGCTTCCTGCCTGGCTCCATTAGACACCCCCCAAGACCCTCGTCGACTGCAGTCGTTTGCTCAGCTGTCTAATTATCAGGAAATATCGGCTGCCGTCCGCTATTATCTGGTACAGGACCCTAACTCTGTGGGTTTACCAAAAGCCGAGGCAAATGCCTGGGTCGACATTTTCGTCGCTTTATGGAAGACCGTGAAAGAGCTCGTGGGCCTACGAGCGGGCAATGGCACGGGCGACTGGGTGAGGGCCTTTGACTCGTACAAGGAATTATGCAACCAGCTTGTCAGAGGCTACACCAACTATGGGTTCCAGTCATGGACCGTACCATGTCTGTACATTGCGGGAAAGTATATCCGCATGATCGCCATGAAGGCGGACAGCGAAGGCAAGCCCAAGGACACTAATGGAGGTGCGTTTGCGAACGGCTTCTCCGACGACATCATGTCCGAGACGAACAAGCATGAGAAGCTTGAGCAGGCGGCTTGGACCATCAATCGCATGTTCACAGTATGTCTGAGTGACCGAGCCGAACTAGTCGAGTCGCGCAAATGGGGCATCTACAGCACCACAAATCTGTTGTTCAAGACATACTTCAAGCTCAACTCCATTTCTCTGACCCGAAACGTCATTCGCGCCTTGGAAGCCGCCTCGGCCGATTTGCCTCCTCTGGAGCTCTTTCCCAAATCCCACCGCTGCACATTCAAGTACTACAGGGGAGTCATCGACTTCCTTCAAGAAAACTACACTGAAGCGGAGCAGCATCTGACCGAGGCCCTGACTCTATGCCACAAAGATTCACTGAAGAATCGGGAACAGATCCTCACCTACCTCATCCCAGCTCATGTGATCAACCACCATCAGCTGCCCCGCCGTACCCTCCTGTCTCCGCACCCGACTCTTTCCGGAATACTGACGCCTTTGTTTGATGCCATCCGGAAAGGCTCACTGGCTGGCTTTGAAGAGGCGCTGACATCTGCCGAACCTGAATTGGTCAAGCGTCGCATATACCTCACGCTTGAGCGAACGCGGGATCTGTGTCTACGCAACCTATTTCGCAAGGTCTTTTTGGCCGCAGGCTGGGAAGACACAAAGGACCCGACGACCGGTGAAGTGACGGGTAAGATACGTCGCACGAGGATCAGGGTCGAGGAGTTCGAAGCTGGCATGCGCGTGGGCTACAAAGGGGCCACTGATGTCATCATCGAGAGAGACGAGGTGGAATGTTTCCTGGCAAACATAATTTATAAGGTGCGTGCTGAATTTGTTTTCGTCTGCTGTTTGCCTTTCTTTCCTCCCGGCCATGGATTTCCACTAGCGTCACATCCCTCGCTTAAATATCCATCACCGTGTCCTCCGCTCCGGTTTTGCAACGTCGTCAGACTTGGTTGCCAAGCAGGAGGCAGGCAGACACAAGCGGCCCCTGGCCTATCATGAAGTTGAAGTCAATCCCCACCATCCCATACACCTCCTGCTACCTATTTTTCCACCTACGCTACCTGGACTCCAGTACCAGGTGATGCTGACTTGAATGCTCTTGCACCTGTTTCTCGCAGAATTTGATGAAAGGCTACATCGCACGTGACAGAGGTATTGTCGTACTTAGCAAGGCTGGCGCTTTTCCTGGCACAGGTGTCTAAGTACCGTCGAGTCCGATTGGAAGATTAAACGACCAACAAACCAACACCGCACTCGGTGGTGATTGGCAGCTCGTGAAGCGAATGATGCCTGCTCTTTGCCCGGGCTGGCTTTATGTCGATAGAGTTTCAGTCATCCCGCTAACAGATCCCAACCCGGTCTGTGACCTTGAGCAGGGAGTCAGAAGATATCATACCTACTGGCTGGACATCCTTACCGTGCACGGTACATCCCCGGCAGACACGTACCTTGGAGACCATTGGCTCTCGTTGGCAATGCCTCCAACTTGGGCATCGCATCGAGACATACTTTCCTGCTACTTCATATGTGCTATCGGCAGGCTACTTTACGTTACGTTGACAGCCAATATGCCATTGGTGCGCAAAAAGGCTCTTCAGGACCCTGGGAATCCCTTGCATTTACATCTAGCTCCAGAAGGCACACTGCACCAAAGATGTCCGGCCGGTGCTCAACCGCAGTGCTCCTTGCCGACCACTCGAACAGTTCATCTGCCAGCACATGAACATGCTTTCACGTTTTCAGCTCAAGGTCACAACCTCTCTTTGGGCCCCACCGAGACACCTGGATTGGACGATGTACCAACGAGCTCACCAGGGCAGTACATCCTAACTCACATGTACAGCCCGTCGTTCACACTCCCGATCGCCCTAGAAAGGGTTGACATGTGTCACTGACTGTGTGATGGTTTCTGACCTATCAGACCCCTTCGATGCGATCAACCACCCTCCCTTCTAGCTTGTTCTCTGTGCAACTATGACCAGCTGAGGTTAAATTGACTCATGCACAACCAACAGTCGCACGTCCACCGCACTAGGGTCCTAGCTGAACAACCTCAGATGCTTACCCGCCATTATTTGGGGATGTTCCGGCCTTTACTTAGACCCTGCTTTGTCTTGCCATGCCGGGCTCCCGCCCAATTAACGAATCGAAGGACTGCAAGGCAGACAGGCTATTACTGGATATGAGGCTTTTACAAAGGTCACGGCTGTTGCCTCTCGCAACCAAAGGGGCCAAACCGCAGGTGCTGACCAGTGAACGAAGCCGATTTACCAAGCGTCGCGGAGCCTCCTTTACATGCACGAGCAAGTCTTCTGCTTACTGGATCTGCCGGCCCTTATTTGAGCGGCATTAAGATCTTCTCAATAAAGAAAAGAGCAATGCAAGACAACATACCAAACAGGTCTCTACGTGCATGGATGAATGCTTAATTTGTTACTTCCCTAGAATAGAACTGAACTGAGTTCTTGATGGCAGCATGGCCCGCATTTTGAGCCAGCGAGAATTGAACAGGCATAATATCCGCCGTTGTGCAATCTGAGTCGACTTCTCGTCTTCTTCTCGTCTTCCTTTCTTTTTCCCTTTCTTCACAATGAATGATAAGAGACATGACATAGTGTACCACCTTAGTACCACGAGCTTTTTTTGATAGGTGGGTATTGTAGCTATTGTACAGACAGAAACGGAACGGAAAAGACATAACCGAAACTCCAACATTGCACACTGGCACCCTGGGAAAAGGTGACAGCTCAGACAGTCTTCGTAGTGCACAAGTGGTAAGAGTGGGACTGATGGCAGCAGCAATCTAAAGCATGTTGTTGGTGTTGATACAGATCGATTTTAGCGAGTAAATGGTGACGAGAAGGGAGACCGGACAGTCTTCAAATCATCCTGCAAGCTATGTTAATGAACAGAACAGAACACAACAGAACAGATAGAGTCTTATGCTGTGGTGTAGAGGAGAAAGAGGTTTGGTCACTTACCATGTGGTTGCACATGGCGACGAAAAGATCAAAGAACAAGGCTGTCCCGCCCTGCTCCATTTCTACCTTCATAGTGCCGCTCTTCTTGAAATTGTTGCGGCTCCGGATGATCAAAGTGAGGTATTGAGCTCGAAGCTTCGAGTCCGAGTCCGGAGTGTTCTTGTAGGCGTAGCGTGCCGAGGCGAGGATGGTGGAGATCTGCATGCCCTGTCGGAGTCCTTGTTTACGCAGGGCAAGACGTTTGAGCTCGTCCAGTCCATAGCGTTCGGCGGAGCAGCTGGTTAGCAAGTATTAGTCTCAGCCCGATTGGGATGGGTACACGATCGGACTTACTAGATGACAGTATCTTTCATCAATGTCTGTTTGACAGCCTGGCAGAAGATCGTAGTGTGATTGCCATTGCCTGCGTCTTCCAGCTCCCAGGTGTCTCTTTTCTTGTTGTGGATCAATCTTGGATAATAGTCCCCCTTGTAGAGATATTCCAGAACAGCGGAAAGAATCTCGGGCTGTTCGTGGGGGAGATTGATTCTTCTGGCGTTGCTGTCGAAGAACTGGCCTCTCAGCGCGGCTTCGAAGAAGGGTGAGCGGCAGAGCACTTCTTCGTGGCCTGCGAAAAGTCTTTGCTCGGGACCCACGCAGATGGTGATGATTGCGGAAGTGAGTGTGCTGATGCGGACATATAGGTCAGTTGAAGTCTTTTGATAAGCAGACGGGAAGTAGATCCACGTACCTGCCCACAGGTGGGCTTGTGTGAGTGGTAGTAGTAGTAGTTGTGTTGGACTCCTTTCTGCTATGCTTGACAGATTCGGTTCCTTGTAGGCCTCTTGTGATGGAGTGCTCCCGGTGAGAGGATCTCGGCTTGATCGATTTGCTCGTGCCATAGCGAGAGGCGAAGCTGTCGGATGGGCGGGCTTTCCTGCTGACGAACATTTTTGTGCTGTTTTCGGATTGAAGGTGAAACCTCAATGCAGATGTGTATGAGATGAGGTTCAGGAGGGCTCCTGGTGCAATGAAGAACCAGTCCGTGGACACGAGGTCTGTTTTTGCATAAATGAAGCCAATAGTAGCAGTCATGGGCTTTGGACTGCAACAGTGCAAAAGAATGTAAAGGGCAACAAAGCAAGGCTGCCTGGCTGTTGTAGTAGTGGCATCAATCAGGACAGTCGGGAAGAAGTCGACGAACTGCTCCTAACAGCAGGACGAGCTTCTTATTATACTTGGGAGAAGACATGGCTGCGGCCTGCGGTACCTGAGAGCAGAAAGGGCCGGGAGGGCACCTAGCTACAGTAGACTGTGTCGATGGATGGAGCTTATCAACTGCAGTGCAATGCCCATTTGTCTGGATTGGGGTTAGAATGAAGCCCCGGAAGCAAACGCGTCTTGCCGCGACTGTGGTTGGCACGACTAGGTCGCGTAGGCATGTGACCATGCAGCCACTTTAGCAAGTTTACTGGCACCGCGGGCAGAAGAGGACTCCTCCCTAGCCGGTTCTTCGACATCCATCACTACCAGGACTGGGCCTGCAGTTGACTCAACCCGTCTGTGACTCGACCATCACTCTACCCAGGGAGACCCCCATGTCTACCTCGATTTCCCGGATGCCTGGGGTGTAGGTGCTAGTGCTAGCCGAAGCAAACTACCTCCGCCTCGTTGCCACCGCACCCTAGATGCCAGTGCAGCACACCCTTGCTTCAGTAGCTTGGTCGTCGATCGAGCTGCCATGTGAAGACCTTCGGCGACAGACCAGTTCGAAAATCGCCGACCGAAGAGGCAGCTGTGACTCGTCTGTCCTACACTTGTTTGCCTTCCAGGCTGCTATGTGAGTCGCACTCACAGATCTTGTCCTCGAGGCGCTACAGTCTGGTCCGATTGGCAAAGGATGTGCCGAAACGTAACGGCGCAGGGTCGGAAGGCACAAGAGTTCTGCCAGTGCAGGAAGAGGGTGTACAGCCCATGCACAATAGTGGAGATGGCAAACAACGCTGAAACATGAGGCGCTCGTCAAGAACAGCTGCTAAGAAGTACCGGTGACAGGGCGGACGTTAAGCTGACTTGCAAAAGGTACATGTTCATTTGCTAAAAGTATTGTTCCTGGATTGAAACCCAGCACCAACTTGAACCTAGCTCCATCGCTCGCTAAGCGAATTCACACTGACCTCTTCCAATCCCACTGTACTACTGTTCTGATGTCACATCCCCGACCAATCTGCCCCAGAAACTATTTTATGAGATGCAGAGACCACCAGGCAACGGAGACACGAGTCTTCCATAGCGTTGGCAGGAGAAGAGATCATATATCCTCTGTTGGTATTGCCTTGCCTTCACATCATCTAGCAGGCGCCTAGTACGCCTTTCACAACGCTGTCCCAACAACCTCTTCCAAGCCCGCTTCATGTGTCGCCCAAAGGCACACAACGACGATGCTGGGAGAGGAATTTGGTTTACGTTTCGACACTATGTTCGCATTCCATCTTAGATGAAAACCCTCTTTGCCTCCTTAGGGTGGCTTTCAATCGGGCAGTATGGACACTTGAATTTGGCGCCCTTGCTTAGCTTTTGCAAGGACTCCTGCGCGATGACGTGATGGCACGGTAGCATCATGGGCGGATTCTGATCAGTTGCTTGTTCTTTGGAGACCGGGCAGACAAAGATAGAGTGAAAGCGGTATGAAGCAGGAAGTGGTGTCTCGACAGGCAACTCGTTCTGTGAGGTCCATTCCGTACGCTTCTGCTTTTGAATGGTTTGCAGCTTTAGAAGCGTAGGCAGGGCGATAGCTCCCGCGGTTGCCGCAATATATAATGGTGAGTCTGCAGATAGTTCGAGTAGAGAGCAGAATTCGCGGATAAAAGAGTTGGCAACTTCATCCCAGGCGGTGGAGTTGTTGAAGCGAGTGTGGTATGGCGACTCTTCAAGATTGGAGGAAAAGGGAATCGCGCCCACCAGCTGTTGTATCTCAATCAGATATCGGCCACGAAAAGACTGGAATTCGGTCTGAGCGTATTGGAGGGCTCGCATGGGTCCATCGAATTCAGATTGATCTTCTGGTCGACGCTCCATGAATAAATTCACAAACTGTAATCTGCAAAGTTCGAACTCCAGATTACTCCCGCGACCTTCCAGTGCCGTGCCGTTTCGCCGCGCCCATTCAATGGCCGGCTGCAAGTTGTGGTTGGCTTTCAGTTCGCTCAGGATATGGTACATATTGGAGAACTGTTCCTGCATGCTCTCCTCCGAGGTTTTGTCCAGTCCCAAAGGATGCTCCATAGGCACGTCTAAGCCCAGATTGGCCGCCGTTTCTTGTTGGAGCCGCTGTTTCTCGAGGGCTTCCGAGTGAAAGGTTGAGGCCACATCAAATAGTCCCTCTCGGAGCAGGTGTAGATAGATGGCTCGGTTGATGAGGGTGGGGTGGGAAGACAGGGCGTCAATCTCATTGCTGGGCACTTTATCCTTGAACACCTTATCCAACGCTCTTGTGTATTTGTTGTGCAATCCATGTGTGTCCTTCAGCCCTGAAAATATCCCGTCGAACGATGTCTTTACCGGGTTCTGTAGCTTTGCCAGGGTGATCTGTCGCGAATTGGGATCTTCGGCAATGGCATCCCTCGCCTTTTGGAGCGCATTGATAATGTCATCGACATGACGGGCTGTTTTAGACTGCTTGCAGTTGTTCCACACCTTATCATGCTCTTTCTGAATCGCCTCCATTGCTGGGAGAGTGCGGGCTCACGCAGATGCGGGAGTCACCTGAATTCGCTTTCGAATCTGGTTTGTGTCATCGTCAGTCGTTCTCTGACGGCAGGCTGCAATGCAGTGGTAGATCTAAGGTAGATAAAGGCAGATGGATGATGTATTGAGAAGATGATGGTGCCTTGGATACAATGGGACGCATGACCTGTTGCGGTGGAGGCGTGAAGTTGCCATCAGATGCCAGCGTGATACTGCGGAGTATTGATAGCGATAAGATGACGCTTCACTTCTCCACAACTAGGACAGTACTGTACGTCCACCCATCGTTCTTCAAGTTGTCTTCGGCAACGTCCATGTTCATATCACGTTCCATGCATTATAATCCAGTTGAGCCTCTACACAGGCAAAGCTGCCATGAATACAATGATTATATCCATTGTTGAGTAGCCGCGCTCCAACAATAATCGGCAGCGCAGCTCAATCTGTGTAGCCTTTTCTGCTCCACACCCTATAGACATCGATGGCCATGTCCACCCCCCCGATATTTTCCCAATACCCTTATGGGCAAGCGTTGTCAGGGTCGTATCCAAACAAGCTTGCGAAAACCAGCTCGAAGGATCAGGTACCAAAGGGAGAAGAGCAATCTCGTGGAGCAGAGGACCAAGGACGGTCGAGTCCTACAAGCCCTCAACAGAGCCGACCACCTCAAAACAGAAAGCGGCTGGTCTTCGCGGACCCGGTTGCCTTTCGGTATTTGGAAGAAGATCCCGCCACCGACACCCTGGAACGATGGAGGAGACTTCAGGGTTACGAGATGTACCTTGTGGAGCAATGGGCGTGTTCAAGGACTCATCCGACTTTTATCATTTGCACCTACACCGGAGACCCGTCACACTCTATCGTGGTCAACGTCCTCTCCGTTCCGAGCGATGAAAGTACTTGGTCGCCCAGACTACAACTTTACTTCCGAGCGGTTTCGCAGTTTCATGCAAAGGAGAAGGAAACGCCGCTGGGAATGCTCATGGTGACCAATCTCAGCGGCTTTCCCTCTGCTCTCACAGTCATTGCTGTTCCAGATGGAGATGTACGGAAACACAGAGAGGATTTTATCGTCAATGAAAATCTCAAGCGCATGGGCTGCTCTGGAAGAGCCGCCATCAGCCTTCAGCCACCTCAACCGAGCACAGTCACCAAATTCCATCACCTGTACCGTACTAGCGAAGCCGTGCCGCTTTATCAAGCAGTCATGGAGCTTGTCCGTATTTGCCAAACGGCTCTGGTAATGTACGACAAGCTTCAGCCTACCTACGTTGACGGCTTGCTTTGCGATGTCACTGAAACAGCTATCAATAATTGGTGGACGGACATCGGGACCTATTTCTACAATGTAGAACCCAGTGACGGGATTCTAGGCCCGACCACGGTTGCAGCCCTGCTCGGCCTCTTGATTGGGGCATATAACAGGCTCAAGGCTTCAGGTTCGCCCGTCGGCAAAGACGTATTGGACATGGTGTCAATGAAGAAAGCCGTGGGGCATTTTCAGAAAGGGCAAAGAATGGAAAAGACCCGGCGGCTAGATCGGGAGACATTGGACCGACTACACAGGGCTACGGCCAAGAATGTCAGCGGTGAGGGTTGGACTGTGCCAAAGGCCGTCAAGTCGACCGTTGGTGAACTCAGCGGGAAAGGTGCCGAAATGGTGATGGGCATTGTCGGTGGTCGAGACAAGGCTGGAATATCTGATGTCGAAACACTGGATATTGATCGCTTTGCTCAACTCGTGATGGGACCGCGGATGAAATGGCTGTGGCTGGGCAAGCCTGTGAAATCGGGAGATGTGTTTGCCGACGCCCCTGGTGGGAGGATCTTCAGCACTGATGACCAAGGGAATTTCCTGTGGACAAGCAATCAACATGATTCGTATTCCGATGGAGGCATGCTTGAACGCACTGATACTGTACTGACAAACCAAAGTTATGATACCAAAACTGGACGGAACCGCACCGCCCGGCCAACAGCAGGCCTCGCTCGCCAGAGCACTCGACCTCAAAAGGACGGCAAGGATGGCGAGGATACTGAAGACTGGCCTGGAAGTTTTCCCACCACTGCTGCAAAATCATCCAAAGACCATCACCACCACCTCTTGCGAGATCATACATTGCGTCCAATACTAATGCCCCGTCGGACAGGGCCGCCACCATTCGACCTTGCTCTAGCCGATGCATCGCCGAATTCGCCAAAAGTATTACAGAGTGATAATCCGAGGAAGGTTCAGACCGCTGGGGAGAAACAGATTCCGGCCCATCGACAGCAGATGAGAGCTGTGAAGCCTGGGGATTCTCCGAGGCGGAGGAAGCTGAACGCCGAGATGGCGGACTTGCGAAATGAATTCAGAGCTGATACCTACAAGAAATTCTCTTCTAAGATGCCGTACAGAGGGCTTCGGAGCAAAGCTCTTCGGCGGTCAAAGAGTGCTGGTCAATTGAACGATCACACGTTGGGCAGTCCTATACAGAGCCGGATCAAGCGGCAGCTATCGTTCAACATTGTCGAGGATGCTGTGTTAGACCTCGGGCCAAATGTTGTGGAAGAAGGCGTCACAAAAGGAAAGATCGAAGGCGATCTCACGGACGCCCTCGCCGAGCGTGAGGCATTGATGGTTGCCGCTCAGAAAAAAGCGAAGCGTCTTCAAAGGATGGAGCAAGGGCTTATTCCTTACACTGAGAGTAAGGTCGCCCATGTCGAGAGTCTTGAAAAACACGCACATCAGTATTTGGAGGAGTTGAACGACCTATACTACCATCGATTGGACGAATATCAAAGCCAGCAAGCGACCTCTTCAGATATTGTCTCGGAGGAAAAGAATGCATTGGCCGAGGGGTTTCGCAGGATGGAGATGCTTGGAGCGAAAATGGACTACGAGCTGGACTCATTGCAATCGCGCTTGCAAGAGGTCGAAGATGGTGTGAATGATTTTGAGCGTAGTGTGATTGCGATTGAAGGCCGGGTCAAGGAGCTGATCGGGGCCGAAAAGCGGACCGCTGTCCCTTGGATTCAGAGACTACTCAATCTCATGGGATCTCGGAAATAGTTGAAGGACTTTGTATCTGTTTGGATTTAGCGAGGTGTTGGTTGGAGCAAGGCGTTTGAGGTTGGAACATGGCCGGTTGAATTGTTCGACTGTACTTGAGGTACCCATCTCTCACTCGGAGAACCTTCTTCCGCACCAAGTCCCAATTCACCACCTGCCTAGGTATGAATACAGCCGTCTCCTGGGTACTTCGAAAGGGGATATGGGGCCATCACCAGCTGCCGGAACAAAGGCCTTTTGATTATTTCGGGCATACGGCGGTCGCCTGGGTACTTCAAAAGGGGTCCACGGGGCCACCACCAGCTGCCGAAACAAAGGCATTTTTATCGTTTTCGAGTATGGCGGCCTCCCGAATGTTAAAGAAGAAATGACCAGATTCTGTTCTGCAACCGTGAGCAGAAACGACTGTAATGAAATGAACGAGACGAGGGTATCCTTGATTTGTATTCGGTGCGAAGTAAATATCCCCGTCACCCAGCATTGCGCCTTTTCCATTCTCACACTCTGTCACTCGACCAAGGGTCGAAATAGTATACAATGTCACATCCATCACTGAGGCGAGATGTGACCGGCAATCCAGGCGTCTGATAGCATCTTCATATGACCCAGCTCTGACCCCTTCAAGAGCCCCGAACCACTCGACGATGCAGACGATGTGTCCAACGAATACAACTTGAATAAGCTGAATGTAGTCTCGCTTACATGCCGAACATGCCGCCGCCACCAGCACCGCCTCCTGGAACCTTTTCCTTCAACTTGTCTGAAATCTGGACATTGACTTCAATGAATTTGGCCATGCATCGATCGAGGCAAACGCTTTCGGCCTTGTTGAGCTCGGCTTCTCGGTAGTCGGTAGGAACACACTTCTTTTTACACGAAGCCACGGACCTGGATTGTTGCAACAGGTTAGGATAACAATCGCAGACAAACGTTCCATAGAGAAGCTGGGGTCGCTGTATATAGTACACGGTTCAGAGGACGCAACCTACTTCTGGAACATATCTTGGATAAGCAAGATTTCAGCCTCTGCAGCAGCAATCTTCTCCTGGGAAGATGGTTGAGGCCGGCCTCCGCCAAAGAGGAACGACATGGCGATAGTAGGTGGTTGGTTTAATGCGTGGGTTCCAGACTCGGGATGTTCAAAGGATGCGCCGACCGGTCTCGACGTCAGGTACAGCGAGAGTAAAAAGGGAGTGTGGTGTTCGCTGCAGGTGAATGTGACGAAGTTGTTATGACGAGTAGTAGTTGGGTTGAAGTTGTAGAAAAGTTGCGGAGCAGAGCAAACTGCGGCGATTGATTCGAGATACTACAATTTCTACCGAAGCTTAAGCGAACTTGCAACAATTTTTGTCGTGGTACCAGGTATCTTCTCTACGACGACGCAGCACCCATACTATACGTGAGCTGTGCCCTCTCTGGAGCAGTCTGCTCATGTCACTGCCTTCATGTTTGGTAGATCGACATGGCATACATGGCGACTCACCAATCCACCATGCATAAGTCGGTGAGTACAAGATACATTTTCCGCCCAATACACGTCCCCTGCAGATGAAGAGACAAATCGAGAAGAACCGCTGCGAGTGATGCTGGCTTTTGCTGGCTATGATCACTACCACTCAAATACTGTCTGAGCAAACCCTTGGATTTCAAACTTGATATGACGAGGCTGTGTTTTTTTGCTCGTCACTAACGTGTTAAGATAGGCTCCTGCGCAACCCGGCCGGTGATGGCTACTTGAGCCGCATACAACACCATGAGCGCGTCGCTTTGCCTACGCTACACAAAAGAACACAAGCTGGCTTTGCAACAGTAGCAGCTCCAAAACTCGAGCCTACAAACCATTCCGGAACAACGTTGCAATGTTCAAATAAAGAGGCGCGGGAACGCGCGGAGGAATTGAAATCCTGCGCGGCCGAACTCTATCCACGATACAAGCGACACGGACAGGCACGAAGTATCAGATCACTTCTGGAGGAAGAGACTGGTATAGATGGCAGTCCTGGTCCGGAATATATTGAAGGCAAGCTAGGTTCTTAAGCAAATGATTATATGATCGTTTCTGACAAACGGGGCCACAGTATCTGGGAGAATAACTTCGATCCGGTTGAGCGGGTCAAAATTGGCATTCGTAGACATCGTCGAAGACCAATTGAGACTACAAGTTGTGCTCTCATACTCGGCATTGACCGAATCTGGCGTGTCCTTGGACGAGTTCAAGCACAGTTGTCGACTAATCCGCCGAGGCGACCATATCTGTAAGCCTTCCCATCCCAATTAAGGAATGTTACGCTTGGTGCCAGACGAGACACTCATATGTTCACAGCAATACAAGGCGGACAACCGTATCGGGCGAAAAATGGCCAACTCTCAATCAAAGCAACAAGCCTACCAATTTTGGAATCGCCTTGCTTGCAACGGTTTCCGGTGGAACAACGAGGGTTTGCAACAAGCCCGCTCTCCGAAACCAATTATCAGCCCCGACATGTCGAGATGCTCACAGACCCCGAGGTGGTAGAGACGCTCAAGGCACGATCAGCGCTGGTGCGAGCGATGCGGCAATTTTTCGAAGCCCGCTCGTTTGTGGAAGTCGACACGCCCATTTTATCCGCCTTGGCTGGAGGAGCGACGGCCAAACCTTTCGAGACGACTGCGACCGAGTTTCCCGATCGCAAATTGAGCCTACGTATCGCTCCAGAACTCTGGCTCAAGAGACTCATAGTCGGCGGCATGGAAAGGATTTTTGAAATCGGACCATCTTTCAGGAATGAAGGCTTGGACAAGACGCACAATCCGGAATTCACCACTTGCGAGTTCTACGCTGTCCGCCATGACCTGCCGCAGTTGATGGAGTTGACGAAACAGCTTCTCTCGAACATTGCACAAACAATAAAAGGCCTTCCAGGCAATGGTCCACTGGGTCGAAATCCGGAAGAACTAACAAATATCCTCGCGTCAGTGCAGCAACCTTACCAAGAGATCGATTTCATTCTCACACTCAATGAGATATTGGGACTCGATTTACCGAATCTGTCGGCTCGAGAAGCCCAGAGCCAACTCATCGAGATCTTTAACTCAAAGAACATTCCTCTTCCCAGCAACCCCACGGTTCCTCGGCTCATGGACAAGCTCTGTTCCGTCTACATTGAGCCACGATCCGCAGACAACAACCGGCCCATCTGGATTGTCAATATCCCCGAATGTTTGTCACCTCTCGCAAAATCTTTCATCCATCCTACCGCCCCGAACGAGCAGCCCGTCGCTGCCCGTGCAGAGCTTTTCATCCGTGGCAGAGAAGTCGTCAACTGCTACGAAGAGGAAAATAGCCCGTTTGAACAGAGGCGCAAGTTTCAGGACCAACAGCGTTATGCGCGTCAGTTTGCTCGTACTACTGTCAGTGATAACCGACAAAAGGAAAAGGATCATGACAATGCCCTCGATAGGGTCCAAAAGAGCAAAGAGCAACTCTTGGATATTGATGAAGAAGCCATGAAGGTTGACGAAGACTATTTGGAGGCTCTGGAATGGGGTCTTCCACCCACAGGCGGTTGGGGCTGCGGGATCGATCGACTAGTCATGCTTTTTACCGGTAATGAACGGATAGGCGATGTCTTGAGCTTTGGAAACCTCCGCGCCGTGACGAGGGGGGCAGAAAAGATCAAGCAGGAAGAATGATCAGATCACAAAAAAGTCCGAATCCTAAACTTCGCGTCAATATGCTTTTAGGGAACTGATACTTACGATACTAGTATGTCAAGGCAGAGTAAAAGTGTATCTTGAAGCCTTTAGACCAAATGCAACAATACCAGGTATGTTCCATACTTTACCTGGTAAATTATGAAATGCCAAATGCCTATCACAGCGTTCACTAACTTAGTGCTTGCCATTGACCCGATCAATGCCTTCATTCTTTTCTCTTCTCAATCTACTTCATCTATTTCTTTTCAGTCTACTTCGCTTTCATAACCTCCGGATTCCCAAACGTCCACGTAGCATCTGGCGAACGACCTGGAGGGATTCTTCGCCGCCCTCGCGGATGACAGAAAAGCGAGGACGTTGAGCAAAGAACCGCGGCACGTTCCGTTCGTGAAACCCAGCGGCGACGATTCCAAGGCCGCTTTCATCAGATCGATGAGAAAAGTGAGCTCTGGAACTATAGCCGCCGCGTGACGCTACAAAGCTATTAGCCAACAACACTGATGGATGTGACGCCCTTGGAGCCGCTCATCGCACCGACTCCAGTTCGGTTTATTCTGGCCGACAAGGATTTTCTGCCGGGCCAGCGTGAAGCCTACCAAGCCGTCAAGGAACCCAAGTCTTAGGTGGACATTGCGGGCGACCATTTTGGCCGTTGTACAATCTCAAGAGAAGGCTTCATCATGGCGACGAGGTGAATGTTTGACAAAAAAAGTAATGATGACATCCTACCTCTTAGTTGATTATGCTGGACAGATCTCAAACATAAGCGGGAGAAACGCAAGGGCTCAGGTAGAGGAAAAGCAGCACCTGTCTCAGAACACTATAGTACAGGCAGCCTGCCAGTATGTCACACCCTGCAAAAGCAAAAATTTGATAAACAACCTAATCTGGCTGGCTGCCCACCCTCTGACATTTATATTTATTATTCCCCATCTCCTCCACACTTGATTTTTCCTCGGTGCTCCATCATCCACTCCACATTCCTCGACATTTGTTGATTTGGACTCAACGAGACGCTTACTACACCTCTGTGCCTGCCATATCTACTGTCCGCACCTTCACCCTACAACATCGACGAAGGTCAACTCACCTCCTAATCATTGACAGCCCTTCGCCTCGCGAAAACTGACCGCAGGCCTCCTGAATTCCACCCGCAGGCACAACAACCCATAGCATAGACCGGGACAGCAGACAGACGGCTGCGCATCCTACGCCTAGATAGATCTTTACTCTCTAATATGGCCAAGCTCACGTCAACTTTGTTTGCTTGTCTCCATTCGCTCCTCATTCAGCTGCCGCAACACGGGTACCACAATATCTCGCGTGTCATCCAGCCTCAGATTCGGAGCATTGCAGACAGCTTGATCGTCCATTCGCAATCGAGCCGGTCAATCGCAAAGGTCATCGAGAAGCAAGCCACGAAACAGAAAGAAAGAAATCTGATGGCTGGAGCGAAGCATGAGTCCACACGTACCAGGGGTCAAATCTGAAACAAAACCAAAGGCTAGATCTTAACGTCTTCAAAATGCAGACGATGCACCAAGATAACGACGACACAAGGGACGCTGATGGCTGTTCGAAACAATTGAGCAAGTGGCTCCATAAGGCGAGAAACAATTGAACCGCCGAGTTTCCCCTCTAGCGAAAGCGCTGTTTCTCTCCACGACATTATTTAAGGCGGTTCCGAACGGCTCACACTCCTAAGACTATGGAAATGCTTGTTGGCAATTTCAATATGCTCCTGCCGTGAGGACTCGTCGCATAGGCAGGTCATAAAAGAAATGCCTCTTTCAGTTTCAGCTCACTTCCACCTCACTTTGACCTCGGTGCTCCTTCAGAAGGCACTAGAGCAAGAAGAGCAAAGCAGCTCTTCTCTATAACTTCGTCTCGATGACCTTCTTTCTACGACTTCGTCTCACCATCTCTGAAGCCTTCTTCTTTAGTCAGAGCAGCCTCAATTCTGGTCCGTACAGACTCCTCGCAACCCGCAACGCGACCATCCTCCATGGCGAGAAAGAGGCCAGCAGAGCCAGACTCTGATGATGATACACATTCGGATACTAGTACCGCAAAGACCCGTGTGGCGCCTCGGTGAGATGACTGCTCATGCTTATCTTCTTGCAAGACCTATATGCTAACATGGACTTGCTTGGACCAGCTTCGCTCGTTCGGGAACCGTAACAGTCTATGTCGGCGTTGAAAAGGCCAGATATTTGGTGCACGAAGACATCCTCACCTCCACATGTCCGTTCTTCGAAAAGTGTCTCCAGTCCGGCATGAGGGAACAACACGAACGGACGGTTGAATTACCAGAAGATGCTCCCGAAACTTTCGATGTCATCGTGAAGTGGATGTACTCTGGACAAGTACCTGCCTTACTCGGGCCGCATATCATGCGCGCTTACAAGCTTGCCGAGAAGCTGTGTATGCTTGATCTTCAAAACGCACTTGTCGATGCCTTTAAAGCAGTGTGTAGGAGGGAGCGCATCAGTCCGATCACTGTCATGTTGACATGGAAGCATCTTCCCGAAAATTCAGAACTCTGCAAGCTAGCCTTGAAGCAGCTGTGCTATGAGATTGTCAAGGAACCAAGAAATTACATGGGCACATCAAGTTCCTTCTTTGGAGCGACCCAGACTGGCACACTCGAAGGCGAGCTGAAGGAAATGCTGGAAGAAGGAGGCCCTTTGGTCAGCGCTTTTTTCTCTCAATACGTCGATGAGCGTAAAAGGCCCAGATCTCGACTGTCTGATCCGTCATATTGATGCTGCCAACTTATCAACGCCAATGGGACGAGGTGCAGAGAAGAATAACTATAGCAGTGCCATGCTATGGCTCTGTCAAGCACAGTTTGTCTGCTGTTTGGAGTCTGCGGATTCGACTAGCTCGGTCTTAAGGTTTTCGCGCACAGCATGGAACCCCGATGGACAACATCTCTCTGTCCGTTCGATCAGCAGTTTACCACTGGTGTCTGCATGCAATGTCCGATCGACAGAATTCAGAAAGCCGAGTGAGAGGTGGACGGACAGATTGTCCTGTCGCGACCAAATGCCCCAGGGAGACGAATGTATGGATGTTTCCGCACGAACCAGTCCCGATTGGCCTTCCCCTCCCCTATTGGCAGGTTTCAGCATTCTACCTTTCAAGCAGTGCAGGCATTTGCTGCCAAGTCGGAGCTGGAACAGCGGCCCAACATGTGCTTTGAGACCTACTGCACGTTCGATATGCTGGTCCTTTACGCATTACGGACTGGTTTAGATAGCTAAGCTAGGCTCACATAACCTAACGAAGGCTACCAAATGAAAAACAGACCACTTTTCGTTCACATTCGCCGATTGCTTGTCCTCCTCGTATCTTGAATTGCCTGTCTGCTGAACTACCTGCTCCATTGCCCGTTGACTTGGTATGTCTGCGCCTTTTGCCTGTGAAAACCCATCTCCCGAAGTAGGGCTATCTAGTATTGTACGCTTAGAATACGACTGTAGGTTTGCACAACCACCCAGAAAGATACCTGTGAGAGCAAGAGACATAGATTTCATTAAAAGACAAGTTTTAGGATCAACCACGGACATGGTCCCTCGCTTCAGAACGCAAGGTCGTGTGAAGACACATATTCTACCAGAATGAGGAAACGATCCTAGCACAGTGTTTCCGCCGGTCGCTTTCAATGCAGCATCTGTACATGCCTCGCTTTGAACAGTACTCGTCCTAGGAACTGTTGCCGAAAACCGGCGCAAGTTCTATGACTTGTCAAAGGTAACCTTGCCATCACTGCTAACATTTGCATATGACAATTTGGCTTGCGACTGCGGCGATGACGTGGAACTTGACGGCGAAGCCCCAGCAGCACCTGGTCTCGAGGCGTCAATGGCTTTAGCCGCTTGAGCGTCTGTTAGGGCGTCCCGCACGACTCCCGGAGGAGTATCGGCAATCTCGTTGACTTCCTGAGCCGTCAAAACATCATTTACTCTGGCCGCACGACTTTGAATCAAAAGTGTCGTAGGACCTTTGAACTGCAAGAACAGTCTATCCCCCCATATAGTCCTGCGACTCCAGGTCCGAATCCTCAGCAAAGCATTGGCAATAATCTTGTAAGTACTGCTCGTTTTCAAAGTCTCGACAAATTTGGATGAAGGGAAAAAGTTCCCCAGCTGGAGAGGGATCTGAAACCGGACATTGGTAGACTTGAAACGGTACGGTTGCGGAGGAGGAGAGGGCGAAGAGATCGAATATGCCAGGATATTAGACGGGTGGACGAGATACGTCTCGCCCTCCGCAAGTTCAATCGAATACACTTGCCCTTGCCCAGCGAGAGCCAAGAGTCCTCTCCCTGTCACATCCGAACTGCCCCAATGTGCCAGCGAGAGTTTCGTGCTCAAAGTCGGTTTCACTGACAACGTGCTACCGGTCCATGCTAGCAGGGCTTTCCGTTGCGCCAGTTTCCAATCCGTCCGTCCGTCTAATTGGAGAATCGCAAATGTGGTAAGAGGTGATCTCGTCGCGATGAGCGCATTGACAGACGATGTGGATGTGATTTTCTGGTAGAGAAACGGTATTCCGATCAAGGCGCGTCGGACGGGGTTAAGTAATCGTAGCGTTGAGACTGTGCCGTCTGGATCCCCTGCGAAACCGACTAATGTCCCTCGACGCGTGTAGAGGTCTTGAGATGGTGATAATGTCACGGACAATAATGAGTATGGACTTCCTAGGACTTCGAACGAGGCATCTAGATCACGAATGAGTAAATATATTGGGACTTGTTGGATGGGGAATACGAACCTGGAGAGGCTGCTGATGCCGATTTGCCAACAACTTGAACGTCAATCCTACTGGTGTCGGTGGCGGGCGTCGCTTGCACTGAGATGTACTTGTATCCTCCAACTCTCCGCCCGGCGACAAGGTGTGCTGGAAATGCCCATTTTCGAGGGAACCCGGTCAGCCGCCGGAGATTCTGTGCGGCAACCTGAGGCATGTTGATTTTATGGTGGTCAGGGTACTTTTCTCGCGAGTTTCAGCAGTGAAGTAGGACCAGACTCCTGGCCGTTGTTGGAAATATCCAAACACGATTCATGACCAGAGCTTCCAAAAACTGCGGAGCTCAATGGCGTCGGTCGGCGGACAACATTCGCGTGTCAAACATGCCAAGCTGTTACATAGGTAAGCCCGCATGGTCACGTGTAAAGCCATGTTATTTGCATGCGTGTGGAAGGGGCTGTTTACCACATGTTCCACCTGGTTTCTACGGAATCATGGATGTTCAAGTTGGTCATCGATATTTTGAAATTGCAACATATCAACAAAGTCTCTACACACGGTTAAAATTCGGCGAGGACAACATTGCGGTTTCTCGGCCAAAAACTGAGGACCCTATGTTTTTCATGTGATCACAGCCTCGCCTGTAAGATCAGCGGGTTACGGGGAAGTATGTACTCGACCAAGCGCTCTTCGGCGCCGTCGGATGGCATCACATTGAGCACAAATGGCTCAACCTGTCGAACCAGCTGTTTACGCTTTCCCTCCCAATTGGACCCCTTCTGTGTGTGACTCGCCTGTTCGCGTACACGTTGCAACTCCTCTCTCTGGCTTACACATGCCATAGGGGAGGGGAAGGCGGACAAAAAGTGTTCTCAGCCTGACTGCTGCGGCGTAAGCAGACCATCTAGTCATCACGCTCAAGATGCTGTCCAGAACGCTGTACAATTGCGGCAGTCAAAGAATACACAGTTCGCGTTATCCTGTGTTGAAGGCATGGAGGTCTAACCGATCAATTGTTGCGAGCCCTAGGGTTCGGATATTTACCCAGTCGGCTTTCTTAAAACGCCAGGATGAGAGGAAGGCGCCAGAACAGACGGCCAAGGGTGCCGACGAGGCCGCAAGTAGGCTGGGGACCGTCGAGGCCACGAAGCCAGAGACGCTTCAGAAACCAGGGCCGGTCAAGCCAGAGCCAGTCGACCTCAAGAAGAGTGGCCTCCTCTCCGAAAAGGTCGTCTCCAACAAGGAGCAGCGAAAGATTGATCTCTCCATCATGAGGGAGATGGTGCAGTATCTCTGGCCGAAAGGCGACTGGGGAAGCAAGCTCCGTGTCAGCACTGCCCTGGGTTTACTTGTTTCGGCCAAGATCCTGAACGTCAATGTGCCGTTCTACTTCAAAAGCATTGTCGACTCAATGAACATTGATTTCCTGGCAGTGGGCGGCACCGCTTGGACAGTGGCCGGGTCCATGGTTGTGGCATACGGCGTGACCAGGATTGGCGCAACTCTGTTTCAGGAGCTGCGCAATGCCGTCTTCGCGAGCGTGGCACAAAAGGCTATCCGCAACGTGGCTCGGAATGTGTTCCAACATCTATTGCAACTGGATTTGAAATTCCATCTGTCGCGTCAAACAGGTGGACTGACCAGGGCGCTTGATCGAGGCACAAAGGGCATCAGCTTTTTATTGACGTCAATGCTGTTCCATATCTTCCCCACGGTGCTGGAGATATCAATGGTTTGTGGCATCCTGACGTATAAATATGGTGCATCGTTCGCTGCCATCACTGCTGCAACTATGGTGGCGTATTCGGCGTTCACAATCGCCACGACTTCGTGGAGAACGAAATTCCGAAAACAAGCGAATGCAGCAGACAACCAAGGCGCAACCGTGGCGGTCGACACATTGATCAACTACGAGGCTGTCAAGTATTTCAACAACGAGAAATTCGAGGTCAACCGATACGACCAAGCATTGAAGAAATACGAGGATGCGTCTATCAAAGTCACGACGTCGTTGGCGTTCCTCAACAGCGGCCAGAACTTTATATTTTCCACCGCGCTGGCAGGGATGATGTATATGGCTGCAACGGGGGTGGCCGCCGGCGAACTGACGGTCGGAGACTTGGTCATGGTCAACCAACTTGTTTTCCAACTGTCTGTGCCCTTGAACTTCTTGGGTTCCGTCTATCGAGAACTTCGGCAATCGCTGCTGGACATGGAGACTTTGTTCAGTCTGCAAAAGGTCAATGTGACGGTCAAGGAAGTGGCCCATCCGCGACCTTTGGCTCTGACCAAGGGGGGAGAAATTAGGTTTGAGAACGTCTCGTTCGGATATCATCCTGACAGGCCTATTTTGAACAATCTGAGCATGACGATTCCTGCCGGGAAAAAGGTTGCGATTGTGGGACCCAGCGGATGCGGGAAATCGACCATTCTTCGGCTATTGTTCCGATTCTACGATGCGCCGACTGGTCAGATTCTGATTGACGGGCAAAACATCAAAGAGCTCAGCCTGGACAGTCTCCGTCGGAGCATTGGAGTGGTTCCCCAGGATACGCCATTGTTCAACAACACGATTGAGCACAACATTCGATATGGCAGGGTTGACGCGTCTTTTGAAGAAGTCCGAGAAGCCGCACGAAGAGCCAGGATCCTGGATCTGGTGGAACGGCTACCGGCTGGTTGGAATACCATGGTGGGTGAACGAGGCATGATGATATCTGGAGGAGAGAAGCAACGACTTGCAATTGCCCGACTTCTCCTAAAGGACCCTCCTTTGTTATTCTTCGATGAAGCGACATCGGCGCTCGACACATACACGGAGCAGACGCTGTTGCAAAACATCAACAGCATCCTGAAAGAAAAGCAACGGACGAGTGTGTTTGTGGCTCATCGGCTGCGTACGATTTATGACTGCGACATCATCTTTGTGCTCCGAGACGGCCAGGTGGTTGAACAAGGAACTCATGCGGAGCTGCTGGCTCAGGGAGGCCTTTACGCCGATCTCTGGGCTGCGCAAGAGGTCTCGATCGGACAAGACATGACGCTCGAGCGGGCTTTGGAGGAAGAAAAGGAAAGTGAAGAGAAGAATCCGAAGGATAAATGATTGGCAAGCTTGAGTCTAGGCTGTCTGTCACGATCTCTCGGGGCTCTTCTCCGGACCTGGCACTGGCATCGAAATCGTCCCATCGACGGCGACGTTCCCGCCCCACTGGAGAGACCGGCACCGGTGCTGCCCTGTGAGGTGAGGACCATGGAGGCTAGGCAGGCGGGCCCCAGCCGACGACAAGAGAGTAATGTCAAAAGCCCGTTCGAGAACCCGGTCCATTTGTTCGAACTTTCTAGCGCGAATTTGGCCACGTGGGATTTACTTGAGACATCGAGACCGATGAAGCTGTGTTCTGTATAGGGATGAGCAGAAAGGATGCAGGTTGAATTTTCTGCCCTGGGTCAGGGGTATATACAATTCCGGTTCGCGAGATGATCAAGTCTCGACTGGACTGGCATGTTGAGTGCGAGTTGGCGGGACAAGGTTCAAGTTGGTCAGGGGTCAGAAGTCAGGGGCATCAGACTGGGTTCCGCACGTGGCGCAAGCCGGTAACTACTAGCCTCCAAGCTGAAAGCCCACTGCACCACTGTCCAGCAAACTGACGGTTGACCGGATAAGATCTCGGCGCGATATCAAGCTATCTGTAAGAAATAGTTGTCACCGTTGCCAGAGTCAGGACTTGGATGGTTGTAGAGGAGTTGCATAAAAGTCAAGCTACAGTATTTTTTCACGATCATCTCGACCGGAAGAGCGACGCTACTCTTGCCAGCGAACACCTTTGAACAGTCCCTCACAAACCGTGTGTCCGTCAGATGCCCGTGTACTAGCAACTAGTTGTACGCTAGAAGCATGCCAACGCAGGTTCCCCAGCTACTACTGTACCAGAAACCTGCAGCCTCTAGCGTCCGAACCGTTCAAGTTCCAGGCACAAAAGGTTGAATTGAATTCTAGTCGTAGGCGAGGTAACAGTAGTACCTGCTTAGGCGGGCCCCGTACTCGTTGTCCTCGGAAGCTTGAGCAGGCACTACCGGCTGTTCAAGCCCCGATGGTATTATTAGTCTCTAGGCTGTTCTCGTCTAATAATGCGCCTAAATGCCACGCTCACTACGCCTAAGCACCGCTAAGACCGCAACTAAGCTGCCCGCCATGGCCGCAGAGATTGCGAACAGACCAACGACCAACTTGGTGCCTGCGACGGACGGACTCCTTTTTATCCCTCTGCTGCAGTTCCATGGCGGGCTGGGCTCCATCTGCAAATGCTTGCCAGTAGTGCCAGCTCAACTTCGCTTTGACAGTTCAACCCCTCGTTCCCGTTCCATCCCTTGCATGCGACGGATGGACACCCATCCTTTTTTTGTGGGCACCCCATTATCGTGATCTAGGATTGGGACAGACATAATAGTCCGTCGGTGACACCACACCTCCATTTCCCTTCTGCTTCGCGCCCTGCTTGCTTGCTACCTACCGTCCTGTACCCAAGGTCGTCGACAAGTGTGTACGGGTCCTCAATTCCAGTCCTCATACCGTTCGGTCCAGCATACTTTGATTTCGCTGGCACACATCTGCAGTAACCGATTCAACGTTTCAGATCCGGAAACCCGTACGATCCGCATCCAAATTGCGAGCGCAGAAAGACGAGAGGCTGAGCACAGCGGCGCAACTTGCACTCAAAAGTCACTCTTCCTCCGTCTCAACCGATCACGGGAATTAAGTGCACTACGACAACCATACCGTGCCACTACGTCGCCTGCCTTCCCAGCACCAGGAACATCCGCGTCGCTGGAACGAAACGTACTACGCAAGTCAAGACCAGAGCCGCAATACTGGTGACCAACGTCAGAACACAACGTCATACAGAAGAATAAGAAGAATAAGTGCACTGCACGGCGTACTACTGCTAGCACCAAAACCACCGTCCCTGGTGCACCGACAAGGTCCCTGAACAACTCCCACCGCGGTTTCGAACAGCTCACCCAGACGGTACCACAAGCCATCGAACTACCCTACACCACGCTCTCGCGCAATTATACCGGAAACCAAGAACCAAAATGGGTCTAATCGACAAACTCCAAGCAAGTAAGTCAAGTTCAGTTCGGACGATATGCTCCCTCAGGCTCTCAGAGCAGCACTCACCACCAACCCTGTATTCTTCATCCGATCCACTCAGACAGACAGGTATCACAGCCAGCACTAACCAGAAACCTTATTAGAACTCGAACTCTACCGCCTCGAGCAAAAGTACGCCCGCCGCAAGAACCGCACTCAATTCAGCACGGGCGCCCAATACGTCGACGGCGAATACATTTATAATGACCAGTACAGTTCTGCCGTGTCGTCCAATTCGACGGGCGGATCGCAGCGATCCGGTAAGAAGAGACGAGAGGTTGTGTGGAATCCGGACGAACTCGTGCATGGTTAAAGGACATGAGACGATGAGAAAGAAATAAAAAATTACGACCACCACCTACGGTACGGATTCACCATTCATGGTTATGTTAAGATATATCACCAAAGTACGCCGCGGTACACTTACTCGACCTGGTCTGATCCGACCTGATCTGGTGCGCGTGTCTCCCAATTGATTATCGCTGAATGCAGTGGTTCTGGTTCCGGTTCTGGACCTTGTCTTGTCAAGTTTCTTCTTTTCCCGACCCTCCCCAGTTTTGTGCTGTGCAGTCCGGCCATGGTTGTGGTTCTATGACTCGCGGGCTGAATTGGGTCTGGTCTGTCGACCAAGCCGGTCCGATCAGCATGCGATGTGCTATGCTATGCTATGCTATGCTGTGCTGGACTGGGGTCAGGGTTTATATGATATGGATAGCAGGTAGCATTGGCGTCGTGTATTTCTTTAGGTTATTGGTTTTGGCCAGCTTCTCCGGTCTGGCCTTTTGGTTCGGTTCGGTCAGTTTATGTCGTTTGTAGGAAGTATTGTGGTTCAAGTTTAGCTAGTATGGGTAGTATAGTTCTTGAGAGCAAGCATGAAAAAGATATCAAAGTTACAAGTTTATGTCTGTTTCATTTTCTTTCCGGCTTGTTCCCTTTTCATTTCTTTTCCTGGAGATATCGACCATCATTCCATACCAAGAGAAGAAAGACCTACATACACTACGACGCTGAAGTAAGTAGGAAGGGAGGTAAGGTACCTACCTGTACCTAAGCCTGGTATTTTCGAGCGAACAGAACCAGGATAACTTCACCTACTACCGATCAATTCTTTTCACAGGCAATCAATACCACTGGGTCGATCGATGGCCATATAAGGTACCCTGTACTCGTGTACTCGTCGTATACCTGTATACCCGTAGTAGTAGTATACAATCTGCTCACGACTCTTCCTTATGACCAACCATGCAGCAGCCAACCAAACCATACAATCGACCAATAAACCCAAAACCCCCAAACCCAAAAAGCCAAAGCCGTACCATGCCAATGTTGAAGATGTTGAAGGTACAACGAACGACTCGACAGTGTCTCTCTCTCAGTGTGTGTGTGTCTCTTTTTCGTCCTTCTCTAACAAGACCCTTTCTCTTACCATAAGAATTCGATTCATATCACGACGCTTCTCAATCGTTTGATGGTTGTTTCCGTCCTAAGAGAACAGAACTCGACTATCTGACAGTCACAGTCACAATCAGTCAGACCTTTTCATCACTTCACTTCTTTCCCCTGTCTCCATTCCGGTCCCGGTCTCTATCACGGTCCTTATCCCGATGACTCCCGGCCCTGGCAATGCCACTAGCAAACTTGCCAAAGCCACCTGCGAGGCTGTGTCCACGCTTATGCGGATGTGACGACGACGACGACTGAATTCCACCACTGCCGCTGCCACTGCCACCTGCCGTCGTGGTCGAAGCGGCAGTCAATCCAGACCTCGAACCTTGACCCGTAGTGGTACCAGGAACAGTGAGTCCACCTGGATTAGCAGCAGAGGAAGAACCAGCCAAAAGGCTCAATGGGCGATTACTCAGTCCCGTTCTGGCCACGACATGACCTTTGCTGTCCACGACAATGTCGTCGCGGAGACTGTTGCGACTGGACCGGCCATCAACACCAGTGTTGTCATCAAGGAGACTTCGAGGACCCCCGTTGACAGCACCGCCACCGCCACCATAGCCGCCGTCGGAATCTAAATTGCTTCTCAAGAGTCGTTCATTGCGGCGCCGGGCTTTCTCCTGCGTCTGCTTGAACTTGTCGAGTAATTCGGGCCACTTGATTTCGTTGGACGCACTGGCCGTGTCGCGGTTGCGGCCGAGGCGGCCGGTTACTGACGATGAGGAACCAGATGGTAATGTTGACGATGAGATTCCCGACACCACACTGATAGAAGAAATGAGTCAGTAGGTGTGCTGACATGCTGGAACATGACACAGCACAAGCAGACTAAAAATGCGAAAATAAGGGGAATAAAAAGGCAAGACTTACCCCGAGCGAGCCGATGGTGTCGGCATCGACGCTGGAGTGTGGAGCAATCCTATTGCCGAGACGCTGTTCAGTCGGTTCTTTAGGGCGCCAAAGGCTGATGACTGCGGCAAAAGCATCAATAGCCCGTACAGGCATTTGTACAGGTACGGGTAGCGATCTGGTTCAAGCAATTGGAGTCGAAGATCTAGTTTGCGGTCAGCAACTTCTACTCTGGCCTCTGGACTCAAAGAACACAAGTAGACCAAGCGTTGTATACTCACATGTAAAAACAGGACTCTCAAGCAACTGTACTAACTTGTCGATTTGGATCAGCATGTTCACCGTCATTTCCAGATCCGCAAAAATCTGCAGTAGGTTGTAAGCCTGCTCGTAGGCCTGTGCTAGAAGGCACAAAGAAAATGTGGCCACGGCATTATGGCACCAAGCGCGGAAGAGGGCCACAAAGAATAGCTGACCGTCCTTGCTGTCGGGACTGCGCAGTCGTTTTCTTAACTCCGCCAGTTCCGGAGCTGTGATGAGGTTGTTGTTCAGATTCTGCACCATTATGCTAGCGAATTCAATATCCTCGTCTTTTTCAATGCAATCGGCCAGTGTTCGGTATATCCGTTCCGGTTGTAGGTTGAGACATAGTTGACGAATAATCAGGTTGCCTCGGATTTCGAGGAGTTTTCGGTCGGTGGAAAACAGTTGCAACAAGGCCACCATGAAGGAGGTAAAATAACCGTCTTCGCTGTTTTTCGAGATCTGGGAAAGAAGCTGCAAGTCTCGCGTCACAACTGCCTCGGCCGGGTCCGACAGAGTCTTAAGCAAAGCCGGGAATGTGCCGTCGTTGAACGCAAGAACTTTCTTAGGTGCTTTCCGATGGAGCATGATCAACCAGCTCAGTGCCGCCACTCTGGTTTCCTCGTGTTCATTGAGAAACTGCAGAGTCAAAGCATTGACGGCAGCAGCATAGTCCAGATCCGCCACGGCCTTTTCGGGCGTTTCCGCGGACGATTTGGCCGCGACTTCAGCCGGTGATGACGACTCCTGTTCAGCCGCGTCGTCAGGGGAAGCCTCATCTTGACCAGACGGTTGAGTTGGAGCGCTTTTGGTGGATGCTTCTGATTGTTTCTTGTCCGCGCCCTCTGATGACGGATGACCATTGGGATCTTGTCCGCCGTCATCTTCCGTGGATACCTCATCTTGGAATGTAACAATATAGTCCATCAGTGACCGGTTGACTTTGCTGGCAGTGGTGCGGACCTGTTCGGACTGGGAGGAGAGTGCTGGCAGCACACAGGACAAAAGCCGAGGGACAAACTGCAGAATGTCTTCCGGGCTGATCTCGAAGAAACTGTCGATCCAGCGGAGTGCAACTATGCCAATCTCCTCCTCCTTTTGTTTCGACAACCCTTCCAATCGCAAGTTTGTCGCCGACTCTCTGCTGGATGAGACATCGACAAATTTCAGCAGGATATCCAGGATCTTTGCGTAGTCGATTTGGACGTCTTGACCAGGTATCCAATCACCGCCATTCTCTTCCACCTCTGCTGACTCGTCCTGGGCAGTACTGGACCCCGAGTCTTCAATGGCATTGTCAAGCGAGTTACTGCCACGAGCGGTCCCGCTATCGGCCTGGCTGGACGCGGGTCTGGCGTGGCTCGCTCGACTTCTCCTGCTTTCCGCGATTCCTCTCTTGATCTTTGCAATTTTTTTGATCTCGTTCAAAAAGCGTTCTAGAAGCCCTTGCGTTGCCACATAGACATCGCGGTTTGGATCTCCAAGAAACTTGAATAGGCCTTCCAAGAACGAGGGTAGATAATGCACAAGTTCCAAATCGGGAATGGTGTCTAGTAGAGTAAGCCATGAAACCAGGAAGGTTCGGGTGAACGGGTTGATGACATGAATGCGTTCCTCCAGTAGAGGGATGAACTTTTCTAGGGAGAATGTAGTGGGGTAGTCGACACTCGATCTCTCAGAACCAGCATGTTCGCCATTCTCGTCTGTGAAATTCAACACTGAGACGTAGGAAGACGCTGATTCGGCAACGATGTCTTTAATTAATCGATCCAGAAGTTCGGCGCCATTTTTGACAGACAGCTCCGAGTCAGCGGCGAGCTGCGGAACCTAGTCAGTATCAAGCAGCAGCACACAAGGTTTCAATGCCATACCTTGCATAAAGCGTCAAATATGTCGTTGAAGAAGACCAGTATTTCGCCTTTTGCCACTTTGGCAATGTTGTACATGGCCTCGCAGGCATAGTATCGAACACGAGCGTCCTGGTCCGTGAAGCACGCCAACACCGGAGGCACTATATCCTGGAGATACCGGGCGACCTCATCCTGGAGAGACCTTGTCAGATATCGGACTTCTACAATAGACGAGGATGAGGGAGGCTTACCGGACCGAGAGCGATGGCAGCAGCGGCCAATCCAATTAGCCCTCCATTTCGTGCATGAGGCAGATGAACCGCATATGCATAGTCATGACATAGCTGGTCAATGGTCTTTCGAATCCTATCGTGATCTTTGGCGGCCAGGCTCTCCCTGATGAACCGCTCAAGCCTAATCTCCGTCAGTTATGGTCGCCCAATGGGAAACAATGTCGAGCATACTCGAGGGCACCCTGCTTTCGTTTGTCATAGAGTTTATCTGTGAGCAATCGCTGAACTGAGGGGTCCATTATGGCGTCGTTTTGATTGATATGTATGAACGAGCAACACCATTATCGGCAGAAGGCGTAGGGAGGGTGGTCAGTCTTGCTGGGGTCTTTCTGTTGCATGCATACTCGGATGGCCCACAACCTCACGAGACCGTCGGACCGCCAGCTCCCTGAAGAGAAGATTGTGAATGGGCAGTGATCTCTCGATTGTCTGTCCGGCGAGAGCAGCAGGCGTGTAGAGACAACACACTGCAGTCCGGTTGGGATGAGGTTCAAGTGGACGTGGTCGGTCGTCCGTATAACGTCAGCGTCAACATCGAGAACCTCCTCTTGCCGCTTTAGTGCTTGACCGCCGTTGATTGTCTTGCAAGCCCCGATGCCCAATTTTGGGGTTACACGAGTATCGAGCCAGCTACAAGTGCCCAGGGACTGTGCTAGGACTTGACCACCCTTTCTGTACAGCGCTCTGCATATTTAACGCTTCATAAAGTCATTATCATTTGGGCCTTCGGCAAGCCAACACTCGGGGCTTTCCGTGCTTGGATATATCAGGATCTACCGTCTAGCTAAGATTAGGAATTCGTCCACAAATATCCGCTCGGATCTGCTAAACACTGCCAGCCTTATATCTTTGCCAGTGATGGTACACAAACCAGGCTGGACGCCCCTGCTGGCGCTCCAGCAGGCAGTGCCCAGCACGTTTTGCCCACTTTGACACCTTTTTACAGCCTTTCCAGTTTCTAGTGACTGATATACTGGAAAACCGCACTGACAGCATCTTCCGACGCTTCTTGCCGTAGTAACAAGTCCTGGATCTTTCCAAGCGGTCCTTTCTCCCCGTTGTTGACAAAATGGTTCCAAGAACTCGTGTCACCGTATAGCATTGCCGGCGCTTTGATCTGTTGCACACCGTCCGGTCGACAGCGTTTGCATTTGAATGTATCGTGGGTATCGCTCTTCGTCTCCGGCTTGAACTGGAACAGCTCTCGGAGTGAGTCCAGAGTGAAATGCCTCTCCACGTCCTCCGCCGAGTCAACCACCGTTGAGGAAAGCGCCTGTTTGTGGGACTGTCGTTGAAATATCTTCTCCTCAATAGTCCCAGTGCCCATAAATCGGTACACAAAACAGTCTTTCTTCTGTCCATCACGCCACACACGAGCTAGGGCTTGCTGGTCTGCCGCTGGATTCCAATCTGGATCAAATAGAACAAGACGATTGGCTCCAATCAAGTTGATACCACAACCTCCTGCTTTACTGCTCAGCAAAAACACAAATTCCTCGCCGTTGGGGTCATTGAATCTGTCGACCAATTTCTGTCGTTTGTTGACATTCATGGTACCATCTAGTCGGAGACATCCGTAATTGCGGCTTCGACACAACTTCTCGAAAACATCCAATGTCTGGGTATAGTTGCTGATCAGAACAATCTTATCATTAGTGTCCTGTCGTATCCTTGCGAGCATGCGTTCAAGCACAGCAAACTTCCCAGAGTACCATGACCTCACATCTCGGTCGCGGCCTCTGGCTTCTTTCGGGACGTAATCGTCAGGCCAGAATTTCTCGCTCCCCGGCAGATCCTTTTCGAGGTCGAGCAGATCAGGATGGTTGCACAGTTTCTTCAGAATACCGATGGCTTTCAATGGTTGACTGCCTTTACCTCTAAGGAGACTTTTGATGTCAGGGCTTTGAATGAAATGGTTATATAGGTCCTTCTGGAACGGAGCCAGATTGCAGAACACGACATGCTCATACTTGACCGGTAGATACTTGGACAAGATGTCGTTGGTCCTCCGAATGAGGAATTTATTGACCAGTGACCCGAGTCCAGCATTGGCTTCCACTCCCTTCTGCTTATCGGTGTCAGTGCCGGCAGCGTCGCGACCGCGTAGAATGGGTAGCTCGAACTTCTTGCGGAAGTCGGCCTTCGTGCCAAGGTAGCCAGGATTGGCAAAGTCGAGTAAGGAGTAATATTCGGTCAGGTCATTTTGTATTGGTGTGCCGGAAAGGATGACCCTTCGGTCAACATTCAACCCCGTCAAGGCCATATATGTCTCACTTTCAGCATTCTTCAAACGATGGCCTTCATCGCATAGCATTAGGCCAATCTTGACGTCTCTGAGTTCCTCAATATTCAACCTTAAAGATTCGTATGAGACGATGAGAACTGGTCGGGCTATTGACCTTCCGCTAGCCATTGCCCACTGCTTGAGCTGCATGGTGAGCTCTTCTTTGGTCGCTTTCCCGTCGATGGCGAAAGGATGAATGGCACCTTCACCAAGCCATTTGACGAGCTCGTTTGCCCAGTTCTTGACCAGGCTTGCCGGGCATGCAATGATGCATTTGTGGATTGTCGGTTTCCCAGCTTCAGGAGATTGTTTCAGCAATGTCCACATGAGCGTGATGCATTGTAGAGTCTTTCCCAGGCCCATCTCGTCTGCCATGATACAGCCCTTAGCCTTCTCATCCACCAGGCCAGTGGTACATCTGTATAAGAATCTCACTCCTTCGACCTGATGGGGTCGTAGCACTTTCGCCAATCGTGGATCGATCACAACCGGCACTTTTGGCCTCTCGCCTTCGACTTCTTTCTTGATGCCTAATATTTCGGCAAGACTCTTGTGCATCAACGGTGTATCGAGTTTTGGTTTTTCAACTGCTGCCTGCTCTAAGACAGGTTTGCCCTGTGGCTTGTCGTCGATGGTAGGGTCATATAGAACAATGGCAAACTCGCCGCTCGGATCATGTAAAGGCTTGTTGACGAATGTTGCTCCTCGCCGCATGCCCAGAGTGGGCGCCGGTCGTGACGGATCGAATGCATTCTTGTTGATTAGCGGTATGGAGAATCTCGCTCGAAAGGTTGTCTCTGTGTCCTTGACTTTAAACTTGGGGAAGCGGTCTTTGAGCGCTATGCTTTCTCCATCAATGCTATACCCGCCACTCTCGTCGTCCTGCCCTCCATCTGCCTCAGCGTAGTTCACCTTCCTTCGCTTTCTGGCCGGCTCGCCCTTGGCCTTCCGTAAATTGGCGGATCCCGGACACTTGAACGGTTTGATAAGACGGTCAAATGCTGCTGGAGAGTTCACAGTTAACCGTCCGGCTTTAGGAGGAGGTAAGTTTTCCTTGTTCTGCTCAAGCGCGAGACTCTTGGTACGTATCCTGTACGGGAAGTCAGTACTGAGCGCAACGCAGTATTAGAAGTAGATCCATACATGGTGGGCGATGGCGGGAAGAAAGTGGCTATCCAAGCCTGTCGTCGGCGAGAGTCCTTGGGAGTAAGTCAATGGGAAGTGGTCATGCTCGTGGCAAGAACGGACGCGTCGATGCATTTCACGCGCTCCCAAAGGAAACGCGCAGTCACGTGCCGCTTTGCGCTGGCCGACCACTACAGTGGTAGTACACAGCGCTGCCACTGCAGTGGACGGTTGTACATTTACCGAACCCGGGCCGTTAAGTCGATCATCCAAGTGCAGCAAAGCTGCTCAATATACTTGTCGAGATATTTTGTCCGTTCTGCATTTTAAAGAGTACAACAAGTTCGACATCCAACACTCACCTTGTTATCGTGACAAGGGCAGTACTTCAAGGACGGTTGGTCAATTTCCTTCGGTCAATGCTCGGTTATCATCCTGCAAGATGATATAAACAGGCCTATTTTGCATTTTCTCTATATTGCTTTTGTGGGAGGACAGCTCCCTCGGCTTCTTTACGATGGCTGCAGATTTCTGGGCGAGCTACATTTCTGGCGCGATAGGCATTTTGATTGGAAATCAGCTTGATGTTGTGAAGGTCAGAGCCCAGGCAGGCTCTGGGGCTGGCGTTTCGGCAGCCAGCATTGCTCTAGAGCCCATCACGAACATTGAGAAGTTCACAGCCTTGTTCAGAGGCGCAGCTGCTCCAATCCTCGGATATGGTGCTTTGAACTCCATCCTCTTCATGTCTTTCAACAGGTCGTTGAAGCTTATGGATCCTAGCATTTTCGACTACACAAAATTGGCCGGCGTGGATCTCGGCAAGATATGGGTGGCGGGGGCAATTGGAGGGGTGGCTACGTTTGTTGTATCTGCTCCATCCGAACTTATCAAATGCAGAACTCAGCTTGTTGTCGATGGTCATCGTTCTTCATACGCGGTGTTCAAGGACATCTGGAAACAAGGTGGCATTCGAGGACTCTACTACGGCGGCGCGATTACATGTATTCGCGATGCTTTTGGATATGGATGGTATTTCTGGTCTTATGAACTGAGCAAGAGGCTGCTTCTGTCAAGGCAGCCAGATCCTTTTGCTTCGCCGTCCGCTGCAGAGGTTCTGATCAGCGGAGGGATTGCAGGCATTGTCACTTGGGTATCCGTCTACCCATTGGACGTGGTCAAAACCCGCCTACAGACCCAACCATCGCTGCGCCTTGAAAGCCAGAGGCTCCTTCCAGGCGCCACTCCGCCGTCGCGTTATGACCAGACGTCGCTGGGCGTGGCGCGGGAGATATGGCATACCTCCGGCCTCCATGGCTTTTACCGCGGTCTAGGCGTCTGTAGTCTTCGTGCCTTCATAGTGAACGCTGTCCAAGTAGGTCGAAAACCCTTTGCTCACAAAACGCAATGGCTGACAGGTATCAGTGGTACGTCTATGAAAGGATCATGGTGTTCTTCGCCAGTCCTCAATGACGAGCTCGAGGCCGCAGACCGCGAAGACACTCAGGAGCCTCCAATTCAAATAAGGTTGGATCAGAGCGCCGCTTTGTAGTGTTCATGGGCGGAGCTGCTGGAATGCTTGGTTTTCTTCTGTGGTCGAATTGACGGAACATGGCGGCTGTGGTGGCAGCAATTGCGCCCCAGATGAATGGGAAATCAGGGAAAGCCGACATCTAGTTCAGTCATCCTCCATGGCTTCGTTGCTTCGGTCCGGACGACCATTATCTGTTCCCAAGCCCACGGCTGCATCAGCGAGTTTTTGAGAGTGCGCCTCTTCCTTGAGCATCCGGATGCTAGTGCACATGTCAGTAACGTCCCGACCCTGCGAGAAACAAGTGTATTCACCGTCTCTTGTGTATCTTGCCCCTTCGATGCTCGTTCAAGTTATGGCTGTCGGAGAAGTATTTTGCGCATTCGATGCAATAGAAGGCGCCCAGTCCAGGCAAATCCTCAGCGGCTTTCGTCCTTTGGTGTTGAGACAAATGCTTTGGGGACTTTAGGTCAGCCTTGACTTGGTCTAGGTCACTGCGATGAATAGTTAGCATGTGCCCTGGACATTTTGAACCAACTCCACCAACCGAGTCCGCCTTTTCGTCTTGATGCGTCTGATACTGCCCATAGTGCCTCTGAAAGTCGTCTTCGGGTATGATCTGTATGATCCCGATCTGGATCTTATCTGACGAAAAATTTCAGGGAAGAAGCGGGCTGACGGCTGCAAGGCTTCAGGCGCAGGGGTTGTGGGACAGTTTGATCTGTGCTATGGTGGTAGTGCTGGAACTACGACAACTGCGGTTACTACAGAATCTCTGCTGCTGGATGTGGGCCGAGTTTCCGCGGGTTCGAGTTTGAAAGTTCCTCGATCCCCGTTTGCCGCGGCTGCAACCGGCTTTCTCGCACTGGCACTCCGGATGCCCAGGCCCAATCAATGCTGAGAGTGCATGGGCGAATCACAATTGACCATTAGTCCTAGGCTGGCAGTCAATGGCATGTCTGACGCCCGCTTCGCAACAGGAACTGCGTCTGGCCTGGAGCGCCACATGCGACAGGTCTTGTCAGACAGAAGGTATTTCGTAGCTACCAAATTGCGCCGCGTTTGACTCTGGCCAGCAGGAATGCAAAGCACGTGAGAGGGCGCCACCGGCCAGCTGGCGGTGAGGTTCGGCCGGTGGCTACAAGAAAAGGATCATCGTGCAGTAGGTTCCAAGGTTGTCAGTGAAACAGCTTCATTGAGTTGTCCTCCACCAGCGCACATGCAGTGCACATAATGGCCACGGCCTTACGGAATATCGAATATCGTAGGATGTTCCATCACGGGGAACAACAAGCCTCTGAATGGCCAGAGTAATTGTGTTTGCGCTGATTGGCTGGATGGGGAGGTCTGCAGGTCAGAAAGAAAAAATGAGGCATTTGCTCGGCGCAAGGGCCTGGGAGTGGGAACCCGGGCTCGCATTGCCTAGGTACCACTGGGCAGAGACACCAGCAGCCACAGCTAAGGCATGCTTGGGGCCGACAACAGCTCGGGGGCTTGTGGGTATTGTCGTCTTCGGGTGGGTAGTATAAATCCTCTGCGACTCCCGGATCCGAGCTCGAACAGAGTTCGAAAGTAGTGTTGTGTGTTGTTGCAGCAGCTGCTATATCATACTGTAATCTGGTGCGCGGCGAGAAGGGATCGCTGTGTGGGAGGTTGTCAGTTCACAGCGTGCAGCGGTTTACTTATTCGCGGCCATTCACAGGTTGACGTCTTCCAAGGCTTATCGTGCTCCTCACACACCTCTCTAGAACAAGCGAGCTTCCCTTCCTCCATCTTTCACGACAACTTCCTCCGTCATTTCTGCCTCACACTCTCCACTCTTCAGCTGGCATTTTGCAATACTCGTCGAGCTTGTTCTTTTTGCTGCAGTGTCTGCTAGAGCTCAAGCATCGTCGCAACCATGATGTCTGCACGGCCTCTGGGCCGCCTGGCCTCGCGCTTGGTAAGTACCTTAGATCCACGAGCTGCGTCTGCTTGTCAGTCCTGCACGAACAAAAGAATCGCGACTAATGCATCTTCCCGCTACAGGGCACGCAAGTAGGAACTGTTAGTCCCTCTCCTCGCTCCCAATGCGACTGCAGTCTGTGTACTAACGAGCAAAACAGCCCCTGCGGCTGTCCAGAGCGGGATATGCGACCGTTTCTGATGACCCTTTGAGCAAAAATAAGTGATATCCTACCTTTGGCTTGGGCATATAATTCTGACTTCCGAATACAGGTCGAGATGACCAACTGGGAAAAGGGACACTACATCAACTACAAGTACGTACACCTGCCATTTCGGTGTTTACTACGACAGCACACGCGGGCGAACAAACTCTCCGGACACTTGAGTAACTTGCTTATGTGTGCGCATTGTCCGGAGAGTTTCTTCGCCCACTGTGGCCGGAGTTGTCTTATTACTGGACCACGAACACTGACCATCTCTCCAGGAAAATGTCCGAAAACCTAGCAATTGTCAGACAACGACTCAAGAGACCCCTAACCTACGGAGAGAAGATCCTATACTCACACTTGGATGACCCGCACGGCCAAGATATCGAACGAGGCGTTTCATATCTCAAGCTGAGACCCGACAGAGTGGCTTGTCAAGATGCCACTGCCCAGATGGCCATCCTTCAGTTCATGTCGGCCGGCATGCCTTCAGTGGCCACGCCGACCACGGTCCATTGTGACCATCTGATCGAGGCCCAGGTTGGTGGTGAAAAGGATTTGGAGCGGGCCAAAGACATCAACAAGGAGGTCTACGACTTCTTGTCCAGCGCTTGTGCCAAGTACAACATTGGTTTCTGGAGACCCGGTTCTGGTATCATCCATCAGATCATCCTGGAGAACTATGCCTTCCCTGGTGGTTTGATGATTGGTACTGATTCCCATACTCCAAATGCTGGTGGTCTTGGCATGGCTGCTATTGGTGTTGGTGGTGCCGATGCTGTCGACGTTATGGCCAACCTCCCCTGGGAACTCAAGGCGCCCAAGTATATCGGTGTCAAGTTGACGGGCTCCATGTCAGGATGGACCGCCCCCAAAGGTGAGATATACGGAAGACTCCGCCCCCATCGTCCTCAGATGCTAATGAAGTTCAAACAGACATTATCCTCAAGGTCGCAGGGTTGCTTACAGTTAAAGGTGGCACTGGCTGTATCGTTGAATACCATGGCCCTGGTGTCAACTCCCTCAGTGCGACTGGCATGGGGACGATTTGTAACATGGGAGGTCAGTTTTGCGTCCGAGGAGTGCGTGGGAGTCATCTACTAACATGTCCATAGCTGAAATTGGAGCGACCACTTCGATTTTCCCCTTCAACGACAGCATGTATGATTATCTGGCGTCCACCAAGCGCAAGCATATCGGAGACTTCTCCCGAGCATACGCCCACGAACTCCACGAGGATGAGGGTGCTGAGTATGACCAGTTCATTGAGATCAACCTGAGCGAACTGGAGCCCCACATTAACGGACCCTTCACCCCCGATCTGGCCACGCCCATCTCGAAGTTCAAAGACGCAGTCAAAGAGAACAAATGGCCCGAGGAATTGAAGGTCGGCCTGATCGGTTCTTGCACCAACTCCTCTTATGAAGATATGTCTCGCGCTGCCTCTATTGCTCAGGATGCTATGGACCATGGACTCAAGGCCAAGTCAATCTTCACCGTTACTCCTGGTTCCGAACAAATCCGCGCAACTATCGAACGTGATGGTCAACTCAAGACCCTCGAGGAGTTTGGTGGCATCATCTTGGCCAATGCTTGCGGTCCCTGCATTGGTCAATGGGATCGAAAAGATGTCAAGAAGGGTGAGCCCAACTCGATCCTTTCTTCGTACAACCGAAACTTCACCGGTCGTAACGACGCAAACCCTGCTACACACTCGTTCGTCACCTCGCCTGATCTGGTTGTGGCTTTGACCATTGCTGGAGACCTCAAATTCAACCCGCTCACCGATACCTTGAAGGATAAGGATGGCAACGAGTTTAAGCTCAAGCCACCTTCTGGAGATGGTTTGCCCAGAAATGGATACGATCCAGGTCGTGACACCTACCAAGCACCACCTGAGGAGCGATCGCAGGTCGAGGTCAAGGTTTCACCCACCTCGGACCGTCTGCAAGTGCTCAAGCCCTTCGAACCCTGGGATGGCAAAGATGCGGAGAACCTCCCTATTCTTATCAAGGCTAAGGGCAAGACCACCACTGATCACATCTCCATGGCTGGACCCTGGCTCAAGTACCGTGGTCATCTGGACAACATCTCCAACAACATGTTGATCGGTGCCATCAACGCCGCCAACAACGAGGCCAACAAGGTTAAGAATCAAGTTACCGGCAAATGGGACTCGGTTCCCAATACTGCCCGTGAATACAAGAAGAACGGCATCAAATGGGTTGTTATTGGTGACTGGAACTACGGTGAGGGTTCTTCCCGAGAACACGCTGCCCTGGAGCCCAGACATCTTGGTGGGCTCGCCATCATTACCCGAAGCTTTGCCCGTATCCACGAAACCAACTTGAAGAAGCAAGGCATGTTGCCCTTGACCTTTGTCAACCCCGAGGACTATGACAAGATCAACCCCGATGACCGCGTGGACATCAAGTGCACGGAGTTGGAGGTTGGCAAGCCTGTGACCATGGTTGTGCATCCCAAGGATGGCAAGCCATGGGAGTGTAAGCTGGCGCACACCTTCAACGAGGGTCAACTAGAATGGTTCAGAAACGGCAGTGCCTTGAACACCATGGCCAAGAAGCACGGCGCACAGTAAAGGGTGTGTTATGTGGAAGACTCTAAGCAATTCATGTACAGAGTATGATTTGACAAGAATGAAATCAGACTATGATGCCCGCAGGCGCTGCAACCTTCGAAGCGTGGTTTGGGGAGGACGTGGATGGAGATCAGATTGATACTAAGCTCGTCGAGGTGTCAGCAGCGGTGGAGGCTGAACAGCTGAACACACATGATGTTTATATAGTTGGTACTGTTTAGTGAGAATAGCACAAGGCTTTGATCGTTTGACATATTCTTCTGTCGTTGTGCCCGCAAGTGTTGTTGTAGGCATGGAGAGGGCAATACCAGTAGGTGTTTGCGTAGAGGGGAGGGATGGAATTCAAGAGTCTCCTCAGCCTGTTGAACCTCGGTTCGCGGGGCAAATGGACAATAATAAAGTATTCCCCGAAGATTGACGACCTCCGGACATTGTTGGCTGTCCCGCCTGATTATGAATTCGAGGTTTCCGATTGCGACACCACACATAACATTTAATTAGTCTAAGAAGCCACCGACTGGTCTCTTCATCTTCGTTCTGATACCAATTCCAGCCGAGAAAGGATAGGAGGAACGGCAAAAGAACCAAGAATACAGCCACGGGTGCGGGAGTAGTACAATCACTCCGCAACAACTTGACTACACTAGCAAACAATATTGCACTGTGCCCTCTCTGAGGAACCCGGCCATCCCGCACAGTGAGCGAGCACCTAGTTCGCCATTTTCCTTTCTGATTTATCTTCCTCGCCCGGGGAACGCCAACGTTCCGTTCAATCTGCGGAATCCGGTCTGGTGGGACACTTGAGATAGGTGACAAGAAAGGATTGCGACGTGTGGTGTGGCGTTGTGTTGCATGCATACACTGCTGACGAATCCTCGTCATTGGAGTATCCTCACATCGATACTGAAGAAGATCGAGATCAGGTATTACGGGCGGGACTCGGCCTTCGACAGAGGACCCGAAACCAGAAGCCAGCCTCGGCCGCCAACGCTTACGCAGACGAAGTTACAGTATCACACTACAGAGCCGGTTCGAGAACAGCAGGAGGTCGATCGCACCCAGAGAGAGAAACAAAGACACCGACACCGGCCACGGTTTGCGAACATGGCACAGAATCTACCGCCGCTCCCACCGTGGGAGCAGGTGAGCACCAATGTCATTAGGATCTTGGGAGGGAATCCTAGCAAGGTACGTTCGGAAAGCACAGAATTGCAAGGGACGGCTGCTGTTTCTACCATGCCACCCGTTCCATTTTGATTTTGAGGGTTTGGGCTTGTTTGGGGAGGTTGGTTTGTTGTTTTGCTCCAATATAGTGTTCAGCTGTGTCCCTATTTTTGCCCCTTTTTAGCCTTTTGTATCTTCCCGCTGGAGAACCGAGTTCTCTGTATTGGTGAGATACGGCAGCTTTTTCATAATCGCCACCTTCATTGGCATGAAGCGAGGAATGAAGCAATGAGTGCAATCACTCGCTGCCTCATCAAGCCTGATCATCGTTTGTGGCAAGGCTGAAGTTCTTTCCGTTTCATTATTGCCCATCGTCACGGCGTCCCATATTTCTACTGAACATGTCGTGTCCGCCTCCTGCAAGATTTCCAACCAACTCTCCTTCTAATACTAATCTTTCAATCCTCCAGTTCACCCTTCAAGGCACAAACACATACCTCCTCGGCCGGGGTGAACGCCGCTTACTTATCGACACCGGCCAAGGCGAACCAGCTTGGGTTGACACCCTACGCACCGTGCTACAAGCCCAATCGCCACCGGCAACAGTGTCAACCTGTCTGTTGACGCACTGGCACCACGACCACATTGGCGGGGTCAAAGATTTAGAGAGTTTAGTTGAGAATGTCAGAGTCTACAAGAACCAGCCCACTCTCAATCCAGATGGACTGATTGATCCGGATCGCGTGATTGATATCACGGACGGACAGCGGTTTAAAGTATCGTCGCGGGAAGAGTCTAGTGACGAACAGCCAGATACCGATGTCGACATTGACTTTGAAATTGAAGCAATCCACACCCCCGGCCACGCCAAAGACCACATGTCCTTCCTGGTCACAAAATCATCTGATCCGGAAGAAGTGGGCGCCATTTTCACAGCGGATAACGTTTTGGGCCATGGCACCGCGGTGTTTGAAGATTTGGGCGTCTATCTCGACAGCTTGGCATTGATGAAGAAGCGCGTGTTGGAGCAGAGTTCACGGAGTGGTGATGATGAGACTGGTTCTGCTACTAGTCAGAAAAAAGCCTTCCCAGGTCACGGAGCCGTCATTTCTGATTCAGTGGCCAAAATCGACGAATATATTGCCCACCGACGCATGCGGGAAGAAGAAGCGTTGAACGTGTTAAGGTTCGGCACCACGACGAGACCGGAGTCAAAGAGTTTGCCTCATGATTCAATTACGAGATATGGGGATAGTGATGATGAACAAGACGGAGAAGCTGGAGGTGGAAATGGAAGTGTAACGTTGGGTGCCAAAGAACTCACTCCTGGTAAGGAATGGACGAGTATGGATATGGTTCGGGTCATCTACAGGCATTATCCAGAGAATCTGTACCTGCCAGCGGAATATGGGTTGGTCATGGTGTTGGAGAAGTTGGCGAAGGATGGAAAGGTGGTCAAGACACCGGAGGGGAAGTGGAGGGCTAGTGAGAAGGCTGCGCTGTAGATGTACATTGTAGAAAGCGAGATGGGATATCTGTCCGTTGTTGTCGAGATATCATCAGACTGGAGAGATGGCTGGCTGGTTGGCAAGGGGAGGAGGGTGGAAAGCGTAGTCATCAGTCATCAGCGGCTTCCTTCAACCGAAGTTGCTCATTATTGGCAAAAAGATCAGTATCTACTGATCAGTATCATTATGTCAGGAACCACTGTCAGATAGCAAGGCTCGAAAACTACCTTAAGGTACCTTATCGAGACATAGTACCTAGTACTTTATACAGGTAACGAAGTGGAAAGTAACTTGAATAAAAGTGTACTACTCGTGGTTCAAGTTGAAGAAAGCAGCAAGAGATATTTCCGAGAACAAATTTGGTGGCCGCTTTAGCTGCCTTGGCGTGAAGACGTCGCTGCAGCGGCAACTTGAAGTTGAACGAGATGCGCGTTCGATGGGCCGCCTGTTCAGAGTTACTAGGTACCATACAAACTGTAAACCATTCCTCAAGCCTGCTCCCTGCTATTCTAATCCATTGCCTGCGGTGTTGCATGTTTGCTTAGTCCGAAGGCCCACCTCACTCACGTACTTCTTTTCTGCTCAGAACCAAGCTACAATGTCAAGACAACAGGACCCCGAGGCGATATCCAACTTCCTCGCCGAGCAGCGGGATGAAGCACCCGCCGAATTGCAACACGTCTTTCTCACGTTCGAAGATCTATGGGAGCGGAAACTATGGCATCAGTTGACGGATACACTGTTGGATTACTTCTCGAAACCCGAGAGCACCTCCCAGAGATTACCCATTTACAACACCTTCATTATCAGTTTCGCCGACAAGATCAACCAGCTCAAACTAGTCAAGCTGGGCTTGAGTGCTTCAGAGCAGATCAAAGGTGAGAAACTGCCCATCTTGTGTTTTCATCTTGCTAATCCACGTGCCACTACAGACGACAGGGAACGGAGTCAATTTCTCCAGACCCTTGCGGAAAGAGTAGACAAACCGGACTCGGAAGAAGCATATGTCTACACCATCACCGAACTCGCCAGTGTCTATTTGAGACTGGGCGAGACGTCAAAAGCGCGAGAACAGTTGGACAAAGCCCAAAAGACACTAGACCAATTCGACTTCGTGGAGAATGTCGTCCACGCAGCCTTCTATCGCGTCAATGCCGACTATTTCCAAGCCCAAGGCGATTACACCTCCTACTACCGAAACTCACTGTTGTATCTGGCCTGCATAGAAGAGTCGGAATTGACACCGGAGCAACAACAGAAAAGAGCGTACGACCTGGCGATCGCCGCGCTTGTGTCAGACACCATCTACAATTTCGGGGAGCTCCTACTGCACCCCATTCTCGATGTTCTGAAACCTCCACATCCGAACTCGTGGCTACGGGAATTGCTCTTTGCGTTTAACCGAGGCGATCTGAGTGCCTTTGACCGCATGTCCGACAGCCTCGCCAAGGACCATAACCTGGATTCACATCGACTTTTCTTGTGGCAAAAGATCAACCTTGCCGCATTGACCGAACTGGTGTTTAAGCGACCTCCCCACGACCGTGCTATGACCTTCAAAACAATCAGTCAGGAGACCAATGTGAAACCCGATGAGATTGAACACTTGATCATGAAAGCGTTGAGTCTGGGTTTACTCAGGGGAAAGATTGACCAGGTCGCCGGCGTGGCCAAAATCAACTGGGTCCAGCCCAAGGTTCTGGAGCGCAGTCAGATTGAAGGCATGAGGACCCGACTTAAGGAGTGGGACCACAATGTCAACGAGCTCGGTCACTGGATAGAGGGGGTTGGAAAGGATGTCTGGGCTTCCTAAAATGGTGTCTGTCCTTGTCCTGTTCATGCACTGCAGCGGCTGGACGGCATAGCAATGGCGTTGGGGACGATACAGGGCGGTGCTAGTAGCCCCGAAAGAAGTTTGTATGGCATGTAATGCAAAAATACATTCTAGACCACTTGCAGCCGACTGGCACGTTCGGGGTTTAATAGTTGACGCGACTGTGTGATACTAGTAGTAAACGGAAATGTCTGGAGATGAGGTGGTCATGGAAACTTCAATGCTGCATTCAATAATGCAAGGCTGAGGAGATTGGGGATCAAAGGGTTTCTGTGTATGCGCGCGATCCGCCCGACCACTCCGAGTCCAAGCCTGAGCCTCGTCCAATGGCACTAAAATTTTGGCCCAACTTCCACGCAAAACACCTCGAGCTCTTGAGATCGCATGGTGCGCACCAGCCTTCGACTTTGATTCCCTAAGCCTGCTGTTTGCGTCTTGTTCGATTGACTGTACACTGTACGCTCTCCGCGCTTGTCGGTCCCTTCTTCTGCTATCTACTCTCAACGTGGTGCATACACAAACGAGTGCAATCCAATCCTCTATCTTCATTGCGACACACATCAGCGCCGAGTTGCGGCCCAGCATCCAAAGTCACAATCCGGCCGACGATCATCTATACAGCCAGCCCGTTACCCAGCTAGCTAGCTAGCGAGCCAAAGCCACAATGAACCTGAACTCGTCAGCAACGACCTTTTTTCGCGCATGTCGCGGCGCCACGGCGGCCTCGAGAGTACCAGTCCCTGTACCACAACCGACACGCAGCAGCATCGAAGCTGGCGTTGTCCTACTACGGCCAAGAGGAGGATACCAACAACAAAGAGGCCTACAAGCTCTAAGCACTCACAAGAAACGCCAGTATCAACACCAGCAAATATGCCAGTTTTCATCCAGAAACAACACCCCTCTCCACAACGCCCAGCCAGTCAACGACATCCCATCCGCAGCCACCGCTTCATCGTCTTCCACGAGCGTCGAAGAGGACAAGAATCTCGGGCAGACTGTTCTGTTGCGCGGTAGCACTGAGGCATCTACAACCACGTCAAGTTCTACTTCTAGCAATTCCTCTTACCCTACCTCTACTACCTCTACCACCACCACCACGTCGTCTTCTTCATCGTCGTCAACACCAGCGCCCGCTCCAAACTCTGCATCCGCAGAGTCTTCCGCTTCCGCCTCCTTCATCCTAACAGGCCACGTAACCCGCACCGGCACCATGCGCAAAACCGTCCGCGTCACGCGCACCATCCAAGTCTACGACAAATTCCTACGCAAGTACTGGAAAAAGACGGCCCACGACCTCGTCCACGACCCGCAGGACATCTTGAACGAGGGGGACGTCATCACCTACGGGCCCTTCCCAGCCGATATGCGTGCAGAGAGAGAACAGAAGGGAAAACTGGGCGGGAACAGACAAGTCAAATTCGTTTTGAAGGACATTATTACGCCGTTTGGGGTGCCTGTTGAGGCCAGAACCCCGAGACAAGTCGGGAGTCCCGAGGGACGGTGGGTTGGCACGCCGGGCCAGCAGGTTCAGGTTCAGGTGTCGAATAAACATCGAGCTGGGGCTGCCAAGGCAAAGGGAAAACAGAAGGCATAAACAAATTGAAATCGAGGAGTGCCAGTGCCAGTACCAAGTGGTAGTAAGTGGGGGTGAGTGGGGTGAAGACAATTGGCAAAATCAACGGCCGAAGGAAAAAAGAATACTATACCATGAGTCCCCCAGGGCTGCTCTGTTGTGCCAGTGATGTTGCGAAAGACCAAGCTTGATAGATCGGGAAAGGTATAAACAAATCGATCGAGGGCTCCCAATGCCAATCGTTGTGCAAAGGCAAAGACCGCTGCCGGGAAAAGGAAGAGCCGTTGACGGGAATTACAGGAGATGTACAGGTACCTACCTGAGTCCTGCCCCCGAACTTCCACAACGGAAAGAAAAGGACAAGGGGGAGGTGATCACAAACTTGATTCGTGTCAAATGAAACCAACACTGCTCTCCTCCAAAGCATGACCGAGTCAGGACTATTGCTGCTGGTGCTGGTTTCAATGTTGGGCACGATGCATCACTGTACAGGGATGCGTACCTGGGTAGATTACTTCCATCTGCAAGACAGTCGACCACCTGTACTATAGCATCTTCATTGCCATCCACTGCATGCATACATCAAAAGTTAAGTAGCTCTATACAATCTATCTTCGTGAGACTGTTGGTCAAAAGACCTCAAGTCGCTGGGTGAGACCCATCCATATATTCCCTGTCATCGACAGCTCCGTCTAATTGATGCAATCGTAAGCCTAATAAATATCTCGGGGTCAAAGCATTTAGGATAGTTTTCTATCTTGGTATCATGTGGACCTCTTAAAGGACCAAATCAGCCACCGACTTTCAGCGGCGTTATATCACGAAGTCGTTGTCGCCGTCTGTTCCGAGGTTGATGCTGGCTTCTGGTCGGCCGGCGTGTCAGGAGTGACGGCGGCATGTTGGGAAGGCTGCTTCACCAACGAGGCTCTGCGAAGCTTCAACTTCTTCTCGCCTTGCTCCGATATCCTGGTCAGTTCGGCGACGAAGGATTGGCCCCAGAAAGCGCTATGACCTGTCAGTACAAACTGTCCCAATAAGAAAAAGAGAAAGCTACTCACCTCGTGTACTTGAAAACATACTTATGCAGCTTGGCATAGTTCATGGCGCGCTGTTCAGGGCTCATCGTAACTGCCTCCTGAATAGCCCCGGCCAGCTCCTCGGTATTCCATGGGTTTACCAAGATACTGCCATTCAAGCTCTGTGCGGCACCAGTAAATTCGGACAAGACAAGCACACCATGTCTCTTCTCCTGGGTGGCAATGTACTCGAAGGACACCAAGTTCATGCCGTCACGTGTGGACGATACAAGGCAGACATCGGACACGGCGTAAAGAGCAATGAGTTCGTCAAAGTTGACCGACTTGTGCATGAAATGGATCGGCATGTATTCCACGGTTCCTGTACAGGGTTAGAACAGCAACTGGCTGTTGGGCAACGGCAGTACATACCAAATTTTCCATTGATACGGCCCACCAATTCGTTGACAACAGCTCGAAGGTTTTGGTACTCCTCAACGTCCTGTCGACTTGGCACGGCGACCTGTACTAGGACGACTTTGCCAATCCACTCCGGATGATCTGTAAGGAAAACTTCAAGGGCATGAAGTTTCTGTGGAACTCCTTTGATGTAATCAAGACGGTCCACTCCGACAATCAACTTCATACCCTTGAACTTCTCTTCCAAAACGGCTATTCTCTTCTGGACCTTTTCTTTCTTGAGTCCTTCGGTGAACTTTTCGGGGTCGATACCGATGGGGAAAGCGCCCACGGTGACGACCTTGCCTTCGAATTCCACTCCGTTTGGTGTCGTGGTGAGATTGAGGATGCGCGAACAACTGCTGAGAAAGTGTCTTGCATAGTCGTACGTATGAAAGCCGATGAGATCGCAGTGCAGAACACCGAGAAGGATTTCATTTCGAACGGGAAGAATTCTATAGATCTCGCTGGAGGGGAAAGGTGTGTGCAAGAAAAAGCCAATCTTGACATTGGATTTGGTCGATCCGATCTCTTCCCGGAGCATTTGTGGTAGAAGCATGAGGTGATAGTCGTGAACCCAGACAAGATCGCCGTCCTCGACTTCCGCGGCAATAGCGCGGGCAAAGAGACGATTGGCTTCTTGGTAAGCATTCCAGGCCGACTCGTCGAAGGTGATCTCGCCAGGATGGTAGTGGAACAGAGGCCACATGATGGAGTCTGCTGCAATTTAGTTCCTGCTCAGGTATCAAGATGTCCTAGTTTACTCACTCGAAAAGCCATTGTAATGTCTGTCGGCCAATTCATCGGCCATGAAGACCGGAATGGCATTGAACTCCTCCTTGAGTTTTGTGGTGACCTCCTTGATCTCATCTTGTGGTACTTCTAGACCAGGCCAACCGTACCATTGGAAGGTGGTGGTCTTTGCCAACCCACTCAGTCCAGTGACCAAACCGCCTGATGACATGGAATAATCATATTTGCCATCTGCAGAGCGCTTGATGGTGATGGGAAGACGATTCGAGACCAGGAGCAGCCTGGACTCTGACTTGGGCGGGTTCTCCGTGGCGGAAGGCATGTTGCACAAGAATAAAGGTAGTTCGCGGGGTTGATGCGGACTGCGCTCGCACTCTAGGTTCAAGTGGACGGAAGGCTGGAAAGAAGCTGCACTTTGAGCTGACGAGGAAGGCTAATGGTTGTACTTGTGAATATAGTTCCGATTGTAGGATTCGAGCCTACGGGCGATTGCGTGAGATCTCGTCGCGTTCGCAATGTAGTGCTGCAGGGCCGTGGAATATAGGCTTGACTCGGAGGGGGGTCGTCTGCGTTCGGTCTGGCAGAATGCTTCGACTGTGTCAAGTTCCTTTACTGCCCAGTGGCCTTGCAAGTGTAGTGGTGACAGGCACAACGATCTGACAAAATAACGGCAGATCTGGTTAAGGTTGTCTTGGAACAGCGGACAACGGAACTGCAAGACGAGTTTCAGTCACCGCAATGAGGCTCAAAATACTGCGGAACAGAGAAACTGAAGAGGGGCAGGGAAAGGCCCGAGCTGGTATTTCGAGTGGTCTGTGAGACTGAAGAAGCACGAAGACGAGGGTGTGGTAATTTTTTGGGTTTTGTTGGTATGGATATGGAAGCCGCAGGAAGGTTGAGCAAGTCCGGGTTCAGATGGTTTTGCCAGTCACAGCTGCGCGCCGCCGTGCAACCAACAACTGGAACTGGAACTTGCTTCCCCAGCACCTCAGCTTTAGCCGCGAGCCATACGTCACCCTTGCACTCTCCAGCCAAATCCGCGCCAATTACGTCGGATCGTGCCTCCGACGACAAAAAAGGACGATTTACAAGGTCAGGAGTAGAGCACTTCCGCGCTCCAATATCTACAATGTACAGCATCACCTAGGTAGAATGGTATTGTGGGTGGATGGTCTACGTGATATAATGCCTGCTGCTGTTCATTGTTGTAGATGAAAGCTCCAATTTGGTGATCTGACCAAAATCAGTTTGCACGTTGGGCGAATTCAGGCTAAGAATAGCCAAGGGGGCAAATCAAGATCAGTCATCCAGTCTCTCTGACACCACTTTTCAATATTACCATTAGCGGTAGATGTCCAGTTGTCAAATAATGTCATGCTCGCTGTCGATGTGGCAGTGGCAGGGGACAAACACATGCTACGATTTTAACGTCATTTCTCCGGTCGTTGCCGGATGACAGTCGACGCGACAGACTGCACTGGCAGGAGAACAATACAGGGTGCAAATGCTGGCACCTGTCTAAAAACTGCCCAAGGGATAGTACGCAGCAATTCTTCGCAGCTTCACACAAGGCAGTCCTAGATACAGGTATCAATGGGTATGACTCTGAAGCATAGTCCGCCTATCCTGCCAGATGGTCTGCGTAGATCATGACCACCCCGATCACACGTACAATCAACACGCTCGCTCATTGCATTGCCTCCATAACACATTCTCCATTCCTGCGCAATGCCCACATCAATGCCTTGTTCATGTCCATGTATCCACCAGTCCTCACCTACTCTCGCTCGCTCGCTCGATCCAAAAAACAAGAAGCACTTCGCCAATAGACAAACGGAAAATTGCAGTCAATGAGAGTTGCTCTCGGCATGACACCGTACATGAGTCGTCATTCATCCATCCAGATGATGTATAGTCGTTAAATGCAGAAACCTTGTCGGACATCGTAAGACATGTCCATGGCTCATAAGTATGCCGGGTTTGGATGTTCGTCACAGCATAATGCGTAAGCGTAAATTCTAGTTCGCTCGGATAACCAACTTCGCCAAAAATTTGTTCGACAAGGAATCAAAATCCTTCCGGTCAAACCGCGCATTAGGTCGACCACGCAGGTAATTTTCTGAATTCAAATCATCAGTAACATAGCGGACACCTTTCAGCGAGAAGTGCTTACCATATCTCGTAACATGCTCTCGAACTTCAGTCATGGTGCTGCATACGTCTGGGTCGGAAGCCAACAACGCATGGTGTTTGGTGGTGTCCCACTCGAGGAATGAGGGCAACTTCTGAGAAATAGCCTGGAACAAGCCAACGACAACGCCGACAGGCGTCGTCTCCATGTCATTGCAGAACTTGTCCACAGCAGTATTATCGGGAACGCGATAATGGCAGTCGAATTGCATGCATTCCCAGACAGCCAGGAGTACAGACGCGAGGATGAAGATGGTCGGCCAGTTCTTGAGTTTGTCACCACTGTAAACACTCGAGTACAGGCTGGACAGCTCTTCGAGCACGTCCTTGTGCAGCTCGCGCCACATGTCGGCCATGGCACATTTGATCTGGAAGTTGATCATAACCGGTGCCATGGTTTTGCCGAAGAACTTGGAGGTCTGCTCTTCAATCTTTCCCACAAAGGACTCTTCCGGTGGTATTCCCTCAACCATGGTAATGTGCAACGTCAGGCTATAAGCGAGCATGAGCTTCAAGGCCTTCTTGATAATCTTGGATCCTGTCTTGAAGTAGAAGCGGTACGCTGTCTTGAGCATTTGCGACAGAAACGGCGTTCCTTCAAAATAGTCGTCCACGAATTTCTCAAAGGTACCGGTCCCATCAATATGTCGGTCAAGGTAGTCGCTCAGCATGGTCGTGGAGATGCCTTCCATTCCGGCAGACAACTTCGCTGTAGACACCTCGTAACCTTCCGGTGAAATCTGGTGCGCCTCAATCCAGTCCATCGTCAAACACGAATCATCCCTGACGTAGACCTCCCGGGCGGTTACCGGTAACATATGGCCATAACCATGTGTGATGAACAGGGTCTTCTCCGTGTCAGAAAACCCTTTGATATTGCCCACCGAGAACCCCAGGGAGATGTGCCGTTCATAGTCGAATTTCCAGTCCTTCAAGAAGTATCCAATCTCCTTGATGTCAATGCGAGTACAGGGGACTTGCCATAGGCGTGCATGTGATGGTTGACAACCGGCGCAGGGCTCTCCTTTGTCACACGTCTTCTTCAAGAATTTGCATCGCAGGCACGCCCTCAACTTTCGGATCTCGCTCGCCTGTTTACGCTGTTCAGGCCGCAGAGGCCCCTTCCTCCGACCGACACGTTTTTCACCCTCCGCCTTGCCAGTCTGCGTCGATTTCTTGACGACTTTATCGGTTGACCTCGCCGCGATCGGGCTTTTCCTCGAACCCTTTCGACCCGGCGAATTAGCAGAGCCTTGAGAGCTGGGTGACCGAGCGCTAGGTGCAGAAGAGCGGGCGGCGGGGATGGTAACTGGGCGAACCAAGGCTGTAGGGTCAATACTCGCGCCGGCGCCAGACCCTTGGTCTATCGAAAGACGGTGAGTGTGTTGGGGATATTCGTAATCACTGTCTGACAGGGTTGTCGGCGAGTACACAGCTTGGGATGAGCACATGTCAAGATTCGAGGTGAAGGCGCCATTGCTTTGGGGTTCCAAATCCGAATATGACGATTCAGACAGCGTTCTGTTGTGCACGGTCTGCGTTGGATCCACAAAGAAATGCCCCTCGTAGGACTCCAAAGAGGAGCGAGGCTCCACCAAGGTCCATCCGTGCTCATCACATGAACTGGGTTGTGACAAAACTTCAAGATGAGATCCAGTCGGGGAGCTGGTCAGTTGCTGGTATGGAGACATAGCCAGTCCGATATCAGTGGTTGTGTAGTTGACCAACTCGGTCTGGAAGTCCGCCCAGTTCCTCGGCATGCCATCGATGCCAGACTCGAGGGGAAGATATGACGGTTCGAGGGGCAGACTCGTTGCGAGGTGAGGTTGCGTGACAGGCAACATGGCCAAGTGCGAAGGATGGATCGGAAGGCCGTGGAATTGGTTTTCGAAATGCATATCGAAGGCCGTCGGCTGCGCGGAAAAGTCCACGGTGTTGTGCTGGTGTTGGTGAGCTTGTTGCTGATGCTGAAACCTCCAAGAGTCCATCATCGGGTGCTCAGCCATGGTCGTTTGGCGCAATCCATGGTGACTGGTCTGGATGGGTGACATGTTCCCCCTCGAGTCCGGTCGCGAAGCATTGACGTGGTCCATATGCAATTCCCAGCCATGATTTCGGAAGTACGAAGCACTTCTTGCATCGAAATCATAGGTAAGATCCTCACTCGTGAAGCCCACAGTGCCTGCCATGGCTGATAAGTAAGACTTGTCAGCCTCGTGGGAGTTCGTCGGAGTGGGCAGCCAGGCGCCTCGAGGGAGGTTGTCGTTTGTCGTTGCTGGCCTGGTTCGAGAAGGAGGAGAGAACTGGTCGAAGGAAGGATGCAAGAGAGTCAGGACTCCAGGTCAAGAGGTACAGAGAGTGACCGCTCGAGGCGGGCCTCAGAGGGAGGTCACCAGAGTGGTGAGAAGAGGCGGTGAGCAGTAGTTGCATGCATGCAGCTTTGGAGTTGGCCTGCATTGCCGGTGCCAGAGCCAGTGCGAGGGCGAGGGCGAGTGGTGCAGCGCAGTAAGTGGGCGTGTGGGCGGGAGGTCGGGCGGTCGGGGTGTCACTGGCAGTGGTTCAACGGTTGGAGCGAGTCGTGGAGAGACGGCGAGCGCTGCAGCCAACAGGCGGCAGAGACCGTGGGAAGTGAGTGGCCAGCTGCAGCTTCAGGCCCCAAAGACCCGCGGCGGGACCCTCGGCGGGTGAGCGACGAGGGGCCGATTGGCTTGACAGGCCCCGCGACGCACTGGTTGGACGCGGTGCAAGTGGCAGGGCAAAAACTGCGTGAGAGGAGAGCACAAGAGTTCCCTGACTGTAAACTCTCTGGTCCTCGAAAGACCATCATGAAGGTACCTACGAGTACAACTTACAGTGCTATTCATACACCTGGGAGTAAGGGAGTGATTACTGCAGCATTCCCTCTTCAGCTCGGCCTTCGCAGGCCGTGTATTGCTTCTCTGTTTTCCTCACTTATCATGATCACACCGGCGGAGTACTGTGTACAACGAAGTGGGCAAAGGTCACCAACACCAAACTATGGTGTCTCACGCCGCTCCAGACCGCTGCAGGACACCAGCAAAACTGCCCCGCAGACCCTCGCCGGCTTTGGCGGTGGCCGTCCTGCTAAAGTCCTAGACCTGCCCCTCGAGACGGCGTCTGGTCTAGACGGCATTATTGGAAAATTACTTCAGGTTAGTGGTGAAGGGCTTCCGAGTCTCGAAGTACCCAGGTTCGGAGCAATAGTGAGCACATAGGCCCAAGAGATGCTGCGACACTGGAATGGACTTTGCATATAACCCAGTGTGAGAAGCAACTGCGGTAGCTCTGTGAACGGCTACAAACTTCAAACTTGAATGGGGAGCACGATACTACTACTACCAGGTAGTAGTGGAAGGGACCTTTTGGCGGTCTTTCAGGCCGGATCCCTGCTACCATTCATCCTGCCAACAAGGGTTTTTGTCAGAAAACGGCTCAAATCTTTTCATTTGAAGTGTCACAACAGACAAATCCCGGGGACCCCTTTGCTAATTGTGCTCGCCAGATAACGAGTCAGATCGTGACGACGCTCCGCATGGCGCACTCAATTGGCCTGCTCATCCTGTAACTTGGACAGGCTCAGGCTTGTCATGCAAGTAATCTTGTTTTGTTCCGACGACTAAACCTCTGTTTAGCAGGTCTTGCCTCCGTATCTGCGAAGTTCATCCTGCCATGGCTGCAGTGGTTGCTTCACGTGTGCTTTTTGCGCTTCGACATATTGGTCTCCATGCCGCGTGCACATCTTCCCCAGCCTCGCATGTGGCCTCGATTCCCGTTATAGCATACCAACCAGGTCAGGGCTCAAGAAGCGATTTCGAGTTATTATATATTGCCCAACCGGCTCGTCTTGTGGTCTGTCTCGCCCACCTGATCCTGAAAGAAGCACACTTTGGATTAGCCTACCTAGGTATGGGTACGGAACCCCTTGCTGCACGGGAGTGAAGGGCATTGCGACTCCACCACCTAACATAGCGAATTTTCTCTCCCTCGCACTACTGTCCATTTCAAGGTTATGAGAGTCTGGATGGCATCTCAGGTGCAAAAGATCATGGAAGAAAGGCATTTTGGCCCAATGCTCGGACCGATTGGAGGGTCGGTAGCGCAGCGAAACGCTGTGTACCTCGAACTGTCGTTAAGCAAGCGGAGAGAGGCGTGGCATTCGAAAGTAAGGGCTCAAAGCAGCGACGTCAAGGTTCTCGAATGTCGCCAGGAGCTTATGGCGTTCGTCTTCTGATGCACTGCACTTGTCCATCCTCTACTTGCGCAAGGTAAAAGGTACGGGGATACCAGTATCAGTACCTAGGTATCGATTGAGATAGCCATATCATCGTACAGCACGGAGCACGCAACACCAATGCAGTGCCAGTGCACTCTAAGCGTAATAGAGTTATAATGCTGCATTGCTTGTTTCGGCAATTCTTGGAGGAAGATATTGCTAAGTTTCGTTAACGCGATGAACTTTGTTAAACTTGAACGGTACAGCTTCCGGTTGCCTTGGAAGTCTGTCAACATTGGAAATTGGTTCAGCGGAGAGAATCTCGTGAACGTTGAGAGCTGCGCTGTATGAACCTCTGTTGGAATGCAGAGACAGCAGCCAACCCAAAGCTTCTGACGGCTGTCGCATCGACTGCCGGTCTAACAGCAGGGTGCAAAAATATTATGTGTTCGAGAGTCCGCACTTCAGTCAAGGCTGTGGAATTCAAGAACAACACTAACCACTCGAGGTTCCATCAGATGGTATGAGGGCTACATTACTTGGGTGCTAATCTGCCTCTGAAAGAACCTTCCTTGCCCATAATCAATTGCTCTCTGTTCTGGAAGTGCGTTTTGTTTTCAACTGGTCATGGCGGGCTCGGACGACTTCACGTCTCTTATCCCAGCCTATTTTCTCCAGCCGCCAGCCTTGCTTGACGAGCTTGAGACGGAGACTTCCACTCTGCAGGCAAACACTGTCAACGAATGCATCCCCTTACTTAATGCGATTGAAGACCCCTCACGTAGCCCGTTCGACTTCAATGAATTCGGCCTACCTACACTGCAACGCGAGAGGCATATCGACTTTCTCCACGAACACTTACAAGAGTTCCCCGCGGGATTCGTCGGCCTCGATGCGAGTCGCCCTTGGATGGTCTATTGGGCGTTACTGTCGCTTTACATGCTAGGGGAGGATGTTGCACACTTTCGGTCCAGGTAAAGCCCACTCAGCTTCATTGCTTTTACCGTCCTGCTAGCCGGTTGTGGATGTCCCGACTGACCTGGGTATTAGAGTCGTGAAGACGTTTACCCCGTTACAAAACGCAAGTGGAGGGTTTGGAGGCGGCTTTGGACACTACTCCCACCTGGCGGGAACATATGCCGCATTATTGAGTCTAGCTTTAGTAGGGGGCGAAGAAGCCTACTCACTCATTGATCGTGGTCAAATGTGGCACTGGCTGGGCCGACTGAAGCGTCCAGACGGTGGCTTCCAGATATGTGAGGGCGGAGAGGAGGATGTGCGAGGAGCATACTGTGCGCTGGTTGTTATTTCCCTTCTCAATCTTCCTCTATCGCTTCCGCCTGACTCTCCTGCACGGAAGGCCGGCCTCGAAACATTCATGGATGACCTCGGAGAATATCTTTCTCGTTGTCAGACTTACGAAGGCGGGATTGCTGGCTCACCGGGAAATGAAGCTCACGGAGCATACGCCTTCTGTGCCACGGCCTGTCTCTGTCTCTACGACGCCCCGCATATTGCACTCCACAAGTTTCTTGACGTCGACGCCCTGCTTTCGTGGCTTTCTTCTCGTCAGTATGCACCGGAGGGAGGGCTGGCTGGTCGGACCAACAAACTCGTGGACGGATGTTACAGTCACTGGTTGGGAAGCTGCTGGCCTCTCGTTCAGGCTGCCATGAATGGGCCACGAGGGACAGCTCCCCGACCCGGGCAGAAGGTGACGGAGAATCTTTACAGCAGTGAAGGCCTTGCAAGGTATATACTGTGTTGCTGTCAGGCCGAGGATGGTGGATTAAGAGACAAACCTTCCAAGTCAGTCCCTCCAAGTGTGACTTTCTGCCTTTACTAATGGCTCTTGATATAGGCCGCCCGACTCGTACCATACTTGTTACACGTTGTCTGGCCTAAGCACGGTCGAACATTCGCACTCATACGGTGCTGGTGACGGGTCGGATTTCTTTGCATCAGCCTTTTCATGGGACGCTTCTAGGGCGGAGATCCCCAGTGAGGCCGATCCCTCCATGACATTCGACACGGGAGCCCACATCAGATCTATACACCCTGTGTACTCGATTCCGCATGAGGCTGCGAAAGCCGTGCGAGAGTGGACACTATCTCGACCACTCGACACCGAAGCATTGGAGTGACGGGCGAGGACTATGCGAGGGGGCTGCTTGCCGACTGTAGTTGTTGGGTTCATGGCCAATGCATCAGTCCTACTGAGAAATGCGCTGTCAATCTTGCCGAGTATCCGCAGCCTGCACCTCATGATCGGATTGTGACATAGTTGTATAGATATGGACAATGTTTAGTTTGGCATGCGCCGGACCAGAACCGGGTTCCTTCCTTCTTGTTTCTCACATGTGTCCGCCGGATGAGGTATGGCTTTCCTCCGATGATACAGAGTATACTTGAGTTTGGGGCGTCCTCACCATCCAACGTTTATTATCGACCACGACAACAGTGACAACAGGCGTTCTGCAAACTGCATGAGCATGTGGGGATGCTTTCGATTTTTCCAGTAGGCGGCCGTCTGGCGCCGAGCTTGCCTCGCACTGCATGAGCCCGACATTATTGTTTACAGCATAGTATGTTGGACTTCAGACATTAGCCGGAGCGTCCGGAGTGACATTCCTGGTCCTAGTATCGACCCTGAATAGCCAACCCATGCTCATACCAGAAACAGATCCTCGATTCGAGCCCACGTTATCCTCTCGCGAGCCTGTTATCTCACCGATCGTCAACACGCTTCAGACAGCCAAAGTCGCTGGCTCGCAATGAGAAAGACATAGATCATATCGGTAGCGCAGAAAGCTCATCTATCTGTACGGACAGCTGTGGATTGAATTCGCAATAAGGACACAGGGTAGTAGCAGAGGATGGCCACGATGAGCATGACGAACTACGAGACGCAAGACAGCCAACAAGGAATCGCCGTATAGGCCTTTGGAGACTGGCTCTGACAACGCATTCATGCAGCGGACTTCTACGAGGACACACTGGCAAACTGTACGGTCCACTGGCACCAGACTGCCAGTCCTTCGCTCACTCGGCCTGCGAGTCAGCCATGCCATGCCCATGCCATGTTCCAATCCTGTCGTACCGACCAGCCCGCGCATGCGAGTGTTGTCAAAGAGGCGCTCTAGATGTGCGTGCTTGACATCCAGTTGATCTAGATCGCGCATGTCAGGTTTTTCTCGCTCCGTCACAGTGGCCGGATGTCTCCAAGCTCTAACAGAGAACCACTGAACGGCATTGGCTTTTCGTTCAGTCGCCTATCAAAACGCTCACTGACTTGTTTTAGTCTTTTTCGCTCGGCCTTCGAGACTTTCCAGCTGGAGATCCCCAGCAAGGTTGGCCGGCATCGTGATAACACTATTCTCCACCGGCCAGCTGTCTCTGCATAACACACCCCATTGCGTCAATTTTGGAAGATCTCTAGAAGTCGAACCTCGTGTTGCCAGCCCTGTTTCTTCCGCAGGAAAGTTGATTCTCTACTAGTACAGGCCTCACCGGTCGACCGATGTTGGCACAGACGCAAAGCCCAAGCGGGAGCATCATGAGCCACAGACTCGACAACTTGAACCAGGCGGTCGACCACTTTGCATCCGACCGACTGTTTTTGCGCGGGGATTGAGAGGCCAGTCGCCAATCATGTCCGACGCCTGGTTCTGCACCCCGTCGCCCGATAGAGGAAGGATGCTAAGAATGGTCCCGATTTCAACGTTCCGGTACTGGCTAAAAAGTGTGCCAACACATCAAGACATCACGACGCCAGAAGAGCCAGAATCTACACCCTTTCCGCGATCGACTGCCAGTGTCTGTACCATGCAGCCGCTGCTCACCAGAATGGATTTTTGGCCACTGTGGAATCTTTGGGTTTGCCCCACGCGCTGCCGGTCGTCCTGCATTTGCTTCGCTGTCAGTGTAGGGTCTCCATTGCTGTGAAGCCGATGAAATATCTGGCCATGCCTCCACAACTTGCCTGTGATGATGTCCAGCTATATCGATGATATTAACTTTGGGCTGCCTAGGGAACACTGACAGTGTCTGGAGAGCTACCACGCCTCACTTTCTAACTTAGGCATCACGTTTGGTGTTGCTGACCATAATCCATCAAGCCAGTACCTCGTCGGCAACGTTCCCTCTGGGACAGACTTTTGGTCACAATTGGATGCACAACTCGTTGGGCTCCAAAGTACCACGGCCTCGAGTGCAGCATGCTGCATACCGTGTATCTGGCCAGTACGTACCTTATCTTGTAGCGCCGACTGTTTGTGTTTTAGTGTATTGTTACGTCTGGCTTCAGCGCGTCATCCGGGATTTGCTTCTCGCCTCTTTGGGTGTATGCAGTACAATTGGGGTGATAGGGTCTGACAGCCTTGCAAATCGGCCGGAATTCAGTTCCATGAAGTCAAGATCGAGAACCTGCATATGTTCAATGTCGGATGCTAACCAATGGTTTCTACCCAGGTCTATGTCAACGCCGTCGATGGCCCGAACCTGCCTATCAGGTTACCTATACGCCGGCAGGGTATCGATGTGTGGTCAGGGTCAACAACCGTGAATACCAGACATCGAATTACCATCCCTCGGAATCCTCGGCCAAGGAGGGAGCGGCGCTGATCGCCTTCAACATCTGTCGAAACTTTTCTGCCAACGACGGCTTCTACCCTGCCGGCTTTTCGCATGGCGGCGTGATTCAGGGCAACCCTGTCCCAGTAGGCTCGGGCCGCCATGGTCGGAGAAGCGGGACAGAGACTCGAAAGGACTACCGTTGCGGCGACACCGATAGCTCCAGTAGCAGGAGTGGTGGCAGCAGTCCTGACTGGGGTGATTCTCGTGGTGCTGATCCGCTACGACTGGCCACCAGCCGACGGGACACCTACGGTTCCGCCACAAGTCATCACGGAAGACGAGGATTACCGCGGTATTGAGGGGGCAAAGCTTCATCAATGCAAGCGAGGTTTTTATGCTGCTGTTGATCATGGTCTTTCTGCATGGAAGTTTCCTGGCATTTTGCGACGATTTACGCACAATTTACGACGTTATGACCTCTAAAAAGGGACTTTGGTTTTCTCAAGCGATCTGTTGATTGACCGTGCATGCCATACGAAAAGATCGGGGAACGGGCAGTTTTCTGTTTGAATCATCCAGTGGGGGTCCGAGTCTGTCAGTTGTCTTCGCAAGCTGAGCAAAGTGAACAGGTGAGAGGCAACCTTGCAACCCCTGTCTCTTCGGTCTGGCAGGATATGTGAACGAATTTCACTTTTTAGAGTTTGGCTGGACAGAATTCATATCAATCTGAGGAAATGTATCGTGGTTGGTGTGGTGGCTTATGGCTAATGTCCGCCGGAAGTCCAATGCGCTGCTCCAGTGGCGGTATAAAAAGTATTGAAGCCATAGTGACGGAGTTTGTGGTGTAGCCAACCAGCCATACACAGGGAAAGATGCGTGATAGTCGGAGAGATGATGACAAGGCATTAAAGTTCGGGATGTTGTCTGAGTCAACCACTTGAGTCCACGCAAGATACAGTTCTTGAGTTGTGAAAGGAATCAGGATATCATAATTTGCTACCCGCCTCTGGCCATTCACCCCGTACTGTCTTACGAACCTCACCTTATGGGGGGCTCATGCTAAGCGATGCTGAAGCTCTACTTTGACTCAACCAGCTGGTTGTTTTCAATCATACACAATCAAATAGACGAGATACGCTTGTCCACAAGTTATCCAGGGTGGGCTCCTCGTGAATATGATATGAGGATGTTGTGTGATAGAAGTGATCCGCTTGTGGCGCAGCGTGAAGAGCGAAACTTGGGCAGTTGATGATGGATGACGTCGCAGAATCAACATTCGATCGATCGTCTCGTTTTCCGTGTCACCGAAACAGGGTCACCACTGGCATCACCTCGATCCTGCCAAATCTATGGCGTCAAATATGCAGCGGCGGTTTCTCTCTCTTCAATAACCCTTTGACATGCAATGGCTCTTCGTCTTAGGTACACGGTGCGCCAGCTTGACCGCCTGTGCCAACCCTCGACTGTGTCAACACGATTAGTAGTCGGCCAGCATGCACGACAGTACTTCCATGGAACTGCCAGTGGTCCTGGATTTCAACTCTCGAGGTGTGCAGGGGTGAAATTCTCACGTCAAACTCCCCACAGCGTCAGAAGCATCTCGGGCCAGCAGAAAGCTCGAGATCTCAATCAGCAGGGGATCGATGAAGCATTGTCCGAGTTCGACAACGCAGTTGCCCAAGAGCATGAAAAGCAGGAACGCACGCCATGGCACCGTCAGGGAGCAGAGGAGCCTCCTGTGCGAAGACAACGGTCAGCTGGGGCCATGACCAAAGGTGCGTGAGCATGACCCTGACTGCCTGCTTTCGACACATGCTAACTGTTCTATCCCAGGAAAACTACTGACCACGCCTTCGAGACTCCTCAAATTAGTGCTCCCTCTTACGACGATCGACCAGAATTCCGACCGCAAGGACGTGGCCCCTCTTGCACTACTCGTCCATCCACAACAACCACTGTCCTATCTTGAACGGTTGATCCAGTCGGAATTGCCCAGCATCACCAATGAAAAGGGCGAAGGGAGACTACCCAAAGTGTCTTTTCGGGCCATGGAATCCAAAGACGATGAAATGAAAAGCATCAAGAAGCCGTCAAAGGAGCAGGAGGATGCAACCAGTGCTCCAGATCAGCCTCGCCGCGATGGAGGTGTTGAGAGCTACAGTGGTGCAGGCCGCGAAGGCAAGGGCAAGGACGAAGGCGAGTTCGTGCGATGGAGCTTGTCCACGGAAATCGGCGACTTTATCAGAGACGCTGCTCGTGCGAAAGAATTCGAAGTCGAGATAGAAGGGAGTCCCAGGCCCATCAAAGTTGCTGTCCCTTCGTTCAACGATAGAACATATTACTTGCGACAGCGACTGCGGAGAATATCTAGGCAGATTGCTGACATGGCGGCCGTCAAGAAAGAATGTGATGAGGCGGCCCACAAAGCTGGTCAGCGCATTGCCATGGGAGGGTGCGGCATTCTCATCGGGTACTGGTATCTTGTGTATCGACTTACGTTCGAAACGGACCTCGGATGGGACGTAATGGAGCCGGTTACATATTTGACGGGCCTCAGTTGCATAATTGGGGGTTATATGTGGTTCCTCTATCATAACCGGGAGGTCTCCTACCGCTCAGCGTTGAACCTCACGATTTCTCGTCGACAATCCCGCCTGTACCAACAAAAGGGGTTCAACATCCACAAATGGGAGGCCTTGATCGAGGAAGCCAATGCCATCAGAAAGGAAATCAAGGCAGTGGCCGCGGAATATGATGTGGAATGGGACGAGACTGTTGATGAGCACGATGAAGAGGTCACCAAGGCACTGAGACAAGAACGGAAGAATGCCAACGGCAAATCAAAGTCGAAAAAAGGTGACGATGAGGACGAAGATGACGATTAAACACCATTAAGATCTACCCGATAGCCTCCCCAGAATCATACAGATATGCCACCCGATGTTGCAACCACAATCCGCCTCAACGACGCACATACTTGTCTCTGGCAGGGTCGAAAATGGCAGCGTCGTGGGATCCCGAACTGTGACCTGCGGCACCACATAGTGTGTTAGCCTTGTGCATGTGGTGGGAGTCATGGCTATGTTTCTTACCTCCCCCAGCACCACTTTCTCCAGCCCGGCGATTGCGATTGTTGCGAATGTCTCTGGAGCGGAAGACACTGTATAGCAACCACAGAGTGACCCAATTCGGGGCATGTTCGCCGGTCGTTGCACCACGATCAAACAGCGTGCGTTGAATGGTTCCTGGTTTTGCCAGTTGCCATGTATCGATGATTGCTTGTCGGCGACGCTCTGGACGGATGTGGTGCCAAAAGAAAGGAGGCGTGGTGGAGGCATCGTTTCGTTTTTCATCAATCAGGCTGGATCGGTCGGAATTCAATCTGTTGTATACAGCAATGGCTTCCTCCTGTTTTCTTGGTGAGCATGGACCCCAACGGTTGCCCTGATAAATGTTTTCGAGGCGTACCCGCATGGCCCGGTAGTAACCCTCATGGCGTGGGTCGGTGGTGCTCAACCCCAAGGCTCTCATGAAATCATCCTTTGGCGCCCTTGGTCCCACCGGCTGTGTTTGAGGCATTGTGGCGGCGAAGAAAAGAACCGAGAGGGAGGTCGATTAAACAGCCCGAAAAAATGGTATGTGTATGTGCAAGATGGTACGAGTGGTCGTGAGCACAGCGAGTGAGTGTCACAGACTTGTGAGGGCGGTTTTTGCCTTTGGACGCTCCATATATATTGTATCGCCCAGCCAGCCCATCGAAGATGAGAGAGAGCAAACATATGAACTGTGTGTTTCGATCCACATGCGATGGGTAGGCTTCGGCACAAGAGCCACGATTACCTGCGTGCGGCGAGGCTTGCAAACCTCGATTGGGCATCAGCATCAAGCACAAGACGATATTCAAATCCTCGGGCCTTTTTCGCATCAAAAGGATAAGCTCAACGGGATTCGCTCACGAAGACGGCTTCCGCGAGCCTGAAGTCAAATATGCCGCGGTGAATGGTACGCAACCACCGGCTTAGCGAGTTTGACTCATGCAGGCTTCCGCACCGCAAGGGCTCCTCGTGGCAGACGGATATGTGGGACGCACACCAATGCCAAACCGGACGACGACCATGATTGCCCGCATGTTTTGGGTGTATCGCCCCGTTGCATAGGCAAGACAAGCCTATCGTCTAGAACGGCAGGGAATTTTTCCTTTTGGCCCGACCAGGCTTCAACTAAGATTCCATTTCGGCGGAGAGAGCCGGCAACAGAATTGCTGTATATCGACCTGTGACAAACGAGCAATGCAGGTTCTGACTTGGAAGAACTAGATACATCGAGATCAGCAGCATCTTGTTGGTCACTTAGACGCGGCGGCCGTCGATATCGATATAGACAATCAAACAGTCCATTTGTTTCCGGCCGCTTTTCTGTCAAGCTTATCGTCAAACTACTACAGTATTGCTTGCAGTATCAAGCCAAACTTGAGCATGCAAGGATGCCAGCCCGGCTGGGGCTGGAGCTGTCCGTGATTCTAGACGCACCGTGGTTGGATGATTTGCCCCTTCCCCAAGGCTAATATGACAGCTGTTGTGCGACCTGGAACTGGGGAAAAGCCTGATCGACCCTCTTACTACTCAAACACCGCACTCTGGATCAACTTGAATCATTTCAAACTTGCTAGATCCGCGGCAGCAACAGCTGGAGCCAGCGGATTCAATTCAATTCCATCCTGCCTGGTCTGGCTTGTCATTGACTGCACAAATGAAAAGGAATTTTTTCTTTTCTTCCTGGAGAGAGAATTCAGAATTGTTTGCTCTCCTGGCCGGGGTAGGGGCTGATGTGCATGGGTAGTTGGTGGAGAGACAAACAAAGACAAGGATTGTGATGTGCAGTGGTTGGATGTTGAGTTTCCACCACCAGTCATTGGTCGACAGACTTGATGAGCTGATTGACGAACTCAAGGACGGCCGGCAGACTAATACTCATCTCCCAAAGGGGCTCGCAAACAACATCCATGGCCTTTTGTTGTATATTGCTCCCAGTACAGAACACAACGCTGGCTCTTTGGGTAGAGAGGCTGTGCAGAAGTCCAGTACCGATTTCGTCTTCCTTTCCGATCGTTATGAATATCAATATCGTTGACCCATTGATTGCCCTACCCTCTGCCAGGTACCCGGAAGGTATTGGTATTGCTCAAGACTGAGGCAGGGCGGAGAGGAGCGAAGTGAGGCATTGAATACCATCACTTCGGAACGGTACTCTAGGCCGCTGAGCACACCTTTACCACTGTATGTACTATATACTTGGTATCCTACTAGTACCTAAGCAATAGACTGGCCAAGACATGCTGAGACAGTGGTTAGCCTTACGAAGCCCTTCAAGCTGGACGCTTCAAGTTACCGATGTACCTATGCGATGCCGCAAGTGGAGGTGAAGGGTCGATCATCTGGTCGCCTGAAGAGATTCTTATCTCTCACTGGACAGCTAGCACCTACATACTGGTCCTGGTATAGCAGATTTCAGCCACGGTCGCTTTCTACAATAGGTTGGCCTTTGTCTCTTGTTTTGGTTCATCATTCTTGCTACCTAAAGGTCAGAATTTATAAGTTTCAAGTTACCGACCGGTGGGACCAGCTCACCTCAACTGACAGATCAGCGGTGTTGTGGTATATATTAAGGTAAGGCCTGCCAGTGTTCCGTGAGGCAAGACACTCTCCCGTCCTCATTCTCGAGCACCTCATGGAATACTACTAGTACCAGGTTCCACTAGCCTCATTCCCTCAGGCGGACTGTTTTGTTACTAGTACTGGTACTTCTGGCAGAACGTCCGAGTCTACAGCTACCCACCAGGTACTCATTCATCGCCGAGAACTTAAGGAACTCCAGCTTAAGGCAGAATCTTCTTTTCCGATCACTCTCACTATTTATCAGTAACCCTGGGGTGCCAGTGTCTGGTCCAACTCTCTTTCACCATGGCACCCTCAGTTTCAACTACATCATCACCCAGAATCCAAATTTCCCCCATCTACACCATCTGGTTCAAATGGATCGACCCGTTCTATCCCTTACCGGCGCCTACGCAGGCCTATTCAACCCGCCCGTGTTGTTATCCACATATATCCCTGAAACCATAACCAGAGGTTCTGTGTCTGTACCCAGTTCAGACTTCGTCATCGATCCCGCACATAGAGTCATCTACAACCAGTTGGGCGCGTACTCGCTGTTGACGTTCTCCATGAGTGCGCTGCTGTATCGCTGCACGAGGGATCTGAAAGTCTGGAGAGTCTGGCAGGGGTCGGTGTTGGTTGTGGATGTGGTGATTTTGGGGGCGGCGGCTTTGGCGTATAGGCAGCAGGGACGGTTGAGTTTGTTGAAGTGGAGGAGTGAGGATTGGTTTGCGGTGGTGGTTACGGGGATTTGTGCTTTGTTGAGGGCGGGGTTTTGTTTGGGGATTGGTGTACGTGAGGGTGAAAAAGGGACTGAGGGTGAGAAGAGGAAGAGGAAGTGAGGGTGGTGAGGGTCTACAATGGAAGGGGAGAGGGGAGAGGAGAGAGGAGGATGATGGTCAAGTCTCCTTTGGGGGACCTGGATCTGATAGATGGCCTGCCACGGTGTAGATTTGAGATGTTAGATGGAGTGGTTGGATGGATGCGAAGAGAATGGGAAGGTCGATATTAACAGGAAGTTGAATTGAATACCTTGTGGATTTATAGGTATGGTTCAACTTGGGTAGCAGTGGGATATCCGGAGAATAATAAATACCTGGTGATATATAATTGATAATTCGAGACTGATTCATCGGCCTTTCTACGGCTTTTTGTCGAGGTTGCTTCTGGTCTTAATCCTGTTCAAGTTATCGTAGCAGTGCATACACATATAGGTGATACAGTCTATAAATTTTTTTGGTTTTCAAATGCAAGTTGGATGGTGCAGTGTTCTCAGTGGTGTTGGTGTGCAACCCACCTTCAGCCTCTCGGAACAGATTGCGGATGTTCCCCGCGCTTTGTGTCAATTCATCCCGCTTGTCCCACATCTATATACCACTTGAGACTTTCCCGACTTTCCCATGCGCGAGATGTTGGATCCTTGTGCAATTGCCTGTGTGCAGCGGACTATGTCTGCGTCTTCAGGTGCAAGGGATTGGTAGCGAGGCGAGGACATAGTAAGACCCAAAGTCCAAGAACAGAATCATCATCTGCTCGGTCGAGTATCAACAGTCGGTTGGTTGAAAATATAAACGCTCCACTGGAGAAAGCCAAGCAACAACACCTCTTTCAGCGTGTGCCTCTCTGGCTTCGGCGGGCTTATTCGATCTGAAGCTTCTCTGGCTGTGATATCAGCGTCCATCTGTTTATCCCTCCTCGAGTAGGAAATAACGGCGCCGGAAAAAGAACCTGCTCAGCGTCATGCTCCACCACGATAAGTTGAGCAGCGCAACCATAACATAACCCAAATCAACGCGACCCGGTGCAAGCGTGTCCTAGGATCACTGGCATCTCTCGACTCGTTCGATAGTCTGCCAGAATGGCCGCCCATCCTCCTTCTTCGTCGCTCACAATCCCCGTCCTCCTCCTCAAGACGCGGTCTCAACCACACGACGCTTATGAAGAGTACTTTGCCACAACGCCCGCATCGGCGAGAAATACGACACAACAAGAAGAAGCAATTGGAGCAACATCTCCATCTTCGTCTTATTCGTTCGTGCCGCAGTTCGTCCCGGTCCTCGAGCACCGACCACATGTCGAAAACCTAGCCGTGTTAAAGGAGGCCCTTGAAAGCGAAACTCTAAGCCAGAGGTATGGCGGAATGATATTCACGAGTCAGAGGGCCGTGGAGGCGTGGACCGAAGTGGTTAAGAGCGTGGAAAGAGAACACATCTCCAACCACCGTGTGTCACAATCGTATGTTGGAGAGTCGATACAGCTTGGATCTGGGATTGGTATGGTCTGTCCATCCACCTGCTCTGCTACAGCAGATATTTTTACAACTATGGATCATCTGATCACAAAAGAGATAGGTCGTTTCCTGTACTGACGTGGAGTTTTGTTTTTGCAGGTGTGATTGAAGGAGATGGAATCCAGCAGTCGTCGAGAGAACAGACCGAGCAGACGGCCGCCAAAGATGGCAACACTGCAAAATGTGCTCAGTCATCGCCCTCCGCCGGGTCTTCTTCCTTTCCAATCTACTCGGTCGGCCCGGCCACATCGCGCGCGTTGAATACTCTCGTCTCCGAGTGTGGGTTGGCCTCGTCACCCAGCAGCAGTAACAAGCCATCGCCGTTCGCTCGTCTGGCACCTGTCGTTCTGGGCGAGCATGGCACGGGCGCCCAATTGGGGCAATACATTCTGTCACATTACAACGCCCGGGATGAACAGAGCATATACACCACAAGGCCGACGAGAGATGGTGTTGCTGCAGTCGGCGAGAGACACAACAAGCAGCATTCCATCGAAGAGAAGCTCGAGGATATCCGAAGTCGAACTGTGCACGAGAATCAAGATCAGCAACAGAACCAAGAAAATCAAAGGAAAAAAGGTCTCTTGTTCCTCGTAGGCGAGCAAAGACGAGACATCATCCCCAAAACGTTGATGGACCCGGAAAACAAATTACACCCTCGGCAGCGGATCTCCGTCGACGAGGTCGAAGTCTACTCTACCGACGTGATGAGTTCGTTCCAGCGCGATTTTGAAGCGATGATCCGGTCGTCCAAACTTGACAAATCCCCAATCGTGGTCGTTGTGGTTTTTAGTCCGCAGGGCAGCGAGTCCATGCTCCGCGCGCTCGGGTTCATTGACGAGTCGAACAGGCTGACAGCAGCGGCAACTGGTCGCTGGGAAAATCGTGACAGACCAGCCAACTCTCGTCATCATGTTGGTGGTGCGGCTCAAGGTGATTCTGATGCTGTTGACCAGGACGATCAGCCGCAAACATATGTGATTGTCACTATTGGTCCCACAACCAGAGACCATCTGAAAACCAAATTCGGCTTCGACGCGGACGTGTGTGCTGCGAAACCGAGCCCTGAGGGCGTGGGCGAAGGCGTCAAAGCGTTCTTGTCGAGTAAAGGGTTGATTTGATCTGATGGAGGAGGATGACGAGAAGGAGCAAGAACTGCAGATCTGAAGATCGCGATGAATGGATGCATATCACTCACTGGCAGTGTACTCAAAGCACAGACCACTTGACAAACCAACTTGCAATCAACCAGATCTGCATCCCGTCCATGACTAGACGCAGCCATGATCGTAGCGAGGTGGTTCCCGAAGCGGGACCATTGCAAAAGTACTTTTCATCTGTTCTCCTTTTTTTTATATCTATAATCTACTGCCCATTTTCTCAAGGTAGCTACATACCTTTCTGTCGGTGCCTGTAGGTTTCATACAGGAAGAACATACTACCAGGTAGATACCTGAGATGTGTGGTGATGGTTGTTGACATGATGTCATCGGATGACCCCGGGCAGAGCCACGGCCCGCGACAGGCTTCGGCCTCCTTAGGCCGAGATCATCAGCCCTTTCAACGATCCCGTCAACTTGAAGTTCAAGTTCAGTTGAAGTCGCTGTTTCCACTGCTGGACATACCGTTTGGCTCACCTACCGTCCTCATCACTTGTGCCCTTGTCTCGTTGGTTCCTCGTACAGTTTCACGTTGTGCATTCTTTTCGGGTTGCAAAAGTCGTTCGCTGCGCGCGTGTCCTTCGCTCTTTTCCTCGGTCGTGTGTTCGCCCTTGGGTGCTATTGACCTAGCGCTCACTGCATACTGTACTTGGGGTTTGCATTGGTTGGGCTGCTCGCTTTTGCTAGGTGTCTGGTCACCCGCTGGTACGCACTTCTGAGCAGACAGTTCATTCGGGGGTCTCGCTGACAAGCGCAGCCCTCCATGTACATACCCTCCTACACGAGCCTCCCCTTCCTCATCCTCTCGCTTTTCCTCGATCGAGCTTTTACGCTACCTACTGAGGTCTCTTTGGACGAGATAGCCTTGATAACCCCTGCTCCTACACCAACACTTGCGGTCTATGGGACATACGCAGGAGACAAGCGGGGTATCGTTAATGACCTGACTTCGAAGCTGGACTCGTATGTCAACTCGGTGTTCAGCGAGTTGGGCACGGCTATTCCATCATATGTCTCCAATGGCTTGCTTCCCAATCTACAAGGTTTGCCTACCGGAAGTCAGGTCGCGAGCTCGCTCGGAGTGAGCAGTTCCGATCTCGCGGCCACTCCCACCCAAGTCTTGAATATTCCTGGATACGGCAATTGGACTGATAATGGCTGGAACTTGCGGATACATGGGAATGTTTTCAAGCAGCCGAATATATCTGATGAGACCGTGGACAAGTTGGCCAACTTCTTTCTGATCGATACCAGTGTCTCCGACCTACCTCCTTCGCAACAAGCCCAGGCGCGCAATCTCACGAGAGAGATATACGTAGTACAGCAAGGCAATCAAAGTGTCACCATGGATATCCTCCCTAGTCCTGAGTTTGGTTCCAGTGGACAACCGGGAGGAGGTGGTGGCGTGACCCCGGCAGGAGGCGAACAGGTCGTCACGCTTCCATATCTGACAACTCCAGAAGGAGACTTTGACGTCTTTATCCCCATTGACAATACGTCTTTGGCTCTGACGCCTGGTACCGGCGAGATTCCGCCGCAGCGACTCAATGTTTACGCGCAGGGCACTGATACTGGCAATGCAACATCGTACCTCGTTTCAGATGAAGGATTGACCGTCATCAGCGACATTGACGATATCCTCCGTGTCACCAAGATATATCAACCGAAGGAAGGGTTGCTCAACTCATTCGCTCGCCCGTTTACTCCATGGATGAATATGCCGGACATATACCGCAACTGGTCTGTCAGCCTCCCGAACATGCATTTTCACTACTTGACCACGACACCGGAGCAAATCACACGCAACTACATGCAGTTCATCTATGCCACGTATCCGGGTGGGAGTTTTGATACACGGCCGCTCAACTTCAGCGATGTGTCGGCAACACTGTCCATCCGCAAATGGCTCCTGGAGAGAATCTTCCAAACCTTTCCCCACCGCAAGTTCATCCTAGTGGCTGACACCAGCAATTCGGACGTTATGCGAGACTATCCCGAGATGGCGACGGAGTATCCAGGTCAGGTCCAGTGTATATTCCTCCGCAACACCTCCTCCACCGACTCGGGCGACAAGTTTCCATATAATACTGAAGGCTTTAAGAACCTCAACCAGCAGAGTTACATGTTCTTCCGAGTGCCTGATGATTTGACAGGGCTGGATATTGTCAACGGACAATGTTACAATGCGTCGATTCCACAGAACCTGACGTTTGGATACCAAGGATTGCCTTTCGGGATCAATACAGGCAGTGGTGACAACAACAAGAACGGAACCACGAATGGAGCAGAAAGGGTTTTGGGGCGAGACTCGGGGCTGTCCTGTCTCTGGGCTGTGCTCGTCGTTGCCTTAAGCACTCTGTTCTCGGTTGCAATAGGCTGATACCTTATACGCGCACCGTGTTAAGTGAGCCTATACCTGCTGTACCCAAGGTACATTTATAGTATCCAAGGTACATTTATACTCGTTGATTAGGCCTTGGATTGAAGTTATTAAAGCGGCGTCAGTTTAGAGAAGAGCACGTGTACCGGAGGCCCCACATAACCCTCGCCTGGCGTATTACATCATCAGGCTCGGAGCTCTTGACCCGGCGCAACTTGAAGCAACAACATTCAGTAGTGAACTAAAACTAGCGAACCGGAACCCACTTCTTCGATCTGCCCGCTCTCACGCGCATCACCCGCGTCGAGATTTCCCTCTCGACCACCCACCCTGCACTCCCAGTTGCGCATCAAATAGGACCCCTTCATCCTCGCATGTCCACTCTTTTACAACTGAATCTGGTGTCGCCCTTCTACTGAGCTGCAGCTGCAGCTCTTGCGACTCCAGCTATCATGCCTCGCGCGCCTCTCCGCCGCCGAAACAACAACCGCTATTCACCCTTCCCTCGACATGGTCAGAAGATTCCTAACAGTAATCCTGCCCGGCTAGAGTTGGAGAAGAAGCTTGCGCATAAACGAATTGGGGAGAGACCAAACGACAGCGACGACAGTGATGGGCTCGTTGTCAAGGGAAATGGTCGACGTGGTGGAAACACACGGCGACAGGAAATTTATGCTTCCGGTGGCGTGGGCAAGGGCGATAAGCCGGGCAATTTTCCCAGTCGCGCCCAGCGAAGGAAGAATATGGTCCGGGCCGGGGACGATATTCTTGCAAAGGCTGAACAGGAGGCCCGTTCAAGGGGATCTTCTGAGTCGAGTAGAACGCGCGCCCAAGAGAGGAAAACTCATGCGGCTGGAGATGCCAACAAGGGCACGAATGCACCGGCACAGGATTCTGCACCTGCACCTGCGCCGATGTCATCTGCTGTCAAACCTTCGGGGCGTATTGTGCGATCGGCACAGCCCACGCCTACCAGAGAGAACTCGATACTGGGTACGCTAAAACCCCGGCGACGGCAACCCAGCATACTGCAGGAGCTCGATCACGATTCATCGAGCTTCGGCCCAGAAGACGAGGAGCAGTTCCTCCCCGACGCGGAGTCGACTCCATTGAATCTTCTCGGACCACGCAGCATTGCTTCCTCCCCGGCCACGAATGCGGTGCACACTACCTCTTCGAAAAAGCGTAAGTTGGATTCTGCTAGGGTGTTTCAGCCGGAGACGGAGGCGGTCAATACTTCTCCCAGAAAAGAGAGTGAACCCAGCGCGACCTCGCCTCTCATTAATGGTACACATGGACCATCCTCTTCTCTTCTGCCGGTGTCTACGCGGCGAATCTCAGGCCGAAAATCAAGCCACAAATCACAAGATAAGGTTGATGACGACGATCAAGACATCATGGCCTTGCCTAGAAGCAGTTCTTCACTGTCCGCATCACCTGCGCCGCTGCCTTCGGCGGCACCGACCCGGAAATCGAGGCAGGCACCGACAACGAAACCGGCCCCCGCCATGGCGACGGGGGAGTTACAAGCTCTAATGCCGAAGAAACGGCGGAGGACTGCTCGGGTACCCAAAGGGACGCAGGCCGACTTCGATATAGCGGTCGATTCTGATGCCCCCGGTCTACCTCAGTCGGACGGAGCGAGTGAAAATGACGAGTCCACTTTCCTCCCTCCCAAGGCCGGTCGCAAAACCCGGCGCAAGCAGCCATCAAAGAAATTTGCAAAGAATGGCGGTTCGAAGGCTGGAAATATGTCGAAGCGGGGCAACTCTGCTGCTGTTGCAGGGTCCGATTCGCAATCAAAACAAAGTACGAGAAACCTTACCACTACCAAGGCGCCTGTCCTTACGCCCTCCACATCTACTTCTATCCGAAGGAATCGATCAACTAAGTCTCCCTCACAGCTTTCCACCGTCAACTTTACAAGTTTGAATTCAATGTCCGAAAGGAGAACGCGAGGACGGCCGAAGCCGCTTGGTGGCTCCCTCCGCGAAGGCCAAGATCCCACGGATGGCGGAGACAAAGAAAATATCGACGTTCAAGATGGCTCGCCATGTGATTCGGACATTGCGATTGCCGAAAAGACATCAGTCGAGCCGACTGTCATACACACAAACATGACCCCAGCGGATGACACCAGGACAGCAGCCATCAGTAAGGATAAGTGGGCAGACATAGATGCCTGGGACCTTGATTTTGAGGACGTCGAGGTCATGACAGGATCGAGTGGTAGCTCTCCATTGCGGCTGGGATAAGACAGTGCTGCTCTAGTTCAGGATAGCTTCTATGAGGAATGATTATGTGGATGATGGCCAGGCAAAGGTTGACTGTTTCTTTGTGCATGGCGACATGCAGTGTCTCCTCGCTCACGGCGGCACTTTTGAATCTGAACAGAACTACGGTGCTTAAGTAGTAGCTGAGTCTGTAGTTGTCGCGAACAATAGATCCCGCCTACTAGGGTGAATGGCAGCTGTGCCGTAAGGCTGAGCGACGCCAAGACCTGGGGAAGGCTGCGACAGCTTAGTCATGATTCCATGTCTGCTATCGCGCTAGTACGACGACTACTGGTGACGCCCGCAGTCGCAGTTTGGGGTCCTTCAATAACCACACCAGATTGTATCTCACACAACGTAGGTCAACGCCGCCTCAGTACCGTCGCAATATTCCTACTCTCAGTCTTCAATAGGTTTCAGCTCCTGGGTGACAAATTTTCTACCTGGCATTCCAAAGGTTTGCTTTGTGCAAACGTTCGGAACTCTAGTTCCATCACCGCTGAGTGTCCTTGCCTGGTCCGTTCTCCGATTTCACATGGCATTCCCGTGATCACAACCAACGACTTTGTTGCCGTCCTTCAGACGCTGCCATGGACAGGGTCGTGGAGGAGAGCGCGGCTCTTGACTCTACTCTACTCAGTCAAGACCCTGAACAATACGACAAACTTGCCGCGGGACTCTCGTCGAAACTTAAGAGGATCACACTGGACGACTTGTCTCTGACGCCAGACATTCTTAATGTAGGTCACTCGCTCCAAGTCATCGGGAGCCGTGAAATGTTGTGCAAGCACTGACTCTTACATATCCAGAACATCTCACCAGCTACTCATACCATAGTCTACCTGCACGCCTTGCTGGTCACCCTCGAAACCTCTCCTGCCGGTGGAAAGATTCCTGCCCGCCAGTTACCGCCCACAGCGCTCCCCAACGGACCATTATGGCAGCACATCGTGCAAGCACTTCTCGAATTCGACCCGGTACAAGTGCGATACTGTGGAGGACTATTGACGCGGCTGGTGGATTATGTTTCCTGGGGCGCCGAACAGACATCAAACTACGTACCTGCGATCCAACTGCTACACCATGTCATCCTGCGACTCGACAGCACTTCATCCACGTTGACCTCAACACACCGATCCTTTATCCGACTCTGTTTACTTGCGCAGGCCTATTCGGAAGCCATTGACATTCTCGACCGACCAATCTACCACGTCCCCACGGCGGCTCCAGTCGACCAACGAACCTACAAATACCTGTGTGTTGATGGTGCACCAACCTGGACATACCTGAACCAGACGACTGGTCTGACATACCCGATCACAAACCGCATGTACCTCGAGTATTATCTGCTGGGTGGCATGTGCTATCTAGCCATGAGACGATACAAAGAAGCGCAGTTCTTTTTCGAGACAGTGGTTTCAGCCCCTGTGTTTCAAAACGTAGCGAGCGCAATCATGGTCGAAGCCTACAAGAAGTGGATTTTGGTAGGATTGTTGTTGAACGGATCTGCGCCTTCGATGCCCAAAACCGCCAGCCCAACAGCAATCAAACATGTCCGCGCCGTCTCCAAGCCGTACCAATGTGTCGCCGACGCCTTCAAATCTGGCAACGCCCAAAAACTACGCGCGGAAATCGAAGTCGGCACCAACATCTGGCAAGACGAGGGAAATTACGGTCTCATGATTGAGGTCTATCAAGCCTTCCGAAAGTTTTCGGTCTCCAGACTCGGACGCATATTCGGTGCATTGCCCATCGCCGAAGTCGCCAAGAGGACGTCTCCGGATCCAACAAATGTGGATGAAACGCGAGCATATCTGCAGGATCTGGTTGAAAAAGGCGACATCCAAGCCACGATTTTACAGAGCAAAGCAGGTGTCCAGATTTTGCGGTTCTTGTCATCTAGTCGCACTAGCAGTTCGACTATTACTAGGACTCAAACCGAGGCAGAAGTTGAGAAAGACCTGAAAGATCATACCGAACACCTACAGAGTCTGTTGGGATATGTTCAAGACACGGAGCATCGCATGGAAGTCAGTCGCGAATATATTGACTACTTGAAGAAACTCAAGAAGATCAGAGACGATGACAAGAAGAATGCCAACGGCAACGGCAATGGCGGCGGCACTTTAAAAGGTGTGGGCCGCGGCGCGGCAAACGACGACATTGACGAAGACATGATGGAAGAATATTAGGAGTCTGTTCCTCCAGCTGCGAAACGGCAGAAAGTTGGCAATGACAACGATGACCATGGTGAAGGTGGTGATGGTGATGGTGATGGTGATGCTGCTAGTAGTGATAGTGCTAGTAGCGAAGAGAGTGGCTGACTACTGTATCGCCCACCGAGAGCAGCGGGTGACAGTTGATTCAAGGGATGAGACTTGGAACGGCCGGGCCTCAACTTGAATGAGCATCAACAACTGCTAGTGAAGGACTACTACTACTACTACTACCCAACAATTCAAGACTTTCGGTTGCTTTTGAGCATGCCTCAATTTGAGCCTTGAGTATTGAACATTGAGCATCTATCTTTCATGTTGTGAATTTACGTCGCGTAGCGTAACCTACATTGTACCTACCCAGTTGGGGAGGGTAGCGTACACGTACAATAGACGGACTACCAGGTACATAGGTACATATGCGGGTAGTGGTAGTAGTAGTACAGAGTAGTACTATGTATGGCACATGATTTGGAAGTCCGCGCACTCCAGCATCAGTGTTATCATCTCTTTTGATTCTCATCTGTCAAATCCGTAGTCGACTCAAGTGGACTCAAGTCGACTCGATATCGACGCCCTCATCCGTGGTTTTGAGTACGACAGGGACTCCTCCAGGAGGTCCACGGACTCGGATTTGTATCCTCGTATTCCGCATCGCAGCGAATCTTTTATCTGCATCCGCCAAACACTCGGAGAGTGTCAGTTGAGGCGGGAATTGAGGGACCGAGATGCGCGAGAGGTCGAGTGTCAGTGTGGCGTAGGTTGACCATTGTGTTGTGGGGACTGATTTTGATTCTGGTGGTGGTGCTGGATCTGTTCTAGACGAGGAATGGGAATGCAGTTGAGACTGTGCTTGTGGTTGCGTTTGAGTTGCTGACGTCGAGTGGTTCAAGATCGTCGTTGTGAACGCCACGATACAGTCGAATCTCCGCTGTAGAGATTTTAAATGGTGGATGATTTCTGACGCAGTATTACCTGTTGCTGGTTTTGTTTCTGCTGGTGCTTGAAACCCACTCGACTCTGTACCACCAAGCCTCGCCATGTCCCTATCAAACCGATCCTGCCAATAAAACGCAGTAGCCGAGTCGAGAACAAGTAGCCCCAAATGTCGATAGACCGAAGATTGTATTTTCGACCGATCGAAAAGAAACTCTGGCAGTGACTGTAAGATTGTCACGACTTGGTTGGACGATTGCGGTCGGAAAACGTGGATGTGTTGGAGGGCTTCGAGGGCGATACTAGTAGTATCACTCTCACTCTCACTCTCATTGACATGGGCACGGTCACTGGTTGTGTTGATGTTGACGTTGTTGGGTTTGTCATTGTCTCGGCTTGGATTTGGGTCCTTGCTCTTGCCCTTGTGATTCTTGTTGGACAAGGAATGAGAACCAACATCGCCGGGAGTAGTAGTAGTCTGTTTCTGTTTGCTGGTGGCAATATAATGCTTCATCACCTGCATCAGCCGACTAGCCGAGAACCGGCCATCACTATCGATATAGACTACCGTTGAGCCTTTGCCTCCTGACTCAACGGGCAGTGTTGCGACCGCGCAGAGATAGTAGAGTAGTGTTGTTTTGCCGGTGGCGGATTTGGGACTTGATATCTCGATGGTTGCTGCTGGGGGGTGGTTAGTTTTGGGTTTGGATTTGGCTTGTCGGCTTGATATCTGTGGTAGTTGTCGATGGTGATGGCTTTGATGTTCATCAGCGTGGACAATATCCTCATCCTCGTCTTGGGCATCGTCAGAGTCGACTGCCAGTGGTCCGGTGTTCTCATTCTCGTCGTCTTGATTCAGTGGCAGACTGGCTTCGCCTCTGTGAGTGCCTATGCCTGCCGGTGGTATTGATGTCCATCCTCGGTGTTGTGGTGTAACATCAGGCTGAGGTTGAGGTTGAGCCTGAACCTGAGGCCGGTTTTCGGCATACCAAACACTCTCAAGCACCTCGTCAAGCTGTGGTATCCCCAGCACATATTCCGGAGCTGGGTTCACTATATGTCTGAGATCGGCTAGGAGCTGTTGCCCAGAAAGAAGACAATAAAGTATCAGCCCATTGATCGTGTTGCAATTGTTGCAAGGCTTGTGATTGAGATCAAGCACGAAATGGATATAGTCTTCTGGTCTGGTTCCACACATGCGAATAGACTAGTTGGGTACTGTAGCAGTACTGTGACAACAACTCGAACGCACTCACATTCTCGAGATTCGCCTCGTGCACCTCCTCGAGGATTCTAGCTCCATATCGTTGCGCAGACATGTCCGCGCCATGACTGAAGCGCGAAAATGAACATTGACTTTGTTGTAGTACAGTAAGTAGGTGGTAGGAAAACAAAGCAGAACAAGAGTCGTGTGTTGTTCCATAACTTCAAGTCCGACTCCATCGTCCGCCGCGGCACTGGCGGTCCATTGACATCCACACCCTCTACACTTCCACATACATACAATTACTGTACTTGCCCATACCACGACCTCGTGGAGGACCTCTCTGCTATGGCTCCGCCCGAACACCCCTTCCCAGTAAGCGAACTCGAACAGCGCGTCCATTACCACACCGTCGAGTTCAAGGAAAAAGCCCGAAAACTACCGAGCGGATTCAATCTCAAGAAAGACTGCGCCCTGCTCGAGCTGGTCCAGTACAGCTGCACCACTCCCGAGCAGCAATATGAGCGAGCCATGGCCAGCTCGACGGGCACGGCGAGGATGGAGTGTTTTCCTTTTGTGAGGTTGTTTAGAAAGTACGATATAAGTTGTCCTCCCTCCTTCCGCTCCGGACCATAACTGGTCTCTCTACTCTACTCTTGCTCCCTTCCAGTTTCCGCCAAGAACGTTGCTCTTGATCACTAACATGAACGCCTACATGACCAGATGTCAAGATAAACGCGGAAAAGAGTTCCACGTCGAAACGACCGCTTGGGAGGGCGAACACGCTTGGAGCCCGCCTGCGTCTACGATGGCCCAGTCTACGAACAAAAACAACACTCCATCCACGAACCGCGAAATACAAGCAGACTCATACGCTAATTATGGCAATTACTTTTGGCCGCAAAAATGAAGAGACGCATCGCAACGCACTTCTTTTGGTCTATGTCACAACGCTATCCGGGGTATCATATGCATATGCAAATCCCTCGCCTTTGGGGATATCCCACCACCAACGCCATGCTATGTGTGAAGAATCAGCCATGATGATTTTGACCACATCCTGTGGCAATCTGTGGAATCAGATCAAATCTGCATGGCGTCCACGTCCACTCTATTTGTGGTCGTTGAGTTGGTCCTCTTTTCGAGACCGTTGGGGACAGCTGGATCAGTCACCGCGGCCCTTCTCTTCGCTTGCGCATCGTCCGGCATGCGATAAGCCTTTTCGCAATTCACAATCGGACCCAGCTCGAAGCCACCGGGCTCTTTGGCCAACAAATCCCGCAGTGTTTCTTCAAAGATGGCCTCTACAGAGATACTAGTTCCCTTGTGGCCCTTTTTCTGCTGTTGAGGGGTGGTGGAAATCTTCTGCGTCGAGCCGTTGGTTTCAAGCGGATGCGCCGCGTCTAGTTTGACCGCGCCGGCCAGCTTTCGCAAAGCCTGCTCGCCCAGCTTGCCTTCCTGCGTCGCCAGTTCACGGATTTTCCGGGTATCGGTTTCTCGCTGCGGATATACAGGCGTGTTCTTGTATGTATGCGCCGAGGGCAGTTCTGGCAGGCCTTTGGTGTTGAAGGAGAACCGGTGGAGCTGGCCGTGTCCATCGAGTTCAGGACCGAGAAAAGCGGGAGGCAGTTCAACGGTGTTGTGGAATTCATCTTCGGGGGGCGGTGTTGGTAGTAGAGGAGGGTTGATGCGAGGTGAGGTTTTGTAGGGTTCCAGTTGGTCGTCGGGTCGCGGTACTTGTAGGACGTCGATGGCGGTTTCGAAATCGGTGGCTATGGGAACGCTTCGGCGCGCTGCCTGCATTGACCGACGCACTCTTGAGAGGAATTTCATCATGACTAGAGAACAGTTAGGCCCGGGAATATAGCCGGTCAAGCCGGGACAAATAGAGGAACTTCATCTCATACATTCATCTGCCACGGAGACCAGCTCTTCCAAGGCGACCGACTCGATGACCGGATCGGTAATGCCTTGTTTGATCGCCTCCTCCTCGCATATGCTCTTGACAAAGTCGGTCAGAAGCTTGTCCACCGCATCCTGCTCCATGAGCGCTGGTTCGGCAGAAGGAAGAGATTGAGGTTTGTGGCGGAGGACATGGTGATGGTGGTAGGGGACCTTTCGCTTCGGCTTCATGTTGTGCTTGGGACTGGTGTTTGCGTGCGCATTCGCATTCGGATTGGCATTGTCATGCGCATGCGCATTCATGTTCGATGAGCCCGTCGACATCTGCATCGTGGCAGTGCCCAAGGTAGGTAGGGTGTGCGCACTGAAGGAGAGTTGACCTCAATGACCGACTGGGTGACTGAATTGGACCGTCTGTATCGTTGTAAATGTAGGATTGGGTCTCGGTTGGTCTGGTCTGGTGCGTTCGGTCTGGAGTAGTTTGATGCCAGTAGTAACAAGCCGTGACAACACCAGTCTGCACTGCACTGGACAAATGCACTGGCACTCCGGCTATTGGCAATACCAGAAGTTGTAATGAATAAAAGATAAAGATAAATGGCGGGAGGGTATAACCTAGGCACGACTCAGCGCCGGGGAACGATTGCTGCGGGTGCTAGTACCTCAGTATAGCACTTTAGTTCCCGCAATTATACAACGCTGTAGTATGTTGTTAGTAGTATAGTACAATAGTAGTATTACCTACACACGGACCTCGCGCCTAGAGGGATGTGAGGCGTGAGGTGTGAGGATGAGGTGGACTGACACCGATGAGGACTGCAGACTGCACACCAATACCAGGCCTCGTACTGGTGCAGCTTGCAGTGAGATCTGACCGCGGCGGAGCCTTTGCCCATTATTCGGCCCGCCAAGCCCTGCTGCTTCCCTCCAGCTTCAACTTCAACTTCGCATGATCTGATCTGATTGAGCTTCGTTCGTCACTATCGGCAGACACCACTCTCTCATAACCTGCCTCGTCTCACGACACGCAAAATACCACTGTCCTCGACCGGTCCCCTCATTCGATCCGTACCAACGTTCTAGAAGGAAGCTCTTGCCAGAGCCCGCGAGGAAACAATGGCCATCAAACCAATTACAGGAGTATGTCGACACAGCTACAGCTCTTATTGCCCCCAAAGAAAGCCCCGAGCAATCGCGCCCGAGCTATCTAAGCTCTCCCTCTGCCTCTCCCTCCCCCTCCCCCTGTCATGGTGGAAGCAGAGCTTCGATCTACCTCCGATCCGACAGTCCCTCATCTTTCGGATAGTGGTTGTGAAATATTGTTCAAGAGCTAACCAAGTTCTTGTTGCTTGCAGATGCTCCGACGAGGGCTTGTTCTGGATTTAAGTATTGCGCTCGGTAAGCCATCGAAACCTGGAATTTTTTTCGAACCCGCTCGGCCTCGGATATCTATGTCTGCCCTCTGCGGAAGAGGCTAGCCTAGGCTTCTCGGATCGGACAGCACCATGTGCGAAAAGAAAAAGGAGGAGATCGCATCGCACAGACAGACCTGGTCACGCAAGGCGGCTTGTTTTGATTTGGAAAGAGAGAGCTGACACGCCGTGCCAACAATATAGGTCTCGGAACCACTTTCGGATATCTGTGGTGGTACGGTTACCACCTCCCGCGCGTCCGGGCCCGTGACAACTACTACGCCAAGTTAGAAGACCAGCGCGCAAGGGAGGCCGGGTTCAAATAAATACAGACTCCAAAGGGAAAGGAACTCAAGAAGGACAAGGGGACACACAACGACAACATCATCTTGCTTCAGCCAGAGACACAAGACAAATCGAGTTCGCGATGAACAAAACGCCCAAGAAGAATCAAGACCCGAGTGCTGTGCTCGCATTTATACTGGCAGTTGCAAGATGTTCTTCTCATTGATTGTACATAGGCACGCACTGGCATCTACCTCATGCCACGCTGGTGGATGAGAATAAAGGACATACATCACAAACGCCGTCAAGCTTCCGCCGAATGCAGTTTCTGAAGTTGCTTTTGGTGGCCGGAGTGGGTTGTGCTCTTTTCGCTTGTGCTTTTCGAAAAGCTTCTGAAGCTTCTCTCTCGCATGGCTGCTCGGTCTAATAAGTTTCTCTGCCATTTCCGTCCTTGCTTTTCAACGCCGGGCAGTCTCGGTCTGATCAGATCCGTTTTGACCAACGATTTACTGGCGCCAGTCGTTCGGTCATTATTGCTGGAATCAACGTGAGTTGATACATAGGTACCTACCATACCTGTCTGGATGGTATGTACTCCGACAATTTAACTTGAACCATACAACGCCCAACTCGAAGTTTGATTGTTATCGTTATTCAAACTTGAGAAACCAATGGCTGGAGTTTTCCTGAAAATCCGTACCTTAGACCGCCCAAACAGACAGCAGCAGCTATTGGAGTGCAACGACATGACGAGCATGAGATGAGGCCCGGCGAAGAGTCTCGATAGCCAAGTGGAAGTTTTCGCCGAGCAAGCACGTCAAGAGCATCCAAAGATTCTTTCAATGCCAGTGGCCACATGGAGTCACAATGTTTCTTTTGCTTCCAGATTTGTTAAATTCGTTCCAGCAAGGCCATTTTTCGTGGCCAACACCTATGTTACGGTAGACTAAGAAACCGGTACACCACTGCATTCGTCGCCTGTTGCACGTTCTTGATGTCTTTTTTCCTTCTTTGCTCGTTTCATACGTATCATTCCCATTCCCATCCCGGTTGAGCCAGTATGTAGGTAGGAGCAAGTCTTTTTCCCCTGAGCAGCTAGCTAGTATGTAGCTACTGGAATCATTGCGGCATTTTCATCTTCACCTAGATATGTGAACGGATACCCACATCTCACTCACTGCTTCTTCCTCCGGACTCGATCAGCTTTCCCACTCCAAGCATCCTCAAAAACCGTCGGTTTCTTCTTCTTGTCCTTATTATCGACATTCAAATACCTCACCACCTCGACCATCCCCGTACCAACACCCATAGTCTTACCGACAATGACCGACTCAGAGACACCTTCAATCTTGTCGACTTTGCCAGCAATGCCCGCGTCAAAGACATGGTCGGCGGTCTTTTCAAAACTCGCCAACTGCAAAACACTGTCGCGCATCTTTGCCAGACCGAAACGCGTGATTCCCAAGACTTCACCCTTGTACGTCATGACATCTGCCAAAAGCGACATGTGACGAGGATCAATGGATAGAGATTTCATGACTTCTTGAATCTCGAGAATGATTTTCGACCGGGCGGCTTCAATGCCGAGCACCTGTAGTGTTTCAATCACAGAGTTGGTGTGCGTATGATACGGATCCACGCCCTCGGTGTTCATGCAGTACCGTAATCCGTACCCTTCGACCATGACTCTGTGCATTTGGACGGGTTTGCCATCGTCGACAGCAGCTGCTTTTGGTAGCGCAGGTTCTGTAGGCTCTTCGACCTTGACACCCTTTTCCTGATCGTCGCCGTTTTCACTCTTAATTTCCGGCTCCGTGGACAAGGTGATGGCGCGCTGTTTTTGTTTCTCTTTTTCTTTCTCAGCTTTCGCCCGCTCCGTGGCCCTGCGCAAGGCCTTGATCTCGTCGGACCGTGGATCGTCTTCCGCCATGACCACCGCTCGAGTGGCTGTAGGGTGACCCAAGATATGCACGCTCGGAAGCACCCGACGCAGAGTCTGAAGACGGATCAATCGCTCAGTCTGGCCATCTTCATCGATTCTGGCCGCTGCGCCACGCTTGGTCGATTTGATCGGGGCATCCGAGTGGATTTTCAACTCGTCCTTGCCCCGGATTTGAATCCTCAGTTTCGCCGCCTTGAGTTGCCGATGTTTCTGGATCGCGTTGCAGATGTCCGTCAGTGTGAGATCCAATCCCAGCTCGATGATGGTGTCCAAGGAGATTTTGAGCACGATGCAGCTTGGCTTGTCCAAAGAGTGGCTGATTTGAATGAAAGAGGTGATATCTTCCAAATACAAACACTCGATCCTGCCCTTGACGATTCGGGCCAGAGATTCGGGAATTGTCAGATCTCTTCTTCGTTCCAGACGGCACGTGATGACAGGCGTGCTGATGTCTTTGGACGCGTTGATGATTTCCTTGATACGTGGCACACCGGCCGTCAAACTCATGCCTGCAACACCGGCAAAATGGAAAGTCTTCAGTGTCATTTGTGTACCGGGCTCACCGATGGACTGTGCACCGACGGCACCGACGGCATGGGCTGGTTCCGTTCTGGCTCTTTCATATTTCTCCAGGCACAAGTTGATGAAGGCCCGCAATGTCCTCTCAGATACCTTGCAGGTCAAGTCAAATCGATCCTTGGTAGATGGAGGCGCCAGCACCCTGGTGACTGCTCGACTGTCTGATGCCACTGTCTTCTGCTTCTTCACAGAGGCACTAGAAGCTCCCTTTCGACCAGACTGCCGTTGAGCAGTGGCGGGTTCTTCATTCTCAGCTTCCTCCGGCTCTGTCTCGGCTTTCCGTTTACTACCACTGGTCACGCGGGCAGGCGGCAAAGCATACTGCTTCTTTTGCACCTTTGCTTCGATCAGGTTCCTTGCCTTAGCCATGACGAAGTCATGAATCGACTGCAAGAACGCCCGTTGACTTTCACTCTGGTCAACCATTCGTTCATCGTCCACGTCAAATGGTAGTTCCGCGCCACTGAAGTCGAACCTGGTGAGTGCCTTACGCCTGGGGGCCAGGATTTCTTCCAGAATAGCATGCATCTCGGTATCCGACAAGCCGGGCTCATTCATGTCAAAAGTGGTCGCTTCCACATGGGCAAAGGTGCGGTCAAAGTCGACGGGCTTTGCGCTTGCCTCCATATCCACAGGATCCAACTCATCATCTCCGAATCGGAACTGGACAATGTTGGAAGCCGAGTTACGAACAGTGCGGTCGTATTGGGTGGAAAGATCCTCAAGAGACTTCATGAGACGACGCGACATGTAACCGGTTTCGGCGGTCTTGACAGCCGTATCAACCAGACCGACACGACCACCAACGGCGTGAAACAGAAACTCATACGGCAAAAGTCCGCTGAAGAAACTGTTCGAGATGAAACCCTTGGACGGTGGCGATCGTTCATGCTTTGCAAAATGGGGCAACGTTCGATCCTGGAATCCGTCCTGTACACGTTTCCCTTCAATATCTTGTTGCCCCAGAAGCGCCGCCATCTGGGCCACGTTGATGTTGGAACCCTTGGACCCGGAAATAGCCATGACCATGGGCGAGTTTCGCTTACTGAGTTGAGCCGTCAAAAGACCAGCGATGTTTGTTCGAACCGTACTCAGAATTCGAATTTGTTCCGCTTCAAGAGTGCCTGCGTCGTCCAGACCGGGTTTCCTCTTCAACTTGCCTTCTTTCGACAGACGCACAAAGGCTTTGCATTCTTCAAACACCTTGGCTATCATTTCATGTTTGGCTTTCACGAGCGGGTCTGGAGGAGTGACGTCGCTGATGCCGACGGTAAACCCTTGGTTGCCCAGCCATCGTGCACAGAGTTTCGACAGACGGTTCATACCTTGAGCAGCTGCGTCCGGGCCGAAATCACGATATAAAATGTAGAAGACCGAATTCTTCTTGCCTGACCCTACAGTGGCCTTGTCCATTCTGCCACACAAGACCTCCGAATTGCGGATGCAGAGGAAACTGTCGTCTTGCAGATCTCGATGTAGCCCAGGGTGATATTGACTGTGATCTCTGGATGCGGCATCAAGGTTGACCGTGACCGGGGACTGCTTGTTCGGTCGTAGCATTACACTGAAGACTTGTTTTCCGGTCCAGAGGGTTTGTGGCTTGATGACCGCAGGAGGGGGGAGCTCGAATTTAGTGTCTGGCTCCAGCATACCGATGCACATGGTCACAAATGTCTTTTTGTCGAAGAATTGATCTAGACTGCTGAGAAGAAAAGAGGCAGTAATGAAATCTTGAATAGCTGAAATGATAGGCTCTCCGTTCTTCGGCGTGACAATGTTGTGCTTGACACCCATCAACAACGTGGCCTCTGTCCTCGCCTCCTCGGTCTGAGGGACGTGAAGATTCATTTCATCTCCATCGAAATCGGCGTTGTAGGGATTGCACACACATTCGTTAAGTCGAAACGTCCGGTGCGGTCGCACTTTGACAAAATGACTGAGAATACTCAATTTGTGGAGAGATGGCTGCCGATTGAACAAGACAATATCGCCGTCCTCGAGATGGCGTTCGACGATGTCGCCCTCCTTCAATTCTTTAGCGATAAGCTCTGGTTTACCGAATTTGAGAAATATCCGGAAGTCGCCGTCCGGCTTGTAAACGTAGTTGGCACCCGGCCATACTTTGGTACCATTGCGTACCCGCTGTCGCAATTTCTCAATGTTGATCTCGTTGACAACCTCTGGATATGTCATGTTCTTGGCCACCAGTATCGGCACCGCAACCTCGTCGATTCTCAAGTTTGGATCGGGAGAGATGACAGTACGACCCGAGAAATCGACACGTTTTCCTGACAGATTTCCACGAAAACGGCCCTGCTTGCCCTTGAGTCGCTGGACAAACCCTCTAATCTGCTTGCCGAATTCACCCTTGGCCAACCCTGGAACATCGCTGTTGATGTACATGGCCAGGTTAAGTGTCAGGTAGTCCCAATGTTCGACGACGGACTGCACCGGCGCTCCTTTCTCGATCGCTTCTCGCAGAGCATTGTTTGCCGCCACAATATCGCCCAGCTTTGCTGTAATGTCATCCTCGGTACTCGCACCTTCTTGCCCTACCGACGGTCGGATACACACTGGAGGGGCGGGAATGTATAGCCAGAGAAAATCTTCCGGTTTGGCGGACCGTAATCCGAGAAGTTCACGATCTGACCGCCGTATGCGCCTGAATAACTTCAACACCCGCAGGGGATTCAGGTCGTCCATAGCCTTCTTCAAATGCTTCTCTAGTTCCTGATTGGATTCCTTGGCGGTCTCGAAAGACTTATCGAACTCGATCTTTTCAGGCGGCGGCTGCTTCTTTGCTGCCGTCGACGAATTGAACGCCTTGAACTTGTCGTGAGAAATCTTGAGTGCCGATGTGCCAGCTTTCCGAACCAGACCGTTGATGGCACCGCACTCGAAGCAAACCTTTGTTTTCCGACATTGATCCGCCACTTTTCTCACAATCGCCGCCTGTCTTAGACTATCGTTCGCGACTCTTCGTAGAGCGTTATGGTATTTTCTTCGGTCCGCTTCGGAGAGGAGAATGGCAGAGCAATCCTAGAAAAATTAGTGGTGCGTTAAAGCCTCTGGAGCGAAAATGCTTGCCTTGCAGATGCTTTGTAGTATCTGGATGACTTTCTTGAAATAGCCCACATGGAAGACCGGCAGAACGAGTTTGACGTGTCCGAAGTGTCCGTTACATGTTTGTAACTGCTCGCCGCAAGTCTGGCAGATATCTCGTTTACCCGATACACCCATTCGTCTGTCGAGTGGTCCATATTCGGCATAGGTACGACCTTTGTCGAGATCAAACATGCGACGGTCGGCGAGTTCGACTTGAGACTGGTTGATGATATCCTGGTCGGATAAGACACCGAAGTGTAATTCTTTGATGACTTTGGGCACATCGTTGACCACCTGCTCTTTGCCCGGCAGGGCAGCCTGGACTTCGGTGGACGCAGGCATCTTGCTGTCACCGTCACCGGTATGAGGGTAGTCGGAGGGGACGGGCTGGTGAGTCGTTCATATCATCCGAGTCTGCGCCGGGAGTTGGCTGTCAAAGTCGGCGAACACGGTGGTTTATGACATCCAGAGAATGCAGGTAGATTGATCCGGCAACCTGCAATCAAATCTGAAATGGTGAGGATCGAGTGAGAATTAATGATTAATTGGTGAGAGATCGAGTCTCAAGCAAAAGCCGTTGATGGTGGGCGCCTGCAATTCACGCGCCCAAAGATTTTCTCCAAAAAGAAGTTCGCCGCTCGCGATTCGCTCCCCACCATCAATCGCCGCCGCAGCCACATGCAGCGCACTCTAGCAACCCTAACCCTAGATTCTACGGTGTCAACGTGCAGTTCTTCGCCTCCATGAGACATGGGATAGAGTCTCTCGTAAGATCATTATCATTTCTGTTATCCCTTGGACTATTCAAATGCCTTCCCGCCCTATAGCAGAACCCGTAGTGCCCAAACGCCACGCTTTGTATCTGTACACAATCCGCTTTCCATCAATCCAACAACCGATAGCTGACCATCGTGTCCACCTTGTGATTGCTGGTGCTGAAACTTCGCAGCTGGACTTTCTCTCCATTCTTGATCTCCTTTGCATCACTGTCTCCCCACTCGATGGGCACGTCCGAGTCCGCATCTGCATAGACTAGGACGTTAAACGTGCAATTGCCATCGAGGACCGGCAGGAAAGTGACAGATGCGGTGATCTGTCGGAAGATGGCCTGAATCTCTTCTTGAATTTGGGTCTCGGTCTTTTCGACTTCCGGCTCAGCATTGGGCGCATCTCTGTAATCCTGTCAGCGTTCGTTTGAACTATTAAGCTGGTCAAGTGCAGCAACATACCCCGGTGTAGCATTTTCCTTGTCCCCAGCCTTTTTCGACGACTGTTGTTTCGAGGATCGACCGAGGAGCTGCACGTCGAACTGCCATCGCTCGACGTGTTCTCCCGTCTCTTTACTGGTAATCACCACCACCAACTTCGAGATCTTGCCTCCGACCATCCATTTGTTCAACTGCGACATAATCTTCTTGATGTATGCTTTGACTTGGTCGTCCGAGGAAACTGTCTGCATCAGCGCGAGTGTCGATCCCTTCTGTAGATGTCCATACCCAGCATATTGAGGCCATATTTCTTCACACTGCCATCGATTAGCCCTAATTCCTTCCGAGGCTGTTCTCTTTGCTCACGGTGTAAAGTCTTCTGCAGGATAGACGCCTCTCTGGAATCTAGAATTCGTCAACCCACGAGCTCAGGTTCTCTTTAGAAGCAAAGCGCTCACAGTATCGTGTTGATCGAGTATTCAAACTGCTTGCAGTCAGTTGTGCCGCACTGTCATGCCGGGCGTACAGTACTCACAAACTCAGCGACCGTCTTCGAGGAGCCTAAACCGACTTGTTAACTCGGGCCAAATCCATCCAACAATGCCAACAAACCTCGCAGAGCCAACTTGTGCGTTTGCGCTTTGTCCTTTTTATCGACGGCCATGTTTTCGTGTATGATTGTAGTGCGGCGAAGGAGGACGAGGATGCGGAACAATTGTATGTCGAAGTCGCTGTGTTGACATGCAACGTTGGCAGGCCAATAATCAGAAGCGAGAGAAGTCCGGCGGCAGAACAGAATATCGCGTACTACCACCACTACCACCACTACTACACGGACATTTTATCAACCCAACTTGAACTCTATCAATGAGTCTGCACCACCTCACGCATCGCGACTCATGCGACAATGGCTGCAGGTCTTTGCACGGCGAAGAGCTGCCATAAGCACTCCTTCTGCCTCAGTATGGCCATGGCCGTCATTCCGTAAAAATGTCGCTTGTCCTTCAAGTTTTCCCCGACGAACCTTTGCAACTACTGTTGTTCGCACTGCAGCGCCATCGGCTCCGCCCACTGAACTCGAAAGGCGGATCGCGGCCATCCCGATCGAGCGGTATCGCAATTTCTGCATTGTCGCACATGTCGATCATGGCAAAAGCACACTTAGCGACCGACTGCTGGAGTTGACCGGGACGATTCAACCAGGGTCGAACAAGCAGGTTTTGGATAAGCTAGATGTGGAAAGAGAACGCGGAATCACGGTCAAGGCGCAGACGTGTTCGATGATCTACAATTACAAGGGCGAGGATTACCTGCTGCATCTGGTCGACACCCCCGGTCATGTCGACTTCCGCGCCGAGGTCTCTCGCAGCTATGCCAGCTGTGGTGGTGCCCTGTTGCTCGTAGATGCCAGCCAGGGCATTCAGGCCCAGACTGTCGCCAACTTCTACCTGGCCTTCTCGCAAGGTCTGACTTTGATTCCTGTCATCAACAAGGTCGACCTGCCACACGCCGACCCTCCCCGGGCTTTGGAGCAGATGCACGATACGTTCGAACTGGACCCCGACAGCGCGGTCTTGGTATCTGCAAAGACGGGGCTGAATGTGGAGAGCATTCTTCCCGCTGTTATTGAAAAGATTCCTGCGCCGGTCGGCGACCATACCAAGCCATTACGCTTGTTTCTAGTGGACTCATGGTACTCGGCCTACAAAGGGGTGATTCTGCTGGTACGACTATTTGACGGAGAACTTCGGGCCGGCGACCAGATCGTCTCTTTCGCCACTGGGCTCAAGTACACCGTGGGAGAGGTTGGGATCATGTATCCTGATCAGACGCCTCAAAAAGTCCTCCGAGCAGGACAGGTAGGATACGTCTATTTCAATCCGGCCATGAGGAAGAGCAACGAAGCAAAAATCGGCGACACGTACACCAAAGTGGGGTTTCAGAGACAAGTCCAGCCGTTGCCTGGGTTCGAGGAGCCGAAGCCGATGGTGTTTGTGGCCGCCTTTCCCGTGGACCAATCCGACTTTGAACATCTTGAAGACAGCATCAACCAATTGTTACTCAACGACCGTAGCGTGACAGTGCAAAAAGAGTCGTCTCAAGCTCTTGGAGCTGGCTTCCGGCTCGGGTTCTTGGGCACACTGCACTGTTCTGTGTTTGAGGATCGACTACGACAGGAGCACGGGGCCAGTATTATTATCACCCCACCCACGGTGCCTTTCAAGGTGATATACAAGACCGGCAAGGAAGTCGTGGTGACGAATCCGGCCGAATTCCCGGACAGCGAGGAGACACGTCGCAACGTGGCCGAACTGCGCGAGCCGTACGTGCTGGCCACCATGACATTTCCTGAGGAGTATCTAGGTAAAGTGATGGAGCTGTGCGAGGCCAACCGTGGCGAACAAAAGTCGATGGAGTACTTTACCTCTTCCCAAGTCATTCTCAAGTACGAGATGCCCCTGGCGCAACTGGTCGACGACTTTTTCGGAAAACTCAAGTCCTCCACAAAAGGCTATGCCACGCTCGACTACGAAGAGGCCGACTGGCGAGTGAGCAATATTGTTAAGTTGCAGCTGCTGGTCAACAAGGAGCCTGTGGATGCCATTTCTCGTGTCCTTCATCATTCCCAGGTCCGCCATGTCGGCAAACAATGGGTCGAGAAGTTCAAGGAGCACGTCGACCGCCAGATGTTCGAGGTCGTCATTCAGGCTGCCGTAGGCAAGCAGGTCGTCGCCCGCGAGACCATCAAGCCCTTCAGAAAGGATGTCACTGCCAAATTGCATGCCGCCGACGTTTCCAGACGGAGGAAGTTGCTGGAAAAGCAGAAGGAAGGTCGCAAGAAGCTGAAGGCAGTGGGCAACGTCGTTATTGAGCACTCTGCTTTTCAGGCATTTTTGGCAAAATAGAGAGTACCAGCAACCAGACGGAGCCGAATTCTTGTATCAATAGTTATAGAGCCATACCCTACTTGATAAGCATGAAGTGATGATAACCTACAGTATGACCTTGACATGGCACGTAGGAGTTTGAACATGCGGCCGCAAGAAACATCGAACGACAAGGCTGAACCCGAAGGCGGCACAGACTAGTCTCGTTCCCGTCTAGTCACATATTTGACTCTCAGCCTTGTGCCCCCTTTTCTCCATTCCAATCAGTCCTTGCCGCATGTCTTCAGCCGTGGTCCGTATCTCGTCTAAAGCACGAGACCCTGTCCTCAAAGGTCCAGCATGACCTACATTGCGCTCAACAATAATGTCAACCCCTCGTTGTGGCCATGTCTCACACCTTCATGAGCGCCCGAAGAGCGCCTTTCCCCGGACCCAATATGGGGCGTGCGCCTACCTCCGCGAACATGTACAGGACGAGCGGGGTGTGTCGCATGCCGTGTATCGTCTGCACTTCAGGTCTGCTAAGACATCAACAGCCTCTTAAGAGTGATGGCATCTAATTCCAGTCATACTTGCAATTGTTGGACTTTCCATTGCTCTTCAGAAAGTGACCACCACCACTAAGCAGCAAATACCCTCGATCCCACACAACACCACAAGATGGTAGCCGACAAGAAGGTTGCCCTTATAACAGGCGCTGCGGTAGGTCATAGCCCTAACTCCAGTTCCCCAGTATCGTGAGAAACAATCACTAATAGCCAGCTACATATAGTCCGGCATGGGCAAAGCCCTAGCCACAGACCTTGTATCCAAAGGCTGGAACGTGGCATGCGTCGACATCAACTCAGAAGCAGGCCAAGCCGTGGCAGCGAACCTAGGCAACCAAGCAATCTTCATCAAATGCAGAGTGGACGACTACGACGAACAAGCGCAAGCATTCACCCAAACATTCGAGAAATGGGGTCGTCTTGACGCCGCCTGCTTGAACGCCGGTTACGTCGACCGCACCTCGATTTTCCAGCTGAAAGCCAGAAACAGCGACGCCGCCGACACCTTACCGCCGAAACCGGATTTGTCATGCACCGACGTCTGCTGGAAGGCCGTTGTGTATGGCACGATGCTGGCGGTGCATTTCATGCGCAAGAACGCCACTCCGGGAGGTCAAATTGTTGCGACATCTAGCGCTTGGGGTCATTATGGATGTCCGACGGCGCCGGAGTATAGTGGTGCGAAAGCGGCGGTGAGTTTGAACAAGAAGTCTGGCCCTTAGAAAACCTCCCTTCTCATCGGTTGATTGCAGGTCATTGAATTCTGCCGCGCTGCTGCTCCGGTGTTGAAAATGGTAAGTACTGTATTAGACCTTTCAGTTCGTCTGCAACAGCACAATTCTGTTCTGACTCTTGGACATTCCAGAGGGATAACATCACCATCAACGCCGTTTTACCGGGCCTTGTTAGGACTGGAGTGACACTCCCTGCCATGTTGGATTCCTATACTCCTGAATAGTAAGTTGCAGTGCAACCTCCCAACAGACGGTAACATGTCGGCTCACACACTGTTTCGCTGTTTCAGTATCACGCCAATCGAGAATGTTCTTGCCAGTTACAACAGGTTTCTAGAGGATCCGTCGCTGAACGGCCAGTTTCTGTACTGTGCTGGGCCGGCACCGGATGATATCCAGTTCGTGCCGCGACCTTCCCGGCCTACGGGCGACCAGTCGTGGATCATGGAATTGGTCTGCGAGCCACTGTTTGAACGGGTGCATGGCGAGCGGTCGGGGTTGCCGGATGCATTTTCGCCGGAAAAGCCGGGGCTTCATGTGAAAGATCAAGCTCAACAGGGGCAATAGTCAAGTCAACAGGGGGTCAATCGTTGCATACTGCACAGTGTAGTTTGACCACTGGGAATTGTTGGCTGACTATGGGGCTAAGGAGGCTTCAAAATAAAGTACGCGGGCACCAGACAGATCCGCAATATGACTGCTGCCCCCCTGGTGTCTTCTGCGTTGTATTGTATTTATGGTGGAAAGAGTCGGCACTATGACGCAGATAATAGTATGGCTCCTGTCCCGATGTCCGTCTGTGCTGGTACTGAGCAGGAAGTGCTCTGCCTTTCCAAAATCAAAACTTCATCCCATGTTTTCCCTTTCCTGGTAGATCGACGTAACTTGATGCACGGTCCTTGACTCGCCCAGTCAGCTGGGACTCCGGGGACGCGACAGAGTTTCCTCGGCCGCGAAGTAAAAGTACATCAGTCACTCTGTACAAACGCCATAGAATGCATGTCCCGTTCTTCGATATTGCTTCTGCTGACCTTCGCCACCGCTCAACGACTCCAATGTTGTGTGACATGACATTGAACCACTCGCGGCTAGGCTTACCAGGGGGGCTGTGAGTGGAGTCGGTTGACTGATAGAGACCAGGGGTGCCGGAACATCCAGACCAAAAACACAGTTCACTTTACATGCCATGCCGGGCGGCGCGTAGTGCACAATTCCAGTGGAACGGAAAAAGAAAAAAAGAAAAAGAAAAAACGATCTTCCAGAGAACAACGCAGAAGAAAATCTCCTCGATTGTTTTGATATCATATCATACACACTGTCTTGCCTTCTTCCATTCCTGGCGGAACTGGAACTTAAACTCCGTTGCAAGTATTCACAATTCCCCCCCACGGCACGGCCTTGAACTTCTCGGTGGAGTCCTTTCAGCTCTGAGAGTGTCATCCGTTGCCTTTCTTCCCAGTCCAGCCCATCCCATTCCAGCCCAATCCATTCATTTCATATCATTACATTCCCATCACTGCAATCGAGTTCAGTTCGAAAGGTCGCCATGGCACGGCAGCCTCTTGCATCTGCATCCTTCTGGTTCTCTTCTTTCACTCGGTGTCTCAATAGAAAACAAAAATCGATGTATCGTGGTATCACTGCGCACTCGCTTCGCTTCGCCTCACACCCCCTCCGTTCCGAGGAGAATGGATCGGATTGGACCGGGCGCGGGCGGGCAGGCGACAAAAAAGGGGAAACAAAGGGGTATTGGTGGTAGTTGTCAAAAAAGCAAAGCACAGATAGCCTCCCATGCCCAGATCAGCCATTGGAATCGTGCCGTGCAGGGTGTCTCCCCCACTTTCTCATTATCATCGGCTGGCTCATTACACCACCACCTGTCTCTGCGCCGTCTCATTAACCGCCATGGGCGCACATAGCGGGTTCAATTTGAAAGTCTTGTTTGCCCTCATCTTTGCCACCTCAAGGGGATCATCTTTTGGCTGCTGCTGTTGCTGCTGATGATCTTTATCTTTATCTTTTTCTTTTGCCTTTTCATTATTTCTGTCACGGGCTGATGAATCAGTGTCATTCCCTGTCCTGACGTCCTTGTCCTTGTCTTTGTTTTCCAACCGAACGGAGCCAGACCCCGTTGGTTGACTACATGACGACGTCCCGGTTGTAGTTGCCTGATTCTGATCCGTAGTGGGAGCGGCACTGGTAGTAGAAGACGGCTGCGGCTGCGAATGTGACTGCTGTGGTACTGTCGGCGTCAGATCTTCATCCCGTAAACTCTCCATGTGTTTAACCGTAGGACCACCCAGCTTTGCACCGCTGTGGCTGTGACTGTGACTGTGACTATGTCCAACCATAGACGCCCTGGCAAACGGCGGGGACTCCTCGCCAACAGACTGATACACCGACGGCTGCTCGGCAAGTGGCAGGCCGCCAAACTGGTCACCCAGAGCGCGGAGAATGGCCACAAAGTACTGGTGGAGATAAGTAAAGATGTTCTCGTCGCCCACAATCTCAGCCAGACTGCGTGGCGCAGCATGACCTACACGCCGTGGGTGACCATCCGGATCGACGGTGCGGGCGGTCAAAAACGAAGAGACGGGAGTATATTTGTTTGAAAAGCTTGATCTCGTGGCATTGGCCGATTTGGCGGCTGCCTCCTGCTCCTCCTTCTGTCGCTGTCTTTCTTGATGTCGTTGCGCGGCCGATTCAATGCCCTTGGCCATGTTGGCGAAGGCCTCCCATAGCAGCGGACACGCTTGGAACGCACGACTTGCGTCTTTTCCTGCCAGTGCGATAAAGGCATACGCTCGCCGGCGACCGCGCGCTTTAGGGTCTGTCAGTCGGAAAACGTATGCAATCGTGTATCCTGTATTGGAATCGCCAAAGCAGAGTGGGCCGTCTGACATGCCCCGGGGAAGGAGTTCGCAGGATAACGTTCGGATGACGGATGCTCGTAGCTTCGCATAGCTCTCCGGATCTCCCGGTGACTTGGCGGTCAGGTATGTGAGGGTGTGGTCGTGACAGTTGTCAGGGTGTCCATTGGAAGGGGACACGGGTGACTGAGAGGAATCCCGAGAACATGATGAAGCTACCGACGAGCCATATGATGACGCTTTGGAGCCTCGTATAGTGTCATTCCCACTACTCGGTCTTCTGTCGCGCATGCAGACAAACTCTCTGGAACGCAACACAGGTGCGCCAGTGTTTGTGCTGGGACTTTTCCCATCGGCTGTGTTTTTGCTTCCAGGGGCTCCGGCAGGCAGCTTCTCGGCCACGGCTTTGGGGATGCTGAAGCTGCAACTAGCACATGCGTCTCCCTGCGCTCGTCCATATCGCCATTGTGAGCCTAGCTCTCGCTTATGGTCCACAGTCTGGAACAGGGGATGTTTCTCAATTGTCGGTCGTTGATGATCGGGCTCGTATTCAGAGTCAACGGTCGTAGATGCGCCCGAAAAGTCGGTGGGAAGGGTTACATTCGTGTCTGTTTTGCGCAAGGGTGGACGAGTATATGAATTCTGGGTTGGGCCACACGACGATTCGTGGATCTGGGTCGAGAGCGATTCGGAAGAAGAGGCTCTCAATGACGGCGAGGGTGGGAGACAGAGGGCGCATTCCAGGGGTAAGACTTGTGTACATAGCACTGATTTCGGACCATGCGCTTCACAGAAGTGTGTAAGCGCGAGCTATAGTAGATGTAGATTAGCATCCGCGGCTCAATCAGATCATGTGTACTGCTTGAGACGGTTGTCATGCGCACACTGCTTGTTGCGCACTCGTCACTCACCGTGAAATCCATCTTTATTCAAGTAGTTCAACAGTTCTCTTCTTTCTCCTGCCCTCCCCTACAGTCTCTGACAATTGTTGTCCATCGTCCACAAGCCGATACAGGGTGCTGAAATCGACGTGGCCATGGACACTGCTCCCCAAGTGCTCGCCACAATCTCACTGCCCTTTCCTTGAAGACACTCAAGACTGGAAGTACTGTACAACTACAGACGAGCCAATGCTGCAGGTGGGAAAGAGCTCGCGTGCGCAGTTGAATGGAGGGACTGTCGATCGAAGCTGTTACTTAATGGTTCGCCCAGGAGGCGCAACGGTGGAGACGGAGGAACCCCGGGGGACCAGTGCGCCGGAGTGAGCGCTGGCGGGCGGAGAGTGCGGAAAGGTGTGAAGACTGTTGTACACGGTCGAGAAGGGGATTGAGAGGAGATTGAGGGTACAAAGAAGCGGTGGAGGGCGCAGAAGAGTTCTGGAAGTGAAGAGGAAGAGAGGACAGTGAGGTACTGGAAGTGGTCATGGCATTACCATGACCATCGATCGATGCTATTGCGGTGACGGGGATAGGGAGGGAGGGAGGGAGGCTTAGTTGGGGCCTCGGGCCTGGAATCGCCTGCTTACTACGCGCAGGCACCTTCCACTCTGGGCCCAACTGCGCAGACCGCCACCGACCAAAAGGGCTTGGGACGCTGCTACAGGCTCCCTAGACCCGTTAACACGGTAATACTAGCAACAATAAGCGTTGATAAGACTGGACGGTTCCGGGCGCTCGGACGTAACCACGATTATTCTCTCTTCCAGTCGCCGGCGCCCGCAGCAAATCAGGAACCGCCGAATGTCAACCCGTCCGAGTCTGTCACGTCCAGATCCTGGTTAAAGTCCAGCCGACAGGCAGCGACTGGCACTTCTATCCCCGGAACGCAGCGCACCGCATCTTTTTGTATTGTCGTACTCATTTGGAGGTTGAGGTATGCATTCTGCTCTACTACACCGCCATTCAGGTGTCCTGTCGCCAACTCGTTCGCTATCGCCTCGTAGCTCAACGCCAGTCCTTTCGCCAAACCAAACACCGCAAAGTCACACCACAAGCGACATGCATCCTGTTGACCGAGGACTACTTTTGGTCTAGTAGCACGCTCTACGAGACCGTCATGTCCGCGTTGGATGGCTGTCCTGCGCCCGTCTTCAGCTCCTTTCGCAACCAGTCCGTTGTGAATCGGCCATCCGACGTGGCCATCTGCAGTACCAGCGCTACTTGGTACCCCTGCATCAGTGCTTTGATGTCTTGTAAGCCATGACCATTGACAAGAGTGATGTGTCGGGTTGGAATGTCGATCCTCGCTACCATGGCTATGGCCACGCAGAAAGAATGTTGCGCGCCCAAGATCGGGAGAAGCGAGTCCATGCCACTTTGGACACGGGGTAGGCCTTCGTCAGTAAATTGGATCATCGGACCAGTATCGTCTTCCGCGTCTTCTTGTGTGACCGTCAGCCTTGTGCTCCTTCGACGTTCCACTGCTACGACAGCGACAAGGTTGCCTTCCAAGGCGTCGTACGTGTCTTCGAGCGCGACATGGCCACCTAGCAAGATGACGGCACCTACGTCTGCATCACTCGTGCCGTAAGTGAGCCTTGTTTCCCGGTATGTCCCTGCGAGGATTGGCATATCATTCCATAAAGGCCGTTCCAACGACCAGTCAACTAGATGAAAGTAGGACTGCATCTGGAGGTCGTGTTCCCTTGACGAATGAACCTTATCAAAGACTTGCGCCGGGATTTGATGTATCCGACACTGAGCAGCCTCTGCGAATGATTTCCAAGGTTGTAGATAAGGCGATGTCGGACTTGTGTCCAGGCAGACAATATCCGTCAGCGCCATATTCGACCATAACTGGCTGGCCATTTGCTGGTCGACATTGTGCCACCATTTTGGTGCCAGGATAATAACTGGGGTACCCCTGTGCTGAGTGCAATACTTGCTGACCTGATCGAAAAGATCGACAATTCGATCCCAGTGCCAATCGAATAGATCCGTATATTGCGAGTCGCCGAGAAAATGGCTCCTCAGGATTCGACTCGACGACCCCGCGGTGCTGAGAATCTGTGTGAATGATGGTCCTAGCATGGGCTGGGTAACGTGAGCAAGATTGATTGTGCCGGGAGGTCCAAACTCCGGTGACTTGGTATCAAGGTCAATAAATAACACTCCTTCCGGTCCAGCCTGGCCGGCAGGCAGTTTTTTGGTCGTCAGGATTCCATTGAGCAGGCACCGTGCCAGGGTTGATATACCTGAAGATCGCCTACCGCAGAACAAAACCTTGAGCTGGGAAGACAGAACACTTTCGGACGACAGGAAAGTCGAAATAATTGGGTGCCAATTCTCAAGACTCATCTCTCTGAGACGTTTGAGGCCCTTGGCTTCATTGTCAAATGAATGGCCAAGAATATAGAAGGATGACATGGATTGCTCGACATTGGGGGTAGCCCAGAGGTGTCTGATTCCAAGTGATGGGAGATCAACCAAACCATCGACATAAGAATCAAGCTGAAACTCTGCTTTGGAGCTCAAAGCTTCCACGGCAGGGAGCGCATGTGTGCTTGGAGCATAGATTCGATAAATGGCCGTGGAAGCATGAATAGTTGCGCCATAAACAGAGACAGAGCCTTGCCTAACCCAGAGGATGCATATTCCGAGGATGACACATCTCTGCAAGCGTCAGAAAAGCAAACCATCTTAGTGGGAGACATACCTGCCCCCGAGACAATCTGATCTTAGCAGAAGTCTCACTCAGTTGTTGCACTTCTTTGGTCGCGCTGAATTTAACCGCAGACGCTGTCACTAAGGCTGAAAATGGATTTGAGGAGTCGACCGAAGCATTTGAAGAATCGTTTCCCTTGATCTGATGTGCTCGGGCTCTAGTCACCCGTTGAGCTGACTTAACCTCGACTGGTGCTGTTGGAGCCGGAGCTGGGGCTGGTGGTGCTGAACTTGAAGATATTGGAGCTGCCGCCTGGGCATCGCGCAAGAGACGCCGCCTCGCGACTGCGCTAAGCCGTTCACCATCTAGAACAATGTGAGAAATGGCCGGACCTCGAGGGATGCTTACATACTGGCTGTCATCAACAGGGTGACCAGAGGAGCGACGGCTGAAACGAACAGAATTCAAAGATCGAGAGCCGATGCTGATATTTCGGCTGGCCAGAAGCATCAAACATTGGGCATGCAGTGTCGCCGCTATAATTTTAGGGCGGCAACTAAACCTGTTAGTCGCGGGACCTTCCGAGCTGTCTAACGTGAAATCTTATCTGATCGTCTCCGAATTTTATCGGGGCTTGACCCAAAAAAATTGCCAGTCTTCATTAACCCTGAGACTCACGACAACATCTACATTTACGACACAAATTATTTTTTGGAAAGCAATAGTCGTGCGCTCCAATATTCATCATGGCCAAAGTCAAAGAAACGGCTCGGCCGAGTAATCTGAGCGAAGAAAGAGTTCAGGACTCTAGCGACGAAGAACCGAGCTCGGTGACAAAGTCGACACCAAGACAAAAGCCACAAGCAAAAGTTTCTAAGAAGCCCAAACAGAAATCACCAACTCCAGAGTCCGAAGAAGGATCGACAGATGCGTCTTCGGATAGTGACACCTCCGATGAGTCTGAAGATGAGTCGGACTCGAGCCCAACATCAAGCCAACAGAAGAGAACTGCACCATCTATCATGGAGTCTCCTAAGAAGAAGCCTAAGACGGCACCGACATCTGCTGCTGTGCAAATTGCGCCCAAAGCCTTCAAACCACCGCAGGGGTACGAGCCAGTTGCTGTGTCCGCGTCTGATTACGCCTCCGAAGTAGGCACTTTGTTCGACGACCTGTCTTCAAAGCAGATTTGGCATATCTCCATTCCTGACAGCGTGTCGATTGAATCGATCAGGGAACTTGACATCAAAGCTGCGACGGCAGGAGAACCAGTTCTTAGCAAGGACGGTGTCAACTATAACCTGAAATCTATGGAGTCCAACGACGAAGTTGTTTTCCTGCCACATGGGAAAACAATGCGTTACCAACAAAACACAAAGAGGGTTGAGCAAAGCTTTGTCCTCCAGGAGATGAGTGACGCTCCAAAGTCGAAGAAAGATGCATCAGTGATCTTCACCGCGGCCGATACAGGAAAGCCTAAACCAGTACGACAACAGCCCGGTGGCTTGAAGATGCGCTACGTTCCGTATGGTGCTCCTGCTCTTCCTGAATCACCTGAAATTGAAGATGCGGATATCGAGATGAAAGACACTCTCGACCTCCCAGCAGAACTGGAGCCGACGTCGTCCCAATCAACGACTAAAAAATCAAAGCACAGCTCACAAGATGCTGTCAATGGCAAGATGCCGGAGAAGAAGAAAAAGAAGAAGGACGTTCAGGTTACGAATGAACAAGCGTCGCCTGAAAAGAAGAAGAAAAAGAGACGGCATCTGGTTGACGAGAATGTCTTGTAGAGATCCGTCTGAGTTGTATGTCAATTTAGCGCCCTCCTTCAAGTTTTGATATTATTCAACGGACCGATATCCTATGCCTGATTGCTTGCAATTCATTCATTTCCTGCGAATAATGGTGCATGTTCCACACTGCCTCGAGCTTGGTTCCTCCACAGCACAGCAGAAGAGACGTACTATACTAAGCCGATGGACTACTCGTTCCCATAGCCAGCTAGCTCTTTCTTGCACAATGGCTTATAGTCCGTGACCTAGCGTGAAATTGAACCCAACTAGACGCTTCCCATACCCCAACCCAGCTAGCGCGGAGAAGTATCGGTACTAAAAGCGAAATAAGGTTTTATGGGTCTGCAGCGACATTTTCCCGCCCTCGAGACGGCCGAAAAATGTTTCCCGCCAAATGACTGCACCGCTTGTCGTCCGACAACCGCTCTCTTGAGCTTTGCATTTGTTACCACGACTGCCTTGACTCTACACCCTCTGCTATAGTATCGACCCGACTCTGACTTACTTCACTATACCACCCATAACAGCCGACACAATGGGTTCCGTGGCCAACTCTCACTATGCCCTCTCCCAGGCGCACAAAGAGGTGAGTGCCTGTCTGCGGTGAACGCGCATTGGCATTGACAACAACTAACAATACACACAGATGCTCGAAAAATCTCTGGTCGAATCCGACCCGGAGATTGCGGCGATCATGGTAGGTGTTCCCCTCACCACCCTGCGTTTGGCCGACTCGTTGAACGCTAACCTGGGTTTCAATGTAGGAGAAGGAAATCAAACGCCAACGCGAGTCCGTCATCTTGATTGCCTCCGAGAACGTCACCTCCCGCGCTGTCTTCGACGCCTTGGGCTCGCCCATGTCCAACAAGTACTCCGAGGGATACCCCGGAGCACGATACTATGGAGGAAACCAGCACATTGACGCCATGGAATTGACGTGCCAGAAGAGAGCATTGGAGGCTTTCCATCTCGACCCGGAGAAGTGGGGTGTCAATGTGCAGTGCTTGAGCGGCAGTCCTGCCAACTTGCAGGTGTACCAAGCCCTTATGAGACCACATGACAGACTGATGGGGCTGGATCTGCCGCACGGAGGACATCTGAGTCACGGCTACCAGACACCTCAGAAGAAGTAAGAACTACAGGAAAGAGGTTGAATGAAGAACCGTGTTACTAACACACCTGGATCAGAATCTCCGCTGTATCCACCTACTTCGAGACGTTCCCGTACCGAGTCAACCTCGAGACCGGAATCATCGACTACGACCGACTTGAGGAGAACGCATTGATGTACCGCCCCAAGTGCATTGTGGCCGGAACATCCGCGTACTGCCGTCTGATCGACTATGCGCGCATGCGCCAGATCGCCGACAAGGTCGGAGCATACCTGATTGTCGACATGGCCCATATTTCCGGCTTGATTGCTGCTGGAGTCATCCCTTCACCTTTTGAATATGCCGACGTTGTCACCACGACCACTCACAAATCTCTCCGTGGTCCACGTGGAGCCATGATCTTCTTCCGCAAGGGTGTCCGCAGCACTGATCCCAAGACCGGCAAACAGGTTCTGTACGACCTCGAGGGTCCTATCAACTTCTCCGTCTTCCCCGGTCACCAAGGTGGTCCTCACAACCACACCATCACCGCGTTGGCGGTTGCTCTGAAGCAGGCCGCCACTCCCGAGTTCCGCGCCTACCAAGAGCAAGTGATCAAGAACGCCAAAGCTCTGGAAGTCGAGTTCAAGAGACTTGGATACAAGCTCGTCTCGGACGGAACGGACTCGCACATGGTTCTTCTCGATCTGCGTCCACAGCATTTGGACGGTGCCCGAGTCGAGGCCGTTCTCGAGCAGATCAACATCGCCTGCAACAAGAACAGTATCCCCGGCGACAAGTCCGCCCTGACCCCGTGCGGCATCCGTATCGGTACGCCAGCCATGACGTCGCGTGGATTCAGTGAGGAAGACTTCAAGCGCGTTGCCCAGTACATTGACCAGAGCATCCAGCTCTGCAAGAAGATCCAGAGCGAGTTGCCCAAGGATGCCAACAAACTCAAGGACTTCAAAGCCGCCGTCGCCAACGACAGTGTTCCGGAGATCCCTAAACTGAGACAGGAGATTGCGCAATGGGCCTCGAGCTTCCCTCTGCCGGTGTAAGTTGTTGCGTCTGGCATGACCGCTGCAGTGGTCAAATTCAACCATAGAAAACCATGTTTTGGTCCCGACAAACAGGACAGACTTTCTAGGAAGTGGGGCGTTTTACATGCGTAGGGCGGTTTACGATGTGATGGGAAAATAGTACACTTAAAACTGAATTCAACTCAACCAGGACGGACGGCGTGGGGGCTAGTCACGGCTTGGGAATAAAAACAGGGAAGAAGGGGAAAGGAAAGGAAACGGCGTATCTTCAACGATACTCAAGAAGAATAGAGAAAATGAGATACCACAACTTGAACACCATGTGATGAAATTCGACGAAGTTGCCGTGTTAGACTTGAAGTGGTTTGATGAGGTAAACTATAGCACTTACAGTGCCACTGGCAGGACATTATTGCGAATCATGGTTCTAGCCGGCCCCCCCAAAGAAAGGTTCGTAGTCATGGCATTTTCCGACGAGGCATAAAAAACAATCAGCAGCCAGGATTCGCAACTGGTCACCCACGTTACTACTAACTAGCCGGCAACAAGCTTAAGTACAACTGAGCGGACGGGAAGTTCTGCTTTCTTGTTCCTATGGCCGATTGAGAGGGAAAAAAGTGGTGATGGAAAAAATATGCGACATTTTTATTTTCCGCTCTTCTCCCTTTTCTCCCCTTCCACACCAAGAACCACTCCCATCCGCCCTCTAACCCCCTTCAACCAGCGCCTTTTTCACCTTTTGGTCGAGGACTGCACGGTCATTGTCATGATTTCTACAGCTAGTACTACCACTGATAGTAGAGTAGTAGGGTAGGTCCAATAGGGTCCGTCGGGGCTGATTGTTTCATTATGTTGTGTGCCGTGCGGTGTCGTTTCATGGTGTAAGTACACGTAAGTAGGTACTGGACTAAGTACGCCATTTTGTTGTGCCGTGCTGGGGGTTGAAGAAAACTAGTTGAATTGGTTGGGTTGAATCGAGTTGGGTTGAGTTGAGGTGATGGCAATTCGAGTCGTGCTCTGCTGAGGGCACATCAGGACAGAATCAGGATCAGATCACGTTCGCCTCCTCGCTAGAGCAGAGCAGGGAAGGGATTTCCAAGCGGACAAGGACTGGGAACTCGGACTCCGGAGATAGATAGAATTCATAGAGCCAAGCTGTGCGTGTGTGTTTGGTCGGGTCCGGTCCTCTTTCATCTGATTTCTCGTTTTTCGTGTCTTGTTCAACTCATGCTAGGCTCTGTCCTCGTGTCGTACGGCAGATGGATTGATAGGCCGATGAACCACGGAGAGGAGAAATCCAAGTTCTCTCTGCCAAGAGCGTGCTTGCCATCACTGGGCAGGTACCAGTAATAGTAGCGAGGTACATCGCACATTGCCTAGGCGGGGAAGAAGCTGAGCGTGTTGCCTGCATTGCATTGCATCGCGAAGTGAAGTGGCATGGCATTTGTTTTGGTTCTGCTCGAGCTCCGCCTGTCGATATCGATGTCGGTTCGTTCGACGTGCTGCTGGCTGTTTGAATCGGTGGAACTGGTCCAAAGGTGTAAGACCGGACTGTGCTGGTCTCATGTTTCTGTTCGTAGCGTTGCGGCCGCCACTGATTGATGGTTAAGTCTTGCACGTCTGTTTCCGTGCATGACCAATGCCGTAGTTTCCAACACACTGGGATCCTCAATCGCTCTCAGACAAAGTAATTGCGTCCGCAGACTTTAGAAACGGTGGATTTCTTAGCCCTGCTTGAGTTTCACTTTCAACCCTCCACACCCTGCATGACCGTATCACTCTCAACTGCCTCTTCTTTCACCACATCGACATCCAAATCCACATCCATATTTCCATCACCATCGCCGCCATCTTTATCGATCACCGCATCAGCGTTCTGGTGACTCGGACCTGCCGCCGCAATGCTCGCCAACAAACCCAATCTCTTCCTAAGTAACCCAACAGTCCTCTCCAAATCACGAATTTCCTGCTCTTGTTCTTCCACTGTCCTTTCGATATCCGGCAACGCTGTAACTGCTGCACGGGCCTTGACTAGTTTCTGTTTGATCGGGTAGATCTGCGCTGGGAGATCTTTTAGGTCCAGCGGCGTGTCGGTTAGGAGGTGGTGAGGTGGCGCCGTCTGGTTGGACGACGACTCTTGTTGTGTTTGTGTCTGTGCACCAACGACATTTGAGGTGGCTGACAGTTGAGTCTGTGACTGTGATTGCGACTGGGCTTGAGTCTGAGTCTGTGATTGCGTCGGGTCCGACGTTGAGGTCGAGGGAGGGTTTAGGTGGAGAATGTTGAGGCGCGCGATAAGTAAGTAAATGTCGGGAAGGATGGAGAATGTCGAGGGAGAGGGGAATGGTGGGATGTCTGGGTGCGACGCCAGGGTTGGCGGGGATGTCGCGGAGGGCATGGTGTCTGTTTAACTTGAGGTTGTTGGGTTTGTTTGTTCGCGGATCCGAGGATAACGTAGACTGGCGGACTGCAGTAGACAGATTGCACGTTGTTCTCGAGGTGTATGGAGGAAGGTAGAGTGTGGTTGAGAGTGCAATAAATGTCAAGTGATTAGGAACCGTAACATGGGAAACTTGAATCAAGTGGAATGCGGTTAATGACCAGGCTGAAGCTGGATGATCCTAGCACCACCAATCAGGTTGCTGTGGAGTACTCCGCAGCCACAGCCTTGCAGCCTTGCCGATTGTTGATGACCGGCTACAATTATCGAAAGGCCTTTGTTCCGGCGGCTGGTGGTGGCCCCGTGTCCCCCTTTCGAGTACCCAGGAGACCGCTGTGTGCAACGTAGTGAATTTGAACTTGTTGCGGGAGAGGATTCTCTGACTGAGAGATGGGTACATTAACATACAGCTTGTATTTTGCTGCTGGGGAGGCCGCCGTATACTCGAAATAGAGTATCGGTACCGCACCAATATAGCCTCTAGGTATGCTGTCAAATACCACAGTCTCCATTGAGAAGTCGATCGACAAGAGGAGTGGCAAAGAGACGTCTTATGTTCTCTATTGGTCATCTTCTCATTATTCAATACTTAAACTTGAGGCACGAGAGCTATTATCTTGTGGACTAACACCATACCCTTTCGGCCACTGCAGGAGTGGCTGATTCCCTATTGTAGAATGAAAGTGGAAGACTCCTTTACTCCACGACCATAAAGAGGAGACAAGACCACATCTCATAGATCGTTGTAGCCGAGACATGTTTTCTCGAGACCCTTGTCAGCCACAGCCCATACCCACGCCCGACCTGCCTCGCCGGTGTAGAGCCCAACCAGCTGATCGTCCCGGCCCGCTTCTTCAAGCCAGCCCTGTTTTTCAAGGACGTCACTGGCCATACAGGCCAGAAAGTGCTGGAACTCTGCTTCAGCATCAAGAGCCAGAGCATTTCCGGCAATACCATGACATAGGCAGGGTTGCTTTGTGAGCACCCCGCGTTTCCAAATGTCCTTTTGTGCAGCAACGATGGCAGAATCGATTCTTTGCTGCAGTTCGGGAAAGTAAGTTCTGATGGATCTCAATGTCAGCACTGCACCGGGTCCTCCATGACAGAACTGAACCAGCCTATCGGAGCCAGGAGGAAGCGACGAAGGGAAATTGCCGCTAGGGAATTGCATCTCGAGCAACTGCTTCAGGATGGTCTGCAGTGCCTCGGCAGATGACGCCGACGATAATACAAGCTGGCCAACAATACCAAAGATGCCATGAGCAGCTCCGACATAGCATTTGCCGTGCCAGACCCAGGGCTGTTTAGCGGACAAAATCCGGTCCACGGTCTTTTGGATAACCCGGTCGATCGCAACAGTCGCCTTTGAGTCTTCTTCATAACCTGAGCGGGCTAGACGTAGGAGATAAAGATAGCCCGAACGACCATATAGCCACTCGTTCGACCCGCCGGAACTGCCGTTGATTACCTTCTCGTATGAACACAATTCCTTGGCCAAACTGGGATCTTTTTCCATTGCGGCACGGATGGCTAGTTGTGTAAGCCGCTCATTCGCAATCCCGCAATGACTAGGGTCAACGCTGTCGTGCTGCTCATGCGCCCCGAGGTCAAGGTATGCTTGCGACCAGTCTAGCAGGGATTGCCCTTTGAATACTAGGTCAGGGTAGTGGGAAGAAAGGCGGAAGAAGAGATACGCTATCGACGTCGGCCCATAATAGAGACCGTGGAATTTCCAGCCCGTAGAACATGTCTGGACGGGAGGATTGTAGGTGTTGATGCGGTTTAGAGAAGCAAGGAGCTCTTCATGGGCGTTGGGCACACGTCGAGAAGGGGTCTTTTCATTTTGAAAGTAGCGACTCGAAGTGCTCATGTTGGACACTTTGTCAACCTGCGATATCGTACGCCTCAAAAAGATTGAAAGAAGCAGGACTCACGTCATGAATAGAGAGCACCTCAATCTATAGTTCATTTTCTGAAGATTGCCACACGACGTTCAACTTGAAGCGGATGATTTCATCCTTGTGGCGATAGGAACGAACCAGATGCGGATTTCTGTTCCGTGGAGTTGCCCCGCAGTCAAGCAATTCCTGCTACGGGTTCTGTATACTAGCGGAGCGCAGAAAATACAGCGCAGCATATCATGCTTGACGCAATCTTGTTGAGCACGACAAATTGCAATTGTTCACCATGAACTGAGCCTCATGCTCACTCATCCTTGCTTCTCGTCTCCAGGTACATGTACACTTCAGCCTCGCGTGACCAGCAAACGTACTGGGCCTCATAGGTCGGCCCGTCCCGCTGCATCCAGGACTCGAGTACTGTTACCAATACATGGCCTACCTTTTGCTGGAGCCAGACGTGGAACGGTAGGTCATCCCACGCCTGAAGAGATGCCACCGTCCTTGCGCAGAGCCTGCCACGCTTGTACCTCCGCAAAGCGCCGTTGTCATCCTCGATTGCCAAAATGTCCTCGGTGCCTGGAGAAAGGACTAGACTGCACATACGATCTCGAACCAGTCTCAAACACGGCGGGGGCTGATGGTGCAGACTTTGTCAGCACCGCGCAGCATCCCGTTCGACTTCTTCTACCCTCCCGATTGTATCCTTCGGTAGGCACTGCTCATGCCGATGCTATCCGCGCCTATACGCCGCAAGGCTACGATCTCAACAAAGGGGTACCTGTAATGGCCAATCCAGAGACCTTTGAGCTAGTCAAGAGGCGCCTCGAAGAGATCCCTTCCCTTACTTTTCAACATCAATCGACGCCATATGTCCATGCTCAAATCCTCTCTGCTGGTGAAGGTGTAGCGGCGATTCCATCCATATCCGCACAGTCTATGGTGTCTGCGCCAATGGATCCATTTCCTGATCTGATAAGCCGGGAGAAGCGGCGGCTATTATCTTTGGATGTCCGGGATATACCATTTACCCAGTTTATGGCAGTCTTTCATGAACTAGTTGCCATCATGTTGGCTTGCTACCTAGACATGAGCCAGGCAGATGTGGTAGTTTCGGATTTCCAAAAACTGTTTGATCTCTTCATGGCTTGGTCACACCATTTCTACTCCGTACTGCCTGAGAAACTGGACAGTGACCTTTCCCCCTGGCGAGCCTGGGTGATCTCAGAAAGCGCCCGGAGGACGATGATCTCCATCGTCATGATCCGAGGAATCATGGAGACCGTGCAACACGGGTACTGCTATTATCGTCCAGGTGTCGAGTCTCTACCCTTCGATGCCAGGACCGGTCTGTGGGAGGCTAGGACCGAAGAGGAGTGGGAGGCTGCGCTGGCCATGCATGGCGGTGCAGAGTGCAGTCTGATGTCCTGGCACGAGTTCATCGAGAGTGGTGGCCCGACGCCTCGTCCGCAGTATGATGGCATGTTGCAACGGCTGCTTCTAGCGGGGCACTTTGGTAAGGCTGCACAAACCTGATGAACCTGGACAAGATGGTCACGGTCACTGGGAAGCCCAGATTATACACCAGTTAGGCTCTTCGGGTCCCTTTAACCTCGGCCGGTGAAGCCGTTTCATGTTTGGATATCGTCCAAATCCTCACTTGACACTGCACATCTGGCAGGCTCTCACGCGCAGAGATGGGCCTCGCCTGGTGGCTACCTTGTACATGTCCTGCGACACTATGGCCGAAGAGCAGAGTTCATTGGAATTGGGGTGCCTGTTATGCGTCCGCCTCATCGCATCGTACGATGTCCATGCTCCACGTTGTTTCCAGATCGGGTTTAGATTCCGCAAGGCGGACCCCAGTCACGGCACCGGCTCCACTCTCTCCTCGACGACCAGGCTGAGATCAAAGGGTCTCCGGCCTTCCAGTCCTGAGGTGGACTTTCTCAAGGAACATTCGCTAAGGAGACCAATGTACCTTCACGTCTTGTCAGACAACGATACCGCCCATGGGTCCTCTCGGGATGTTTCCTTTCATGGGGAGTGGAGCTGCCCCAGTGGGCCTGAGGATAGTTTGGAGGGCTTGAATGCTGCGTTCCAACTGCAATAAATAGAGAAACAAATCCTCTATTCGCCGTCTCCAGAACCGCACCTCGCAATTCACGAAGAGTCCGTAAATCGAGCTGAGGGCCGCAGAGACCTTTTGACAATGGAATACAACGAGAATCTGCCCAAAGGGCTTGGGCGGTACGTCGACAGTCTCATCCAAGTCCCCTCACCCCCCAAGAAGTCTACAACGGTTCGATGTCTATCCTGGTCCTCATCGGACTGGAACAGTCATGGTGGCCACTTTATCTTTGATCACACTCATTAACGCGCCATTTCTTCTCTCAACCAGGGAACCCGTCTACTCCTGGGGCCACAAGAGACTGCCCAAACAGTCCGGGATCACGACATATACTCTGTCTCCGAACCAGTCGAGGCCGATGGCGCATGCATTCCACCGCGCCATTTTCAACACCTTCCGCCGTTGCAAGGCCCAATTCCTCTATGTCGTCCCGCCCTTTGTCGTGGCTTACTTTTTGATGCAATGGGCGAATGAAAAGTCGGTAACTTCTTTGCTTCTCAATCTTTCAGTATTGGGTCCGCGCACATACCAACACCTGCAACGGCTTTGCAGGAGACTGAGCTGCACTGGACCTCCTAATACAGAGTGGAGTGGACAAGAGAGGCAACGGTTGCAAGGATGGGATGTTTCTGCGCTTCCTGCCCCCATCTTCGAATTACCCAAACCAGAGCGCACTTTCACTAGTCACCAAGTCATGTTTTCCCAGTGCAAAATGCTGACTGTCCCTCTGCGACGCATCCTATAGAAACGAGTACCTTAATTCCAAGCCTGGACGTTTCAATACAACAGCAGCAGCAGCCCCGGAAAAGGGCGAAGGTGGAGCAACAGCCGGATAGCTACTAGGTACCTGACCTACCTATCAGTGAGATATTGGACGAGTAGTTAACCCGAAGGAACCCTCAGAAGTCATCTTCTTTCCTTCCTGCTGTTGACACGGATCGGATCAGATCAAGCCAGTTCATCAGTCAAGCCGTTTGCCAAGAATGGACCACACAGTGCAATTGTGGACATGCAAACCATCTCATCTCCTTCGAAGATGCCAGTCAATGGAAGACAGAAGACAGCCGAATTACTATCACTGTATCATATCAGGCCGGTTTGACTGTGTGTATGTATCCAATGTATCGTACTTACCTTACTGTAGAAGCTACGAAAGGCGATGCAAATGAATGAAAATGATATCAACCAGGGTTACAAATACCGCAGAAAGTCCGCATACATCAGAGGATCAAGATTGGATGAGATATCAGACATTTCATTCAAAGTTTGGCTAGCACTCGTTTGCTCTGGTTGAGCACGCATCGCACCGTACCGCATCGCATCGATTGAAGCAATGCCTAATAAATAAGAACAATAATCGTTTCATTTTGGCCAGGACTGGCTCACTGCCCTCCACACCAAATTCCCATTCGCATTTAATGCATTCCTCACGAGAAACGCCTGCCTATAAAACACAAAGGCGAGAAGAACATTGACTGCATTGCACCTGACACTTGTGCCTCGACTCCATCCCGCAGAGTCACGCAAGTTCTCTGCATCTGCATTGCACCACCACCCACCGAACCTCCATGATCCGTCGAAAAGTTAAACCGAACCTGAATCGGCAACTATCAGCAAGAGCAACGGCCGTCCACCCTCGCCATTCCGTTCCATCCCATGCAGTGGCCCATTTTTAAGTTCCGGGACCACGTGCAGCCCACTCTAATCCCTTGGTTTTTTTTTTCCTTTTCTCAAAGAGTGATATACAATTCATCCCTGGGCAGTCCCAGATCCTTCATATTCGGATAATAAGGCACGATCGCATCGGCATTATAGACGTACGCATCATTGTAGAGACGCCAATACGGGGTGCGGACTTTGCGGGCTGGATGAAACAGACCGGCCCAAACATAGTTCATGACAATCCCCGTGCCGACGGCCATGCGGATAGCCTCAATAGCTTCGATGATCCGATCGATGACGTGGGGGCTGGTCTCAAACAAGTTGGGATACAGCAGGTTGAGCAGGTGGACCATTGCATCCTCGCAGCCAAGACCAACCACGCCCAGAGCCACATGTTTGACAACGCTGGCGGCCGTTTGGCGGTGCACTTGGTCGCGGTCGATGAGGGCGTCTTCGAGCAAGGGGGTCACGGCATAGACGTAATCCTTGGCCATTTCGCCGATATATTCGAATAGAAAAGACAAGGATTTCAACACGCCGTTTTGCACGTTGAGCTCCGGCACGCGGTATTCGTTCATCAAGGCCGGCAACACTGTGAACGGCGCACAAGTCTCGGCGACAATTCCGATCGCCACGGCAGTGCAGACGCGGGACTGACGTTCCTGGACGCGCAGGTTGTTGAGAAGCGTCACGAGCACGTCTTGAGGTCCGATGGCTTTCGCAATGAAACCAAATGTGTTGTTGGCGGCTCGTCGGATGCCCTTCTTGTGCGCCTTGAGCATGTCGAGCAACTCGAAACAGATGCGCATCCATTCTCGAGCATTGACCGACTCGGGACCTCGGTCGGCAATACGTCCGACCAGATCGATTGTGTTTTCTTGCACTTTTTCGTGTCGATTTCGGAGGATAGGCGTCAGACGAGGGAGGAGGTCTTTGATGGGCGGTTGCATCTGGTTGATACCTACCACCGTGACAATCGATCTCAGCGCGCCGAGGATGGACCCAAGAACTTCGGGGTATTCTTCGCCCAGATACTCGTACAGAACAATGCCGAGCTTGCCCATCAATGCATCTTCGCCACATTGCTTCATGACCATGGCGATGCGGGAGATGAGATCCGCCGCTTGTTGACGGACCGTGGCAGATTTGTTGTTGAGTCGCCAAAGGATGGTACTGACGATCTGTGGGAGATATGGCTTGCACCGAGTCCCCAGGGCGTTGACGACGGTGCCGAACCCGTTAAGCATGACAATGTCCTCGATGCTTTGTTCCTGGAACGCGAACAACATGCCGTCCACCAGCCTTTCTTCCAGCCGTTCTCCGATGTCTGCCGCACCTAGAGACGCAATGACCTTTTCGATCGTCTCGACGGTCATCTTACGATACGCTTCGCTCTCATCCTTGAGATTGTTGACAATGCGTTCAACAATTTCACTAACGCCAACCTTTTGACCCAGGTCTACTGTCGTCTCCACCACTTGACGATAGTTTCTCTTGTCCAGTGCCATTCGACGGACCCAGAAACTCTTAAAGAACTCCTGCAAGACATGTTCCTTCAGGTACCCCGCGGTAACACCATCGGTGCTTGCACATTGAGAAATGACTTTGAGAACCACTTTCTTCATTTCCTCATCGGGTGAAGCGAACTCCCGCAGAAGAATTTCCATGATCTGACTGGTATAATAGTTGGCATATTCTTCATCCATGAGCGGGATAATGTATCCCACGGCTTTCAAGAAAGCAGCCAATCCCTTACCCCTCTGTTTCCGAGCACCTGTCCACAAGGGGTTGAGAATGTCGTCAAAGCTTTCGATACCGTAAGGATTTGCAGCCTCCGCCAATGCAGCAATTGCGAGCGCTGTAACCGTTCTCACTTTGGCCTGTTCGTCACTCAGGTTATCGGCGATGCAGTCCACTAGACCCTTCAAATGAGGCAGCACCGCACACCCCATGAGAATGGGGATTTGCTGGACAATTTTGACACCTGTATGTCTGGCTTGCCACGATTTCTTGCTCCGACAGACTGCTCTCAAGAAAGGCAGCAACGCGGGGATTCCCAATGCCGAAGCTACCACCGCAAAAGCTCTCGCGGTTGTGTTTCGGACGTACTCATCCACATGGTCGATATCCGGTCTCATCGTGCTGATCATGTGAGCCAAACCAGCAGCTTTGGCCAGATTGGAAATGATCTCGCGACCTTCAACCCGAGCATAGTAGTCTTGGTCAATCAGCAATGGTTCGATGACGACCAATATCTTATGCACGTATGGTCGAATCAAGTCGTCAAGCTTGTACAGCACACGGTCAATAACCTTGACAAGCAAATGTCTTTCTTGATCCTCCAGAGACTTCTCCATGAGTAACGGCAAGATTTGGTTGAACAACGGGCCGGCACCAAATTGTCGAGCATTGTCGGTTAATTGTCGCAAGGCCGTTTTCCGCATAGGAGGCGTTCCATTTTTCACCTTCAGCAAGAGTCGCATGATCTTTCGCTCTTTCAGTTCCTCCACGGACATGGCGTTCTCATCTGCCCCGTCAACAAGCTTGCCGAAATAGGCCATATCCTCAGCTTTGAAGAACTGCAGATCGCCCACGCCGGGAATTTCGGTGGGAAGTTGTTTGCCCATCATCCTTGGGTTCTCCGGCTCCTGCATCATGAAGCCACCAATGCCGGTCGAACTGGCAGATGCTGTCGGGGTGGCTGCAACCTTCCTGGCTACCGGCCGGATGGGAGCATAGCCGGGAGGAGGTTCCAGAATCGTGTAGCCTTCGGACGGGAGCATCATGTCGAGTTCCTCATCTGTCCAAGAACCACTTCCAGGACCAAAACTGACGGGGGCAGCCTGGGACGGGTGCATGGGCGTAGCGAGACCAGCGGTTCCCACTGGGGTGGCCGCAGTCAAAGCCGGCGCTTGATCCCATCGCGAGCGTTTGGCAGGGGCCGGAGCGCCATCTGGAGCAGGAGCCTGGTCCCATCTGGATCGCTTCTTTGGCTCCGTTCCATCCGGAGCTGGTGTAGACTCACTGGAAACATCCCACCTTTTCTTGCGCTTGCGGCCGGTAGCTTCGACTGTCGAACCAGCATCAGCATTCTCCTTGTCGGCTTCCTCCTTGAGAGCTGGTTTATGCTCGACCGCAGAATCACCGTTTGCCTGCTTCTCGGCGATGAGTTTCTTCACTCGCTCTTCCTCGCGCTCTATCTCTTGTAGCTGCATGACTTCCCGATACGTGGCACCATCTGTAACGCCGGCATGTTTGTTGGCAGCGAATGGATCGGCTCTGGTAGGAGTAAGAGGACCTCGCTCAAACCTTCGCTTCTGATAATCAGTTTCACGGTCTGCTATCCGGGCAGATTTCTCACGCCCAAGCAAGATGTCTTCTTCCTCCACGCCATTTCCCGTTGCGAACTCGTTCATCTGATCTTTGGTGGCGGTGTACTGTCCAACCAGCCTTCGGCTCTCGGTTGCGTCTGGCATATCTTCGTCCTCACCATCGACAGGTAGAGAGGTGTGGTAGCCGGCGAACTTGTCAGAGCCATCTCGTTCGTACAGAGAGGTATCGAAATTATCAGTCAAAGACGCCTTGGTGGATGAGTCAGTGCGTTGACTGGATGGATCGAAGGTCTTTGAACCTTTCTTGCCGGCAGACTGAGCGTTGCGCTCTGCCTGCAGGCGTCTCACAGTGTCGAAATCGGCTGGGAATGGAGTCAGTAAAGGGTCAAGGGAGCGATCGCGACGGCACTCACCGTCAGACATGATGATTGCCTGCGACGACCTCGATACGATGAGAACAGGATGTGAAATCTGGAAAAGGTAGATGAACTGGAGTTGTTCAGTGCTAATCGACGTCTGCGGCACGTTGACTTGGGTAGAGAAGGCAAATATGAGATCAAATCACGTGAAGGGCATCAAGATTTCTTGCTCCGCAGTAATTTGTGATACGGGGGAGTACTGACAAAGTACAGGCGCCACCCGCAATTCTACAACAGCGACTCCAGAGTTTCTGCTGTGTCTGTCAACATCTACAACTACTAGTACAGTGGCTATCTACGTAGCAGTCATTAGTTTCTTGAACATGGTCTCGTCTCGCATTCTACTACTAGGTAGCTTTGAGCTTGGGAGTGTAGAGAGCTTTTCATTTGCAAAGGCATTTTTGGGAGCAGAAAACGCACGCAAATCTTTCTTTCAATAATAGTGGCCAGAAGACTCAGGCTGGCTTCAACAAGGAGGACAAGCAACTCGACAGGGCTGTTGGCGGCGGACACAGCCTGGCGCACGTACAGGACTAGTAGTAGTAGCCGTGGGTGAAGGGTTGAAGGATGGGAGGATGCCAGTGTGGAACGCACCGCAGGGCGCCGTCGAGCCTAGAGATGGCATGCGGGAGTCGGTTGTAGGGGTTATACCAGGCTGGTGATAGTGAACTCGACAGTGACCGTAGCGGCTTCAACCCCACGAGCCAAACGAACTGCTACACATTGCAAAACTGCAAAACTGCACCCTTTTAGCATCTGGTGGAAGCCACTTCGGAGGTGTCAGACCCAGCCCGAGTCCGCTAACACCTGGAAGAACCAGTGTTGTCTTTTTGGCAGACACCACCACCACTCGCCCATCTCCACCAACACCACCACCACCACCACAAACCACCACTGCCATTGTAACGGTCGCCATCGCCGTCGCCTTGCCGCCGCTGCCACCACCACCGAGACCACTGGGACTGGCACTGCATAATATTCTCACTGATCGTTGAGACTGCAGGGCTGTATCCTGGCCTTCAGCGTATCACTGCCCGTTGGCACATGAATCTTACAGCGCTGCCACCACCAACCAACTGTGGCCGGTGTCAGCGGCACATAGGATCCTGTCGTCTGGGCTTCACATCACAGGTTCCTGCATAAGGCCTGCTTCCAGATTTCCAGCCTCTCAGCCTGTGTCCGAATGTCTTTCGCGCCTTTCCCAGCTCGCCATTCGCTGCAACGTCTCTCTACAGGCTGAAGTCTGGGATCCGGTCCTGCTCTCTGTCTGACCTTGACGCAGCCACCGCCCTTCCCTACCAGACCTGAGCCAGAGCCACACGACTTCCTACCCGCTCATGTCGTGCTGACAGCCAATTGAAATCCGATCCACTTGCTCGGAGTCTGTTACCCCTGCGTCCTGCGCCAACACTGTTGCCCAAATGCCTGGCGGCCCAACATTTACTCTAGCTGGAGTCCACCGAAGGAAAGAGAAGCAATATAAGTATGCGCAGGGCTGGCCCCGTGGAACCAAAACCATAAGGTCTTCTGACTGGTGACGGAGGAAAGAAGAAGAACAATTTGAACATTGTTTTCCCCTCACTCGATCTCTCTCCGCCAAACGGAGACCAAGAGTTGCTGGAGATGGATGAGAGCAATAACTTCAATGCCCACGTCAGGTCAAGAGCACCACACATCCAACGGAGGTCAAGCCGGCATGATTCGTCCCAGGACAGGCATGGCAGGGTGTTCACGGAACAGGATCATGGGACGATCCGTGCAGTGACCCCAGATTCCGGGTCGTACACCACATTTCGCGACACCTCCGTCGACGCTCCCCAGGTCCGATCCCGGGGATTGTCGTCATCTCAACACCGAAACTCTCAGCAGAGACGGGAGGCCTCCGCCTCCCTGTCGAATACGGATGAGGAAAGTACCATTGAGAGGAGGAGACGAAGGGCTCAGACTAGGATAGGCACCAAGGACGAGATTCCGCCGGACGCCTCCCCAGGCTCGTTCATCTCCAAAACGCGCAAGCGGCTTGGATCCATAACGACTGGGCCTACACTAGCCCAACGTGCTGGTGATAGCTATGAGTCTATCGGCTTCCCTTCTGTGATCCAGAGTTCGGAACTCTCGCCGCAGACGGATTCTCGAAATCCCCCGAGGACCCCGCGCCGGCCATTCACCCCTGATGATATGTTGTCGGGAAGTGCTGCTAGTATCAAATCTCCGAGGCTATTGGACATTGACTCCGGCAGAATCTTGCAATTGATGAAAACCACCTGTGGTCGGATGCATGGGATACTGTTCTTCAGACCGTTGCATACCACGGCCTGGGCATCTGGCTATTGTGCCATTAATGTTGCGCCGGGGAGCCTTGTGTGCCAAACAAAAGGAGAGGTTACACAGTCCAGAACCTTGATTGCGGATTTGAGGGGTTGCACAGTCAGGACTCATTATGACCAAGAAACCCAAAGCACCTATCTCAGCGTGTTGGTTGCTTCGTCCGGGACGGGCTATCAATTACGACCTCCAGTGCCAGAAACATTTGATTCCTGGCTTGCAGCTTTGCTATGTTGGCAGCCATTGCGGCCGAAGGGATCACACAACAAGATGACGAAACCTCAACCCATCAGCATGATTGAGAAAAAGCCTGTATCCCAGAGGCGAGTATCCGATGTGATCAGTCCCAAAAGCACGGCCATCGTCAAGGCGGGCAAGATGTTGCTTTGGGATGGTCCCTTTCCCTCAGGCTCGCAACTTGCCTCTTTCACGGACGACAATGGTACAACTGCCGCACCCTACTACCGTTGGCGGAGAGTAAATTGTACCCTACATGAAAATGGGACTTTGCGGCTCTTTAGCGACGTCGACACCCGAGTACTCTATACAACTCATCTAGCAGAGCTCTCGCGTTATGCCATCCAACGGTTGGACGAGAGCGTGCTCCGGATGCCCCTTTGCATTGCGATATATCCACAGTATCGCATCCACAATGCATCTGCAACGAATGCAAGACCTATGGTCTTGTGTCTCGAAACCAAAGTTGCCTATGAAGCATGGTTTGTGCTCTTGCAGGCGCTCACTGTTCCGGAGCTGTATGGACCTGAGCGACCATTCTCGGATGCTTCGAAAATGCCAGAAAATGATGTTCGGCAACAAGCTCAACCAACCGAGGGCATGTTCCGAATAGAACGTTCACTGTCAGTCAAGATTACAGAAGCCAAATTCAATAATCGGTTGGCACCTAGCGATTCATATGACTTCCACAAGCCCAGGTCCAACTCTGTTAACAGAAACCAAGGCAGAGAACGCGTCTATGCCGAAGTCTTGCTCGGCAAGGACCTGCGTGCCCGCACAGCTACCAAATCGAGTACAGGTTCGGCATTTTGGGCGGAAGAATTTAATATAGAGGATATTCCTGCCGCTCTGTCGAAGATCACAATCGCAGTTAAGCTTGAAAGCCCGGCGGAGAAAGAATGGACAGCCGTCTCTGAAGGATTCAATGAGATTTCTGCCGATGCCGGGTATCTTTCTGGCCTCAATGGACTGGAGATATCATCTCATGATCCAGTGTTCGGTAGGCTCGATGTGTCAATAGACGAGCTGGAACACAAGGGCACGCTCGAGAGATGGTGGCCTTTACTGGACAACAACGATCACTCTGTCGGCACGCTTTTGTTACGGCTGAGTCTTCGAGAGACTGTGGTCTTGATCGAAAAGGAATACACAGAGCTTTCCTCACTTCTACAGCAATTTTCGAACGGCTTGACTACCCAGATCGCTCAGATACTAGGCCCAGATCTTCGTCAATTGTCTGATATCTTATTAGACATTTTCCAGGCTTCTGACTCCGCTAATGAATGGATCAGCAGCCTCATTGAGGAGGAGATCGACGGTATTTACAGGGATGGGCCTCCATCGCGCATGAGATTCAGTGGTCGCATCCATTCGAACGACTCCTTTGAATCCGCCGAGCAAAGGGAGCTTCTGGTGCGAGATCTCAGTAGATCGGCGACTATGGAGGCAAACCTACTGTTCCGCGGCAATTCCCTGGCGACGAAGGCGCTCGATGCTCATATGCGCCGTCTCGGGAAGGGTTATTTGGAGGAGGTGTTAGGAGAGAAACTTCGAACGATCATTGAGCGCAATCCGGATTGTGAGGTCGATCCGAACAGAGTTGCGTCGAACGAACAGCTCGAGAAGAATTGGGCAAACCTACTATTTCTGACAAAAACTGTGTGGAGGTCGATATCGGATTCGGCATCTCGTTGTCCCATGGATTTGAGAGTTATATTCCGCCTTGTACGGTCCGTTGCTGAGGATCGGTATGGATCTTTTATACGGACGGTCAAGTACACTAGCGTATCTGGTTTTCTTTTCCTACGGTTTTTCTGTCCGGCTATTCTCAACCCCAAACTCTTTGGCCTCATACAAGGTAAGCACTGGGAGATACTCTGGCAAGCCTTGACTGACCAGCGTTCAGATCACCCACCGGACCGCACCAAGCGGACCTTCACTTTGATCGCAAAATCTTTGAATGTCCTTGCCAACGTGGCACGGTTTGGTACTAAAGAGCCTTGGATGGAGCCGATGAACAAGTTTTTGGCGTCATCCACGAACGAATTCAAGGCCTTTATCGACGAAATCTGCGCTGTCAGTTCCACCCCAGTTGTGACCGCGAGCCTTGAGCCTCAATTTGCCGCTCCAAATCAGATTCGGAACCGACTCCCCGAAGTATCTAAAGAAGGACTGCCAAGTTTGCCGTTCCTACTTGACAATGCTAAGCTTCTGGCTCAACTCGTTGGTCTTTGGATGGACCATGCTCCAGAGAATATCCGTGAGGTAACCGATGACGAGGCTGTGCTTGCTTTTCATGCCCTTTGCGTCAAATTGAGCCAAAAGAGCAAGGAATGCCTCAAAGCCGCCGAGCAAGCCGAGCGACCAGACGAAAAATCCGAGTCTACATGGCAACAGATGCTCACCGACCAGCAGGGAGCCATGACGGCCAATCCGTTTGGTGGACAACCGATGGAACCTCAAGTCGATCACGAAATAACTGCCTTGCCACAAACGGCCAGGCCATTGACGGAGACAGAACTTGTAGCGGCAGAAACATCACCGGTACTTGCCGAGCCAGACAGTACACCCTCTAGTTCAGCATCTGTTGCTTGGGACAGACGGATCCCCTTTCCCCACCGGGCAGCAGAAGCTCGAGCGTGGACGGAATCGACCAATTCCTCATCGGCTTCCGTCGATATGGTCGAAGACGGGCGGTCGAGGCCTCTGCCGAACAGCCGTGATGGCTCAGCGAAAAGTCGGCTGTTCGAGCTCATGACTTCGTCTACACGAAGGAAAGGAAAGACTGGAGAGCGACATCATCCGGATGACGATGCAAATGAATTTTGACGACAGTGACAATGTTTACGAGTTATAGTTTCGATACATGAGCCATTTGCAAGCATACGAGGACGATACGACTGCCGTGACCCCGTCTCCTTCTGGCCGCCTTTGAGCCATTCTGACATGTGGGATTCGTGATCCAAATATTCCTGACAAGTCCGTCACGGCGGGAGAGGCAAGCAATATAACATGTCCCTGTTGTTTGAATTCTTGACAATGCCTATTTCCTGCCCCTTTACTTCCTCTCCCTTTAGTTCAGTCCTCCTCTGCTTCCTCTTCACCAACTTCCTCTTCCTCTGCTTCCTCTTCCTCTGCTTCCTCTTCCTCTGCTTCCTCTTCCCTTTATTTTTCATATCTCTCTTCCAGCCACATTTATCTGTTTTCCGACGCCACTTTTTACGTCCCGATCTGCCATTTCCTGGTGATTGTGGTGTGCCAGCCAGGACTGTCTGTTTGTTGCGAGAACCGTCCCTGTCGGGCTTGCTTCATACGCTCTCGCGGTTCCTGGTCGTGTGCTCTTATCTCAGGTTTGGTAGCGACTCGCCCTGCGCTGCCTTGTGGAGCGAAAATCGGAGGGCTCATTGCTTGGACGTCGCCAGTTATTGTCGCAAGATCTCCTCGCAACGGCCGATGCCGCAATCACCAAGACCCCGAGTACGTTGAGTTCTTACCTATCTCGCTTGAAGGTGTCCTCGGACGAACTCTGCTTTTGGGCGACACCGTTTGTACAGGTACACTTCGATCTCCTGAAGATACAAGCCACTCGCACTACAGGGCATTCTTTGACTTCTCTTATCACTTTCTGGTCATTCTGCTTTCAACCAGAAGAGTCCGAAACGACTCGTAACTGGTTGTTAACTGAGGGCTTGCAGAGTGTCATTGCTTCACCTCTCCTGTCCACTCCGCGATACTACCTTCAAACAAATTGCAATTCTTTTCTCACAGTACTGCTCGCTTAAGCTAGGCAATTGATCTTCAGATTATTCCGCCAACTCCTTTTTTGTCGTTACCGCTGCTTTAGCAACAGTGGACTGACGGCACTAACTGGTCATCCTGCCGAGGCACCAGCATGCTAGTGATCATATCCTGCCCTCATGACCGAGAATCCTTTGTGAATATCATATTAACCAGTCATCATGCAGAATAAGCCCGGGCGTCGCCAAGACCAACGGAAGCACAAGACTTCGGACGGGGAAGCTGGAAAGGATACAGAAGGAGATGAAGACATTGACGGAGACTACCTGGAAACTTTTTCTACCACCAAGACCAGTCGAAAGCGGACTCAGGAATTCTCTGGCACAGAAGATGACGATTCTAAAACCAATAGTGGCTTATCCGGCAGTCCGAGCTCTTCAGGCGTGGACACTTCCTTAGGAATAGATCTCCAAGGGAAAAGTCAACTTCCAACATCCATTTTGCCCGAACCAACGTTGGGTGACCTCCTTGCGGCGCTTGCCCAGAGAATTGCGACTTGGGAGGCCCATGAAGACTTGGTAAGACTCTATCCTCAAAGCCTGATATTTGGCTCTCTGCTGTCACCATCGTCGGAGGAAGCTGGCTTAAACGACCTTGTTGCCGAAGCCGTCCTCAACACAAACTTTGCAAGAGAGGGCTCCTCCAAAGTATTTGATGTCGAAGACTTCTGTGTCTACCGATCGCCTCATCACCACCATGCACAAGGTCAATTTGACTATCTGAGTCTTGTGGCGTCTGAACTTGCGCTGGGCGAAGCCGGTTCGGTCAGCTACTCCCAGCCATGCTGGCTGCTTGACGGGCTGCTATTATCCAGTGGAGAACCGTACGAGCTTCGCGCGGCAGAGATCATTGCGGTAAACACCAACAATCCTGACGATTGTGAATCACGGTTACCCAAGTCTGAGTGCTTCGCATGGATTATGACCACCGAGAGCAAGAGAAAGAACGTCTGGTATCGCCTGAGATCTCCATCGACAGCATATAAGCCATTTTGGACCGCCTCGAAATGGCTTGCCGACTTTGCCGACTTCTTCATCAGCTATCTTGACGTTCATTTGGGGACGCGCGGCGTCAGATTATGTGATTTCCAGTCGAGATTCTGGGTATGGCTTTGCAATCACGACGCAAAAAGGTCCCAAGAATGGGCCGCCCAGAGTGGAAACAAGACGGACTATCGCCAGTACATCCTTTCTCATTGCTTGTATCTGTACAGGCAGGCCCATGTGTTTGGAGAACCAGGAGACAACCCCATCGTGACTGTTCGCAAGTCCCACCCCATCTGGAGTGAAATAGGCATCTTTCGGTCACAGATCTCGTATGCATCAATGTGCTCCTGGAAAACACTTGTTACGTCGAATGTGGCGTTTTCATTCTCACGATTTTCCGCCTGGCAGGAATATGACCTGCTTGAAGTGGTGGAGCTATCCCCTCCAGTGGAAGCCTACCAGCGCGACATGGTACGGCGGTGGAATTTTCCTATAAGGTCCAAGGGTGATTTCTGCAAGGAGTTCGTGACCATCGCGGATGGCGGTAGGATTTCGAGAGCAGCTTGGATTCTGGAAGAAGCTGGAGAAGCAAACCAACGAGTCTATATTCCCAATGGAAGAGACCTTACCGGAGGAGTCGTCATCTTACGAGCGACGAGCCCTACAGGGCCCGAATTCAGCTATGCGTGGGTGAGAAAGGCTACGACCCAAACTCTCCACGTTGTCTGGTTAATCCTCCCCTCCGACACCATATGTGGCTCGCCAGACGATGACGCCGTACTCTACCCGATGGGTAACGAGCTATTCTTCAGTGACCGGTGTAGCTGCGAAGAAGTTCCACCCGACGATATCGTCCGAATTGTCAATGCCTCAGTATTCGAGGATCGTGCCGCCCCCGACTCCGAGTTGTTTGTCCGGTCTCTTTATCGTCATGCCGACGAGGTCATTACCATCCCGACAAAGTCAGAGCTTTCTTGTGAATGTCTGCTTCACAAGCCCTGCAGGATCGTCAAGCAACCGCGTCGGAAGTCTAGGCTTCGAGACAATAAACCGAAACTGCGTGGCCTGAGTCTCTTCAGCGGATGTGGTCTCTTCGATGCCGCCTTTACCTGCAATGGTAACAGTGAGATCGTCTATGCCACGGAAATATGCGAGATTGCGGCCCGAAGCTACAAAGCCAACGACGCGACTAACAGAACACACGTGGAAATTGGATCGGTCGAAGATGGGTTCGAGGACTTTGCTCTAGGCAGAAAACCTATGCCTGATATCGACTTCATTATCGGTGGATTTCCATGTCCCTTCTACAGTACGCTGAACCACTTCAAACATACCCGACGAAGCCAAAAGGATGGGTCGCTTGTGGCCAATATGCTGTCATGGATCGAAATCTTCATGCCGCCCTATGTGTTGATGGAGAACGTGCCAAACATGGATCGTATCCGACCAAATGCTTGTCGACAGGCGATATGCCATCTCGTGGCCTTGGGCTATCAAGTCAGAAAATCAGTGCACAACGATGCCAATCTGGGCGGGGTGTCGATCCGCCAAAGATTGTTCATTGTGGCCGCTGCGCCTGGTGTGATGCTTCCGGATAAACTGGTCGATACTCATGGCACAGGACTGCGGAAGATCCGAACGGTATCAGAAGCCATGGGAGACTTGTCGCCCATTGACAACGACACAGACATCAACATTCTAGACCCGAGTCATGTCCCTATGTCGAGGCTAGGTCTTGATTTTGCACGCAACGTGAGCTATAGGAGTTTGGTACGACAGATTCCTACCGAGCCAAAGTGCATGTCGCTCAGTAGGACTTATTACGCGGGCGGCTTGTTGGCTCATCAACGCAGATTCTTCGAGCAGTGTTTAAATCCGGTCAAGCAGGCCCGGAACTCCAAGTGTCTGCAACGCATCGACCCGGACAAACCGTTTCGTACTGTTTGTACGGTTATCGCGCCCATGGATGCCAGATTCTGTGGCCACATCATCCATCCGTCTCAAGATCGTACTTTGTCCTTGAAGGAAGGTGGCCGTCGTGCCATGGGTATGCCGGATTATTATCTCCTTGCTGGTTCGGTGGAAGAACAATATAAACAGTGCGGTAATGCGGTGCCATGGACTATGGGGGCGGCTTGGGGAAGGAATTTTGCCAGAGCCTGGTTTGCCTCGCTGGACAGGAGGGTGCAAGAAGAAAACAGCGACGAAGGTGAAATGCCTGGCGATGAACACGAGGATGTTATCAGTTTTGAGATTAGCAGCGACGTCGAAGACGAAGACGACCGCAATGGGAAAGAGCAAATTTACCTTACGGACAGCGGCGATGACGAAGGCCAACTCGATGAAGGTATCGACAAGAACGATACCGGACTCGAGTTTGAGAAAAGCAACGACGGTGATGACGAAGATGAAGATGACCAAACTAGCAACGACGAAACGGACCTTGCAGACAGTTGGGATGACGAAGACGACGAAGACGGAGACGACGACAACCATTATCAACTCGACTTTGAAGACCCTGGCAGCGGCGAAGAAGAAGACGAAAATGACGAAGACGACGACAATGATTACCAATTTGACTTTCAAGACACTGGCGACGAGGAAGGTGACCACTATGGCACCGACGAGATGTACTCTACAGACAGCGCCGATGACGGAGACGGAGACGAAGACGAAGACGGTAATGAAGATGAAAACAGCAATTCCGAAATCGAGTTCGAGAACAGTAGCGATGATAGTGGCGAAGGCGGATCCGGGGGCCTTGGCCACGGTTACTGTCATAATCTCGAGCATACTACTAATTATTGCTTCAATCGTACCGACTTCAATCATGGTCATACCACCCCTATCTCTGCGGGCGACAGTCAAGCCAGCGAAGACAGCGACTCCTCGGTTGAAATCCTCGAGGTGCGACCTGCGAAAAGACATCGGATGAGCTGAGGTCGGACACGGTCGTGCCGATGGGCAGGAAAGAAATTCAGCGAGGGATAAAGTTCATGTGATAGTGGGTTGAATGTGTTGGGCAGGGCAGGGCAAGGAGCATTTATCCTGAGACATCTACTTCAAGGCCGGGAGAGCGCCGCATTTGAATTTGGCATGTTCTCCAGCACGAGTTAAGCAAGACACATACACACAGCACAGTGCATACATACCCTCCTTTAGATATTGTAGTCATCCAAAGAACAACATGATATCCCTTTTCTCGGACCTTTCTGCTCACCCTCATTCTCTGAAGCTCTTGACAGGCCGGGTAGACAGTTGGACTCTATTGTCAGTAATTTCTTTTTTGCTTTCAGGTCTGGGACTGTGTTGTACGTCCCTGGACATCAACCATAAGCATCTGAGAAGAGGAGGGCGGCAGGAACAGCAACAGTACGAGAGGTGCAAGTATTGCCGTGGCGGTGGTGCGGCAGACCCAGCACCAAAGGTAGGGCGAGGCTGAGCTGAAAAGGGGGCGCGTTGGGGAAGCATATCCTTTTCCAGCAGGGACTGAGGACAGCAGCACTAGTACTAGTAGTAGTTGTAGTAGTAAGTAGTACAGCTGCCTTGCATCTTGCGAGCTGGCTGTCAGTTGTTAACCATTCATTGCATGACCAATTGATCGATTGAGAGCTAATATGCCGCAGATATAGTACATGCATATTGAAAATTCCAGTTATTGATACAATACAGATATCAGATTATACAGTAGGCACTGTACCCAGCTCGACATGAAGACCGAATATAGATATCAAGATGTATCATCTGTCAGTTGACGATCCCACTGCCGGAAGGATATAGTCAACAAGACGTTTATGGAGACTTACCCTGGCTGTCTAATAAGTATCACCCATTTCTTTTAAAGTCAACCGCTTGGCCACAACAGCCAACCAGTCCAAGATCCTCGGGAACCAGAACACCTGTTCATGTCTCTTCCACCAGGCAGCGCCTCTACTTCCCCTGAGGACTCCTGCATTTCCCTGTTCCCGACCGAGATCGGCGGCACGTTCGTTCTCAATCTGCCGTAGGATGCGGTACGTCTCCTCAGTCAGCTCGACGCCGCCGCGCTCCATCTCGGCGAGCAGGCCGTCGACTTGCCGTAGCGATGACCGGGTCAGCCACACGAGCGAAATCAGCGAGTTGTAGAATTGTGGGCCGGCGCCGAGAACGTACGATGTGTGTCCGAACGAGCGGATCCGCGGAAGGAGATTGTGTGCTAAAGGAGACGCGGGAAAGTGCTGGATGTATAGTCGTAAAGCGAGCAGAAGGGCCGCTGGATATACGTGGTGCAGAACGGGGAGGCTGTCTGAGAGTGATGAGGATGTCGAGGATGGCGCCGTGGTTGATGATGGTGATGCCGGCTCCCCTGTCCGTGATGCAGCCTCCAGAAGTTCAGAAGGATTGTCAGAGTGTGATTTGGTGAACGTGAAACGGGGTGGTTCTGTCGATTTGGCCTGTGTTGTTGTCTCTCGTGGCGGCGGGGCTAGTTGGCTCGCGATGGAGAAGATGTGGGCTTCGCAGACCTCCCACATGGCAATGTCGCCGCGTTTGGTGGTCGAAGTGGCTGCGGCATGAAGGGCGTCGTAGATCTGCTTCATGTGAGCCCGTACTGCTTGCTGGATGGATTCATCGAATTTGGAGAGTTCGGGCGACTGAGTCAGATCTTCTAAGGATGCGATGTCTGGAGATGGGACAGCCAGAGCGTGGCCTTCAGCCTGGGTTGCGATCGCTTGGTCATTTGGCGATTTCAGTGGCTCTGGATCTGACGGCGCTTTCACCGCTTTATGGAGTTTGCGCTCATTCTGTTCGGCTTGATGACTTTTGATGGAGGACGAGAAGATGTTGAGAATGTTCTCAATGTCTGTGTCTCCAGCATCGACAAAGGGCGATTGCTGCTTCACGCTGGATGGCTCGGCCTGTTTGGGAGTGAAGCGCAAGATTGTCTCAAAGGCTCTCCGCTCGCTGGCAGTAATAGTAGAGTTGATTCGAGTTCCCACGGGGTTTCGGGATCGGATTGCTGCTGGCGCTTTGGAGGACTCGGCTACCTGGCGCGCCTTTTCTTTCAAGAATCCTCCTTGTCCATCATAAGAGTAAGAGTCGGGCGTGCTTGTGTCCGACGTTGTTTCTGGATGTGGTTGAGGCTGACTCGATAGTGCTCGACGATTTGCCAATCTACGCCTCACTCTGGGTCGCCATCTCAGAATTGTCCTTGTCTGATATAAGAATGGCAGCTCGATATGTGCAGCCATGTCATCCAAGTGGGCGGTGGACATTCAGGAGGGTTGTCGGTCTGCTACCAAGATGTCGACATTGATGTCGAAAATGATGCCACGTGATCACCGGATGGCAGGATCGGTCAACTAACTATTTCAGGACTAGCTCAGATAAGGATTGTCTGGAGCGACTAAGAAAGGCTAGGGAGGCCAGCGAAACTACCTTGTTCTGACTGGATTAACAAACTATGCCTGAAGTGCAGTGTCAGTCGCGATTATAGGCGCATCAGGCAGTCTCAGCCCCCCAAGTTGGGCGCCGCTGCCGCCTGGTGACATGGCGGAATAGCGCACCCCAGCGCCCAAACCACTCTACCCCCATCCCACGGTGCTGCCTCGATTAACCGCGACCGCGACCGCGACTTGAACCGCATCTGCATCCGCATACCCCCCCCACTGCACCACCAACTGCCACCCGCGCACTGCATCTGCCATCCCCATCGACCATCCACCGACCGTTTGGCCGCAATCGATAAAGACCAGCCACTACCACTACTACTGCATATCAAGACAACCCGAGGTCGTCGTCCCGCCTTGCCAGAGTCCCGTTGCCTTCATACCCATTATCGTCATATTGCCATTTGTGTATCAATCAACCTCGACGCTCACCGATCGAGAGCCAGCGTTGTTGACTTCCCGCATCCTTCGATCCCACGCGGAGAACCCAGTCCACCTCGAGTCGGCGCGCTCAGAGTGCCGCATGACTCGTCGCACATCCGCGCACCGTTCTATCCAGGGTACTGTGGCCTCGTGAACAGAGACCTGACCGTGGATGAGACGACGCCTAGTCTAACGGAAGAGTGTCATTTCGCGACTGACCGAGTTCTCTTCGCGAGTCCCCTTCCCTCTCCACCGCCTCCGAGTCCCTCCCCTCGCGCCATGAGCACTGGCCTCCCTCGACCGACCGCGAACCCTCCTGCGCCCTGGCAGGAACATGACCAGCATCGCAACATGAACCGTGGACATTCAAACAGCGCCTCCTCTGCTCAGATGCCCTTGGCCGGGATGCATGGACACAATCGACCGCGCAACGGGTTTCATCCAAACGGGGAAAAAGCAGTGCCTGTTCCGGGAACAACGCCCTTCGGCAATGGCGCCGATAGAAAGGGCAGTATAGGACACGGTCCAGCCTTGTTCGATATGGCTCGTAGTCCTCCCAACACATCCAACAAGAGTAAGTTTGCTGGTCTAGTTGAACACTACAACATACCCTGACCGTCTCCGCCAGATACGAAGCATGTGCCGTGTAAATTCTTCCGACAAGGAGCGTGCCAGGCCGGCAATGCGTGTCCTTTCTCGCATTCTCTGGACCCAATGACCCAACAAGCGCCATGTAAATACTTCATGAAGGTAACTTTTGTCTTGTTGCGCCGTTTGGTTCTTGCTAACTCCCACCAGGGCAACTGCAAATTCGGCGCCAAGTGTGCCCTGGCACATTATCTCCCAGACGGACGTCGCGTCAATCGTGCCGATCTAGATGTCGGAATGGCCATGGCAGGCCGAAGTTACAACTTTACCAACCGACCGGATCAACCGCCTTTCCCTAATCCCGATCCCAGCTTGCCCGACCCCATGCTCAACCAGCAAACTTTGGGACCCGACTATTTTCCAAACCAACCGTTTCCGTTAATGGACCCAGATGAGCCGGACGCTTATCCGGACCGATATAACCAGTACCAGAACCACTCTGCCTTTGATTCAGGGATCAACTCGCCTCCAACGTCACAATTCGGATCTCCGCCTAATGACTACCAATACCCCAAATCGCCGGCGGACAACCTAAGGACGGCTTTGAATGCGCCGCTACCCCAGTCTTTTGATGCCAACGGCATGTCACGAATAGCGAAGTATGGACCCCTCGGGCAGTCTGTGCCTGATAAATTCGGCATGCGCTCACCTGCCTCTTCTTCGCTTTCTCGACAACTAGGGAGCCCGCCCGATTCTATTGTCAACGTCCGAAATGCCAATCTCGGCTCGAATCTGAGGAACGCGTCTCCTCTTGGCCTCTCGCCTCAGAATGCAGAAGAGTCGATCAGTCAGCGGTTAATGCACTCCCAGCGAGCGGCGAAGACTAGAGGTCTGTCGGCTAGTGTGCCGCGGTCCAATTTGCTGTACGAATGGGAGGAAAGTCTCTCCGTGGAAACAGATCTACTGCCGAACAGTCTTCACGATGAGGTTTTGACCCCGCAGGAAAAGATGAGGCGAATGTCGAGACCGGATCAAGAGCTCGGATCGAGGGACCAGGTTCGCGGGTTGGCCATACCGGGCGGGACTTCCAGTAAAGTAGGCTCACCGCCAGCCGGCAGCCCATCCAGGTTCAGTGCATTATGGGCCGAACAGCGGGAAAAGAAGGCAGCAGAAACCAGCGGGCCACCCAACATTGGTCATGTGGGCTCACCATTGCGCGGATCGTGGATGCCGAACGATTCCACGACCCCGAGTGTACAAATCTCGGGCATCTCACAGGCCATGGCGCGTATGCAGCTGAACCGAGCAGACTCGGGTGAATCCAACGGTGCGAGAATGCAGACCAGTAGTGGCCTCAGGCACTCGTCGGCGCCCAGTGGTCGACTTGACCGTGGTATCAACAGTCCCGGGCTGAGTTCCAAAAAGATTGATGAAGAGGTTGAAGGGGTCTTCTTCCCTATGGACGGAGATGACAAAACTTCAATTTGGACGGCGCCGGGGCCAACTCCGTTACGCGAGAGGCCTAATGGCGATACACCTGCTGCTGCTGTGAAACAAGAAACTGCGCCGGGCGGGGAGAATGGCGTCAAGTCCTTGTGGGCATTTCGCCCCTGATGCATAGGACTGATGCAGCGGTATGGTGGAATACTACACATCCTTGCATACCCAGGGTGATTATGGTTTACAGGAAATCACGAGAACATGACGGCATTCGAAATGTACAGATGGGGAGTCTTGTATTAATGCCCGAGTTAGTGAATGCAGGGCTGGCGGAAGACAGACAAACGGAAAGAAAAATGCATACATATGGTATTACGGCAATGGAAGAATTGACAGCATAAGAACATGGTGCATGATGGGAGAAAGGGGAGTTGCTTGCTGTTATGGTTTGTTTAAAGTTAGTAGCCGGTGGTTGTTCATGTCTGAGTTCCAGGGGTTGCATGATAATAGATATGCTCAAGAATCATGATCCAGCTTTTACCTCTGAAGATACATGTACAACTACATTGTACGTCGACGCAAAAACAAGTCTGCTGATAAATGCTCGAGACGACATTGTGGATGATGCCGCGGAACTCGTGGAACTCAACGATCAACTGCAAGAGACGAGGCTGCCGGACACGAACACGAACTGCAAGGCTGAGAGCGAGCCTTGCCGATTGGCCGGTGCCGGCACTGATTGGAGAACATTTATCGAGACAGCCATAACTTTTTGGAGTCGCATGCCGTTCGAAGTTGTGGTCACCACTTCCCTTACACGTTGCAAGTATTTGTAGTTCTGGCTTGACTGGACTCCAATACTTTGTTTTCCTCAAGGCATGTTGAGCAGCAGCGGTTGTGGTTGGCGGCTGCTATGCTCAAGATGCCTTGGACTTTTGCCGCGCACGGCAGTTAATAACAGACTGAGACCACCACTGGCACCACCACCACCAGGGTTCAAGTTTGCGGCCGCGAACGGGAGACAGGCTCGGTTCCAAAGTTCAGCTTCTACTGCTATCGCCGACGACCCCGAGTCCCAAATATCTCCGGTTCTACTTGAACGCGCGCGAGCCATTGCGACCGAACACCAGCAGCTCGCGGCGGCCAACGCGAATAACTACGATGTCACGACTGCGAAGAGGATAGGAGAGTTGAGTTCGGTGGCTAAGGCGTTGAAAGAGTGGGAGGATGCACAGAATGTATGTTTGACCTTATCCTCCCAAATCTGATCCATTGAAATTCTAACCCTTTGTTCTATAGTCCCTCTCCGAACTCCAGTCCCTTCTCGACGACCCATCCTCGGACGCCGAAATCCTTAGCCTAGCCCGCTCCGACATTGAAAGCACACTTTCCCAACTCCCCTCTCTCACGGCGGCACTCAAAAAATCCCTTATCCCACCACACCCATTCGCGAACTTGGGATGCATGATAGAAATCCACCCCGGGGCCGGCGGCAGCGAAGCCTCACTCTTCGCACACACCCTTCTCGAAATGTACAGAGGCATGTGCGCGCGGAAGAAATGGCCCACCCAGTTGACATCATATACACCCGACGACTCTGTCTCCGACAAAGCTTTGACCGAAGCACTTCTCGAAGTCGAGCAGCCAGGAAGCTACGAGATGCTCCGCAGTGAGGCGGGCGTTCACCGGGTCCAACGGGTTCCCGCAACCGAAAAAAAGGGCCGAACACACACTTCGGCGGTTTCGGTTCTGGTATTGCCCAATCTGCCCGATACCAGTTCACCAGAATCCGAATTGGATTACGAAGATCCCAATTCAGACTATTATATTGCGCCGCAGGATGTGCGGTCCGAAACGATGCGGGCGCGCGGCGCGGGAGGCCAACATGTAAACAAAACAGATTCGGCGGTCCGGTTGACGCATATCCCCACGGGGATTGTGGTTGCCATGCAGGATTCGAGGTCGCAGCATAAGAACCGTGATAAAGCGTGGCAGTTGCTCAGGGCCAAGATTGCCCAGTTAAGGCGGGAGCAGCGGGATGCCGAGGTCACTGCTCTCAGACGGTCTGTTATGGGTGGTGTGGCGAAGTCCGGTAGGGAGGATAAAGTGCGGACTTATAATTATTCCCAGAATAGGGTTACTGATCATCGATCGGGGGCTGAGTCTTCGGATCTTGATGGGGTCCTCGCGGGTGATGTTGCGCTTGAGAGGATCATGGAGAGCGTGAGGGAGTGGATGGCGGAGAATGAGGTTAGGGGGTTGCTTGCGGAGGAGCAGATTAAAGCTAATGCGAAGGCTAGAGAGGGTGAGGATGGCAAGGATGGTAAGAGTAATGGGAATGGGAAGAAATAAAAGAAATGAAAGAGATGAGAACTAAACCAGTACGTTAATGAAGCGTATGATGTACAGTACTGTATATGCCTTCGGCAAGATATGAGGCCGCCACCAAATGAAAGGAGTGGGACTTGTACGAACGGAAGCAGAGATTATTGATCGCTTCGGGTGCAGCTACTGATGATGTCTCTTCTTGAGCTGGGGGTCATGACCAAGTCCCAGGTGTTGGATAACGGTGCTCATTATTCGGGCCAGCTAGACTGTCTTCCTACGATGTACCGCAGACAAACGAGTAGACTATGCAAATGGGAGAATCGGGTTGTTTCAAGCTCGGTTGGGATTTCCCTCACTTGGTGCAAGCTCACGGGTATCATGCCACACGGTTGCAAAGCTCTAGCAGCTCGACTCTCTCGTCTCTGTTCTGTTCCTTCGTGGCATCGTGCTGCCGTTTCTTTCATACATGGACCAGCCCTTCACTTCGGTAGCTCCTTTCTGCATGCTTCAAACTCCAGGCGCAGCTCAGCTTCGCTCAACCAGCGACTCGACTTCGTCCCTTTCATCTTTTTCTCGGAGCACACCGGACTTCATTCTTAGTACTTTTGAGAATCCATTCAATACCTTGCTGTGCAGCATTCTCCGAAAACAGCCATGCATTCTGGCTCAGCAAACTCCTGGTCCATCTTCGATTTTTGCCCGCAAGAAATAAAAACACCTTCAGTGGAACAAAGCCATTCGCCATTCACAATCGTTGTGGTAGCCAGCTGTGCAAAGAAACAATTGGACCGAACGCCCCGTCTTTGGAGGAATTCGTCCGAATTCTTGTGATGAGGCTGCTTAGGATCCTTTTCTCATCCTTTCCCACGCTGCCTGTGCCGTTCTGCTCTGCTTTGGGCAGCTCATTTTGCAACAGCGGCACTGAGCACCTGGGTGCGGAAGAAAGCGCCCTTAGTCTTCTCAATGACTTGCTGATACACGCTTTGAGGCGGATGGTTCATGACGACTGTGCCGGCCTGGTAATCGATCTTGGCGTCGACTCTGGTGTCGCGGATCAGGTTGACAATCCATTTCTCACCTTCGCTCTCAGATAGGCCAAGACGGGTCGAGAGGTCCCTGGAAAGATTGACGTTAGTGTATGAGCAATGATAGCGAAGATACCGTGGTAGAGAAAGGGAATGCGTATTCTGCGCTTCAATAACAGAAAAGTGAACACGGATAAGTCACTTACTTGATGTCAATTCTCTGGTGGATCTTGCAATAGCTTTCCGAAATCAGGTGTCGGGCAGCCTCCATAAACGCATCGGTGGACGATCCGAGGAAGAAATCGCCCCGGAGGATGCCCTCGGCTTCGGACAGTTTCTTCTGGGCACCCTCAAAGTCAAAGTCGATGTAGAGGGCCTTGACGAACTCAGTGATCGGGTCTTGATATTCATAAACTTCCTGCTTGACGACACGGACCAGGTCCTTGAGTTGTTTCTGGTAGTTGTACGAGTTGCTCAGCCGGGTACGGTTGGTGATGACGGCGGCAGCCAAGTAGCGCAAGATCCACGGGCAGACGGTCTGGATGGTGCTGATGTACGGAGCCGAAAAATACAAATCGGTGAGCTTTTCGCGAGCGGGTTCATAGTTGAAGTAAGGGAACAGGGCATAGTGGACGAGGGATTCACGAGCCGTGAGTTGCGCGCGCGGGTTGTTAAACAGCCGCGTCTCAATATGCTCCTTGACCTTCTCGACCTCTTCCAACGCGCTCTCCCACTCCTCGCCTAGAATCTCACAAACCAGCTTACCCCACGTCGCTTTGACGACTTTGTCGTTGTCCGTGGACAGCACGCGGAAACGGTACAGCAGATCAGCCGCCTCCGGGTACAGGCCGCACTCATATCGGAATCGGCCAAACTCGTACAGCTTGTCGACCATCTGCGGCGTGACGCCATGTTGCTCCTCCAAAAATTTCAAGTTGGCTACCTTGTCGCTGCGCAGTTGAGATGTCACGGCCTCGTCGTTGAGGAGGTTGGTAAGGTGTGCGGTTTCTTCTTCGAACGTGGCCAGTTTCTTTAGAACTTCTTCTCGCTTCTTCGCATACTCGGCCGGCACATTCTCCGTCTTGTAGATTTCCTTGTACAGAGTGCCGACGTAGTCGATCATGTTTGTGTTTTTCAAGAGGTTGAAGATGGCCAGTTTGAGGTCGTCGTACCGTTCTTGCGTGATGTTTTCCGAGTTCAACTGATGCTCAAGTAAGGGGAAAACGAGGTGTCGGTCCATATGCTGGACGAGCTTCGCCAAAAAGGCGTACTCGCCCGTCGGGTCGTCGAGTGCGCTCATAGTGTCTTTGCTTTTTTTGATGGTGGTGAGGGGGTGGGAACAGGCGCAGGCGCAGCCGCTCGTGCTTTTTCTTTTTCTTTTTCGATCTGTCCGATCTGTTCCTGCAACAACCGAAGATTTTCTTCGGTCAGACGTGGGAGATCGAAGTTGAAGATGTAGCCTGGAGTATGTTCGTTGCTTGGGTGCTCGGGGTGTCCAGCGTCGATATTGTCCATTATTTCTGTGTGGCACGCTGCCACAAAATTAAGGTTGCGGGCGTATCCGACGCTAAGTTGTATTCGGCAAAGCGTGCGGAATATATTTCTTCCGTGCCGGCAGATAAGGCTTGGCGTTTTGAAGTCACATGACTTGCATGGCCGTTCAACCATCAACCAATGCAGTGCTCAGGACTGTCGCCGGTTGTTCATTGCCATTGTTACTATACCACACTGGCCTTGTTTCGTTCTGACATATACGTGACAAACATGAGGCCTCCGTCTACAATGCTGCTGCGCTCTCTGCTGCGCCCTGAGCAGCCTCTATGCCAGATGCAAATCAGATCAAAATCGAATTGGATGCCGCGCGAGAAATATGCGAAGATCACTCTGCTGGACAAACTACACCGCAGACAAAAAGATGCTGTGCGAAGAGAACGTGGGTGACAGAATCAGAATCACTGCAAGCGATATTGCTGACTTTTTGTCCAGGACAGAGCAGCCAACAACGGGCTGAAAAGATGACCTTTGAATCCCTTCCTCACCCTCCACCGTCGGCGGTACAGAGTGCAACACCCTCGCCGCAAGCGGGACCAACCCCTACAGTTTCACCGTTGCCTTTCAAGATCAATCGCACTCCATCATCCAATCTCCCCATATACGAGAGTTCAAAGGCCGGCGGAAGCAAACACATCACCTCGATTCGCAAAATATCAGGCGACTTGAACGAGCTGGCATCACGGATACGCAGCGCACTCGGTCTACAGCAGCACATTGTGGATGTGAAGGGGCGGCGGAAGGAGACTGTGGCTATCAACTGGACGACGAGGCAGGTGGTTGTGCGTGGTTGGAGAGGCCCGGAAATCAAGAAGTGGGCGGAGTTTAATGGGTTTTGAGCTTTCGGCCTTACGAGTGTTGTGGCACGAGATTGCTAAGTGCCGCTTGTTCTCAGAGAACAGCATCTACATATCCATCAATCTCGCTGGGGCGGACAGCTATTGCTACGATTGACTTTAGGGCTCCTCGAGTTACTGAGACAACAAAAGGACTTTCCTTACTTGGGCTGTTTGACACTGAAACCAACGACCCGGGCCATAGTATTCCTCAAACACGCATCAACGAGCTGTATCACTAGGTAGGGTGAAAGAGGCGTAATTTGGGTACAGAAGTACAGGTCGAACGGGTCACGGATATACATATCTCACTGATTAATAATGGTCATGAGCGCTGCATCAATTGAGGGCTACGAGCGTGCGACATCTGCATCGTGGGCTTATCTGAGTTACCTCTCAAGTACAAGATCCGGTGGGCTGCACCAAATGGGAAGGGGTGGCCTATGTGACTTCCTCCAACGTTCTCCTTGGTCTCTTTGTTGTCAAACTTTGATACATGTATAGCAAGACTGGTATATTTTGACAGTGTGACTTTTCCCTGCTGTATGCCACGAATCCGGAGCGCTACTATGCAAGTTGACTCCCCTAGCACTATCCTAACCGAGTTATGTTGATGCCTTCCCTCATATTCAGGGTTGGACTAGACGAGTAAGAAGGGGTATCGCAGATCCTCGACATACACAGCAACTCCGATACGCTCATTTTGCGCGTCCACATGATGCGCATACCCCATACGACATCCTGGCCATACCGCTAAACATGCTTGAGCGTTAAAATCAACCCCCTGTGTCCGCGCTATGCAGAACCCACAACCTATGTCACAATCTCACATCACTCCTCGAGAGCAGCAAAGAGGCAGAGCTGTCGTAAGATGCCAGGATCAATGTCTCTCTGTATCATGGCTCCAAGAAGACTTTCTTTTCTCGGCATGACACCTGTCGGAACAACCGTGGTGCCATCCTCGTCAACTGTTCGTGCCTTCTGAACCAAAGTCTTCAAAACAGCCAAGGCACGGTTCGCGATCGCTCCATAACCGTTGGCATCGGGTTCCGGATTATTTCGGTTATTCGGCTGCGGGTGCTTGGGTGCTGTCTGTGTTGAGCGGTCTGCGCTGAGGATTCCAACCAACCTCAATAGGTTGCAGGCAAACCCATCTTCTGATTCTAGCCATGAGCGGGCCAAAGAATAATCGGAACCAGGTGCAAGGCCCGCCAGAATTTCAGCCGCAAGCATCCCCTGCAGAAGGAAGGGCTTTCTAGTTTCTATGATCGTTCTCGTGTGGCTCGAGATTGCTGGAATAGGTGATATGGCCAAGCCGAAACTTCTTGTCAACAACTCATAGGGCGGAGTGGAATGAGCATCGGCAGCAAATATTGCTCTGAAATATGTCCGATTCGGTTCGTCGCGAGCCAGCAATTTGGCAAGACTATCCACAGCTGAAGGCAAGTACTTGTGCAACGTGGGTGTGTACATTGTGAATGCGACCTTTGAGGAAGAGCCGGTGATGGGTGGAGGAGTAGGTGCAAAGGCAAGGAGGAAGTGGAGAATACAGAGGGATTCTTCCTTGCCCGGTAATTGAAGCGAGGTAGATAGATTGCTGAGGAAGACCACAACATCCTTCATAAAATCCAGGGTATTCCGACTCGTCCGCAGAAACAACTCCGTAGTCGCAAGGTATCGGATAACAGTGCTGAGTAGTTTAATGACTTCGGATTGCCCAAGGACGCCAAAATTTGCTTCGTAGAATGAGAAATTCCGGATGAGTGTGGTGATACATATTAATCGATCAGCTGCTCGCTCCAGATCGTAGGCGACTGTTCCGAACTCGGTGTTATTCTGGAGGGACTCGTTTTCCAGACGACAAGATCGCACCAGATCTTCGTAGGACGGCAGAAACATATCATCTGAGACTTCTGTCGCGTGCTCGCTCAAGAAGTTAACCTGGTCCAATGCGCACTCCAATAACGCGTCCATAAGGTCATCGCAATCAACCAGGGACAACTGCAGAGCAGGCTCTGTGGAGAGGGTAACAAGCGTGTCAAGTGCCACGCGTGTCTCCGCATGGAGGCCCGATTTGATCGACATAGTCAAGGCGTGGATATCGATGATGCCCATCTCCCTGATCGTCGGAACGACTGGTTTGGACTCGACAATATGTTGTCCGATAACGAAAAGCTCGTCCACATTGATGGGCCCATGAAAGCGACTAGGAGGGAGCACTTCGGGTTTGAAAGGATCCTTGATGGGTCGTGAGAGGGGCTTGTTCACATCTGGCTCAGGCTCTGCTGATTTTGGAGCAGTCCGTGGACGTTTTTGAGGAGTTTGTATCGGCGCTTGTACGCCTTCTACGTGCTGAGGATCGAACTGCCTGGCCGTATCCGGCCTTGTCTGAGTTGCAGTAGGCATTTCCGGTTGTGCTTGGGCGTGCGGAGGCACGAAACCATTGGTATTGGGCTGGGGGACTTGGTTAACCGCTTGTCCATTGACGGAAGGTGCTCTCTGATGTACAGGTTGATGTTGCTGTTGGACTTCGCGGGAAGGAGACATCTGATGTTGGGCTTGGTTTTGAGCGGCAGCTTGCGCAGCCATTCTTTGCTTTTGCTGCGACATTTGCCAAGCGGCCTCATAAGGGGCAAGATTGTGCATCCAATATGCTTGGAGTTCTTGAGCAGCTTGCATGTGCTGTTGTGGAGGGAATCCAAATTGTTGCGCAATAGCCGCCCACTGGTTCAACTTCGAAATCCTCTGTGAGCCTCCATTTTTTACCACGGCGGCATATAACCGCAACAGCTGCAAGGGTCTCCCACATATTACCGGATTGAGGTCTACGGATCGACCGCGAGCAGCCATAAAGGTCTGTAAGCCCCGTATGAATTCCTCTGGATTGCTGGGTTTTGGTGGAGCAAAAGCCCCTGGGGGTCCCTGGGACATCTGAGAGTTTGGGCGGGGCTGTCCAGGATTATTTGGCATGCCGTTCATGCCAGCCATGGTCTGCGCCTGCATCTGCCGAGCTTGAGCCTGTAATTGCATCTGATAATTTCTTTGCGCGGCCGACATGCCCGGGTGCTGAGGCGCCATGGTTCCCTGAGGATTCATCCCCATGTGTGGAGGCACGCCGTTGCTCATGTTCTGCCCGTACTGAGGCTGGTTGAAACCGGGCGGGAAGCCTCCGTTAGGCATAAAATTGTGAGGGTTATCATGAGGCGTCCCAACTCGACTGGCGTGATCGGATGGGGCAGGTGAAGCTTGAGGCCCACCATGCTGTTGTGGTGAGAAGGGGCTTGGCGACGCGGTTGCGACGCGTTGATTACCACCAGGATGGTTGAACTGACTTATTTGTTGAGTCGTCGGCGAAGGTGTCGCGTTGGAGGAAGGTTGTTGGAGGTGTGGGAAAGGCGTCGGACCCGTGGGCATTGCGGGCACGCCATTCGCTTGAGGGTTGAATCCGGGGTAAAGACCTTGTCCGGGAGTTTGCGATCTTGATCCAGGTAGTCCTCCCGGCATCTGCCGCGGCGACGCGCCCAAGCTATCGTCCCGTGCTCTTTTCGAAGGTATTACCGGGTTGGTCTGATATGCGGGATTGTGGAAGCCTGGGGAGGCGGTGCGGGCGCCGCCATTGAGGAAGGCAGGATTCTGGAACTGCGCAGGGTTTATGGTCTGAGGAGGCTGAAGGAAAGACATGCCAGCATCCATGGGGCCTCCAAAGCCAACATGATTGTTTGGTGTGGAGGAAGGATCGGTGAGCCAAGGGTTCATGGCTTGATAGAGTTCCGGTCATCCATTGGCTATAGAGAAGACAGTCATCAATAACAGCTCATCAACACGCGCAGTCATCGTAAACAAGGTTTGTGGAGCAGCTTTATCCATTGTGCTCGCGACACCGGATGTTTGGATGCGGATCAGGTACTAGTGGAGGGTTGAGTCTGGTAGTGAGGCCTGCCTGCGCCTCTAGGGAACCAGAGACGCGTCGCAGGAAGGAGGCGAGCCACCAGACGCGACAAAGGATGTGATACGGACAGTGGGAAATGAGTAGCAAGACAGGATCAGATGGAATAAGATAGGATGATGACTTACCTGGCTGGCAATGTTTGGAGATGAGTCGTCAGAGCGCGAGCGCAGAGGTATGCAAACCGAATCGGAACGTCGAGATTTCTGTGAGGCTGGGGTGCCCAAAACGGCTTAGCTCGGGCGGGAGTCTGAGTGAGAACGACTGTGGTGGAAGACCCTGTTTGGTAGGAGGAGAGGGGATGTCAGCCACTGCACGCTGCTCAACCAGGCGACAAAGACGCGGCAGCGAAAATCACTAGAGTCCCACTTCATACTCGGGTATCGTGGGCCGTGCAACAGTGATCGCAATCAAGCATTTTGATGGAACATGGACGCTAAGGATATGATGGAGACAGTGGCCGGAGGAAGGAAAGCTGATGCGGTGGGCAAGCCATGTGCCTGTACTCATAACTTCCCGGCGCCTAAGAAATGGAGAGGACAAACCCACTCACCACGATCGTAGATGTGCCGGGGGGTGACCCGAGGGGCAGTCGAATGGATCGGGATGGGTAAGAGGAAATAGCAGCAGGCTTACCGTGTATGTGATTAGATGGCGATTTGTCTTTTTTTCGATAGGTGATGAGGCGGCCACGGAGCTGCTCGTGTCTGGGTGCGTGAGGCGCAACAGGCAGATCACGAAGCGAGGGATTGGCAGCAGCAGCAGTAGCCCCTGGCTTGGTCGACTACTGGGACGTGCCAACTGGCAATCGAAACAGTCGAATGCAACTAAAAATGAGACCTATGATAGGTACCCAAGGGATCAAAACCGGGAGGGCACAATAAGGTAAGGAAGGGCACAGGAAGGCTCGGGTACAGCACCGCAGAAAGGTCGGTGTCGGGCCAGGTAAGAATCGTGAGTGAAAAAAGAGGAGCCTAACCAGCGGGAAGCTGAGGGAGAGAGGGAAAGGGAGGGAGAGTAGTAGTAGAGCGCGGCGAGCACGGCACTGCACTGCACTGGCACTGGCACTGGCACTGGCACTGCAGTTGTCAGTTGTAGGGGGGCTGCAGGCTGAAAGGTGGGACACCTTTTCGCCTCGCTTAGCAGGGAACCGGGGGGCGACACCCGTCAAGTTGCAATCTTCCAGCGGTTGGGTGGCCCTGCGCAGCCGTGTCTCGTGATCTGCCTGGGTGAAAGCCTCCCTATTAGTAATCCAGGGCAGAACCTGGCCGCTGGTCGCCCTTATAATCATTGGTCCTGCTAAATCAGTGGCGGAGTTCCGGTAGGCGCGGCTAATACCGGCTTGTGGGGCCAAAGCCAGGTTCTGAGAGTGTGGTTGGCGTGATGGGAGTTTAGCATGCCGCTAATCTGCACATTCTCTTTATCAAGTTCCACCGTTGACTTGCACTGCAGGTCAAGTTGAAGTCCAAAGTTATGCACTCCATCTGGCATTCTCCGAGCCGTCGCAGCAGGAGGGTTTGCTCAGTTGGCATGGTACATCCCCTCTGGAACTCATCACATTTTTGCATTTTCCGGCGACTGGCACTGCGGGATTTCGTCGGCGCAAGTACTGTAGTTCGCTTCAGGACAGCCTCTGAGAAAGGTGCGGGGGGATGCGCAGACGCCATGCTCTTTGAGCGGGAGCCTTCTGTGATAAAGTATTGGCGGTACTGCACAGCTGGTGCCGAACCAGGGTCACACCAGCGTTTCTCTGTGAAGTCCCTGGGAGGTGCAAAATGAGCCTGATTGCAGATTCCCAGGCAAGATACTCGACATTTGCTTCTTCATCTCGGCCTTGGGAAGATGCCATACAATACCTGAATTCCTCGGACCAACTTGCGAAAGGGTTCTGCGGCCATTGCTCTTCGTTAGTGCTTGCCTCTAGGGTCCCCGTTGCTGGTTTTCGATGTAAGCACGCAGCTGTTGCAACGGACGCTGGTCTCATCGAATATGATGCCGCCTCAAGTAGACTTGAGTGCTGCAGAGTTACCTCCGCAATGTCAACGTTGCTGTGTGGAAAAGATGGAACTGGTGTTCACGATGAGAGAGACTGTAAGGCTTATCTCTCGTGCCGTTGAAACGGTACCACGGTGATAGAAGAGCTTTGGGAATGAATTGGGGCATTGAGGTGATAGCAGCAGTAAATACGAAGGAGAGAGAACGCGGGATCCTAAAGGAGCCATGGGAGTCGGAAGTTTACATAGTTCCGCTTCCCACTCGAGAGCAAGATCTGACGAAGTCGTACTCAGACCATCCCGATTGGCAGATCCCCGTAGGAATTCTCTGGTCCTGTTGTTTCTTGAGTGTTTTTAGACCCCACTGGCATTTCTGCCTCTCGTGTCACGAGCTAGAAACAATACAACCAGAGTCTGTGTCCCATCTCAGCCTGTCGTACGCGGGCTTTCATTTCCAAACCGGTCTTTCCCATGGACAGCTGATTGTGCAGCAAAGACCTTGAGCAACGAGCCGATCTTGGCTGATCTGACAGGCGCCTCCATCCTTAGCTATGCTTCACTACGTCAAGTGAGTCCATAGACCCGGGTCAAGAGACAGCTTTGTTGTATTTCTGCAGTACCTCGCATGGATCCAACGTATCGCTGTAAATTCCCATCTTGATTGTCTAAGTGAACGGTCCTTCTACGTTTGGCCATTGATGGAACATAGATGCGCAAATGTTGGAAAGGAGGAGGACCTCCGTTACAAGACGTACTATTGTGTCAAGGGTTGGTGAAATTGACGCGGCCTGAGGCGTGGAAACCGGACTGGATGTGCCAGGGTATCTCAGCAGCAGGAATTAGGCTTGTCTTGACTTGAGAGTTCGCTGTTGCAAGTGAGGGTGTTGATTCGAGATAGGAAGTGGACATGATACAACTCTCGCATTGAGACATATTGCAGGAACATCGAGTCAGAAGATCCAGGCGCTTTCAAGTTCGAGGAGACCACCGTTTACTACTACAACAGTAACAACGTTCCTTGGGGTGCTGCACTGCAGGATCTCGCAGTCGCTGCTTGCGCCGGGCCAACCCCTTTGGGATTAGCGCCATATCGCGGACTTCGTGTTCCTTCGGTGGCCTTCAGTCCATCCTTCAACGTGACTGCAGCATACACAATCCCAAAGTACGATCGTCTTGTTACCTTGGAACACTCTAGAGTCATTCACTCCGAGAATACGTCTCTGCCTTTTCCAGCGGCTGCGCTTTTCCTCTTGACTCTTCCCGACTGGTTCAGAGCTTGAATCGGTCCGCAACCATGGGCGACGTCCTTGTTGACAATCCGACACATACTGTCCCTCCTCACAAGAAAACACCAATCTCGGAGTCCATACCCGATATCGATTCATTAGAAGGAGCAGGCACCGATGGGAGTGATGAATACTCGACGCTTAAGAAACTACAGGCGCACCTGGAGTAAGACTGCGTTGGATCCGAGCGGAGAGCGCCACAGCTAACGGAAACAGGTACATCAAATTGCAGGAAGAGTATATCAAAGATGAACAGAGGTATGGAAGACATGGGACAGACTTTTCAGGACATGACTAATGGCTCGATTAGATCCCTGAAACGAGAACTGGTACGGGCGCAGGAAGAGATCAAGCGGATACAGAGCGTTCCTCTTGTCATCGGCCAGTTCATGGAAGCTATTGACCAGAAGTAAGGACTAACATATCACTGCCCTCCTCGGACGCTAACAGTTGGCAGCACCGGTATTGTGCAATCATCCACAGGATCCAATTATGTTGTTCGCATTCTTTCAACACTCGACCGCGAGAAGCTTAAGCCGTCGTCCTCCGTTGCCCTCCATCGCCACTCAAATTCCCTCGTCGACATTCTGCCGCCGGAAGCGGACTCTTCCATCGCAATGCTTGGCGCAGACGAAAAGCCAGATGTTACGTATGCGGATGTCGGTGGGCTGGATATGCAGAAGCAGGAAATCCGAGAAGCTGTGGAGTTACCCCTGACCCATTTCGACTTGTACAAGCAGATCGGCATTGATCCCCCGCGAGGTGTGTTGCTTTATGGGCCGCCTGGTACCGGGAAGACGATGTTGGTCAAGGCTGTGGCAAACAGCACTACTGCCAGCTTCATAAGAGTGGTCGGTTCTGAGTTTGTGCAGAAGTACTTGGGTGAGGGGCCTCGAATGGTGCGAGACGTGTTCCGTATGGCCCGTGAGAACTCTCCGGCCATCATTTTCATTGACGAAATCGACGCCATTGCCACGAAGCGATTCGATGCACAGACGGGTGCCGACCGAGAAGTCCAGCGTATCTTGTTGGAGTTGCTGAACCAGATGGATGGATTCGATCAAACGAGTAACGTCAAGGTTATTATGGCAACGAATCGAGCTGATACGCTGGACCCCGCCCTTCTTCGACCTGGTCGTCTGGACCGAAAGATTGAATTTCCCTCCCTCCGAGATCGTCGGGAACGTCGGCTGATCTTCAGCACAATCGCCAGCAAGATGTCTCTCTCGCCTGAAGTTGATCTCGACTCGTTGATTGTCCGGAACGATCCACTATCCGGGGCCATCATTGCAGCCATCATGCAAGAAGCCGGGCTTCGTGCAGTGCGGAAAAACCGTTACAACATTATCCAGGCTGATTTGGAAGATGCCTACTCAAGCCAAGTCAAGGGAGCACAAGAAGCCGACAAGTTTGATTTCTACAAGTAGTTGGAAGCTACACACACGTGAAGCCACCAACTCCAACACTGTGCTCTATGCAGATCTGAGAGGAGGTGCGAACACTCGAAGGTGTTGACAGGAGAGGCGCTCGTGACTGGGCTCGCTGTCGAGCAGACCGGTCTAGATGTTTACACCGACGGCGTGGCATTGCTGGACGTCCCCAAGGACCGTTTCCATGCTGGACCAGGTCGGCAACGGGTGAGCATTTGATACCCATGTACAGCAGAGACGAATAATATTCAAACCAACATGGCCGCCTACTTTGCATGGATCTCCCTGTGCTAGACTTTGTAGCATGGTATCAGTCATGCGAGCCACAAAGCAAGGGGAGATCCAAGTAAGGGGCAGATAAGGGCAAATTACAGGGGGCATTTCCCCGTAGATGGGACATGACAGACACACGCTCGGTACTAGTATGGGGCTCTACCTAGGTACTCTGTCAGAGTAGTAGCCGTCACACAGGTATCTTCTGTCCAACATTGTATGTACCTCGCAATGGTTCTCATCGGCGCTTGCTTTACGAGAAAGTGCACTTGTACTGTAGAGCTGTGTTTTGATATCTGATTCTGTGGTCCGTGACACTATTGGGTCGCTATACAATAAATGCACACTGCCATGTGGCCAATAATGCCACTCGGGAAGGCTTGCAGTGCAGTGTGGAGATCCAAGCAGCCTGAGTACTACCAGGTATTCATGATTGCGTCACGGTTTGAAGTGGGTCAATGGTCCTCACATTAATAATAATGCGGTTGCGCGGCTCTATTCGAAGAGAGGATGCCGCAATAATAACCGATAGCCATGAGTGTCATTACTGATGCCCATATTGACAGCGATGCGATACGCCAGACGAGAAGCCGGCAACGATAGCCATTTTGTAATGTCTCGAGGAGCACCGATGGTAGGGATATAGGAGGGGCGTTCAGATGGTTCAGAGCCAGTGGTGTCTGGAACCAGATGTCACCCGTTAATATTCTGCTACTGGTACTACTAGTAGCAGCACTACAATATTGTAATAAGCAACTTGAATGGCATATGTACCTAGGTACCTAGGAACGAGGGATGGGATTCTAGTAATGAGCGCCTTTTACTTGCCCATGGGGAATCTTTTGCGTCCTTCCAAACTACCTCCACGTGTCCCCGATATGCCCGAACTACTGGTAAATGTAGAACTTGAACCACAAGCTGCGAACGAGACTGGTGTGCAGGTGGTGTTGTCGAGCGAGTTACGAAGCACGAATCTGGACAAAAAGGGAAAAGCGCACATTGTAAAATGCCAGGTTGACGAGCCGGATTGGCACGTCACTTAAACGGAACGGGGATGGCGCGGTCGCTGGTGGGAAAATTGGATGGATTGCGTCAGAACTTGGAATTTCAAGATGCAGGAGGTAGCGTGTCGTCGGTGAACTTGAAGGAGAAGGTGCCACTCTCTCGACCACATGCCTTACTAGTAGCACAACATTCAAGTTGTACTTTTCATACAGCCGCAATTCTGTACTTAGCAATAGCCACCACATAATATCTATCATGGCAGATTGAGGGCGGCTTGGATGCCGCGAAATTGTACCAGGAGTAATTGTGCGGTGTGCTCTTGTACCTAGGTAGCAAGCGGGAGGTAGTACTTTGCATTACAGAGACGGAAATGGGTTAGCGTACCCAGCCGACGTTCCTAGTTCAAGTTTAAGGTGGTCAGACTAATCGCACTAGCGGTGCTATTACGGCGCCCCCTTGGCGTGCTGAGGTCATCGTTTTTCGTTTCTGGCGCATCTTGTTTCACAGACACTTTTCGAGCATCCTTCCATTCACCACCCAAACCTGAACCGAATAATTGACCAGAAACCTACCTTGACATCCTGGTACATTCGGTTGTGTACAGTGGTACACCTCTCGAAGTTTGTCACGGGACTTTGCTACGGCGACAGCTGAGCGCAAGAGCAGCATTGTGTTTTTGTGCAGTTTGTCCTAGTCTGTAGTGACCCAGTGGTTTGCCGGGTCTGCCACCCGTAACGTCACCAAACCCTCCTCTGCCTCTGAAACCCGCCAGAACAAGGCCGCCTCACACGCGTATCAGTTGCCGTGAAGGGGCCACATTCGAATCCGCTTCCCACCACGGCACATTGCTGTTCAAGTTGCGCAACACGCGGTGTGCAAAGGGTACATTGGAGGATAGCTGTCGCGTACCCAGGTACCATCGACGAGCAGCTCGAGCGTGACACCCTGGTAAGTGTGCCTTCTTCCTGCGGCCAGCGGTAGCCGGCAGATTACCTTTTTTTTGCTCGTGTGAAGCCCTCTTTCGCCCGCCCTCTAAGACCGGGCCCAATCTCCGTCCAATACGCACGCTGGTTGGGTGGAAGCAAGTGGCGATGCGACTGGGGGCGCCCGACGGCTGGCGATCGCGCTGGACATGGCGAAATCTGCGCTGACACGGCTCTGATTCGCAGGTCTCGTTCCGCTCGGACGAAAGTCTCTGACCGTCGCTGCAAGTGCCTGCCCCTGCGCAGGTCAAGCCGCTCGCCGCCCGTGTGCTCCTCTGTGCTCCCCCCAAGAGCCGGGGGCCTCGCACCTCGCACGCCCGCCCTACCAGACACGCCCAGGAGTATATGAGGCGCCCGCGCCTTCGCAGCTCTGTCGACGTCACTTCTGCAACGGCTGACGTTGTTTCCTCCTCTACGTATTGCTTCATCACCAACCCGACAGTATGGCAAGCGCCGCGGTCGCAACTCAACCATCGCAACAACACCTGGGCGCTGACCCTCCGTCTCGCACCTCGTCGCCTATGGACAAAAAGAAGAGTTTGGGTAATCAGTCAGGTTAGTCTACCTCGTCGCCCCCTATCGCTAAAATTTCTTCCACTCGCGCATCCATCTGCCACAATGCCAACCACATCATCGACATCATCGCCTGCGCATTGGGAAATGCGTCATGCATCACCACTGCGCCCATAGACCGTATCTCAGAACACCAGACTGACTGACTCGCCTTGAACAGAGACGTCCTCACCGTTGCAGTCCAAGTCCACCCTACCAGGTACGCTACGCGTCGCCTACGCGCGCTGCCGACTCCTTCGATCAGCCACTGACCATGATATACAGAGTCGCAACCTACTACTACCTCGCTGGCAGAAGACACAAAGCCCGCCGTCGTCCAAGTCACAGAGCCTCTAGCACCCCCGCCGCGACCTGTGCCTGCCAATCCAGCAGAGACACCAGACTACTTCTCGGCGGTGCACAACAACGCAAGTGGTATCGGACAAGAATTCAATCCCTTTGAACAATCGTTTGGCGCGCCATCAACAGAAACTCCTGGCAAGACCCTCCTACCGCCTGTCGCAGCCTTGACATCTCCTGCCATCCCCGGCACCAGTTCGACGGGAGGCTACAACTGGCAAAGTTCGCTTCGATCGGGGCCCTTAAGCCCTGCCATGTTGGCTGGTCCACAACAAGGCGACTACTTCGACAGTATCGGCCGTGGCTTCCCCACGCCCAACGAGTCGTCTCTTCGCACTGGCTTGACCCCTGGCGGTGGCGGGTCTATGTTTCCCGCCCCCAGCCCAAACTCTCAAGCACTCTTCAACTCATTGCAAAGTGGCGGCGCCACGCCTGGGACGCTTGACTTCCATCGCACTGCTATGACAGCAGCTGCCCGGAATAAGACCAACCAGTTTGCTGTGACGTCGAATCCACAAGAACCCGTCCCTCAAGCGACCACTATGGATGCTCAGCACGATGCGACTGACGCTGCCAATGGCCTGTTTATGTTGGCTAAAGGAGGCCAAGCTAACAATCAATTCGCCGTGCCCAACCCAGCTCCCCCTCAAATGACTGCCCGGAATGGACAAGAACAGAAACATAACAGCCGTGCATCCATGTCAGGCCCAGATGAGGGTAGTCCCGAAAGTCATGAAGAGACCAAGCCCACCACACGCGGTCGCGGCAAGAAGAACACCAAAGCAGAGACCACTAACAACCGAAGGAAGTCCGAAGCTACCACCAAAGGGAGCAACAAACGTAGTAAGGGTAACAATGGAGCCGCCAACAATGTGGATCCTGCTCTTGACCCTCACGAGGAAGATGATGACAGCGACGACGAACAGCACGATAATGGCAGCAATAACAGCGGCAGCAGCAGTAATAATAATAATACGAACAACAACTCCGGTGGTGGCAGTAACAACAAGAAGATGACGGACGAAGAGAAGCGGCGGAATTTCCTCGAACGGAATCGGTAAGTCCCCTGAAAGGGTTCTATCACGAGAGCTCGTTCTGATCATAAATAGTGTCGCTGCTCTGAAGTGTCGGCAGAGAAAGAAACAATGGCTGGCCAACCTGCAAGCCAAAGTCGAGATGTACTCTGCGGAGAATGACAGCCTCAACACTCAAGTTGCACAGCTCCACGAGGAAATTCGCAATCTTCGTACTCTACTGATGGGCCACAAAGACTGTCCGGTGGGACATGCTCAAGGCATCGGACAGTTCCTGAGTGGCATGCAAGATCCCACCGCTGCGTTCCCCCAACAGCATGTTAATCCTTATGGCATGGCCATGCCGAATCCGGCGCCCATGCAACCTGGCATGCAGAGAACATGATCGCCAGTGGGCCTGGAGTTTGGCGAAAAAAGGCAACTGATTTCTGAGCTCTAGCAGCCGGCAGCTGATGACACCCTTCATGACCATTCTACTCTGTTTCTTTTGTACGGGAGTCAAAGAAACTCAATGCCAGAAAGGCAATTGATTCACTGTGGCTATCCCGCCAGGCCGGTTTCGTTTTCTACCTATTTCCTTTCGGCGGCCATCAAGCAACGGGCTGGGTTCTCATGCAACCTTTGATGCTGCAATTGTCTTTAGCAAACTGGGACTTTTGTGCTTGTTTCTGTACATAAAACCGGGTTCTGTACAGCACCAGCAAAAGAAGGGAGGTGGGTTGGGTTTGTCCGAGTACTAGGTGTGGCCATGATCACCTTGTCTTTCCATGTCATGCGTTCACGCGACCGCACACACGCACATATTATGCGAAGAGGACACAGAATGGGCGGGGGGATCAAATGGCGTTCAGAGGGTCTGGTTCTGGTTTGTTCTTTGATACAGCAAACACCAGCTGGAGCTTCTCGTAGTAGTCAGTACTAAATGTCGAGACTAGAAGACCCAATCGATGAATGTTTAGCTGTTGTAAAGTCGTGTCCAAGTAGTCAGATGGTGTTTGTAACTAAGTACCTGATAAGGACCCTTCAAGTTGGGTACGTGCCGTCGAGTGGTACGTTACATTTCAGCTTCAGCCTTGTCAGATCCGCCCCCTTTGATATTAGCAGGCCATAAAATCAGTTCTTCGGACACTGCCTGAAGAATAAGACTCTAGGCGGCATGACAACAGCATGTTTCATGACTCGTGCTTTGATTGAATGGCGGGCAGTGAATAGATCCAGCTGGAAGAGTACCTAGTGGGTACTATTATCAAGAAGCCCGAACGTACTACAAACATATATTTTTATTTATTTGGTGGAAATGAGCCAAAATGCCCTCTTTCCTCCTCGAAAGTTCACGTTGATCCACGTGAGTTTTGTATGATGCTCGTGATGCTCGTGATGAAGATGATGATTTCGATCAAGGCGTCCCAGCTGACAATATCCAACGATACACTTGTGAATATATATCTACTCATGTTCTGTAGCAGTCTCGCTCTGCGGCGCGGTATCGTTATCGAGGCTGTTGTTCCCTAAATGTTATGACCAGCCTGTACGTACCCTACGTTAGATTATACATACAGCAGTCGTTCAAGTTGTGTTAGGTTAGGATTTCACTAAGTAGTACGAGCCTCCCTTTTTGTTTGGTTCTCGTGTGAAATACAAAACTTTAGCATCTCATTTCACCAGTATCAGATTCCCTTTTTGGGTCCGACTCTCGTCTGAAACACTTTGCGCATCCATTTGCAAGGCTGGAAGTCACTGCAGAGCTAATCTGTATTATACGATTATGTCCTATATCTATTTTGACGGCTTAACGGACCGTCCCCTGACAAACACCTTTACAACGTTCCGATCATCGCCCGTCATGATGAACTTTTCAAGAATGTCCTCTATGGAATCATAGTCCTCGACAAGGGCGATGATACCCGCATCATCTCCAATAGTATGAATCTCAAGGGCATCAAAGTCCTTGCCCACGACAAAATTGCCAATCTTATGGTCGAGATTACAAACCTGTGCACCGCCCAGAGTGGCGAGATACAACATTTCCGTGAAATGTAGCGGTTTATCGTGCGGATGAGTGAGCTGTCTGGCCTTGGACACAGCAAAGGCCTGTCTCATGCAATCGATAATCGAAGACGAGTACCCGCCGCCCGAGTCGGTCCCGAGCCCAATCTTGATGTTTTTGTCGAGGTATTCGCGGACAGGGGCGACGCCAAAGACGCCGCTGGTCGTGTTTGAGACCGGACAATGGGCGACGCCGCAGTTTAGGTCTTGCAACCGTTGCATGTCGTAGTCGTCCATGTAGATGCAATGAGCCAAAATGGAGCGGTGGTTCAACAGTCCGAAATGCTCGTACAGGTCGGTCTCGTGGTCGAACTCGGGGTACAGTTGGCGCGTGAGTTCCATTTCTTGCGGTGTCTCGTTAAAGTGTGTTTGGATTGGGAGGTCTGGGTTCTTGTGCGCGATCTCGCCTAGTCCAGACAGCACGTCGTGGTCGCATGCCACGGCGAACCGTGGCGTCAGGATCGGAGTTACTAAGTTTTGATCCGGATCGATTTTGCGCACATATGCAATGAACTCCTCGGTTACGGCGAGTGATTCGGCTGCGCTCGCGTCAACGTAGTATGAAGGTGACTGCCGGTTCATGTTGCATTTTCCCACAAGTGCCCGTTGCCCTTTGGCGAGACATGTGTCGGCTAGGATCTTGGTCGCTTCACCGTGCAAGGACCCGTAGTACGCGGCTGTCGTAACTCCTTGTTTGAGGAATCCGTCTACGCATGAAGCGTATGTCTTGCGTGCGTATTCGGGGTCCGCGAACCGTGCTTCGTGTGGGAATGTCGTTTTGTTCAGCCACTCCATGATGAATTTGCCTCGTCCTGTTCCCCGCTGCGTCCATTGCGGCGCGTGGTTGTGCGTGTCGATGAACCCGGGGATTAAGAATTCGCCTCGTGATAGAGCCTTGAACGTCGATGATGAACGTGTTAAGCCGTGTTCGGAGAGAAGTGAGTTCAGGACATGGTCGTCGCTGATGTTTCTTTCCACCGCTGCAATCTTGCCGTCTGTCCCGACGATCAGAGCTGTGTTTTCTAGGATTTCGATCTGTGTCGGTGACAGGTGGTGGATGATTGTTCCGAAAAACGCCAGTGGCGTGTCGAGAGGGAATTTGTTTTGTCCAGCCGTCATGATGGCTGGTGGTGATGGTGTATCTGGCTACACAATTTGCGGGAGTCCACGGTTGGTGAGGGTGGTAAAATCAAATGTTACCAAACCTCCTTGAAGTCTCGGAGGAAAGCTGGCAAGCCTGTAATCCTGTTTTGCTGCCCAACTTGGAAGATCCTCAAGAATTCAAAGTGTTACAGCAGAGTGGGAGATATGTACTTGCCCTTTCGAACAGCCTTGTGGGTTCAAGGCCCGCGATGTCAAAATACCATTGGTAATGGATGCTTTTTGGTCCCTGGTAGCCATTTGTGTTTTACGTTGGTAGATTACTACCACCAACTGACCTTTCTCCGACACCGTACAGTTCACGGTCGTGAAAAAGATACGGTACATCCGACCCGGCTGCCTGGCAATGGGTAGTGGGTACCTGTCGCGGGTAGTAGTTGTACAGCATAATGCAATGTGGAGAGGGTAGAACGGGTCCAGTCCAAGTCTATGGCTGATTCGTCAAAGTACCAATATGTAGGCCCCAAACTGGTCCCAAGTAGCGTTGATAAGGTCAAGCGGACATAGGCGGTGCCCGAAAAAAGATTTTGATTGTCTGAGTTACCTCTGTAGCTGCGTGCGAAGCTGCTGCGATCAATAAAGGATGGCTCGGATAACTGGTCCATTCCAGGTACATACAGGTATCCATACCACCTAAAGAGACCAGGTTCCAGACGAGACAGCTTTGGGCCGGTGGGTGTTTGACTGACTATGGACGAGTTGTCGCTCTGGGATATGTACCTTCGGCGCCCCTGGCCCTTTCGGGAAACAAAGATAGCTTCACATATCTAACTCACCATCTAACCAGGTGTACAAAACCCTTCTCTTTTCCAAGATTGTTTTGCGAACTAGGCGTGTCTTCGACGCTTGTGGGGAGTGAATGGATTTCTGCGGTCCCGGTGTTGAGGAAGCATTGGTTATGGCAAGCACTTCAAAGATGTTTGTCGACACAATGACAATTGCGTTGCTGTATCAGTCCCTGCTAATGCGGGGACCATAATGGTGGAAGGGCTGTTAGCGAGCTTGATCTGCCGTGTGTCTTTGGCCAGGCGTAGGATAAGAAAGTAGATGGAAGGTCGGGGCGAGGTTGATGCTACGATGTTTTAGTGTGTCGCTGTCAGTAGCTTTAGGGGTATTTACTAACATAGTAATAGTATCCACCCATATCCACTCTATTCAAAAGTCCTCTTATCGGATTTTGAATCTTGCTTGCTTGCTATTCGCCAGCAATTGACCTTCTTGTACCGCCCGAGTATCACACCCACATCCCATAACCAGCCTCTCGCATGGGAATGTCTGGCGGATGATATTCCCCTCGCGACTAGTGCTTATTGACAGCAGGGTTCTGGGCATGACAGACTCGGAACCCGGCATCAGGACTACTGCGCTACTTGACCCCATCCGACAGGCAATGCTAGCACGAAATGCAGAGGTAGGTGCCTTACACTCTGGAGTCAAGCGAGCTATGGCAACCGAGCCTTCGGACCCGGGTCCACTGCCATCGTGGGGTTTCTTATCATTCAGAAGCCTGTATAATCGTGCTGAGCACGGACAAGATAACCCCGACCCATGTCTATGGCCAGATCTTAGCCCTACATCTGACATGACCTTTATCCATGAGATATCGACCCCGGGGCTCGCCGTGGACCGTGGGTATCAAGTCCAGTATAACTACGGCCACTGCTCTCCGGGCGCGTGAGCCACGTTTAGTGGGAGACGTGCGATCTCCGTGTTCACGGCCGACCTGGAGATTTCGACATCTCTCAAGTTCTGAGCTGTCGTTACAATGGACAAAGCGACAGCAATGGCGGCCAATTTCAAGTCGTCCAAAGGTTTTCTCGACTTTGTCCGGACGGAGCAGAACCATGGGCTTCTGTCGTCCCGTTGGATCAACAACGATCTGAAACCTACGACTCCTGGTGAGTACGGGAAGAACCAACAACGAGGGACATATCGCTAACCGCTTCTTGTTCCTTGCAGCACAACGAACTTGGACATGGTACCATCTTCCACTTTTCTGGGCCGGTCTGGCATTCGGCACCACTGGATGGAATGTCGCTTCATCATTGATCGCGGTGGGATTGGTAAGAAATATCTTCACATATACCTCGGTGTTATAAAGACTAATGCCTCTCTCTTTCAACACAGTCATGGCAGTACGCTCTGTGCTCATGCATCCTGGGTAGTGCTATTGCCGCTTTCGCAGTCACGGCTCTGGCTCGACCGGGCGCACGATACCACATTGGATAGTGAGTCGAGTCTGATTCGAGGACAACACCCAAACTAACGACTTTTAAAAGCCCCGTCGGTCTGCGAGCAGTCATGGGAATGTACGGATCGTTTGTCTTCGTCTGCCTACGTCTGATGACTGGGCTATTCTGGTAAGTTGGAGTTTGTCGGTGAGAGCTCTAGGGGGTCAATAACTAACACACCATTCTTTTGTCGTAGGTTTGGTATTCAAACATACTCAGGTGCCAACTTGATCTCGACATGCTTTCTGTGCATGTTTGGCAGTTCCTGGAAGAACTTTGAAAACACCTTGCCCCTATCAGCCGACATTACATCCAAGCAGCTGGTTTGCTTCTTTGTCGCATGGATCATTCAGATGCCACTGGTACGTACGATTACAGCAACCTTGCGCACTTCCATGCCGATTTCTGTGTTCAAGTCTGACTGTGATGTCCAGCTATTTGTTCACCCGTCCAAGATCCAATGGTTCTTCACCCTCAAGGGCCTGGTCATGCCCTTCGCCACCTTTGGTCTTTTCGGCTGGTGCATGGCTCACGGCAAAGGCATCACCACCATTGACAACCACAGCCTCGTCAAATCGAGCGACGACGTCCCCTTAGGATGGGCAGTCATGGCTGGGATAAACACCATCATGGGCACCTTGGCTTCCCTGGCAGTCACGCAGTCCGATTTGTCGCGATACTGTCGAAAACCCTCCGATGCGGGATGGTTGCAAGGATTGGCCGTCTTCGTCTCAAAGACTCTTGTCTTCTTTTTGGGCCTGGCCGCCACTGCATCCATCCAAGGCGCATGGGGTAAAGCATACTGGAACGTCTGGGATCTTTTGAATGCCATTCTCGATCATTACTGGACGGCAAGTGCGCGGACCGCGGTATTTGTGGTTTCGTTGGCCTTCTACTTCTCCGCCATCGGTTCCAACATTGGAACAAACACCATTGCTTTCGGAGCCGATCTGACCGGTTTGATGCCGCGGTACATGACCATTGTCCGTGGCCAGATTCTATGCTGTTTCCTCGGCATTGCTCTTGTGCCTTGGAAGATCCTTGCATCGGCGCAGAACTTTGTCACCTTTTTGGGTTCTATGCCCATCTTCTTTGGGCCTTTGGCGGCGGTAAGTTTGGACTTCCTCATCCTCGTCGAGACGGACAACTTGATTTTGCAAGAGCAAAAAGAATTCCAAATGTCGTGCAGTACTTACTGACTGACTTGTATAGATCATGATCACCGACTACTTCTACGCACGACGAGGCAACATCCACATCGTATCGCTGTATCAAGGCGAAAAAGGCGCCATCTACTGGTACACTTTCGGCGTCAACTGGCGAGGTGTGGCGGCATGGATCGGCGGCTTTGTTCTAGGTCTGCCTGGTCTTGTTGGCCGATTCCACCCGGACGCCGTGGGCGATGCGGCCAAGAACATCTACCGTATGGGCTGGCTCATTACGTTTGTCACCTCGGCCGTCTTGTACGCCGTGCTTGTCACTTTGTTCCCCGTACAGGTCTACCCGGCCAGATACGAGGGTACATCTCGCAGTTTTGAATACCTGGGCAAGACGGACGGGTTCTTTGACGATGAAATGGTTGTTTTTATTGAGGGAACTGTGCCGAACGATGATGATGATCTGGAGAAGAAAGCTGCCGAGGTGACGGAGACGAAGATATAGTATATTACAACTAGTGACGATGGTAATGATGAGAGGTAGAAAATGTATATATATATTCACGTGTATATATGTGTTTATTACTGTATATGCAGTAGCTCTTTGCCAAACCGTACACTGTACTAGTTGTCGACCCGCCAAAGATAGATTTTATATAACGTACCGGCCAGCCTGCTGCCCGTGATCTTTATGTACACGTATATGTATGTCCAAGTCTATAGTTCCGTCTTTCTTATATATTCTGCAAAATCGCCCGCCCCGCGACTTTGACTTCCTCGACCAGTCTTTCCACCGTGGCTTTTGTAGTAGAAATGTTGACAACAGCACGGAAAAACGACCCCTTTTCGACCTCGTGGCTCAAGGCAGGGGCAAAATCGACGAGGAACCCTCGTGATATCAACAACTGGCTGATCTTACTGGTGAGTGCTGAATTGCGCTTGCCAGTTTTGACCTTGGCCTTGAGCTTCTTGACTTGTTTTGCATTTGCATCAAACTTCTTTTCTTGGTCGTTGCTGGTGTTGTCATCGTACTCGTAGACCAGCTTGCCGCCGGGGGCAAAGTAGAAACACACCTGGAGACACGGCGGCGGATTCGTGCTGACTAGAGTCAAATCTGGATCCTGCTCAATCAGATTTGCAAAGTGACAGGCGACCGAATAGGCGTGTTCGATTTTGGATCGATACCCGGATGTGCCGTAGTATTGCCATGCGAAGAAGAATTTCAGGCTGTCGCCGCGTCGGCCGCATTGGAGTGTTAGGTCGGCTAGATCTTCGGGCGTTGTCCAGGTGTCGTTGTCGTCGTCTTCATCTTGACCATTGACACCGTTGGATTGTAATTCGGGATTGTATCCACCGTCTTGAACAATCTGGCTCTGGCCGTCGGCGTCAACTTCTTGGCCATCAACGTCCTCGTCGTCATCATCCTCGTCATCATCATCTCTGTCATGAAACAAATACCCGGCCCTCAGCGTATTCGCCCGATGAGCATGTCTCAAATCCCTGAGCAACAAGAAACTACACGTCACAGGCACACCGAGCATCTTGTGCGGATTCATAGCGATACTATCAGCCAGTTCCACACCCCTTAGAGCCCGTTGACGAAGTTCATCACCACCAAACACAAAACTGCCACCCCAGGCACCATCGACGTGCATCCAAAGACCATATTTTCTCGCCACAGCTGCAATGGCGGGGAACGGATCGAAGGAGCCCAAAACGGTCGTCCCCGCCGTGGCATTGACATAGAATGGAGTTTTGCCGTCTCGTTGCGCCTGGACGATCAAATCTTCCAATGCCACGGGGTCCATTTCGCCCGTGAAAGCGTCGACCGGCACGGAAATTACACTGGCACTGCCGAAGCCACATTGCTGAGCCGCCTTTTCGATACTATAATGCCCGTGTTCGGACGTGAACAGGACCAACGAGCGACCGTTGGCAGAGTTTCCCAACGTCTTGGTTTCCGGGAATAAGGTGTTGCGCGCAATCACGATGCTGGTCATGTTGCTTGCGCTGCCGCCTTGGACGTTGATCCCGCCGGCGCGTGGACCCGTGAATCCAAATAGATTGGCTAGTGCGCGCGTGACGTGCGTTTCGATCAATGATAATGCTGGCGATACTTGATAGACGTGGAGATTGGTGTTGAGGATGCTGAGAACCACGTCTGCGGCGATCCCCGGAGGTACGGGGGCCGCATATAACTTGTCGAGAAACCCCGGACATGATGTGTTCACGCTGTATTGGAGGATTGAGCACAATGTCGAGATAAGTCCTGATTGACCTAGGCCTTGCTCCGGGAGCGAGAGGGTCTTGGTGTCCGTCAGGATTGTGCGAAGTTCCCATGCTGGGTGGAGGTCCACCAGGGCAGACTTGGTTATGGCTTTGTGGTTCTCGTGGGCCCGGGTCTCGGAGTCGGCTGCCTCGATAAAGGGGATTAGTTGCTCAATCACGGCTGATAGGAGAGACTGTAGCTCTTGAGCCCGTGATGGTGCGGTGGCGGCGGTAGAACCGTTTGTGTGGACAGCCTTGTTGCCGTTGACTTGCACATGGTTCTCTTCCCCATTATTGACGACAGCATTGGTGTCGGTGTGGCCATTGGCCGGGAAATTTCTTGAATTGCCGTTCTGGACCATTCTGTGGTATAGTATATCTCTGGCTCTTTATCTATTCAATGAAAATAATGATCCGCTGGTTGTTTAGATCTCGCGCATCCAAATGCCGGGGTGGATCCACGTATAATACCGAAGTACTTACTGTAGCTGGACAAGCGCTGTAGGAAAAGAACACCACCTCGAACGGTAGAAACAAACAATGCAAAACCGCAGATCTATAAATGAACCAAAAGTATCGCGAGAAAAGCTATCATGTATCCTATGTACAACTATACCTGTGTTTCTGATACATGGTGTTGTAGTCCAATGGCGAAATTTTCCGCTGGCGCGGAATCTTCTCCAAATGACGCAATTTATGAAAACGAGGCTGCGCAAGGCTGCGAGGCTGAGCCATTCAGGGACAAAATAACCAATTGCTATTGACACACTGGCAGCACATGACACTCGTTCGAAAAGACTACGGAAGGTAATTTGTATTATGACCGCAACTACAATCATAGTCTTTTCCTACCCGCCGCAACTGGGGTCCAACATAACTTTCCGCCATACTACATTCATGCATTCGTTGGCACCGCATTCGCACCGCTCCCCGGTGTCTTTCCGTGTTTCGAGGCTTGCTGTTGAGTCTTCTGCATGTGCCTCTCCCTGGCCAGCTGGATAGCACTCTTCTTCTCTGGTACGGTCTTCTTGCCACCTGCAGATTTTCCATGCCCATCCGTCGTCGCCTCGGTCGGGGCATCCTCCTTGTCGTACCCCTTGGCCAAGGCGCGCCATTCCGCCGGTCTCCGCTGATACGAATCCATCGCCCAGTTCTTCCACACATTCCGGCCAAACGGAGATAATCGAATCTGACTCTCCTGGCTTGCCAGTTCCTTAGCCAGCCGCTCCTTCATGAAATGCAACCCCTCTGTTGCTGCCCAGAGAGCATCGGCCACGTACGACCCGCTAAGATCCTGTGCAAGTGCTGCAATGTGCCCGTAAAACCGCGGCACGAATTGTCGACGGAATTGGATATTGGACGGGGTTGGAGAAAGGGCAGTCTGCACCACCCGTGAAGCAACTTGATCCTGACACATCTGTAGCAGTATATCGATGTCAATCGCCAATAAGCTCTCCTGCACGATCTTGTCTGTCTTTGGCGCTTGAAGCATGGCTTGGGCCAATAACGAAGCATGCACGTCTGTCTTGTTGACAGTAGATCGTGGTTTGTCTTGTTTCTCCTCATCTTGGGACTGTTCCGACGTGTCTTTGGCCTTGAAATCGAGCAGCTTGGGAACGAACTGCGCCGGATCCTCGCCGTACTCAGCCTTGAGCACATGTGCCAGATCTTGCAGGTCCACCCCTCGCACAGCACATCGCTCGACAAGAGTTTTGATCAACCCGGTCCTCCGGCGAGCGATCAGTGTTGGAACCTCGGGAAGAAGCAGCGTCTTTGCTTCGTCGAGGTCGTCTCTTCCTAGTCGTTCAAGAATCCGGATCGCCACAAAGCCGGCAATGTCGTTCTTCGCCATACTGCTCAGTCGTGGCTTGAGGATGTTCTTGTAAAGCTTCTTGAAAGACTTGCCGGCAAGCCGTTGCACGAATATCTCCACAAGGTGCGACCCCGTCGGATCGTACATCAATCCAGAGATGAACTTGGCGCTTTCCGTGTCGTCCTCAAGGTCTTCGTCGGGCAACAGCTTCTTGAACACGGAATTCTCTTCGAGCTGTTTGTTTTTGCCAGGGTTGGAAAGCTCTAGTCGTACGAGAAGCTGAAGGACTGGGTTACCTGTCGGATGTGTGGCTAGTGCTCTGAGGTAGGTTGTGTCGAGGGCGGAGATTGCGCTACGGATGAGCTTGTCCAGCGCAGGACGGAAGGACTTTGGTACATTTCGCATGTTTTTGTTTGGTTGTGATTCCTCTCGGCTTGGGGCGTCCAGCTTTTCCTTCTTTTTGCTCGCAAGCATGGACTTTATTGAGTCGTCGTCCAGGGGTTCTCCCGACAAAATGAGGAACAAGACACGAACAGTATGGGATGCGAAACGATCTGTCAGTAGGTATCCCATGTTTGGTTCGAGCTCTTCTGCGGCTTGCAGAAAAAGCTGTTCCATCGAGGGCAGATCTGGTTCCTCGTCTTTGCTTTCGCGGTTCTCCTTGCCCACATGCTTTGCGGCCTCGAGAAATAGTGTTTCGCAGCAATGACTGCCGAAGCGATGACGGACGAGATATGTGAAATGTCCGCAGAATTTGCTGAACAACTTCCGCAGCTGGTCGGGAGTTGATAACATGATAATCTTCTCCAAATACCTCGAGCACGATTGACTCGACGCGACTTTGAGCTCTTTGCCCTCGGTTTCTCGGTGGACAGCCTCAATAAATATGGCGCGGTCTTCTGAGGATTCAAAATCGTTTGCCACGATCTTGTTGTTTACATTGGCGTAGTACTCCTGTTCCTGGGGGTCAAGTAGCCCATGGAAGACGTCCTCGTCTTGGGGCTCTTGGATTCCTGAAGGAGGATCCATATTGAAGCCGATATAGTCGTCCCCTGCATCTCCGTTGATGGCGATATCATCCGGTTGTTCTTCAATCTCAGCGTCATGATCATGATCGTCGGATTTCAACCTTTTGGCGGCGGGTTCAAAATCTTCATCTCCTTTTCGCTTGTTGCTTCTGGCCTCTTCCCGGCGGCCTCGCCTTTTCCTTTCTCGGGGCATTGTGACTCTCTCAGCTTGTAGTTGATGAGTTGATCAAGCGGATAACAGAAGGTACATATGGTTATATGCCAATGTATGGTCTGAAACGACGTCGTCAAACTTGACCCAGGAAAATTATGTGCCAAGTGAATCCAGGATCTACATAGTACAGTGGTACATTACGCCAGCCAATCACACTAACTTTTGCTTTGCCACAATAGGAACAGTCCATTAGAGCAATTTTGCGTCTAGTCACGTGATGCGCGAGGCTGTAGCCTTATGAGCCGCCTGTGGTTCAATATAAAACAGTACATCATCTGAGGCTCTATCTTTATTCTGTTGGGATTGAGAGTACGGTACACAAGTCGCAGCCGAGTTTCAGGCTTGATACGGTGATACAATCAAGGAGTGCACCGTTCAAGGAGCCATTTTCTCACAAACCATACAAGGTAACATAATGGGAAAGATAGTCCGACTACGATGGGACTTGGAGAACATTTGTTTCTGAAGCAGTCAAACACAGTGGTGGCGGTGAATATTGTATGCCTGAAGGAGCTGCTGTGCCCCACAGGTGTAAAAAACGTCGGTTAGCCCTGATGCCATCAACGCCCGTCAACGTAGCATAGCCAGGCATGTTAGAGAAACTAGGAGAACGCCCTTGTTGCGTGTCTTTTCGCTCATCAGTATCGTGTGTCAACTTCCAGACCTTCAGATCCGTAAACACAGACCGCAGCACCACGGGGTGCGTCAAAACCCCATTACCCTGCCGTCTTCAAGCCCGTGTAGTTAACCATGTATCACTTGGACATCGAGAAGCGGATGTGTCTTTCCCAAGTCCTAAAATCTCCAAGTGCCTTTGTCGGACGACAAGCCACACCTTGTGTAGTGTGTTATTTCGTAGATTTAGCTTGATGAGCGGTTGAACCACGCCGAGCAAAGCTGGTCTCATCTTTCCGTAGCTTGGTTTGGACGGCATATCCTCACGGGAACCTCAAGCAGCCTTCCATAACCTTCCGCAAGACCGCTAGACCAGTCAAAACAATGCTCGTCCTATACACATGATAGGGGCCGAGCGTATAGTAAATGGGTTGGGTTGATCTGCCCGGGATGCAATGAGGTCCAGCTGTAAGCCCACAGCATCAAGCCGCTCACTGACGGCACTTAAGGTGTGATCCAGTGAAATGAGATTGCCGATGTCTGAGCGCAGGCTCGAGTGGCTTTAAGAATTGAAGCCAACCACTCCGACCATCCAAGACTGTCACCAGCACACTTCCGAGCGGATAGTCTCCGTGCTGGCCTTTTCTGTTCAAACCAGACTTTCAGCCAGCCTGCTCCTGCGCGGCCATCTGCAATTTCTGCTGTAGCTGCAACAGCTCGACTCTTTTCTTCTCACTGCCCTCCTGCAGTTCTTTGATCCTCGTCTCTATCCGCGAGATCTCCTTGCCAATGAACTCGAGCCGGCCTTCGACGGCACTGACAGCCTCGGATTTGGCTTGCTTTAGCAGCACAGGACCAACGAGCTTGTAGATGCCGGCGTCGTCAGTGAGGGACGCGAATTCCTTCTGGACAGACTTGTTCTCTTGCTGTTGAGCCTCGAGTTTCTGGCGGGCTTCGATTGCAGTTTGCAGGTCTGCAAGAGCGGCAGTCCGTCAGTAGCTGGTCGATCACATACTCGTAGCAGGCTCTACCAGTTGATCAATACTCACCGTCCTGAATCTTCTGTAGAGCTTCAGACAAGGCCTGGAGTTTCGCCCGGTCTTCTTCCATGGTGCAGTCTAACCCTGTTACAACGAACGGTCCTTTTCCGTAGAGTTGTAGCACAAGTACTCTTCACGTGTACCAGAGGATTGAGATATGGACTATACTCAGTCTGAAGACAATGCTCTTGTGTAGAAAGAGTGTGTATCGCTTATTTGTTTCGCGGGGCAATTGCCGATGGACTGGCAGCGGATGATGAGGTTGAATCTCCGATAATAATCGACCGTCACATCGTGATCCAGTTTCGTTCCGCATCCCACTTCGACCACTAATTCCAGATCTCGGTAGACTACAACAGCCTCCTACAAGCAGCACTTCACGCACGGCGGCCCATACCTGAGCATTTTCTCTCTCGGACAACTGGAGCACAAGTGCTGCAGTGCTAAGTGTGTCCCTCTTCAGTTTTGCCGCACTCCGTAACCCGAAGACCGACCGCTGCCTAAGCGCCTCTTGTTTACCTTGGCCATTACGACGGCAACAACCACAACTACCAACACAACCACCACCAGCAGGAGACTCCCATCTTCCTCGTCTTCGCATTCTCGCACGCCAAAAGGGCACTACTTGGCCAACACCGACCGCCATGTCCAACACGGACTTTCTCGGTCGGGCGATCGACACGGTGAAAAAGGCGATTGAGCTGGACACGGCGGGATCGTACGAGCAAGCGTACCAACAATACTATGCAGCACTCGAACTGTTCATGCTAGCACTAAAATGGGAAAAGAACCCGAAAAGCAAAGAAATGATCCGGGCAAAAGCAGGCGAATACATGGACCGGGCGGAAAAGTTAAAAGCGCACATCCAAGCCAACGACTCGAGCAATCGCAAGAAACCGGCGGCAATGGGGGTGAACGGGAAAGCGGTGAACGGGGCTGGGAAAGGCGATGGAGGAGACAAAGAAGACGAGGACGCAGACAGCAAAAAGCTACGGGGCCAACTGACGGGGGCGATATTGACAGATAAACCCAACGTGAAATGGGAAGACGTGGCCGGGCTGGAACAGGCCAAAGAAGCCTTGAAAGAGGCGGTGATTTTACCCATCAAGTTTCCACACTTGTTCCAGGGCAAACGACAGCCGTGGAAGGGGATTTTACTCTACGGCCCGCCAGGGACGGGTAAATCGTATCTAGCGAAAGCAGTCGCCACCGAAGCCAACAGTACCTTTTTCAGCGTCAGCTCGTCCGACCTGGTCAGCAAATGGATGGGTGAATCGGAGCGGTTGGTCAAACAGTTGTTCAACATGGCGCGCGAGAACAAACCGGCCATTATTTTTATTGACGAGGTGGATGCCCTGTGCGGCCCCCGTGGAGAAGGCGAGTCCGAAGCCTCGCGCCGCATCAAGACCGAGTTGCTGGTCCAGATGGACGGTGTGGGCAAGGACTCGAAGGGTGTTTTGATCTTGGGTGCCACAAACATCCCCTGGCAACTTGATGCTGCTATCCGCCGTCGTTTCCAGCGGAGAGTCCACATTTCTTTGCCCGACAAGCCCGCTCGCATGCGCATGTTTGAGTTGGCCGTCGGAGACACGAAATGCGAATTGACCCAGGCCGATTACAAGACCCTGGCCGATTTGAGCGAGGGCTATTCCGGAAGTGATATCAGTATAGCGGTTCAGGATGCCTTGATGCAGCCCGTGAGGAAGATTCAAACAGCCACCCATTACAAAAAGGTAAGACAAAACAAAACAAAACAAAACACGGACAACGGATCTTTGGACTAATTGTTTCAAGGTCACTGTCGATGGCGAAGAAAAGCTCACTCCTTGTTCCCCCGGCGATCCTGGCGCCATTGAAATGACCTGGATGGACGTCGACTCGGAAAAACTCCTCGAGCCCCCGCTGCAAGTCAAGGACTTTATTCGCGCCATCAAGGCTTCGAGGCCGACTGTGTCAGCTGAAGATCTGAAGCGGAACGCTGAATGGACCGCCGAATTTGGAAGTGAGGGTGCTTAAAACAACATTCACTATTTTTCTCCTCCGAACAAAGAGAGACTTTTGCTGGTGTCAGTTTGCACGTCGGCGAAATCCCTTCAAGTTGCATTTGGTCGGAAGATCCCTGGCTCGGCTGCATGTGGGTCCGGCTGTTGAATTGCCGGCATCCAGTTGCTTGCTGCCTTTAACTTTGATGGGCTCCCATAAGGATGGTATCTGGTATCCAATATCTGTCATCATAAAGTCGTGTGTCTCTCCGTGGGTGTGGGCGTGGGGCAATATTGACACCTCATAGGGTGTAGGGGAGTTAGTTGAACGGGTCGAAGCTGCCAGTGATGCAGCTGCAAGTCGTGGAACATGGAATCAGCAATATCTATGCTACCTACCTGATCCAACCGCGTTGCTACAGGACATTATGCGCCATCCCATCCCATGCTATACCATGCCGGGAACAAAGGCAACATGACAAGGAAGGGCGCCCGTAATTACCTGAGAAGAGAAATAACAAGACGGGAATCAGGATGACCTTGAAGGCGAACGTGATGTCATGTTTCTTGATGCGTGAATGGGATGAGAATGAGCAAAGGAGTTCGTGTTGTCGCCGTCGTTTGTTGGTTTCTTCTTGATAGGAAGGGGTTTGAATTGCATGTCGGAGTCCGAGTCTTGAAATCTGGAAAGTCAGTCACAATTTGTTGCCTTTCATTTTATTCTTTTGTTTTGTCGTAAATGATTTCTCCTCCAAGAAGAAACGATATTGGAGGCACTGCATGGTAATTAATCTTGTCTCAAAGTAATTCTCATTAATTGGTATTTACTTAGGTGTTACAACTCGACCAGCGAAGATCAGAGTAGATCGGATCGTGATCGTGATCAATCATTATGTTTTTTAACTATCATTCATTAAATCGTAGATGTATATAAACACAACAACAGAAGGCGAAAGGGTACAAGAAAGGCATAAGGGCATCGCAATTCCATAATGTCGATAATGCAAACGTAAATACAAACCTCGCTTTGCTCAAGGATATAAATACCCCTTTTCAAAGTAATTCCCATACATGTCCACGACCCCCGTGCGACCTTTCGGGTCTGGGTTTCGAATGACCTTGATCTCGCCCGTCCAGTGGCCCGGGACGAATTTCATATCGAGGTCGGAGCACGGATCGGCAGTAGAATTTGAAGTCGATGATGACATAGGGGGAGGATTGGAGACGCAAGCATTGGAGGCATGCGAATCGAATCCGTATCCGTAGCCTCGCGGTTCCTCTTGCACACCGTTCACTCCGAGTCTCCCATTTGTCAAGAAATTAGTTCCGGCACGGTTGTTCATCTTCTTTGACCGCGCCAGTTCATCTTCGTATGCCTTTTTGCGTTCTTTTCTCCAGGCGGCAAGCTCGGCGATCACGTCGACTGTTGGTTCCTCGGTAGTCTCTTCGGCCTGCTGCTGCATTGAATGTGATGTCGGAGGACGTCTTTGTGATTGCAGCGAGCCAGCACTTCCTGGGGCCTCGGCAAGAACAGGACTCTGATTCCCTCGTTGTGCTTCATTTGAGCTCCGTCGGTTCCGACCGAGAGGCAAATTCCGGGGACTTCCCAACACACCAGAAGAGCCGGCGGCATAATTCATCGAAAAGGGGGACAGCGTGCCGCCGCCGTGACCCCCAAACACACTGCTATGAGGACTGGTAGAGCCACCACTGTCGGCATCATCCGCCGTCAACAGAATCTTGTCGTCAAAGTGCGCCGTGGGAAAGTATTTCTCCGGGTCGTGCTGATAAATACCGCATTCATCCTGCTCCTCGCCTTCTTCGCCGAAGAAACTAAAGTCGTTCTCGGCGGCAGACCAAAGGTTCTCGCTGTCGCGGTCTCCTGTCGAGGATTTACTCATGCTGAGATGTTGGCGGGAGTGTTGCCAGGCTCGTTGGCCATTGACTTTTCCTGTGCCTGTGCCTTGCTGCTCCATCTCTAGGACGATGGTGCGGAGGGCAAAAAGCGACCGCGCTTGCTCAAGCTCGGCGATATGTCGGGCTCGGCCAGGAGGAAGCGAGTAGTCGGCCTTGGCTAAGAGGCGCGAAAGGGCCGACTCGTCGGCACAGGCAGATATAAAAGCTTTCAGGGCATCGATGAGCTTTGACGACTTGGGCACGGTTGTAGGAACATTGGTAAGTATCAGCGTCCTCAGGTTCGGGAGCAGGCAAGGATGTAGTGCCTTTAAATTGAAAGCTATTGATCTGGGAATCGGTGTTGCTGGCTTCAAGGCCTCGGACGACAAGCCTGCAGGTCGTTTGGCGAGGAGCGCTTCTATACGGGCATGACGATGTTGAGTTGGGGTAGCCGGGGGAGGAATTGTGGGAGGCGGCTGGGCGGGAGGCAATGGCTCCGAAGTCAAAGGTGTAGGCAAACTGGACGTTGGCGGAGGGTTGGACCTTGATTGACTAGGAGACCCGAGCTTTGACTGAGACGGAGATATCAATGGTTGAAAGCCCATGGTACCGTGCGAGTGCGGTGTCATGGGAGAGACCGGAGAGAACAGGGATTTGTTCGTACTGTGAGTACCCGTCTCATCTGAGATTTCCGAGTCGGTCACAGTAACGTGATCATCATGTCCAGAATCCATCGTTGATGGGTTCTGATCAACCAGCTCTGGAGCATAAGCCCCTTCACCTCTGATGGGACTCTGAACCTCCGCAGGCTTTTCGCTGGACTCTTCCGGCTTGTCTCCAATGGGAGGGCTAACGGCAAAATACATCACGTCGCCAATTAGCTCAGCCCTCGGCGGCGCTGGGGTAGCGTCCAGTTCGAAAATAGGTCCATTAGAGCCTGGCAGCTCTACTGGGTAGCGATCTGAAGAGGGTGCCTCCACCATCACTCTGTCTGCTGGTAGCTCAGAAGCAAGCGGTTGCGAGCCGGCCAATTCGGTCGATGGTGCCATGGGTTTCGCAGCCTCTGCTGTGATATCTACTTTTGACGTGACCAGTGCGTGGTCAACACGTAGATAGGTGAGGTTTTTCCTCGCATGATGCGCAAGGACCGGAACCAGCTTCTCAGCCCCCGGAAAACGGACTTCGTCAATATATCCAGTCGCAGACGAGAGAGATTTTGTCCTCGAAATAATCTTGACCGTGTCGACGGACCCGCCGTCGAAAATGTGGAGGCGCTCTGACTTCAAGAGGCTGGATAACCCTTCCACGGAAAGATTATTCCCTGAGATATATAGATGGGTCAGGCCACGGTGCGGAATGTCCTCAAACGCCAACCTGCCGGTCAGCGGATTCGTCAATTGCTTGAGGAGCTCACGATCAAGTTCTTCACTTCGGAGTGTATCGAGGCTGAAAAAGTCCGGCCCGGGAGCCATGCCTACAGGCCAATCTTCTACATTGAGAGAGCCTAATTGAGGCGCATCAGGAGGCAGAAAACATGCCTGCATCAATGACCGGACAGCCATGTCGGTCAGAAGATTGTCTCGCAGATCCAATAGCCGGACACGAATGCCAATGGCGTTTGCCAGCACCTCGGCCTCTCCATCTCGAAGACCGACACCGCGCAGCTTAAGCACTTGCAGATCCGACAAAAAGGACAGGGCTGCTAGAACTGCCGCATCTCTGGCCGGTGATGTGTATGACAAGTCAAGGTAAACAAGACTGGAAAACCTTGGTAGTGCATTGGCCAAAGAGACTGACGTGGTGTTCGGCTCGCTGGATGCCAGCAGTAGTTTCAGCCCGAAGCTAGGCAATGTGTTCTCTTCACCATTTGACAGTTTCCTCCCAATGGTTGTCGTCTTCAGAGCATTGAGACTATGGTGGTCGAAGAAAGGTAACTTGGTGACAATGAGGCTCTGCAAGTTCGGAAGGTATTCGAGGACATCGCGCAGCCACGTCGGATTGGGCCCGCCATAAATCTCGCTCAGTGCGGGTGGGAGGTGTAGAGTATGAGTGAGACTGCGCACGCTGAGTCTCGCTTTGCGCAGAGTCCGCTTGAATCGGGTCAGGGCGACGTAAACGGCGTCATTGGCGATGCCAAAATGAGACGCGGGGTCTCCCCAGAGGAAGGGAACAAATATCGAGTACCATTTCCGCGACACCAGGCAAGCCGAGCACAGATCGCTCGAAGGAATCCAGGGCGCGATAATGGACCAAGTCTCACGGCTAACTGCACTTTCGTACGACGGCGGCACGTCAGGCTTCATGTTGGAGGGGAAGCGCTGAAAGGTCGAAGCATCTTGGCGAGAAAAGACGGCAAAGACGTCTTAGGGTATCCAAGTAGATGCGCGTCGACTGAAGACTGCGGCGAACTTGAAGAAGGCTGAGAACTGTTGTAGTTCTACAATTACTAGTACAGGTCGATGTGGTGTTGGCACATGCCGAGAAGTAATAGACCAAATACGAGTATCAGCACGTGCAGAGTTGGAGTTCTCGGAATATTTATAGAGCGAGTTAGGGCGGTGTCACGTGCCGTCCTGATTTTGCCCTGAATCAGCCTTGCGGCGAACACGAACATTTGAGAGAGGCTTGGGATACGAGTGCAATGTAGCCTGGCAATCAGTGACACTATACAGCATTGTACATGTATCCTTCGCAGTATCCTTCGCAGTTACAGCTTCCTCCGTAATCCCGCTCTTGCGTAGACAGAAACCAAAAGTGTTCCGCGTAGCGTTTGCAACGGTGATATTCTTCATTGGTGGGACAACTATTCTCCAAAGAATGATTGTCCCTAATGGCGCATCATTAATCCATCATGATATCTGTGGTGAGTGTTATGGCTGTCCAAGCGCCGAGACCCTTCCAAGTCCAGACCAAAATCATATAGCACAGAGAGAGACTCTCCTACCAACGGCAAAATCAAGAGCTGTACGCCTGGCATATCAACGTCGACAAGATGAACTGTGGTCAAGGGCTGGCTGCTTTTGTCCGGGAGGTACTAGTGATCTACATGACATATAACAAATCGGTATCTGGAAGATGTCAGTATATTTCGATGCTGTTTCGAGACAAGTACTTACTCAAAGGATGTGAGCAGCTCAATTGCGGCTTCTGAGTATACTTTGAGGCCAACTCGTCTCGAATGCTGTTCAACAGCTGCACGTAGCTTTGGTGGGGATTCTTTTTCAAGGCGGTCACAAACGCCCAGCTCATTGCCCCGGTAGCTTCTCCGTTGATTTGCGCATCTTGACTGGTCTGTTCGTCTTTGCTACCAGACCACATGATCACATCAGCGGGACTGGTCTTGGTCTGCTTGTTGCGCTCGTATGTCGAGTTGCCAGTAGTAGCCTTTTTGAACAGCCCCATAGCCGTCGAAGCCATGCCGCCCAAATCTCCTCGAGCGTAAGATGACACAATAGATAGCAGCCCTTGGCCTGCTTCTTTGGCCAAGTTGGGTTCTTTGAGGATGCCCTGGGTCGAGTAGATATACGGCAAGTCCAGGGCAGAACCGGAGTGACACGAGTCGAAGATTGCCGTGAGCCTGACTCCAGGAGGGAGCGATTTGACCAGGATGCGATGCATCTCGTCATCCACAATGTGTCCGGCGGTTCGGAAATCGACCGGGTAAATTACTTCGTCATAGCCATCTTCTTCATCTCCATCAAGATCCGGCGTCTGTCCACCGTGGCCGCTGTAGTGGAAGAACAATGAATCGTTGGGGCGAGCGTCCTTGACCAACCAATGCATTGCCCGGAGTATATTAGCTTTGGTTGGTTGCGACATTGGGTTCTGTTGGTCATCCGTCAAGATCACCATGTCCTCCCTGGCATAGCCGAAATTCTGGTTCAGATAGGTCGACATGTTTTTGACATCGTTGATGCAGCCTCGCAGTTGTCCTCTTTGGCCAAAATAGTTGATGCCGATCAACAACGCCTTTCGTTTTCCCGTGCAAGCAGAGTATTGAAACTGATAGCCGGCAGGGGCACCATGACCAAACTGCTGAGGGGTGGTAGGAGGCGGTCGAGGGCCAGCCGAGTTGCCCTGTGAGTACTGACTCTGGTTGTATGAAGGCATTCCGGGTCGAGGGCCTACGCGACGTTAGTATACAAGGCTGACCTCGGCGAACGAACAGAGACCAACCTGGATAGCCGTTTGGCTGCGGTGGAGGAGATCCATAGCCGCCATAGCCGCCGCTCTGAGGAGGCGGAGGATTGTTATAGCCATATGGAGCTACTTGTGGCGAGGGATGACTGTACATGGGCGGAGGGCCATAATTCTGAGGCGGAGGAGGGCCGTAGCCCTGAGGAGGATATTGTTGAGGTGACTGCGACGGAGGATATGGGCCTTGCGGGTAGCCTTGAGGAGGGTATGGTTGTGGAGAGTGTGATGGAGGGTAACCGTAACCTCCGCCGCTGTGCTGTTGAGCACCGAAGCCGCCCTGGCCGGGGTAATAGGACATTTCGAGATTGACGTCGATTTCAAGCAGGCGATTCAATAGATTAATGTGCGTGTATAAAAGAATAAAGGTGGGAGACAGCTGAAACAACGAGTTCAGGCGGCGGTACAACTACAGACGGGTCTCGGCTCTAGACTGCAGTGGGATTTTATGTCAAGCCTGCGACTCAGCTGCGTCGTCCGGAGGTGGAGACGGCGGGAGTGCGCGTCGCTCAGCTGGCCCACGCGCGGTGGGAGTGGATAGTTGATGGCGGACAGTAGGTAATCAGGATATGTAGGTAGTACTGAGGATAGATGGGATGGGCGAAATGAATCCTCGTAGTTCGAATCGTACCTCAGGCTGTAAATGTGCAGCGTGCAGTGTTGGCGCTTACAATTGTATCGAAATGGTGCCTGCGCCTGCGCCTGCGCCCTGCGGTCTCCTGGTGACCTTGAAGCTGACGAATGTTGACACTGCACTCGCATACATTGCCTGTCTAGGTACTAGTAAACTAAAAGGACTGGTAGTATTACTGCAGTACTAGCAGCACCTTCTAATAGTACGTGACTAGTAGACACTTTACACTTGTATCTTCGCTCAGCTATAACTTCGTCTAGAATCTCCTCCACTGCCACTGTCAGTGCTGCCACTGTCAATACCCTCCACTCGGTCATTTCGTACTTTTGTCCCCTAGCATCTGCCAGTGCGACACTCCGATGTACACACTACAAGGGTTGGGCGTCAAGGGTCGCGTCGTTCCCTAGCCGCCTCGTATCATGCTCTTCCATTCCTTTCTCTGCTGCTTCATCGGATTGTCTCTAGTATGGCCCTTCCCGAGCGGAAGGGAGGCGACAGCCTAAAGAATAAAATCGACGACTGCCAACGTTGTCAACTGGAGGGAGACCATCTAGATATTCTTGTCTTGTCTTGGTTCGCCTGGGTCCCGAATATTAATCCAGCAGCTGAGGAGGGCCATCGATCAATCATTCTTGACTTGGATCTTTTTCAGTCTTTTCCGTCCTCTGTTCACTTCTCTCCTTTTTCTTTTCTTTTCTCTTCCGTTCAAGATCCAGGTATCGTGTAGTGTATTGCAGCGCGTCGTCTATGGGGGAGTCGATGGCCGCAGGAGTCGTTATCATCACAAACAAGATAGGTATTCGATCCTCTTTCTCTTAAGGCAAGCAACACAACCCCAAACCAAGCGGGATCGCAATTCCAGGGGGCTAAAACAAGCAGAAACAGAAACCGAACAGAAGAATTTAAACATTATTTCTTTTTTCTGTTCTCTTCTACCGTCTCGGCATACCCCTCCCTCGTCCCCTGAGGGCACGCTGAGCCGCGCCAGGAGGCAGACCTCTCTGGGGCGCTTGCGGCGGCGCGCTCTCTTCATTCTTGATGGTTTCATCGACGGAAAGAATCAGACAAGCGGCCTCGACAGCAGCGGAAATGGCATTGACTTTGACGAGCGCAGGTTCCCAGACAAAGGCGTCCATATTGTTACGGACGCCTTCATGGTCGAAATCGACGCCGGCCCAGACATGACCTTTGCGATGCTCGACGCGGAGTCTGTTCAGGATATCCGTAGCATCAAAGCCTGCATTGTCGCATAGTTGACGAGGAATAATTTCCAAGGCTTTAGCAAACGCCTTCACCACGGCCTGTTGCTTGTGCGGCACGTTCTTGTCGGCATACCGGTGCAAGTATCCGGACACTTCCATCTCAGTAGCACCACCGCCAGCAACAATGGTGTGGTTGCGCAGGGCGCGCTTGACAATCATGATGGCGTCGTGCAGACTGCGCTCGACCTCGGCGATGAACTGTTCGGCGCCGCCGCGCAAGATCAACGTACACGTCTTAGCCTCGGGACAGTTGCTGAACAAGTTGTAGCGCTCTCCGCCGATCTGGCGCTCCTCGAACAGTCCACAAGTGCCAAGATGCGACGGCTGGATGTCGGTGCAGGTGCTCTGGATCGTGGCCCCCGTGGCCTTGCACACGCGTTCCATATCTCCTGCGGCCACTCGCCCCGCACAGAAAATGTCCCGGTCGGCAAAGTACTGCGTCGCCAGGTCGCCAATGGGCAAACGACTCAAGACGACTTTTGCTCCCGTCTTGTATAGCGCCTCCATCTTGTCGTAGATGATTTGCCATTCGGCATCGACAATCGCTTGGTATTCCGAAACCTGCTCCACGCGTACCTCGGCGTTGTCCTTTTCGGCCTTGAGCTCCAGTTCGACGTTCAGACACACGATCTTTGGGTTCTTGAACGATTTCGGTTGTTGCTCGAACCCGGCGTACGAAAACGTCTTTTTGAATGCCACCCCATCGACGAATAGGGAATCTTCCAACGCTCCGCCCGTGATTTTCTTGATTCCAATCAAGTTTTCGTTCAGATCGTCTTGGTCGAGAGAGAGGACGGCGTCGACGACCACTGTTGACAGACAGTTAGTACATAGTACTCTCAAGCAGCACAGGACGCCAGTTCGAGTTGCCAAAATATGCTGGAAAAGAGGGGTGGGGTGTAGGGTGGGTGTGTAGAGCAATATCTAGGGACCTGTGTGTGTACATACTCTTTGTAAAAAAGTCGGCATTCCGATGAATCAATTTACTGCTCATGGCAGTAGCCGCCAACTTGCGCAGCGTTTCCCTCTTGTTCGCCTCGTGCGTTGAGACGGCAATCTCCTTGATTTTGTTGATGGCCATTTCCGAAGCCCTCCGCAGACCTTTAATGATCGTCTGTGTGCTGACACCCTGTTCGACCAACTCTTTGACTTCCTTGAGGATTTCGCCCGCCAGCACGACCACCGACGTCGTCCCGTCTCCGACCTCTGCATCCTGCGACCGCGCAATGTCGACCAAGATCCGGGCTGCGGGGTGAACGACATCCAACAGTTTCATCACCGTTGCGCCATCGTTGGTGATGGTCTGTTTGCCGCCGGCGTCGACGAGAAGTAAATCGCCACCGTAGGGTCCTAGGGTCGCTTTGATCGTGTCTTGGACGGCGAGGCAGGCGTTGATGTTGGAGATGACTTGTCCTTTGCCTTGAGATTGGTCGGTTCCTGTAAATCTAGTTGTTAGATACCTGTATTGTACCGCGGAGCAAAGCGAAGTAGATTTGTAACTGATAGAACACAGATTGCACTGATGGTTCTTCCGGCTGTTCGGTTCGATTTCGCTCCCTGGTCCGTCTCATCTCGTGGACTGGAATGGACCTCGAACTTGAACAGCGGTGGCCCGGACATGGAGCGGAGGATGGAAGACCAAAAACTGACCTTCTTTCAACACGATAATCGTAGGCGTCTGGCCGCCAAATGCCGCCATTTTGTGTGTTCCGACTTCCCCTCTCTCCTACTTGAAATCCGATCGTCGACTTCTCCTTGGTGCAAGTGTCAAGTGGGTTGTCTGGGAGTGTGGTCGGGTGCAGTGACAGTTCCTGGAACTTTTCTTATGCGCGGCGCCGGCCAGAGCCAGAGTTGCGTTTCAACTGCGGCCAACTTGCCTTGGCAGATATCCACGGCGGAGTACTAGCAACGATCCGCAAAGAGTGCCCGAGGACTTGGGCGGATCATAACTATCACTACCGTCAAGGCTGTTACCCTGACCTGGCCAATAACCTTGGAATGCACTGGCAGTAAACTCGGTAAGCACTCAGAACTCTGTCGCTTCGACGGTTCAAACATGGCACATATTCTGCAGACTACCTAAGGTATGTAGCTACCAGTATTTCAAGTTGTCCTCAATACTAGTACTGTTTCAAAGCAAAATGCTCATACCGCCCGGCCAATTTCACCCGCCACGTCCTCCCCCAAATAATCATAGGAACACAAGTTAGTGCCACAGCGACGGACAAACATCCAAGCAACACAAACATATTATACACGCCCATGTTGTTCATCCAGGGCGTGATGGCGAACACTAGTGCCGTCGAGATGACGTTGCGTACGAAGACGACCGAGGTGAGAGCATCGCCGAGGATCTGGGGACCAAACAAATTAGTCCCGATGGTCTTCCATACCAGCACTCCTAACTGAACCAAGAGATCAACTGGGCTGTCCTTACATATTGGTAACAATCCTGACAATACGTGAGGGAAATGTCGCCACATCCGCCGATCGCGGCGCCGATGAAGCCGGCGCCCACGGCGTTGATTTGCCATGCCATTCCCTGGTGGAGATACGTTAGCATTCCCGAAATACCCCTCGGGGTTGTCTGATATCTGACTCACCTTGGAAATGGTCAACCCATACATAAACAGCCCAACAGGCATACAAAGCGCAGGCAAGATGAACAGCCAAAGCCGAGTTTCCGGCTCATAAATACCACCTCTTCTCTTCGCGACCTGCAGAATAAAATAGTCGTTCAACGGACCTCCAAAGAGACTGCCCAGCAAAGCACCCACACAAGGCGGGATGTTCATATTTCCAACACCGATAGGGGTGAAATTATACGGTGGAAAGGCGTACAAGCTCGACTGCGTGACTGCAAGGATAGCCAACATGGCGATAGAGAAACCATATTGCAACGCAGTGAACATGACCGCGGGGAAAGTGGCCAGGATCAGGAACGGTTGGTAGAAATGCATCCACAGACTCCGTCGCTCCGTGGTTCTTTGTTTGTCCAGTGACCAAAGTGCCAGACGTTGCCTGTACGGCTTGAGGGGGATGGAACGGTCGATTTCGACCAGTCGTTTGCGCTGTGGTGTATTGTTGCTGGCGGTTTTGGCCGTATTATTCTCCTCGGACACAAATCCAGTTCCAGACCCCAGTCTTCCCTTGCTGATGCTGTTCACTTTGGTAAGTTCTTCTTCCGGGACGGTTGGTGACGTTACATCCACCACGTCCCTGCCCTCCATGACCAGAGGGGTGTATTTGCTCTCTTCCAGGAAGAAAATCATGGCGACCACAACGATGCCCATAAAAATGACGCAGTACCAGAACGCCCATGGCCAGCTTTGGTTCACGGCGACGTACCCTGCGGCCACTGGTCCGAGGTAGTTGCCGACCATGACGGTGACGAGATAGATGCCGTTCATCGTGCCGCGCTGGTGGACGAAAAATAAATCCGAGACCGTGACCTGAAATACAGCCTCGTTGACGGCCCCAGCAAGCCCAGAGACAGCATTGGCTCCAATCATATCGCCGACCGTACGCATTTTTGCCTGCCAGATGGCAGCAGCAAGGAGGACAAGCGCAGTGAGGATGTAAACGGGTCTTCTTCCGACCCGCAGGGCAATCGGGACGAAAATGATGCATCCAACGGACAGGGTGGCCATGTTGGTCGCATAGCCATTGTTCAAGGCATCGTAACTCATTCCAAGCTGCTCGTTGAAATCTTGCCAGAGCGGAACCGAGACACAGAGACTGCACACCAAGTTCCAGTCAGCGCATTGCACACGATAGCAGGGAGAAAGTGATCCTACATGGCAAACACCATCAGCGCATAGAAGCCGAGAATTGTCATGTGCACAGCTTTCCGAAACTTGGACCAATTCTACTGACTCATTAGCATTCATTTTTTGTTTCTTCGATCGAAGACATCACTTACCAACGGTTGGTTTGGATCGGCATTTGGCTGGGGCGCGAGCAGGATCTTGGATCCTGTTCGATCCTCAATACGTTGGGTCCCCGGAGGGAGTCGGTCGGCCGTCATCATGATTCAAGCAAGCCCGTTGGGAAGAAACAAGGCAAGCTTTGCGGGCAGCAGTCACGATATATCCTCACTGCCGGATACAGTGGCAGGCCTTCGAGAAGGGACCGCAGTCCTTTTGTACGAGCCCGCGACATGGTGTCCAGGGTCAGTGTGATGGCAAGTCCCCTTATCAACGTGGAGTAGGTAATCACTAGTCGTGGCCAACTCCCGACTCTGATAGCGCGGCACAGATCAACCTCGATGCAAGTCAAAACTGGGGCTTCCCCAGAACTTGTGCGGAGTATTGCGATAGCGTCCTCGTGGTGCCTCAAGGCCTTGTCCGACTGTCAGGGAGACAAGGCGCCATAGTACGCCCAAATGCGATAAGACCATCCAATCAAGTCACATTGCGCGCTCTAGTGCAACTTCTGGAGAGATGAGGACGTTGACGGTGATCGAAATGTCTGGCTAGACTTGCCTATTTTGCACCGTTAGCCGATGGCTATCATCTCGATGGCGTTGTACAACTACACCCGTCATGTTGCTGCTCTACTCCAGAGTTGCCGGCCCTCTTATCACTGCCGGATCCTGTCACCACGGTCCCCATGACCAATTGGTGTCCCATGGACAATCCTACGTTTCCAGTCGACCAAGGAAACGTTCAAGGGCACCTTCCGGGCTCATCTTGTCCAACCTCTCCTTGGTGCACGCAAACTCGTTCATCGGGAACCAGTCACGGAGATCGGCTTTGTCGCCAGCCACCATGATCGCAAGGGCCTTGCCAGAAAGCCAACAATGAACCATTCCATAACCGTCCCAACCGGCAGCTATCCATTCGCCGCCAACGCCCGGATTGCAGTCTTCTCGCCCGGAAAAGTGTCGATTGACCCGATCGACGAGCGGTAGCCCATCCCCAGTGAACCCCATGATGCCGGTCCATTTCCTCACGACTTTGGTGCCTGAACCATGGACAAAAGCTCTTGAGGGCACAGTTCCCAGGTGCTTTAGACACTGTGCACTAAGCTGGCTGTCGTCGGTGTTGCCCAAGTCCTCGTCGTTCTCTGGACCGCCCTGGAGAAAGCCGCCACCAAGATACAAAGATCCATCTTCACCGGGCGACTGTGTAATGTAGTCAAAGCCTCTCGCCCACATGGTACTCCAAGACCTTTTGTCCCCGGCTCGTGGGAACTCTGGAGGTACAGCCTGCACTGTCATCTGGCCTCTTAACGGCCAGAGCTTGCCTCGCAGAGCTGGGAGCAGATGTGCGGCGAAGCCGTTGGTGCAATGAATGACATGTCTGGCTCGAATCACGCCCCTCGATGTCACTACTTCATATGGATGGGTTGACGAATGGCTTCGACGAACTTCCTGAGCCGGCGTGTTGGTTTCCAGAGAGAGCTGTCCTCCCGCCAACAATTGCGACAGGATGCATCCAAGAAACCGGTACGGCCACGCTGCTCCCGAAGGCCCTTTGATTGCTCCGTATGCGTTGGCGATGCCCAATTGCTACACCTCTGTCAGATACTCTTCTCTTCAGAATTGAACAGGAAGTGACCGACCTTGAGCGCCTCAGCTCCCTCTACAACCGTCCAGCGCTCGCGTTGTTCAGGAAAGTCTTCGAGCCATTTCTCAAGCTTGATTTTGGCCAAGTCCCATGCCTCTTGGTCGTAGACTGCACTTACGCCCTCAACCCGTCTCACCAAACCAGCCTTGCCTGCCTCACCAAGAGCATCAGCCTCTTTCACCAGGGCATCCAGATGAGCAAGTCGGAACTTGGTGATTCTCATGGCACTTTCCTTGCCGTATTCTTCCTTGAGAGCGTAATAGTCCGTCCACGGAACTGCCTTGATATGACCTCCATTGCGACCTGTGGCTCCGGAAATGGCCGCTCTTGCTTCAAGCATGGAAATCTTCGTCGACGGTTGCAACTCCAGTAGATGTTTTGCCGTGCTAATGGCGGTAATCCCAGAACCGATGATGGCCACGTCGGTCTCCTCTGGCAGACATGCTGATTGCTGGGTTGCGAATGAATGAGGAGGGTCTTGCCAGAAAGATGCTGTCGCATTTTCAACTGGAGTGCCGGGGTCCTTGTCAAGCCTTGCCGCCAATGTCTTGAAGACTGAAGACATATCGACAGAGCCCATGTTGACGATTGCTGGTTTGCAATGGTCACGCAGTAACGGCCACAATCTTATGGTGTGCTGGCATTACTTTCGGCGCATGTAGTGTAGTGAATATCGCTTTTCGATCTGATATCTCTCAAGCTTGCAGAGGCTCCATCATTCATTCGAGCTACAGGAGCATATCCTAGCCAGACACTCGTAGCGTATCTGAATGCTTCGACGAGCAAACAAGGCTTTGGCGCTAGCTGAAGCCGTCATGGCACAAAGATACCAGTATGCCTATGGGGTAATTGTACTTGACTGGCGGGCGCAAAACATACTGATTGGTTTCCACCGGCGGAGAAGCGCGATGTACAACTTGAATATTGAAAGGGCCCAACAATCGATCTCCACATGCCGGCCGTGTCCTCAAGAGGGGGTTTTCCTAGACTGCCTCGGATGGTGCCTCATACTAGTAGTAGAAAGTAAACTCCCGAAAGGCGGAGTAGTCAGACCCATGTCGTTGCGATAGCATCAGATAGCATACCATGGAGCATTTCCTTGTTGTCTCCAGGCTAGGTCTCAGACTGGATCTACGTTTCCTTGTGACAGTTCCGTCGGGAGGACCACGTCTCTATATAAATCGATACTTGCAAAGTGCGTACCAAATTGATTTATGCGTCCGTAAGAACCACGAATACCAGCAAATAGGTCCGAGCAAACTTGAAGATGGGGTCTATCGATGTCGCTGTTGAGCAGCAGGGTGAGCAAGCAGGCTGGCAGAAGAAGGTCGCCCAGAAACAGCAACAATGTCGAGAAAGCATTCCCGAGGCGTGGCGCCTCCCGCCCTCGATCCTAGAGTCACTTGTCTTTCCATTGGACGCAAACCCCAACAGGCTCCTTGACATGGACATTCCCAGGAAATCAGGGATCTTGTCTCCCCGTGAGCTGATGATCACCGAAGAAAACACGGTCCCGGAATTGCTTGCGAAACTTGCATCGGGAGAATTCTCGTCTCTCGAGGTGACGACAGCGTTCTCAAAAAGAGCCGCCATTGCCCAACAACTGGTGAGCAGTCTTCAACTTCGTCTCCCCTTTTGCCTGACTAACACCATGGTGAACAGACCTCCTGCCTGACAGAAACCATTTTCGATGAAGCCATCGCACGAGCCAAATACCTCGACCAATGCAGGAGCGAAGGAAAGCTCGTCGGTCCCTTGCACGGTCTTCCCATCAGCGTTAAGGACAGCTTCCAGATAACTGGGACGGACGCCAGTATCGGATTTGTGTCCTTTTTGGGAAACAAATCGGAGGCCAATTCGCCACTGGTCGACATACTCCTGAAGTTAGGCGCCGTTCTTTATGTCAAGACCAACATTCCGCAAACGCTCATGACGGCTGATTCCGACAACAACATCTTTGGCCGCACGTTGAATCCGCACAACACCGCTCTCAATGCAGGCGGGTCCAGCGGAGGAGAAGGAGCATTGATCGCATTCCGCGGCTCACCATTGGGGGTGGGAACAGATGTCGCTGGCTCAATCCGCATTCCTGCTTTATGCTGTGGTACATACGGCTTCAAGCCGACGTCAAACCGGATCCCTTATGGAGGGCAGGCCAATCCATCACTCCCTGGAATGAAACCGATCACTGCCTCGGCCGGGCCGCTGGCAAATGATTTTGAGGCTTTGGAAATCTTCTCCCAAACGGTCATCGACTCCAAACCGGCCATGTTTGATTCAACTGCGCTTGATGTCCCCTGGCGTCGTTTGGAAAACTCTCCGCCAGAACGATTGAGAATTGGTGTCCTTCCAGAGGATCCACTCTATCCGCTTCAACCGCCCGTGAGAAGAGCACTGGCAGAAGCCGTCAGCCGACTTGAAGCAGAAGGCCACGAGTTGATCAGATTGGATCCTTCTCCATGTCACATTTCTGACGCAACCGAGGTGGCCTGCGAGCTCTTCACAATTGCACCTGGGACGTCCATGGGCTATATCAAAGCCAGTGGCGAGCCCATGGTACCATCAGTCGCGAAGATGTATGGCCCAGCTAACGCCGGGAATTATAAGTTTGCTTTAGGACTTAAAGACCTTGACCCGCTGCACAGGTTAGCCGCGCTGACCGTGAAAAGGCAGGAAATTGCCGAGGATTGGCGGAAGATATGGCTGGAGCAGAAATTGGATGCTGTAATCAGTGCTCCGGCACAAAGTACAGCGGTAGTGCATGATAAGTTCGGCTGGCCCCCTTATACTTGCCTGCTGAATCTTCTTGATGTAAGTCGCGAGCCCCTTCTCTTCAAATGGATGAGCTGCTGATGAGTCTCAGTATCCGGCCTGTGTGATTCCGTTTGGAAGAGTATCCAAACAAAAGGATCCAGAGGCAATGAAAGTGCAACCCGGACAAGGCGGTCCTGACTGTAAGTCCACCCTTCCACCCGATTTCTCTTCGCTGACACAATGACCAGATGATCCCGACCTGCAGGACGGGGCTCCTTGCTCGATTCAAGTTTTCACGTCTCGGATGCAAGATGAGGAGTGTCTGAGGGTAACACGTGTGGTGGATAGTTGTTTGAAGCGACAGCCAGCCTGAGCACCCACGGAGCTCAGCTATAGTCCGACTTCCTAGCTATTGTCGTGCATTGCAAGGCTGTTCCCACTCCGTTTTTTGAGATCAAAGCATTAAGGCCGTCATATTCCACTTCCAATTCCCCGGAAATACTGCCAAGGGAAGGCTGAACCAGCATTGTGGGGAGTTTCCAGATCTTTTCGAGAGCGCCAGCTGTCCGTCTCACGTAGCCAGAATAGGAGACCTTCCATATTTGCAGGAGCTGACTTTGGATCAACTTCCGCATTTCTAACCGAAGGTTCTCGTCAGGAGCATCAGATATGGTGAGTCCCGCTTCTGACATGGTCATGGGACAAGCGGCACAGCCCAAGATCAATATTGGCCAGCAGATGAACTGGCCACAAGGAGCACTACCATCGTACACCTTGAGCAATTCCAAGGCTTCCATCAAGAGCGCTTTGATCTCGGGGGATGCACTAGACACCCTGTCCGGATCGAGTACTTTGGCGATGAATATGCGAGCAGCAAGGAAGTAGAGCTTTCCTGCTACTGCCGAGTCGCTTGTCCTGGTCTTTGTAGTTGTCTGGGCCATGCCGTGATGCTCGGGGCTGAAGATAGAGCAGGTTTCCTGTAGCAAATCGAGCTCTGTCAAGCAACGCAGTGCGAGTGTGTAATTATGACCGGAGTTGAATGGCAGCTGTCGGCTCAGCCAGGTGATCTGATAGATCAGGAGGAACAGTGCTGGTGGCGTTTTCCCAAGAACTGGTAGGATGGATGCATGTTGTTTGCCCTCCATTCGATCAGTATCGAGAGCTTCGATGTATTTGGCTACGGTCTGGTTAGGGAAGGCACTGCAGATGGCATCAATGTCTTTTTCGAAGATCAACCTGGTGGAAAAATGATAGAGGACGGAATCCAGTAGTGTCCGGTGGAAAACGGACAGGCGGCTTATCTCAAAGCGGGGGACATCTGCCGCCTGCTCTTCCAGCACCGATGCGATAGCTCGATAATGCGTCAGGCTGTGGCTCGAAGGTGAAGAATAGAAATCCTGCTGAGGATAAGTACCGGAAGTAAGAAGCATTCCATCAAACTCACCTCAAAGATTCCGAGAAAGAGAGATGCGGCAAGAAACGACTCTTTGGAAGCAGGTTGACTTCTCGAATTCTGGGCTGCTTGCCGGAGCCCTTGTAGTGCGCTTTGCGTGTAGACCATAGCATCCTCCTTGGGGATGAGAGCAGCATGGGACGCGTGCAGTGCCGCCGGAGCCAGAGCGGCATGCATTACCCACGGGACGTCGAAGCCGGCAGAGAGAACAAATGATACATCTCGAAACTCAGAGGTGGCATCAGGCGTCGTCAACAATTGGACGTACGTCGTTGAGCAGTATTGAAAGATGTTCCAGTCCCGTGCGGTTTTGATGCCTTCAGGACGGACCCAGAGAGACGTGCGTTGAAGAGGTGCCACAGCGGTGGTAGTGGTTGGACTTTTGACCACTGCCTCTGGCGATTGAGACCTCAGGGAGGAACGCGTGCTTTGAGGCGAGGCGGCAGAAGAGATCGATGGTCTTCGATACACGCATTCAATGTGTAGTCTCTCACAAGCTGAACAAACAGGCCGCCGTTCATCACACTTCTTCCGGCGCTCTCTGCATTTCAAGCAGCCGGTCTTTGTTCGCAGTCGAGGAGGAGGTCTGGTTCTTTTCGGCTTCGCTGAGTCCATAGTCACATGGCACGGCAATACCACAACTTGAAGCAGCAGGAAGCCATTATGAGCAGGAGTCGGCCGACCCTAGAGAGAACAAGTCGATGTTGATCTAGAGGTTGGACAGTTGACGGTGCCTTATCTTGGATCCGAGGTTCAGTCTGTATTGTGAGGGGGCGTAAGTCAGATCGTCTGACATGTCCAATTTTCACCCCAGCATCCAGTTATTAGCAGGCGTCAGTGGATTATTTCCTGTCAGACACGTGCACTTCGGCGGACGATTGGAAAATGGATGCGAGGTCTTAATGACAGTGTCCCCTGATCCTTGAATAGATCTCCTCGATACTACGCATCTCAATGACGATAAGACCAAAACAGTCGCCTGGTTAAATTCTGTCTTCATTTCTTCGTACAGGTGAGCCCGTGTCTGAAGCGAGACTGCACCGTCCACCCCATTTTGTCTATATCCTTCTATGATCAAAGACCCATGTGGGCAGAGATAAGTTTATCGTCCATCAGAAGTAAAGACGCCCCGAGATTGGGGCCTGAAATATGTTCAATCAAGCGTCTCCGTAATCAACAGGTTGCGGAGACTAACCAAACTCCATCCGCTCATCAACGCCGACTCTGCTCTATTGCTCAAGTTTGAACGGGGGATTGTTGGAAGGGTCGATATAATCCATTGGCAGAACATGCTGGATCGGTTGCATATTGCTCAATCCCGTCCCCGGCGGTGCCCCGTCATTCATGACATGATCATGGCCAATCATAGGTTGATTCGTGCCATCCATGAACTGATGATCTGGTGCTTGAGGATTGAAATCGTGTGGATCATGATGGGGTTGTAAATGAGAAGGGTTGGCAAAAGGGGGCAGTCCAGCCTGGACAAATGCATGATTTTGATCATACTCGTTGGCCATTGCCTGAATCTGTTCCATGATTTGGGGGTCGATAGCCATCTCGTCATATGGGTGCAGGTGCGCGCCAGGATCAGTCAAGTGCTCGTTGGCAAGATCCATCGGTTGCTGGATGGCAGCGAAATCATGGCTCGAAATGTCGTTGGTGGGTATGCTTTCCTCTGGTGCAGGCGGCTGCTGCACCTCAGGTGGCGGCGGCGGCGGTGGCGGTGGCTGGGTGGCTTCTGGTAAGCTTGGTGGCGCTTCATCGATCGTTTTGCTGCGACCTGGTCTGTTTTCTGTGCGAATCATTGGCGGCTTGTTGACATCCTTGCATTCCGGACAGTTTTTGATCACATGGCTGACAGTTTCCTTGATCCGAATCCAGTGATACTTCGTCGCGATGATTGCTGTTGTTTTGTTGATGCCTCCGTGGGCTTGATCGTGAATTTGTTTGGCGATCTCGTATTGTGCTTGAGGGTCGGAAATGACCTCCTTGTCTTTCAGGAAGAGCTTTTCTGGCACGCCGTCCTGGCCACCTACCAGTTTGTAGTGTGTCGCGGCGCTTCTAAGTCGGCTTTTTTCCGAGCGGTCAGCGCCTTGCGGATACAGCTGGTGTCTTAAGTAGTAACGGATTTTGTCGAAACGCTCCTCAGACTGATCCGTCTCTCCCTCCGACTTGAGATCCCTCCCATAAATGATGGCATCCACCGGTTCGCTAGAAGACTTCAGACGACCACAGCCAGGAACACGTCCTATGCGCTTAAAACCAAGCGAATCCCAAATCCTCGTGGAAGCGGTGTTTGTCTCATACACCAGGTTGAATACTGAATACGTGTAACCCTGAAAACCGTCAGCTCGCCTTGGTCGGAAGCCTCTGCAAGAGCGCGCTTACCAGTTGCGGCGCCCAGTCCAGGTAGCACTGGCCCATCGACTTGCCTACGCCTTTGTTGCGGGCGGCCGGGGTGACCAGAAATCCGCCGTTGCACACATGACTACTCCGACCGGGATAGTTAGGTTTAACATAAAAGCTGCCGAGACAAAGCTTGTTCCAGTCGGCGCCATTGCGATCCATTTCGGCGACAGCTTCGACGCCGCCAATATCTCCAAGAACCATGACCGCGCCGAAATTCCCGAACCAGTAAGGTCCGAATTTCTCGACGGGCAGAGGGTCGATCATCGGGTACGTGTCTCCACGTTCGATTTCTTGGTTGAGGTTGTCGGCAAGATAGTTGAGAAGTCTCCTGGGGACGGAATCTGGCGAGAAGAACGGAATCAAGGTTGCGACTGTAACGCGATCGCGGAGAGTGACTGGCCGGGGGAATATAGAGGAAGGGATCTGCGGATTATCTGAGGTTGGATACGGAGCCTGACCCGATTGCCGGTAAATCACGGGCGCATCTGGATCCTCCAGTATGGCCGGCATCGTGGACCATCAACTGCAGACCAGGGAATGGAGCGCGCAAAAATACGATTCGGGATGTTGATCTCGCCGGCGACACTATCATTTGGCAATATTCGGGATCAAACTATCAAGAAGAATGAAAAGTCGATGGAGCCCTCGGAAACCCGTCGGCCCAAACTTGTCCTAAGCTCAGGTCACGTGCGCCCTGCCTTGGCGGCCCTTGGCAGCCTAGTCCCGATTTGTTCCTATATCAGCCTGAATCAGGCTGGACATCCGGGTCGGTAGGTACCTACTTTACACTGGACTAGTAGAAAGTAAACTCAATGCTTGTATTGTAGGCTGGCCGTTCATTATATTCGTCCACGAGAGCTCCTCCTAGTCAGCAATCCGCATTATATGTACAATCGTCCACCGGGCTTGATTCCAGTCTCGAGATATAGCCAAGACATAGCCTGACGACAACTGTACCGACTATACCATGGCTGCAACATCCGCATATTGCTGTAGCTGGTCATTCGCTTGAGCCGGCGCCCAAAATCCGCAAAGACTCTGCTTTCTGTTATCCGAGTATAGGCACTTCCATAGCACGGTGGCCGCGGGATATGCAAACTGATTCAGCGATTTGAAAGAGTTCGTGCAAGGTGCGAGTATAGCAGGCGCGACTTCTTGTCATGAGATCCGGCCGCTCACTGACCACTAAGCAGAGTCGTTAAGTTGATCGCGGAGATTTCGGCAAGCTGTCCGAGCGAATTGCCCTTGCAGGCAATAGTGTAGGAATATCATGACATGCGGCGCAGAGCCAGAAGGACCTTCAGCTTGTACCAGCACTCCAGAGCGACACATTCCTTGTGGCCATATCGTAGACATTGCGCAGGTTCGGCCTGTTAGGCTGCGCAGTCATGTCGGACATCATTAATTCGTAGCAGACACCTAGGTCGTGATGCCTTCGGCCGAGAACGCCAGATGGCTACTTCTCATACTCTTTCATGCTCCAGCGCTTCGAGCCTGACATATGAGCAGGCACCCCAATATACATTGGCTCGTCCTCCTGTGCTGGTGGAAAAGGCGAATAACCGCCGTTCACGCGCTGATGGCTTCTTGGCGGCAGCGGTGGCGATGATGGCGCATTCTGGGCCTCGTATAATCTGCTGCTGCTGGATACCGAGTGTATCTCCGTTGGAATCTGGTAGTCCTTCCTGACCGACATATTGGGGGAACGACTTTGTGCTACCATATGCTCGTAAGGGCGTCCGACTAGGAAGTCATCCTTTGCTTCGCCTCCGGAAGATTTAGATCCATCGTATTTGGCGGCAGCTTTGGCAGTGCGGCGGTGCGAGTAATGCAGGCCGAGGATAAAGGCGGCCACGGCCAGTAAGAAACCCCCTATCGCCACACCCACTCCGATGCCAGCTTTTTGGGCCGGGGACAGTCCGTGAGAGTGAGAGGGATGAGCCGAAGATGACGCTTGTAACGAACTCGATGTTGACGACGAAGCACTTGGTTGAGATGTCGTCGGTGATGCAGATAGGACTGCTGATGAGAGTGGCGTGGAGCTTTCAGATGTCGTCGTCAGAGGAGTGTCGGTTGTGGATGGTACAACAACTGCAAAAGAAGTACTGCTAGTACTGGACGTCTCCGCTATAGTTGGTGTCGTTGTTGGAGTCTCGGCTGGGACAGTGCTGGTTGGGCTACTAGTGATAGCAGTAGCAGGATCACTGGTCTGTTTTCAGTCAGCCGACATGATCATTCGGACTATCGACGAGAGAAGCCAACGACAAACACATCCACGTCTGGTGCAACCGGCTGTTTATCCCCATCGTGGTTCTGAAAGCGGGCAACTTTCACAGGGGCCAAATACTTACTGAAGTGACCGGGTCTGGCCCCAAGACAGTCGAGTATCCAACGGTATTGACCACCTCTGAAGTGGTGGTCAAATAAATGGTTGAGATGATTGTGCTTGTTTCTGATGCAGCAGCGTCACCAACAACAGATGTGATAGTGGTTGGTTGGCCGTCCACTGTTGACGTTATCGTTTGAGTCTCTCCTGGGACACCGGTGCCTGGAACGGTGGAATAGATGGTGAGCAGCGAGGGCACAACTGTCGAAACGGTCTCAGTGCTTAAAATTGGATCTGTTGCAACTGGCACTGAGGGTATTGCATTGCAAACGTGGACGATGGCAAGCAGTAAAGCTCCAAGAGCTGTGTATTGGATTGAGGTGCCCATGACATTAGAATGAGATACGAAACAATCGTCTGAATTCAAACAACAACCGGGGATAGAGTGACCAGGGAACAAGGTAAAAGATCAAAATCTCTAGGCGGAAGAGGGAAGGGATTTCATTTTGCCATCCGTAAGATCAATCTACGGCTCAGCTACACCAAACGAACGCGCTACCAGCGCGTGCTGTCCTCTGCGGATGAAGACACATGGTCAAAGGAAAATAAAGAGCGCCAGAAGAGGTTCGTGCCGTGATTGCTGTGGCTTCGAAGGCGTTGCCAAAATGAATGGAAAAAGGAGTGAGGTTGAAGGCTGGCAGACAGCGATGTGATTGGCTGCATCAATATCCACAGCATGTCGCCGTTGCGCAATGCGGAAATTGGCTGATGACCGGCACCGTGCAGCCTTCCAAGACCACATTTTCTAGACACGTTTTCTGCTCCCACAGCGCTGCACAACACGTAAAAGCAGACACACGTGATTGCATCGATCCATGACCCCGGAAAATACTGAAAGTTGTGGATGAGCGGTTCAAGATCAGATATCCGGCTCGTCAAGCGAAGTTACGCGAGCCGGGCAGGTCATCGTCCGCTAAACGTGATTGACCTTTTGACACACTGACAGCTGGGGAATTACGAGTGCAAGCCTCGTGCGTCAAGTTGTAGAAGGCCTGGCAATAGAACCCGAGATTTGCAGCGCATCTGTATGTCAATAATGCAATGATGTCTCGTCCCGTTGTTCAATGCGTCCACGTTTGAAATATTGCGCGTGTCAATCCTGGCTATCGGGTCGAAGTTGTCTCAAGCTCGTCTGGATGGACTTGTAATAGCCTGCTCAAAGGTTGTAAAGTTGCAGAGGCCCGGGACTGCTGGTTGTTGCTTGCCATAACGTCACCGACCCAGGGATGTCCTTTTCAAAATCTTGCCAATGTTGCAGGCTCCGTTGGAGGGTCATGGCCAAGTATTCGCCTGCTGGTGTTGACAAGTCAGCTAGAGGTACTTTGGAGTGGCGCTCAGTAATGGTTGGAAACGATCAAAGGGAGCCGGTCTGGAGTTGAACGCATCCAAGGTGAATGAGCGATTGAGCTGATGACTGCTCATTTTGCCAGGTCGACTTGCTCGAGGGATTTTTCCACGACTGGTAAGATGTTGGCCACCTGGTTAGGATCTCGAAGCACAGCAGCGACATCATCCCTGCGGCCTGCCAATTCATCCCGGACCTTGTCATATGAATCCTCCTTTGCAACGTATTCTCTGGTGACTTGCTTCTTGTGAAAGTCGACGTAGACTCGGGTATCCCGTATTCTCAACATGACATTATCAAGTCGCATGAAGAAACGACAGAGCAGGAGAAGCCGTGCTGGCATGACCCGGATCTTGCAGGAAAGCATGGTAATTCCATTGTCCGCCAATTCGTCTTCGTAGAGAATGACATCGTCAAAGAATAAAATAGGATCCGGTCTCTTCAACAACTCTAAGGGTATGGGTTCCGTAGACTCCTCGAATTGTGGGCCTTCAGACGCCAACTCTCCTCTGTAGTCAGTCGTGTAAGACCAGTCAAAGGGCTTAATGACCTCTTTGATATCATGTGTATCTTCTCTGCTCTGATGCCACTCCTTGGAGTATGCCACTTTCAGCCTCTTTTCTCCCGTCTTGTCGACCCGATCCAAAGCACCAAATGCATCAAACTTGATGGCCCAGCCAGACGATGGATGCTCGATGGTTACGAAGTTGTCGCCGAAAATCATCTCCGGCGGGGCAATACCGAGTTTCTCAGTCATCTCTTCGATGGGCCCGGCTTTGAGGATCGGCAGCTTCTGCGTCGTGATCCGGAAGCCCTCGATAGAGTATGTCCTCGGAGGAGCAGCGGGGGAAGAAGGGAAATGTGTGCGGACGGCGTCGGCGGTGTGATGGCCGTTGAGCGCCATGGTCGCTGGGATTGTCAGTTTACGATTGAGAGAGGGAGGCAGCCTCGGCGGCGGTGTACTTGAACCATAGACTGGCTGTTCAGAAGTAGTTGAAGCGGTGGTTCAGTGGTTCATCGGTCGGTCTGCCTCACTGCAACTGGAACAGTACCTACTTGCAAGTTCGCTGCCCGCATTGCACGGCCAGTGATAATTTAGTGCCAGTCCGTTATCGATAACGAGGCGATGGTCGCACTGCAGTGCCAGTACTACTAGTAGTAGGTACCTACTAGGTACTGTAGTGGACCGTGTTCCAGCGTGACTTGGGGGCGAGTTGCGCTGCAGCCGAGTGCGTGCACTCTCGATTTGGTTGCTCGGCCAACTGTAGATTATTTATCCTGCGCCGTGTCTTGCACTGCAGCGCATTTCGACTTCCACATCAACTGCAGTGTTGGAGCCCATTCGCATCCTATAAACACTTTGACCGGCGACCACAGCTGCAACGGCTTGCTTTGCTCATCTTTATCTCGAGTGACTGGACAACAGATTACAGCCAGAAATGGCCACCAAAACATTGGAGGCTCGCTTCGAGCACCTTACTGTCCACGATGAGAATGAGGCACCGATGAGCTCTATGCTCAAATCCAAGGTAAGCTAGCTGCTTCCTGATGGAAGCCGATGATGCTGATAGGGTTCTTTCAGGTTGCCGGTGTGCAAGGAACCATCGCGAGTCTACCCTCGAACCAGTCGCGACCAAACCTAGTGAAATACGCACTTCAAGCCACCAACGAATCGAGACAGAACGCTGCCCACCACACTACCATCACTACAACGACAACAGTGCCTACACTTCCCCCGTCTCCCGTACGGAAAGCTGTGACTTCGTCGCGAGCCTCTGAAGAAAACAAGGAGTCGGCGTACAGACAAGGGCCCCAGGCTTTCTTCGATCAGCCACAAGCCCCAAAGCAGTTCCACCTAGGCATGTTCGAGATCGGGAAGCCTTTGGGCAAAGGTAAATTCGGGCGTGTCTACCTTGCGAGAGAAAGGTCTTCAGGCTTCGTGTGCGCATTGAAAGTCCTGCATAAATCCGAGCTTCAACAAGGAAAAGTCGAGAAGCAAGTTCGGCGAGAGATTGAGATCCAATCGAATCTGAGGCACCCCAATATTCTGCGGCTGTTTGGGCATTTCCATGACAGCAAGAGGATCTTCCTCATTCTCGAGTTCGCCGGAAAAGGCGAGCTGTACAAGCATCTTCGTAAGGAAAACCGGTTTCCCGAGTGGAAAGCGGCCCAGTATATTGCCCAGATGGCCGCCGCACTCAAATATCTTCACAAGAAGCACGTTATGCATCGAGATATCAAACCCGAAAACATCCTGGTCGGAATACACGGCGAGATCAAGATCTCCGATTTTGGCTGGTCGGTCCATGCTCCCAACAATCGCCGGCAGACCATGTGCGGAACGCTGGATTACCTCCCACCGGAAATGCTCAAGCCAGGCAGCTCGGACAACTTTTACACCGAGAAGGTCGACCTCTGGAGCTTGGGTGTACTCACATATGAGTTCCTTGTTGGCGAAGCACCATTTGAAGACACGCCCATTATGACACAGAGACGAATAGCACGCGGTGACATGACTGTCCCCAGTTTTGTGAGTGCAGAGGCAAAAGACCTCATCCACAGAGTAAGTACCTTTGCCCAGTGCACGTGTGGGGTTATACTGACGGCGACAACAGCTACTCGTACTTGATCCTGAGAAGAGGATCCCTCTGGACGACGTGCTTCGCCATCCCTGGATCATCAAACATTGCGTGACCAAGGGTGGAGAGCGAGGTTCACAACGAGTGTCTGAGGACAAAGGTTCTGGCTCAGCCCGATGACCCCGGGATATACCTATTATTAACGGGATGATCTTGGACGAGTCTTTCTTTGATTGGCGAACTTGGACTGAGCGTTGTATCTGCTTCGGTTGTTCTTTCGACGGTGGATATTTGCATTTGCACATCACATTCGCCAACTAATCAGCTCATGGCGGTTAGTTTGGAGCGTGGAGTTGGGGCGATGATAGGTATTGAACTGGGCCAATGTGAATTTGATGTTCCACGGTACATTTGTACTCTTTTACACCGTGAGTTGAAGGTGGAATTCAAGCTATAACCCTTGTAGTAGTAGGTGCGTAATGGGAACCTTCCGTCTGTAAGCCCCTCTCTCATGTCAGACTTGAAGCCATGCAAGGCACCCAGGCTTCTAGACCACCTCCAGTCTAGGTAGAAGGTGCCTATACTAGTAGCAATGTTGTAGGTAACTTGAACTGCTGAAACGTTCTCCCTCTGGCGCTGCCATTGGACGCAACAATTACCCCGGCCCAGTTGGTAACGGTCCGCCGTAGTAGATTACTACCAAGGTACCAGGTACTATGGCGGGGCATCCCTAGTTTCGACCAGTTTGCAAGGCGGCCGGAAAGCCGACACTTCGGCCGCAAAGACGAGCAGCGACGGATTGCAACATCTCCATGGCAGTGCAGCATTCAGTTGCCTGGTACGCCTTTTGCTTGAAAATGAGTCACCGTCAATACTATATATCAATGCGAATGGGAAAGGAGTTGGGTGAATGAATTCTGCTGATAACGAAGTGCAGAGTCTGGCAATAACGTAACTACAACATTGTAGGTATATTGCATGGTGGTGCAGTGGTTGATAGTATTACAGTATTTCGTTGGACCGGATGCGGAGTTCTCCAATCAATCCATCCCTATCGCCTTTATTCCACCCGGTTACATCAGCCTTGGCCACTGTATATTCGAACTGTAGGTATTTAACACTGGCAACGACTGTTAATTCCAAGTCTGACGTGACGGTCGAGACACCTCGCTGTCTGCAATAGTCCTCAGCTACTCCGGAAGAAAAGTCGTTCGCCATGGGTGACGCGGGAGGCCATCACAAAGGCATCCGAATTGCCATCGATGTCAGTGCCAAACCCTTCCTTCTGCGTAATGCTCGTTCGGGCACTGCATTGCATTACTAACCAGCCTGAGAGCCATATAGCGAGGCGGCACATTCACAGATTGTGTGGGAAACCCGGGGACGGGGCGCATGGAAGATGATATCATTATCAAGCTTCTGTCCGAGGACCCGGGCAACTACGACGATGCGCCGCTGGAGGGGATCCGACGACTGATGGAGAGGTTTACAGGGCGGCAAATCCCGCGAGGCGAGCCGCTCGACACCAGCGAGATCGAAAGTATCCGCATGGGGACGACGGTAGCGACCAATGCGCTGTTGGAACGCAAGGGCGAGAAGATGGCCATGCTGGTGACCCGAGGGTTCAAGGACTGTTTGGAGATTGGCAACCAGTCGCGACCCAAGATCTTTGATCTCGCCATCCGCCGGCCGGATGTCTTGTATCAAAAAGTTGTCGAGATCGATGAGCGTGTCACTTTGGAAGACTATGCCGAAGACCCATATCGGAATCAGACAAAAGTCGAAGCCAAGCACGAGGACCACAAGCAACACGATCTCGTGCAAGGTCTGTCCGGCGAGGCCGTCCGGATTCTACAGCGGCCAGATGAATCCAAGATCAAAGAATCACTTAAAGAGTTGTACGACGAAGGGTTCCGTAGCATCGCCGTCTGTCTTATGCATGGCTACACCTTCCCGGCTCATGAGGCACTCGTGGGAAAGCTGGCGCACGAGATAGGCTTCCAGCACGTCAGCCTGAGCCATGAGCTGATGCCCATGATCAAACTGGTGCCGAGAGCGACATCGGCATGTGCAGATGCCTATCTCACACCGGCGATCAAGAAGTACATTGCTGGATTTCAGGCCGGATTCGAGGGCGGACTTGGCACTCAAAGTGTCAAGAATGAAAAGGGCACCAAGGGCGCCAGATGCGAGTTCATGCAATCTGACGGTGGTCTCGTGGACGTGGACAAGTTTTCGGGTCTCCGTGCAATCTTGTCCGGTCCCGCCGGCGGCGTGGTCGGTTACGCTCTGACATCCTACGACCCGGAGACCAAGATCCCAGTCATCGGATTCGATATGGGAGGCACCAGCACCGACGTCAGCCGGTACGGTTCTGGCCGATATGAGCATGTCTTTGAGACCACCACTGCTGGTGTCACCATCCAGTCGCCTCAGCTAGATATCAACACAGTGGCCGCAGGAGGTGGATCACGCCTGTTTTTCAGAAATGGTCTGTTTGTCGTTGGACCCGAGTCAGCCGGTGCGCACCCGGGTCCGGCATGTTATAGAAAAGGAGGCCCTCTCACCGTCACGGATGCCAACCTGTTTCTTGGCCGCCTGTTGCCCGAGTTCTTCCCCAAGATCTTCGGCAAGCATGAAAATGAAGGACTCGATCCCGAAGCCAGTAAGAAGCTCTTTGAAGAGCTCACCAACGAGATCAACAGCAAGACTGACAAGAAGATGTCGGCGGACGAGGTGGCTTATGGGTTCATCAAGATCGCCAACGAGACCATGACGAGACCGATACGATCCCTAACAGAAGCGAAAGGACATGACACGTCGAACCATCGGCTCGCTACATTTGGCGGCGCTGGAGGCCAGCATGCCGTGGCCATTGCTGAATCCCTCGGCATCAGACAAATCTTGATTCATCGCTACTCGTCTGTGCTATCCGCCTATGGGATGGCGCTCGCGGACGTTGTCGACGAAAGCCAGGTTCCTGAATCCCACGTCTGGGACCTGCAAGGCGGACACCGCGAGAAGCTGCAGGCCAAGATGAACGAGCTCAAAGAGCGATCGCGCAAGAAACTACAGGACCAAGGTTTCGATGACGACTCCATTGTCTACGAGGAGTACCTCAACATGCGATACCGAGGCACGGAATCGGCGTTGATGGTGATCAAACCCAGCGCCGAAGAGGCAAAGGAGCTTTACGACGGCGACGACTGGGCGTTCGGCGCGGCATTCGTACGCCAACACGAGCAAGAGTTCGGCTTCACTCTGCCCGACCGTGATATCATCGTCGACGACGTGCGAGTCCGAGGCATCGGCAAGTCCTTCAGAGGCATGGCCAAGACGGTTGACCAGCAACTGAGGGAAATCAAGCCCAAGGAAGTCGCCGCCGACAAGGCCCATTCGACGTCCCAGGTCTATTTCGAAGGTGGACGCAAAGACACCAAGATCTACAAGCTCGAGGATCTCGAGGTTGGTACGCGCGTGGCTGGTCCTGCCATCATCGCCGACGGCACTCAGACCCTGGTTGTGCCTCCAGGCGCATCAGCATTGGTTATCGAGACACATGTGGTGATCAACATCGGTGATGAAGCGACTGCAAAGAAAGCCAACGCCAAGGAAGCCGATCCGATCCTCCTGTCTATCTTCGCACACCGTTTCATGGCTATAGCGGAACAGATGGGCCGCGCTCTGCAGAAGACGTCTGTTTCGACCAACGTCAAGGAGCGACTCGACTATAGCTGCGCTCTTTTCGACGCCGATGGCGGGTTAGTGGCCAATGCACCCCATTTGCCGGTTCATCTTGGTAGCATGTCGACGTGTGTGCGTACGCAGGCGGAGATCTGGAAAGGCAAACTGAAGAAGGGAGACGTGGTCATGTCCAATCATCCCGAATACGGCGGCACACATTTGCCCGACATCACGGTCATCACGCCTGCCTTTTCGCCATCGGGAGACATCTTGTTTTATGTTGCATCACGAGCCCACCACGCCGACATTGGTGGCATCCTTCCGGGATCGATGCCGCCGCATTCGCGTGAGCTGTACCAAGAAGGCGCGGCGATCAAGTCGGAAAAGCTTGTCTCGGAAGGCCATTTCAATGAGAAACGATGCGTCGAGCTTCTCTACGACGAGCCGTCGCAGTATCCGGACTGCAGTGGAACCCGCTGTCTGGCGGACAATCTGAACGACTTGAAAGCCCAGGTTGCTGCCAACCAGAAGGGAATCAGTTTGATCAGCACTTTGATCGAAGAATATGGCGAGGATGTGGTTCAGTTCTACATGCACAATATCCAGGACAACGCAGAGCAGTCGGTGCGTGATTTGTTGAAGGAGGTCAGCAAGCGATTCGAAGGCAAAGATCTGCAAGCGACAGACTACATGGACGACGGCAGCCCGATAACCCTACGGATCACGATCGACGGGGAAAAGGGCGAGGCCGTCTTCGACTTCGAGGGAACAGGCCCAGAAGTATATGCCAACATTAATGCGCCCGAAGCAGTGACATTCTCGGCCATTATCTACTGTCTAAGGTGCTTGATCGACCAGGATATCCCGCTGAACCAGGGCTGTTTAAAGCCGGTTGACGTTCGCATTCCAAAAGGCTGCTTCCTCAGTCCCAGCGAGAAGGCTGCCGTGGTGGGTGGAAACGTGCTTACAAGTCAGCGTGTTACCGATGTGGTGTTCAAGTGCTTTGAGGCTTGCGCCGCCAGTCAGGGGTGCTGCAACAACCTGACATTCGGGTTTGGAGGCAACACCAAAGGTGGTAAGCAGGAGAAAGGCTTTGGATATTACGAAACAATCGCCGGTGGAAGCGGTGCCGGTAAGGACTGGGAGGGCACCAGTGGCGTTCATGTGCACATGACAAACACGAGAATCACCGATGCCGAGGTGTTTGAGCGACGGTATCCAGTTATCCTGAGAGAGTTCAGCCTCAGACCCGGCACTGGTGGTGTCGGACAGCATCGAGGTGGAGACGGTGTCGTTCGCGACATTGAGTTCCGGATTCCTGTGCAGGTCAGTATCCTCAGCGAGAGAAGAGTATATCACCCATACGGTCTACACGGTGGCGGTGACGGTGCACGTGGTAAGAATATCTGGGTGAGAAAGGTCAAGAAAGTGCAGGCTTTGGGCACTGGCGGCGAACATGAAGGACAACGTCGCGAGGAAGGCGATAATGGCGAGTATGAATACAGATATATCAATATGGGGGCAAAGAACACTGCCAGCATGCAGCCAGGTGAGAGGATCATTGTGGTAAGTTCTAGCGCCCCTTTTTGAGCCATGAGTTGGATGCTGACATGAGATCTAGATGACACCTGGCGGTGGCGGCTACGGCAAAGTTGGTGAAGAATCCAAGTTGCAGCCCAAGGAAGACCATGAAAAGCATTGGAAGAAAGGCAGCCTGGCCAGCAGACTAGCGGAGTGGGAGAGCAGTTCGTAAGTCTGTTTGTTGTGGAACTTGAAGCGGCCAGCGCGTCTCTGTGAAGTTAGCCGAGTCTCCATTCAAGGAGAGAAATACAAACCATGAAGCCAGTTCTGCGAACTTGCTAGTCTTATCCAGGATCGACCGTATCCGTTACGATGTGCAATCCCCAATCAACCATCGCTGTACGTTATCCCGGATGATGGGCCGGCCGACCCACGACCACTGTAATCCACATGTTACTTTTGTGACAAGTTGGGTATCTGAACAGTATGCATTTGAATCATTCATCTTCGTCACTAGTTGCCTCGATATTCGCCTTTTGCGACGTCCTAGCCGTTTCTTCCTGGTCCTCATCTGCGCCGTTGTTGGCTGCTGAGGTAGATGGTGTGCTGCCAGTGCCACTGTAGTCTGGCCTCGGCACCGATTCGCCCTGCTGCTTGAGCAGTTCCTCTATCTGAGGCATGATGCCGATAAGGGCAGAATACTGTTCGAGACTCATAGAGATGCCCTGGTCCGTGAAGCTCAGCAACGGGAACAGATATACGCAAATGCAGTTTCGGCCGCAAACCTTCTTCCCTGGTAGCCATTCATTGTCCTTCTGGTAGTATTCACGAATGTTGACCAGCTTCTTGCCCTTGAAATCGGATATCGTCACACGTCTGTTCTTGGAGATCTCCCAGTATGAGTTTCCTTCAGCGTCGGTCTGTGGTTTCGCGGCCGGTTCGAAGGTAGTGGCAGTGCCAGAGGCTCCTTTACCGCGCTTTGTTGATACTTCGGCGTCGACGTCACTATCGTCGTGCTCGATGGCATTGGATTTGCGCTTTTTGGACGCGAACCCCATACTGGGTGACCCAGAGGGAAATTTACACGCGTTAGTCGACAGTTGAAGCGCTCAATGTGATAGTAGTAATGGACTTCTTTCGCGATGGTCCCGGTACGATAGTGGTGGTAGTAGCACAACCAGTAAACTCCGATTCGCAGCCTCCAGTAAAAGACCGAGCCGAAGTTGGGGGCGAAACGGAGATAACTAGACCAGACGTCATACCCCAGAACAGCCTAGCGCACAAATCACATGATCTCCAACCACTCAGCGGCCACAATCAGCCAGACCCTTCGCCCCTCCGCGTCTTTCACGATCTTTCTTTCGTCAACCGAATCATTTATCATCCATTGCGCCGCCCTCTGGAGAACTACAACGACGCTGGGGGTATCTTTCGTTAGTGCGCTCTCGCTAGACTTTCCCGGATCAGCCGCCAGCTTAGTCAGGATCAGTAAAATGACAGTACAGTACCTGTTTCAACAACAACTGCCACACTAAAGCGCAAGAAATGTGTAATACGCTAGTGCCAACTGGGAAAGATGAGAGTTGATTACGCGCTACTCTACTTATGTACTAGTGTGCTACTAACGAAAGATTGCCCAGAGGTGTTGTATATCCAGCAACCTACAACCTACGGCTCGCCATCGCAATTCCACGATCTTGATCAAACCCAAACCCATCGAACAAACCTACTTTTCATCACGCGAACAACTGTCTCGATAACCAAAACACTTTCCATCATGTCTCGTCGAGCTCTTTTGAGCGTTCCTCGCACAATTTCCGCCTCGGTCCAATCCTCCGTCCGACCCTCTCTCGCCTCCCAGACTGCGTCGCCATTCCTCAGACCTGCCATCGCGCAGCCATCGCAGCAGAGACGGTCGTATCACGAGAAAGTCTTGGACCATTATTCCAACCCTCGAAATGTCGGCTCCATGGACAAGACTGCTCCCGACGTCGGTACAGGTGAGTAACAAAATCCGCGGAAAGTCCGGTCCGGCCTTCATACCATGACATGAAATGGTCTCAAAGCAAACACAATTTACTGACAAACTGCTATCATAGGCCTCGTCGGCGCCCCTGCATGTGGCGATGTCATGAAACTGCAAATCAAAGTTGACCCGGAGACCCAAAAGATTTCAGATGTCAAATTCAAGACCTTTGGCTGCGGTTCCGCCATCGCCTCGTCGTCGTACCTGACCGAACTGGTACGCGGCATGACGTTGGAGCAGGCGGGAAAGATTCGAAACACGGAGATCGCAAAGGAGTTGTGTCTCCCGCCCGTCAAGCTGCATTGCTCCATGTTGGCCGAAGATGCCATCAAATCGGCCATCTCGAACTACTACCAGAAGAAGTGAGTAATTACACAAGACCCTGCTGGCAAAGTGCAGCTCAGCATGCTAACTATTGTGAAACAGTCCTAAGGCGCGGGCAACCGATCTGGGTAGCGCTTCTGCGTCGATGCCCAAGATCGAAATTGAACGGGTGACGGCCACCACCGATACCGGCGCCAGCGCCACTGCTTGAATGAGATGATTAAGGCGTTTTTGGATGTTGAACAAATTGCAACTGAAACCCCCGAAAAGGATTCCTTAAGCTGTCTTGAGACGTTTTGATGGTGGAATGAATTAGCACCCTCCCGACTCTTTTCCTTCATTTGGTCGGTTGCAGTTGGTTGCCAAGGTGTGGTGTGGTCTGTTTGTTCTGGCGTGTTCTGTATCTGTACTTGTATCTATCCGTACCTGGGTCTGTCCGTGGTCTGCTCAATTGAGATCACAATCACCCTTGTCACACTTGGGCACCATAGGCACCTAGGTACCTTTGGTTATGACAGAGGAAAAATGAAAGTACTGTAATCACTTTCACCATCACTCGCTGCCAGTGTATGTCCTGGAGTAGTACCTAAGTACATAACAGTACCCTACTACGATTTAGTACCTACCTTACATCCAAATGAATCTACCCTCATCGGAGTCGCCTCAGCTGCAGTGCTGAAGTCGAAGCTCCGAAGTGGGAGTTGAATTTTTATCTTATCGAATCAATCAAATCGCATCGGCCATAACCATCAATACCTACCTTTCTCAATTGTAAGGTAGCCAGCAACATGAACGAACCCATTGGCAAAAACGACCACTGGCATTGCGTCTAAAAGTAAATGGTATTGCAGTATGCCACACCGACTGTCGACGCGATGTTGCCTTGCACATTTGAGTCATTCATTCATTCATTCATTTCATTTATAGGCCAATGAATGCGCGTTTTTATACCCACTTACCTATTCGGGTTTAGTTTTTGTGCGAAATAAGGATGCTATTGTGCGAAATACAGGCAGCCGCGGCATCTCAGTGTTGCCTGCAAGGTTACCCCATGTGGAAGAATGACTCATTTGCCAAAGGTAAACATAATATCTGCTTGCCCGCCAAAACTCTGACAGTTATCCAGCTATGTCTCTTCACATTTCCAATATGCCCTTACCATCTTCAAGTCTTTGGGTTGAAGACCAACAACCACCTGTCTCAGGAGCCCGCAGGCTCGGAGGACTGATCGAGAGAAGATCAGACGCAAGAACAAGCGGTGCAAGACACAGAGGATGCGAAGTCTGATAACATGGAAGTCCAGGAGCCCAGTGAACGCGACCTCATCTCGGAAGAACAGCTGCAAATCCCGACCAGGCCCTTAGTGACGATCTTACCCCGAGAAAACGCCCTTCTCAGCTCTCAAACAGCAGCTCATCTCCAGCCCCATTTGCCACCATACGAATGGTCATTCTGGACAGATGCTTGCCTGCGGGGCCCCAAACCGGTTAAGCTTGACGGATGCGGCTTCTGCGTCGTACACCGTCGTCTCGACAATAGCAACCCTGGTGATCGAGACTTTGCTATCACATGGTGGCAAAGCTGCTTTGTGGCACGCAATGTCCATCAAATAGGACACGCTGAAATGCTTGCGGTAGCGCAAGCCTTGGAGATGGCCGTCGACCAATGCGAACGCATCTCCGGTACCGTCGTCACCAAAGCCAAAATCAAAAGGCCAGGGGTGGCTGAGGACATAAAGCGTCGGGCAGCTACTATTCCCTGGCCGATGCCGAAGGCGGTGAGTGTATTCACGGATAGTCAGCAGGTGTTGGACTCCATCGATAGCTGCTGGCTTTCTGGCAGAACGCCAGCTCGGCGGTCACCAATGAGGCATGCCAACGCGATGATTGAAGCGCTTAGCGATTTAGGTGTCAGAGTGCATCTTCAGTGGGTTCCAGGCCATGCCGGCGACGTCCGTAATCGTTGGGCCCATGAAGGAGCTCGAAATTCACTGAAACCGCAATACCATGGGCGGAAAGTGTACACGAGGAAAGTGCACCGCGTTCACCGGAGGCGTCACAAGGACAGAACTGTGACACGACCCTCCACGGCCATTATTGAGAAAGGAACCTGAGCCTGCAGCACAACAGCGGTGTAAACTACGAGAACCAGTAGACCTCCAAGATTCGTCAATTTGAGGCAATCGAGTTGCACACGTCCAAACACCATTCGGTGATGGGAAGACTGGGTGAAGTTGGCTTGAGAATGCATCATCATGCTGGAAAATTTCATTGCAGCTACGTATTTCCGCAGAAGGTACATCAAAGACGAAGCCACACGAACCCCAATACCAGCTAGTTAGCAACACATGCAATCAACACGTCATCTGAAATCCATCCCCCCTGCGACATACTACATGGCTTCGAATCGCCCAAAAGGAGTTGGACGAGCCGAGAAGACCTAGAAAAGAAAAAAAGGGGCCAGTCTTTGACTGATTGAAGTTGAAAGTTGCAGAGTCGAGTGTCTCGACCAGGCTTTTAAGCCAACATCCGAACGCCTTGATCAGGATTCGAACCATCATGGGTAGACAAGTCGTGCCCTGCTACCCATACCATTCTCCAGCACAGGATGTCCCTCAGCTAAGTATTGATGATGAAATCTTATAGCCCAATCTGCATCAGTGTGGTGGTGACCCAGACAGGCAAGGAAGGTATGTAATGGAAGTATTGAAGATCGAGACATGAAGAAGCTGTTGAGCAATGGTGGTTAGCAAGCTGTCATAAGGAAGCTGATAGCACATACCTCAGCTGCGTTGGATGCAGAAAGAGTCAGTGGGATGCCGGTCGAGTGTGAGAGCAGTCTGTGGCGAAGGCATTGTAGCTGGCCCGCCAGTTATAGCTCCAAGGACGAATGAAGCAAGAGCAGACTTGGAAATCTGCTCGGATTGACAATCGAACAGTACTAGTAACTGGATACAGTGCGAGGCTGAGCTGTGGGAAGGATATCAAATTCTTTTTGCGTGGACGATCTTGTCGGCTTACACGGGTCTTTGTAAATAATGCATCTGCTCTCCTTAACCCCCGGATTTCGCCTATGTCCCGTTGAGGTGAGAATGTCGCCATAATGGCGATTATTCTCATGTGAAAGAATGAGCGCCTTTTAAGATTAGGATTGCGAACAGTCGACATGATGGGATCGGACAAAGACCTTTTTGACTACCATTCCTCCAAGACTGTGGGCTACAAAGATGAGAGGCCTGGCTTTGGTCTTGACACTGTATTAGTGCACATTTAAGCCCAAAATTGCATAGGTATTCATCGCCTCGTACCTTCTGATTTGGCCTGAGCATCCATATTCGGTTCAGCAAATCGAGAGCAAAGTCTTTAATCCCAGCCTTAGAACGACTGAGGAGCAGGCTTGAGTCGTATCTGAAAGTCATTATTCTTGCATTCGGTATGGCTTCGGGAAGGAAGTCTTCAAGCCAGAGCCTTCCGGTCTCTGCATCTTGCTAAGTCTCTTTAGCCTTCCCATTTAGTCCGTGAACGGCGACGACACTGCAAGGTTAGAGAGAACAGAGCTTCGATAGATCAGTAGGCTGGGAGCTCGTGTCCAGAATTATTGACGTAGAGCAACTCCCTTCGGGCATTGAACGACGCAGGAGATACTGTACATAGACCGTCGACATCTATTGGTACGCAAGTCCGACTACCCCTTGATTTAAAGCAATCATACTATTTCGCAACGCTTGAGTGCAGTATGGCTTTCAGAACGTGAGATGCAGGAGTGGCTTGCCCTCATTTAGCGAGTGTCCAATTGACATTTATTGTCTACTAGTAGCCGAACTGGCTCCTGCGGATTGGTAGCAGGGCAGCGCTCCCTGTGGCTTGTCCAGTGCTCGGGCGTGCGCCCGGGGCTCCCCCGTCTCGCATCAGGTATCCCCGATGCTCGGTCACGTGCCCGATTAAAGCGGCCTCGCTCCCTTTCCTGAACGAAAATGGTAATGGACGAAGGACAGTTCGGGGTGTATATAATAAATGTATATATATATATATATAGACACCCTTCATGGATATATTGTTATATTGTATATACATCATTTTTGACCATGGTTCTTTCTATAAGGTATCGAACGTAGCAATTCCTTTCTTTTCTCGTCCTCCGGTACCAGCAGGTAGTCATTAGTCAGTCGTTCATTTCAGTTCACTCAAATCCCAATCAAACCACATAATACAGCCAAGCCAGACAGCCGGGAGATGCAGTGGTGGATAGGCATGTGCATGGGCATCTATCAAATCAAATTCTAGATCCAACCAACGCCCCCAGTGGCATGGCATTCTCTCCTTCATCGGCATTTGAGAGGACGAGAAACAAGCCAGCCAAGTCAAGCCACACAGCTCAGCTCAATTGACTTATTCACTCAGCATGAGCATGACCGTGACCATGAGCATGACCCTCGATCATTTCCCTCGCGCAAGCCTTTCTACACTCCTCAAACACCTTGACCTGCTTGGCCACTTCACCCAGCCGGCCAATGACCTCTTTATTCCCCTGGCCAAAGCCATAAATGGCATAAGGAATGCCCGTCTCTTTGCAAAACTCCTTGACGTATTTCTGGGCCTTGCGGAGATTGTGTCTAGGGATGCGCGGGAACAAATGATGAACAGCCTGGAACTGCAGGCCACCATGGAAAAAGTCCAACCAGGTCGGACAGTCGACGTCCATGGTTGTACGCAGCATCTTCTGGGCGAACGACTCGTGGACGCCCATATCGGTCGTCGACATGGCGAAGTGCGACAAGGTGATTTGCACATGCAGAGGTGCCGTGACCATGTGTGAGATCATGACAAACACAAACCGGTCCCATGCCGTCGGAATCGATTTATAGACAACCCCGTAACCAAACCAAGTCCAGAAAAACACTTGTCCTAGGATCTCAAACCACCGATGCCACCAGGCTGGACCCTTTTTCGGAGCTTGTCCCAGGAATAAATATTCCCACGACAGCCGATACAGGTTGAACCTGCCGAAGGTCAAAATCGGATAATACAGCCAATGCTGCTTCGAGACGGCCCATTTGGCCACCGCGTCGAAATGCATCACTCGATCGTAGTAGGTGGACCGGAGCGAGCTGAAGAAGCGCGGCGAAATCGCGAAGAACGGAATATGTTCTATGTCAGGGTCGTGCTCGGGAGAGTTGGTCACGATATGGTGCACGTTATGGTTCCGTTTCCACCAGCCCAATGACAGTCCTCCCAGGTAGTCGGCGATAATGATGCCGATGACTGTATCGACGTGAAAATTGTGCGTCACGCCCATGTGTCCTGAGTCGTGCGCGGTAAAGACAAGCTGATGCCAAAACATGCCCAGAAATAGTCCCGAAAGCGCATAATGTGAGTAATGCAGGCAAACCAGAAACCCGATAAACAACAGTGTATATCGGCAGCATTCGATCCCGTAGGCTCCGTATGGACAATCGTAGAGTCCTGCGGCACAAATCCGCGCGTCCAGTTCGCGATACTTGGTGACAATTCGGTCTTGCGAATGCAGGTTCAGAGGTGGATATTTCAGGAGGTCGGACGATTTTTCGGCGTTCAATTTGGTCTCAATCGGATCGGCTGCTTTGGCATCTTGCGTTTCCGGCTCGTGCTCGTGTTCCGAAAGGGACGAAACTGACGACGTTCCTGACCGGTGTCTGGTTGAAGAAAGGTCGGCCGGGTCAAAGACGGGGGACGGAGGTGCTGTACTGCTGCTACTGCTCGACGAGCTCTGTGCGTCGTCCAAGGGTACGTCCACGTCACGATCCTCTTCCTGGCCTGGAATGTAGGGTCTGAAGTGCCCGCCCTGAATTGGGGGCAGAAAGTTCACCCATCTCCCCTCGATTCTTCCAACCACATATTTCTGCATGTATTCCAGTGTCTCGGGACAGTGTAATGCTCGGATCTCGTCTGTCCCATCTCTTCCAACCATGTGTAAAATCGCCTTGTCGCCTCCCGGGTGATAAGGTATCCATGAATCGGCCTTGATCACCTGGCCGTCTAGGATTATAATCTTCCTACCCTCGGCGATGAGGCCTTCGATCTCGCGTCGAGACCAGATTCGGTCTTTGGGAGACACGCTGGCCGCCATTCTCTGTTGTCACTGCATGGGAGAAGGAGGGATGGGTCGCTCAGCAAAAAACACAGGCCTGAAGAAGCATGAAGGAACGGTGAAGGGGATGACGGGCTGCCAGAGGCCGCGCTTGTGGAGTGACTCGGGCGAGAAGTTACGCGGCGGGACGTTGACTCTGGCACAGCCAAATTTAATATTATTATTATGCAGAGCACTGCAGGTTCGAGGGGCTCGGTATACCTTCTCTGTCGTGCGCATACAGTCCACTTCTAGTACGTGAGAGAGAAGTCAGGCTACAGCTACTCCGATACACATCAATTTGAATGAATCAGTGCACAGTCGTGTCAAATTGCAGCATCGTCACATCAACCGTAGGAATAACAATCAATCAATCAATGAATACTAATATCTGGACCGCACTGCTAGGACCGGGCACTCATACCCGGTCGAACGCGCCGTTGCTTTTGCCAGCTTGCCTGTTTTCTGCACCTTGGCCGACGTGACTTTTCGCATGCTCCTCCACCATCCTGCCCCTTAATTACCCCGAACTCTGAGCTTTACAAGCATTGACAACAGGACTGGGCTGTGTATGTTGTACGGTACCTAGGTACCCAATCTCTGAGGCTCACAAGTTGGTCAGGCCGCTGATTCGTTGACTAGCATTGCCGACACCGTCATTGACCGTGTTTGCGGTGTCTCTGCCCAGTCCACCACCCACTTGACCGACATGACCGACATCTTCTTCACCCATGACCGGGTTCTTCTTCAAGGAATCTGTCGAGGCAGCAGTAAGTTATAGTGTCCAAAATAGTCAAGGCACTGAAGCGGTCATGAAACGAGGATCTGCTCAGATAAGGGCCAGGTTTCTCAAGGCCAGTAGGTCAGATCTAGTTGAGCGATCCTCTGGCCCTGATGACTTCGCTCTCACATGATCGATTGGGAGGTGAACTAGAACGACAGAATGTAATTACCTCTAGCCATGGACTGGAGCTTCTCACTGCCAGAATGCTCAAGCACTTTGGCCTGTGCAATGCCTTTTCCTTTGTAGTATCGTTTGGCGAACCATTCACCAACATCATCAGCGTATCCGGCAAAGTAGAGCCCAGCTGCAGCAAGAAGGAGGAAGGTAAAAATGACACCGAGAGAACTGAAGACTTTCGTAGTAGTTGACAAACCGCCGTTATACTCGGGGTATGCCGAAGCGGACGCTTGGGCTGTGGCAGAGTTGAGGGCACTCGAGGCACTCGAGGCCGCACTGTTAGCAGCACTGGAAGCCGCACTGCTCGCGGAGGAGAGGGAGGACGATATCTTTGATTGAGTCATGGCTCTTTTGCAAACGAGAGATTGTTCCTGGAGAGGTTATGCTGAGCACGCGACAGCGGTTGTCGATCGGGTCAGGGTCCGGAAAGTAAAACTGTGGTGAGATACACTGCAAACAAGACAATTCGAGGCAACAGACTTGAAGTTGAAGGAGGGAAGAAGATCAACCAGATGGTAGAGCTTCTTAAAGCAATGCAGAGCTGAGGAAGTGATGCAGTGGCAGACGTCCGTCACGCCTTCTTCAAGTTCCAGTTTCAATCCCAGTTCCATTCGTGTTGTCACGGAATGCAGCAAACCTGCTTCGACGCTTCTTGCTGGCTTCAGAGTGACGGACAAACGTCATGTTGTAGCAATGTTGGGCATGTGGAACATTGGTTCCTTGGAAAGCGTCGACCATGTCCAATGGACGTCGGACGGGAGCAGAAGCCATGCATGGGAACAGCAGCACACACGTCAAAGGCTTTTACTCTGCAACATGGATTGATGGAAACGAGTATCCAGGTACTTGTATCGCGGGAGATGTTCCCAGCGAGAAGTAGTACAGCAAACTAACAGGAGTATCCGACTGTTGCTAGTGTAGACTCCAGCATGTGAAGATCCATGGACTTGAAGTCTCCGTTCGCTCTCGTGCCAGTGTCCAGGCATCCGAGCTCCAGCCACAACCAACGCCACAAAAATCAGGCATTGCTGACGACTTGAACCAAGGAACTCCCGAGTTACTCGTCACTGTCACTATATCTTTTACAAAGAGGACATCCTACCACATAATTGTCCGGAATGTCTGATAGCGGTCCTCTCCTAGCTCTATCATTAACAGGTCGTTCTGCAGTCTTTCTGCTCCATATGCTACAGTGGTACGTTGCGCCTACCATCATTACCCTCCTCCGCTGGGCACGCGAGAGCCTCGATATCCACAGCGAGCAAGACATCTGATTCCCCATAGCCTTTCGGTTCTTCTACCAACGAAGAGCGTGCGGTCCGTGGAGCATGGGTCGCCAGAATGGTAGGTTAAGATCGAACTTCGTTTGGATGTAGTGTAGGATCTTGCCATACATGTCGACAATCAAGGGTGGAGTTGCCAGCATTGTCCTTCCTTACCACGACCGGCCTGCTGCCTCTCGTCGCCGAACACTGACCTAGATAGGTAAGTGAGTTGGTAATGTTGTAGGTATGTTGTATAGCCGGATCAACATCCGAGTTCTCGATCGCATTGAACTCTTGCAAATCCCAGTCACATCTCCCTGCCCTGGTCAGTATAAACAATTGTCCCAAGCAGATCTGCGGTCCAGCCTTGAATTGGAGAAACTCTCTCAGAGGGCGCCATCTTTTACATCGCTCGGGTTCAAACTCCTGTCTGTACGTCGTGAGCCGCGTTTTTCCCTTTACTTGTATAGCAGATCATCAACAACACATGTAGCACAGAACTTGCCCGCCAGCAAATGTAGCAAGGAAACGGTGATTTTGCAAAAGGTCCTTGATTAATTGTCGGGTCACCAGGCTGGCACCCATCATATAATGTACATATTTTTGTCATTTCTGAGAGCAACGAAAGAAGAGAGTCTAAAAGTGGCAGGCCGAGTCCGCAGTGCGATTGACAGCTCCGGCAAGATGACTACTCGTCAATGAAGTTCTTAACGTCTGCGGCGAAAATTAGTACTAGTTCAACTCGATTTCGAAGCGAAACACTCACCCTCCAGCCACTTGACATATTCCCGCTGCTCCTTGTAGTCGACATACTCCGGCAGGAAGCTGGCCAATTGCGCATCAATACCCCTCTCCTCGAGATACTTGTCCAGCATGGCTTGAAGTTCGGGGTCCAGGTTGCTGATCGGTGGACCAGCATACAGGCTGCGGGCTTCTTGGGCCTCTTCTGGGGTCTTAGCCTCGAGTAAGGATTCCTTGGGGAAGAAGCTGATGGTTTCGATCTCGATGGCACCCTCGGCTGCGACAGCTCGAATCTCCAAGGCTCGTTTGCTAGGCTTAGTCACTGTGATCGTCAAGTGGATAGGATAGGCTGGGAGCGAGTTGTCCAGGTCTGGTTCGCCTGCCTCAGCTCGATCGGACGGAGCAATGCTGTCTTCAGGCATAACGTCAATCTTGCCACCTCTTACGCCAGATTGGTTGATGGTGTTCTTGCCCCGACCATACTCTGGTTCATCATCAAGAGCGCCATCCTCGTCGAGATCATCGAATTCGTCTTCCTCTGCCAGGCTGTCGAGTTCGGCGACACTGAGTTGGATCTTGATCCTGCAGCTCATCGTTAAAAGGAGTCCAGATGTTGGGTATGCCACTTTGTCTTCTCACTTTTCATTCCCGAACTCCCTCGTAAGCGTGACTTCGTGCGTGCCGGGCTTGTCCTCGATCTTCCATGGGCTGTTTTGTTGGAATTCCTCGATGGTGGCAAGTTTGCTAGAGTCATTGGACTCTAACTCGAGTGATCTTTCAGCGTTGAATTTCTCGGAAAGTTCCTGATCCGCTGCATCCCCATGTTAGCAATTGATCCTTTCTTTCCATCGAATGATTGCCCATACATTCCCCAGCTGGTTCCCTTCTGAAAACGGATGTTGAAAAAGCAGGATAGGATGATTTCGTGGCCGGTTGCCATAACGCGCGACGAGCGGAAAGTCTCGAAAGGGAGGAAGCGCATCGGACCGTGGGTTGCCGGAGAGCAGCCTTGGGCAATGCCCGTGTCAACATTCTAAGGGTAGTCATCTTGTCACAGGTCGATACAGAGAGGGTGACGTTGATAGAGAACAATGATTCGAGCAGGCAGGAGAGTTGCGCGAGATTCAAGCTGGATACAGAAAGCGTTGTCGCCAAGGGCTTCGTTCCGGATCCCAGATAAATTTCTAGAGGGATCGCCGCAGCACGTGAAGATAGGAGATGACTAAGCGACAGCCATGTTCAACGATTGATGCATGGTATTCTACCACTACCCTCCTCTAACAAATACACAGTTGTAGAGCCCGAACCGTGTCATATCGCTTATTTAATCTAGTCTCATCTAATTCGTGATAATCAGGCGGAACAACGATAGCATCGGCAAATAAATCAATAATGCCTTTAGGGGACGTCCAGGTCTCTTCGCCAAATCAAGTTCCCTCAGCATCTTCTCCCCGTGGGGCTGTGGGTAGCCCGATGGCCAGGTTAACACCATGGTATCAAGGCGCCAGGCCGTTTGCGAATGGTGTTGCACTATTAGTGTTCCTGTTCAATGGTTTTCAGAAATGTGCCACCTCCCAACGTATGGGACTCCTTGAGACCCATGTCGTTCAATAGCTGGCCACAACCCCAGCGGTCAGACAAAGGAACCCAGGAAGGTGGTCCGGCCTCACTGATACGGCGTTAGACATCGGCATATGCAACGCAGGCCTGGGTTGACAAGTTGTAGCACAGTCTGCCAAGTGTGAATAACAGATCTAACCCCAAGCCCTTCATCTCACGAAAGTCCTTTAGGTGGGAAGCTTGAGGGCTTGATAGTTCCAGATTTGACAACACGGACAAAGTCCAGAGTGTTCAAACCACCCCATTCCCCTGCCCATCTTTCCAGCTTTGCGCGGCTCTGCTCATTTCGAAGTTCCGGCACCCAGAATCCGCCACGGAATTCGCGCGCCTCAGCGTCTTTCCGCAATGTGATCTGATCCTCCAGCTTCGTGGGCGGTCTCCCCGGTCTTCGTTGTGCTCTTGCCTCGGCCAACTGCTCATCCTCACGATCGATAAAGCTGATATGGTTATTTTCGAACTAGGAAATGCAACGGCCGACTTACCTTTGTGTCAGGACATGCATTTCTTCGTCACTTAAAGATCCAACCGAGCCCTCAATGGCTGACTTGAACCACGCCACTCTATCAACTTTGAAACACTGATTAGATCGACGCACTGGACACGGAGATGCAAGATCATAATCACCATAGACTTGATTCGCCCGTACTGCTGCATCCATCATACGAGATAGTTTCTCCTCCCTGGCGGCCGCTGTCCGGAGTCTTCTCGCATCTCGACTGTTTTCATGCAGACTGTTGGGCTTCCCTCCTCGCTTTTTTGATATTTGTTTCTGAACCTTGCCAAGCGAGCGAGCCATGATGGATAGATTTCAATTGCGAACTGTGTAAAATAAGCAGTTGTTTACAACCACCCGTCTACTGTGATCCTGATCGATACTTCATGTTGGGACCGAAAAAAGTTGATATCGGCAAAACTTCGGCAAGACTCCGATAAGGACGATAAGGGACGTGGCTCTTTCCCCAGAACGGGAATCGAGGCGCGTCTCAAATGCCGGCGCGTCAGTTGCAGGCTGCGGACGTTGCCTCAACATTCCTGTGGGAGTGCACCTCGTGTCCTACGACCTATTCAGCATCAAACACCCTATATTCAATGGCTCGAGGGGGGCATGTTTTCGATAGCTAACGCCTGGCTTCTGACCTCTTCTTGCTCTCTCCTGCCTGATGTGTTTGGTCGGTGCTAGACATCATTGGAAATAGGCGGTGTGCGGCTCACATACGCGAATATGGGCATCAAAGGTGCGTCCACCGCCTATTCCAAGCATTATAGCTGATAGCTCTAGGGTTACTGCCTATGCTCAAGTCGATTCAAACACACTGCACACTGAAGAAATTTGCTGGACAGACGATCGGGGTGGACGCCTACGGATGGCTGCACCGAGGCGTGGTGGGCTGCGCTTTCGCCCTGGCCTTGGAAAAGCCAACCACGATACACATTGATTTTGTCTTGAGTCGAGTGCGAATGCTTCTGGACTTTGGGGTGACGCCGTATTTGGTTTTCGATGGCGACAATATACCCAGCAAAGCCGGTACAAATGCTTCGAGAAGGAAGAAGAGGGAGGAGGCAAAAGCATTGGGTCTCGAATTGCATAAAGCGGGCAAGACTTCTCAGGCGCACCAGGAACTTCAGAAAGCGGTGGATGTTACCCCTCATATGGCGCGACAACTGATTGAAGAATTGAAGAAACTCAACGTACAATTTGTCGTGGCACCTTACGAAGCGGACGCTCAACTGGTCTATTTGGAGCAGAAGGGCATAATCGATGGCATTTTATCCGAGGACTCTGATCTTCTTGTGTTTGGGGCGAAGCGCCTCTTGACGAAACTCAACCAGTATGGCGAGTTGGTCGAGGTCGAGCGAGCCAACTTCGCCCTTTGCAAGGAAATCAGCCTCGCGGGCTGGACGGACTCAATGTTTATGAGAATGGCTATTCTCAGTGGGTGCGACTATTTGCCTAACATTGGAAAAATGGGACTCAAAACAGCGCATTCCTATGTTCGTAAATACAAGGATGTCGAGAAAATTCTGCGGATGGTACAGCTTGAGGGCAAAATGGTGGTACCTGACAAGTACATGGAGCGGTTCCAGCAGGCTGAGTTGACTTTCTTGCACCATCGGGTGTTCTGTCCCATCGCGCAAAAGATGGTCCATTTGAACGACCTTCCACCTGGGTTGCTGGAGTCTAATATGCCATATCTTGGCCCCTATGTTGACCCAGACACTTCCGTTGGAGTTGCGTGCGGTGACCTGGATCCCTTCTCAAAGAAACCCATTCAACTGAGCGCAGTGAAGGCACTCCTCCGGCCAGCCCTTAGCCAGAATAGGCGACAGAGTTATGCAGCAACTCCTGGTTTGAAACCGAACAAATCGCTCGAGACCTTTTTCAAGCCGCAGCGCCAGCCTCTGGCGGAACTGGACCCGAACAGTTTGACCCCTTCCCCTTCGCAAAGTCGACTACTTGAACGCCATCGAAATGCTTCATGGGAACCACGGCTAGTGTCTTCCGCTCCATCCCTCAGACGAAGCGCCACACATCAGCAGGTGTCGCTGAACGGAGCAGATCGTTCGACTTTCCTTGCACGCGCCTCCACACTATCCACTTACCAACCGCCGAAGCGTCCGAGATTATGTTCCGATTCTATCGATCCTTCACCCACCAAAGAAGTGAAACAAAGTCCTTTCTTTTCCTCCAAACACGAGGAGTCTAGCCCTTTGGCGCAAAAACGTGCGAAGGCTAAAAAGACTAAGAAAGCAGGGTTTGAGGTATTTTCTGACGATTCGGTGAACGACCAGATGTTGTTGGAATGCGAAATACAACAAGCAGCTAGCCCTGAGAAAAGCCCTGCCATAAACTGCATCAAGCCGCAATCTGGAACGGCGCTGCCGGATCGAGATGAACCCCAATCAATACCACAATCATCACCGGTCGGGTCACCTACAATACCTTCCGTTGCCCGTATGCGCAGTCCTTCTCCGTCACGGCGGAATGTCCCTGACAGAACCCCTACGAATCTTACTGAGACTAGAGCAATCCATCAAGATGACGACCCGGCCGCGTTCGAAGATCTGCTTGACTATCATGTCAGAAAGCAGAATGAAGCCCTGTTGCAAAAATTCACATTCCAGGGCGGAGCAGTCTCAAAGACATCGACTTGCAGCGGACCATCTGGAAAACTCTCTCGAACCTTCTCAGCCCAATCTCCGGAAGTGCAAATCGCTGCATTGCGAAAGCTGCCGGAGAGCGGAGAGATCGAATCATTTTGCAAAGAAGTCCAACACCACAAGACATTTGACCAGCAGTCATCCGAACGTCGACACAATGCACTCAAATCACTGGGGCGGCAGGGAAGATGTCTGGCCACGGCAGCAGCCATAACCCAAAAGCCAACTAGGACGCCCGCGTGCAACGAGACAGTGACGCCCTGGGACAAAGCTGGCTTGACTCGTGCCCCAACAAGTATAGGCGGTATAGGGGAGCTGCGCGGGAGTGAAGATGCAATAGTACCAAATAGTGAGGACGAAGGCTCGGACATTGGATCACCACCACGAATGCCTCGGTTGGATCTTAGTTCATTTGCGTTTGTTTCTACTTGAGCAGTTGGATATTTGGTTGGCGGCATCCTGCACGGCGTACGAACTTCGGCAAAGCGAGGCAGTCTGGTTGCGATGTGTACGGTTCGGATTGGCTATGGACATGCATCAGGCTGGGCACAAACATCTCTGCGGAGAGCTCATAACGATTGGCTATGATTACGTTGAGAGAGTATTGGGGTGCACGGTTGAGGTTTTCTTTTTGCAGTATGACCGGAGCCGATATATTTATTGTCAATGAGATTTATGAAGTGCACAAACTTGGGCGAGATAGATATTCGAAAACCAAGCATTCGAGTAATATCGCATACTACTATGGTACCCGTACTTGACGTTGACTGTAGATGGGGCTAATGACCTGGAAACGTCATTGCAAGGCTGCCGGCGACGAGGCTAGCAAGCCCCTGCGCCATACCTAAAGTGGCTAAATGTAAACATGGGGCACTTGGCGGGCTTCGCTGTTCCTGCGCCATTTCGCTGGAGCGTCTGCGGCACAATCACTGCATTTCCTGCCACCAGAATAACCAATTCACACCACAGACCAGCCTCACGGATTTCCAATGGCAAATCTTCAAGCGAATTTGACAATTGGTGCCTAGCACTCCCAGTCGCAGACATTTGCAGGACTAGATCAAGCTACGCCTCTCTTCCTTTTCCTCTTCTCCCCGTCCCTTCTCTATCTTCCTTGACTGCAAGACGCAGGCAGCTGACCACATCTTTTCAGCACAGTAGGACAGAGCGAATTGTCAAAAATCACTCGAAGTCTACAAACCTTTATAATTTCTTCCATCCGTGCACGCACCGACCTGTTGCCAAACCCGCTCTGACCACACGTTGACCCGGGCTGCGGGCCACAATACTGCTCGTGCTGAGCTTCAACACTTTACTCCGTCCGCACGGACGGCAACTCTACACCACACCACAACCATCACACATTAGAACTTGGGGGAATGGCACCCAGGTTCGTGACAGGATGGCGGAGATTCGTCCCAGCTATCGGCTACCACCATGTGCTCATGATATTCATTGCTATTGCCATCATCCTCCTCTGTAAGTACCATTTTGTGAGATGACCACGACGGCCATAATCAGCTAACCATATCTTCACAGCACTACTTCTCGCAGGATGCTCTTCGACATCTCCACTCATTCCGGACATTTACCTCATATCACTGTACTACCACCAGTACGCCCCGGTTTTTAGTACTGTGCAGGTGGACCCAGCGGTCACGACAGCAATAGCCAACATTGTGGGAAATGCAGACCTCAACGTGCGGGTGGGCTACTTTGGCATTTGCATCAGAGCGGATGGTGGAGCATGGATGTGCAACCAAAATTCAACGTCCCTGGCAGACCTGGTCAGCATCGATCAGGATCCGCTCAACTTGATATGGGTCGCCAGCACGTTCAAGAACGCAATCGTGTTCCCATATTTACTGATCATCGCCATTGTCCTTGCCTTCCTCACCTTCCTGCTGCTGGCGACATTTCCAGGTTGGCACTCGAGCATCGGCCCCGATGGCTCTCAACAGGAAGTCCGGCCTTTCCCGTCGAGGGCTGTATCCCAAGTCGCATTGGCCACCATCTTCATTGCATCGGTTTTTGTGTTGGTGTCCGTGATGTGGCAGCATACCGCAGCCGTGGCGGCCAGCACGGTGGCCCAAGATCTTGGAAACGGAAGTGTCAAATCCGGAGTGGGGACAGCAGCCATGGTTCTGGGCTGGTTCGGCTTCGGGCTTCTGGTGATTGTCACGCTTGGGTTGCTGGTGATGATATTGAGTATTCAGTTACTGGATCGCCTGACGGACGAGGTATGGTTGATTGCCGTTTGTTGAGAGGAAATGATCTTACTGACTGTTTTGCTGCAGGACTAAAAAATTGTACACGACACGACCCCTGCGATTTCAGCGAAAGTGATAGCGCTATTTGTTTCACGCATGAACGAAAGGACATTACTCATCATGGCAAAAAATGCCATCTGCGGCGTTCGGACATAGACTTGGATGTGTAATCAAGCATTTACGGCGGAAGGCCGTTGGAAGGAAGCAATGGGACCCAAACTCTGAAACTCATCCTGCACAGTTGTCGAAATACCCCCAATATACGTCGTTTGAGAACGAAACTGGGTTTATGGATGGTTCGCGAAGTTGAGGATGGAATGTGTGTTTGGGTGGTCCCTGATGGGAGACAGAGTCGACGGAGGACTGGCCAAAGGCTCGACGCTGGAACATGCACTGCATTCCCTGCTCAGAGCAGAATCACTGAATGGGCTGTATAGGTTCCCAGACATGAATGACAGATTGATCAAACAATTGAAGACACCGAGGCTGCTGCCTTGGTATGAGGTCCAGCATATTCTATTGTACTCAAAGTCTCAATTTCACTCTTCATGCCCTTCTCCACTCATATAGATACTACCCGGAGACCCAAAGTACACGGGTAGTCGAAAAGCATTAATAAGTAGACCGATGGACCGACAGTTGCAACTTGAACTTCAGTTGAAGGGGACAATACCTGGTACCAGGTAAATGACACTTTCCGTCCAACACACTCCGCTGTACCGAATCCAGCACCTCCGGCCAATCGCAACAGGAAGAATGACGGAAACCCGGCGGATCACCATACCACATATAGCAGTTCATAGTATCGCATCAAGCACTTTTGAATATTTTTATTCCGCCGACCCCAGTCGAACTTGAACCCCAGACATTTTCAGGAACCGGGGCCCCGAAATCGAAACAGACGTTCATTTCGATTCAATTCAATTCGCAAGTCTCTTCGTCTCGACTCGACTCGACTCGACCAATTCCAGTTCGCTTTTTACAATTTATTCGGAGAAAAAGAGGGTTAGTGCCGTTGCAAAAATGTGTCCACACAGACTCTTCGACGGCTTCGTCCTGCCCGCCTCGGCGGATATGCATGTCCATTTGCGCGAGGGAGCAATGTTGGAAGCGGTCGCGCCGACGATTAGGCGGGGGGGCGTGGATACGGTGTTTGTCATGGTAAGGAAATGAATTGAAACTGAAATGAGAACTCCGGACTTGCATTTCTGAACTCGCGAGCCCCGAGTCGAGTCGGGTTATTTGCGTTCGCGCTGTTGGATTACTTCTTGCATTGTTCAAGTTGCACTGCTGTTTACTGGCAGGTCTGGTTATTGTTTAATGTTCTTGTTCGGTGCTGGATGTTTGAGATACGGGGACTTAGGTCATGGTTTGGGGGGATATTGCTGTTATGAATTGCAGTTCTTTGTGGTCTTGGTCTTGGTCTAGGTATATCTGGCTGTGCCTTTTTGATTGTGGTTATATTTGTTATGTCCAAGTCTACAATTAAATCCTGAATTCCACTTTGTTCTCCATCCGAGGTTGGTGGGCGATACCTCCATATATCGAGCTAACTGACGGTGTACTGCTTATACAGCCTAATCTAGTTCCACCCATCACGACCGTCGAACACGCTTTACAATACAAGGCCGAGATAGCTAAGCATACAAACGCAAACTTACTCATGTCCTTGTATCTGCATCCGTCCATCACGCCAGACACGATCCGACAAGCCAAGCGGGCCGGGATTCACGGGGTCAAGTCGTATCCCGCGGGAGTAACGACCAATTCCGCGTCCGGGGTCGTCAATTACGAACAGTTTTATCCTGTATTCAAGGCCATGGAGGAGGAAGATCTGGTCCTCAATTTGCACGGAGAATCACCACCGGCCGAGGACATCACGGTCCTCAACGCCGAGGAGGCATTCTTGCCCACTCTGCTCGATCTCCATAGTCGGTTCCCGAAGCTGCGCATCGTGCTCGAACACTGCACGACGGCCGCGGCGGTCGAAGCGGTCAAGAAATGCGGACCCAATGTCGTCGGCACCATCACGGCGCACCATCTGTTTCTTATCATCGACGACTGGGCCGGTGACCCAATCAACTTTTGCAAACCTGTTGCAAAACTCCCCAGCGATCGGGTCGCTTTGCTCAAGGCCGCAACTAGCGGTAACCCAAAGTTCTTCCTGGGCACAGACTCGGCTCCTCATCCGTTACGGGCCAAAAAGGGTGGGTTGGGCGTACACGACGCTGGCAAATGTGCCGCGGGAGTATTTACTCAACCATACACAACGCAGCTGGTGCTCGAGGCTTTCGAGGACGCCGTTGCTAAAGGAGTGGTTGAACCAGTCCAATTGTCCAAATTTGTGGTGGAGGGGTTCCTTGGTGTCTTTGGTCGACAATTCTATCGCGTCGATGCGAGCACGGAGAAGATCAAGATCACTGCCCGGGATGAGAAAGTCATGTCTAGACTGACCGTGGGCGGGGGAGCGGGCTCAGACTCGGCGAATGCAGACGTCGTGGTTCCTTTCCGCCGGGACACCCCGATTTACTCGCTGGAATGGATCTCATGATTTGCCCTGCTTTGCTTGCCTTGGGGATTCAGTTGTGTCTTCTGGTCAGATAAACCATATACAATCCGCAATGTGTTGTTGGCCTTTACTCTGTACCACTTGGCGCTGGAGCCGAATCAAAAAACTTCTGGGTCATCAGAGCCGCTGCCACACTGACATTGAGACTGTCAATGTCTCCAACATGCGGTCTTGCGTTAGGGATACCGACAATGCCGTCCACAAGCGACTTCAGAAAATCTCGGACACCAGCTCCTTCATTGCCCAGAACCAAGACGCAGGAATGACTTAGCAGCGCCCCCTGGAATGGTAGCATTTGAGCTTTCTCTCCTCTGCGGCGTCGGCTGGGGAATGTGTCTTGATTTTCGGGGGCATCGGCTGCGAAGAATTTCCACCCATTTTCACGTGAAGCCTTGACGAAAGATCTTTCGTTCTTCACGTGTAGTATTGGCATGTACTCCAAAGCCCCGGCCGAGGCCTTCAAACTGTTGGTCGAGATAGGAGCTGTGCCATGCTCAAGGATGAGTATCGCATCGACCCCGAGAAACCAGGCAGATCGGACAATAGCTCCGAAATTCCCAGTGTCTGTAATGCAATCGAGGAGGAGCATGAAAGGATAGCGGTGGGATGGCCGGACCGACGGTATGACGGCCACGTTGCCGCGGGTCTCAAAGACACTGTTGACCTCCCGGTCTTCTTGCGAAGCCCATCCCACATTGGCGAGGATATCGTCGGAAGGCTTGCTCACAGAAGACAAGCTTGTGACTGGGAGTTTGGGTAGTGGAGAAGCCTCAAGAACCACGCCATTATGCGGTCTTCCTGTAGAAGCCTTTGAAAGAATCCTGTTCCACTCAGGCCCCCATACATCCTTGACCTCCACGCCTGCTGCTCTTGCAAGCTTGTAGATATCCTCCTGCGCTTGTGTATGGTCCCATTCCGCCAACCGATCGGCTTTTGTTTTGGCTGCTGCTGATTGATCTGAATCTCGGGCCTGGGTCTGAGACCTCAGGCGATAGAGCCTGTAAAGTTTGCGTCTTCTAGCCTTCAGGGCAGAGAGGACGGAAAATGTTCCGTAAATGAACTCTGAGCTCGCCGTCGTGTAGGGAAGTGCAGTCGGTATCGACGCTGGGGTCCGTGCCGGCTTCTCGTCTCTTTCCTGCGGAGTGTTTCTGTTGGACGTCCGGCTTCGCACATTTTGTCGACCGCCTTGCTCGACAGCAGCATTGCGCTCCTTTGGTATCGGTTGGGCTAGGTCACCGGGGCGAGGATTGGTGTAGCGTGCCTCATGTCTGCTTGCGCTGTGCTGAGCATCTCGAAGGCCCTTCCCAATGGCTCCGGTCAACGATATACGTCGTGCGGGCTGTAGACATGTCAGACACTCAACAGCCAGACGTCTTCGCAGGCTGTTGCCGGCGAAGGACTGCATTCATGTAAGAGTGTCAGCCGTGCTCAACCGACCAGGCGATGCAGTGTTGGGATGGTTGTATGTTGCCAATCTTCAAAAATGATTCTTTACAATTCAAGTTGGAGAAGGAGAATCTCCGCGTTCATTTTGCTAAATTACTTGCGACGCGACCGCGTCCTGCAGCGAAAGTGCAATTGCGGCATTCGAGTTCGAGTCCTCATCTCTTGCCATCCTCTTTTCAACTGACCAAGACGAAGGCCAATCCATTAACTGATCGTCCAGCGGATTGTTGACCCAATGTATGGCTTCCGCGTCGGTGCGACTCCTCTTTCGAAACGAATAGCCAAACTCCGATCCCGCTTTTCCTGCGCCGGTCTCGTAGGAAACGGTGAACAACGACATGGACGACGACCTTGACCTCTCCTCTTGGATGGGCAAACCGCCCGATGTGCCCCAGCCTGTTGACGAACCTGTTGAAAACGGCGTTCCTGATGAATTCGATGTTGAAATTGTACAAAGTGCTTCTTCCGCGCACACAGACTCGGACGACGAGGGCGACATCCTGCACGAAGACGACAATGGCCAGCGCAAAACCAGCGGTGTGCAGGGTACAGTGTCAGTGAGGTCAATGTCAGAAAGCCCAGAAGAGGTGGATGACTCCGTGGTCCGACCGCAGCCACAGTCTTTCTATATCGACGTGCCGAAGTTGTCAGACGAGGCCAAGCAGGATTACGGTTATCTTCCTGGACACTTCTCAGTGCGCAGAGTGCTGTCCAAGAGCAAGAATGATACGTACATGGTCAAGCTAGACAGCGGGGAGGTGGACTTCGTAAGTGCCTGCACATTTGGTTTTGTTTCACTCTTCATTCACCTTGGTTTGCTCGTCCGTCTGTTGAGACCCGAAGAGCTCTTACAAGCCTTTCTTCATTATTTTCTCCCTCCCACTTTTCAGCCGCTCGCCTCGATCCATCCTACGAATACTCAAAGCTGACTCTTCATCAGATCTCACTGCGTGATCTACAAGATCTTGACAACGGCCCATCTGCCCTTGCAGAGTTCCGGAAAAACAAAATGACCAGACAAGGCAAACGAAGCGCTCGGCAACCGGCGCTTCAAGGCATGGTTGACTGGAGTACTATTCAATTCTCAGATGCTGAAGAAGGTCTGCCGGTCAGAAAGCGTCGAGGCAACACTCAAGACAGCGAGGTGTCAGCGAACGAAGCAGAAGACAATTCGTCAGATCAGGATGATGAGAAACTCTCAGATGAGCCGCAAACCACGGGACGACGATCAGCACGCCTCCATCGCCAGAGGAAGACAAAGTACCTTCAGCAAGAGCTGCTCGAGTTTGACGATGACTCGGATGTGCCCCGCCGCAGAAGCACAAGACGGATCTCCACGCTGAGGCCAACGAAGAGAAACCTGCGTACTGGTAGACGCACCACATCCAAGTTCCATGATTCCTCGTCTGAGCCAGAGGCTGCCACGCGACGCTCTGAAAGAACCAGGACCAGGCCTCGGCGAAGTATGCGCGAGCGGCAAGAGGACGACATCTCCAGCCATGAAGAAGAAAAAGCCGGGCCCAAGATTGTTAGTACCAAGGAGTATTTTGCCCGGATCCCCGAACAAGATCCATTCAGAAAACGCCATCGGCAGGAGTGCGACACCTGCTACTTCAAGGGCGATGACGCCGCGAAAGGACCGCTAGTCTTCTGTCAGGGATGCTCAAATTCTTATCACAAGGTCTGCCTTGGGCCTCGAGGCAGCCGGGATCATCTGGTGACTAAAGTTGGGAATGACCTGTTTGTTCTACAGTGTCGGCGCTGCATTGGACTTGCTCACGAACGCGATCAACGAGCACCACACCATGGCTTTTGCGTCGGCTGTAATACTCTTGGTGAACTTTCAAAACCTCTCCGCAACCGTTTGACAACACGTCAAGAGCAACTTCAGAGAGAAGAAAATGGCGGAAGAGATCCAATCACCATTGTGGAACCGGGTTTGATCAACAACGTTTCCAATGTACTTTTCAGGTGTGCTCAATGTTTCCGAGCGTGGCATATGCACCATCTTCCCGCAAGGGAGACAGCACATTCATCCTTGGACGACGAAGACGACGAAATGCTCGATGAGGCGCAGCTTGCACAGAAACGGTTTGAGCACTACCACCGATCCTGGATGTGCAAAGATTGTATTGAACATCAAAGCCAAATCGACACGCTGGTCGCCTGGCGCCCTGTCGATCTGGACGCTTATGTGCCTGGGACCACGGTCGACCAGATGCAGGAACGAGAGAAAGAATATCTCGTCAAGTGGAAAGCCCAGTCATACTTCCGCACCACTTGGATGCCAGGCGATTGGGTCTGGGGTATAGCCGCAGGCACCACTCGTCTTTCTTTCTTCAAAAAGCTGGAGAATCAATTGCCTAAGATGACAACGGCAGATGCCATCCCGGAGGAAGTCTTCCGAGTCGACATTGTATTCGACGTACGCTACTCGAGTGTCGTCCGGAATAGCACCAAGGAGATCGACCTGGCGCGCGTAAAAGAAGTGGACATGGCCTTTGTCAAGTACAAGGGCCTTGGCTATGAGGACGCCATCTGGGAAAAGCCGCCTCCCTACACCGACACCGAACGCTGGAACGACTTCAAGGAGGCCTATGAAGACTACGTCCAAAAGCTGCATCTTTCGATCCCTCCTCAGACCACCCTCAGGCGACATCTAATACAGGTACGGGCCCAGGACTTCCAGTCTAGTGTGATCAAAAAGACACAACCATCGATCGTGACTGGCGGCGAGTTGATGCTATATCAGCTGGAAGGGCTGAACTGGTTGCTGTATCAGTGGTTCCTCAATCAGAATGCTATTCTCGCGGATGAGATGGGTTTGGGCAAAACCATTCAGCTTGTTGCCTTCTTTGCGGCTCTGGTTCAAGATCACAAATGCTGGCCTTTTCTCGTGGTTGTTCCCAACTCCACGTGTCCGAATTGGAGGCGGGAGATAAAGAAATGGGCACCGTCTCTTAGAGTGGTCACCTATTACGGATCGTCCACAGCGAGGAAGCTAACCCATGATTACGAACTCTTTCCCAGATCCAAAGACGACGACACCCATCAAAAACAGAAGAAGAACCGTTCCGAGGCCAAGGATATCAAAGCGCATATCGTGGTCACATCTTACGAGGCCATCGGTGACGAAAAAACTCGACACAGCTTAATGAGGGTTCCGTGGCAGGGTCTTGTGGTCGATGAGGGACAACGCTTGAAGAGCGATCGATCTCAGATCTATGAAAGCTTGTCCAAATTCAAATTCCCTTTCAAAGTCTTGCTGACGGGTACGCCGCTGCAAAATAACGCTCGGGAGCTGTTCAACTTACTACAGTTTTTGGATAAGAGCGTGAATGCGGCAGAATTGGAAGCCAAATATGCCAACCTCACGCAAGACAATGTTCCCGAGCTGCACCAGACTCTGCGAAAGTATTTCCTTCGGCGCACAAAAGCACAGGTTCTCACATTCCTTCCGCCCATGGCCCAGGTCATCATCCCAGTCAGCATGTCCACTGTCCAGAAGAAGGTGTACAAATCGATCTTGGCCAGAAATCCTCAGCTTATGAAATCCCTCTTCACTCAAGACAAGAGTGTGCCAGCCAAGGAACGAATGAACCTCAACAACATCTTGATGCAATTGCGCAAGACGCTATGCCATCCGTTTGTCTACAGTCGGGACATAGAAGAAAGAGGGGTTGATCCTACAACAGCATTTCAAAATCTGGTGCAGGCGTCAGGCAAATTACAGTTGCTCTCAATTATGCTCCCTAAGCTTCAGGAGAGAGGTCATCGCGTCCTCATGTTCAGCCAGTTTCTGGACAACCTCGACGTGGTCGAGGATTTCCTGGACGGGCTCGGATTGCAACACCGTCGGCTGGACGGCAGCATTTCTGGTATAGAGAAACAAAAGCGGATCGACGAGTTCAATGCCCCAGACTCGCCATATTTTGCGTTTCTGCTTTCAACTCGAGCGGGTGGTGTGGGCATCAATCTTGCCACAGCAGACACGGTGATTATTCTAGATCCTGATTTCAACCCTCATCAGGACATTCAAGCTCTATCCCGAGCTCATCGGATCGGTCAAAAGAACAAAGTTTTGGTTTTCCAACTGATGACGCGGAACAGCGCTGAAGAGAAGATCATGCAGATTGGCAAGAAAAAGATGGCTTTGGACCACGTCTTGATTGAGCGCATGGACAAGGAAGAGGACGCTGGCGAGGATCTGGAATCGATCTTGAAGCACGGCGCCCAAGCGCTGTTCGAGGACGAGTCCGGGGCCGATGACATTGTGTATGATTCCGCTTCGGTGGACCGGCTATTGGACCGCAGCCAAGTGGAGGATACCAAGACCAGTGAAGAGAAATCCGCCGAGTCTCAATTCAGCTTTGCTCGTGTATGGGCCAATGATAAATCATCGCTGGAGGAAGAGATCGCGGCCGACACTGGCACAAGCACGCCGAACCCTGGTATCTGGGATAAGATCCTGGCCGAACGCGAGCGACTGTTTGCGGAGGAGCAAGCCAGAAAAGCTGAAGCGTTCGGCAGGGGGAAGCGTAGGCGACAGGTAAGTGAGACACGGAGGATGGCTTCTTCGAGGAGTTGCATGGAGCTAATGAGTGAGCATAGGCCGTGGATTACGGAGTAGATGACAACGAAAACCCGGAGCAGAAGAAACGAGCCAAATCCGGCGGTCGCGTCCTCGAACCTGACGATACGGACTATCAGGCGCCTGCTCAGCCGTCTGAGGACGACGACGTCAGCAGCGGAGAGGAATCAGACGATAAGCCGAATCGCTCGGTGAAAGGTACGGTACATCCCAATCTTCAAAGTCGCCGATACTGATGGAGGCGCAGCACGGCCATTCAAAAGAGTGCGGGTTCCCCTGGGACAAGCACCGCAGTTCGAAGGTGAAGGACAATTTGATTTCGGTCCGATACATAACATGCCCCGTATTCATCATTGTTCGGCATGTGCTGAACACCATCCGATGGGATGGTGTCGTCTCAAGCTGGCCGGACTCGAATATTGTCCACTTTGTGGGCTGGCGCATCTCGGTTATGGGCGGACGTGTCCGCATCTCAACGACGAGGTGCAGATTGCGACGCTGCTACAGACCCTCAAGGAGAGCACTGAGAGCCGGGAATTGGTCGAGCAAGCCACCAACTATCTACGCTCGATCCGCGGGACTCTGGTGCACAGTCGACGGGTTCGAGAACGTAGAGAGCAGCAGGAGGCGCTGGCTCGGCAGACTCATGTTTTACGTTCCTGATTTTGCAGCGCTCATGGCGTCGAAGCTGAGCACAGCAGATGGCTGTTCAACAATACCGATGCTTTTTCCTTTCTGCTGGGCGTTAAAGGCTACTGCTGGAGAAGTGCGAGGACACACACCATTGTGTGAGATCAGAGCTGATACCCCAGATTGCGTCTTGGGAGCATTTCGGCGGTGTACTTTTGCTTGAGCTACTACATACCTAGTGCCAGTATCAGAAAAATGAGACGGCATCCACCCGAAGCTGAAGAACTATATGGGCCCTGATAATACCGTCGTGACTGCAGACTACAATAATGAGCTAGTTGTACATTGTACTCCAGACCGAGATGGATACTGCCGTGGGAGATACCTAGCAGGTACTCTGGTACATGTATGCCCACGCACCAGATTGATAGACATTAGACCCACGAGGTACCATACAAAGTTGTACTATGTTACAATTGTTGTACAACTTTTGCTGGTAAAGACCGAGACAGAATGACGTGGGAGGCTGGCGGTGGAATCCATCTGGTGGAGCCGGGGCTGGAGCAGGGACTCGCCAAACACTCCATATACCAACGAAGCAGCACACAGCCACCGCGCAATCAAACCCGGGTGAGACAGCTGAAAATGGGGGAGAAAAAGAGGGAGAGCGCTGCTTTGGCGACAATGTCGTGCGTGGGTTGGCTTTTCCCAGATTACATTGTATTATTTCCAGATGGTTCAAGTTTGGCGTTGTTGCCCAGATCTTGGAACTTGGCTGACACGGCTCGGCGGCACGACGCTACACTGAGATGCACTTCAAGTTGTAGGAGGTCTACACCGGCAGCTACATGTGAATTACGTAGCTGTAGGTCTAGGTATGGCAGTAACTGTGACGGTTGAAATCTTGATACTTGACATGCAGCAGCACTCTCACTGGCGGTGGAGGTGTCACGGGGTAGATTCTATGATGAAACGAAGATGAAGCTGCATGATGTAGTACATACATGCCTGTATGAGTATGGGGGACGATAAACGGGAACGGACGGACAGACCTAGATCCGATCTGAAGGGGGTGTCACTGCTGTGTGAGATGTTGACGTGGCTAGCTATAGGTACCTGGCAAGATGTTTCGTTACCATGGCCGTTGTATGAAGATCAGTGTATGACCCTCCGTGTTTCTGTGCTACTGCTACGAAAGTCGCGAAAAACCCCTGGAGCTATAACGTATCTGTACACTGGCAGTACTTTCAAAATCCTACGATAATTAATCTCGCATCAGCGAATAATGAGAACAATAAGATAGTGCGATTGGTGCTGTGTCTTCCAACTTGAACCAGTTTGAATTTTGCAGTGGGCTCGTTACTATTAATGCTGCGCCCCGGAGCCTGCGCGTCACCTCCAAGCTCACTACTTTTATTGGCATGGCCGCCGGACACTGGGGAAATGCCCGTGGTCTATGCGCACCGCAACACACAAAATGTTACAGATTGGCACTGGCATGGCAGGCCGCTTTCCGGGCGAGATTGAATGCGAAACAGAGACACCAACAACCACAGTCGCGATTCAATTATTGATGAATGGTATAGTTGTGGAGGCCATATAGAGATCCTGTGAAGTTGCCGTCGAGATGCTAGTACATAAACGAGGTACAACGTCCTATGATGGACAGTTGTACCAGGAGTTGCAGAACCGCTCATTAGGGTGCTTACGCCTAATTCCGCTTGGCGGGCCATTTAAGGTTTGGCGCAAATCTCCTTGAACTGCGCCGCCAATGAAACTCTGCAGTTCCCTCCGACTGCCCACAATTTCAGCAGTTAGTGCCATACTAGTAAGACAACCCGAGCATTGTTTTGTCCAGGCGCCTTGTCTCCCTGCCACTCATCTCTTGCGCATCCTCTTCCACTCACCCATCGCCCATCACGAACATCATTACCACCACCTTGTGACCATCAGCTCCAAACAGATCTTGCTCTGCGACAAACCGCTGCAAAAGCCTGGGAAAATCACTACCATCTCAGCCGTGCGTCTCCATCGTCATCTCCAACCTAAACCCAATCTGCGGTTATTGATCCAGCACTAACAGCGTCTTGGTCTCGTACCCGAGCCTAAAGGGGTCCGCAGCCACTACTGCCGCCTCTCGCCTCGCCCGTGCCAACCCACCAACGGCAAAGCTCTCTCGGGCCTCGCGGCGCCTGGGTCTCTCCCTGGTCGAAGAGCCAGCCTACGAGTGAGCCTTGAGCCTGTTGTTCTGTACCTTACGGAGCCTGCGGACTCGGATCCTCCTGGTTTGCCCAGCTTCCACTTCCATCGCCCTTCGTCTGCATCTGTCTCTTCTTTGTTCCAGCCTCCGGCCGTCACTCCTCCAACAGCCTCATACTACTGCAGCACCATCCCTCGACCCTCCCTCTCTCCTTTCAACAACATACACGCTCACTCGTTTCACGTTCGCTATACCGGTCGATCTCAACTGCTCGCAGCACAGCACCGGACGACTCTCGCACGGCCTCTATCTTCTTTCACGCATCGTCGACTTGCAGCGCAGTTCTCGGCCGTTTGCCGCTCGTTCCAGTCCGGTTTTTCCTCACACCCACCCGCCTACTCCCATCGAGATCAATGACACAATCGATCTTCGTCACGATACAACACCTCTGAAGAGACCTGAGGATAATCCAATATCTTAGCCTGCGTCGTGGTCAACATCTTCTTATACCCCGACGGTTGGTTGCTGGATTGTTGTAGCCCTCGTTGGCGCCCTGTGCTGCATTGTAGCCCTTGAAGAAGAACAACACGCGTCCGGCGGCATAACTGCCACCGACGACATCTCATCATGCGACCACAAACATCTCTATCATACCTGCTATCCCTCTTCACCGCCATATCCCTCGCCCCTCATGCTTTGGCCGTAAGGGTCATCGAGTCCAACTCGCTCAATTCCTGCAAGAGCGGCTCCAATTTCACCGCCACACTGTTCAATGTCGCATATACTCCTTCAAATCACAGTATCGGCATCACCATCAACGGTGTGTCTTCCCTCTCCGGAAATGTCACGGCCCAGCTGGAAGCGACGGCTTATGGCTTCACCGTGGTGAACATGACACTGAACCCCTGCGACATGGGTCTAACGGGATTTTGTCCAATGCAAACCGGTCAAATCAACATTGAGACAAACTTCGATGTCCCTGCCAAGTATGCAAAGCAACTACCAGGCATTGCTTTCGCCGTCCCAGATCTTGATGGTGTCGTCCGGGTCTACGTTACCTCCACTGATACGAACCAGGTCATTGCTTGCATGGAAGCCGATCTTTCCAACACCAAGAGCGTTTACCATCCCGCAGTGGGCTGGGCCACCGCCATTATTGCTGGTCTGGGGCTCGTGGCTGCCGGAGTGACCTCTGGCCTGGGCCATCCGAACACTGCCGCACACGTCGCCGCAAACGCGGTCTCGCTCTTTGGCTTCTTCCAGGCTCAAGCCGTCATAGGCATGACCTCTGTGTCCATGCCGCCCATTGTGCAATCGTGGACTCAGAACTTCCAGTGGAGCATGGGCATCATCCGTGTCGGATTTCTACAATCCATCGCCACCTGGTATCAACGAGCCACCGGGGGCACACCCACCACTTACCTCTCTACTCTTAGCACGTATTCGGTGCAAGTGCAAAAGCGTGCCATCCGACGCTCCTTGGACGCCATGGCTGCATATGCCACTCAGGGTATCCGCGCTTTGGCCAAGCGAGCAGATGATTCAAGCGAAACCACTGTCGGCAGCGTTAAGGTCGTTCGCGGAATCGATAGGGTCGGTTTTAGGGCGGGGATTGAGCAGACCAATATCTTTATGACCGGTCTGATCTTTTTCGTCTTCATTCTGTTTTTGGCCGCCGTCTTGGTTGCCCTGACCAAGGCCATCCTCGACGGATGTGCTCGTGCTGGTTGGATGAGACAGGATAGATTCCTGGAGTTCCGGAATGGATGGAAGGTGGTCATCAAGGGAATTTTGTTCCGACTGGTAAGCTTCACCATTGGCGACCCTAGGATCATATCTGGTTGGTTGCTAATCTTTGACAGATCCTTCTCGGTTTCGTACAAATGTCCATCTTGTGTCTGTGGGAGCTTGTGGAACGGGATTCGGCAGCAGAGGTCGTCCTCGCGTTGATTGTCTTCATCTCCATGGCTGCTGCCCTGGGCTGGGCGTCATTCAAGGTCATTCAGCTTGCGAAGAAGTCGGTCGCCATGCACAAGAACCCCGCCTACATCCTCTACTCCGACCCCAAGTGCCTCAACAAATGGGGTTTCCTCTATGTCCCGTACCGCGCCACCGCTTACTATTTCGTCGTCCCTTTGCTCGCATACATCCTGGTCAAGGGCATCTTTATCGCCTTTGCCCAGAAGTCACCGGTTGCGCAAGCCATTGGTCTGCTCATCGTCGAAGGGGTCGCCTTGGTCGGCGTCAGTGTTCTCCGTCCTTATATGGACAAGAAGACCAATATCTTCAACATCTCTATTGCGGCCGTCAACTTCCTCAACGCTATCTTTCTCCTTGTCTTCTCAGACGTCTTCAACCAGCCGGAAATGGTGTCGGGTGTTATGGGTGTTATTTTCGCCCTTTACAACGTCATCTTTGCCGTTGTCTTGTTGATCTTGGTGCTGATTGCATCCATCTACGCCATTGCTTCGAAGAATCCCGAGGTGCGATACCAACCAATGCGCGACGATCGAGGAAGCTTTATCAAGTCCCAAGCAGCCCTGACCACCGAGCTCGATGCCTTGGGTGCCACCGCTCGAGGAGATGGCAACAACACGTACGCTCAAGACAAGAAGATATTCGACGACGACGCTTCGTACTCCAGCGAGTCACTGAAACCTCACTCTGAGCTGTCGCAACGACCCTCCTCCCAGGCTCAAGGTGTTTATGGGCAGCAGGAGCAGGCACCGTTGTATCCCGCCGAAAACAACGGCAGACGTGGCCCGCCACAGTCTTACGAGCAACGACAAATGTACAATCAGTCCTACACCGGGAGCGGCGATTATGGCTATGCGGGCAGACCAACCACAGCGCCCAATCAGCAAGGATATGAGAGAAGCATGAGCCCGCTCAATGCTAATTATGCTCCGCCGCGGTCTGCCCACAGCGGATATCCACCACAGCAAGGGTTCCGGCAACAGAACAATTCCAGCCCTTGGCAACGAGGAGCTGGCTATGATTGACTACACTCGGGCGACACGCAAGATGAAAAACAAGGCCAATACCAATCACTTCCTGGTCAAGAACGTCGTGGGAGAATGGAAAACGGGGAGCAGCATGCGGGAAGTGGCTACTGGGATCGCGATTGGTGGAGAGAGTACGGAAAAGATGCCGATCGACCTCAGGGTCCGTTTAGATGAACAATATAGTGAGAATATAATCAGGGCTGTGGGAGAGTCAAGCCAGAAAGAGTAAAAGAAACTTTGATGAGACATGAAATTCTGGCATCCTGGATCTCTTGCGTTTGGGTGTTATTAATGTCCGCTCAGCATGGTGGCAGACTGCAGTGGTGGATTAAAAACAAGACCAAATTTTTCTATCAGGACTCGACGGACGAGACAAGGCGCATAATCGGCATGGCTTGTGGTTCTCAAGAAGCATGGCCGTCATGGGCGAAGCGAAGCGAAGATGTCGACCCTTGACCACGGCCAGTGGATCCAGTTCAACTTGCTGCATACTAAAAAACTGCATGATAACGGCCAGGGAAAGGAAACTATGCGAAGGAAGGGCAACAGGGCATGGAAAGGCGTCTCGAGATTCCAAGATTCTTTGCTTGTGGAAGGTATGGGAGAAAGGGAAATGTACGAGTACGTACTCCACCATGGACTGAAAATACAAATGAATTGAACAACATACTGAGATGATGTCTGTTGTCTGATGACTCTGCAACCGCTGGACTGCGCCGCCAACGTCTCTGTGTGTCGTGTGTCTGTGTTGTTGCTACACTGCCTTTGTCGCGTACGCTTTGGCTCCGGTGCCTGTGTTCAACTTTTGTTTATCAACCTTACTTCAACCTCACTTTGAAGTCGCACTCCCATAACCTTATCTTCTACCACACGGTCTACCTCCCCCGCCTTTCTTTCTTCTATGGCTTTCGTGTCCACCACCTCTTTGCCTCTTGACCATTCGCGCCCATCACCTTTCTTACTTCTTTACTACTCGCGTCAGCCTGTGAATCTCTTCAGTTCTCCGCGGGTTCAAGCGCCTCATATTAAATATGAAGTTGAAAGAAATTCTTGAGGAGGGCAAGCAGAAGTTGGCAGCTCTGAAAGCGGCTGATGGCGACCATGGAGACGATAGTGAGACTGCGCCGCTGCTGCTGAGGGCACCAAGCGACCCAAGCAACAGCAACAACGGGTCAAGAAAGTGGAAAAAGAAAGAGTCGTCGCCATTTCCGTTTCTCGACCTCCCATCCGACATCAGAATCCGGGTCTACGACCTGTTACGAGACATTCCCGAACACGAAGGCGAGCTAGACCGGCACAAGAAGAATAAATACCACGGATTCAGCAAGACACGCAAATCACTGCTCTTGACATGCAAGCAGATCAACATTGAATTCACACCGCATTTCTTCCGCTCGACCACGTTCTGCATCCGCCCTTCTGGCCCTCACACACCGGATGAATTCCACCGTCTCCTGCTAGACATGGATGTTGCGAAACTCAACAATATCCGCCACATCGAGTACCGCAACCGCAAATTCAAACGCGAAGACTTCGACCAGCTCGACAAGCTGCGTGACTACCTGCTCGGGGCCAAGCTGCACCTGCAAACACTCAACATCGTGCACGGCGACTATGCGAGTCGCTTGAGGCCATACTTGCGAGGACCCGTCGCCTTGGCATACCGTGTTGCCCACGCCGATCGAACTCTGCCGGCCCCCAACATGAATTGGGCACCGTTCCTCGGCCTCGAGTGGGGAGAGGTGCTTTCCTCGCTGTACCCGGCCGTGCAGTTCTATTTCTTCGAGGTCTCGGTGTACACTCGCATCATGCCCCAGGCCGAGGTGTTGCGCGAGTATGAGCACAAGGGAGACGGAGCGTTTATTCGTGATGGCACTGGTGGCTTCCGATTGGCTTTTCGTCGTCATCGTCGAGACGTCGATTGGTGGGCCGTTCGGTTCCCTGTTACTGAATACCCGACGCCTATCGATCAGGATTATCTGCCTGATGGCCCGACTTTGACTGGTGTCTTGGGTCCGCTGGTTCCTCCGGGGTTTACTATGGGTTCTACTAGTACGCCCTGACACAAGAGACACTCGGAAAGAGGGGAGACTCGAGTTCAGGGTTTGATGAGGCGATGTTGCGGAGCTGTGAACATGCAGTGGTGATGGTAATGGACGATGACAATTGCAATAGCTGATACATTGGAGTTGGCAAACTTGAAGGCTGGTTGGACATACATTTGCACATGATGGGTGCAAGGAGCTGGTTCTGCACAGAAAAGTCTTTTTGTACCGAGATTCACAATACCGAGGTAGCTAGTTGATCCCAATTCACCCCCAAAAAGCGCAAGAATCTGGTCCAGTTGTCCGTCTCTCTCTTTCTATTTGGGACCGTCTGTTTTGAACGCTGGCCAAAGTGTCAGTGAGGCTGCGAGCCCCTGGATGTGTCGTGCGCAGGCTGTATGCTTGTCTGTAATTCTCTGTTGGCGGTAGTACGGCGCAGTATGTCTGATATATGGCAGACCCTTCCACCTGGATGCCTTCAAGTTCGTCTACCAACTTGAACCGGGGGGACCACAAGAAGGGCTCCATAACCAATGTTCGGTACGGTATTGCTGATATTGGTTTGCTAACGAGGTGCTCCATGCAGGAAAAGAGTCTCAGGCACATGAATAGGGGTAGCATGGACGCCATATTCTCGGATTTGGACGCATCACATACTAGTATTGCCTTACTGGTAGGTTGGCGTTGCATGTGGCCAGTATGCAACAATGGTCTCATCCTGGTGTTCCATGGTTGTCAAAATCACCTCCTCATACTGTACGGGCGGTACGAATTCCCTGGCTCCAGCAGGCCCCTTTTCCAGCCTTTCGAAGGCAGTTGCAGCCATACCAGCACTGCCCTTGTTCGACTCAAGACAACTCAAACTACAAGACGCCGCAAGTCGACATGGTTGGCTTCAATCCCATCGCCATTGCAGACTCAATGCAACCCTGGTACGGCGTGATTTCCACATGCAGTTTCACAATGACTCGGGCAGGGCATCCAAAGGCTTGAACCTGCACGGTTCTTGAGATGCTGCAGGCGCCACTTACGACGCAGGACAATCCGCCAACACACTCCAGATTGTTCTGCATTTCTCTCTTGTGGAATGTTTTCTCTGTGCCCAGTTTCTCTATTCTACCATGCATACTAAAGCCATTGTTTTCCGAATTTGTATCACATTCTTTTGAGCACACAGTCCGTCAGAGGGGTTTCATCGAGCCAAAGCCATTCCGACGCCGAGTCTACCTTTCTTTCATATATCCTGATTCGGTCCGGCAGGCTGTCTTGGTCCAAAGACCGAAGACCGGCTACGCATATTCTGCGAGCTAAGGCTTGAATCAACCGCTGTTCCTGGCACACAATCATCGCCGCCGCTAAGCAGCCTACTTACCTGGTAGTTTCGACAAAACGACGTCCTTGATCAACTCTTCATTGATCAACTCTTCTCGCAGCCTGAATGGCTCACCCTAATCCCAAGCCGGCGAAGCGCCCGGCCACCTCGAGTCCATCTGGGCCATCAGCTCGCGCCCGGCCTAACCCCGCATATATACTTGCGGACTGGCCTCAAGACATCGCAAAGTCGATAGAAGACAACGAGGTGGCTGTGGAGTCAGCAAGTGAGGACGCGCTAGAAGAGGCATCATCGCCTGAAAAGAGCGAGCCGGAAATTGAACCCTTCCGGTTCATGGATCTTTTTCCCGAGCTCAGATTCCACATTTACGACTTCTTCACCGTAATCCCCCCAGAGACAGAATCCTCGATCGAGGAGCGCCGTGAAATCCAGAGAACCAGAAGATCCCTTCTCGGCGTCTCAAAGGATGTTTACAAAGAATGGGCCCCAATCTTCTACTGGAACGCCACGGTCAGAATCACTGGGCCGGAGTGGTTTCCACCAGAAGGGTACCCAATAGACAACCAGTGGCTCGCTGCCGAGGAGGAATTCGAAGAGGAATACATGGCCAAGATTCCCGACTACAAGCTGAAACTCGTCCGGAACCTGACATTTGATCATGTAACTGACTATCATGAAAACCGCGAACAATGGATCAACGCCTTTGGGATCCGCGACTGGGGCGGCTCCGAGATGATCCTGGCCTGGGAAGGCTACCTCACATTGGGGGATATCCTTCGGAAGCACATGAAGAAGCTTCCTTCGGTGCAAAGAGTGGTCTTCTCCATCCGCATCAACCCGCTGTGCAATGACTACCGTTGGTACATCCCAATAGTTGAACGGCCTGATCCCAACGAGATTGTCCTGCCCCATCAAGACGAGATTCTCTGGGGGTTGGATTATACGGGACAATTCGAGATCTTGGAAGACAGATTAATGGGTAACCAGGGTTCTGGCGTGTTGCGTGGGTGGAAGGTGGAGCGGGAGTTTGAAATCAGGCCGGACGAGCGTGCAGAACACACGCAGAACCGTGTCGCGTGTACGTCCGTGACTATCACGTACACACGAGACGATGCAGTCATGCCACGAACAATAGAGGAATGGATTCGATATGGTAAAGACTTGGGTTTAGAGTGAACGCTGGACAACCGGGTTGCTGCTGTCTGGTGGTGAGAATGAGGACTAGAATGAGATATGACTTGGAAGAATAGATATGAATTGAAGTACCTCCACGAGAAGAAGAACCTAGATGCGTACTGGGAACGTTGATTGCAGGTTGACCCAAATTGATTTACCGCAGCGCGACTTAGAGCTGTTCAAACGGACACATTAGAAAGCGGCGATCTTTACTCTGCACGAGACTGTGGGATCCAGGGCCATCACACGGGTTGTTTACATTGCCTCCTACATTTAATGACCGAGTATGGTCATACTTGGTAACACGGAAACGGATACGGGGCTTGACCTGAAGGCATTGAAGAAGAGAAGAGTCGGCAAACTAGCTGCTCTGCTTCAAGTTCAAACCGATACACCCTGTTTCTGCAACATGATCAGGAGACGATGTTTGTCTTCACCATGGATATCTGGTGGCTTAGGTGATTTAATTTACCCTACGCGATGAAAGAGGATAAGAGGACAAGGTATGTTGCTCTGGATCAGGGAATGGATGCTAGTAAAACGAAAGAATGAAAGGGCATTTGATTTGAGATCCAAGCTTGGTCTTGGGACAGATAACTGCGATCCCGTTTCAATGACATTGACTTACAGGTTGTCATTATCATCGTCATCATCATCATCATTACTATCAAAGATATTGATGGGCATACTAGTATTTCACACCAGAGGTCTAGGCTTGTCAACTTTCATCTTCGGAAGCATTCCCAAGGCCGCCATCTCCTGATACATTTGAAAGACTGACTCGATGGTATCGACGAAGCCGGTCCAGCCGAGTCGACGGGCTTTGTTCATGCAGAGACTGCCGAAGCTCGCGAGGGCGGCGTCGCCGAATGTGAAACTCGCCTCGGGGTCGGCGAACGGGTTGTCGCTGACTTGGCCTTGGGAGGGTTGCATGATTTCGGTCTCCCAGATGGTTTTGTTGGTGGGGTTTCGGGCCCAGTCAACGAGGGAGAAGAGGCGGCGGGATATTTTGGGCGGGCCGTAGCTGACGTATAGATTAGTTTAGCCCGATCGTTATTGTACATACGTTGTAGAAGGGGTGATGAAACACAAATTCCAACACTCACCCCATGGGCGTGTCTTTTCCCGATTTGCCCACAATGACACTGTATTTACTTAGATCTTCGTCCGGCGGCTGGACGCCCTTTGCGACACCGAACCAGCGGGCCAATTCCTCGTAGAAGCGGTCCCAGCTCAAGGGGCTGGTGTCCTGGGAATTGAAGGCCTGGTTCTTGCACTTGTCTTCCAGCACCGCCCATTCAGACAAGTAACCCGTCAGCATGGCGGTCGAGTGGTGTGCCTCGAACTGCCAGGCGTCCCAGTCGGCGGGGAACTGCAAGGGTTCGTTTTTATGCGCTTGCACCGCGGCGTAGATGGCAAACGGGTGGAGCGCGTTCATCTGGGCGTTGTTGACGGCTCCTACAATCCAGGCTGGTCGAATCACGTTCCAGCTTGTTTTCTGGGCCGCGCAGTAGGCGAACAATGATTTCTCTTGGGCGTAGTAGAAGTTGGGCTCTAGGTGTGCTGGCTGCGGATCGGACTCGAGGGCGGGAGTGCGGGCACGGCCAACGTGTGTACCGTAGTTCTTCGCTCCCGTCTGTAGCAAGAACCGTCGTGCGGTGATTTTGGATAGAGTCAAGGCGGCCAAAAAGTTGTCCAGGAGCGCCGAGTTGACTTTGACCAGTTCCTCGGCATTCGACCATGCCGCTGCCCCTGGTGGTGGTCGAGGTTGTACATATGAGTAGAAGAAAATGTAGTCGGCTTGGAGGTTGGCCGCGGTCATGGCGCTGGCTATTTTGCCCGGTTCGTCCAGGAAGTCGACTGCCACGTGCTGGACTCGGGCCCGTTGCGATTCCGAGAGCAATGCCATCATCTTCTCTGGCGGTGGTCGCCGTGATAGAGCGTACACTTTGCTCCAGCGCTCGGGACTTTCAAGCAGAACGCGCATTGTGTGGAAGCCCGAAATGCCGTTGGCTCCGGTCACTATGGCTGTTAAACCTTTGATCGATGGGTCGAACGTCGGCAGGTTGCGGTAGAGTCCATTGTGGTGGACGGGATGATGCTCCGATCCCATCTTGTCAATAGAGTATCAACAACTTAAGAGCAGGTTATCCTTGAGGAGGCAGTGAAGGATGGGTTCGAGAGAGTACAATGGTGACGGAGAGCGGTGATGACAAGAACAACAGCAACAATAGAGCAGTGGGACTGTTGACACGTCCACCTACCGTATGTTTGTTCTCAGAGTGTCTCCAACTGCGCATTACAAAGCATATACATCTGCGCTCGGAGACCTAGGCAGGGACGATAGGTACCGGTAAGCGTTGTGTGTCCCGTCAGCAGGCTGATAAATCCATGGAGGAGAGAGGCGGGGTTTTCGGTAGATATCATGATTGATCGGCCGAGTCGGCTCAATGCCTTTGGAGAAGAATTTCGTTGCTTCCATCGCCATGGAAGACAAGAGCAAAGCCGACCCAATGAAATCTCCGAGTGACCGGTCAGACACCATCTGAATGATATCCAACTGCAGTGGGAGAGCAGGTTGTTGTCGTCCAGCAAACGGAGAGGGAGACAATCTTCAATGCTCGGCAAACTTTCCCGCGTGCAAAATAGAATGTCCTAGCACGGTGAAGCATACATCCCCCGCAGCGCTGCGGTAGTGTATTACTGCTTCACCGGGATCTTTCTTTCCCTAACTTAGACGCGGTTACGTCGAGGGGCCTACGGTGCAATCGGCCTCAGACAGAAGTTCATGTCAACAATCCGCCGACAGAATACTTATCAACCACCTCTAGCATTGAAAGTCTGACCGATACTTCCTTGGCTGTGTGCTGCCACCATGCTAAACTGGGAGTCCTTCGACTCCGTGTTTTCAACCAAATCAGACTATGCCTTCGACCACAAGACGGTTGAGTCGATCCTCAGACACCGCAAGGAATTCGGTGACCAGTTGTTTTTCGATCGCATCTGGAAGTCGGTTAATAACTCGACGCGTCGTACGTGATTGAATCCCGTTGCAGTCATGCTCAGCTAACAATGTCCAGCCGCAAGAATAAACTACCCTCCCAGATCTAACCAAGACTTGCGAAATCTGTGGTCCAAGATCGCGCAAACCACCGCTCGAGAAGAATACAAACTCTCCCTGCTCTACTACATCCTGCGCGACTGTCGTCAACTAAGCAATGCCGACACCAACTTCGCCCGGCAGACATACCTTCCTCAGAAATTCCAGCTGCTGATCGCAGGGTTATGGGAACTCGACCACGCTCAGTTCTCCCGTGCCTTGGAATTTCTCACCGATCCCTCCCTGATACCCACTTACACAGACGAGATCCTCCTCGCCCTGATCAGACATCCCAAATGCGACTCCTCATTAGCCATGGCATACTACATCGCCGTGTCTCCGCCTCTGAAAGATCGGGAGACCCTGGAGGCATACTTCGGTCTCCTTCTGGAAAACAATCTGGTGGAAGCATACTATTTCGCCCAGAGTCAAGATGACTCACGACACAAGACTCTTTTCGAGCAACTGATTGTTGCGGTCCATCGCGAGAAAGCCAGCGAGGCTCGTGCCGAGCAAGCCGCTCTGTTGGTTGGATTACCATTCACACCTGAAGAGGAGGCCTGGTTCGAAGAATGCCTATTACGCGGTGCTGCATCCAAATACCCTGGAGCGAGAGACTCTGTCATGGCACGAAGAATTGCAACAGGAAGAGAAACATCCGCTGGCGATGCGCTGAACAGGCTGAAAGGAGAAGATATTGGAGGCGTGAGTTGGGATTCTGTCAAGACTGCCATTGCCGATGCCGCTCCAAGATGAAGACAATAATAATCGAGCAATGTAAGCTCACGGTCTAGAGCCCATGGATTTGACACATCGGAGAACAGATTTCGATATGGTCTCATAATGGGGGCTGAGCTTGTCAGTGCCTTGAACGGTTACTACCTTACTGGCTGCATGTGCTATATCAGGTCGCTGGCGACCAATCGGGCCATGACAACCAGGCACGTCAATCTGGCTGACTTGCCTCAATGAGGCTGGACTCGAGTCGACTTGGCGGTTGCAGTTCCTGTTCCTGCGGATCCTCGAGGCTCTAAGCATCGACTAATCCAGAACCAATCATGGTCTCCACACAACCATCGACTCGGTGCTTCGCATCCAAACAGTAGAATTCCAGGAATACACCACGGTCTTGAGATCCCACGCAGAAATTGGAATCTAGGCAGACGCCAAAGAACTTCGCAACAAGCACGAATCGACGCTTATTGTTACGGTTCGACCAATCGGGCGGAAAGGGCCCGCGGTTTCTGTGACGGCGCCGACGACATTGGAAGGACCAAAGTAGCTCCATAACGAAATCACAGCGTCGAAATCTCGCCAAATCTGAGGCGTCGACCTCATAACGGGCTCGCTTGTAACTAGTCAACGGACACGATGAGCAATACACACTCAGGAATGGTCCGGGATCCCCCCGGTCAATGACAAGAATGGCACTCTTAAACAGAACCGGCATGCCTCGTCCTTGCCAGCTCACTGTTTGCACCATGGTGCTGTCAATGGCGCTCTTTCTACTCTTCCTCCTCTCACTGGCGGCTGCTGTTGCATCGAAAGAGACAGTAAACCTTGATTATGCATCGTATAAAGGAGTGAAGCAATCCAACGGCATCACGCAATGGCTGGGAATGCGATACGCCGCACCCCCTGTCGGCAATCTGAGGTTTGCTGCTCCTCAGGATCCGCCAGTCGTTGATGGTGTACAAAGAGCAGACAAGGTATGATATAACTTGTCTGGCCGGTTGTGGCTCTTAATAACCGGTTTCCAGCATGGCCATATCTGTATAGGTACCGGTGACAGTCCCAAAAACCCCTCCGAATCAGAAGACTGTCTCTATATTGATGTCTACGCCCCGTCTCACACAACCGTCGAATCAAAGCTTCCGGTCTACTTCTTCATTCAGGGTGGCGGGTTCAACTATGATGCCAATGCAAACTACGATGGCCCGGGCTTGATCGCCGCTTCAGGTCATCAAATTGTGGTCGTAACCTTCAATTACCGGGTTGGGCCTTATGGCTTTTTGGCCAGTCGTCAAATTCGAGATGCCGCTGGCGCAAGTCTGAACAACGGTCTGAAAGACCAGAGGAAAGCACTCGAATGGGTACGGAAGTATATCCATCTATTTGGTGGTGATCCTGAACATGTCGTGCTTGGAGGAGATTCTGCCGGTGCTACCTCAGTTGCCCTACAGCTCACAGCTTTTGGTGGTCGGGATGATGGGCTGTTTGTTGGGGCTGCTCTCGAGTCTGTCAGTTTTGCTCCAATGCTGACGGTCGAAGAGAGCCAGTATCAGTACGACAATCTCGCTGCACGCCTCGGGTGTGCTAGTCAACCAACCAAGACCGACGACGACAGTCTGGCTTGCTTGCGTTCGAAAAGCACCGGCGAACTCCAAGCCCACAACCATAATATTCCATACCCTGGAGCCCATAAACCCCCTATATTCATGTGGAACCCCGTCCTCGATCACGATTTCATCCGGAACCTCACCTATAACGCCTTTGACTCGGGGTCATTTGTTCGCGTTCCTGTCATCTCAGGAGACGATACTAATGGTGGGACAATTTTCACCCCTCGCAAGACATCCAGTCGCTCACAGTCCGAGACTTTCCTCCACAACCAGTTCCCACATCTGACGGCCGAACATTTGCAACAAATCAGTGAACTCTACCCGAATAACGGTCCTTACTTCCCCAACACGGGTTCCTGGTGGCGACAGGTCTCTGACGCATACGGTGATTTGCGCTACATGTGTCCGAACCTCTTCATTTCTAGTACCCTGTCTCGGCACGGATTAAAAGGAAACTGGAACTATCGGTACAACGTGGAAGATCCGACACAGGTGGCACAAGGTCTGGGCGTACCGCACACTGTGGAGCTTGCTGCCATCTGGGGCCCAGAGAACGTTCGAGGCGGGGTGCCTGCAAGTTATCGAGAGGGCAAGTCGAATGCCTGGATCGTTCCTGTCATGCAAGGCTATTGGACGAGCTTTGTCAGAGCACTAGATCCCAATGTCCATCGTGCTGATGGAGCACCAGTGTGGGAGGAGTTTGCTCTAAGCAGAACAGAAGAACACTGGGCTCGATTGCTCTTCGATAAGCCTCACACAACGGGGATGGAGACGGTCAGCGCAGACACACGGTCGCACTGCCAATATTTTAGGGGGATTGGTGTTGAAATTCGACAATGATCTTATGCCTCATTGGAGGACCATCTGGAAGGACGCGCAGGGCAGCTCTAGGGCTCACCTCAACGATCACGACTGAAGAAGTTGGCTTCAACATCGACTGGAACAGCTACATTGCAACAATCCTGCCGCAAGATCATCTCTGCAGCACCTGTTTGGTTATTAAGAGGAGTGGTTACCAGATCGCCAGACATCTCAACTCTATGCTTTCACGCGGCTCCTCATTGCCGGTATCTGGTAAATCGACGCTGCTGTGAAGAGTGCCTCCTGCGGCGACGGTGTCTTTGTCACGATCAGAGTCAAACAGGCCTATGACCAGGACCTCTTCGGGCTCCTGTTTGGATATGAAGTGCCATTTCTGACCTGGCGACCAGTGGGCAAGATAACTCTCAGAGTCGTGGGTGGTAGTCTCGCCAGGGATCCCCAGGTTTGGCGTCTTGATCATGACCGGCACATAATCATCCTCAAGAAACGTACGGGCGTCGCCTAATGCAAGTGGGTCTCGATCCACCCGCTTCAATGGCCGCCAGATGGAATACAACGCCCAACGCGGACCCAATCCAGATGCTGCGTACTCCTCAGGCAACGACTTGCCCTCGGAAAGCAGCTTGTCCTCGGCGGAGATGATGTCCTTGGCCGCTTTTGTCATCGTCGGGTGGTATTTCCGCAAATGTGTCCGGGCACCATTGGGTGCGTAGTCCAGGTGGACTTTGGGTGCGGGACTGACACCGCCGTTCTTGGGGGAGAAGCCGATGAACTGCGGAAAGCCCAGCTCCAGCTCCTCGTCTTGAGGCACTGTTTCTTCCTGCTTCTGCCCATGTCCTGCATGAGTTGCCAATGCGTCTTCCTCCGACCACACGGCGCTACGCAACAGCAGAGCCTCGGTGATGACAGTCTTAGCGCCCGTGATCTGCTTGACCATCTCCTCCGTCTCAGGCACGTATAGCTCCCTCAGAAGCCTGGGGTTCTTCCAACTCTCTCGAGTATATGGGGCTGAGTTCATCGTTGTCGGGTGCCGCACTGCGGTGAACCCATGGGTGGAAAGTTGGGCGGTGCCTTCTTTGGCGGTAGGCAGTTCTGCCACTGTGGGCACAGGACGCAAGTCGATGAGCGGTTGTAGACGCACGTCACTAAACTCGGCCATTGCCGGCAGGTGGAAATTGTGCGGCGACGCAGTTGGCGTCTGTCCGCGGGGAATGAAGCGCAGCTTGCCATAGTATTGAGACTCAGACAAGGCGGCGGAGGAAGGGATGGTGGTGATGGTGGTGGTGGTGGTGGTGGTGGTGGTGGTGGTGGTCACCGCTGCCGTGGCGGACATCTTGGAGCCAGATCTGGAAGAGCTCTCGCGGCAGAAGAAAGCAGAACGTCCTCCGTCGTGAGAGAGAGGTGTTCTCAGCGTGAGAAGTCAGATGCAGTGAGATGTACCTTAGGTAGGTACACTGGCAGAAGTTATCTGCCTGATACGCGGGGGTGTACACTTACCACTGGCATTGGCTCGATAAGACGGGATAGGACTACCTCCCTACCTAGGTCCCATGCAGCGTGTACGTTAGTTCGATACTACTACTAGCCGGCTGTGGTCCTTTGAGACGAACAGGTTAGATGAAGCATCTGCACAATATCTTGTGTCTTGACGCCTTATCAACAACGGTCGCAAGAGTTCAACCCCGCAGCATCTTCGAGTTCTGCTGAACACTGATATGGTTCTTTTCCCGTTTGGGTCACGGAGAGGGAGAGGAACCGACTTACCACTAGACAACCACTGCAGTGCGCGTCTACAACGACACCCACTGGTCCCACATTGAGAAACGACCTACGCATCATTTATCCTTCCCAATCTGCTCATACCTTCAATTTGTCACCAAGCCTAAGGCCGCCTCGGGCTTCTGACTGGCACGCTGCTACCCCCTCTCTCCAGCAAGGGACGTAGCAAGCATGAAAGGGCACAACGCATAACACCATCCATCTGTTGGAAGGCATCCTGTCGATGTTGAGGACGAGGCACAGTGGCTGCAATTGCAAAGCCCCTGGTTACCTACGCATTATTAGGCTGATGTGCTCAGATACAGCGGGACGGACTGCCACTACTACAGAATATGGGACATGCGGACTTCGAAATCCGGGGGTAGACTTTGGTAGACCGTCAACCATGATGCTGGGACCTTGATTGATCTCATGATATTTTGGTGGCTCTTCACATGCCATTCACCAATGGCTGTTCCAGCTACATGAGGGATTTGGGACAGTGAGAACGCTATGATTGCAAGCGGTATGCCCTGTGAACGTCTGTATCCGGCCACTCACTCGCTGACTGATAGATCTTACCGTGATGGCGGATACAGCCAGGCTTGGTAGATCCGGTGACAGGAATCAGAAGAGACCATACACTGTACCACAGAAACCGAGGCAGGGAACGTACGTAAACATGGAAAGACAGGTGAGCTTCTCAAAGACTGTTAGGTGGAATGACACCACGATGGCATACAACTGGACCAAACTCTGAGATGGAAGCTCTTGAAATAATAAATATCGTGGTCATCAACACACATCCAGAAAAGAAGCCGACACCGCCGACTTGTAGATCTAGATCTGGATCTCCAGATGTTGTATCTGACAGTTACAGTCGTACTGGAGCAGTATTAAAATAACTCTCTCCGTGGCGAGTGGTGCCGGGACAGCTACAGTAGCAGCTAGCACATTATTGCGGTGCGACGCTGGAAGTACAATCCCTGGGAGAGTGGCCGGAATTCTCCCTGGGCGGTAGCTTATGCAAACCTTGTGCTTGTGCTAGGAACTGGTTGTACATAGTATAGCACTATGATAGTCTGTCATCCTGGATCCGGATTTCTTCGGCAGTGGCTGGTGCAGCGCTTTTCCGCATCCAGCTGTATATCGGCTCATCCTCAGACCACTTTGCAAACCCATCAGCGAATCGTGTCTCCGAATTCTCACATGCTTCATCCATCGCTCGCCTCTTTTTCCCCTGCCGACGTCTCCTGACCCAGTCACCCAATCATGCACCTGAGCGTCTGTCAGGTCCTCCATTTTATCAGACTCTGGCATTACGATAGAACCGATCGAGTCGGCGTCCTCAAATCCGACCGGGGCCTCCGCCGCACCCATGTACCAGCTATCCGTCGGTGGTCCAAGCTCCACAGGAGCTCCCTGAACTTGAAGCTCCCTCGAGAGCTCACAAGCTGATCCCCAGCAACCCTCTTCCTAAGTGGTCCCAATTCCCACCCAAGTCCCCTCCTCTATACACAAGTATGAGCTGTTTCCCCGGCCTCAACAGTTCAGCCTGACGATGCGGGCTTCACGGATCTTTGTCTCCCGTCCTCTGCTCTTGCGCCACGTGCATTCAGGCTCTCCTCTGGCGGTAAAGCTCGACCGGAGAAGCGATGCCCGGGCCCATGCCAGACCGATGCCAAAAAAGAAGCTAGCCGGTTGCTACACTGCTACCAACCGGAGGTACGTACAGTGTATCGGTAACTTGTTGGGCCGCAGGCTGGACTGGCCTCTGGACTAGCACTTGGTGGCTCTGGGCAGGGTTCGCCGCGGTCGGATCATGATGATAGTGATTTTCACTGATGGGCGATGGCTGCGATAACGAGTGGCAGACGGCCCATGCCGTGCTTCTGTCGACGTAACAGGCTCCGTCCGTGGTAGTGGCTAGGTTGGACCTGTGGAGAGCGTGGTTTGAAGTCAACATCACTAGTCAGCAATGAGAGCAATAGTGAAACTATCTTGCGTAGTTGCTGTCCGGCGCTGATGTCGCTCAGGCACAGCGGACGGCCAGAGTAGCCAGAGTACCTTGACTTGAGCTACTCGTATTCGACAGTATATAGTTCTTGCTCTTTCGTCACTGACTCCCTCTCCCTCATCTCCCGCCCTGCATATATTTCCTCCTTCTACTCTAACATCCCTCCATACAAACCAAACAGTCTCCTCCATCGACCGTCTACCCGAGCCATCTCTTGTCGTTGCCCAGATCCGTCACCATGGCTCCCGCAGCCGATGCCGACCTCTCCGTTGAGAGCATCTCGCCCTACGGAAAGGCCCGGGCCACTGTCCAAGAGACGGTCATTAGCGATGAGGAGGTCAAACAAATCGACGACTACATGCGGGCCAGTTTGTACCTGTGCTTGGGTATGCTGTACCTCCGACGAAACCCGCTTCTCAAAGAGCCATTGAAAGTCGAACACCTGAAAGCCCGTCTGCTCGGGCATTGGGGTTCGGATGCTGGCCAGATCTTCACATACGTGCACATGAACCGGCTGATCAAGAAGTATGATCTGGACGCCCTCTTCATCTCCGGCCCAGGACACGGCGCTCCTGCGGTCATTTCCCAGTCGTATCTGGAAGGTGTCTACAGCGAGGTCTACCCAGACAAGTCGGAGGACGAGGATGGCCTCCGCAAGTTCTTCAAGCAGTTCTCATTTCCTGGAGGCATTGGCAGTCATGCCACCCCCGAGACCCCAGGCAGTTTGCACGAGGGTGGAGAGCTGGGTTACTCTATCTCACATGCGTTCGGCGCCGTCTTCGACCACCCAGATCTGATTGCAGTGACCATGGTTGGTGATGGTGAGTCTGAGACCGGCCCACTCGCAACCAGCTGGCACAGCACCAAATTCCTCAACCCGATCACCGACGGTGCAGTCCTCCCGGTTCTGCATCTGAACGGCTACAAGATTAACAACCCTACTGTCCTCGCCCGTGTTAGTCACAAAGAATTGGAGGCTCTCTTTGTCGGCTACGGCTGGACTCCATACTTTGTCGAAGGAAGCGACCCCATCTCCATGCACCATGCCATGGCTGCCACGCTCGAGAAGTGTGTGACCGAGATTCGAGCATACCAGAAGAAAGCCCGTGAATCCGGCAAAGCTTTCCGCCCCCGATGGCCCATGATTGTCCTGCGAAGCCCCAAGGGATGGACTGGCCCCCGCACCGTCGACGGCCACTACCTGGAAGGCTTCTGGAGGTCTCATCAGATCCCGGTGGCAGATGTCGCCAGCAATCCCGAACATCTCAAGTTGTTGGAAGACTGGATGAAGAGCTACACTCCCGAGAAATACTTTGGGGAAGATGGCAAGTTCAGTCCAGAACTCCGGAAGCTGGCTCCTGAAGGCAACCGCCGCATGAGCGCCAACCCGGTCGCCAACGGCGGATTGATCAAGAAGCCCCTCCATTTGCCCGATTTCCGGGACTACAAGATCGACGTCCCCAGAGGCGGTACTACCGAAGCGCCCAGCATGTCCAACATGGCCCTGTTCCTGCGTGATGTCATCGAGAAGAACCAGACCAATTTCCGTCTCTTTGGCCCCGATGAGACCGAGTCGAACAAACTCGGTGCCATCTACAAGGCTGGAAAGAAGGTCTGGCTCGGTGAATACTTTGAGGAAGACAAGGATGGCGGCAACTTGGCCTACGAAGGTCGCGTGATGGAAATGCTCAGCGAGCACACGGTTGAGGGTTGGCTGGAAGGCTACGTGCTGTCTGGTCGTCATGGACTGTTAAACAGCTACGAACCTTTCATCCACATTATCGATTCCATGGTGAACCAACACTGCAAGTGGATTGAGAAGTGCCTTGAGGTCGAATGGCGTGCCAAGGTTGCCTCGCTCAACATCCTGTTGACGGCGACGGTCTGGCGTCAAGACCACAACGGCTTCACCCATCAAGATCCCGGTTTCCTCGATGTGGTGGCCAACAAGTCTCCCGAAGTGGTCCGCATCTACCTGCCTCCTGATGGCAATTGTCTCTTGTCCACCATGGACCACTGCCTGCGAAGCAGCAACTACGTCAATGTCGTTGTTGCCGACAAGCAAAACCATCTGCAATATCTCGACATGGAAGCCGCCATTGAGCACTGCACCAAGGGTGCTGGCATCTGGGACTGGGCCTCCAACGACCAAGGCGAAGAGCCGGACCTGGTCATGGCCTCGTGTGGTGACGTGCCGACCATGGAATCGCTTGCTGCCACTGCTCTGCTACGTGAATACATCCCCGAATTGAAGATCCGTTTCGTCAACGTGGTCGACCTGTTCCGACTGATCCCTCACGGTGAGCATCCTCACGGTATGAGCGATGGCGAGTTTACCTCGCTGTTCACCGATGACAAGCCAGTCATCTTCAACTTCCACTCTTACCCATGGCTCATCCACCGCTTGACTTACCGCCGCAAGGGTCAGCACAACTTGCACGTCCGAGGATACAACGAGAAGGGTAACATTGATACTCCTCTGGAGTTGGCCATCCGCAATAAGACCGATCGATTCTCTCTTGCCATGGATGCCATTGATCGGATGCCCAAGCTGGGCAACAAGGGTGCATGGGCACGTGAAAAACTCCTGAACGAGCAGATTAAGTGCAAGAATGAGGCTTTCCACGAGGGTATTGACCCTGAATACATCCGCAAATGGGTCTGGCCTTACTAGACGGACCTGACCAAGAGTGTGCTGGTGGGTAACTTTTGCCAGGTGTGCACAGCCTGTGATGGCGGGAAAACATGCTGGTCTGCCACTACCAGTATACAGTACGGCTGGTTTGTGATAGAGCTTGGTAGCCATGTAATGGAATGAATTGTACCGTGAAAGAGTCATGCTCTTGAAATGGTTTTATCCATGAAATTAGGCCAAACAGCGTGTTCTTCCCTTCTTCCGTATCACTGCATACCAGGTACTTACCTATGGAGGCGATTTTGATGTACCTTTCAAGGCGCAGCAGTGCGGTGATATAACTGGAGTGGTTTTCAGCTTGAAGCGGCGGGACGCCCTCATCGGCCAAAACTAGGTCTAACCATATTGGTACTGGTGGCACTAATTACCCTCGGCACGCTAAACTGCTTCAGTCACCATCAACAAATACATACTACGACGGACAAGTGATCTCTTCAACGTTCCGCATTTGAATGTAGGGTTTGGTTTGAATAGTCCAGAAACGATAAAATCGGCACGGCCATTTCACGGTGGCAGACGGACGGTTCGAATCCGGCGCCTCCTATATTGTGAACAGACATGGCATCCGGATCGCCAGTGCGGCCCTCGCGGCGCGCGGCGCGCAAGACATTCGTGGTCGAGGATGATTCCGACGACGAACTGAGCCTGGTCAAAGAAGAAGAGAACGATAACGACGAAGAATTTACTCCGGCTCCCAAACGAAGCCCGCGGAAATCTACTGCCAGGCGACAAACGATGGGGACAGTGGGCAGCGCGACGCCCAGGAAGTCCACAACACGACAGCGAAAGGTCAAGACGGGCGAAAACATCGAACCCTCTCAGATATTTGATCCAGAACAAACCATGGCGCCCAGTGAACCGCCGTCTTCGCCCACAAAGAGTCCATCGCCGCGCAAGCAGCGCAAGAGTACCACTGGCGCTCCTCGAAGAGGAGGGCGCAGGTCATCGGCAACACCGCCCGTGCCTCCGCTACCTGCCATGACGAATGCGAATGCGACCGAACTCCTGGAGCAGAATCGATCTAGTACATCGACACCCCTGAAAGACATCACCACCAAAGCCCTGAACCAGAGTGCGGTGCGGCCGCAACAGTTAGACTTAAAGGACTCGGCGCGCCCGATGATGGTTGCGCCGTTAGAAAAACCGATGGACATTGTCATCCGAGCAAGAGCACAAGCACAAGCCGCGCCGGCCGTGGTGGAAGAGCCAACAGGCCCCAAATCACGCATGGTCATCCGGCAACTGGTGATGAATAACTTCAAGAGTTACGCCGGTAGACAGGTGGTTGGACCGTTCCATGCCTCCTTTTCCGCCGTCGTCGGGCCCAACGGGTCCGGCAAATCCAATGTCATCGACTCGCTGCTGTTCGTGTTTGGATTCCGTGCAAGCAAGATGAGACAGGGCAAGATCTCCGCCCTGATCCACAACTCGGCCCAACATCCAGACCTCGACTACTGCGAGGTCGAAGTCTATTTCCAGGAAATTGTCGACTTGCCGGGCGGCAAGCATGAAGTCGTGCCTGGTTCGGACTTGGTGGTTTCAAGGAAGGCGTTCAAGAACAATTCCAGCAATTATTATCTGAACGGCCGCACCACCAACTTTACTACGGTGACCACGCTTCTAAAAGAAAAGGGAATCGATCTGGACCACAAACGCTTCCTTATTCTACAGGGTGAAGTCGAGTCGATCGCTCAGATGAAACCAAAAGCCGCCAACGAGCATGACGATGGTCTCTTGGAGTATCTGGAAGACATCATCGGGACGTCCAAATATAAAACTCCTATCGAAGAAGCTGCCGTCGAGCTGGAAAGCCTGAACGAAGTTTGCATCGAGAAACAGGGGAGAGTCCAACATGTGGAGAAGGAGAAGAACAGCCTCGAAGACAAAAAGAACAAAGCGCTAGCTTTCATTCGTGATGAAAATGAGCTGGCAGAAAAACAATCGGCATTGTATCAGATTTATATTGCCGAATGCGAGGATAATGCCAAAGTCACTGAGGAGGCCATCGAAGAAATACAACAGCAGCTCAGTGCGGAACTGGAAAAGCACGCCGGAAGCGAAGATACGATCCAGCAGCTGGAGAAGGCTTACAGCAAAGCCGTCAAGCAGTATGAAAGCATCCAGAAACAAGCGCAGGAGTTCGCAAAGGAATTGGCAAAGTACGACAAAGAGAACGTCAAGTTCGAGGAGAAACGCAAATTCATCACCGGCAAACAAAAGAAGGCCGAAAAGGTCGCCCAATCGAGTCGATTGACTGCTTCGGAGGCGCAGAGCCTGGTGGAGAAATATACAGACGATATTCAACGCAAGAGTGCCGAGGTGGCAGAGCTCGAGAAAGAAATGCAGCGCGAGGAACAAGAACTTGCAGTGATCCGAGAAAACCTGAAAGGAAAAACTCAGGGCTTGTCCGACCAGATAGCGGCCAAACAGAAATCGCTGGAGCCGTGGAATGCAAAAATAAACCAGAAACAGTCCGCCATTGCCGTTGCACAGTCGGAACTCGACATTCTCAAAGAAAAGGCTACCAGTGGCCAAAAGGCCATCGACCAGGGCAACGCAAAAATCGAGAGCATCGAAGCCAACAGAGAGGAAAAGCTGCAGGAAATCGAACAGCGCAAGTATGAAAAGGCTCGACTGGAAAAGGATGTGAGAAAGATCCAAGACGCGCTTCAGAAACTCGCAGCCAGCGAACCTGACGTGCGTGCCCAGATTTCCTCGGCTCGCCAAAAGGCAGATGAGGCACGCGCCAGTCTGGCGAGCAGCCAAAATCAGAGCAATGTGCTCAAGGGACTTTTGCGGCTCAAAGATTCGGGTCGAATCGACGGTTTTCATGGACGGCTGGGGAATCTGGGTACGATTGACGAGAGGTACGATGTGGCCATCTCGACTGCTTGTCCGGCATTGGAGAATATGGTGGTCGACAACGTCGAGGTCGGTCAGCAATGCATCGAATACTTGCGCAAAAACAACCTTGGACGCGCCAACTTTATCTTGCTGGACAAATTGGCAAAGCGAGATCTTTCTCCTATCCAAACACCGGAAAATGTGCCTCGACTTTTTGACCTGATCAAGCCTAAAGACCAACGGTTTGCGCCTGCCTTTTATAGCATCATGCAGAACACGTTGGTTGCAAAAGATCTGGAACAGGCCAATCGTATTGCATATGGGGCTAAAAGGTGGCGCGTAGTTACTCTGGACGGCCAGCTGATCGATGTGTCTGGTACAATGAGCGGTGGCGGCACGCGCGTTGCTCGAGGTGCAATGTCGTCGAAACTGTCCTCCGACACCAGCAAGGAACAAGTCCAGCAGCTCGAAGGTGAACGAGATCAGCTGGAGAGACAGTTTGAAGCCTTTCAAGGTAGACAGAGGGAACTCGAAGCCAGCCTCCGAGAAAAGCAGGAAGAGATCCCAAGGCTAGAGACAGTCATTCAGAAAATCAACCTGGAAGTGGAGACGTGCACAAGGAACCTCGCCGACGCCCAGAAACGTGTCCAGGATCTTATTGCGGAACTCAAGACCTCTTCTGCGGACGATTTCCAGATCAAAGCTTTGGAGAAGCAGATCGCCGTCATAAACAAGGAGCTTGACGAGTTGCACTCCGAGACGGCCACTTTGGAAGCTGAGATCCAGGCTCTACAAGACAAGATCATGGAAGTCGGCGGTATCCAGCTCCGTAGTCAGAAGGCGAGAGTCGACGGCTTGAAAGAGAGAATCGACATGTTGAACGACGACATATCGAATGCCGAGGTGGCCCGGACGAAGAACGAAAAGCTGAAGATCAAGAATGAAAAGGCAAAGGCCGACGCGGAAAAGGAGCTTGAATCACTGGCTAAGGATGCTGAACGACTGGAAGAAGACCTCGAGAGACATGAATCCGGTGCTGGAGAACTGGGAGCCAAGGCAGACCAGGTTCAAGAAGAACAAGAGTCGATGAAAGAAGAGCTTGCCGCGTTGAAGAAAGACCTCGACACTCAAACCTCGGAATTGAACTCGACCAGGGCCATTGAAATCGAGATGAAGAACAAACTCGAAGAACACCAGAAAATTTTGGCAGACAATAACAAAAAGAGCCGTTACTGGGCCGAGAAGTTGTCCAAGCTGGCCTTGCATGATATCGCCGACTTGGAGGGCATCACCGAGGGGCAAGATGAACAAACCTCATCCGAGCAAGAACAAGAACAACAACAGCAGCAGCAACAGTCCAACGAAGATGAAGATGCGGAAATGACAGACATTGCACAGGAAGATCCCGACGCAATGGACGTCGACGAGGAAGAGCAGCAGCAGCAAGTTGAACAGACCGAGCACGAGCCAGCCTCGGAAGTAAGACGGGCACGACGCCAACTGCAAATGTTCACCCGTGACGAACTCCTAGACAAATCCAAAGACCACCTCGTGGCATCGATTGCGGCATTGGAAGAAAAAGTCTCGAACGCCTCGAGTATCGACATTTCCGTGATAGCCGAATATCGTCGGCGGTGCGAGGAAGTGGCCAGTCGAACCTCCGACCTCAAAAGCGCAGTCAAGACGCGCGACGCCGCCAAAACCCGTCTCACGGATCTTCGTAACCTTCGTCTCACGCAGTTCATGACGGGCTTCACCACGATCTCCTCCCATTTGAAATCAATGTACCAGCTGATCACGCTGGGAGGCAACGCCGAACTCGAGCTGGTCGACAGTCTGGATCCGTTTTCCGAAGGGATTCTGTTCTCCGTCATGCCGCCCAAGAAGAGCTGGAAGAACATTGGCAATTTGTCCGGCGGCGAAAAGACGTTGAGTTCCTTGGCGCTGGTGTTTGCGCTGCATGTTTACCGGCCCACGCCGTTGTATGTCATGGACGAGATTGATGCCGCGTTGGATTTCCGGAATGTAAGTTTGACTAACTCAGTACTCTGTTTGCTGCGTTGTCGATAATCATGTGGAAAGTTACTGACGTGTATGTGTAATGGTAGGTCTCCATCGTGGCAGGATATATCAAGGAACGGACCAAGAATGCGCAGTTTATTGTGATATCGCTCCGGAATAACATGTTTGAATTGGCGGAACGGCTGGGGGGGATTTATAAGGTCAACCATATGACGAAGAGTGTTACGGTCGAGAATCGTGATTATCTTGCCATGAGTCGGCAGCAACAGCAGCAGCAACGCCACCAACAACAACAACGGGAGCAGCCGCAGCAGCAACAACAAGCACTTGAAGAACAAGAAGCGCGTCGTGAACGAGAGCGAGAACGACAACAGCAACAGCATGAGCAAGAACGGCGGCGACAACAGCAACGCGAACACGAACTCAAACAGGAACATGAGCAACAACATGAACAGCAAGACCTTGAACAAGAGGAGTTGGACTTGCAAGACCAATTGCAGCTGGAGTTGGATAGTCAATTACAATGATTGACAATGGCAGTTTTGTTACTAGTTTCATGAGTGCTGGGGACGGACGGATCGCCTTTCTGGTGCGATGCATGGCAGAGACATCGAGGTCGGCGGCAAGGGATTACATTAATGACTTGAATCGATGATTGATTAAATCAAGAAACCAGCCAGGTACCTACCTATAGTTCCTGTAGTGTACTATACCGTGCATCATTTATATTTATCTGGTTCTCAAGCGACAGAACACTTAATTATTCTTGTCGGTTTATTCTGATTTTCGATGGATTTATAGTCCTCTTTACGTTCACCTTATGACATGCGTCACATGTCCCTGACCCGCTAATACAGGTCGTATGAAGTATAACTTCAACTTTTCCCACAGGACAAGCACAAGAAGAGACAAGCCTGCAAGGATGATTGATTGATTGATTGATTGATCGGTTTATCTTTTGGTGGCGGTATATTGAACTCGGTGACAGGCAATGCACTGAAATGAGCTGCGCTGGGCTATAACTACCTTATGCTACCTGTTATCAGACGTTCCATGTCTGTCCCCCTTCTCACCCCAGGCGGAAGAGTTTGTCCTTTCTCTTCAATCCTCTCGACGAGGAACACGGCCCCAGACCTCGTCAACATCCTTCTTCCCCTTCGTCTCCGGAACATACCAACCAACGAAAACAAAAAAGACAGCAGCCAGGCCCGCAAAGATGAAATAAACCACCCCCTTGCCCAACCACTCATTGACCATAGGGAAAAACTGGGCGACCACAAACGTAGAGATCCAGTTGGCCGCAAGGGCCCATGACTGAGTAGCACCCACGGCCTCTGGGCCCACGAGTTCCGAGGCCAGAATGAATGGCACGGGGCCCAGACCTAGAGCAAAACTCGCGACGAACAGCAGCACGCTGATGGCGGACAAGACGGAAATGGCGGAGCGGATGCCGATGGCTAATAGGACGGACGACACGCCCATGCCGCCGATCGAGGCCAGGAGCACGGGTTTCCGACCAAGCACGTCGGCCAATGGTGCAAATCCCGTCGTGGCCACCACGTTCAACACACTCACCAAAATGTTGAGGAGGGCTGAGTTGCTCTGGAGTAGGTCTGCGAGAAGTGATACTCCGTACATGACTATGCTGTTGATTCCGCATAGTTGTTGGGCCATCATTACCACGAACACAGCTAGAATTGCTCGGTTGTGTGTGGGTGACAGGAGAACCGCGACGATTCCAAGCGGTGGCTGCTTCGTTTTGGCGGTACTGGTGGCAGTAGTATTGGCATTGCGAGTGTCGTCTTGATGGTCGTCGTCAACTCCTAGCAGCGTTTGTTCTTCGCCTGTAATATGACATTTTGTGTGTCAGTTCAGTCTAGCGCTCCGACGAGTGGCCCGCATATGCAGACAAAAAAGAGGGTCGAAATTGAAGAGGCAGAACTATGCTGCTGCAACCCATATAAGCGAGAGCATATAGGATACGTACCAGTTCCCTCATCGATAGCTGTCGGCTGGACGCCCCACGCGGCAATCTCTTCATTTATATCTGCCTGCGGTCCGCGAAGACGCTTAAGATTGGCCTTTGCCTGTCTCGCGTTTCCATGGTCGGCTTGCCACGAGGGACTATCGACGGCAAACAGCAGACCAACCAGTTGCACGACGGCGATGACGCCCGCGACGGCCAGGATCACGCGCCACATCTGGCCGTGACTCCAGAAATACCCTAGCAGCTGGGTGGCGAAGATGCCCATGTTGGTCATGATCTGGGTGAAGGCGCCAAAGAAGCCCTTTTCACGCGGCGGCGCTGTCTCCGAGATGTAGATGGGCACCACCACAACGGCAACACCGGCGCCCAACCCGGATACGCAGCGGCCAGCGGCCAACACGCCGATGTTGGGTGCCAATGCCTCCGCGACAGGACCCAACGCCAGAAGCACGGTGTTGGCCCGCATCACTGCCAGCCTGCCGTATCGAGCTGCCAGCGGCCCTGCAGCCAGCGCGCCGATCAGTCCGCCCAGGGTGAAGATGGATGAGACCAACCCAATTTGCGTCGCATTCATCGGAATACATTGCGGAAGACCTGAGTTGGCTGTTGTGCTTTTGCTGGCTCGGATCGATTTCTTTGCGCAGGTGATGACATCCTGTGGAGCGTTGAGTTCGGCCTGAAAAAGAACTCAAGCATTAGTATGATTAGTAGCTGTGCTCTGCTAAGACAAAATACATTGGGTTGAGAGCCTCGTTAGAATAGTGTGCGGACTGTAAGCATTGGCTCGTACCAAATGATAACCGAAGAGAAGAGGTCCCAAAGTAGCGGTCAGGATGATGTACAAGAAGTACGGGGTGAGTTCTTGAGACCACGATCTCAGCTTTGCCGCAAGACCCATGTTGTTGGTCGAGATTGTATCTCGTGCAAGCTGGCGAGCAATTTAAGTCAGGACCGTGTCCTGATCGAGAGAAGCACTTCTGTTGTCGTTGGGTTTCGAGCCGTTGTTACCAGGCTGCGTGTCCGGCTGAGATTATCAAAGGCTCTTTGTGGGGTTTCCGTCCGAGACGCACGAAAGGCTGGCCGATGCCCCCTTTGGGCTATTTGAGGGCCGCTGTCGAATCAATTTGCGTCTCGGCAATCTCGTGCATGGCGCTGGGCGTCAGGAAGAACACAGACGCAGCGCACGATAGGGGTGAGTGAGGTTGAGGACGCGTGTGAAGACACCGGGCCACTGCTTGTCGTTCTACCGGGCGCACGTGATCGGGATAAACAGACTCTCCTGAATCGAGGCCTAAGCACATACTACTTGTGATACTACCTTGGGGGCACCTAGGTGGGTGGTACAAACGGACATCTATCGTGTAACACATGAGTTGCTCGGAAATAAGCAGCGGGCAGCTGTTTCTGAAGGTTGAATTCTGCCAGTTACTTCTAGCTACAGTATGCTGCGAGCCTCACATGTTGAGCAAAGCCTTGTCGTCGCAAGCCGTCATCAATTCAGCCCATCTCAGCTGTAGGTTTCTTTTCATTCCGTTCCGCGTTCCTATCTCACAGAAGGCTGGTATCATGCTCCCATAGCCCATTGTCCATGGCCATTATCAATCACATCCGCCTTCGCGCCTGGTTTGCAATATTGGTCGTACTCGGTCATGAATCGTCATCACAGCATCAGAATCAAGCAGCGCCACCCCACTGTGTCCTGTTAGCACCCATCCACTTCTCAACCTAGAGACAAACTTACCAATTGGGCCACCAGGTCACTGGCAACGTCAAGGAATGGATATGGGCTGCAAATCTCCTTCTCCACGTTCTTGTATCGTTTGCTGACCGGCTTCCAGTATCCCTCCGAACCCTCTTCATCAGGGTGATCGGAACTAGCATGATTCAGGTCGCCAAATCCGCTGGTAGGTCGGCTTGCGGAAGGACTCGCAACGTTGCTGTTGCTGCTAGAGGACTTGCCCTTCTCACGTTCTTTTCTGGGATCATGCCAAATGACGTTCTGGTATCCGTCGCATTTGAAGTCGACCACATAAGTTCCACTTTCAAGCGTATACAGCTGAATATCAATGAACACCCACACACCAATGTGCTCGCTGGGAATTTTCTTGTTCAAAGCTGAAAGACTCTCTGGTCTGCTCATCGGCTGTCCCGGTCCAGTAAAAGCTTGCTGCTGAGTGCTGGATTCGCCTGGAGACTGGACTCTGGAACCGGAGCCATTGGGGGCCTGAATCCCGAGTGCCTTTGCAACGTCATCAGAAGCGTAGCCACCAAGTTGCTCAATGTGCTTTTTAAGCTGATTTTGGGCTTCCGCAGGTAGGCTGACGGCCGAGCTATTGGCGGAAAGGGACGGTGCCTCCCCAGGCATCAGCATGCCGCTTTTCAGGACGCGTGCACGGATGTTCCAAGGATCCCGCGGCACATAGTATTCCTCACTCAACCACGAATGCTTCTGTTGAAGAATCGTATGGCGTTCCCCAGGGGCAAGTTCCGGCGGTGGGGCTGGGATCATGTCTTTTTCATCCTCGCCATCTGGTAAGGACTCGGGTAGCAGCCACGGGTTGACTTCCCAATCTGCGCCCTGAGCCCTAAGTGCAGCATAGAGACACTTCATTGCCTCATAGGGAGCGTTTCGAGATCGTATGCCAAACTGCCATTTTCGTGGTTTGGGCTTGGATGCCGCCGCCCGCTTCTCGTCTTGTGACATCGTCGTCAAACCTTCAGGACGGGGCTTTCCCTCGCGCATATTACTGAGACCGGTCACTGACCTGGAGTGCGGTTTCAACGCCCTAGATGTTGCCTCTTGTTCTTCTTTGGAGCGATAGATCGGATTGCCATTTTCATCCTTGATCTCCTCTGGAATTGGGCTATCAGAGTCATCCTTGTCCTCCTGCGATGGGTGAAGAATCGAGTCTGGATCTTCGCCTCTGCTCTTTGCCTTCTCCCGTAATTGCATGAGTTCTTCATGCACGTGTGGCAGAGAGGTATTCAAAACGCGAACATTCGAAATCCTAGGCTTTTCCTCTTGGAAAGAAGGAGTCTCAGATAGTGTGCGGCTTGCTCGATGCCCGTCGCCCCGTGTTGGTGTCAGGGGTTTGACGTCGTCTTGAGTTCTTCGACTCCCTGGCGGTGAACCAGGAGAGCCAGGAAAGTTGGGCTCGACCGGCGGCGATGAAGCCATGAAGGACTCAAGCTCCGGGTTCTCCGCCCTGTACTGAGGAGTATCGATCATCAATTGATTTTCTCTCACAATAAGATAGGCATCTTTGATGGCGCTAGGTTCGTCTTTGCTCAGAGCATCCTTGACATCCTCTTTGGCATAACCCATGGTGCGGCCCAGTTTGCCGACCACTTGTTCATGGATTCGCTCAACAACCTCGGGCGGTTTCCCAGGTGCCAGTTGTCGGGGGTCGATAGCTTTGCTGGGATCAACACCGGTGTCCAAGAACTCCTCAACAGGATCGACGAGATAGGCGGGCAGGTCTTTGACAAACCACTCATCTTGTCGAATCTCAGGGATAGTAATGCGATGTACCGGATGAACTTGTAGGCAGCGTTTGATGAGATTGACGGCACCAGGAGGCGTCTGCGAAGGAATATGGAACGTCCCTGCCTGGATTTTCTTGAACAGAGCGGGAATGAACTCGTCGTCAAACGGGAGACGACCGACGAGGAAAACATAGAGAATAACTCCACAGCTCCAGACATCAACTTCGGGCCCAGCATACAGCTTTCCGCCAATAACTTCAGGTGCAGCGTAGTTCGGACTTCCACAACTCGTCTTGAGGAAATTGCCATCCGTCATGATATTGCTGAGCCCAAAGTCGGCAATCTTGACGTTCATGTTCTTGTCGAGCAGCAAATTCTCCGGTTTCAAGTCTCTGTGGACGATCTTGTGTCGATGGCAATACTCGACCGCGCAGATGATCTGTTGGAACAACTTGCGAGCCTTTGCTTCTCCCAGGCGTCCGTGCTTGACAATGTAGTCAAATAGTTCCATGGGCACGTATTCCAATACCATGTAAATGTCTGTCTTGGTCGTGATCACCGTGTATAGTTTGATGATGTGTGGATGACGCAGTAATTGCAGGTATTGGATCTCACGCTCAATGCGGCCAGCCATGTCGCGACTGATGAGCTTTCGCCGGTTGATGGTCTTCATGGCAACCTCCTGCCCCGTGACCTTGTGTCTCGCCAGTTTGACTTTACCAAACGAACCCTCACCGATATTGCGGACAAAGCTGTACTGGTGTAATCGATTCATGGCTCGGATCGTCCCCGGGGATTCTGCAACGGGCGTGAGACTTTGCCCGCTTCTCTGCCGCAGCGAAGGAGGTGATGTGACTTGAGGTACAGAAGGTCTGCTTCGAGCATGCTCATTTTGGGGGAGGGAAATGGAAAGTTCGTCATCGTTGATTGCGGAGGTCATGGTTGGAAGGTAGAACGGGCGGGGGCTGCGACTGCTGCCGCCGCGCCTTGACGATGGGAGAATCTGCGATGAAGGAGGTAGGATAGTGTGAGGTGAGGATGTTACAAGTCGTCTTCACCAGTAATCGCTGAATTGGTGGTTGGGCATCTCATGTGAGGGGGGCGGACGTGAAGAAGTTGAAGGTAGCCAACCTGTCCAAGCCGCAGAGGCAGAGCGAGGGGCGCGAATATATTGTGATCGACGGTCAGATCCAAACGCAACGGCTGGTAGGCATTGGCAAAGGTCGAGAATGGTTGAGATGGCTATTGGACACCGGTGAAGGCTGGTTGTGCGGTTGGTAAGGTTCAGGTGGAAGTCGGGCGCAGTTTGGTTCACCAGCGGCAGTACAATAGCAGGAGTGTTGGTGGTGGTGGTGGTGGTGGTGGCTAGTAGCAGTGCTACGGCTGCGGTGCAGTGCGTGGTAGCGGGGAAAATGAATTAATCGTCTGGGGACTCGTTCGCGATCCCTGATCATGTCAGCATCTCATTCATGACGCCGCTCGCTTGACCTACTCGCTTTGGCAGCCTTTCCATACTACTCTAGTCAGGCTGTACTACTACCTTGTACATAGTACTTACCGCAACGCCTTCTTCAAGCCGCCAACCACCGACCGCTGCCAGGGATATCGCTCTGGCCGTGGATAACAGTAGTAGTACCTTACATACCGCCACTGTACCTTCATCTCTGGAACCATGCAATGAGTGCGTCGATTGTACGGTACGCCTATCAAGAGCTGCATCTCCTCTGTCATTCTCCGTCACGAACTTGATCACATTGGCCTGAGCGATTTCAACACCCTCGACCCTTTCCTTTACCTAGCACTGCCGTCGAGATGTCCCTGTACCAGCCATCTACCTTCCCCGTTACGTGGCGCTTTTCGTCATCTCCCGTCTAGCATTGGTTACCATACAATCTCCTACATTGCTTCCACGGCCGAGACCAGCTTTACACCTGAAGTTCGGCAGAATGAAGCGAGCATTGAAAGCCCGTCATCTCCTTGGATCGCATGACTGCCCTACTGGGGTGTTTACTCCCGGAGGACAGCAAAGCCTGTCAATAGACCATGCATGGCAAGACTCTTGGGATCCATGGCTAGCCTGATGACACGCCTTTATGATGGCGCTGTGAAAGACGAACCGAGTGTAAAATTGTGGTAGGGTCCTTTCTCCCGTGGTGACCAGCTCCTAAAGGCATTCGGCCCAGAATTGGAGCAACAGAATGCTTGTCAGGCTATGGCAAAGATACATCAATAAGACCAAGTCCTCCGGTTGGTCGTGGGCATCAATAGAGGTACTGGCATCTGGTGATACAATGTACTGTGTGGTACTAAGGCGGTCATCGATTAAACATGCTTCAGCTCGGCATAATCAGCCAATCCGTTCTGATGGCCGATTGAAGGTTTGAGTGTGAGTGGATAGATTCACTGTCCAATGCCTACCTAGCGCTATGAATATAGAAGATACAACTGCCTAACCGGCCAGCCTCACAACGCTCAAAACCACCCCAACGCCATGCTCAAATCGCCCACTTGTTAAAGTACAAATGAATGTGTCACCAGATAGTCCACTGAGGCTGCTCAGTCGCTGTCGTGGTCACCGGAGTCATGGCGGTTAAGCCAGACCTGTTTCCAATGGCCCTCCCCACCCATTCCTTCCATACGGTCCCTCCTCATGCCTTCGAGGACCCCAACAATCCCTCCATTGCGCAATCGTTCGAGAACCACATTCATTCCCTCCTTGCCATTGGCCAATGCCGACTTTGTCCTTTTCACTCCGATTAGCTCGATGGTCCTCTGAATCCCAGAGGTGGACAAGGCCGCAAAGAATCCCTGCTTAGGCGGCTCCTCTTCAACATTTGCAGCTGGATGCTCATGTTTCTTCCGGCCCAAGAGTATCCCTTGCCCTAGATGCGACACAAACGTGACCACAGTTTTGCACGAGGTGGTTTCTTTGGCTTGCTGTGGATCATTCTTCGCCGGACCGCGGTTATCGATCTCTTCGAGTCGTTGCCGGCGATAGCTCTGGCGTTCGACCACGCTCAATATGCCGGTCCATTCCATGTTTCTCGATTCGGTTTCCATCCAGCCCTCCTTGAGATCGATGGTACTCTTTTCCAGTATGTAGCTCTGGCTGGAACCCCCAGGGCCGGCAAGGCCGCGGGGCAGAAATTTGAGAATGCCAGCAGGGACTTTGGACTTTTTCAGGTGAAGTCTGACGGTATGAAGGCGTTGCGTCTCGGGGTCGACATAGCGGTCGATGACATCGGAGCTCAACACATGCCTTGAATAAGGGTTTGGATAGCGCAGGAAATAGGCCAAAGTGACGGCGGGGAATGTATAGTCGTAGTTGAAGGAGCTCTCGTAGACCTTCATTCTGGCATTGGGGCGTTCAGTGAGACTCGACGGAAGGATTGAGGCAGAAGTCCAAGGAGGAGGGGAAGGATGATGGTTGGCTGTGAGGCGGCTTTTTACTCGCGTGCCACGGGCAATCGATCGACGGCCGCAGTGAGCTCACACTGCTCGCACTCTCACTGCCACTGGCAGCGAAATAAAATATCGCCACAGGGGACCTGCTGCTTTAATTGCCGCTGCACTGTGCGCCTGTGGTTGAAGGCGGAATGGTCAGACGAGCACATTGCTGCTTTAACTCTCTGCTGTCAGGCGCAGAGTGCGGGGATCCATCGGCAGCACCAACACGTGCCGATATTTGGTTTGGGCTTAACTTTAGTGCTAGCTGGAGATCTAATCTAATCTCACTGCAACGCCTTCCCCTTTTTGATTCGGTCGCCGATCAACAGCGCCAGTTCACAATTTCCAGGAAAGCCACAGACACGGACACCATACTGCCAGCGCACAACCGCAATAGAAAGTACAAATTTTCTATCGTTCCTTCTAGTCCCCGCTCTGCCCACCACAAGAATGGCATCGCAACCCGAACCCACGGGGCCTCCGCCCGCAGATGAACCGGGTCAGCCTCCGAAACTTACAACCAGCGCATTGGCAGATCAGGCACATCACCCTAGTGTTGGGCAGCGTGTCACTCCATTTGAGGTGTCGGGCGGCGTGGACGAGAGCGGAAAACTGCTCCCAGTCGACTATGAGAAGCTGACAAGAGAGTTTGGGGCGACTCCAATCACACCACAACTCCTAGAGAGATTCGAGAGGGTTACAGGCAAAAGAGCACACAGATTTATGAGAAGAGGAATCGTGTTTTCGCACAGAGAATTGGAGAAGATCTTAGACAGATATGAGAAGGGAGAGCCATTCTACCTGTACACCGGTCGAGGGCCGAGCAGTGACAGCATGCATGTTGGACACTCGGTTCCGTTCGAGTTCACAAAGTATCTCCAGGATGTTTTCGACTGCCCTCTAGTCATCCAATTGACAGACGACGAGAAGTTTATGCATTCGCAGAAGATCACCATCGATGACGCCAAAAGGTTCGCCAAGGAGAACGCAAAAGACATCATTGCGATTGGCTTCGACCCTGCCAAAACATTCATCTTCTCCGACTTCTTCTACATGGGCCGGGCATTCTACGAGAATGTATGCGCAATGGCCAAGCGCATTACCATCAACCAGATCAAGGGGACTTTCGGCTTCAACGACAGCAACAACATTGGTGAATTCCATTTCTGCGCCATACAGTCAGCACCGGCGTTTGCCACATCCTTTCCTCATATCTTTGGCGACAACCCCTCGAAAGTACGCCAGATCCCATGTCTTATCCCCTGCGCCATCGACCAGGACCCCTACTTCCGCCAGTGCCGCGACAATGCCGAAAAAATGAAGTTCAAAAAGCCCTCCTTAATCCACTCCATCTTTCTCCCAGCCCTGCAGGGACCTGGTTCCAAGATGTCGGCCAGCATTGATTCATCCGCCATCTTTTTAACCGACACCCCCAATCAGATCAAGAATAAAATCAACCGCTACGCCTTCTCGGGGGGACAAGACACGGCCGAGAAGCAACGTGAACTGGGAGGAAACACCAAAGTCGATGTTCCGTTCCAGTATCTGACCTTCTTCATGGAGGACGACGATGAACTAGCCCGGATCAAGAAGGCTTACGAGTCCGGAGAAATGATGACGGGCGAAATCAAGCAAATATGCATCAAGTATCTCCAAGAATATGTTGCGGGCTTCCAAACCCGGAGGAAAGCCGTCACCGAGGAAACGCGCGAGGAGTTCTTCAAGCTTCGGCCGCTTGTGTATCAGGGAAACCCAATCCCCATCAAGGTCGAGAAGAAGGAAGCCACGTCAACGAAGAAGAACGAAGCCAAAAAGGATAAGGCGCCAGCAGAGGCCGGGGGACACTCGAAGAAGCTGAGTGTCGGTGGTGCCAAAGTTGAAATCCAGCACGATGTCGAGCAATCTCCGAATGGAGAGCTGAAGGAGCATGTCAAAAGGTTGAGCTTGACCAAAGAAGAGTAGATTAAAGGAAGAGTTTCTGTTGAAAAGCATAGGAGGTTGGTTGGCTTTTACAAGAACAGGTATGAGTGGCGGCACGACATAATTACTTTCACCAATTTGAGGAAATTCATCTGCGGGTTAGCCCTGAGTACGCGATTGTAGCAAGACCTGTCCGGGAACCACAATCAAACATTCAGATCACCACTATGTTCTATTACCTAGGAAAAGTATTCTTCAGTGCAGATCCGACGGCTATTCCTTGTGGATTCTGCCCCGAAAGAAGCCCCTGACTCCATTGCTTAACCAAATAACATCACCGTGCCGCAACTGCAGGTCGTCCAGTGTGACAACGTCCATGGTACAAAATCCATCTCGTAACGCTTTGGATTGGGTCACGCCGATCATCCCACCAGATTGCAAACTCGGGGTGACCAATGCGTAGCCGCCCCGGCCATCACCGCGGAAAAAATACGGCGTGGAAACGCTTGCCTCTGTGATCTCGCCTCGCGAGTTGAACAGTAGGACCTCGGCGTCCGTGGGTGGTGTGTGGACGATGCCGGCTCGCGATCGCGCCTCATCATATGGCTGTCGAAACGTTGTCTTGTGTCTGGTGAAGATGCTGGTTGAAGTAGGCACGCTATCGATATAGACCTTTGCGAAGGGAAAATCTTCAGAGTCAGAGTTGGCAAAGGACCACGTTGCCCGCGGGACACGGTGGAAAGTATCGTTCTCCAACAGTGACAGTGGTTTCTCAAATCCCATAGGCACACTCTCAATGTCAACCTGGCCGTCGCCGCCGACCAGCACACGCACTCGAAGATCCCGGAAGTAACTCTTGGCAGGTTCCGGATGCCGTGCTGCTGTGATCTCGTCAATGGCATCTCTGAGAACGAGCTCGGCTCCATCTGCCTTGAACTTCTTGGATACTTCAGATTGCGGGCCGAAACAAGCCTGAGCTGCGGCATGCAGTCGATGCCTGCTCAAGGAGAGAAGGTCCAGCTCTGCTCGTTTCCATTCGTGGATCAATGGTAACGACTCTACCACTTCGACGTGGTTGAACTGGACATATCTCAAGGTCGTTAGGAGGCGGAACGCGGGCTCTTGGATGATGGCAGTGACGATTGTAGGGTCCATGGTTTTCAGGGAGTTTCCTCAACCTGTGAAGTCACAAGTCCCCCTCAAGAGTTGGGCTATCGCCATTGCACTGCAGTCAAGGCTGCTTACTACTCAACCGGACGAAAAGTGAATGACGGGAGAGGAGCGCAAGCCGTGTAGGGTACGTACATCATATAAAGTACTCGAGTATCAAGGAGTAATAGGTAATAAGCGTCTGTACCTAGGTATCTTTGATAGTACTCTCGTAGGAGTTTGCGAGATTTCGCAGCTGGATATAGGGAGCTTTTCGATTGGCCGGCGAGTTCTTGTGCATCTCCATTCAATCTGCGCTGTTGCTGCTGAGATCATTTCACTGCCATTCTGCAAGTTCCACCGCAGCCCTCGAACTCGAAACATTTTGAATCCTCGTCACCACCACCAGGTTTTCCTGCCATCTCTTTCCTGGTCCTCTATATCAGCCCGTTTCTTGCTGTAGCTTTCATCTTCCCTGTACATTAGAATTTCCGCATCAATGGCGGAGCCTGTGGCCATCGACGCCTCTCGAGCGGCACCTTCTCTGTGGGATCGGGTGTCTACTTGGGTGTCGGAGAACAAAGCAGTCGCATACACGATCGCCGGAACTGTCGTTGTCATCACCAGCGCTGGTGCTATCTACTACTTTTCGGGAAAGACAAGCGGTCCATCTGCCGCACCTACGGAAAAGAGGAAGAGCAAAAAGGAGCGTCGGAAAGAAAAGAAGGCTGCCGAAGAAGCACAAAAGGCTGGCATTAGCCTGAAAGACGCCGAGGCCGGTAAGACCTCTCACGTATCACGCAGACGGCATAATGTGAGCTGATATAGGAGTTAGGAACCGCTCCCTCCAAGTCCGCCACCGTCGAAGCCGAGGATGATTTGCCCGAAATCAACGAGACCACGGTTGAGAGCTTCACACCAGAGGTAGGGTTGGACTTTTCGTTATTATGGATATCACTAACACCCAGTAGGAGAGAGCTACATATGCCGGTAAATTGAAAGCTGCCGGCAACAAGGCCTACGGGTCCAAGGACTACAACAAGGCCATCGAACTCTATGGCAAAGCAATCCTCTGCAAACCCGATCCTGTTTACTACTCCAACCGAGCGGCATGCTACAATGCGCTCAGTGACTGGGATAAAGTAGTCGAAGACACCAGCGCCGCAGTGTCGATGGACCCCGAATACGTGAAGGCGCTCAACCGACGAGCGCACGCTTACGAGCACTTGGGCATGTTTTCGGAGGCGTTGCTGGACTACACCGCCAGCTGCATTATTGACGGGTTCAAGAACGAGAACAGCGCCCAAAGCGTCGAGAGGTTGTTGAAGAAGGTGGCCGAGAAGAAGGGCCGGGCCATCCTCGAGGGCAAGAAGAACAAGCTACCGAGTGCCACCTTCGTCTCCAACTATCTCCAGAGCTTCCGACCTCGCCCACCCCCAGCTGGATTGGAAGAGTCGGCTGAACTCGATGAAAACACTGGAAAGGGCCAATTGCAGCGCGGGCTGATCGCGATGAAGAAGAAGACTGCGCAGGGCTACGAGGAGGCGGCCGAGGCTTTCAAGAAGGCCGTCGAACTTAATGAACTTGGTGAACATGAGGCTTTCGGCTTGAACATGCGGGCCACTTTCTTGTACCTGGAAGGAGACACGGCCAAAGCCCTCGAAGACCTGACGAAAGCCATAGAGCTGCAGCCTTCATTGACCCAGGCCTACATCAAGCGTGCTAGCATGCAGCTTGAGCTCGGCAACAAGGATCTGGCCTCGGAAGATTTCGAGAAGGCTGTGGCCCAGAACAAGGACGATCCCGACATCTATTACCACCGTGCTCAACTTCATTTCATCCTGGGTGAGTTTGCGGACGCTGCCAAGGACTATCAGAAGTCGATCGATCTCGACAGGGACTTTATCTACTCTCACATTCAGCTTGGTGTTACGCAGTACAAGATGGGTTCCATTGCATCATCAATGGCGACTTTCCGGAGATGTATCAAAAACTTCGACAAGGTGCCCGATGTGTACAACTATTATGGTGAGCTCCTGCTTGACCAACAGAAGTATCAAGAGGCAATTGAGAGGTTCGACACGTCGATCGAGATGGAACGCCAGACGAAGCCCACTGGTGCTATCAATGTCCTTCCATTGATCAACAAAGCTCTGGCACTATACCAATGGAAGCAGGACTTCAAGGCGGCAGAGGAGCTGTGTGAGAAGGCGCTTATCCGTAAGTGTCAAAGAAGTTTACCTAGTCTGCACATACTGACGTTATTTTAGTCGACCCTGAGTGCGATATTGCTGTTGCCACGATGGCCCAGCTTCTTCTGCAGCAAGGCAAGGTTGTCAGAGCCTTGGAATACTTCGAGCGAGCTGCCGAACTTTCGAGAACCGAAGGCGAGATTGTGAACGCTCTCTCGTATGCCGAAGCCACGCGCACTCAACTGGAGGTTTCGCAGAAATACCCTCGGTTGGCTTCGCGTTTGCAACAGATGGAAGGGGCCGGACTTGGCGGACCGCCAGGCGTGAGGTAAAGTGTGACAAATCGGCTTGATGATCGGCTTGACCGCGTGCATTTGTGTCTTTTGAGGCTGGGCTCCCTTCTCCTTGAATTTACCGGGTACATTGCTGATGAGCGATCTATGTGAGACTTCTTGTGCTGTACCACGCGTTGGTCCAGTCTTCAGCACGACCGTCCTCTCCCCAGTGACTCGTGTTGGAGGGTTGGATCTGCGGGATGGCGTTTTGTGTGCGGACCAAAATAGTGTAGGAGTGTACAACAATAATGGACTCAACGTCGCTTGATCTAGGGTCTTGGCCTTGCTGTAACCTTAATAACCCCAGCTTGTAGCTCACTTTGCGGATAATTCATTCTAGCATTCGTTCCTGTTATTCATGTCACTTAGGTATCGACCTCCAGTCGGACAGCCACATTTCAAGCGGCGCTAGCTCTCCGCCTTCCACTCAGCCTTGGGTGAACGTGAAGCACATGCCAATAAGGCAACAAGGCTGAGAAGCGGAGGTGGAGATATCACCGGCTGCGATAAGAGACAGGCTAACCGGATGGGACATCGTGCAGCTGCTTATCGGTCGAAAGTGGATGTAGTTACTAGTAGTGGCAGTTGAACGGCAGTGACAGTTGCACTTGCAGTTGCGGTTGCCTTACCCTGCAGTGGGAGTGCTGACCTTCAAGTTGATGAACGGCAGGCGCGCGCGAACTGCCCCTCACTACACTGCAGCCTGCGCCGTCCATTCCATTGCCAGTAGTAGTGCAGTCAGTGCAGTGCGGTTCAAGTTGGGCAACCGATCAACTGCGCCCGTCCCACTCGTAACCTGACCTTGACCTGACTGCCTCAACACCCTTCTTCCCACTACCAGCTTTCTGTGAGACGAGGCCTTCATTGACCCAAGTTGGTCAACGTCTTCTCTCCACGTCTCTCTAAAGACTTTGACCCCGAATATCTGCCTCTGCTCTCTAAACTGCTGCCGGTTCAGACCGACAGAGAGTCCCTGTGGCTCCGAAAGTGGACCGAGTTTCAAGGTCCTCGTCCTCGCAGCATCAACCCCTCCGGCGGCCTGACTATCACGACCTGGACCAGCACTCACTTCCACCTCACACTGTCCTTCCCACTGCCACTGCTTCAATATAAGCCCTTTTGTTCTCCTTGCTCCTTAAAGGCGCTTGGAGACAGACGTTCGGTGGCTTCTGGCTACCATCGCTAACGTTCCACTATGGCGTCTCCCTCTGTTCTCCCATCTGGTACGTCTACAGTCTATCATGGTGCCGCTATTGTACCAGGCTTACATCTCACAGCGACCGTAGTCTTGCGAGACGTCGACCACCTTGATTCCATCCCCGAACGAACCATCACTCTCGAGGCCCCAGACTGGAAAGTCAAGGTCGGTCGTGGATCTCTTAGTAGTGCCGATGCCCTGCGCCCGACATCCAAAAATGCTTGGTTCGACTCAAGGGTGATGTCAAGAAACCATGCCGTTCTAAGAGCGAACCCATACGCTAAGGTGAGCAATGCCACCTCCTCTACATTGTATAGGTCTGACGGATTTAGACAATCACCATTGAAGATGTTGGATCAATGCATGGAACCCATCTCGGAGGTAGAAGACTGAAGACGAATCATGCCGAATCTCTCTGGCCTGGTGATATCATTACCTTGGGTTGCAATGTCACCAGGGGGAGTAGTAAGTCGCTACCTGAACCAGGCCACCGTCATTCTTTGCTGACTTTGACATAGACTGTTTCAACGCCCTACAGGTCGAGTTCAATTGGCACTGGTCGGATGAAAGGCAAGTCTCCGATTCTCTTTGCATATGGTCATAGTCCTGACTTTCTAGCAGTGCGCAGCATGAGACCCTCGCCTTCTCCCCACTCACAAATGTGTCACTCAACACCTTTTCCCCTGAATACAGCGAGGGTGAATACTACGGTAGCTCTGAGTTTCACGACGACGAAGCCGAAGACAAGGCGAACTATGAAGAGCAAGCCGAGGAAATGGATAACGACGTCGACATCGTACAAGACTCTGTTCGCCAGGCAAGCGTCGAGGTCGCCATTCCACCACCACGCACCTTTGCTGTTCCCGAGTCTGACGTGTCCGAACCGGGCAGTTATACTTCAGGTGCCGACAGCTCAGAAGGCGAGAGCCCAAGCACTAGCCCAATCGAGCTGAATGAGGAGAAGAGTCATGAAGAGAACACAGGCGGTACCGTCCCGGTTACCAAGCCAGAAAAGGCCCAACCTGCAACTGACATTCGTCAAGTGACACCGACGCCTCTCTCGGGAGCTTCCAAGTTCGCCAAATATATGGATGGACAAGGTGGTGCCAGTTCGCTTATGGACGTCTGCAGTGACGAGGGTGCCGACAGGGATGATGATAACGATAATGATGACCCAGATCACAATGACGAAGAGGAATATCCGGACCCGTCTCTGCCTCCCCCATCAGCGCAGCACCCTTCGGTCTCGGTCGAGAGTTCCCACAGCGCTACGGAATCAAACGATCCCATGTCGAACTCTTTCAGAAAGGAGGCAGTGCGTGCGCCGAGTCCTTCTGATGCAGCAATGGCGAAACCATCGACCGAACTTCCCCTAGCGCCACCTTTCATGCAGAAGACCTCATCGGACGCTGCCAGTGTTGCAGCAACCACTTCGTCCAACGAAAGACGTTCCAACTTTGCCTGGGCCGGTTATAATTCTGTTCTGTACGAGCCGTCGCCTGGCAATTTCGGCTTGACTCCGTTTCCTTCAACAGCTTCTTTGGCACCACCAGCCATGCCTCCATTGGATTTCTGGCCACAGAGCTTTGGTGGTAGTAATGATCATCTGTGGGGTGCACGGTATCCCTTAGAGCCACAAGATCACCTGCCCAAGATCCCTATTTCCAGTATTCTCGACCAGGAATTGAAAGAGGTGACGTTCCCCTGGAGCAAACCATCGTCTAAGCGTAAAGCAGATCAGATCGCCTCGGATACGATGCAGGAGGAACGTACGGCAATGGCTGGAAAGCGGCAAGCCAATGATGTTCAGTCCGCGACAGCAGCAACGTCTACTGAGAGTATTGACTACTCCATCTCAACTGTCGAGGATAGAATGACGACTTCATTAATGCCTGCACCCGAGGCTGCTCTGCCCACACCGAAGCCAGCTGAAGAGATGCCGCCACGCAAGAAGGCTAAAAAGAATAATACTCAAATTGCCGAGCAACCTGACACTACCAGTGGCAACTTTGTCAAACTTGCTGCAGCGGCTGTTGCGGGCATGGCTGTTGGTACTGTCGGAACCATCATTGGACTTGCGGCACTTCCTGCAGATTATTTCACCTGATTCTGGCAAAGACCAGTCTGGCGCATGCAGAAGCAAATGCCAGAGCCATAACTGAGAACGAAGTGTTCCCGACTGTGGCATTTTCTGGCATTGTCCACGCAGATAGGCGCCAACAATTCGTGGTTCAAGGTTTCCCAGTTGCGAGCAGCTACTAGCTGGGAGGGACATGGGAATGGGGAGCCTATCACGTCTTGATGAATGGTAAATGGGTCTGGGGGAGTCATGGTTACTAGGGCGTAGATGGGACGGCGTCTGGGAATCAGGCACATGCCCGCAATGGTGGAGTTTACGTTTTTGCATGAGGAGCATACGACAAATCCTTAACTAGCTGGCATGAGTGTATGGATCAAACGATTCTGCGGACAATCTCTGCATTTTCTCTGCGCCTCGTCCTTGATGGAGTTCTACGGCTACAGTAATAGGATGGCGTTGTTAATCGACGCTGGAGAGACTTTTTAAGTGTGCCAGTTCTGCGATGCCGGCCGAGCAATCAAGCAAGCTAGAGTATACGTGAAGACAATGATGTATCACAATAGACGGCCCGGTCAACTCCACGTGTATACATGGCTGGGCCGAATCGACTTTTTGCAAATCTGTACAGCGGTGCTTCGGCCTTCTCCCCCCAGTATCTGATTTTCGTCTCTGCTTGAAAAGGAGAGAAAGTGAGTGAGTGAGTGAGTAAGAAAGTGAGCAAATGAGAAGGTGGACACTAGATCGGTATCTTTCAAGCAGAGACAGATTACTAAATTGACTGCGCTTTTTTTTCATTCCCCGTACAACTTGACTAAAATCCCAAAGACGTCGCCGTGAACACGTGCTGAACAGATGCGCCACCATGCGCTCTGCTATGCTATGCTGTAGAAACTCCTGGAGAAGAAACAGTGTGGTTCAAGCGACCTAGGTCCTTTGGGCCGTAATCGCTGACTGCAAATGTTCAATCTGCTGAAGCCTTCATTGTCTGGAAATTGACAACGTCGAAGCCTTTCCCGTAACATTCATCCCAATCCCAATCAATACTGCGATGGTTCTCCTGACCAAAGGCCCTAATCATCGACTCGCCTTGTTGCTCGGCTTCACTGCCGGTCAACAGCCGTTTGGCTCCTTCTCTCTGTTTCCCCGTCGCCCCTTGGCCCCATATGGTGTTGTCTATAGGGTTGATGAAAGTGCCAATGTGTCTGAAAGTCAGACTTATCCTTTCTCCTGAAAAGGCAAGTTCCTCCGGGTCTTTAAGAGAGGCAGGTCTTTTATCTGCTCGGATGGCATGCAACCAGAGCCGATTGGTCTCCTGGCCAAGGGCAAAAAGAGAATTATGAGGTAAGCGTATGCGCTGAGAAGGTCTGACAAAGTCAGACTGTCGACTGCCGTCATCTGCCACAACAGTAACAGTAACCGCCGAGCTCTTTGTGCGCAGGGTCATGGTCCTTTGAGCACCCAAACTCACATTGACAATGGTCGACCCGCGAACTATGTCCAGAGTCTTGTCAGAGTGCTCCGAGATGTGGTCTTCGCCGTTGCGGTACCATTGCAGCAAAACATGGTTCAAGCGATGACCAACCGCTTTCTCTGCAGCTATGCGCAAGACATCAACCGTAGGGTGAAAGGGAAAGAGTTCGGGTGACTCGTCAGCCGGGTGCCTGTAGATGGGCTTGCATGTACCGTCCTCGGTGACTTCTCCTTGGACGGCTACCAAGCGGGGCACTTCGCCAGTGCGGTGATACATTTTCTGCCATCTGATGGAATCCTTACACGAGTAGAATGCCCGTTCGGCCTCGTCGGGATCGAGTAGATTTAACACGAGCCGGCAATCACCTTCGCCGATCCTGTCGTTAGGCCCAAGGAACTTAGGGGCCGCCATTTTCTGTCTCGACCGAGACTCATGTCTCCCTTGAGGTGCCTGTGACGCAGGCCCGTCACCACGACTTTGCTGGTCGTCTGGAAGGGCAGATTCATCGGTTTCGGCACCTTTACCAGACCCTGTCCAAAGTATACCTGTGTCATACGGAGGCGAGGGGGACCTCTTCGAGAAGCGGATCGAGGGATGCTTCTCTTCGGCGGACGACTCGCTCTGCTTGTGTTTCAGCTTCTCGCTACTATGACCAGTACTTGAGGAGCGAGGCATCAAAGACTGAGACACATATCTGAGGGTGGGATCCTCCGGGGAACTGCCATCACAGGTTGTCCTCTCGCAAGGACCTCCATTGTCCGGCGAGGTAGGCTTCACCGTCCTCCGGGATGACTCACTCTTTGTACGCGAGTCACGGCCATTGCTCGCCCTCCTCGTACCGTCTTCGGGGACGGCGCCCACATTTTCTGCCTGGCTGCTGGCAATATCCTGGCCTTCCAACCCAGCCATCCAGTCATGGATATGCTTTCTCGAAGTACGAGGCCTCCGCAGCCGAGGAGGAGCAAGGCTGACTTGAAAAGTGGTGGTGTATTGGTCTTCACGTATCACATCACCCAGCAGTCCAGCAAGATCGTCACGGAGCTCTTGGCAATCGACGCCGTTTGCGCCCATGTGATCAGCCATTTGACGCATGGCTTCTACATGGCATTTTTCGTCATTGAAACCGAGACAGTCCTCGACAACCGTGACCTGAAGACCATGACAGACTGCGTCTAGCACGGTAGCATATACCGCAATATTGGACAGACTGCCACACACATACAACTCAGTTATGAGTCTGGTCCGCAGATGTGTGAGAAGCGGTGAGTCCACAAAAGCCGAGTAGTGAGATTTGGCGATGAGCAGGTCCCGTTGCGAGTCGATGGCATGTTTGATGAGATCTGGATAGTCGGAACCGGAGGTACCGGGGATACAGCACCTGTATGTGGTCTCGGTCAAGAAAGCCTCTCGATCATGGGCGGCATCGGGTTTTGAGGACGGCGAGAGCAGATCTTCCGAGGATGAGCGTGTGCGAGCAGGATGGGCGAGAGACGCACTCTGCTCTTCACTTTGCCCTTGATCCGATAGGAATTGCCTGAGAAGAATGGAATGCGAGCCTGTGGTGGTAGAAATTGTGGAGCGAGACTGCTGGTACTCCGTACCCACCCAGATAACGTCTCCCTTTTCGCGGAACTCGGACGCGAGGGAGATCAGCTGCGGGAGGAAAGAAGGTACATTGGCCACAGGAAGCTTTCCCTCTGGGGAGACGAAGTCGTTTTGAAAGTCGAGTAGTAACAAGGCCTTTTTGGTCTCAATCGGCGGACCATGAGGCAAGGAGCCGGGAGGAAATAACATGGTCCAAGGGAAGCCGCATCATGCGGGAGCCTGGTGTTACGGTAGAAGATGGAGATGAGAAGGGTCGAGTCTACAGAAATGTACTTTCTTTTCAGGAGGACTTCCTTTTCCTTGGCCGATCACAAGCAGTCGGTGAGGTGACACGATGACAGCGTAAACCGCGGAGCAGGCCGAGATGGTTTCGGTGACAGCGACAGAAGCGCCGTGGGTCCGGAGGGTGACTGGTAGATGGATGATTGTTGTGTCGTACCCACGAGTAGGAGTAGGCGGAGGGTGTGCGCCAGATCGCTCTCTTGCGAGGTCGCGGGGGACAACTTTGATGGCGGGTGCTGTGGTAACTGCACCCCGAGTAGAGATACAGTATGTTGGTTTGTTAATTACTGTCTTCCTCCACGACAAGTTATCCGTCGAATAGCCAGGGTGATACGTGGCTGAGAAACCTGTGTCACACACACTTCGACACGAACTACCAGTACTTTCTCTTGAACGACGGGGCTAAAATGCCTGGCTGCTCGGATAGGCCAGGAAAATGAAAGGTTCAAAGGCCGACTGTCGGTAAATGATTGGCTTAGAGAGATGATTTGCAGAGGGCGGCCGTTGAACACGAGCGGTGGCCAGTAGTAGACGCAGGTATAAAATGGAGGTAGGACGCCGGTATAGGACTGGCGTCGGGCCTGTAAGCACCGAAGTGTGTTAGATGCTGATGGACCAAGGGACGACTCGGAGCTGAATTGTCGTCCTGAGGCATCACAAAGCCACCTCACATGGCAGAGAGAAACAAGGATGATGAGGACGGCTCGTCAGTGGCGCCGAGGATGAAGTCGCATTGCTAGTGGTAGTTCGCCGCAGCAAGGAGCCGTAGTGGTCGCCGGCGGCAGTAGTAGCTGAATGCACGCTGCACGGACACGCAGGACATATGCAGTACATACAGCACAGACGCACGAGCGATACGAGGCAAGGGTTCAAAAAGGGTGTGTGAGAGAGCGAAGCAGGGCAAAAGGAAAAAGGATGCAGTGGCAGTTGTGGCAGCCTGAATACGAGGCACTAAGGTAACTACCTAGGTAGCAGTAGGTATACCTACCTTAGGTATCACCTACCTTACCTTACCTAGGTAGGTACCTCAGGCACCAAGTTTTCCGGGTCCGGTACCTAGCACCTACTTGTATGTACGTACCAACCAGGCGTGCATCCTGCTACCCAGGCACCGTGGTTGTACACCAGGACAAACTGCAGAAATGATCCTGCTGTGCTACTCGACGCCTATGCCAGCAGTCAATCGGGTAGTATTAGTAGCATCTATTTTGTTGCTACAACTGTAGACTGCCAGTCATCTACCAGAGTACGCCTACCACAGGACTACGGCACCAGAACCACTCCATGTCCCACCCCGGAAACCTGCCCCTCCACCCCATTTGATGTGCAGCCGCCGCAACTTGGACTATCCACAAGTCCGCATTGTTGCAAGACGACGTGCTTCGAGTTCAACCATGGCAGAGAGCGGATAGGCGTAGGATAGGCTGCTGATAATGGTGCTTATTCTGGCCCCCGTTCTGCTCCCCCAAGATTCGCCCGTCAGGAAATTCCCATGTCCATCTCAGCTTCGCTTATGCAGGCGGACTGTGCCGCAGGCTGTCTGTCGATCACACATCAGACTCGACGGGGATTGCAGTGGTACCACACAACTTGAAGTCGAGAATGCCTGCTTGTCTGATCGCCATTTCTCCAATACCAACGTCTGTATGTGCTGCCGTGGGCGTCGGATTTGATGCCCTTGACATCTCCACATTGGCTCTTTTCTAACGGACCAAGAGGACACTTGCCGCCTCAAACCCTTCAGCCCCGAGCATGAGTAGATGATTTGGAGAAACCATCCATGTCCTTTGCACTTGACCAGACGTATTGGAGGCTGTATTATTGGCCGGCCCGGGATGCGACAATGCCAGACCTTACAGTGCCAGACATGTTGGACTTGTTGTCAGTCCAGGTCGCTGTCTTTGTCGTCGTTGTCCTCGTCATCCACTCCCATGGCTGCATCCATCAACTCCTTGACCTTGGCCTTGATTTCCTCCACTTTGTTCTCCTTGACTAGACAGGTGTGATCGTCGATCTCCTCAATAATGTATGCGTTATTGGTCTCACGGTCGATCTTCCGGACCATCGCCATTTGAGGCGGGTCACATTGCAGGAGAGCTCCTTTGACAGCTTTGGGCATTGTCGTCCAACCTGACTTGCGCTTTCATCCAAGTGTCGTGGGGCTTGGTAGGAGTGCTCTAGCTATGAAGGAGAGAAAAGCATTAGGTTATTTGTTGGAATTTGTTGAGAGCAGCTTAGGGAGCTCCAAGTCGTGCCTCGTTGTCTGTAGTTGTACAGGTCAAGTTGTACTTTGCGGGCGGCGATAATGAAGCCAAAGTGACAGAGCCTTGGCACACAAGGCTGCAGTCCAGCCTCTGCCTACGGAGTTGGATACACGGCATTTCATTTTCCTGCTCATCATGTACCCAGACCTGACTGAACATGTCATTGTTGTCAATTTTTGCCTCTCTTCATTAATGCACACAACTCATGCTATTGATCCGGACCAAATGTCGTCTCCCACGCGTCATACCCCTCGCTGGCAAAAATGGCCTCAATCTGTCGACGCCGTACCCCAACGTTTCCTCCATCAAAGATCGGCAACACCACCGCGTCGTTCAGTAAATCTCCAAATGGGTTTGTACGCGAATATGCAGATACGCCAATCAGGTTGATTGCATCCATCACTGATTCCACCGCACTCTCTGACCCCAGGATCTTGCTTTCGTAACATAGCTCTGCGCCATATTTGGTACGGCCGAAACAGTGAGCGGATTTCCAGACCAGCGCTCGAGACGCCTCACAACGAGTCTTGATCTTGATCAACAGGTCGGCTACACTTTGCTTGCGGATTACTGGCTCTCTGGAGCCCCTGCTGTTGGATTTGGCCCAGGACAACGCACGGGCAAATGTTTGTCGCATGATGCCCACCCCCATGGCTCCCACCAGGACCGCCGACGCAGTGAAGGTTAGGTCAACCACGTTGGCTCCTGCGCCGGGAGGAGCCAAAAGGTGAGAAACCGGCACACGGAGTCGGTTGAAACGGACATGTGGCCCATTCACTGCCGAATGCCCTATTGTTTCGGGATGAGTGATGACCGCATATGCTTCTGGCTCGTTGGCAGCAATGTCTTGTCTTGTGACGACGATGATAGCCGTCTGTCCTCGAACGTCCTCAGGTGGTGCGGAACCAACGACCCGACATACCACACATTGAACGTCGGCGCCTCGGTCGTCCCAACCAGAGCAGTTGGTGGCCCAGATCTAATGCTGTCAATATATTATAGTCTGCACGAGGGTTCATTCTCGACGGAACCAACCTTGTCGCCACTGATCACATACTCGCTTCCTTCCAGTTGTGCCACGGTCTGAAGGCCCGGTGCTCCTGCCTCGGAGTAGTTGGCGCTTCCCCCAGGTTCAGAGAATACAAGGCTCGCAAGTGGCGTGCCGCTGGTTTGCAGGAAAGGCTCAAAGAACTTCTTGTGCTGTTCTGGAGTGCCTGCGAAGACAAGGGGTGTGAGTCCGAGCCCGGTACCGAGTATGGTCAACGAGGCGCTTGTTTCGACTGCATAAAACTCTTCCACTGCGAGTGTTGCTTCGATCAACGGCCCACCAGCTCCGCCTAGCCTCTCCGGAATATGGCTCTTGATGATGCCAGCTTTCACTGCTTCGGCGTATATGAGCTGTGTGGACCGAAAACGATCCTTCCTTTGCTCAAGGGGTCTCCCCCCTGGCTCATAAAATGAGCGTGCTTGCTTTAAATGGGCCTGCGCAAAGGTCCGGGCCGCGTTGCGTACGGCCAGTTGGCCTGGGGACAGCTCAAAATCTATCATATTGACGTCCGCAGTGGTGTGCCCGTCTTAGAGCACTGCAAGGTAGGTCCAACAGCAGCGCTCTTCTATTGAACTGCAAGCAGCTCTTTTATGATCAACACCCCCAGGACTTTGGCCTGTCAGCACCTCGGCCTCGCGATGGACGCGAATCGGCGAGGCGGGGCGGCTATGGCTGAAATACGACCTTGTGGAGTCGAGGCAGCCTGATCGGTAAGCGGCGTTATGTAAGATGGCTGCATCTGCACTGCTGCATATGCGAGCATTTTGCGGGCCGCACTGCACACAAATGCAAGTTTCCACTTGTGTACTGCTGACCATGACATCCTGGATGATATTAGTTACCTAGGTAATTGGCTCTCAAACAGCAGTTTTCAGTTGAACATTATTAATGTCACCTGGCCAAGGTAAGTCCAGATTCGAGGCGAGGGCACAACAATGTGGCATTAATAGGAACGCAAGGTGTTGGTAGGTAGATTGTTATGTCCACAAATCAGACAATTTCTTCGGGAAAGCAGGCGACAGCATACAGCATCTCATGGACTTGTCCGTCCGTTCTTTTGCCATCTCTCCAAGTCCTGGTGCAGGATTTCATTCGTATGGATAGATGACCAGCGACGAGGCGGGATACTGCAGAGTCGATCTCATTCTGTACCCCTGCAACCGCCGTCAGCATCTACACCAATCACCTGGTGAGGGGCATCGCCGTCAACGCAGCCATCTTTTCACAAGTGTATCGCGTGTTGATGAACCTCAACTCTTGACACAATCTACTCCAGAGATGTTTGCCGCGTGTCTATAATGAATTGGGTGTCAACGCCGGCGTGAAAAGCCTGAGTGGAGGAAAGAGACTGAAGTATTATAATGTCCTGACAATGCAGTGATGATGCACTTCGCTGCCTGCACCATTTGGAATACTCGGCGGCGGCCGCAGGCCACAATAACTTCACTGCCGTCCTAATCTTGTCTTGTTTTGCTGTGAACACTGCTTTGACTGCTTTGCTTCCTTTGAGCATCATATCGGGCGTATTTGGTGAACCTTTTGTCTTCTCGGTGCCTCGATCTGAGCAGCAGCCCCTCGTCCTTCACAGCAACCGAAGACCTTGACCTTACAGCGTGTCAAGATGCGTGACCTGCACTTATTTTCCGTTCTACTGCTTGTTCTACTGGCTACTGGCTCAGCTGCCATCGTCCTCGACGTCGATGACCGACGTCAGTCTCCCCAGGATTGTGTGGAGCTCAATACTGACTTGTGATTAGAATCCATCCTGGCAGCTTCGGCACTGGCGGCGCACGGTCTTCAACAACTCTACAATGGCAACCGAACAGGAGGAGTTCTGGGCAAGTTTCCATATCTTCCGTACTACTGGTGGGAGAGCGGTGGTGCATGGGGTGGCATGATGGAATACTGGCATTACACAGGCGACGAGTCGTACCGAAACGTCACCCGACAAGCCCTCATCTCGCAACTGGGTCCTGTGTACGATTTCAACGTCCCTACCGAAGCGTTTGATGAAGGAAACGATGACCAAGGCTTCTGGGTTTTTGCTGCCATGTCCGCGGCCGAATATGCCTTTCCTGGACCACCTGCACCCATTCCCTCCTGGCTCACGACGGTCGAGAATGCCTGGCAAGATTATGTCTCTCGCTGGAACACCACCCGCTGCAACGGCGGCCTCAAGTGGCAGTTTCACCCTGAGAATGCAGGATACTACTACAAGAACAGCATATCAAACGGGGCATTCTTCCAACTTTCAGCGAGACTGGCACGATTCACCGGCAACAACACTTATGTGCACTGGGCAAATACCATCTGGAACTGGTCATCGGGAGTCGGCTTGATTGACAAGCTCTACAACGTGTACGACGGCTGTGATGAGCTTATCAATTGCACCGGGATTGACCATCATCAATGGTCCTACAATGTGGGAGTCTACCTCTATGGCGCGGCTGTACTTCAAAATTACACCAACGGATCGTCGCCATGGATTGAGCGCACGGCGGGCCTTCTCGGCGCGACCAACACTTTCCTCAGTCCGTTTCGGAATGCCACGAATGTCTTGTTCGAAGCAGCATGTGAGCTTGGTATGACCTGTGATACTGACCAGTTGTCCATGAAGGCGTACTTGATTCGCTGGCTTGCCGGGACGTCCACGATGGCGCCTTTCACAGCAGGCCGAATTGGAACCATCCTGCGCGCTTCAGCCAAGGCTGCTGCTGGCGCTTGCACTGGAGGCCCGGCAAACAACACATGCGGATCAAAGTGGTATATTGGCGGGTGGGACGGTACAAGCGGGCTGGGCCAACAGCTCTGTGCAATGGAAGCCATGTACGCCTTGTTGGTCAACCAGACTACACCGCCCATCACCTCCCACAACGTGGTTATCCAGCCAGAGTCTCCGTCACAAGCATTCAATTTCACCAAAGCGAGTGCCACCGCCCGGCCGCTTCATGACAGCAAGGGCAGCAGTGTTGCCAGACCGCAGAATAAGGTTCGAAGTGTTATCACCATATTGTTTACATCGATTGCCGTTATGCACGAAGAGTTCTGGAATGGTCACATTTGAAGAGGGTGCGAATAAAGTTGAAGTCTCGGTATCTACGGATACCCACAAAAGTCACCTTTTTGACTGCGTCGAGGGCTCTCCAGAGAACTGCGCTAGATAGAGAGGCTGCGAAGCCATGGCAGAACACGAGCCAAAAATCCGCTGGATGCGGAATTCAAGAAGCTCTTGTTCCTTTGCTTCAAGTCTAGATTGAGATTGCCATAAAACTCTTCTAAGACCGTGGTCAATACCCATAGACTAGTAACTGCTGTTCCTGTACTTCCTTGCTCGAGGGTGTGAGAAGGGTCGTGAATGTGGTTCGAATCCTTGCTTTATGATATTGCCAACTTCATACTGTAGTTCGTAGTCTATGTCGCCAAGAACCGCGAGTGCTAACCATTGCATGAAATGTCAATCATCACATATGGCTACAGCGGTTTTTGATGTCGCGCAGCATTAATTGAAGTTGTCACTTACTAGTACCTTAACCTCCACACCAAATGGCTTCCGCTCTCACTATACGCACCTAGTTGCGACGTCTACAGGTCTTTTGTTTAGTTCTTCTGTCCTCCTGTCTCTTGTGCCAAACGGATACCTTCCATTGCTTTCAGCGCGACGCCAAAACAACCCTTGCTTAGAGATGCGACAGATCGGCTAGGAAATACTATACCTCGACAACATCACCGAGTGCCGTGTAAGCCGCCAAGTTGAGGTAAAGCCTCTGACACTCTTGGTAAGTGAGCGCAGTATATGAGCACCAGCAGAACCAGAGTGAAGCATCTGGACAGCCCAGAAATGGTGTTGGAGGTAGGTGAAAAGTGCTATATTTGAGAAGCCGGCGCGACAACGTCGCCATCTGCTGGCAGGCAGAGCTTGCTCAGCTCCATTATGCACAAGGCGCTCACCGACTGTCGCGTGGTTATATCAAGGGATTCTTTGATGAAGGGGCACACCAGCAAGGGTTTCCTGTGGCCACCATAGGCAGATGCTGTGCTGTTGACGGCGTGTCCTCTATGTACATGGGCATGCTGGCAGTCGCAAACTGCCTTTGGGGGGAATTGCGCCACCGTACTGCCGTGGAGTGGACGAGGCTGCCAATGCCAATATTCCAGCCTGAGTGGCTACCTAGGTAGGTATCGATGGATGGATGCACGTTTCTCCCCAGAGCCACTTTTTTATTATGGACACTGTGGGCATATCGCGCAGTTCTGCCTGGGCTGCTGTGTCAACCCAATCCGTGTCACCAGATATGTTTATGTCTGTGACTGTGTGACAAGGTCCACGCCAGGACAACAATGCTGTTAGTTTTGGCCTGCCGTCCGGCCTGCGATGCTGCCCGACGTCCACCAACGTAAAACGCATTGTCGGTGGAGGAGGCTGACGGGAATCTGTCGAACTACTATCGCGGTGTAAGTGGATCGTCAATCTCTCCCGCGATCACTTCTGTCCACATCTGTGTGGGCGGTGGTCTGCGAAAGAAGAGGCGCAGACCGGGAACGCAGAAAAGGGCTGCTCTGCGTCGAGACTAACAATAAGTGCGTGGACACAATACACGCAGGCCGCTTCTGCTATTGATTACCGTCTCACTTACGGCTTATGCACTACTTGACTTGAGTGACCCGAGCGCATCTCTCGACATGGTCAGTCAACCTATCCTTGATATCCACACCGAACCCGATACCTCAACCCACGGAATACAATTTCAAGGACAAGAGAAGAAGAATACAACCATGGCTACTACGAAATATCTCTTTCGCTACAAGACCCTTGGGGGATACTTCCTCCAGGATGACCCCGGCACCTCAGCGAAAGACTTTGAGTTCACCAAGACGAACTTCGGCCTAATCTCCCGAGCCTACGATTCTGACAAGACCCTCCCCGACGGCGGAAAAGGGATGACGGACTGGCAACGATTCGAACATCATCTCACCAAGCTGAATGAGGAAGCTGCACAAAAGGCAAAAGAAAACAACGGTTCTGCCGCCCAGGTCATCACCCAGTACAAGCTACTCTTCCTCGGCCGCCATGGCAACGGATATCACAACATCGCCGAACGCTACTATGGCAGTGAGGCTTGGGATTGTCACTACTCGCTGCTGGACGGCGATCCAGATGGCATCATCGTTTGGTCGGATGCGCACTTGAGCAAAGAGGGTCTTCGACAGGCGAGGGACGTCAACGAGTTCTGGAAGAAACAAATGGCCGAGGAGAAAATGAGTCTTCCGCAAGCATATTACGTCAGTCCCCTTGATCGAGCACTGGAAACTCACAAGGTCAGCTACGACGGGCTTGTGTCGCCATTCGAACCAATCGTCATGGAACGTCTGCGTGAGGGCACAGGCCTCCATACCTGCGACCGGCGCAGTTCCCTCTCGTACATCCGCAAGCACTATCCGACCTACAACACTACGCGTGACCGTTTCCTCACCGAAGCCGATGAGTTGTTCGAACCCAAGCTTCGCGAGCCAGACGAAAAAATCGAGGAACGCCTGGGCAAACTGCTTGACCAAATCATGGCCGAGGAAAAGAACGAACGCATCAGCTTGACTAGCCACTCGGGTGCCATCGGCGCCATGTTACACGTCTTGGGTCATCGTCAATTCTCTGTTGCTACTGGAGCCGTCATTCCTGTTCTGGTTCAAGTCGACAAGATTGCAGTCCCAGCCGCACCCGCCGTTCCCGGTGAAACGAAGCGTGATCCTCTGTCTCCCAGACATGGCGGCAAGGCGGAAGGCGGCTCACACGCCGCAGCAGCAAACAAGGCTGACAATGACAATGTCTCTGCTACCACCACTGGCGACTCGGACTCGGATCTGTCCTCCTTCCCCCTACGTCCCGACGTCGACGAAATAGACGACAAGTCCACCTGGAACCCTGCACCTCCGTGCCCGCCGGGCCTCGACCTAGCTAACGTCGGTTTCGAGCGTAAGGGAATGTCGATCAAAGACTTCGTCGCCGGCGTCGAGAATGGAACCATCCAGCTCGAAGAAGTCGCTTTTCGATCCAATCCGTGAATACTGCACTGCACTGCATTCCAGCAGATGAACCCAACCTCAGTGAACCGGAAGGAAAATGGTTCACCGACCAACCCGACTGGACAAAGTGCAGGGTTTAAGGGTTCACTTAAGTCCGACTCTTGCTATTATTGCTGTTTCCCCACGAGCTAGATTGGTTACATGCCAACAACCGACACACTCATACTCCCCTGTATTCACCACCCCACCCCCTGACATCAACTGAGCTGGAATCAAAGGAAGGAAGGAATCGAATGAATTCGGTTCGACGCAGGAACCCACAAACGAACAAAATGCTATTGGCGTCGGTCCAGATCGGCCGGCTTGCAGGTTATGGCGTGGCGTGGCGTTGCGTTGCGTTTCGTTTCCAGATGGCTACTACTACGACTGCTCTTAGGTAGTTGAATTACCTTACTACTAGTACGTAGGTAGCAGTAGCAATGGCATGCAGTGCAGAATCAGCAGATAGCTTAGCTTACCCCCATCAATGAATGAATGAATCAATGAATCATACCTTAGGTTGATGTTGAGTCGCTTGCTTTTGCAAAAAAAGGTAACGTAGAGTAGCCCTGTCCTTGTACTTGCGTGTCTCTGAAATAGTAGTGTCTATCGTGCTAGTTTTTGGAGGCTTTTTGTTGCTACTACTGGTAGGAGTAGTGTCCGAATGTCTGCGCAATCCTGTGGCACTGTACCTTACATACCTACATATCTACTGATGTACATGTACAGTATACTAGTAGTAGGTACCAAAAGTAAGGTAGGAAGGCATGTTCAAGTTCTGGTCCAGTGTTGTCATCACTGGACGTCCCCAGGGACGTAGCACCTTATGCTGTACTACATAACACCGCAACTCACCGTCTTTTGAGTTTAAGCTCGATATGTGGAGACAACAATCCAGGAACAGTTCTGATACATATCAAGAAAATGCCCAAGTCATTGACTTGGTTTCCAGCTCTTAGAAAAACTATGCAGTGGCACAATGACAGACTCGCACATCGACTCCCAAAACCTCATATCGTCCCAGGTGGGAACACCCGAGACGACATTCATGACCGAACCGGAAATGCAGTGGAAGACGGCTTGATAGTATTTCTCTACCGGCACGTCCCTGTCCTCCTCCAACCATGCAAATGCACACCCGCGTCGCTCCAAAAAGCTCCGTTTGGTCGCGGCATCCGGGGGATACGCTTTGTCCAGGGTGGTTTCATGCCATATCTCGAGGAGCAGGATGCCCAATTCAACCAGGGCCTCGCGCAGGGGCAAGTCCGGGGAGGCAACACTGCCCTGGCTTGTTGCACCTGCACCTTGTGGGCATGGGCCGAACGACATGGACATGAAAGCTCGGTCCAGGTCAGCGCCGTCTTGGGGACTATGGAGAAACTTGATGGTCTCGGCACATAATCTCGGGGAACTCCAGGGTGTATGTAGCAGTTGCAAGAAATTTGACGTAATGGTCCAGGCCAGATACATTTTTGTCTTGGGTGACATCCTAACGGCAGTGGCACTTGGTGCTCCTCCTCCTCCTCCCACACGCGTGACCGTGGAGCCGGGTTGTAGTAACGCCTGGAGAGGGACTGTTTCTCTGGCTGTGGAGGCCAACGGCTTCAACTGCCCGGTAGCGGTCTTGCTACCTGCTATCCGGCGATCCTTCGTCAGAGCAAACGTGAGGTGTCGGTTGTTGTTACGTGCCGCTCCAATTGCGGAACAAATGTCCTTGATCTCCTCTGCGACCTCTACGGGTGGCTTGCTCTCCGGCACGTTGATTTTGACCCGAAGTTTCCTGCCGGCCGCGCCTTGGCTTCCGGCATTTGGAGAGTTGCAACATCCTGAATCTTGCTGATCCCGGCCAACAATGTAGACCATTGATTCGTGCCAGAGGCAGTTCGGTGCGCATATGTCAGTGGCAAAAATCAGCCTGAATGCTTGCACTGGTAGATCCTGTTTTTGACGTATCCGGTTTGGTGGATTTCCCAGCTCCTGAATGCGGTCCTCCAGCAGCAGCTTCACCTCGTGGCTCTGGTGGCAGTTAACGCCCCATCGTTTGAAAAGAGCTAGGTAGAGATCTTCTGCGTAGTTCCGCATCCTCCACAGCGCTGTTGCAAGCTTCTTGGCCCGTCGCGAAGGCTTCTGCTCAGCCATTTGATGGTTGGAAGAGATGAGCCGTTGGAGCCGGTCCAGCGTATCAATGGAAATCCTAAGCTTTTCACAATCTTTGTCGAAATCCTTGATCTTAAAAGTCAGAGAAATGCGAGCCTTCAAATCCGACCACCCCTTTTCACTCTGTTTGTTGGCTTCGAGGATTGAAGAAAGCTCGCTAGACTCCTAGCATTGTTCAGCCTTCACATTCACACGGTCCATGGTACAATATTGTCTCCTACCTTGATCGACGGGACGAGTCGGGCTACTTTGGTGATCAGATGCCGGAAGATCTGTTCGCAGTGTTCGAAAGCGCCTACCAAGACGTCGTAGTGACTTCCTAGATAGTCCTCCATTGCTTGTCTCGTATCAGAATCGGCGAGCATTGTTTGTATCCCGGAGTCATCGTCATCAGACGGAATCTCGCATCCACTGTTCTGAAGCATGCAATTGAGCAATAGTCTCAGCGCCAAGCGGTGCTCAGTCAAGGTGCGACAAAGCGTCTCGATGGTCTTTCGTTTGCGGATACCGCTTCCAACAGCGTTAATAGTCTCCTTGTATGAGCTCAACCCATCGACAACAAGCGGTATTATTCCAAGAATGAGGCCGACAACCTCGACACCAGACATTATGAGCAAACCAGCCCTGGAAAGGCATGGACGGCCACGCGCATACTGAGGACTCCGCGTATAGCCTCCAGGCTTTCGGTGTCTGTGCCCGATATGGTTCTACCCCTGGCTTTGTAGATTCTTCCTTCGCCGTCGAATAAGAGACGTATTGGGATAATCAAAGAGGCCGCAGGAAATAGAAAAACAGATACGGCACGAACCATCAGAATCAGCTCCCTACATGTCGTTAGGGTCGAGGGAAAGACTGGGGGCCATCTGTGGCGACTGCGCCGCAATAGTAGTGCCAGTGTTTCAGTTGAAGCGAGAGCACACCCGATGTTTCAGGCAAACCACACGCAGAAAGCAAGATCGGTCCCGCACCACCTGGAACGACCGCCCAGGGGCCACTGCAAAGCGTCGACCGGTGAAGTAGGGGTCGCCTTGCAATGGCCTTGCGAGGCCCACCGCCGCCTGCAGGTAAGCGCCCTGGCTTGGGAATTTCGCTTAGCTGCGCAGCTAGACCGACCCGATCAGAGTTGACTCCGGCCAGTTGAATCGTTGCTTTTGATCTTTGAACCAGCAAGGCAGACCAGGGAGATCAGAAGGTGCCATCTTTCTCAGTCCAGTTGACGTTCTCCCGTCAGACGGAACACAAGGGTAGCCACATGTCAGCCTCTCATTTGTTTCCGCGGCAGATCTGGGCGCGCCTAAGCACAATAGTTCCTCCAACACGACGAAGAAAACACGAATCGAAAGCCAGCTCAGCCAAGCGAGGAGCTAGGGTGATCGTCAATCATGGACAGGCGGCTCGGAGCGTCAGAAAGCAAGACGGGAAAGGCGAAACAAGGCACCGTGCAGGGTGTCACTTGTCGCGGATGGCGCCTCCCGCGCAACCTTGAGTTAGCGACATGGACAGCTTGAAGATTCAAGACCCAAGGTTCTCGTGCGACATGGCATAAATGGTCCCTCAGTCGGTCAACTCGGTGAGATAGCCATTACTGTTTGCCGGGGCACACGATGACACAGTAGATTGTTGATGATGGGACAGCGATGGCTCATCGGACTCAAGCATGGTCGCTCCCAACTCCACCAGATTGGCATCGCTAGGCAGAGGCGTCTCGATTTCTTTCCACGATGTTCTTGCTGTCCTAGATCCGAGCTCAAGCAGTGTCCGACTCGACGAAACGGACTCTGAAAGTCATGCTCTGTTTCTCTATGAATATGAACGATTCCACATATGGACGGTCGACCTGGGGCTTCTGGTTCCGGCGCACGGTTCCCTCGACTACCGGCTTCGCGAGGCGGACCGCCTGGCACACACATTTGAAGTGTTTTTGGCCGATTTGAACCAGTATCTGCAGGAAACACTTCAATTGAAGCGCTCACAGACATACCAGGACGATGGAAAGATCCGGCTCTCTACTCAGCCTTCTACACCTTCACAGCAAGCCCAGTTTGACGAGTCGGTGCTTGAGGACAGCAGCGATGAAGAAGATCTTCAACCGCAACAGCACCTACGGCTGCTCCTAGATAGTGTCAGGGAAGTTATTGACGGCCTATTCCGATTGTCCACAAGGATCAGGAACCCAGCAACAAGACTGGCCTCTTCCAAAGCAAAGCTGTTTCAGCAGATCGACGTCGACTCTGGAGTTGATCTCATCAAGGCTTTCGGCCATTATGATCATGACTATGTCCTTTCGCTGTTTGCCTGGTTTCAATCCAAAGCGCCCGAGGAAGCACGCACAGGCGACCTTGCTGCTCTTTGGCCGACAGACAGCCAGGCTGATCTGTGGCACCGAGACGAAGATTGCTCGCTGTGTGAGGCAAGGCAGCATGTAGCCGAGCAAGCCGCCTATGCTGGAAGCGAAGATCAGGAAGAGGAGGAGCCGACATGCTCGGCGGGAGGGATTCTGACATCTTTTCTTATACATCGCATTGCACGCGCCAATAATCAGCGGCGACAACAGTTTGGATACTGGAAACATCATCGAAGCAACCTCGTCAAACATACCCAGGCCACTCTTGAGCGAACATTTCCGCTTGTTCCTGCAAATGAAGAGCCTGCAAATTTGAATCCGGGGCATCAAGGGGCGACTCCTGCAGTTGGAAGGCAGGCCTTGAAACTCGCCGACTTGCTGGCTCCTCCCACAGTGACTACGGCCACCAGGCTCCAGCCGGCAGTGATAGAAAACATGGACGCCATGTCGGTGACATCTGTATCCGAATATGCTCCTTCGAGCTGGGCACCCGATCGTGAGCGAATTCAATTTCCACCACCGCCAAAGATATCCCCAGCTGAAAAGTTTTTCGAATGTCCCTATTGCTTCACCATCTGTCCCAGGCAGATGCTTTCAGAGAAGGCATGGAAGTATGATAACCTTGACCATCCTTACCTGAAACATGCTGAGTGACTCTGCAGGGCACATCTGATTCATGATCTACGTCCATATATCTGCACATATCCGGATTGCAAGTCCGCAGGCCAGCTATACGACACCCGCAGCGACTGGATCGAGCATGAAAATACCTTTCACAGAAAGCAGTGGCGCTGTCCCACTCACTCGGACGAACTGTACCCTACACTGAAGGCATTTAGGGAGCATATGGAAATGCTTCACCCAGCTGAGATCGACCTAATGAGCTCACAGACCTATCTTCGCTCCTGTGAATCATTCTCTGCCAGTGCAGATCGGCCATGTCCCATTTGTTTGTTTTCGGCTGCCGATGCAAGATCCTTGCACTCACATATTGCGCTTCACCTCGAGCGCCTTTCCCTCTTCTCTCTACCCAGGGGAGCAGGTGACGATGAAAAGGATGATGTCGGCTCCGATGTCGCCGTTGACGCGGTACAGCACTCACGGGGTGATGAATCTGAGCTTTCTGTGGACATTGGCGACGAGTGGGATAATCTCGAAGAGGCTGTACGGATGGGTGATGTTGAAAGGATCGAGTACATCCTCCGAGATCAGGCGACAGAGACAGATTCTCATTCAACAAAGCTCGATAACGCTTTGATCGAGGCTGCCAAAACCGGTGATATCGACGTCGTGGAGACTCTTCTAAAGCATGGAGCAACAGTAAGAGCACCAAGAGACGTTTACGACGATACTGCATTGATGGCAGCTGCGTCTCAAAACCACTCGGATGTCGTGAGTTTACTGCTACAACATGGTGCGGATGTTGATGCTTGCTGTGGTGCACGCACCGCTCTCAGCGTAGCATCGGAATGCGGACAACTTGAAGCGGCACGCACGCTCATAGAGCATGGCGCGGACGTAAACTTCCAAATCGAGGGACTCCCTATCGCATTGGAGGCGGCAGCAGCCCAGAACGAAGTCGATGTAGCCAAGGTACTTATTGAAAATGGAGCCGACCTTAATCTTTCAGGACAAGCCTCCTTGGATAGGGCATCAGCCAGCGGCCATCTCGAAATGGTTAACTTCCTGCTCACTGCCGGGATCCCTACAGTGGGGAACGAGGAGCATAGACCGCTGCACAGTGCTGCGGACTGCGGGCACGATAAAGTGGTAGCGAGGCTATTGGAGGCTGGGGCAGACGTCAATGCTAGGGCCATCGATGGACGCACTGCACTTCATGACGCTGTCACTTCTGGTAATAGCAGATGTGTGCAACTGCTTCTGGAAGCAGGAGCGGACCCAAACGCCACAAACGGGCTAGAGTCGCCCTTGCACTTGGCTTCGCGATATGGACACGAAGAAGCTGTCAAGTTGCTTATCGCCGCTGGAGCAGACCTTGAGATAACAAATCGCGTCAGTGGCACAGCACTTCAAACAGCAGCAAAAGCTGGTCACAGCCATATCGTTGATACTCTTCAGACTGCGGGTGCACGAACACAGCCCGAGGAATATAGCATGTCGGGCTTGATGGGAGAACATCTCTCTGCTGCTTCGCATGCCTCAAAGCCACAACCAGCTGACGTGCCCCGTCCATGGGACGTCCGTTCCGATTTCCACGATGCTGATGATCTTAATTTGACTCTACTGCATGACATTTCCCAAGATTCCATGGTGGCTTGTGTAAATTTCTCAGAGAATGGGAAGTATATCATCATCGGTTGTCGTCAGAGAGCTAAAATCTTCGAGGTCGATGACATTTCGGATGTAATTGAGCTGAGGCACGATGTGCAAGCTGATGCCGACGTTTATGTCCGCTCAGCCTGCTTTTCGCCAGACAATCGAATGGTCGCCACCGCAGCAGATGACAGCTCGGTCCTGCTGTGGGACTTCGACACAAGGAAACTCAATTCGGCTTTAATGGAGGGTGACGGGATCGGTACGTATCACGTCGCATTTTCCCCCGACGGTAAGAAGGTGGCGATGGCGTGTGGCGATGGTACAGTGCAGTTGTACAGCATCGAAGACCTAAACCGACAATGGTGGAAATTTGATGCTGGTGTCGCTGCGTTGGCATTTTCCCCTGATGCTCTTCTGCTGGCGGTGGGCACATTGGACAACCATTTATTTCTGACCGAACCTGGTGATGCCGGGCAGCAACCTTGCAGACTAGAAAAGGACGAGCATCAAGACTCGGTTATCAGCGTGGCATTTTCATCGAATAGCAGGAAGGTATTTACAGGCAGCCTGGATTGCACAGTGAAGAGCTGGGAAATCGTCGAGGTCGCCCCTGCAGAAATCAAATATCAGACCTTGACAATGCCTGGGCACGAGGTAAGTACTCTACCCGCCAAATGCTGATTATATTGCTCACCTAACCTCAAAGGACTATGTCCTCTCTGTCGCCGAACTAGCAACCACCGATTTGGTCGTATCTGGATCACGGGACAGAACAATCCGCATCTGGGACAGCGAGACCGGGGACCAGCGAGTGCTCTTGAAAGGACATAAAAACTCGGTCGTCTCTGTTGCAACTTGCCCAACAAGAAAACTGATAGCGAGTGGATCAGCAGACATGACATTCACGATCTGGCGGTATGACTGAAAGCATACCAGCTGGACAATGGTTAGACATGTACACTCATGGAGTCCTTCGGGTCGCTCTGCAAACACTGGGGCTCCACATCAAAGTCGCCAGTGACATACTTGGTGATGTGTGACAGGCACATGACATACTCTTTGATCTCTTTGCTCGTTTCGGTCTTTGTCTTGCTCGAAATAACACCACAAAGACTGTCACCGCTTTTGGCAAACAAAGCACTATTCACTGCCCTCTGAGCCTAGTACATCCGAGACAAAGGATACGCAAAGCACTGCAAGAACCACTTATATATATAACATGAAAAGAGCATAACTTGGATAGGATCAGTGAGCCAAATCGCTAACCAACATTTCCCTCAACTGACAATGGCAGCTTCACAAAGTGGAAAATTTGCAACCTTGGGTGCACGTGTGGTTGCGTCTTTCAGCGAGACGCTGCAAACCTTCGAAACAGGCCAGAACGAAGACGGCGACATCTTTTCCGAGGCACTTTTTATAATTCAGAATGAGTTTGAGTATTTCCAGATGTTCGCCACTCGAGTTCCGCTTTTCGCTGTTGGTGATCGCTCCGTGGATTCACAACTCTTGCCGAGCGAGTGTCGGGTCGGCCAACTGGGCGGATTGCTTGAAACATACTTGACTCAGCTGGACTCAAACCTGCAAGAGTGTGTCGAGCTCTGCCGTACCGAAAGAGGTCGAAAAGTGACGGATCCTCAGACTGCAGAGAGCAGCGAACTTGAAGGCAACACACATACCACGGATCCTGAGACCTTCTCGCAGAGCTTAGGCGATGACTGCCTGGATCGTGTTGTCTTCGACGACAGTGATGAAGAAGAAGTGACTCCATCTGAACATCTGGGTCTCCTGATGGAACAAATCCATGACATTAGATGCAGCATGCTTGGGTTTTTCAGTCACCATTGGGCCAACATCCACGAATAAGTGCGAGATGATGATGAGCACTGGGAGGAGGACGAAGAATACAGTTGAAGCGTCCTAGGGGCAATTGTGCTACCATACACCTGACGATACTACATAGTACACTGGCAGTATCGACCTGGGTAGGTCTATTAGGTAATTCTATTAGCTCTTGCCATTGGCCGTCTGGGAGCGGTGCTTAATAAGCAACACTATGAACACATTATTGGAAACTTGGTAGTATTTAGGGTGTATGATGGTCCTCATCGGCACCCAATTCCGTCCCCAGTCGGCCCATTATTATTATTGTAGTAGGAAGAAGCGATGACTCAATCATGGCTGGTCTCGGCGACACTCTGCAATGGCAACTTCTAGATGCAGGCCTGAGGCTGTTGGCCACACAACTCGCCTCAATTCAACTCGTTTCAACTCAACACATCTCAACACACCTCAACACACCTCATCTCACCACAACTCGACTCAGTGCAACGACTTCGATTTCCTCACGATACTATACCTCCACATCTCCTTGCCTTGCGTTGCAATCACCATCACACGATCGTCGGCAGAGCCCTTAAGACCTTTGTACGTCTTGTAAACCCGTGACCATGGCCGACAACGAATGGGACAGTGTCACCCGCATTGGCAGTAGAGTTCGAGCCGGTGGCGGCGCTGCTGAGCGCGAGCGAGTTGTCAAAGGGAGAACTGCCCTCAACGCAGCTCAACGATCCGGCGCCATCGTCTTGACCGAGAAGAAGTATGGCGGCACCAACACAGTAAGCAATTTTCAAGGCAGCCCTCTCCGCACCATGGGGCTTGTTTTCGTTCACATCTGACCTCATGACCACAGAAATCAAACGTTGAGGGACAACATGCGACCAAAGTCGACCGTTCCGACGATATCGTGCCTGTCAAAACGGTCGGCAAGGAAGTTTCCCTAGCCATCATCAAACGCCGAAACGAGATGCAACCGAAGTTGACACAGAAGGACCTGGCCACGAAGGTCAATGAGCCTGTGTCGGTAATACAAGCCTTGGAAAAGGGTGACGCCCAACCCAATCAGCAGGTGCTCGCCAAACTCGAACGAGTTCTGGGCGTCAAGCTCCGGGGGAAGGGCATTGGCACACCCTATGGCGCCCGGAAGGGCAATTGATGTGAATGCAAGAGGAGGGCCACATGCAACAGAAAGCATGCCGTTTGAGTGCCTAGCCGCGGCTTCATTGCCGTTGCCAATCTGCGAGCGGATGGTGCTGAAAGCCAGTTACGCCAGCAGCCTTAGCCTTATGCAAGGCCTTTGACAGTTGACTGGAGTCCGGGAAAGCTGGGTTTTCCACGTGGAATCTTTCGGAGTTAGAAAGAGTCGGGTATTATATGGACGGGGACTGGGTTCGGTTCATTGCCGAGAAGTCATCTGTGAGCGGCTGGACTGCGAATCTCAGAAGCCTGCCAGAACTAAAGGTGATGGAGATGGATTCGCTGAATCAGAGGCATTGAAAAGGGGGTATACTGCCTGTGAAGGCATTTTTACAGCTTCGTCCAAACGGTTCCCAATTATAGAGCACGAATTCACAGATGTCCAATGGCATATTCACCTCTTTCATCCCCTGCACATTCGCAAACTTTCGGGCCTGCTAACACATTCCCATCGCCCTACTGCACCACTGTAGCAGACTCTCTGTCATTTGTTTCCAGACTTTCTGGCCCTTCCGTTAAGAGGTCCTACCAGAATAGAGGCAATGCGGTGAGCGGAAACGTAGCGTAATAATGATGCAGCGGGGGAATATAATTATCTCGATGGACCACAGAAATGCTGGCGAAATCACATGGTAGAGTTCTACTGAGGCTAGAAGTAATTATCAACACAAGCAATACCAGCCCGCCAATATAATATGTTATCAATTGGCCGCCAGTGCCAATGCCGGGTGAGATCCAATGGTGCAAAAGCCTAAGTATTATTGCCTGGCGCGTGTGTCGGTAAACTCGCGAAGACTAGTTTCTACTCTCTCCATAAGCTGGAACACACAGGTAGTGATGGTGATCTCAGGATGTGAACAACCAAGTACTTCTACAATTCTACTAGTAGTAAGCACGCAAAAAAGGCTCTTTTTCTCTATATAGACCGACACCAACCTGGCTCGACGAAATCCAACAGCACGCTTCGCACAAGTCAATCCAATCGTCTCTACTATGTAGGTATGCCACCAAAGATCGCAATGACCAACCCCACCGCATGCCATGCCGACTGTCTCTCTCTCTCTGTATGAATCATACGCATGAATTTGTCTGTATGTGGATTCAGAAGAAAACAACAAGTCCGTCCGTCATCGATCTCGCATGTGCCAACGCTCAAGGAATGCTCAGGTCAAGACGACTGCAGGGGTGCGCTACACTGTACTGCACTCCATGGCAGCTCTGTGCACTGGTTGACTCAGTTCTTGACGGCACCGACTTTCCCAAGACCCTCGCCTTCGAGGTTCTTCTTGAAGCGCTTCTCAATGGCCTCCATGAACTGCGAGGTGGTGACCCAGGCCTCGCGGTCCTTGCGGCCACAGGCCAAAGCCAGATCCTTGGTCATGACGCCATCGTCATTGACGGTGTCGATGACGGCCTTCTCCAACGATTCGGCCCAGGTGACCAGCTCGGGGGTGTTGTCGAGTTGACCACGCTTGACCAGGCCACGAGTCCAGGCGAAGATGCTGGCGATCGGGTTGGTCGAGGTCTCACGACCCTTCTGGTATTCGCGGTAATGTCGGGTCACTGTGCCGTGAGCGGCTTCGGACTCGTAAGTCAATCCATCGGGCGAGATGAGCTGCGAGGTCATCAGACCCAGAGATCCGAAGCCCTGGGCGACAATGTCGGATTGCACGTCGCCGTCGTAGTTCTTCATGGCGATGACGAAGCCACCGCTGGACTTGATCATCTGCGCCACCATGTCGTCAATCAGACGGTGCTCGTACCAGATCTTCTTGTCCTCAAACTGCTTCTTGTATTCGTTGTCGTAGATCTCTTGGAAAATGTCCTTGAAGCGACCATCGTACGACTTGAGGATCGTGTTCTTGGTGCTCATGTACAGCGGGTACCCGCGGTCCAGGGCGAACTTGAAACTGGCGTGCGCAAATCCTCGGATGCTGTCATCGGTGTTGTATTGGGTCTGGGCAACACCGCCGGTCTCGGGGAAGTCAAAGACCTTGATCCGCTGGGGTTCGCCTTTCTTGGGCGTGAAAACCATTTCGAGAGTGCCTGCCTCACGGAAGACTTCGTCTTTGGCGCGGTATTGGTCACCAAAGGCATGACGACCAATAATGATGGGCTGCTCCCAACCAGGCACCAGACGGGGAATGCGTGGAATCACAATGGGCTCACGGAAGACGGTGCCGCCGAGGATGTTACGGATGGTTCCATTGGGCGATAGCCACACTAGAAGCGACGGTTAGCAAATGTGATCATAGGAGTTGTTTGCGACGACTGTCTTACTCTTCTTTAAGTTGAATTCCTTGACACGAGCCTCATCGGGGGTGATGGTAGCGCACTTGACACCGACCGAGTATTTCTTGATGGCTTCGGCGGCGTCGATGGTGACCTGATCGTTGGTCTGATCGCGGTATTCCAAACCCAAGTCATAATACTTCAGGTCGATGTCGAGGTATGGGTGGATGAACTTGTCCTTGATATCCTTCCAGATGATCCTGGTCATCTCATCGCCATCGAGCTCGACGACGGGGTTCTTGACCTTGATCTTGGCCTTCGCAGCCGAAGAAGCGCTTCGGCTCTGGACCGTCGCACTCGGGGCACCCATCCTCCTTGTTTCTGCTGACAACCTGTTGACCGTTACAGAGGCCATGCGAAATGAAGGAGAGGTTGAGGCGCAGACTCGGAAGGTCGAAGGACGTCTTGCGGCACAACCAACCAGCGCAGACCTGATTGGATTCATCGGAACGGCGAGGGGACGGGGTCGGAGCTGGAAGGTCTCGAATATAAACCAGCCTGCCAGCCGTGGGCAGGATTTAGTCCGTATTGTGTGACAGAACTCCCGAGGATGGATTCCGCAACCTAGATTTCCCAACCCGTATTAAAGTGAATTAAAGCTTTTGCGCAGTTACTTCGGCGACCTCCAGCATCGGCGCTGTTCCATGTGGAGCGGTTCCCGGATCCGGCTGAGAAGGAGGAGGGAATGCCGAGGATGCGTGGGACAGCCGACGTGGGGTGGATTGGGTTGGATTGGAAAGCAAAGATGCCACTGCTACTGGTTCTCTGCTATCAGCCAGTCCTTGATCTCAACGAAGCGGCCTGCGATCTCGGAAGTGCTCGCGAGAAGGGTCCGTGGTGGAGCGCCCCCAAGGGGAACCCGAGGCTGGTGCCTGTAACAAAAGTATTACTAAGCCTGCAAAGGGCGGAATCATCAAAGCGGCAAGGTTTTCCAGAGTCTGTTCTGAGGCTGCCAGTCCCGGTGCAGTAGTGCAACGTAGACGAGCCTCACCAAAGTCCAGCCTGCTTCCTTTGACGGTTTGACGACGACTCTACTACAAACATCATACCGCTTGTTTCCTGCCTACTCAACACCCCTTAATCACCTCCACATCTAATACCAATCATGGCCGACAAGCTCCGTACCCTTCAGCAACTCGAGTCGCTCCAAGCGAAATATGTCGGCACGGGTCACGCTGACACCACGCCGTACGAGTGGAAGAACAATATTGTGCGTGACTCGTATGCCTCTTACGTCGGACATCCTCCTCTTCTGGCATACATGGCACTGGGTCTGGGGGAAAACAAAGAGATTGTCCGGGGTCAGTTCATTGAGAAGATGATCAGGGCCAGCGGTCCGCCACCTCCACGAGAAGAAGATTGAACGATGAAGATTATTGTCCACACGAAACTACAATTTTCAACATTCCCTCCCCCACCAACTATGGCTTGAAAATCGAGTCCAGGGATTTTTGAAAGGGCCAGCTCTCGCACACCGCGTCTCTCGCACATCGCATCTAGCCTTTCAGCAATTCATCCCGGACTGCAAGTCGGAAACGCTGCACCCGCCGTTGCAGAGCCGGCGCGTTTGTGGAGGTAGATGGGCACCGCGCGTCTTGGGAAGATTCTACAGAACGCCTTGTCGACGCTGAGACGTTGGCTGAACGAGAATGAAAGCGCTACGACAATATGCCGCGTCCTCTCAAAAACAGATCATGAGCCAGACTTTGCTGGAAACTTATTTAGTGGCGCCGTTAAGGCGTACAGCACACTCTGCGTCTACAACCACCTCAGTTGAGTTGTCAGATCACAACCATCCCATCGCAATAAAACGCCCGGGATTTGGTTGCAAATATGTCTTGTTGCAGTGGCGTTAGGGCCCTGGAAGGAAAAACAAATGAAATATAGGACTGTCAGGACAATTTGCCATCGCTTGTCGCCGAGACGGCATTTTTCTCGTTACCAGAAATCCCCCTTGACGCCGAATCCCATGCTCGCCGGTTGATTCCGAAATTCCCTTTTTCAGTGTGTGCCCATTAGTCAATCCCTCTGCCGTGCCTATAGCCCCTGGTCCGTGTGGTTGAAACTCTACCCAAATTCATAGTCGTAGCCTTCGAGGACTGAAAAGTTGAAACGTTAAGAACACCGATTCGTCATCAAAAAATACCGTTGACAATGTTGCTGCCGATGGTGGCGCCGGCTCCGAAGATGGCGGCATTTCCCATTTTCTTGCCAAACTTCTTGCCTTGTTCCTCGAGCTTGCTGTATTTCCGGCCTTCGGAGTTGGTGGTCGAGCCCGTCTGGCTGATTTGTAGAGGCATGTTGCCATAGTCGGACGATTGTGGCAGAGCCATTGGGGGCCGCTTTTCATCGATAACATTGACATAACTGCGAGGGAAAATGCCTTCGAGATTTGTCCGTTCGTTGCGGCCACGCCACCCTAATTATATGTTAGCAGTAATTCTAGAATGGAATGAGCATGACGTCTAACGTACAATCATTGTTCATATGTTCCGTCACTTGTATCCGGTCTCCTTGTTGCAGCGCCAAGTCACCGGCGTCGGTGGGTGTGTATGCATAGAGAGCGGTTGCAATGGACAGGATCTGGGGAGTCTGTACATATGCTGGTGGTGGAAGAGGGGCTGGTGTCGGAACAGGAGCATAGTGTTCTTTCAGGCTCATATTTGAAAACTGGTCGACCGGAGTCTCTGTCGATGCATTGGCGGGAGCATGTAAAGGAGCATGTAAGGGCGTCTGGGCCGGAAGTTGGGCTAGGATCGAGGACAACTGTTCTGGCGAGATGATGGAGGTGTCTGCGAGGAATTCGAGTTCCTGTAAAATGTCAATGTGAGCAGCCGGCTTTGTGTAGTGACGAGGTTACACCCACAGTGCGAATTGTACGGAGAGAACGGTTAGTCAGGGCGATGGAGGCCTCGGTGGCCATGATGTCGCGCCGGATAGAGATTGAACGCGTATGAGAGGTAGGAGAAGCGAAACCGCAGCTGACCAGAGATAGAAAGAGAGTGGTAGTCTCAACCTGCAGTGGGAGAGTTGAGGGATGTGATAGATGCAGTAGTGGATGGACGTCGGTGTGGACAGGTTGAGGCGCAGTTTGAGGTTGTGACCAAGTCCAATTCAGGGACCCACGGCTCAGCTACCAGAGTTCGGTACTTGAGCAGCGCTGGCACAGGCTGGCAGTGGATGTCAGCTAACCACTGACTACAGAGAGAACAGAGAAACAACGCAGGACTGAAGAGAACATGCAACGAGAGCCAGTGATGGAGTCCTTTTGGGCGCTGGCTGGGGCGGTGGTTGCAGGAAAGGCTTCGGCGGTGCCAGTGCCCAGCGAAGCGGTAAGGGACTGGGAGCACAATTGATGGGCGCTTAATTCAGAGGAGTGAAACAGATCTGGTACGGCTCCGTCTGGCAGTGAAAGCATGACAAAGTCGAAATAATCTATTTGCTTTTCTTTGTCTTTACAAAATGCCTCGCACGGGCGGATTGGGTACAACCTGGAAATTGTGCATTTATTATTGTGGTCACACGGACGTTTTCTCTGTATGACTCCGAGCCCGGTACATGTCTCAGATGCACAAAAGGTGAGGTCTTGTCCAAGAGGCATCGGCCTGAAGCAAGTATCAAAATCTATATCCTGACTGATTGATGCAAAAGTATTCTACGAATTCAATGCGTATTTTGCGGTGCCTGCAACGAAAAGATATCTCTTTTCATCTAGAGGGACTGCGCAGTGCGTGTGCCCGGGGAAGTGCATTGATGTTGTGACACGCTTGTTCCGGGGTGTCTTGAGCATCATTCCCGGCCTAATGTGTCAGATCCGTTAGCGCGATTGGCATGGAACTAATACCTAGGTAGTGAAATTAGCGCAGTCCCAAAAAGGGACGCCCAGCCTTGCCTTCGTTTTGGCAGCCCGTATTTCGCACAATAGCATCCTTATTTCGCACAAAAACTAAACTACTTTTGGCAATACCAAGAGCCCTTCTACTATAAGGTTTATAACACCCAGAGATTACAGCTAGGTACGCGCTAAATTACTATATACCTACAATACTTTACAGCACCCCCTATTACGCCTATAACTGTTCACCTATAACGCCTATAACGCCTATAACTGTACGCCTACAACGCCAACAGTACGCCTACAACGCCAATAACTATACGCCTACAACGCCTATGACTACAAACCTACAACGCCTACAACTGCACACCGACAGCGCCTATAACTATACACCTACACGCCTATAATTGCGCGCCTATAACTACGCACTTCTAGGGGTATATAGTTATAGGTATATAGTTATAAGTGTATAGTTATAGGCGTATAGGTATAGGCGTGCAGGTATAGGTATATAGTTATAGGTATACAGTAAAGGCGTACAGTTATAGGTACCCTAGGTGTGCAGTTATAGGCGTTATAGGCGTTACAGGCGCAGAGCCGTACCGCAATAGGCGGGTGGGCAATAATATAGGATATATTAACTTGCGCAATACACGGCGCTATAGGCACTAAATGAAAGTGAACTAAAAATCGCTAAAATAGGTTTAGTTTTTATGCGAAATAAGGATGCCATTGTGCGAAATACAGGCTGCCCTTCGTTTTCGTTTACAGCTGCTTCAAGTTCTTGGACTTCGCATGACATCCATCCAAGGCATCGCTGTCACGATAACTTATAACATGTCATCACTGCCCGGTGTTGCTGATTGTTCTCCTTACCATGACTGTCAATAATGTATTTCTCATTGCAACACACCTCTCTGGTGCTGTCGAACAAGACGGCCATTGATTGTTATTCATAACCTGCTTTCCTCCACTTCCATGGTCGTGGAAATAGACAAGACAATCATGCATGCAACATGCCTTGCAGCAGACTGGCTCATCAGTGCCGGAGATCTCTATGTTCCAGAACACAGCAATGCAGATTGCCTCTCGTTTGGCGTCACTAACCGTGACAGAACTTCAAGATCCGTCCCAGTTCTTTGTTCCCCTTCATGTGCCTTTCGTTTGGATCTCCAGATCACTGTCATGCTGGTTGGTCGTGACACTGATTGAACTTCTATGCTTTGCTTGTCAGCCCTGTTTGTCACCAGCCAGGGACAAACGTGAATTTCAGCATCTCAACATATATGAAGTGATTCTTGTTTCTTGCAACGTGCTGTTCACTTGTTCTCCCCAAGCTATTGCGTTCATGGTGATTGCGACACATGCTGTGAATGAGATATACATTTTGCAGCACCAATCCTTCGTGATACGTCTCCAACTGCTACAGTCACTCAGGCTCTGAACACAACATCACTCCTATTGTCCCTATAGTAAGTACCACCCAATTCAGAGTGCAATGGTTATTCACGACCTCGTCGCAATTCCCCTGTTCATTCACTCGATTGAGTCATGTCGAGGTCGAGGACTTTCTATAAGTATCTCCATTTCTGCTCCTCGTTTTCTTGTTCTCCTCGACTTCCCTCGCGCAAGCCAGGCATTTTGCTTTATGCTCACGTCCAATATAAAAATACTGACTGGACAAGGTCTTTTGCAAGCAACCCAGCAAGTCAGACTGTCAAGATGTCGAAGCAGCAGGCACTCAAACCGCAATATTTTGTTACCCGCCAAAATGGTGCCATGGTCCCTCTCATTGCCATGGATGAGCTGCCGATCCATGTCCAGATCCGCGGGGTCTCACGTATCCTGGATCCATACGATATCGGCGGAATGATCTGTGCGGGCGTATCCGAATCTCGACATCAATATTACGTCGTCGAAGCACTCAACAACACCAAACCTTTGGTCCTCGAGAGAGGCAATGTATCCGCAACTACCGGACAAAAGATGACAGAGCCTGTGAAGACGGTCGCTCCAGTGGCAAGCACACAAATGTTACCACCACCAAAGCCTGTTACACTATCCTCGACCGCGCCACCAAAAGCATTTGGGATCGAGGAACGGCAACCGAGCGATGCCACAAGCAGTTCATGCACGGTATCTAGTGTGTCGGGCGATGGAGAAAGCAAAATTGCGGAACGCGGCAACAACCATAACGCTTCTCCCAATGCCGATACTTCCACTGCTAAAGAGACACAACAACGCCAGGACCAAGGCGACATTGGTCAAACAAAGACTCCAGTCGGCAGCAAGGAATACTGTTCCTTCTGGATCCGTCGTGGTGAATGTGACTATGCTCAACAAGGCTGTGTATACAAGCATGAGATGCCTCTCGACCTGCCCACTCTCGAGCGAATCGGTCACCGTGATATTCCACGCTGGTACCGCGAGAAGTATGCTTTAGGCAGTCTCCTTGTCGCCGGAGGAAAGAATGGACCAAGTTTTGGAGTGGCCGATCCCAACGCGACACAGCGGAATTGGCGTGTCAGCGATGATGCGAAACGTATGATTTGCCACGGACTTGGGGTATCTTCCGCCGGTCGTGGTGGAGCTCACAACTACAGATACCGCAACAAGAACCACGCCTGTGCCAAAGACAGAATCCCCGAAACGGAAAAGAAGACGGCTCCTACGTCGAAGGAAGACGATAAGGAGAAAGAGCGGAGGAAAGAAGCTATTGCCCTGAAACTGAACGAGATTGAGGAGAAAGAGCGCAAGGCTCTCGCGGCCAAGTACAAAGTCCTCAGACCCGATCATCGTTCCATCTTCGATCACGATCTGGACAGCGAGACATTCAGCAACGGTGAAGCACCTAACGATTTAATGGCTCAGATTCGTGCAAAGGAGCAGGCTGGATGGGAAGAGGAAAAAGCAAAGGCACTGGCGGCCACTCTCGATACCAGCGGAGAAAGCAGCATAACATCTGCCAAGCAAGCAGACTTGGGCAAAGGCATGAGAGGTGGCAGACGCCGAGGAGGCGGCAGACGGAGAAGAACTTGAAGCGAGGCTTCCAAAACTGGTTGTACCGTGGCGCCTGGTTCGGATCAAGTACTTCGGCTGGCAGTAGGACATGCTTTTGCTCACTCCTCACTCTGATGGGTTCTAGATGGATTTGCATTGATTGTTTTACAACGTCCTTTGCGGACTGATACCCCCTCGGTTCAATGTTTGTACATAGCTGTGCACGGCCTCCTTGCTCGTAGAAGCGGGTGTCTCGCCTGCACCCAACAGCGCCTGGTTTTGTCTGGCATGTAACAGCTCCTGTATCCTGCCCGGTTTCAATTTCCACTCCTCTGGGAATGTAACCTGTTTCTTCGACTTGTGGTGGCGGAAATCCAGCGGAATATCCTCAAAGGTGTCAGCACCGTTCCTTGCCTCGTCGAGTAACTTATTGACCAGATCACCTAGGTACCGTTTGTTTTGCGCCGGTGCCTCAAACTTTTCGCTTGACATCTTGACCATGTCGGTGTCTGGATTGTAGCGTGGCCCAACAAGCTTGATAAGTTTCAATCGTTGCGCTTCGGTGAGGTTGGGCATATCTTTGGTGCAGAACTGTACAACGACCTTTTTGGCGGCTGGATGCGCTTCACCCATATAGGTCGTGTAGCGGAAACGGAGAGGTGTTGCATTTGTGGGTGGTTGAAATGGTTTCGCATATTCTTAAGTCCACAGTTAGCATATGGCTGTACCCTGGTCAATGGGTAGTAAAGTAACACTCACGCTGCAACAACGGCATATCCCATGCGATTACCCTTGTATATTCTCTTACTTCCCGATGCACTTCCAACTCGCTGTGCGCGACGGACGAGATCGCCGAATCGTCCCATGGTTCGTCTCCATCTTCGACCTGGCCGAACTCGTCGTCCTCATCGAGAGCCCAGTAACCTATTTCCCTGGGGTCCACTGCCGAATCCGGGAAATCCACGTTCTCAACCTCTTTGTCAACTTGTTTGTCCACATCGGTGACAATGTCATCCAATGCCGCGTCGGCTTGGGCTGATTCAAAGACTGCCGCGTAATGATTTTGCAAAGCCAAATATTCTCGTTGATCTCGCTTGGACAGGAGATCGTAATCCGCACGCTCTTCAGGGCTCAGGTCATTTGCGGTGATTAATGTCCCCGGCGTCAGATACTCGGCAGGCCCATCGAAACCCTCGCCGTCGTCTTGACTCTGACTTGCCTCCTGCGCGGATCTGGAATTGGTCGGCTCATCCGCTTTTAGCGAACTTGTCGTCGAGATCTGTCGAAGTGGAACGATCTCTCTGTGCCGCAGGAGGAATTGTGGTTGACACTTCCTTTTCACAGGGATTTGTCGGCTGACTTGGAATAATGAGCGGCACAGATGCCGCGCTGAAGTAGCCATAACGGCTGAATGCTGTGTGTCGTGATGTTCATCCGCATTGGAAAGCTTCAAGTTGCATTGCACGTTATTTTTCCCGCAGGAGATTTGCGTCGACGGCCGGATAATCAGCCGTACCCCTTGGCATGATCCGCCGTATGACCGACCCCCCGACACAACGAGGTCCAGTCTGATGACTGTCTCAGTTCGTCACAGATGTGGGCATGGATGAATGCTCCTGGCCGAACGTTGCTCACTTTGGATATGGCTGAACAAGCATCGTCGGTCCATGGCCCAAAACGGTGTTTCGTAACCATCGGCGCTACGGCGTCGTTTAGCAGTCTGATCAGGCGCGTTCTGGAGCCGGAATTCATCGACGAGCTTCAACGCGCTAGTTATACTGAACTGCGCGTTCAATATGGCGATCATGAAGGGGAAAAGATCTTCCAAGCAAAAACGAAGGAGCTCAGAGAAGCACGTGCACTTGACAGGTTTGAAATCACCGGCTTTGGGTTCAACAAGGCAGGGCTCCGGGAAGAAATGATTGCAGCCAAGGGACAGTCGATTGATATCGAAGGGATGGTTATCAGTCATGCAGGTTGGTCAACTTGATTCGGGACTTGCTTCGACGTGTCCCACCCAGACTACTCTGACCGTCTCGCAACAGGCTCAGGATCGATCCTTGATGGACTCCGAGTTGGCGTGCCTCTAGTTGTTGTTCCAAACACCGACCTGTTGCATAACCACCAGGTCGAGCTGGCTGAGGTTCTGGCTGAGCAGCAATATGTTGTCTATGGAAAGCTCGAGTATGGCCGCGCTCTTCATCTTTTTTTTTTCATCTTCACTCACCTTCAAGGCATGATTTTGGGAAATTCTAGCATGCTAACTCGATTCTGAAGCAATCTGTCGGCCGCCATCGGTGAAGTTGAGACATTGCGACGAAACATGAGGAAGTGGCCCCCCTTGCGCTCTGGCGAGGTTAAGTACAAAAACGGCCTCGCCGATGTCATGGCCGAGGAAATGGGTTGGCAACTTGACTGAGCCCTGATTCGGCTTCAAAGATGGTTCTCAAAACGTTCAGGACCGGTTCCCTGCTCTTGTGATACCTATCATGCTAGGTGTGCACCTTACCAGCATTCGAGTGCAGAAGCCGACAGGGTGATGATGTTCAGGCATACCATGTCGACATATCGCTTGCCAATGCTAAAATCCCCCCAAGATTGCGCAAGACTTTTGTTTGTGGTTGGAGGGTGTATCCCACGGTTCGGAAAATTAGGATAAAGACGGGGTCCGATTCTCTCTCCACAAATCCATCACCGCCGACAGGAACAGGGTACTCTACCACACTAATAGGTTCCCGGAGTTGATCTGGAAGGTCTTCCGGGTACCCGGTTTGAGACCTCTCTCATAACTGCCACATTCCTGGGGAGTCTAGGACGGACGTCAAGCAGATGCATTGTCTCTTCTCTTTTCGTCTGCGCAGTTGGAGCACGGACCTGATGCTCCAGGTCTCTTTCTCTCCAGGATACTATGCAGAGTCCGTCGGCGTCCTCATTTTTACAATCCGGTGTCTGCCGAAACACCGTTGCTGAAGACGTACTTAATACTAACGACTCAGGGAGCCATGGGTCAAGGTCGGCGACCGTGACTCAAAATCAAAGACCTCAGGAGGAAATCTGGCATCTCCCGATTGCAGTTCTGCAGATCTGGTGCCCGGGAAAAGCAGAGGGAGGTTATCTAGTCCTTCTGGCGTCGCCGGCTTATCCCACTCATATAAGGGGAAGAATCTTGACAAATCGTCGCCCATCACGTCTACCAGCAATTGACATGTGGGACCGCCAAAGTGACGCCGTTGTATCGGATTACTTCGAGCGCTGCATTCGCAATGGCCGCAGTGCAGCCCGGGCTTTCGCGGTGATGGGCAAAGATGTAAACTACCTCAACGTCAATACAGGCAACGTGCTCAACCACCTCGGCCGTTGCTTGGGTGTCCGAACTGGATTCTGAATTTCAACCCTGTCTTCAGAATTGTCGCCAGTGACAGTGAGTCCAAGCAGCATTTATATCAAAACCGGAATGACCTTTGCGGAATCTTTTCTATCTGGCCCCAATCGCCAAAGGATAACGCCACAATCCGCTCTGCTTGGCCACTTTCATCCTGAGCCATCACGGCTTCAACAAATAAGCGATCATCCACCAGCTGTTTCAGAAGACCTGCATACCCTTCCACAGTATCGGGCGGCACGCTCTCCATGTAACCGATGTTGACGGTCCCGGCGACGTGTGGGCAGTCCTTCCGAAATCGCACAAGAGCCGCCGCCAGAGGCAGAAGCTGCATGATGCCTGAATATTCTTCTGGGCGCTGCATGTGGGCATGAACCACCAAGTCCTCGAGATTCGGAAAGCCAGCGCCGATCCGGTCCATGGCTGTGATGGCCTCGAGCTGGGCCGTTTCCGGCTGGAAATGTAGCCAGTACTCGATGCGTTTGATCTCATGGGAAGATGCTACTTTTTGACTCCGTCCTATGTTTAAATCTGGAGTCCAGCCCACGTACATTGTGCACGTTGTTGCCGCGGCGGCAAGAGCCTGCCACCCTTCCTGGAACATCTGTCTGCAAGTCAACAGGGGCCGGCAGGTTTCATTCCAGGCTGGCAACGCAGTAGACTCGTGCGTCATGGACTGGCATGCGAGGCAGTACTCGGGATGAACGGATGCTTGGTCCTTGCTCGCTGGGACAAAGCGTTGGTCTTCGAAGCCGAACACAAAAGTCCAGATCCGGCTGCGGATTTCGCCTGGTAACTCGAGTAAATGCCGTCCGCCCGCCATCGAATTATTCTCTATACAAAGGCAGTGGGTGTTCTGGTCAAAGACCAAAGTAGTGGGATGAACAACCACAAGGCTGAGGCGAGTGCTTTACTGGGAATGATGGGTATTGTCTAGAAAGGATGTCTGTCTCGTGGAGGAGCAGTTCAACTTGAATAATTGCCTCTTGGGCTTCAGCAAAATGTCAAGGCTTTTGTAACGAAGTGTAGGGTTTGAAGGTGCGGAAGAGGCTGAGTGACCATCGAGCATGGCCAATCAGGCAGCAATGCCTGAACTTAGATGCGACCCCCCGTATCTAAAGAGGATAGCCGCAGCCTTTTCAGCCTCGAAACATTCCTCCATTTAGAAGTGCGGTGAAGGGTCTCTTTACTCAACAAGGAAGCTTTACAATGTTTACGAGCCTCGTGCGGCGGTAAGTTTGGAGCCATGTTAAACCGGGTTACTTCACGTTTATGAATGTTTGGGTATCAATAAGTATGGTATTGCAGGCACTAGACAACCTCTGTGACCGCTCGCGGGGGACATCCTTGGGGCAATTGAAGGAGGATGTCTGGCGATAAGCAGGTTTCAATACAGCCGACACTGCGCAGAGTCCCCATCTGTTCACGGCCAGAAGGTATGAAGGGCGGCGGGTAGAACAAGCATCTTCCGACCGCTCTCAATCAGCAATCTTAACACCCTTCAGCAGGTTTGTTGGGGCATGGCTGCAATGACGGAGCACCGCATTCGACGTGCTTGCTGAATTTTCCGTATTGGACGCCCCAAGTTTGCCCTCGTACAGGTCTCGCTTCGGCCGCATCATGGGCACCCTGATTACTGTTTTCTGCTTTGCTTGCCTGACGAACGGCAGTCAAATGGTCGTGACCTGATCGAAGCGTGCCAGCATTAGGGTCAAATCCCCATGCAGATCCACCGCTGTAGTAGCTCTGAGTGCGCTTCTCTTGCTCCTTCTGCGCCTTTTTGTCTTGTTTGTACTTGTCGGCACGGTCTTTACTAGCCTTGCGTGTTCGCTCTCGTGCCCGCAGCACTGCCTCATGGTGAGCTCTGAGTTCTTGGGCTTGAGCTGACTTGCGCGCCTTGGCCTCCTCCCGCATCCGATGTTTGATTGTCCGGTCACTGCGGTCCGGCCGTGATCTCGTAGCCGCAAAGCAAATGTGCTTCCAAATTGAAGCAGACCTAGCCCGATGGGCAGCGCCTGATTGTACATCGGATGCGAAAGCCGGCTTCTCGCTTTGCGGCCTATGATCCGGACTGGCGTTTCCTGGCATGGTTTCAGACAGGACTGGTGTCTTCAGGAGCTGATCCAGGTTGAAGTGTGGGAGTCGTAAGAAAGGAGTCAAAAAAGTAAGCACGATGTTCGCGAGTGCGGTGCAATGTGAGGACGAGGTGTATGAAAACGGCCAGCGTTAAAACGATAAGGATCGGTGTAATCAGATACCCAACGAGGGTGAGTAATATGTTGGTGTCCATTAGGATCGGATCGTTGGCAAATAAGTGAAAGATTCTGGCGAACTGGAAAGAGTAAGATCATAGTTGCTTGCCCGCTCTTCCAACCCGCGCCTTCCTCTTCACAACCGCATGGGCTTATACTCTTCCCAGACTTTTGCCACAAGTTCCCATGCTTGAGATCTGAGGGTCGGCTGTGTTTGATGGACCTCTTTTCCACTTTTTCGTTTCGGCGTCAGCGGGGCTGGCTTATAACCTACATTTGACTGAAATCAGCCGCAGGTCGAACCTAAGCAGCCCCGGCTGATTATAACTGTTGTTGATGACAGTCAATGAATATGCTGCATCACCGCCTGACTTGATTTCAGTCCGTTTGCGGAGAACGACTATTGCTTCCCATCGCTTGTGACAATAGACTTTCGACCTTTAACCTCTCGGCAATCGTTTGTTTCAAAAACCCTGAATACCATCAAAGCTGAACATTTACGATGTTCAGCGCCGGCTATCGTTTGATCCAGTGCCGGCCGCGCCCGCATTGAAACTGGGAGGAGGCCCTTGGACAGGGCTGGGGCCAGCGCCAGGGGCAGGAGAAGGGCCTCCGGGGGCGTGCTGATGGGCTTGGCCGGGAGGAGGAGGGAAGGCCCCAGCAGCACCTGGAGGAGGAATCTGAAAGTTCGGAGGGAAAGCACCTGGGGGAGGGAAAGGAAGGCCATTAGGGAGAGGTGGAGGCGGAGCACCGTTCGGCGGGAACGGGGGAAATGGCACGCCACGACCACCAGGTGGCGGTACAACTCCTCCAGGACCTGGCGGAGGAGCTCCTGGTAGACCAAAGGGCGGGGGCGGCATGCCAGGCATTCCTGGGATCAGACTCAGTACGCGTGTGCCATCTGGATGGTCTTCCTATGTCATACCTGGAAATCCTGGCGGCGGAGGAAATCCTCCGGCACCCTGCTGGAACATGGGATTGGCTTGTCCTTCCGCAGCATAGGAAGAGGTGATCGAGTCGATGACAGACTGTGCCTTTTCATGACCAATTTCTATGTACTATCAGTATGTCGAATCTCCAGCAGTGTCCGGATTCCACGCACGCTGATAGTATTCCACGACGTTTCTCAAATGATTTCGCCCCGAATTGTGGGCTTTCCGCACAGACATGGAATCGTGAGTGAGGTACACATCGCAGTAGTCGCAGAAGAGTGCTGAGCAAGTTAGCAGGGATCTTGCAGGGGAACAGGGGCACTTATATTTCGGCATCTTGGTTGATTTCAGAAGAAGCGCCTCGAGCGATATAATGAGGGACAGGAGTTCAAGGAGATAGTATTTGATTATTTGATAGCTTTCGTTGTTTTGCGAAACACGGTCGCAAAGCGCAGAGCACGTTCAAGTAGATGGCAAATATGCAGCAGGCGGTGAAGGGCGGCAGAATAATCTCATTATTCCCGAAGTGGAAGTTGGAGTCGCGCGTCCAGCACAGCGCGGCTGCGGCCTCCCTGCATTGCCAGAGGTGCAGGTAATTTAATTGTTTACCGGATACCCGAGCAAAACTCGAACCAGTCGAAACCCAAACAACGAGGTACAATGTGCTGTCCACTGCTCTCACGTTCGTAACCTGGCTTTGACTGCTTGACTTTCACATCTATGCGGCCGTCACCAATCTACCTCCCGCAATAACTCGAGCGATGGCCGACGGGGGCAGTCTACATAACGTCCCCATAGTGCTAGACAACGGAAGTGGCACGATTCGCGCTGGCTTTGCTGGAACCGATTTGCCAGCTGCCTACTTTCCTTCATATGTCGGCCGTCCGAAGCATGTTCGTGCCCTTGCCGGGGCCCTTGAAGGAGATGTCTTCATCGGACCAAAAGCGCAGGAATTACGTGGCTTGTTGAAAATCAGATACCCCCTTGAGCATGGAGTTGTCACCGACTGGGATGATATGGAAAAGATATGGACCTACGTTTATGACCAGGAGCTAAAGACTTTGAGCGAAGAGCATCCTGTCCTGCTCACCGAACCACCCCTGAACCCCAGACAAAATCGAGACATGGCCGCCCAAATCTTGTTCGAGCAATTCAATGTGCCTGCCGTGTACATGTCCATCCAAGCAGTCCTCAGCCTGTACGCCAGTGGTCGAACTACAGGCATCGTGCTCGACAGTGGCGATGGGGTCAGTCATGCGGTCCCTGTCTACGAGGGATTCGCCATTCCAAGTAGTATACGAAGGATTGATGTTGCAGGAAGAGACATCACCGAACACATGCAGCTGCTGCTTAGGAAGAATGGGCATGTCTTCCACACTAGTGCCGAGAAGGAAATAGTGAGGATCATGAAAGAGAAAACGGCGTACGTGGCATTGGATCCACGGAAAGAGGAGAAGGACTGGTCCCAAGGGATCTGGAAGAATGAAAAACGAGATATTGAATACCCGCTGCCCGACGGGAGGAAAATCAAACTTGGAGCAGAACGGTTCCGAGCCCCAGAAATCTTGTTCGAGCCCGAACTGATCGGGTTGGAGTATCAGGGGGTCCATCAGATGGTGGTTGATGCGATCAGCCGCACAGACATGGATCTGCGAAAGAACCTCTTTGGCAATGTTGTCCTGAGCGGTGGTACGACGCTATGTAAAGGCTTTCCAGACCGACTCCTGTATGAAATGCAGAGATTGGCCGTCAAGGACATGCGCATCAAGATATTCGCACCTCCCGAGCGCAAATACAGTACCTGGATTGGCGGAAGCATTCTCGCGGGCTTGAGCACATTCCGAAAGGTAAGTTTATCCCGTGTGCTCGGAGTCTCGGCCATATTTCAGGAACAACAGCTGACCATGACTGCGTAGATGTGGGTGAGCATTGACGACTGGCATGAGAATCCGGACATCATCCACAGTAAATTCACCTGAATGCGGCAGTTGACCCAAACAATCACTTTCGCAAGAGTCACGGGGCGAGAAGCACGGCCAATGTACGGACCTTGAGGCCACGGTGTGAACAAAGTCCGCCGGCTAGGAGGCGTTCAACGTTCAGCGGTGCGAGGACAATGACAAGTACTATAGCTCTCACCTGCTGTCGCAATTCGGCCAACTCTTAAAGAAGCACGGAAAATCGGGCTCGGGATCGGTCAGTGCTGATCAGCGGTGCCAGCGGCCAAAAAGAGCAAACACAAGTGTCAGTTGGAATTTGCGGGGGAAGTGCGAGAATCTGGGGCAATGTCCCGCTTCTTCGGTTGACTAGTTGTACTGGCACGGCAAGTCCGAAGCTTCCTCCTTTTCGGCAGGCCTTCCCGAAACTACTTTATGCAAAGGGGTGCCTTGAACATGGAGGACCTTTGCCTCGAGCAAATGCTTGTGTCCAACTTGGACACCAGAGAGTTTCAGCTGGCTAAGCAATCGCCTGCAGCCGCCAGATCTCGCTCCTTGAGTACACGTGCGGAACAGGTTGGGCAGCACACAACCACTATTCCGCCAGTATCCTCCTGTTTTGCGGTCAACACCGGCACCTGACAAGGGGTATTGCGCAGACCTTGAACAGGATTTGGTTCTGCGGGAAGTCCAAGCTCAACAGCTGGTACTAGTGTGAGACACGCCCAAGAAACGGTGATGGATTCCATTACCCCCAGGAAACCACCATGGCAGCACAATCCCCGCCTCAGGCACCGATCGATTACCCCATAGTTTGCTATAGTTTGACAGCGACGCATCAGTTTCGTTCCAATCAGGCTCCAGTGGCGTGTCCACGAGGCTCAGCGTGACTAAGATATTGCAATCCCTAGCAGTGCCGAGAAGAGCTAGAACCAATCTGGCGATACTGGCGGCCCCTTCGCTGCTTGTTGCTTGGTATTGTGGTACTCTAATTACCAAGTCATGTTTTCACTACGGTCACATCTTGGCCGAAGCAGTGTAATTGATGGAAGAATACAGATGTCTGACAAGAAGAAAACTTTTCATTTGGTACCAGGACGGTAAACGCAGCACCTCTTGCGCAAAATCCGGGGGCCACCGCGCCATCAGTTGCCGTCGCTACTAAAATTAAGATGACGCCAGCCGGCGACAAACTCTGCCCTTGCTCGCTCACCAGCCTCCATCGTGACCTGAAAATTTGCACTGGCACTTTGCAGTTAACGGCATCGCTCTGGAGAAGACGGTGCGTTTCCATCGAGTAATCAGCTGCCTTTCCGGCCGTGTCCTGTGTCTCCTTGTTTCTGCCCAGATCCGGCCATGTCACATCTCGTAAACACAAGACCAGACAAGTGCAAATTTGCATTCCCCATGGCGACACCGCTCTGGTCCTCAAGTTGACCGATGTTCTTGGTCCCGTATATAGCCCATCCTGCCCCTGATTCCCCGTGATGGGACATTTTAGTCCTCCCCATCGACTACCACTGAAAACAGGATCGTGCAAATATCATCCGTGACCCCGGATCTGCGAGTACATCTTCTTGTCAGGACCTCACACATTCTTGTCAAGAACACCATCACATAACCAGCCACACTTTACTCGCCACATCACGTGACTGACCCAGCCACACGACTCAGCTATTTGTCTTCGGACTTGACCAATCAAACAAACCACTTCATCCACCAATCATGTCCGTCTCATCATCGTCACGGCGTTACTCAATTGTCGAACCACATCCGTCCGTTCCTCCTACTCACTACCTGTCGACCGGACGGGGCGGAGCAGGCAACGTGACCAAGGCCCCTCCGTCGGTCACACCAGGCAGTGATGCGAAAGGACCAGCGTCGCGAATTTGGGTCGAGCAACCCGAGACGAACCGCAAGACTTTTATTGCTGGCCGCGGCGGCGCAGGAAACGTACACCCGGCAAGCGAACGGGCCATCTTCAGCTTCGACGAGGAACTAGAACGCCAACTCAGCCAGGAGCGGCACGCCGCGCCGGTCTACCACGTCGGCCGAGGCGGGGCAGGCAATATCAAGTTCAACCGCTCAACCTCACCTTCGTCTGCATTCTCGATATCCGCCTACCCAAAGCGCGTCTTTCTCGAGGGCACGACGAGACGGCGGTCAGAGGATAGTGTGGGGTCTACGTCCTCGACGTCCTCAAAGGCAAGCGAGAGCGGTGCGGATCAGTTCAACCGCTCCGTCAAGAAAGGGTTCAAGAAGATGCTGGGTGTCAGCAACCACATGACTGGTTGATTTGACTCCGGACTCTTCATTTGACGCTTCTTGTTCTTTGTCTCCGTTTCAGCGGTGACATTTCTCTCTTGTCGTTCTGGCGAGGCGTTTGGCTATTTTACTGGAGGAGCTACGGGAAATATGTTCCCAGGGAACACACATACATCACGAATATGTGTATGATTTTTGATTTTCGATTTCAAGGCGTTGGGACGGACCCTAAAAAGTTATTCTGTTGTTTCACTTACGATTACGACACCTGAAGTCTGCGCGCATGTAAATTGCTGCGCTGGCAATGCATGAGAGTACGGAGTTCCGTGCCCAAGGACGGAGACAGACATGGCATCGGGAAAAGGGCCTCGGGGTCCTGGTGTTCATGTTCACCAGACCAGGTGACGCATGTCGCCTGCTGGGCTCATTGCTTGACGAACTGAAATGACTTGTGAATGAGATTGGATCTTTATCTTAGCCTTCATCGATCAATGCCACTAGCATTTTAATACTAAACTCTGTCATTGACCCGTTTATCATTGTATCATGGTCACAAGCCCAACTTGATCTCTACAATGCTGCTATGAAACCCGCCGTTCCACCCCTTGTCTACTGACCGTAAGATATTTGACTCCCTTGTACGGCTTGACTCCGTCGCCCAGACCCTTGGATTTCCTGACATCTACTGTCAAAGCGTCGACTTTGATGCCACTCGGAAGCCAGCCTTTGACATTGAACGAGACGGAAATGGAACGAGGCATCAGAGCCTGAAGATTGCTGGCGGGAGCTTCCTTCGCGGTCCCAAGCTTGCCATCCCTGTTCGCCTCGTTTCCCCCATCTTGGCTGTTTGTTACTGCACCGTCGTCGTAATAACCTGCCATAATACCAGATTTGCCGACGTGAGAGGCCTGAAACTGGTCATCTTCAACGTCCGCAACATCTAATGGTCCAGCCACCGTGCCAGTCAAAGTAGCCACTCCATTTACCGAGGCGCCGTCCTTCGTGGGAACCTTCCATTCAACCACTTTGTCAAAAGCGTTGAAGTTGGCCTCACCCCGAGACGGCTTGAGCTCCGTGACGGTTCGAACGTCGGCCGGAAATGGGATCGTCACCACGACGGCTTCCAACGACGGAGCATGCGAATGCCCACTGCCACCACTGCCGAACGACAGCGACGATATTGGGCCCGACCCACCGCGAGAGGCGCCTGACTTGCTTGCCGTTCCCACTCTGGGGAAGTTTGTGTTTAATGTCAGCCGAGCTTCAAACTCGGTCCCCGCGGCACCTAGGCCAGGTCGTAGGTCCACGGTGGCAGGCAGGAAAATCCTATCGTTGTTGGTAGGGGGTCGGTCGGTACCAAGATCAATAGGCATGAGGTCGGTCTCATAGCCAGCAAGCATGAAACGGCCATCCGGTGGAATAAACGACAGCTCTCCTGGGTGGTCTTTCCACCGCACCAAACGCACGCACGGATGGAAGACTGGCAATTGCATGGTGCGGAGAATGCCCGAGCCCTTGTCGCTGCTCGTTCCCCCGGGAGCGGACAGCGTCAACAGCAGATCGGGAACTCCTGAGATCTTGGCCGTGAACGCAATCGAGCCATGAGACCGAGCGCATATCGGACGGCCAGACGGCGCAAAGACAACTGCTAGACTCTCGACTATGTCCACATATAACTCGTTTGATGTATGTCGAACGTTGGACTTGCGCCAGGGGATGGCTGGGCCGAGTGACGGAGAAGCGGCAGGTGCAGGTCTTAGACTCGACGCGAAGTTGTGGCCAGACGGACCCAATCCTGGAGAAGACCCGGGCAGCCCAACTTGCGTGAACAACTTACCCAACACGGACGACACCTCCACCGATTCTCTCAGTGCATTGGGTTCGGTGTTGCAGATGATGCCCCCGTCACACATTTCCACCAGTAACTGTGCCACTATCTCATAGTTGTCCTCGATCTTGTTGGCTAGCAGCGGGCTGCCGAGAAAGTCCTCGAACACATCTACCAGCCGATACAGAAAGTCGAGAATCGCCAATGACTGCGCATCTTTGCTGGACACGGCAAACAGATGGAGAGCAGCGTGAGATATCGAATATGCTGTTACCGGAGGTGCCACGTCCGATAGTTGGAGGATCGACGGTCGAGGAGATGGTCGACTGGCGAAACTGGATATGAGGGTCTGCGCCGAAGGAGGGCGTCCATTGTAAATGTGCTCTAGGATACAGTGGCTGTAGGATTGTTAGCCACGGCGGGAATCAACTGGATTAGACTCCAGCTTACTTGTGATCATCGAAGATATATAGTGCGTCAACTGCGACGCTCATGTTGAGGGTGGTCAAGTCATCTTCAAGTTGGGGGACTTCACGAGGACCGTCTGAGATACAAAGTGCCAGTGGTTGGTATCGCGCGACCACTCTCCGGTACTGCTGCGATATGATCTTATCTCCACGTGACAGCCAGTGACACGGCCCCTTTTCGCCTACTGCAGTGCAAGTTGGGCAGCCTTGTGCTCTGGGAAGATTTACTCTCACATGTTTCCATTTGCGGACTTATAGTCCTATTCTACAGTTTTCAAGCAGCGGCCCTGACCTCTCTAAGCGACTGGAGGACATCCCATAACTCAGACGCCGCTTGCCATCCCGGCCGTCCGAAGTGCATCTGCCATGCAAACTGGCATCGAAACCGCCAGCAAACCAGGTTTCAAGTAATCGCAAAAACTCCGCCCAAACTCTAACATGCCGCCGTGACCCTAAACATGTGTTGCACCATCGTGAATCAGACCGTTGCATATGCCTCATTTCTTTCTTCCCTTAGAGCGGGAAGCGGTCGTGGATGAGACACTCTGCGCTCGAGAGACTGGAGAGCTGGCTTTGCTGCCTCTTCCGGACTTGATAGCCTTGACTTGCTTGTTCTGTTCGTTCAATTAGCCAGGTTCTGATACTGCGTGTCATCGACATTGTCACTTACCACAACGCCGTTCTTGGCCTTCTTCTTCGCTGGGGCCGCTTCGCTGTCGTTCTCCTCGTCTTCATCTTCATCTCGATCACGTCCGCGTCCTTTCCCAGGTCCATGACCGTTGGTGAGCTTTTCTTCGGGGTCGCCGAACTCGCGTAAGACGGTGTTCAATAGAGTCGTGCATCTTCTTCCGATCTCGACAGGAGTTCTGCTGAGGAAGAACCAGTCGAAGCGGAACAAGGGAGACTCTCGGATTTCATCACGAATCTTCTCATAGAGGCCTTCTCCGTCGACGCCGTGCTTGTCAAGCATGACCAATAGAAATCGATCTTCTTCCTCGGTGTAGACTTTCTTGTTGGTCGTGGACACGGTATAGTTGATCTTCAACTGCTGTAGCGGGACCCGGTACATCTCCATCTTCTTCCTAAGCATCTTTCGTTGAAGGTTGGTCTTGCGGAGTTTCTCTTCGCCTGCCTCGATCGTCTTGATGTACTTGTCGTAGTCGGCGATTTCAGTGTATCTCTTCCAGAAGACTTTGGCATACTCCTCAATTTCGTGAGGTTCCTTGCTGTCCACTTCGGTCGCAATGCCTTCGTAATTGGTCCGTCCAAACTTGGCCGAGCCGTTGATGAACTGTTGGAAGTCGCGACGGTTCCAGTTGCCGAACCCATGTTGTTGCATCTCGGCCTTCCGTTGCTTCTCTTCCTCGGTGAGCGGCTCAGCATTGTCGATCTCGTCCTGATTCAAACGCTGATCGGCCTCTCGGTCGCTCAAATCTTCTTCCGTGCCTTCCGCCAGGGGTACTTTGTAGCCAATCTCTTTGTGATAATAGGCCGTCTCTTTCTCCTGCAACTCCTGGAGTCCAGGGGGGAAGAATTGCCAGTCATGAATGTTGACTTGCTTCGGTGCTCGGGGAACTTTTGGCTTCGTTTCTGCAGGTCTACCACCTGTCGAAAGTGCCTGTTTGTAGTATTTGTCCATCGAATACGATTGTTCCTTTCGTTCACGCTTCGAAGGATTGATCCATGCCAGGCCAACATCCTTCTTTTTCTGCGTGAAATCTTCGCCGTTCCACTCATAGGCATTCTCCGAGGAGAATTTCTGCAGATCGTCAATTCCCAAGTTCTCGTACTTGGCATTCAACTCAGCCGTCCGTGCTTCGCCTCGTCGGAGAATCTCATCAATGTCATCTAGCTCGCCGACAGCACCTTTGGTCTCGAATACTTTCTCTGCACCATGTTGAATCATGTTCAGCAGCTCGTCCTTAGAGGCTGCCTGTTTCGCTTGTTGCTGTGCTCGGCCTTGTTGAATGACGAGTTGATCCAATCGCAGCTTCTGTGCCGCTCTCTCGAGGACTTTCTCTTCGATGGCATTCTCAGTCACGAAGCGGAAGACTTTCACTTGCTTGGTCTGGCCGATACGATGAGCTCGATCCATTGCTTGCAGGTCTGCTTGCGGGTTCCAGTCGCTGTCATAGAGAATGACAATGTCCGCTGTAGTCAAGTTGATACCTAAGCCACCAGCGCGGGTGGTCAGCAAGAACACAAACTTTTCAGAACCAGGCTTGTTGTATTCGTCGATCGCGGCAATTCTGTCCTCGTGCGCCGTGCCACCGTCAATTCGACAATATTGATGACCTCGGAACACACAGTAGTCCTCGAGAATGTCCAGAACTCTGCTCATCTGTGAGAAGATCAGGACCCTGCTGCCTTCCTCCTTCATACGCTTCAGGATTTTGTCAAGGATGATCATCTTGCCCGAATTGTACACCAAATGCTCATCAGTGGTGTAAGGAGGACCTGGTTCGGCGCCTTCGAACAGGTACGGATGGTTACAGCATTTTCGCAGCTGCATGACGATGTTGAGAAGCCTCGTCTTGGACTCACGCTTTCCTCCGGCACCGTTGACAGCGTCGATATCCTTCTCCAGAATTTTCTTGTACCAACGAACCTGCATCTCCGACATACCAACATACAAGTTGAGTTCCTTTTTGGGCAACAAGCTCTTCTCCACATCACTCTTGACTCGACGGAGCAAAAATGGTCTTAGCACACGATGAAGTTGCTGAACAACTGTGTCTTGATCTTCGTTTTGGTTTGAGAACCATGAGTCGAATGCCTCTGAATCTCCAAAGACATCAGGAAGGAGGAAATTCAGGAGAGCCCACAATTCGTGCAGATTGTTCTGCAATGGTGTGCCGGTGATGAGAAGTCGATTTCGAGAGCTGAACACTCGGATGATTTGGGCGAGCGAGGACTCTTCGTTCTTGATGCGATGCGCTTCATCGACAATGATGTACTCCCAGGCGAATTTCTTCAGATGTGCCTTTTCTCGCAAAATCATCTCGTAACTCGTGATGCAGACGTCAAACTTCTCGTCCACAAGTCGGTCGTTGATCAGGGCATGACGCTCATCCTTTGCTCCCTGCAGAACGAGGACATCCACATCCGGCGTCCACTTCTTGAACTCTCTCGCCCAGTTATCGAGCGTTGACTTCGGAACAATGATCAGGTGTGGTCCCTTGATACCACAGATATGGCGCAGGTAGCCCAGGAAAGAAATCGTTTGTAGAGTCTTGCCAAGACCCATCTCGTCTGCGAGAATACCGGAGATGCCGTTCTCATGAAGAGAGATAAGCCAGTTCAGACCCGCAATCTGGTAGTCGCGCATTTCGCCACCCTTAATAAACGCAGGCGACTCCCGAAACACGGTCTGAGACGCCGTGCCACGTTTCTCATCGCGCAGAAGTTCTGCATCTTCCTCTTGCTCTGTCTTTCTCTTGCCAATCGCAGCGGCGCCGCCTTTACGAGACACGCCTTTCTTGGCCTTTTCTTCCTCTTCAGCATTCTGCCGATCAATCTCTGCCATGACTTCTCTGATCTTGGGGTTTGGGTTGGTTTCGATAAAATGCCGGAAGAGATCCGTCAACCCGAGCAGATATTTGAATCTCCGGATAGTATCATCCTCTTTCGACTCGTCCAATTGACCATGCTTCTTCCCGAGAATGCTCTTGCGCAACTGGAGAGCCTCTGATCTCTTCTTGCGACCGTCAGTCTGCGCAACGTCGCCAGCCACACTGCTAGCGGTCGTGTTTGGGTTCGTGTCTGAATCCGTGTAGTCGGGAGTATCGTCGACATAGCGGTTAAGATGGCCAAACGAGGGCCGTCGCGGTTGAACCAATTCATTTGCATCTGTCATGGGAGTATCGACCATCGAGGACGTCTCGGAATCCGGTTGTGCTAACTTTGAGGGCGTCATGGTAGGTTGTGTTGGCCAACACGGCCCGGTCGTGAAATAGTTCGCTCAACCTCACAGGCGCGACAAGATTGAGATCTGTAACAACGTCTTACGGGTTGCAGTCACAGTACATGGGAGTCGCAAAAGTTCACACGCGCCGATCAAGGAAATGTTTAAGTGTAAGTCAGAAGAAAGGGCAATTGTGAACTTGAATGCGGCGAGGTGAAGGTGGAAAGGATAATGCACGCGCAAGAATGGACTCTGGCTATGGACGCGGTTGATTGGCCAGATGGGGAGGCATCGCGGCGGAAGACTTAACGCTTCGGCAAACCTGCCGCCGATTGTCAGCCTTCTCTTGGCGCTGTCATGTGGCACTCACTGCCAATGACTAAGCACTCTGTCCAATCAAAGCCTCAGCTGCTATGTTGGTACCTCTATTTCCATTCACTGCAGGGCTGCAAACCTGGGTTTTGCATGACAATATTGAGGACCGAGTGACTCGCTTCTTCACTTTACTAAGTGCCTGCCTACCGGCAGTCCTTTGCTTCCCTACAGCAGACACTTTTGGCGTCTAACTGCATTTCTCTGGACAGCTCAACGACCATACACTCATTCTCTTTGAAACTCTCTTTATCGTGCCTCAGACACAAACACTTCGGAAGTTGGCGAGCTGCCTCGGCGCTAGCAACGGAACCCCTCCATTCCCTTTCAAAGCAAACAGCGTCTTTACTTCGACCACAACACAATTCAACCGCAGCTGAAGACTCGACGGGCTGGTCGAATCTGTCACCATGGACTCGATGAGATCTCTGAATACCTCGCTACCTTCCGCTCGTCCTCCGCCACCTGTAGAACTTCTTCAAGCCTTCCGCAATGCTGCTCTCTCAGTCACGAATCTTTATAAGTCGGCGGTCACGGACCAAAACATCAGTCGACAAGCTGGCTACCAAGAAGCAATTGCAGATCTTTTGAGTTGGATGGACGATGAGAATATTGGGTTGCAAGATGGCGAGGGTTGGCGAGTCCGACAGTGGGCAACGGAAAGATACGATGGCTCTGCACATCAGCATCAGACAGACAGTGATGACGAGAAGAGCGAGGCCGAGACGCGGCCACGGAGCACCTCACCTCCGAGAGAACATCAGGCCGACCAAGCTACCACTCGTGGCAGAAGCAACAAAGCCGAATCTGCAACACAGACAGAGGACGTTCCTAGTCCGGCTATTCGCGAGCAGACTGCATCGACACCAATCTTCCAATTTACCGGCGCCCCGACGCCATTACATACAGATCGAATGCAGACCGATGAAGGAACACCTGACTCCGAGGAAGCCGATCCGGATCCATCGTCGTCATCTTCGGCGAATGCTCCTATCCGACTAGAAGTAGTCAACAACCGAGGACTACGGCCAACACACAGACACACTAATCAACGCCATGGTGCCAGACCATCTAACCGAGAATTTACGTTTAACGCCGGTACGAAACGAAAGTTGCAATTCCCTGATTTCTTCGACATATCAAATATTGGACCCAAAGATGGATTTCCCGGCAGCAAACGAGGTCGACTTTCATGACAATGTCACCAACAGGGGGGAGGTTTGAACAGTGAACAGATGGTGGTCATACTGTGTTCCATGGTGGAAGGGACAGATTCTTACGAGGACATGAACCATCAGCATAGCGAATTTTTGTTCATTCCCGCGAGCTATGCTCTCGTCTCGGATTGTGTTAGGATTGCTAGATCGAGGCTGTCGTCCGAAGATTGAATTCGAGGGGAGGATTTCAGGGCCAATAGGCTAGATTAATCGATGGCGTGGATTCCAATCCGCCATTTCATCTCCAGTTCCGTGTATGTTTGCTTGACAGACACTATTGTGTCAGGAGATGTGCGCCGGAGTCTCTTCTCAGTTGGACATTCGGTAGATGCCCAAGCCAAAGAGACTGCCTGAGAGACAGAGGATTCCTAGTTGTCGAGATCCATATTTGTACTTTGACTTGCTGAGCTCGATGGCTTTTCGTTGGAGACGGAGTTGTTGCATGCCGGAGTAATATGTATATCCACCCAGAGAAACAAGAGCAGTCGACCCTATCAAAGTCAGCACTGCATGCTTTGCCATCGGCGTGGTGACTTTGTACCTAGAACTCGGCAGGATAGACAGTCGTCCTTGTCGAACGCCTTTGGGTCTTCAAAGTCGTCGAACTTGTCTCTCCTTGGAGAGAAAAGCTCTTTGAGCACCATGTCCGCAGAGATGCCGCTTGTTTCGTCTGTCACCTTCCCATATTGCAGCAAGACTCTATGCTGTTACGCAAACCCAGTCGGTCATGGGGAAACGTCGTTAGCAAGTTCAAATCAACTTGAGACATGTACCAGTGGCAGCCAGGCTGAACCGGAACTTGAAAGCCGAGACAAACACGCCAAGACAGATGGGACATTGACGTCAGTCATGTGATGAGGATGTGTTTAGGTAAGCCGGTTCGGTCGTCTGCCGCCGCTTTATGTGCTATCGGTTAAGGCTGCGGGCAAAAGGGGGCGAGCATGCGGCATCCTACAACGTTGTACATTGTAGACAGTGGTTGTTGTACATAAGGGTGCGCAAACTGGACTTCACCAAGCTATATGGAGCGCCTATTGAGAGGTAATCATCTACAGAAGCAACTTCCACAAACTGATAGATCACAGCGCCAATCCGATTCTATCTCCTGTACGTGGTATATAAATCCAACGTTTTATTTTGCAGTCGCCACATACAACCTGACTACAGAGCCAAATGAAATTTCAGGCACCTAAATTTCCTCGGGCCATGTCCTCAAGTCGATTTTTGCGGGTTCCTTCAGAAAACCCAAGGGAGATCTTCTATTTCCCCAAAAAAGCAGGAATCGATTGCCAGTCGAAGAAGCCTTCTTGTCTGAACCGAGAGTGTCGATAGGGGCCACGACGTTCCCGTTGCCGTCTTCGAAGATCAAGTCCTCCCAATGCGGCTCTGACAGAATCTCGAGCAGCTGTCTTGGGGTTCCTGGATATCCCAGAACGTTCCTGGACTCTCCAACCTTGTCCTCGAGCTTGAAATACGTTCTGCAACTGTCGTTGACAACCGACTTGCCGAAATACTGGTCCACGACCACACTGAAGTCTTTTGCCGCGGCCTCAGTCGGATGCAGAGCGCGGTAACCCTCTCGCTGGACCTTTCCGAGCAAGCGTGCAATATGAGTAGCTGAGATTTCGCACTGATATGCAAGCAAGCCGCCGAGCGCATTGCCCTGCGGGCTGCTTCCCGAGTTCCCCAAGTCGAAGCGCAGCAACTCTTGGCTTTCGCCACGACAACAGGAATTCATTGAGGCTCGGCTGCCGGCCAGCAGTCCCTCGACCAACGAAAAGAGCATCGACAAGAAAGGAATATGGTTTACGTTCACCAGCCCGAGTTTCTACAGTCTTACGGCCTGTCAGACGGGCATGACCTTGACACTGATTGCCTTCAACTGGTATCTGCCGACGGTGATTACGAGTTTTGGATTTGTCGGGCTGCCAGCGAAGCAGCTCCTCAATATACCACCTGTGGCAGCCGCCATTCTCGGCATCGCTTTCACAACCTGGGTCACTGGAAGAGCTTGGATTTCAAGGCCACTTTGTGTCACGTAAGAACCCTCTTTACTATGTCTGGCCAATCTTACTGACCTTGGTTGACAGGCTCCTCACTATCGGCTCCATGATTGCCCATATCGTCTTGATGACTGCAGGCTCGGCGGGCAAATATGCAGCATGTATCTTGGGCTATGCCTCCATCAACAGTCTTTATCCTCCCTACTGGGCCTGGAGAGGAGCCTATCTCAACGGCGCCAGCGGAGCTGCCTTCGTCATCGGCTTCCAGAGTGCCTTTGGCAATATCGCCGCCGTCATGTCGCCGCAATTCTTCCAAGCCGAGTGGAAAAAGGCTGGCTACAAGCAGAGCTTTGGAATCTGCCTCGGCATGGCTGTTGCCGCCTTGATCGCCGTTCTGTACAGCTGGCGATTGACTTGCAATGTCGAAAGGTAAGTGGTACGGGTATGAAAGGAAGTGCTTCGAGCAAAACGAGAGGGTCGCGAGTATGACGGTATCCAAGACATTGACGTTGCTGGGGACGAGACGCTGAAGAACCGCCGTTTGTGGTAGACGGAGTGACCATGGCCTCGTGGGCGTTCACATTTAGAACAACATAAAAGTAGACTTGGATTCCGGCTGTGGCGGAAATAGGCAAACATAAAGTTCAATGTATGCTTTTTCTTGCATAACGTCATGGGACGTAGTAGTATTTTTCGTACTCTACAGGCGGGCAGTCAGCGATGAATATGGTGGGAGTCTGGACTCTGAAGCGGTCAATATTGGTCCTTGCCAATGTGCGCAGGAGCAGAAACAGTGCAGTGTGTGCAGTGTGTGCAGTGTGTGCAGTCTCTTTCATTTGCATTCCGCTTCTTGAGTTCCCCATCTTGGCTACTACCACACAGAAAGACCGCCCCAGTTCATCATTCTCTACTGGTTCCATTTCCTAAACTGATGTGAAGGCGTCATGGCCTGTAGAACGGGGATGTTCTCCAAAGTCAAACGATCTGCACTCGCCTTCCACTGTGCATTTACCGGGCAGCGGACTTTCTCCTCCTACCAGCGACCTCGGATCCTCCGTTACAAGGCATGACAAGCCAGAATCGCTGAAACACAGAGCATCGTACGGCTGGGAGTGAGGAGCAGTATACCTACATCATCACGGTACATACCTACACTACATTCGTTACAACTCATCATGACGCGGGTACATCTTGTCAACGGCAGCCTTGACATCTCTCGGCCAGTACATTTGGTTGCCGGGTCCACCCCAGGTGATAGATGGAAGGTCTCCTCTCTTCTCCCAGATGGCCGAGGACGGCTTTCGTGCTTTCAATCGCTCACTGACCTCGTCCGCCTTGTCCATGATCCTCATGAAGTTGCCGCCCAAGACTCCGCGCATCTCTCCCTCCGTCCAACCTCTGGAGAGAAGCTCTGCCACCTGTGGACATTAGCGAAGACAAAAATGATCTAGATGCAAGAGAGTCACCAAGTTGGGATATTTGCTGACGTCTTCCAGGCCCTCCACGGTGGTAGCCATACCATCAAAGTCGGAGGCGATACCCACACGGTTCCGACCGATGATGCTCGCAATGTGCTCAATATGATTCGCGACATCGGACACGTTCGCACCGGGATACGGGCCGATGAAATTTGGGAAGAAGACGGACTGGACAACTCCATCTTTCTTTCCTGGACCGTCACCGATAAAGTCGAGGATTTCATCGGGAACATTTCGCGAATGGTTCCAGACTGTTCGAGATCCTGCGTGTGTCCACACGACCGGAGCTTCCGACAGTTCAATAGCTTGTCTCATGGTGTTGTCGGAAGTGTGGGAGAGATCCACGAGTATCCCGAGTCGGTTCAACTCTCGGATGAGTTCTTTTCCCAGGTCTGATAAGCCATCGCCCTCATGTACTGGGATCAGTGGTGAACCCATGCCTGCGGAAGACGCAAATGAGCTGTGACAAATATGCGTCAGAGTGAGATAGCGGACCCCGAGTTGGGCGTATAACCGCAAGATGCTCAGCGAGTTTCCCAGGACGTGCGTGCCTTCTAGCCCAAGAAGAGATGCAATCTTGCCCTGTCTGAAAGCGTCCCAGATTTCCCCCGATGTTCTGGCATACTGCAGGTCGTCGGGGAGTTGCGAAATCATATTCTGGATGAGGTCAAGGATTTCCAGCGCGTCCCGGACGTGATTTGTCGGTGTGTTGAAATCGGGTCCTTGATCTGAGTCTTCGCCATAATGACATGGAGCCCACACAGTCCAAAACGCTGCTCCTAGACGTCCTTGCCTCGCCCTTGGAATGTCAACATGGCCGGGAAATGTGCCATTCAGCTGAGTGATGGTGTCAACTGGTCTCCGGCCTGTAGGGAACTTCGGTTAAATCACCTCCAGAAACTCACAGAAAAGGAGATTCACCTAAGCTTCTCATCACTTGTGGTAGATCGACGTGAGTATCGATCAATGGACTATCTTCCATGAGCCTCACAGCCTGGGCCAGGAAGTCACTGCTACTACAGGAGGCCATGCTGCCGAGGGCGGCAGTTGCCCATACTAGTCCCGCGAACCGCATCTTGGTTCGTACGGCTGGTTGTTGAAGTCTAATCCGGGCTCACCAACGACGACTGGATTTTGGACTGGCAAAAGATTTCTCCAAAACAGTGCGACGAGAGGACATCAACTTATCGAGGCAGCAATAAGGCAGAGCACGAGTCCACGGTCCACCTCCAGTGGCGGGATGCGGAAATCCCGACCCACAGAAAAGAGAGCCGATACTATTGCTCGGTTATGCCGCCGTTCGACACGAGAGGTTGGAGCACAGTTTCAAGACGGATTCTTTGGGCAAAGTGCACTGAGACAGTGTGTGAATGTCCGTTCTGCCGAAACGAGTGCTATAGCAAGCGAAAAGACAGATCTCGTTCCAGGATGTCGGAGATCCTTGACCAGGTAGGTAGGTACCTGTACGGTATCGTGTACCTTGTACCTACTGTATCGTGGAGACATGTATCGCGAGCCCCTCAGACCAAGTGGAACCAGAGATCCATCCCGAAAGCATGCCATCTGACTGTGGTATTGCACATACTCTCGTCTCTACAGAGCGATTGCTGAAAACTCCTCGAGTCGGATCAACCACGTTCGGAGCATCCCGACTAATGGGCCGCGCGTGGCTGTCAATCCTTTTCCAGTTCTTTGTGATATGGAATACGATTCGGAGTCATTTTCGCCGAAGACAACTTGAACAGCGATGCGCATCGTGGCGAAGTCGTGGGGAAGGCGGAGCTACCCGCAGATTCGGCCTTCCAACTCCGACACGACATCTTGTGGTGGAGGAATGTGATACCGCAAACCCGGGCTTTTCGTCAGAATACACTTAGATAAACTACATAGCATGCTTCTACTGCTTTCAGAACTCAGACTTGTGATGCATGAGACTTTCATTGTTTTTGCGTTCGCGACGACCATATCGGCGGCTTGGTTGATATCCGGGCACTGCCAATCCGGACAACGAACGCATGCATCGAGGTCCCATTATTGCGGCGGATTACTAGGGCGGCAACAACTTCCGTCTCTCCTCGCTTGATGCGCGGCAACACGGGCGAAACCAAATGCCCTTTGACCCAGGATTTGGTAGAGACGATTAAGCCCGGTGGCGCTTGAGCACAACCCTGTCAGTCAGGTTCGCAAGTCTTGCTGCACTCCTGATGTCGTCCGCCCCTTCAACCCGGAGGCCTTTAGTGGTGGCCCTAGGCGATCCCAAATATGCCGGACAAGAGTTTCTGGCCGAATTCAAGAGAGACTTTGATTTCAAGGTGACCGCTCCCTGAACTTGAAACGGCCAGCACAGATGGAGCATGCCAAATACTGACGGACTTCTCGCTGCTTTGGGAGTTTCAGATCCTCCACGCGACCAACCGACAGGAAACTCTAGAGCGACTGCCCAAGTTCGTGGCAGAAAATGGGCCGATCGATGCATTCATCATCCGCATGGGCACACCAGCGTATGAGCCCTTTGACGAGGCATTGTTGGGACCCCTTGTGCCCCACTGCCGAATCATCACGTCTGCGTCTGCGGGCTTCAACGAGTTCGACGTGGATTGGATGACACGCAACAACATCTGGTTCTGCAATACTAGGGATGCAGTCGCCGAAGCCACGGCGGACATGGCGATTTTCCTCATGCTTGCTGTGCTGAGAGACACCACGCGAGGAGAGAGAGGTGCAAGGAATGGAGACTGGAAGAAAGGACTGGTGCCTAGTCGCGATCCCACGGGGCTGACATTGGGTATTGTGGGAATGGGAGCAATTGGAAAGGTATGCTTGTACTCTATCCAAGAATGCTCATCCTGGCTGTCAACATGGATTTCACTTTGAGACGAGGCGGTCCGACAAGTGCCAAAGTGATTAATATTGTACTACTTCCAGCATTCCGCCAGGAAAGCCGCCGTGTTCAACATGAAAGTTAAATATCACAACCGTCGCCAGCTCTCTCAGGAAGTGGAACAGCAATATCAAGCACAGTACTGCCCGACGATGCATTCACTGCTCGCCGAATCCGACGTTATATCAATTTCATGTCCTCTCGATGCCTCGACCACAAAACTCATTTCGCATGCCGAGTTTGCCGCCATGAAGGATGGTTCGTTCCTCGTCAACACCGCCCGCGGTGCCGTCATTGATGAAGAAGCACTCATTGCCGCCTTGGAGTCCGGCAAGATTGCCCGCGCCGGTCTCGACGTCTTCTGCAACGAGCCAAATATCAACCCGTATTTCCGGTCAAGTGACAAGGTCGTTGCGCAGCCGCATATGGGCGGCCTGACGGATGTGGCGTTTATGAAGTCGGAGCGGGAGTGCTTTGAAAATATCAGGAGTTTGCTCAAGACCGGTAGGCCGGTCGCGCCGGTTAATGAGGTTGTGCCCTGACAGGAGTGGTGAGGTGAAGGGTGGATTGAGTTGGCATTCAGAACCGTTGCATTGGGACTATCTTGACATGATCTTGCCGCCACGCATAAGGTAGACACCAGCAAGCTGTATAATAATAACTGTAGTCCTTGGGAATTTTAAAAAAAAACCACCGCTTATGGCGGTCGCAACCAACAATTTGAGTACCCAACATACATCAAGTCTCGCTTCCCAGTCGGCACGATGACGCACTCTACCACCCAGAAACCCATTACGGTGTGCACAGTGAGTTCCTCCTAACCATGCTTTCGTCACTTACCATTTGCTGCATGACCGTTTGCGAAGACGAAAGATGATCATGTACCTGGTCTTACCTTAGTAGTACTCCAGGATTCGACACTGACGAGCCCTCAAGCTAATCCAGTCGAGCCTTGTGGCACTCCAAAGACAGAGAATGACAGCACCACCATCTACTACTACTACAAGTGGTACAACACTCCTTTCCAACCGTCTCGACAAAATGCTATCCGAGCGCACATATCCCAAGACCCTATGTCCCTCAGAAATCGCGAGGTCAATGACATCCTCGGAACTGCACGAGCTTGGGGCCTCAGAGTGGCGGGACCTCATGCCCCAGTTGCGGCGTATGGCTTTTGAAGCCCGGGACCGGGGCGAGCTCGAGATTCTGCAGCGCGGAGAGGTCGTGGCTGGCGATATTGGTCTGGAACATGTGCGAGGTCCGATCAGGTTGAGGAAGGTCGTTCGCAGCTGAGTTCGGAAGCAAATCCGAGTGACGAAGCATAGTCAAGTCCGGAGAGACGCTGATGCAAGCACGACTACACGTACAATTGTACCGATCCATTTACTGCGGTGTGTCTTTGTATATTCATGGTTTGGAAACAACTCTGTTCAAGTTGTCCGATCTCGTCCATAATGTGTGTGCCGAGCAAAAATGTACAAGCAACTCTCAACGAATGGTAACCTTATGCACAGCACATGATGTTTCTCTGCTCACAATTACACCTATATTCGGCTGCGGGTTTTTCTGCTCAGAAGAAGTCTCCACATGTCAACGCCTGAAAAGAGTCCCTCAGCCATTCGAGTCTCAAAGTCTAATATCCTCCATAACCACGCATGGGTCTCAACACCGTTCGCCCCGTTCTGGAAGGTCCAATATCAATTGTACTCAACTCGAGTGCGAGTGAGTCACCGCCACCATATCCCCTATAATCCATCGAGTTCTCCGGGCCAGAAAACGAGGATCTGGCTTGAGAAGCCTCCGGACCGCACCATGGGCGGTCCATCGGATTTCCCTGTCGAGACGAAGGTTTCATAGAGGATGTGCCATACTCATGAAAGGAGTGGCTGCCTTGTGGACTATACTCATTCACCGCCGGCACCTGGTATTCTGACAGCGGTGGTCGTGATGGAGGCGGGCCGGAGGGAGAAGAAGAGATGGTGTAGCGCTGACTAGAAGGACTAGGTCGATCTTCAAGAGAAGATACCGACATGACAGCGGGACTGCTTTGTGGGAGCGAATATGGTTGCGTCGGTAAGGGTCGGGTCGGCATTTGCTTCCTAAGCCGGTTCCGGCCACCACTGGATTCAGGTTGCGAAGGAGACGCCGTGGAAGTAGGTGGAACTGGGGACGACTGATATGAAGATGACAGGGTTGCTGGAGAGGATGGTTGATGAAGCGGAGCTGCGATCGTTTGTGGCCTGACAGCAGCTGGCAATGACCCTGTACGTTCTTGTCGTCTCGCCTCTTCCTTGGTCCTGATCCGGATCACGTGTTCGGGCATCCGGTTCTTTCTCTCCGGTTCTGGCGCCCACGTATCTGCAGGAAGATGGTCAGAAGGATCAATCACCCGTCCATCATTGCCGATGATCGGACCCTGATCGCGGAGTTTCTCGACCTCCCGTTGTCGAGCGGCCTCTTTGATTTGTTCTGGAGTGGCATAGGGATCTAATTCGGGCGGAGGACCCGTTGCAGGATTTAGGACGTCGTACGAATCTGGTCCGTATGGAACACTGCCGAGGGAACTGCGCTCCTCAGGTGTGGCAGGTGTTGGAGTTATGGACTTCCGCGGTATGGTTTGTGAAGGGCTCGGACTGACAGCCCGCTGTTGGATGATATCAGGCTCCCGAAGCCGGCCATCGGAGGATCCAAAGCTGGTGTCGAACGTTTGTGCTCTTCTTGGTGGCCCGTAACCAGGATCATGCCTGAGATCCTGCTCTGGCACGCCGTTGTACTGTTGCCGAGGCATATCCCGCTCTGGAGGGTATTGGTGGAAAGGCACGCCGCCGACAGAAGTTGGTCGAGGATGCGTCGTGTTGTCAACGTCCGAATTACGTCTGTTTCTCGGTGGAACTGTATAACCCATTTGGTCGTTCACGGGTACTTGGTAGTGCTGCTGCACTGGCGGTGGTGGTTGTTGATGTTGGAGGGCGGATGGTGATGGGCTTTGATAAGGGCTATACTCTCGCTCCAGCTTTTGTAGAGGACTCCTCTCTTCTACCGAACTGTACTTGAGCGGCGTTTGTGGGGCCGAATGTGCCTGTAAGTTGAGGTAAGATGGACCAACCGCAGACGTCCGGGGGACATGTTCCCGATGAGCTGGCGGAGGCGGCGGAGGACCCTCATCGTCGTCGTCAAAGCGGGGATCGGGATAGTTGGGAACGGGCTGAGGCATGTCAATCTGGCTGATCGAATGGCGCAGAGGACTGTCTCGGTACACGGCATGCTTGGTGGGTGATGTCGACGACCGACTTTGCCACGGCTGGGGTTGCGCTGGAGCAGAGGATATGGGAGATATGGAATGTGGCGGAGTGCGCGCTGGCGGAGAGGATTGGTAGGGGGATTGTGCCGGCGAATGGCGTGGCGGGTCTGGAATAGACATATCTGGGAAGGAATTGCCAGACGATTCTCGTCTTTGCTGCGGCATTGACTGTCGGGCAAGACGCAAATCTTCGGGGTCGTATGACTCTATCCGATATGGATCTGGTTGGTCGTACTGTTGAGGAACTCTGCCAAAATTGTCGTAATGATCGTGGGATGGAGGTCGTTGTTGGCGTGGTGCTTGCGAACGTGCCGCTGAATGGTACACATCTCGCTCATATTGAGGTTGGATGCCGTAACCCACATCGTCTGGAGTTTCCGGCATTCGTTGTTTAGGCGGTCGAGGCGGAGGGTTTGAGTCGGTGTATCCACCGCCTGGTTCCATACTAGGCTGCGCTTCTTCTGCGGGCCATTCTTCGGGAGGTCTTGGTGCTGAGACTGGAGAGGAATGACCGCCGGGGCCGGGGGGTAGCGGTCGCCGTTTAATTTCGCGGGGGCCCAACTGGCGGGATGTTGACCCAGTACTCGGCGCATCACTGGCTGTTGAGTGTGCCTTGTCTCTCGACTTTTTCCTCTCCGAAGACAAGTCCGGCTGCGGTCTGGTATCATAGTAGGTCAATTCGACCCGTACATCTCCCGCGTATTTTCCCTTGAAGTTCAACTGGTGCCAAAGATCGTTTTGTCCACCTCCAGGCACAATCACTTCAGTGAGATCAATCCAAGCTTCGCCAATGAGGTCGGTCTTTTTATCGTCGTTGAACACGGAGCATTTTAGTTTGTAGTAGTCGGGTGAATCGTGCACGGTGAAACGGAGCTCTTGATCCCTGTGTGTTGTCAGCATTTTGTCTCTCCATAACTGCACAGTTGAGTACATACCATTTCGGTGTCTGCCCTCCTCTTTTGTCGGTGTTCGTCTTCTTGGCTTCCTTGCCTAGCCTCATCGCACAGTAAGGATCTTGTTTACCCATTGTTTTTCTGTTCGGGAGGTTCTTCGCCCGGTCGACAACCGCAACGAGAGTGCCAATCTCCGGGCCGTCGAGGGACATGTCGGCGAAAATGCCAGCGGTATGGGCTGCATTCATAGCTCTGGTCCTGACGGCCATCTTGTGCAGTGGTGTACAGCAACAACCCAGGGATGTTTATTGTGGTGCCGCTTGAATGAACATGGGCTCTGTCCAATGCTTTCGGCATTCGCAGGTGATTTACGAATCGTCGGTTTCAGACGCGCATGTTTTTTGCCGAAATTTGAAGACGCAGTCGTTTAGCTGTAAGGTTGATCGTATTTTCGAGAATGTCCAAGTCGTTGAGGGGATTGTCGTGCAGTTTCAAAACCAGACTGACTGCCTGCAGCGTGATGTTGACAGGATTGAAAGTGGACAAGGCGCCAGCCACAGGAATTTACGTGTCGGGCTGCCAGATGGCTGGGAATGGAGCGGGCGCCAAACAAGGGTGACTATTGAAGTTCAAGCGAGGGAAGTGTTTCAAATCCTACGAGAACGGCTCCAGTTATCTATGATTATCCTACTGTCGACTTTGCACTGTTGATTCTATCCAGACGCAACATTCTTGCTTGCTGCAGTGCATTGCAATGCGAGGTGCAGCGGATGATTTCTGGCTGGCAGCTGTGCATCCAATCGTGTCGCTTCCGATGTTTTGGGTGACGTCGATCTTCCGCCCGCAGCCTGCGCAGTGTGTGGCTTGCAGGGCAAGGGCCGCTCTGCAACCCCACCACGAAGGTGCTGTGTAGCTAGTCCAATTACAGGAACGCTCCATCAGCCACAAGTGGCGCTGGCCGCAGGACCCTGAGCCTTGCAAGTCACAGGAGTGTCGTCTCACTCGGGTTCTGGGACAGTACCTAAACCACCTCCGAGTCTGGCAACTTGAACGAACATCAGCTGGACCTGGTGCACGGCTTTATTTGCTCCTTGAATGGCATGCACCTCTAGATTTTTCGAAGACTTTTGCTGGCACGGATCACATCGTACCCTGTCTATTCATCATGACTTCCCACCTACGCCATGTGATGGCTCACAATCTTGCTATCTTTCGACGGCAGCCGTTGGCGGAGATATCAGGCTCACTGGGTGATCTTGGAACCTTCTTGCCCATAGTCATCGCCCTGACAGAAGGACACCAGATATCTTTATCAACGACATTAATCTTCACCGGCATCTACAATATCCTCACCGGCTTATTCTTCGGCATACCTCTGCCCGTTCAACCGATGAAAGCGATCGCGGCTGTTGCCATCCTGAAGTCTCTGAGCGCGGGCGAAATTGCGGCAGCCGGGATATTCGTGTCCAGCTGTATCTTACTCTTTAGCGTTACGGGGTTGCTCTCCTGGGTGACGAGGGTTATTCCGATCCCGGTCGTGAAGGGCATCCAAGTTGGTGCGGGATTGAGTTTGATCATAGCCGCAGGCACAAAGGCTCTTGCTGCGCTATCATGGACGACACCATCATGGGCAGACAACTATCTGTGGATGGTGCTCGCTTTCGTTGGCTTATTCGCGCTCAATGTTTGGCGTAGAACGCCCTACGCGTTAATCCTCTCCGTCATCGGGATTGTTTTCGCTGTGATCCTCATTGCTGGCGGTGAACATTATCACTTACCAGGCTTCGAGATCTGGCATCCTTACACACAGCTCCCCAAAGGGAAAGACTGGAAAACTGGCGTTCTGGATGCCGGCGTCGGGCAATTACCCCTGACAACTCTGAACTCAGTCGTTGCGGTGACCCATCTAGCTGCCGATCTTCTTCCTGAAATTGAAACCCCTTCTGTGACTGCGATTGGCATCAGCGTGGCCTCGATGAATCTCTTTGGGTGCTGGTTTGGCGCAATGCCAGTCTGCCATGGCTCCGGAGGACTTGCGGCGCAGTACCGCTTTGGAGCACGGTCGGGAGCCAGCATCATATTCCTTGGTCTTCTCAAACTCGTGCTCGGCGTGTTCTTCGGCGAGAGTCTGACAGGTCTGCTGCACAAATTTCCACTCGCCTTGCTTTCTGTCATGGTCATTGCCGCTGGATTGGAATTGGCAAGTGTCGGCGAGAGCCTGAATACAGCCCGAGCAAGAGACTTGATCAAAGAGAACAACGATACAAACGGGGCTGACGAGCTGACAGACGAAGAGAAGCAACAACGCTGGACAGTGATGCTAGTCACCGCTGGACTTCTGGTGGCTTCCAAAAATGATGCCATCGGCTTCCTGGCCGGGCTGTGTTGTCATTGGAGCTATCAACTACCTGAAAACTTCGCCATCTTGCGGCACGAACGTGACTCTCATGAAGAATCTGGAGAACGGCAAGCTTTACTACCAGGGTATTAGCCCAGCCTGCCTGGAAAACGTGCCAGTCACCCCTCCTGGTCCCTCAGCCACCAGTTCTGCCACCCTCGTTGCTCCGTGCTTAGGATGACGTTCTTCCGTCATCTCTGCGCCATTCAGACCCGTGGCTCTATATCCCGGACAGACGGCGTTGACCTTCCAGGTTGGATGCTTCTTTGCGTAGAAAGCCATGATGGCATTGAGGGCGGTTTTGCTGGAGTTGTACCAAATGCCGTCCCAAGGAGGGCCTTTTTCCAGGGTGTCGGTGATACTGCCGACACCCGAGGAAACGAAGATGATCTTGGGCAGCTTTGACTTCTCCAGCAGAGGAAGCAGTCTGTCCGTCAACACCGCGGTTGAGGTAACGTTGACGTTGAACGTGACATCGAACTTTTCGCGTAGACTGGCAGTGGGCGGTAGATGCTGTGCCGCTGTGGCGGCGTTGTTGATCAGAATGTCAAGCTTCCCAAAGTTTTGCTCGATGGCCAGGAAGCAGTGCTCAATCGACTCGTCGTCGGTAATGTCGAGCTGGATTGGGTTGACGTTGGTCGGGGCGCCCATGCTTGCTACTGCGTCTTCGCCCTTGCGCGTGTCCCGGCAACCCATGAGAACCTGGAAATCAGGGTTTTCCGTCGCCAGCTTTTTGACGATTTCATAGCCAATGCCGGCATTGCCTCCTGTCACCAAGACGATGGTCTTGTTTGCAGCCGCAATGCTGGAAGGGCGATGCTCGAGGCCTGGGCGAGACATGATGGATCAGCGAAACTCGTATAGTGTAGTACCTTTAGTTTCCTGGAGGATCGGGACGATGCTGAAGGCTGAGTTGAAACCTCAACGGACGTTCATCCCGGCGTTGCCTGGATTAAGTGTCATTGCTGTCAAGCTCGCCGATCAATAAACAAGTCTGGCGACGTCATCCCTTCTGTGTTCCATCGCCAGCTTGGTAATTCACTGTATCTCATGCAGTGATCTGTAAAGCCGACTGATATCTCCGATTGGATTTGAGATGCATATTTGTAACCCAATCGAGTATCTGGTCTGCATTTACAATCTCATCCTTCGAGCAGGTCAACTCATCAACACCCCTAGAAGTCCTCGGTCTAGACCATGATCATCCAATGTCTATGGACATTGAGCCTGCCAGTGTGCTTCGGGTTGAGGGCTGGCATGGCGTGCCCCGCATGACCAAGAGAGCAAGGATATCAATTGCATTCCAAGATTCCCAGGCATGAGTGTTTGGATTTCAAATCCATTTAAGGCGTGCCTCTAAGCGATTGACGACCTGTTCGTGACAGGGGTCTTCTCGAGGCATTCGATCAGGAGAATGTCCACCTGAGATAAAGGACCCTGGAGTGTTGATTCCGTACTATATCAACATGCTACAACCTACAGACCTGCTCAGATGTGATGCTGCCTCTCTGCTCCTACGCCTTTCCATCCAGCTTAGTGAAATTGGCCGGCCCTCCAGGCACCTGCAGCCAGTTCTTCTCGTCGTAATGCTCCTCGCCTTCAATAAGATGGAACGTGTAAATGATGCGGGTCTTCTGGCTCGTATTCCGCTCGCTCTTGTGTAGGATATTGCCATGGATCAGCACCAAACTGCCCGCCTTGACCTCACCCAGGGCGTATTCTTCCTGGCGAGACTTTTTGGAGTCAGTAGTTTCGTGCTCAAAGTCGCGCGGCCATTGTCCTTCTTCCTCGTCCACACTCTCAAACGTGGTGCCCTGCCCATCTGCTCTTCTCACAAATCTCTCTTTGATCGGAGCTCTTCGATGGCTGCCGGGGGCAAAACTCAGGCAGCCGTTCTCCACGGTCGCGTCTTCCAGAGCGATCCAGAATCCCACCGCGGACGGGGGCTTCGTGTACAGGAATGTGCTGTCTTGGTGTGCCGGCACTGCACCCCCTATTTCCGGCTGCTTGCAAATCACCATGCTCTGTAACAGCCGGGGGTCTCTGTACCCGAGGTCTCGAGCAATTGCCGCGTTGCGCCGTCCGATATCTCCGGCGTGTGAAACGTTTCCAAACTCCGGCACCAACCCGTGCAGATTATGTCCAATCTTGTTGATTGCCCGCTCTTTCGGCTTGGTCAGCTCGCCCGTCTGGGGATCGAACGCATCCTCCTCGAAGAAGAAGCGGACCTTGTCGCCCGAAGTAAGAAAGTACTCGTCCCCGACGTGCTTCGCCGATGTCGAATTGCCGTTCTCGTCGGTGCCCGTTGTGAAGCGCGTCATTGGATGATCGGCCAAAGGGAAGTCTCGTAGGAGTTCATGCGTTTTCGACAGTAGGTTCTGGCATGTTTCGGGAGAGAGATATGAAGGGATGATTAGGTAGCCGTCGCGCTGGAACGATGCGATCTGCTTCGGCGTCAGGCCCAAGGGCGCTGCTGAAGGATCAGGATCCGGCGACACTCGTGAAGGCGCCATTAGGAATAGATTGGATAGGCTATTGACAACAAGACGCTTTTACTCTGTTATGGATCACTTTTTGAGTCGTGTGCTGCCTTAGGACTGAGATAGCAGTCATGCCGCACAAGCAACGCGGGGTCACATCCAGCAATCGCTGTGCCGCCACTTTTGGAGATATATCATTGTTTATTATCCGACGGCGGATTGGCGGCTCGCCTCGGCCTGATTAACCAGCACGACTGACGATTCCTGTCACCGCTAAATGCCTAATTATGGGCAATTTTTTTGGTTGTCACAAATATCCGCGTTCGTTCAAAGACTCTACGGGATGATTTCAACACTATCTTCAGAGCCAAGGAAGAATAATCCAACCGACATTGGCTTGACCTAGTACGCAGGCTCAGGCTCAGGCATCGCGTAGTATTCATCGCGTGTAGCCTTCGTCTTTGTTCCCAATCGCTGCACCAGCTTGACCATGAGATCCTTCGCGGCGAACCCTTCTTCTGTCAAATAGTCCTGAAATTCATGATCGGTGGCCATCTTTTCGATTTCGCAAACGGCATAATCTGTCACCAAATTCCTCAACGTGTCGATTCCGCTGTCATGGTCCATTGTGTTCGCGTATGTATACTTGAGCAAATGGACGATATCGCCTGTCCTCTCTGCAAACAACGTGAAGCGGGACAACGTCAGACGAAGCTTCTGCAACACGAGCTCCCGCAAGGGTTCTATGCTATAGCGGTCGGAAAAGATGTAGAGGCTGGCGTGGCACATGAAAACAGGCTCGTAATCCTCGTTCGGGCGTAAGTTTCTGCGTGGTTCCCATGCTGGTCGTTCCCGTATATGTGCCTTGTCCTTGAATTCTCGCCACTGTTGAGATTCAGGCTGTCGTTCTATGCCGAAGCCGGGTTCCTGCATGAGCGGGATCGGTTCTGAAATGTGACCCTGCGTGCTGCTCTCAGTCCACCCATTGCGGCGCACTTTCCTTCTTCTGCCTGAGATAGTCGTTTTCGTCTCAAAGCCCCAAGAAAAGTTTGTTGGCTCATCTTCAACAGGCGCTTCCATCTCGTGGTTGGGTGGAGTCCCAGGTGAATTCGACGGGTCTTCATCATCGGAAACCGGCTTGAACGTTGGGTCCGGCACGGAATAGTCGCCCGTATATGCGAATTCCACAAATCGGTTGAAGGTATCCTCATCAATGTCTTCAAGGTGTGCGCATCCTTTCTCTGCCTCGGACATGCCCCCACCTACAAGTGCGGCCAAGGTCTCGGAATGCTGCTTGACCAGTTCGGAATGGATGTAGATCGAGGCTTTCTCGGGCCCGATGAGGAACCTGAAGGGATGCGAACGGGTAAAGCTACTCGTTGTTGGCCTTTGACCAGTTCCGTCACAAGTTGTACGTACCTTCGATAAGGAATCTCCATGATCGTGACAAGATCTCCTGTGGCACGGATCGCTCAAATTATGAACACAAGCAACATCCTTACCTTGGAAGGGTTGCGGTTCGTGCACTCAGGCTGCGGTCAGCCAGGCAAAGGTGCAAGCGGCAGTTCTGTGCCTTTTGTTTGGTGGAATTTGAAGCAGGCAGAGTTGTGCATGACTGGACAAATGCAGCTTAAGCGCGCACACGTACATTGGCGCCGCACCTTCATGTTTCTCATGTCAGGACTGCGCCGGGTTGAAACAGCATGTCGCAGCGCTGCAGAAGAACTGCTTCTTTGTGGATTTCAACTTGTGAGAACGCGTCAAGTAGCTAGGTCCTACGAAGACCAACTTGAAGGGACTCGGATAACTGACGAACCCATGTTCCCCATCAGAGCAGAGCACAACATTATTGGCCAGAATCGACGGGTGCTCCCATCCGCTAAATATAAATATTAAAATATTCCCGCCATTTATTCCGCGCAATTCGGCTCCTCAACGGAGTAAGCATCACTACACCACCAGCCGCATCATTTTGGCGGACTACCTACAATGCAGCCAAACCGGAACAGAAACGGAATGGCTGGTAGGGTTGACCAGACCTTGCAGGAAAGTATCTCATGTCCTTGGACCAGTCAACGAGAGAAATGAAGATGTCTCGATGTTCGCGTCTATGTCTCTTCCCACAAGCCAACTTGTGTTCTCGTCGCCCAAAGCTGTGCTTCTGTGTTGTTATAGTAAGCCCAATTGTGTACAATCCATACACTCCCTGATTCTGCTCTTCCTACCATGACGATACCGTATGTGCAACCGAGGGCACCGGGCCAGGGCGGAGACGGCGCGTGGCCTGCTCCTGTTGTACCAACAACCAGCCCTGCTTGGACGACATCGAGCTGGCCAACCCGAAGCTGGACAACCTCGACCTGGCCTTCTTGGACTTCAAGTTGGACCAGCAGCTGGAAGACAACAACGGCAGTGTCCACCATCACTGAAGCACCATGCCCTTGCGATACGACAGCCACGACAGTTGTGCCCGTCCAAACCACCACCAGCGACGGTGCCGCAACGGTTGTCGTCTACCAGCATCACCACAGCGGATTGTCGCCCGGCGCGGTCGGCGGGATCGTCATCGGCGCGTTCTTCGGTCTCCTCTTGCTGCTGCTTATATGCATCGGCTGCTTCCGCGCCTGGCGTCGGCCGCAGTACTACGGGTCAGATACGTCGTCGAGCTCGTCGCGCCGCAGACGACCAATCATCACTGATCCCTATCCATCCCGTCCGAACGCGAATCTGACATTCGTTGGTGGAGGAAACCGGCCGGAGACTCGGGTTGTCGTTACACGGAAGGAAAAGGTGTTTGTCAGGCCTCCACCGAGAGCTGTTCGGACAACAACGAGGACCAAGGACAGGGTTGTGGTCGTCGAAGAGGATTGAACGAAGGCTTTCAGTGAGCACTACGCTTCGGATGGATGGCATCTACAAACAGGACAGGGTTTGACGATGGCTATTTGCCAATGACGGGTGTACCAGTCGCCCTTACAGTACAAATGGGTTGGTATCAGTGCAGCGCACATGAATTGACGAGAGGATTTCTGAGATTTTGCTTGTGTACAGCAATCAATTGTTTGAAACCATGCAAGACAAGACTGCACTAGAGCCTGCAAAGAGTATAAAAAGATCCTCAAAATTTGCATAGCCAAAGCCATTCCCCCAATGGCTGCATTATAAGACAAGTAGCGCCCGCAAAAGAATCACTCAACGCCGGATCCCATTTCAACAGATACCCTAGTCTGTACGTCACAAATTCAATGGCGTCGTAGCATTGTACCAGCTGTACGACATACTCCGTGCGTTCTGTGGCGGAGGTGGTCGCTCAAACATTCCTTGCTGGCCGTAGCCGTTATAACTCAGGCCGGAAGAATAGGGAGCAGATGGCGGATAATAAGAATTCACAGGTCGTGGAGCGGCCTCGACAGGACGATGTCGCGTATAAGATCGACGAGACGGCGATGGTGAGTGTGATCGGTCCATAGCTCGTGGTTTAGTAGAACGCTGTGAGCGGGTAGACTTTCGTGATGGAGAGGCGCCACTGATGGAAGAGGCAGCCGATTGCGATTTGGTGTCCATATCCGCTTCTGAATCGCTATCGGTGTCAAGACGTAGTTCCGGCTGAGGCGCCGAAATTGTTCTGTTCTTGCCGCCAATCTTTGCCTGACCTTGAGTCTGACAATGTCGCTTCAATTTCTCCGGAGACGCAGATAAGTCGTAGGGAAAATCGAGTTTGACGGTCTCATCTTTCTTGGTAGGCGGAAGAGGTTGGCAACTGAAATAGGCCAATGGCCCTTTGAGTGCTTTGGCAGGGTCAACAACTTTGATCGGCTTCTTGCGAGGAGCTGGGGCAACTTTGACCCAGCCGTGGGGAGTGAGAACTGTAGGCATTGATAGATATGTGGCAAAACTAGGGATTTGGGTAAGTTCAAATTGTATACTTGTCAACAAGAAACATGTGTATGTTAGTGACCTTCATTAAATTTCTGAGCCGAAAACAACGAGGGGAGAACTTGTCATGGTGCTGGCATTGAGCGAGAACCCTGTTGGAATTAGAAACCCAGCCACGTCGAATGTACACGAAATGGCGAGGCTGGGAATTGTCCTGAGCCGCGCGCATGACGAATCGGCTCATTGTTTGGGTTTCAGAAATGCTGAGTTGTTCATGTCTACGAAAGGAGCGAGCCCTATTCCTACCGGATGATCTTTGTTAGACACCCGAGAAGTCGAAATTGAGTTGGTGGTCTGTGAGGTCGTTGTCAGTCAGTGCTTCGCCAGCCTTGTGCTTGTGGAGCTGTTTTATGGTGGAGTGCCATTGAACGGAAGCCGATTACTGCGGAGCATTAATCTGCTAAAGGAGGTGAAGTTGCTTAGACTGTACACTTCAACTTGAAGCTTTGTGAACCACCGCATTACCTCAATCGGGCCCTCAGTTCTGTCCCAGCTGTCGATCAATGCTCGGTATTTGATATTGAAGCAATCACTGTACTGCTCAGCCTTTACCTTCACTCTTGGCTGTCACCAACATGGTGTCCTCCGATGCTGACGCGCCGAGCAACCCTCCAACACCTTCACCATTCAACTATATCCTCTCTTTCCTGCTAGTTGGCATTTGCTGGGGTTTCACGACCCCTTTTATCCGAAAAGCTGCTGTGAATTACACGGCACCATCACACCCGTCCATCACAGATCCAAACAGATCGTGGATCTCAAGGCAGATAGCCAAAGCCTTCTACACGGTGATTGGCCTTTTAAAGAGCCCCGGCTATGCAGTTCCGCTCGTTATGAACCTGACCGGGAGTATATGGTTCTTTCTCCTGGTCGGCCAAGCCGGTATGTCGATCCGGAAGACCCTGCAACGAATGGTCTCGAGCTCATACTGATGTTCTTTCTAGAGCTCTCCCTTACAGTGCCCATCACTAATTCACTGGCATTCCTGTTTACAGTTCTCGGCGAATGGTATGCCGAAGGCAAACTTATTTCCAGAGATACCTGGATAGGAATGATTCTGGTGTGCGTGGGAATAGGACTTTGCGTCTGGTCCAAGAGTTGATGCTTCTACTCTTTCGTACGCTCTACAATTAAAATGGACAGTTCCAAAAGGGACCGAGGACGTGCGGAACTGCCAGCTCCTTACTTTTCCTAATGTTCAAACACACTGATGTGCCTGGTCCAAAAGATTTCAATACCACATCTAGGCATTCAAGCCCTGCCATTCCGTCACTGCGCCAAAGTATGATGGGTATATCCAGCTTCACGCGAAATCAGAGCATGTTTTGAAACTCCCCAAGTGACAGTGTTTGACGCCGATCCACCGTCTTCCAGAACGCCTGGCTTTTGGAAACGAACATCTCTTGGACGTTCTATCCCGCCAACCCCATGCATAAAATGTGGACACCCACGTTGAACAGCATATTTCCATCACGCCGATTTTTGCGTCGCAATATGATCGAGGAAATTCTTCGAAAACCGCGCGACCTGCTCGTAAACAATCTCGAAACCATTGTTTCCACCATAGTAGGGATCAATGACTTCTTCGGCCTTCTCTTGTCCACTGAATGCACCAAACAGCATCACAGTTGCTCTGGGCTTGCGTCCCTTGCTCTCTATTCGGCGGTGTAGCCGCTGCAGATCTCTCAGGTTATATGCGTCCATGGCGAAGATATAATCAAAATCATGAAAGTCTTGGGTATCCACCTGTCGGGCGCCGTGTTCGTAATCCGTAATGCCATGTTTGCGGAGTGTGGTCATTGTCCGGTAGTCCGGAGGGTCGAGGATGTGGTAAGCACCGGTGCCAGCAGAGTCGATTTCACCGATATGCGGATGGGATTTTGTGAGCGATCGGAAAACCCCTTCTGCCATTGTAGACCGGCCTACATCGTCAGTTGTCGCCTTGCAGAAGCAGAACGATACATACAGATATTGCCCAGGCAGACAAAAAGAACGGAGACCTTTTCTGATGATTCGGCCATGTTGGAAGACTGCGGGCGCAGCTGCGCACCAAGATTGCGCGGACAGGTGGTCAGCCTCGGTGCTGACGACTACTGGGAGATGCTTGATGAACGGGTAGCTGAGGTCTTGTGCTCACCCGCGATAGACATCCAGGCGCCCAACGAAGAGTGGAGAAAAGTGACAACCGGTTGGCATGGATATTGTGGCCATGCAGCAGAAGTAGCAAAGATCGATAAACGATATAAGGCGGTAATTCTAGTGGGCCTGGAAATGTCCACGCGGCGTCCGGGGCAATACGAACACCATTATTTGCACCGCCACAGCAGTTTGGGCGCTCCAACAAGCATATCAGTGCGAGTTAAGGGCATTTCAAAATGTTGAACGATCGCACTGAAGGGAGCTGATTTTGGACAAGAAGACAAGAAGCACTGCAGTTTGGGAAACTACTTGTAAACGACAAATCATCAACTTACTGCAATGGCATTTCATCCATGGATTACAGTACAATTTCTAGAGCTGAACTGCAGTTACAAATCATGCAGCATTCCCTAAATAGAAACCATGAGCTATGCTCCAGAGTGCAGCGTGCTTCGGCCTTGATGCCTTGCGACATAGTAGTACAACATTGTAGATCTCGCACCAACATGACCTATCTGGTACCCACTGCTGTAGTTCACAGGCTGTGTTATACAGGCGCGGCAGCTGTTACTGCGGCGATGCAGTTGGCAGGGTTTAGGGGTCCGTGGGCTCCCCTGAGTGGCGGAGGTTAGGGTAGACCCTAGCAATTGGCCTGCACCCAAAAACTCACACAACGCGGCTTCGCTACTATAGACCATTGACCTGAATCTCCTCATTCTAACACTCAGCTGCCTCGACAAGGCCCCCTTTTGCTATCTCCCTTCGCTTACGAGACTGTCGCAGTAATAGTGACTGAGAGCTCTTGACCCTCTCTTCTTTGAATACTCGTCACTAGACCACCAGTCGCATATCCAATACCAACAGGGCGCAAACTGCGCCGTCGCCCTGGTCGGCAGCGAGTAAACAACTTTCTCCACTCTTTCCTGATCATTGTCTGCATCAACACCAAGGCTGTTCTGGTCAACAAAGTTGCCTTTTGCGCAACATATTTTCGGACCCAGGCCCTGACGCCAGGGTACCCGGTCCTCAAACACTTGTTCCCTGGTTCTACATTCCGAAGTGCTGAACACAGACCAGACCACTCCTTTCTGACCACCTTTGGTCGCTCCCTCAATCTGGGCCGACATGGCCTACAACCGTCTAGGTAAACACCACTTCCATACTGCGGCCTGTGGCAATTTGTATGCTGATTACTGTGCATAGGCAGTCCCCAGCGGGATGGTCCTTATTCTCCCAGCGCTCAACCTCAATACGACTCGAGATCGCCCTCGCCAGGTCGACCCTTACAGCCCTATATCCATCCTGACGAAGCCTACGCGCGACAGCAGCCTCTGCATTTGCAAATGCCCACCGCCTCTGATGACCGACTAGCCATGCAGCCTACGTATTCGGTCGAGAATGTTCACAACCCCCAAGCCTACGGTCAGCAGTATGGGCAGCATCTCCCCGACTCTGGGGACATGGGTTACGGCAGAAACGATTACATAGTTTCTCCCGAAGAGCATCATGATGCCTATTACACACAACCATATTCCCCTCATCCACAAGGCGACTATGCCTTAGATCCTTATCCTTCCCACGATGAACCCTACAGACCAGATACCGACAATGTGCCAATACTCCAGCCAGATTCGGCTTACGGCCCAGATCCGCACACGCAGCCGGGAATGGACTACGACGACTACCAGGAAGAACCTCGCCCTACGCCGTCGCCAGCCCCGATTAGGCGCTGGAAAACAGTCAAGGAGGTGCAGTTGTTCAATGGAAATCTAGTGCTGGATTGCCCTGTGCCACCAAAGCTTTTAGCCAACGTTCCTCACGCGAAACCTCCTGAAAGAGACGAATTCACGCACATGAGATACTCGGCGGCTACATGTGATCCGTCCGACTTCCACAATGAAAGATTCACGTTGCGGCAACGGCTCTTTGCGAAACCTAGACAGACGGAGTTGTTCATTGTGGTTACGATGTATAACGAAGACGAGTTTCTGTTTGCACGCACGATGATTGGTGTATTCAAAAACATCGAGTTCATGTGTAACCGCAGTTCCAGCAAGACTTGGGGAAAGGAAGCATGGAAGAAGATCGTCGTCTGTATCGTCAGCGACGGACGTGCTAAGATCAATCCAAGAACCAGGGCTGTTCTTGCCGGTCTCGGTGTTTACCAAGATGGCATTGCCAAACAACAAGTCAACGGTAAAGACGTTACTGCTCACATCTACGAATATACCACGCAAGTCGGCTTGGAACTCAAAGGCACGCAGGTTTCCCTCAAGCCTCGATCGGCTACGCCTGTGCAACTGCTATTCTGTTTGAAGGAGAAGAACCAGAAGAAAATCAACTCGCATCGTTGGTTTTTCCAAGCCTTTGGTCGAGTCCTGGATCCGAATATTTGCGTATTGATTGACGCGGGAACAAAACCGGGAAAAGACTCCATCTACCAGCTGTGGAAGGCTTTTGATTTGGAGCCCATGTGTGGCGGTGCCTGTGGTGAAATCAAGGTCATGTTGGACCATGGCAAAAAACTCCTCAATCCTCTTGTCGCCACGCAGAACTTCGAGTACAAGATGTCCAATATCCTGGACAAGCCGCTCGAGTCCGCTTTTGGCTTCATTTCCGTTTTACCGGGTGCCTTTTCCGCTTATCGCTATGTTGCCTTGCAGAATGACAAGAACGGCGTGGGTCCCCTGGAAAAATACTTCAAGGGAGAAACGATGCACGCTGATGCAGGAGTCTTCACTGCCAACATGTATCTTGCCGAAGATCGCATTCTCTGTTTCGAGCTAGTCAGCAAACGCAACTGTCGGTGGATTCTGCAGTACGTCAAATCCGCCACGGGTGAGACCGATGTCCCGGACCGAATTCCAGAGTTTGTGCTGCAACGACGACGATGGTTGAATGGCTCATTTTTTGCCGCCGTGTACGCAGTTGCACACGTATACCAGCTTTGGCGAAGCGACCACAGTTTCCTCCGCAAACTCATGTTTCTGATCGAATTCACCTATCAGACGATCAACATGCTTTTTGCCTGGTTCGCAATTGGCAACTTTTTTCTGGTGTTCAGGCTCTTGACGGCCTCGTTAGGCACAAAGGAGACACTGGGAACGGCAGGCACAGTACTAGGAGTGGTCTTTGAATTTGTGTATCTCGGAACACTCCTTTACTGCTTCATCTTATCCATGGGTAACAGGCCACAAGGAAACCCGAAGTCATACATGATGATGGTGATTTTCTGGTCGGTGCTCATGGTTTGGTTGACGTTCGCCTCCATTTTCTTGACGGTTAAATCGATCGAGACCGAAGTCCAACAAAAGGACTTTAGCTTCTCCACGATCTTCAACAACAGCACATTTTTCGGTCTTATTGTGTCCCTTGCCAGTACTTACGTACTTTGGTTCGTGGCGAGCTTCTTGTTCTTCGATCCTTGGCATATGTTCACTTGCTTCCTCCAGTATATTGTCCTCACACCAACCTACATCAACGTTCTGAACATCTACGCCTTTTGCAACACTCACGACATCACATGGGGTACGAAAGGTGACGACAAAGCCGAGAAGCTTCCCAGCGCAAATGTCAAACCCGGTGGCAAGGTGGACGTGTTAATTCCACAGGACGATGGAGATTTGAACGCTCAGTACGATTCCGAATTGAAGAAGTTCGCCACCAAGCCACCCAAAGAAGTCAAAGCACCCAATCCAGCCGATAAACAGGAGGATTACTACAAATCTTTCCGAAGCAATGTCGTCACAGCGTGGATGATCACCAACTTCATCTTGGTTGCCGCGGTTTTGAACATTGCAGGGTTTGACCGGATAAACGTCCATGATACCCAGCAGCAGAATTCGACAATCTACCTGGCCGTTATTCTGTGGTCGGTAGCCGGATTGTCTCTTTTCAGATTCACTGGGGCCTGTTGGTTTTTGGTTGTGAGGATGGTGAGTTTGGAAATATGGTCCGTTTGCAAGGTTTGACGCTAACTGAGTCCAGTTCCGTGGTGTTTGAAATCTGATACCCGAAGACGGTCATGAGCGATGCGACATATTGGTTTGGTTTTCTTGCGGTCTATCTCCTAGTATGACTCTTCTGGATACGTCTGGTGATAAAGGCTTTCTACGACGCGATACCCCAGGAAATTGTGATGAGTGACGGGTTCTGAGTTGGCTGCTTCACACGGCGGAGGCACATGGAGTGCATGGATTCAATTGTATAGGTAACGGCTGTGTAGAGCGTCAAGTTGTTGAGTAGGAGAAATGAAGCCGCAGTCCGAAGGGCCAGCTGGACGTCATGCTCAGCCTCGTCCTTGAATGTATGAAGCAGCTCCTTTTAGTGAGCCTCCCGCGCCTGACTCGGCCAGAATCTTATTTTGGAGATGACATTGCCCTATATGATATTAGGATTGGGTAGATGAACAAAAATCGTTGAAGCAAAAATTTCAATGCCGATCATTTCTGTACAACCGATGCCGAGCGCTGTGGCCGAACCCAGAGTGATAGTATGGATAACCGGGCCGCAGGATCATGGTTTCGTTATGACATCTACATTATTTTTATGACCAAGCAACCTCAGCTTTGAACTCTCCGGCGTTGAATCTCTCCGTGTCTCCTCGATACCAGTATGGCCAGGGTACGGATTTACTGATTTATCCACGGTTCGCTCGGGCTCCACCAGGGTTTCTATCCATAAACACCACATTGCACTAAGCGACACGAGCATTTCATCATTGAAACAGGGCGACCAAAACCCTCGCTCCGTCTCTACATGCGACTCTGCACCTGTCAGCATATAGTTGCTCGATCTCTACTATCTCTTGCCACGCGAAGAGTGAGCCCTGTCTTCCTCGCCAAATCGTCGCCCTCCAAATCGCACGTCAGATTCAGCTCGTGGCCGCATCGGCTGCAATCTCGTCGGTGGCGGAACCCTCGACGCGATCCTCCGTCACGCGCACCAGATCTCGAGGCGTCCTCCTCTACAGCATATATTTTGGTCCTTGCAGTTGCATGTGGAGGCGCAATTGTGCTTGATTACTTTACGCGCAAGTCGTCTCCCGTCAGCGTCAACTCGGCAGCCTTCGACCACCGTGTACTCGAAAAACCCCTTGACCATACTCGCGACCCCTACTACACCAATATGCCGATCCCTCCAGGACACCTGGGGAATTTGACTCCGGAGCAAGAAGCAAAACTGCGCGAATTCTGGGCTGCAACTTTGGCTGTGTTTGGCGTACAAGATCCTCATGAGACCAACGGGACTGAAACTCCGCAGACCGAAGACTCGCAATCACTTGCGGAGGTGGACGGCAAAGATAAGAAGAAGAGCAAAAAGCGACTGGGGATCTTCAAGAGAAAAGGCGACAAAGACTCGAGTAACGGGACCGTGACGCCCACGAAAGATCCCAGTCAACATGCTGATTCTGACGACAAATATGGCCAAGTGAAGGATTTTCACCACACCCTAGCCACTCAAAGTCCCGAAGCGTTGCGGGCTGCATTCTGGAGCATGGTCAAAGCAGATCACCCCGATGCTCTATTGTTGCGATTCCTTCGGGCGCGCAAATGGGACGTTGACAAAGCATTGGTCATGTTGGTGTCGACGATGAAATGGCGGAGTCAAGAGCAACATGTCGACGATGACATTGTCTTCAAGGGAGAAGGAGGCGCGCTGGAGGACAGCAAATCCAGCGACCCTGCGGTCCGGAGCGAGGGTGAAGATTTCCTCAAACAATTACGCCTGGGAAAGAGTTTTTTGCACGGAACGGACAAAGAAGGGCGACCGTTGTGCCATGTCCGAGTGAGGCTACACAGGGGAGGAGAGCAGAGCGAACGGAGTCTAGAGCGGTATACTGTCTACGTGATCGAGACGGCGAGGTTGACGTTGAGAAGGCCCGTCGAGACCGCTGTAAGTTGCCTCCCAACATTGTTTATGGTTAGTTGGCTAACATTTGGCGCAGTGTATTATATTCGACATGACCGATTTCAGCATGGCCAACATGGATTATACCCCGGTCAAGTTCATGATCAAGGTATTCGAGGCCAATTACCCCGAATCTCTTGGAGCAGTGCTCGTCCACAAAGCACCGTGGATATTCCAGGGGATTTGGAAGATTATACGTGGTTGGCTAGACCCCGTGGTGGCTGGGAAGGTGCATTTAACGTCCAGCGTGCAGGATTTGGAAGAGTTTATTGACCGATCACGCATCATCAAGGAATTGGAGGGCGACGAGGATTGGGAGTATCACTATGTCGAGCCGATCCCCGGTGAAAACGACGCCATGAAGGACGAAGCCACACGGAATGCCCTTCAAGCAGAGAGAGACGCTGACGTTCGGGAATATCAGAGAAAGACTTTTGAGTGGATCGCCAAAGGTACCGGAGCCGACGTTGATCAGATCAAGGAGTACCGAAATACCCTTGCCGGCAGACTGTACGACAATTACTGGAAGCTGGACAAGCACATCCGCGCCAGAACGTACTATGACCGGACGGGCATGATTGGCCCAGATGGGAAGGTCAATTTCTACCCTCCTCCGCCGGGGAAGGGAGAAAACGCCAGCCTTCCGGGATCCTCGAATGTGCCTGAACCTGAAACGAGCGCCGACGATGTGGACTGAAAGCTCCGAGCGAGAAGGCATGTATCGCCTAGACCGAGGAATGTGATTCATTGACTTGGCCCGGTGATGAGAAGAGCACTCTGAAGACGTATACGTCTGTTGTACTAGTACGATGAAATAAGCTTCCGAAGGACTGTTATCTGCCCATTCGAAATGCCGTTGTCATGAGTAAATTTGTTCTGCGGATGGTGTGCAATGGCATGTTTCCAGGGACAATATACACTGTTGGATCCCACAACATCGGCGGGCTTGTGGTAGTTTCCACTCGAAGCGCTCTCACCAGCTGAGATGTACACTATAGACGACTGGCAAACCCCGGGAGTGCAATTGGACGAATAGGCACAGAAGTCCACGGTACGCAATGGAACAGCTGCAACACAGGTTCATAAATATGGTTTCCCCTCTCTATTGTTATGAAGCGAGATGCAAGTTCCAGTTGACTCTCAGCGTCGTTCTTCTCATGTACAACTTGAAAGTAAAGTCAATCCCCTCCTACATCTTGGACTTCAGCTCCGCATGCAGCTTCTTCAAGGCATCCATGTCCGTTGGACTCGCCGGCCACCCGATGCCCAGACCTTCGGTGGCATTAGGCTTGGGAATCATATGGAAATGAACGTGCCCGACCTCCTGGTGCGCGAGGCGGCCATTGTTCTGTAGGACGTTGTAGTTCTCGGCCCCGCTGGCAGCGGCCAGTTTCTTGACCACGGGCAGAATCTCCGATAGGGCGTCGTCCGAGATGTCGACGAGCTTCTCGCCGTGCTCTTTCGGGATGACCAGCTGCAGGAACAACTCCGTCAGAAGAATGGACCTGACAGAAAAGCAGGGCTTGAAGGAACTTACCGCGTGACCTTTGCTCAAGGGTTGGATGTCGAGGAACGCCAGCACCTTGTCAGACTCGAACAATTTGAAGCACGGAATGTCGCCTGAGCAGGACGATGCATTAGACCGGAGCCCGGAATATCAGTACAAGGTGCCAGTAGCTGCAGCCTCACCTTTCACGATCTTGCAGAAAATACACACGGCCGCCATGTTGTTCCGTGTGTGCTTTCCGGTATCACAACACTTTCAAAGGGCAAAAGATCGTGGCCAAGGTGCAGGTTGTCTGTAGTGGTACCTTGGGTCTTCTCGAATCGCTGGTGGACGCACTTCGACTGGTGCCATGCGGGGAAAACATGGGTTCGAGTCACAGTACTGGAACGTGGGGGGGGAATCTGCTCACGTGATTACCCAAAGAAAATTGAAGAAATATGAGCTTTTTGTTGCAGAAAAATGAGTTGGAGTGGGTGGAGCTATTGCAGAATCCATTTCTTGCCTTTTACCAGAGATGGCCGTGGCTACCCCCAATACACTCCATTTCTCAATCTTTGGACACATTGTGAATGCTTTCAGGGAGCATTTTCTTTTTGGCTGATTCCACTTTAGTAACAAGAGGATCAAGTCAAGCCGAGTTATAAAAGGTTGTGAAAGGTCATGGGTTCGAATGATGGACGTTGTTTAATCGACTTTTTTGTTCATTTTTGTGACTGGCAACCTGGGAGTGTCACGTGCGGGAAATCCCTTACTAAGCCGGTTTTCTCTTTTATCATTGTCCAACTTGAAATCCATGACCGACATAGCTGATTATATCAAATGTAGTATAACATGTTGCTCTCAATGATCTAAAGCACAAGACTGGTGTCTCCAAGCAACATCTGAGATGGCCCTTCGGCTACTTGGGAGCTCACACACAGCCCAAAGAACGATGCAAGAGAATCATCTTGGGCTTTGCATTTGATGTCATGTCAGGCACCACTACGCGGAACTTGGAACAAGAAATGTTGAAGTAGCGGTCTGAACGAACCATAGAATGAGGTAATACTAGCTACGTTGGTCCTAGGAGTGGCCAATGGCAACATGCTCTTGGAGCATCAATACTGCTGAACTCGTCTTCTGCCATGAGCACCAGCATCAAGCAGCTCCCCACCATGGCTTCACCCATCCACCGCTCCGATCATGCTTGAGGTCCATTTGGAGTAGGGTCGGCGCGTTGGACGACACCAAATCGCATGTTTCCCGCGTCGAAGATCTATCATCAGTCAGCCACTGTGCCATAGAGTAAGGACAAACAACTTACAGCATAGACACTCTGGAGGAAAACGTCTCCGAAGATACTGAAGCCCAGGCTGCCTTGGGATTGGATACCTCCATAAACCATGGTGCTGTTGTACGCTGCAAAGGCGTAATGCTCCTTCTCGATGGTAATTAGTGTGTTGCCAACAGCGAACGAGATGGTAGGAAGGCTTTCGGCTGGAGTATCGGCGGGATAGATCCAACCCATTGCATCCTCGCTGAATTCGGCACCATCAATGGCACCGTAGAACTGGTCGCAGATTTGGTCGCTGACGAGCATCAAAGTGGTACCGGTGTCCGCAACTGCCTGGTTGTTGGCCAGGTTAATGGTCTGACCGTTGAGAACAACGGACGGGGAGTCGAACATCCAGAACCCCTTGCTGTTGTCGACTGGGACGTACGAAATCTGCTGGCCCGACGACTGAACGGCACCTTGGTCGACAGCACCGAAAGTGTAGAATGACTTGCCATGATCTGGGTCTTTTGCATCCTTGTACGAACCCAAGTAACAGGTGAAGAGCTGTTGGTCAGCGGGGATGTCATGCTGCAGAATCATGTTCTCCAGAGGGGTGTGGACGGGCTTGGGTCGGACAGTGTTGATACTGCCAAAGGCCAGCCCAACGAGACCGCGGGAACCAGTTTGATTCTGGAGTTGACTCGAGATCTTGCTGGCCAGTTCGATAGCCTGATTCTCAATGGTTATGTTCCCGATCTTGACATTGTCCGTTCCAACGGTTCCCGACGCTACAGAACTGTCTCCGTACTGGATGTACCAGGTGCTTCCAGGCATGGTCTTGAAGGTGGAAGAGTTGTCTGGATTGAAGACAGGGGCACCCGATGCTTTCGCGGCCTTGACAGTATGGGAGGGAAGATGCGTGGACCAGGTCTTTGCACAGTCAGCCAGTATTCAGGAATGAAGGTCGCGAGGAACATACCCAGAAGTCAGATGAACCAGAGTCAAAGTCCTGTTACACTGATTAGTTCCGCTGGCTGGACAGCTATTGTGGTTTCACCCACCAAGTTCAGGGTCTGTGCCGGAGTACCAATTTGGACCGGACAGGTGTAGAAGGAGTCATTTTGCTGATCATCGGTGGTACTGCCACAGGTCAGCCAATGAGTTCTGCATGAAACGTCGTGATACGTACACTTGGGCCGAGGAGCCATCGGTCTGTCGTTTCATCAAGACATGTTCTTTGTTGCGATGGAAGCGGCCCTGTCTGGTTGGGGTCATGCCATATTTGTGGAACAACCACACAAGTGACTTGGTGCCGTCGGCCTTGTAGTTGGCATTGCGGTGGACAGGCACGCGAGCAATGTTGGAGAGACCCATGACTGTAGTGATAAGAAGAAGATGCAGCAGCAAAAGCCTATGAAAAGAATGAAGCAGTCAGAGTCTGATCACTGTGATGGGGTTGGGCTGGCAGATGCGATATGAAGAAGAGATGAGACGGGAAGAAAGAAGATGGCGAGACGAGGTCGAGGGAATATAAATCATCGGCAACGCTGGGAGCAAATGAGGGCAGGAGCGAGTTTGGTCTGCAATTTGGAGGAAGCCACGTACCCGAGTAGGCGAACTGACGTCTTCATCGTGGCAGCTTCGAGGTTCTTGTTCCTTGGGCTTGGTTGTAGTTTCTCTCACTGGACAGTTTCTTGAGATCTGAAAAGTCTCTCCTGGTTTGAAGGGAACTTGGTGTCTGAGTTGGTAAGACAAAATGTGGTTTACTCGTCAACCACTGTGATCTAAGTGTGAAGAAAGAAGTTGAACGGAATATTGTACGCTTTACAACAATAGCCAACTCAGAACTTCACGCACTTGTGTTTGTGGTTTTGTCTGCGACAACAGCGCCTTCAATCGCGGGTTCTCTGTTTGCAATGTACAGTCACTCCCGCCGCGTCTTACTTCCAGAAAGCAGAGGCCTTCTTGTTTCTCACTCACCAAACGACAACTGTTGGCCCGGCATGGCGCAGCCTATCGAAGTTGAAGGTTCCCATTCCATGACCTACCTGACTCGATCCCACATGCTCTCTCCGGCTGAGTACCATATGCGGCTGTATAGCAAGTTCCATTGACGACAAGACACTGTCTCGCATCCTTCGCTTGTTGCGGTTCATTTCATGGCTCTCCAAAACCAGGCGAGATTGGTGTAACCTTGAGTCTTCCAGTGACATTGTGATGAAGCGATGGGAGAAGAGAGTCGCGGTGAACCACGTTGAAAGTCGCATGTTGCAGTGAAGAGCACTGAACTGCATGCCACCGGCCAACAACAGTTTGTCTGAGAACAGGAACTTTTGATGCGTAAACGATATGCAAGCTGCCTTCGCATAAGCTGATACCCTTACCTCACAATGGGCGCGATATGGAACCGGCCGAATACATGCATCGCCCACCTCCATTTTGTGCGTCAAAGGGCTTTGGCAGGCAAGAAAGAAAACAAAATGTAGCGCGTGTTAGTCTCAGTGACGCTGTTGCTGCATAAGTAGTAGGGACATAGTATCGCACTAGAGATGGGATAAACATTTTGAAGTCGTTACTATGGTCGAAAGATGGCTATTCCTGAATCAGATGTTGATGGATTGACGAGAAACATTACTCATGAGTCACTCTCGCAAAAATCCATTATTGCCAGCGATAAGATAAGATCCCAAAGAAAAATTAACTGCGTCCTGCTCCATCTTCGTCTGTCCGACGACAATACTTCATAACATTCTTCTCACAACACGAGATCTGAGATCTCGAGGGAGCCAATCCTATCACTATGGCTGCTGAAGTCCAGCCGATCGCACAGACAAAGTTGCCTGCTCGGCCTTCGTCTTTGACGCCCGAGCAGACTTACTGGAGGTCTTTCAAATCGCCTTTGAACATTCCCTCACCGACAAATAACGCTATCACTCACATCTCATATCCCGAACCGACCGCATCATCCTCACGGTCGGCAGACTTTTTCGTCGTCACCACAGGCGCTCGTGTCCAGCTCTACTCGGTCAAAACACGAAAACTTCTGAAAACCATCACACGGTTCGATGACACCGCGTACGGTGCTGAAGCGCGATACGACGGACGAGTCCTGGCCGCCGGAGATGAGACCGGGGCTATTCAGGTGTTTGATGTCAATTCCAGAGCCATCTTAAAAACATGGAAAGAACAAAAGCAGGCAGTGCGCTGCGTAAAATGGAGTCCACAGGAAAGTACAGCGCTACTCAGCTGTGGAGACGACAGAACCGTGAGACTTTGGGACCTTCCCAGCGAATCCAGTGTCGAGACGTTCCGTGGCCACCAGGACTATGTGCGCACCGGCTCATTCATCTCTGGTCAGTCAAACAATCTACTGGTCTCGGGCAGCTATGACCAGACGGTCCGATTATGGGATCCGCGTACTCCTAGGGGCGCAGTCATGACATTCAAGCACATTGGGTCGGTCGAGGATGTTCTATGCATGCCGTCAGGGACGGCCATCCTCGCATCAGCCGAAAACCAGATTGCCGTGCTGGATATTGTTGCCGGAAAACCCTTGCACATGATAAAGAATCACCAGAAAACAGTCACTTCGTTGTCTCTCGCCTCCAATGGGTCGAGAGTGGTCAGTGGCGCGTTGGACGGGCATATGAAAGTCTTTGAGACATCTGGCTGGAATGTGGTTGCAGGGTCAAAGTATCCTGCGCCAGTCCTCTCCTTGTCGATTGTTGCTGCGGGAAACCCACGGGAAGACAAACACGTGGTTGTAGGCATGTCGACCGGCCAATTGAGCATCAAGACGCGACTGTCGGGTGAGCAGAAAATCAAGGAGCGAGAGCGGCAAAAGCAAATGGAAGCATTGATTGCGGGGAAGATCGAAGAATATGACAAGAAGCAGGCCAAGAAGCGGCCCAGAGGACTCGAAAACCGGTTCAGAGGCAGAGATTATGCAGGTGAAGATGCCGACATTATTGTGGCGGGAAACGAAAGGGTGAAGCCAAAAAAGCTGGCGTCTTGGGAGAAGGAATTACACAAAGGGAGATACCGCGAAGCATTGGACGATGCCATCAAAAACGTGGACAAGATGACTGTCATGACCATCCTCAACACTCTCCGATATCGTTCTGCCCTTCGAGCCGCACTTGAAGACCGAACCGAGTCGGAGCTTCAACCGATTATGAACTGGACATGGAGAAATATCACGGATTCCAATTTTGTGTCATTATGCGTGGAAGTTGCCATGAACATTATGGACTTGTATTCGAAGCATCTGGCAGAGAGCGAAAGCCTCGCCAGGCAGGTTCAACGTCTTCGGGAACGCGTCCAAGAAGAAGTTGGGCGAGCACATCAAGCAGGCATGACAAGAGGAATGTTGGAACTTTTGAACCCCGAGGTTGCCGCTTGAATTTGAAGAGGCTTGGATTCGACGAAGTTTGAGGACAATTGAGACGGAAGACTCCGCCATGATTGATGGCCTGATTCACGACCAACGGCTCCAGCTGCCCTGCGTCCAACCACCCTTGCAGCTGTCTTCTCGACGCGATCCCGTTGTTTTGATGTTGCGGCGAAAATTACCACAATGGGACATGCAGTCTCGCTGCCGGACGTCGCTCTGATTTACGCCGAGCACCTGATTACATCATCGTCGCTGTCTTCGCGCGGGGGACCAAACGGCCAAATCCCGCACAATTTCTCGTTCAACTCTTTTCGTCCCTCCACAACTCAGCCAGATTTATTTTCACCGTGCCAGTCCATTCTTTTCTGTGGAAGCGTACTGAACTGTTCAGCATGGCTCCGAAAATCATCCGATGGGGCATCTTGGGTACGGTATTCACTCACAACGTTGCTTCTCTCAGGAGTTAACCAGTTTGCAGCCACTGGCGGAATTGCAGAAACCTTTACCAAAGACCTTCTCCTCGATCCGGCAACGCGAAATGTCCATGAGATCAAGCACACCGTGGTAGCTGCCGCCAGTTCCTCAAGCGCATCTCGTGCGCAGGAGTTTCTGAAAAAGGTCGGTGCTCCTTCGTCAGCCGCCGCCTACGGCTCGTACGAAGAGTTGGTCAAGAACAAGGATATCGACATTGTCTACGTCGCCACCCCTCACTCTCACCACTTTCAGAATGTCATGCTCTGCCTTGAAGCTGGGAAGAATGTCTTGTGCGAGAAAGCCTTTACAGTCAATGCAGCTCAGGCAAAGAAGCTCATTGACACGGCTCGCGAGAAGAATCTCTTCCTGATGGAGGCAGTCTGGACACGATACTTTCCTTTGTCAATCTATGTTCGTGACGCCATCACCTCCGGAAGGCTGGGAACTGTCATTCGAGTGTACTCGGACAACTCCATGGCTACCGACCCCGAAAAGACCTGGCCTGACGGAAAACACAGAATGGTCAACCCCGAGCTCGCCGGCGGCGCACTCCTTGACATGGGAATCTACAGCCTGACCTGGGTCTTCCAGACCTTGTATACTACCCAGTCAGAGCGTAGCCGCAAGCCACCTCGCGTCGTTTCCAGCATGCAGAAATATCCCCCTACCGGCGTGGACGAAATGACCACCATGCTTCTGACTTTCCCGCGTGACGTCGACGCCGGCGGCAACATGCACGCCGTCGCCACGACGAGCATTCGCACCGCCAGCGACGTCGATGGTTCCGGCACTTCCGGCCCAGCAGTTCGTATTTACGGCACCCAGGGAGAATTACAAGTGTGGCCACCCATCTATCGCCCGACCCGGACGCGCCTTATCCTCAAGGATGGAACTGTCGAAGATAAGAATTGGCCTCAACCAGGCCCTGGCAAGGGAAGTGGTTGGTACAACGGTTTCGGCGGCGACCTCAATCTCGAGGGTGAAGGTCATGGCATGTTCTGGGAGGCAGATGAGGCGGCTTTGGCCTTGGTGGAGGGCAGAAAAGAAGGGAGATTTGAAAGCTTGGACGAATCTTTGGTCATCATGGAGCTTATGGATGAAGTCCGCAGGCAGAACGGACTCCAGTATCCCGAGAAGATCGAGACAACGGAAAAGGTTGAGCTATGAGCACAACACTGCAGAGAACATTGTAGTGGTTAACCCGACAGAAAAATACAGGTTGGAAAAATTGCCGTGAGTGCAACTTGAAATCGTGAAGTCAATTCTCGGGAGATTGTACATTGTAGTAAGCGTCCATCTATGACACAACGCATCGATAAGCGACTCTGCTACCCGCCATTATTTTGAGATCCGAAGCCGAGTTGATTCTTGCTATGTCATCTGCACGAGCCCATCTTACACCTCAGCCCTTGTTCACTAAGTTCCGAAATTCCTCGTTTGTCTTCTTTCCTTCGCTAACCTGCTCCTCCGTGCCAGTTCCTGTCTTTTCGCCTGAATGCAAAACGGCAATTCTTCGACCGAGATGTCCTCCTTTCCGCACACCAGGCTGTGCAGGGCGCTTGATCGGACCATTGGCCACCGGAGCGGGTGGCTGATTTTGACTAGGACGCTTCGCAAATTGTTCCTCCTTTCGCTCAGGCTTCATTTGAAACAATTCCTTTTCGGTGGTGACGCGGATGCGACGACCTGGGGAAATCTCATAGCCGTCAAGTTCAATCATGCCTCGCCCTGCATCTGGGATGGTCTCGAATTCAACCAAAGCTCCCTGGTGATTTGTCTTGAGGAGAACTTTGCGGATAGGGCCGATCTTCTCGGCAACAGCCTTGATTCTGCTCTCATTTACCGTGTCCGGCACCTCGCAGATGGCCACTGTCCGCTGTCGTCGCTCTTCGATGGAAACGGGGTCGCGCTCGGGCCTTGTTGGTTGCACAGTGGAAGAACCAGAAGGCTGCGCCGAGGGTGACTTGGACCGCCCGCGATTACTTTTGTTATCGCGGTGATTGCCCTCCGAGTCTATGTGCACGGTAATCTTTCTCTGCATGAACTCCTGTCCGTCCATGGCCAAGGCAGCCTCTGCTTCTTCTTGTCGAGCAAAGGTGATGAATGCAATGCCGCGGTTCCGAGATTTATTCTTCGGATCATGAGGCAGACGAATATGATCCAGTTTACCGTACCGTGAAAAGGACTTTTCGATGTCCTCGGTGGTTGCTTTGAAGGGTAGTTGACCGACAAAAACTGTCCGGCCATCATTTTTCTTCTCCGCCCTCGGCTGACGCGCAGCTGGATTCGAGATCTTGACGACAATGTTGAGGCCCTCAATTTCCTTGCCATCCAGTTCAGTGGCCGCCTGAGCCTCCTTTGGCAATTTGAATTCGACGTAGCAAAATCGGCGTCTCTTGTTCCGTTGAAGAGACGGGAAGCGAATGTTGATGATCTCGCCATATGGACGCAGCAGGTTGCGGATCCAAGTCTCATCCGCAGCAGCAGGGTAATTTGTCACATAGAGAGTTGAACCTGTATTGAGGACCACCGAGATCACGGAGCCCTCCAACTCTCTTCCGTCCCGGGAGAGCGCATATGTGGCAGCGTCAGCATCTTCGAATTCCACCACAACGGACTTTTCGTCGGGCAGGAGCTTGAGGTTCTTCACAATTCCACAACTGCTGAAGTATTGCCTGATCTTGGTTTCGGTGATGTTGCTTGGAAGGTTCTGGACAAGGACGCTGGCATGCTCACGATCGCGTTTCAGTTGTTCCTCTGTTGTATTTTGGGGCTCCTCAGAAGTCTCCATTGCGTCATCTGCCTTGTACCGCTTGTTGGTATCGTCCTCTTTCTCTTCCGGCTGGCTGTCCCGCTTGCGCTTTCCGATATGAAGACCATTTGCGACTTCTTCCGTCCGCTGTTTCAGCTCGTCCTTTGCTTTTTCTGCTTGGAGTGCGATTTCATTTCGTTGTAATTCCTCCTGTCGCCTGGCCGTGATCGACCTTTGTGCTTTGCGCACGACCGCAAGGGCACTTTGCAGCTCCTCCGCATCCTCGTAATCTTCGCAATGGTTCAACAATGCCTCCATTAGCGGTTCTGGATAGTCAAGACCGGGAAATTGAAGACCTTGTTTCAAGATGGCGGCAGCAAAGGGCGCTGATGATAGCGCAGCGAGCCGATCCGGGCCCGCATGTTGGACAAAGGCCATTTGAACGGATTTCTGAAGTTCGAATTCGTAGAAACGCAGCCAGAATTTGTAGTGTTTGCCATAATCGGGCACGGCATCGTCGAATTGAGCTCGAGCATTGTCAAACCGTCGCTGAAATTTGAGATATTCGACGTACTTTCGCTGCAGCCTGAACGAAGGATCAAAATCGGCTCCCAGTCCTAATTTGGAAGCCAGACTGTGCACCGTTTCTATTGACGATCTGATGCCCATCTCTGCGACATCGCCATCCTCTTCGACAGCATCAGGACGTTTGCTTCGGCGCAAGAGATAACCACACCAGGCATCATAGACGGTCAAAGCTTCCTCGATACCTGCAGCCTCGAGCAATCCTGAACTTGTGGCTTTGTGTTTGATCTTTTCCGTTTCGTCGAACGGCTCTTCAGCCACCTCTGATGCCAAAAGATACTGTTTCCAGAGCGAGCCGGACCAGGGACAGTGCTTGGTCGCCCTCGAAAGTACTTCGACTATGTTTGGCTTCGACTGATCCAGCAGATAATCAATGTGTTCCTCCCATGCAGCCAGAACGGAAGGGAAACGGAGTTCTGCACGTTGGTAGAGCGCTTCAACCATGTCGAATGGGGGAGGAGTTGTTTGTGGCCCACGTTTTCCTTTTTGCTTTTTCGACCGAGACTTCTCGCCCTCGGACCGTTCCCACTCGATGTATTTAGAGAATGCCTGGAACTCAAGGGTCCGATCTCCAGACTTCTGGGCTTGCTCTAGCGCCGTCTCGAAATTATCCCGCTCTTCCCATAGTTTTCTGGCATTTGCGGATGCTTTAAGAGTAGACGCCATGGTACCTTCATATTGCTCGGCTGGCAGATTGGCGGACACGAAGGTGGAGAATGCCTGGAAAGTCTGTTGCCATTCCGCATGAGGAACACTGAGGCGACTTTGGTAGAGGTCAAGAACGGCGGCGGCATCGGTCGATGACAGCTTTTGACTCGTGTCACCGAACCGTATGGTCATGTACTTGTCCCAGACTTCATGGCTGTGGCTCATATCATGCTTGGTCCGTTCGATGCCTTCGGTCCAAGTATCCAGAACGAGATTCCAGTCGAATACCTCACGACCGACCATGCGCTCGGTCTCGGCAGCGGCATCGTCGTTTTCGCCGTCGGCAGGAGGACCAAGGGCCCATTTGTGGCAATGAAGAACCCAGTCACCGTACGTCACCCACAGCCGTGTACTACCGTATTCTTCGGTCACTGCTCGGCGACATTTGTCCACGACTGCCACCCGTTCTTCCGCAGTCTGGGCGAGGAGACTCTCGTCTTGAAGCCAATCGAGCCACTGCTCCTCGCCGACAGCAAACAGTTTGTCCAAATTCTCCCGGGCCTGGCGCAGTTCACCGATAAGTTCGTAGGTCTTGGGATCTCGACGTTCGTTTGGGTTGGTCGAAGGATAAATATGGTCGACCAGGCCTTGGTGCAGAATACGTATGATCTCTGTATGGGCTTCGTACGACGATGGCGTTTCATGGACATAGGCCACCAAAGTTGCCAACCGCTGTTGAGCCTCCTCTGAAAGAGATGTGTCGGTGTAATCAGCTCTTAGCACCTGTTTCGGAGTGTCCACCATGGCAATGTCAAACGACGCTCGGGGCTTTGCCGTCGTTCCAGCGGAGGTAAGATGAGGGAAAATACTCGATGAGGATCTTTGGCTATCGGAAGAGTCGCGTGTAGGGAGGATCGGAGGTGTCGGCTTCGAGGTCGTGTGGGACTGGCCTGACCCTTCGGCGGCGCCATCCATTCCCGGGGTGGACGATGAACGTGGAAACTGCCCAGACAATGTCGCCGTAGGAACAGGACTGATAAGAGGAGACGAATGGGCGGGCTGTTGGGAGGGACTCCTCACATGCGCTGGAATGCTCGACGGTGGTTGTATGGCGCGTGTGAGAGGAGAGCTCACTGACGGTTGCGAGGTATTTCCCGAGTGCGTGCGCTGTACGTGTTTGAACGGTGACTGTGACGAAACTGCCGATCCCGGCGTCGACGAACTTCCACGCGGCGTCTCTGAAGGAGAAAGCAAGGAACTGATGTCCATGGCTGCGACCAGCTCTCTCAGGCCTGGGTGATGGATGCGACTGCTCCGGATTGCTTAGACTTCTGCTGGTTTTGAGCCACGCCTTGGGCCATGCTCTCCGTCGATGTTGAGCCAAGTGTCTTCAGCAAGAGCTGAAGCAGTATATGTCGGTTCTGCTACGAGATGTGTCGACCACCGATCATGGGCTGTTCTCTTAGAATGAAATGAGGCGCGGAGTGACACGGCGGATTGAATCTGCAGAGTGACAAGACCCTGGACTCATGCGAGTATAGGCGGCCTGAAGTCGAATGACGAAGACGAGCGACAAGGTTTGGTGTGGTGTAGTTGTTTGTTTGCACGCTGAATCGAAGTACGGCGATGTAAGGTTCAAGGTCTGAAATAATAATGGGGTCGCAGGCAGGGTTAGAATCATGCAGTGTTAAGTAATAGTAGTCGAGACCCTCAAAAGCCTGTAACACGCGCTTCGGCCCCGGCTAAACTCCCGCAAAACCTGCCCGTTGTGGCATTTCGGCGAAGTTCCTGGCGATCCAGCGAGTCACTCTTATAATCGTCTACCTGACCACTGCATAAATCCAAGGTGAGCATGCGCTGATGACTGTCTTGATCCGCTCTATTCGCCTACAATGACCCAGCTGACAGTCGAGTCTGTGACACCGACGTGTACCGCCCCAGGAGACACGTCCACGAGCAATCCATTGACCGCCCGCCCGACTCTCCTTGCCTCCGTGATCGGGTCGTACAGGACCAGGTATTGTGAAATCGGTATCGGTCGCGAAGGATTTTGTCTTCGGGATATGAAAGACAACGCAGCGAGGATTGTATTTAGTGGAATACATATCTCATCAGAACGGATTTGCGGTTTGAGAAGAGTGTGAATTACGTTTGGCCACCCCTTATTGCGCACGATAAATGCCGTTTACTGTCCTTGTTTTCCCATTGCATTTGGATTTGAAGGTCACTATGTCGGCATCAGAGTCCAAGCTTGTCGGAGCATTCGGCCTGAAACGAGGCAGCAGACACTCAGGGAGTTGACATGAGAAGGCCATGAGTGTCGGCGAAGAGCGTTGCGGAGTTGTACCGTTAAGCGGCCAGGATCCGACAAACGAAGTAATCGCAGAGTCAGATATACTCGCATGAGGTCGACAGGGAGGTCCAGTCTCCTACTAAATCCGTTGATTTCCTTCCGGACATACACGCCTATAACAATAGAAGAGATGCGGATCTGAAAGTTCGCATTAGAAATGCCATTGACTACCAGGTATCTCATAAAGGAGTACACTCGCGAAAGTTCCGGTAAGTCAATCCCTCCAACCACGAATCGATGGTGGATTCAACGTCAGAGTCAACGGAACCCGATTTTTATGCAACGAAGCAGCGGGTGGAGCAACACGAGGTTCAAGGAAATGGTCATGATTGTTGAAATCTGGTCGACTAATGCTACGTCGGCCGTAAGTAGAATATGAGGCAACGAATAGTACAGGATTTCCTACCTCACCATCTGCGAATGCTCGATAGGTGGACAGACGGGTGGATAAATTCAGAAGTTGACCGCACGCCTTGGCCACGCAGACGCCGAAATAGCTCTCTCAACGCTCCAGTACGATCATCTTGGACATTGAAAATGGCGTGGACAGCCGAGGCCACATTCATCAAAGCGTCTGTGCGTTGCTGAAGACTTGAAGTTCTACTTTGAGTGTTGATTTCGGAAGTCAACGGAGTTAAAGCGGCGCGATCCTTGGTTACGCCAAGCACGCTGATTGGAAACTCGACGCATTGGATTTCGTTTGTACATCGTTCAGAGGTAGTAGCATATCACATACCTACCGCCAGAGTCGCGGAACTGTAGTCCTTGAGATCAGTCTCTGCTGACAGTCGCACGACTCTCGAGCAGAATCACACACAACATGAATCCGCCGCAAGCAGTGTTACGGCGAGCTTGTGTAGGCAAGTAGAATTCATCCAAAAACCGCTGGCTACCAACTGACCTTTTTTCCAGCACGACAATGTGCGCATTCTGCCTCGCCATTCTTCGAGTTATGTTCCAGCTTATCCGTCCTTCGGATTCAAGACAAACGATTCTTTCACTCGAGCGATGTCCGTTCTGCACCCAAACTTCTTGACGCCAAATCCGGCCCTCCTTCGAAAACGAAGCTTAAGCAAGGAACAAAGGCAGACATGCCTTCATCTACCCCAATGACGGCCCGCGAGCGAATAGCGGCTGCTCAGCGGCGTGCCCAACAAAAGCTTGAGGAGCAGCGGAAGGAACAGGAACGGAGTCTAGTCCATGGAGGCCTTTCATCTTCCAGTGCATTTGCTGCTGAACTGCAGAAATCTCCCGAAGACGAAGATCAGCCCGAGTCGCTCGCCCAACGTAACCCAACGCACATGGCACAAGTCCTCAACCCAAATCCTTCTGCTCGCGCACGATGGCAGCGCCGCATGGTCATCCGCCACATCAGACATGGAGGGCGGCTCAACAAAGAAATGAAGATTGCTCGGACGGAACGGAATCATCTTCTCCGGTCACACTTTTTCAAGACTTCGATGAAGAAGCTTGCGCCTTTGGCTCGACAGATTGCTGGCAAATCCATCGACGAGGCAATTCTCCAAATGAGATTCTCCAAGAAGAAGGTGGCCCAGGAAGTCCGACAGCATTTGATTCAGGCCCGCAACGAGGCCATCGTCATGAAAGGAATGGGTTTGAAACCTGACTCGACACAGCAAGATGCAGCTGCCGGCGAAGATCCCAGCGAGACCAGACCTTTGCCGCATCAAACACCCTTGAAGACGTACAAGAAAGGCCATGCTCCACATGAAACGGACATTTACGTTGCTGAAGCATGGACTAATCGTGGCCCCTATGGTGCAGAGCTAGAATTTCGAGCTCGGGGACGAACAAATGTGCTCCACCCGCCTTACACAGGCATTAGTGTGTTGCTCAAGGAAGAGAAAACAAGAATGCGACAAGCCGCGGAGAAAGAAGCCAAATCGTTGAGGAAGCGGATGGGGAAGAATATGTGGGTTCATCTTCCAGATCGAAAGATTACGACTCAGCGTCAACATTTGTTGTGGTAAGGGACTGGAGAGATTTGGCAGAATATTGTATTATACATGTGTAGTCTTATGCCCCTGAATTGCACTTGCCGGGGATCTCCTATGAACATCCAGATTGACAACTCTGCTGCTGATCGTTGTACTCATATGTTCCAAATTCATTACATCCCAGAGACGCAGGTCTCTTAATCCGATAGAACAGGTCAGACGAACATCTGCTTGCACTCAAATAGCCCTCACGCCTGGAAAACCCCAGCAAACATTATAACTCTGGTTTATGTCTATCCCGTGTCGATTTGGTCGGTCTTCATCAAGCATGGTCAGGAATCAATTCGTAGCCGCCTTCGCTCGGCAACACCATCGCGGCCAAAGTAATGGCAATGGCGCAAACAGTCTGGAAACTCCACGATACTGTGCACATCGTCCAACTCTTGCTCAAGTACCATCCGGCGAAAAATCGCTCGTCGTTTTCGAACAAGTATGCCTGCGAAACGGATTAGCTGCTAGTCTGTGGCAGAAAAGTCGGGAGACCATTACCATCAATGCCATTCCCAAAGCCTGGACGAACGCTGACAGCGCTACCAGAATGGTGAGCACGCCCCAGCCTTGTTCTCTTTTCTGCTTGCCGCCGATCAGTAGCACTGCAAATGCCACAATAGTCATGCCCTCCAGAACCACGGCGAAGGACATCAGAAAGCCCACCGATCTCCACATACTACAGAAATATCTGTCATCGCCACTGCAATCGGTGTAGCGAGGAAACTGGACGCAATGAAGAGACGAGGAAACTGCATATGAGCTAGACGGAGGCAGTATATTCGTGTTGGAGCATTTTCGATGCAGTCCGTAGGTGTAATGGATATTCTTGCACTCGTTAGCCACCATTTCCTCACGGAGGCGGAAGATCCTACCTTGCTCCCATCGTAGGCAATCCAATCAGGTATCACGATGGATGCAATTGTCATTCCAGATGCTGGCGGCACACCTTTAGATGCATATCACTTCTTGAAGACTGCTGAGCACGTACCAGCTAGAAACACAAGGAGAGCTGCGGAGAAGACGATACTCCTAGTAAGCATTCCTGTGTAGTTGTTGCCATGCCCGCTGGGCACGAGCGCAACGTCCACCATCCTTCCTACCAGCCCTCAACGGGCTGTTGATTCCACCTCTGAACCGGAGTAAATGACAGTAGCTGCAGCGGTGTTGGAAGAAGACAACACGATCGTCGTCCACCGTATCCTCTTTTCGTTGTGTATGGATCTAATGAGGGTTCCGCTAGTGTTCGGTGATGTTTGTCGAGTTCGAGTAACAAACGGTGTGTTGCCGGAGCGGACAGATCAGTTGCAGCACACGCGAAGCGGAAAGGCGGGGCAAAAGAACACAGACAAAGGATTGCAGACCCAGCTCGACAACAATCACAGCTCGACCTCCTCCCGGTAAAACTCGATGCGGTGGAAGTTCTATGGAGTGGTGTGCAGCCTTGCACTGGCAGTTCTACAGTGTTGGAGTTGTGTCGGCCGCCGCAGCTTGGAGCCTTGCCGTGCCGGGATCTTTATCTGCCAAGCAGCGATGACGATGACGCTTTTGTTGCTGGTCGGCTTCGAAGAACCACTGGCACCGTCAGGCACGTAAGATGTGTTGGCGCCGTGTGCAACCATCAAAGCAAGAATGAAGATACTTACCAGGGAGATCAAGTTATCAAGTTCATCATCAGTTCCTAGCCATCAAATTGAATCACCCTCCAAAACATTAATGTACGGTATCTGCGTCCCGAATAAGGGCCGTCCCGATAGGCTTTGAATCTGCAATAAATATTATAATTCATCCAATCGAGTTCTTATTCTTCCGTCGAAAGTCCGCACAAGTTTCGACAACTTTATGGACTCCCGTTTCCCAGCGACTGCGACGAACTACCTCCTGGCGATTGAGTGTACAATGTTTATGCGGTTATAGCTAGTTTTGTCTAAGGCTACTTGCAGCGAACGACAACAATGTGCTAATCTGAGACCTGCGACCGCCCCGGATCCAAGCTCAACCTTCGAACCAGCTCGCCAGTTGCACGGGGCGGACTACACGCAGCTATGTCTGGTGACGGTGGAATCAAGAGCAGTTAAGCGGCATCAAGGACACTGATCAGAAGAGACGCTAAAATTGTACGCAGAGCAGACGAGCCGCCTATGATTCAATTTCTACATCGAAAGAATCCTCTCATAGTGTTCGCCCTACACCAAATGCTATGCCGCTGCTGTCAAATACTCGCTGAGGTCGTCTCGTAGAACATTTGTTCCCTTGCACATGTCAGCATCTTGCCAAAACGAGCGACCACTACTTACCTCCGCCATTTGTCGAGCTAGCTCATCATCTTTTTCCATCCTTCGGCACAATTCAAAGAATTCATTTCTGTCCTTCTCGGGCTCATCCAGACAGACGCGACGAAAGTTGGCTCGTGACATGGGATCGATGATTTCCGCCCACTTTTTCCGCCGCACTTCACTATACTTGTCCAGAATGCTGTCATCGGCCTTGCCCTCCTTCAAAGCGACAAGTGCATCGTAAAGACTACCGACATCCGCGATCCCTCCGGTCAATCCGAGTCCGCCGCTGGATTTCATCGTCAGTTTGCTGCACAGGCTTTGGTGCAGTGTCAACTTACAATGGATTGCACAAGTGCGCAGCATCGGCAGCAAGCAGAAATCTTCCGACCCGAAACGACTCGGCGCATCGTTGGTGCAGTTTGTACGGACTGGCACTCACGAGCTTGTAATCGCCTGGCTTGGGATTTCCGGGCAAGATCTTCTCGAATCGGGCGGGTTGCCGTGCGAGATACTCTTCGTTGGACAATCCCCAAACGTCGCCATACGTCACTCGCCATAACCCGTCTTTGGTGATTCTCGCCGCCATGTACCAGTCATTTTCGTCGATGATGAAATTGGAATCCCAATAGCCAAACTTGTGGAAGTCATAGTAGATCTTGAACCGATGTTTAGTCTGCTGTTGGTCAACTAACGTCAAGCACTCACATTGGTCGCAATGATTTGTTTCTGCAGGGTCTCTCCTGGATAGTTCAAATCTCCAAACAATGACCGTCTGATCTGGCTGTTGGCGCCATCACATCCAATGACATAATCAGCGGCAAAGGTTTGTTTTCCAGTCGGCGTTTCGACATGCACTCGGGCCTCGTTTTCGTCCTGATCAATCGAGACAACTTTATGTTGCCACAAAACCTCGGTGTTGGGTTGATCGAGGAAATGCTTGAGTAGAATAACGTCTAGTTGATCCAACGGGAGACAGACCATGGGGTACTTGATGTCTGTGCGGCTTCGGATGCCGGCGATAAAAGTTCCATCGGGATGTCGCCAGCAGACTGCATCGGGGTGGATGCCTTGCGCCTTCACATCTTCCAGAACACCGGCGCGGTCTAGTTCATACACTGCAGATGGTGCATAATGAGCAGCGCGCGGGTTCTTGTCCAGTTCATTGGATGCTTCCAGGATCTGGACTTTGACGCCTTTTTTGGCAAGAAGAATGCCCAACAACAGCCCTGATGGACCGGCGCCGACAATGATCACCTGCGATTCAGCGTTGAGATTAAGCCGGAGACGTCTCAGACACACGAACGTACCTTTTCAACTGGCGTTTGTTTGCCCATGTTGCTGACTTAGACTTTTGTTTTTCGTTTCTGGTAAATTTGAAGACTGTAGAGCAAATACTGTGGCTATTATGCCTATGAATGTGCTGTCTTTTCCAGCCTTGCAACACCATCTTGTCCGCAGCCCCACACATTGTAGGCAACTTGAAGTGGAATGATACTGGCAAACACCACCACTCACTGTGGCTGTGAATTGTCTCCAAACAGTATCATAAACCCCAAATATCGCTGGTTGGAGTTACCGAGGGACTTTGCACGTGAGCTGCATCGAACTTGAACGCTTTGCTGCACCCCACGTGCAGAAGGGGGTGTAGCAGAAAGCTAGTGACCCACGGGTAACGGCCGGAGAGAGAAAACCGACAAAGACAGACTTGGAGGGGCTTTTGTTGTTGTTCAAGTTGGCTTCGTGGGGTCGACCTAAAAGTGCATGCGGCAGATCTTGGAGGGGACTGGGAAATGTGGAGAAGGCAAATCAATAAACTCCTGTCACCAGAGATTGATGTCCAAGAATACGAGTTTGATGCAAGAACACTGGTTTGACGCTATCTAGGTAGGGTGATATGACTTTCTGCACTAGTACTTTGCATCCACGGCCGGTCTCCCTTCCCTTTCGATCAGCGCCGCATGCTGAGGACTTCGGACCTTGATGGACACGTCAAAAGGTGCAAATCGATGCTCGCCCCAATTCACCTGGAACGAATCAAATGGTTTTCCCTAAGGTACACAATTAGTTCTGTAGAGATTGCAGGGCCCATGTTCATACGTACCGGCACTCCTTCGAAGTCGAAGCAATACAACAACCGTGCGACGACGATCCACACATTGGACTCGCCGACATTATACCCGGAGCACACTCGCCGTCCTGCAAATATGAGTAACAGGACTATTTTCGGATGGGTCGCCGGCAACTTACCTGGGCCGAAACTCCAGTGTCCCTTGAGGACGTGGTCCAAGTCATCGTTTAGGAAACGCTCGGGCCAAAATCGTTCGGGCTGCACGTACTCTTTTGGGTCCAGTGCTATCGCAGTGGCATTCCAAGTGAAGAGCGTCCCTGCAGGGAATCTGTAGCCTTCATATTCGTCATCTTGGATCAGCATATGAGGCACACCAATCTCCGCAAATGGTCGCCACCGAAATGCTTCCTTGACCGTCGCCGTGATGTACGGAAGATCAGCCCGGTCATCAAAGGTCGGCAACCGTTCCGCGTTCCGGCCGCAAACTTTGTCTAGAGCCTCTCTTGCTTTTTCGACCCAGCTCTTGTCCAGCACCGCCGCAGCTATGACCTGGCTGATCGTCATTCTGGACGTGTCACTGCCGGCTTCCATGAGCGATCCCAAAGCGAAGTACGTTTGAGTTTGTCCATAATTCTTGGTTTCTGGATCCTTGAGAAATCGTGTTGCGAAACAGTCCTTTGCCGTCCCATTTTTGATCTTCTCCTCCAACTCATCCACCTCCCGTTTGTAGACCCTAAACAGACGTTAGGATTGTCAAATCGAACAAGAAACTGCTTACTTGATGGTTTTTTCAAACATCTCCTCTCCGCGTTTTCTCCACCATTGCAATGGCTTGGGCAGGTTTTCGAGGAAGGTCAAAGAGTCCACCAGGTTGGCAGATGGCTGAATGGCTTCGATGATGGCATTGGATGTCTCGAACAGTTCGCGGATTTTGGGGTCTTCCAGCTCCATTCGCTTTCCGAAAACCACGCTCATGATCACCGAATTGGCGAACCGTTGTGTCGCCGAGTACCACAATTCCGGATGGTGCAGGAAGTCGTACAAGAGGTGTTTCGATTCGAGGTCCTGAAAAGGTGCAAACACGGGAGCGTTGGTTTTGTTGAGGATGGCATGCATGATTCTACGGATCATCCGCCACCTCTCGCCATAAGGCATCAGCAACACCCGATTGTCGCCAGACAGGATTCCTGATGCCATTGGCATATACTGTCGTGATGAGTAAATGGCCGATCGCTTCTCCATCAAGTCATTGACCACCCGTGATGAATTCAGAAACACCCATGTCTTGCCTCCGATACTGCAAGTGAACCTGTGACGGTCAGTGATGGTTTTCGCCTGATTTTGGCTTGGACGTACATTTCTCCATACTTTCTTGCCATTTCAACCCCCCATAAACCTTGTTTCAGTGGCGGAAGTTGGAATGTGTTGCCAAAGACTGGAACACCGGGTATCCGAGGCGGAAGTTTGTACTTTCGAGCTCTGATGGTCTCCTTCACTCTCCATACCACAATTGCAGCAATGGTTAACACCACCGCAAGAGCGATTGCCGGGTGCGCCTTCAATAGTGCGGGATCCATCTGGACAGCCATGTCTCTAGTCGGTGATGGTTGGTTTCGCACTGCAAACTGCCGGTTCCAAACTTCATATTTGTCGTTTTCATTCTCATCGCCAGCATTGAAGTGTGCATTGCGCTCGTTTGAATCTCCATGTGGGGTTGTCTGGGGTCTGGATTCGGACGAGAGTCGTAGAGCAGGTAGTACTTGTATGGGGCATGTTCCGAAGGGGCTATACAGGTGTCTCTCTTGGGCGGCGGGTGTGGGTGGTCAGCATTATTCCTCCAAACTTTTTGCGGTGATTGTGATCTGCCCCAACACTGGCATCCCCAGATTTCCCCGCATTATGTAAGCAGTGCAACGAACTTGAAGCTGAACTTGAAGACATGAGAAACGAACAAATGTGCAAACAAGTAAATGCAAATTGCACAATAAACTGCTTACCTAGGTACGTATTAGGAATGAAGTGTCCTACGGCGGGATATGGCATCTTTTCCAATGCAGGTGAATACATCTGTGGGTGTTGTGTTACGTGGCAGCCTGGCTTGCTGACAACTGGGAATATTTTACCAACATTTTGAGAAAATAATATTCATCCACTACTACAACTAAAGACTGTCTACTAAGCATCATCCTAGAGCCTTTTACTGGACATGCTGTACTCAAACTACGACGGACGGCCAGCATATATGCTCATGCCCCAAGTTACGCAAATGGGCATTGGAATTCAGGTATCAACCAGTTCCAACATGCATGAGGCATTATTTCGGTGCTTCCCGATGCGGTATCTGTGATAATCTTCCTCATTGAGCATACCTAGATCTATTTCACATTCATCTGGACCTCGGTAGCTGCGGCTCCGTTGGATAGATAGTGCTATTTCACGTGCCTGGTAGTAGGAGGCGAGATTTTCCTCGTAAGGTGATTGAGATCCTCCTTGCATGGAGAAGCGAGGACCTCACGGATTCTACAAACCGACGAACTATTGAAAGGTGGCGGCGGCAATGATCAAAACAACCGTGGCCATCCTATGATATTCTCGCAAATGCTTGTTGTTGTGGCTGTCAACCTTTCGGGGTGTTTGTGTTCTGAGCCGCATTGACACCGCCCGGAATCCGAACAGTTGACATGCTGTTAGAGGTCGGTGCAAAGGTCAACAAACTTAACGTGACAGCAGAAAAGGGTTGCATCCGGACAGGATGAACCTTGGCACGTTGGGGCAGATAGGGAGTTTCGTCACATGCAAGCTTTTCGATTCGCGAGGGATGTGTGTCTGCACAGGACGAAATGAGGCCTGGTTGATATCGCAGTGGGGGTTTCGGAAGGACTCAAGGTAGGATGTCTCGAGCGCGCACAGACGGAGGAGTGAGCACCGACGATCTAAGCTTTGGCAGCTAATAAATTGTTAGCTGGTTGGTCAGAATATCTCATTTTGAAAGCAGATCATGGTCCATGATTGGCCAAAATGCGGGATCACAGATGAATTTCCCTTAGCCAAAGCTCCGCAGATCCACAAAACGTTCGCATGGTGAGTGAACACGACGAAGTTTGATTTGCATGGGGTGAAGTGTGGTATGGACATGGCGCTGTGGGCGCAGGTGACGTCGAATAAAGCTCGCAGCTAAATGTCGACCAACCAATTTCTCGGCCTACTCTCGCTTCCACCTGATTTGGACATTTTGACATTCAATCGACATCTTTGACAGTTCATCATCGTTACACTACTGCAAACCTTGGTTCGTACAAACTATGGGGACCGTAACTTTACTGCAGAAGTCCCAGAAGTCCCCAGAAGCCCCAACTTTCCCCGACTACCACCACGACAAGTCGTGACCTTTCCGAGTCTGCCGATCGGTCTCCGAACGTTTTTATCTGCGTATCTGCAATGTTGTCTTGTTGCATTACGGCTGTCAAAAGAAAGTAAAGAGCTTTGATCAAATGCAGTGATGGTCTGTCCGGTAACAGGGGTCTTGATGGTGGCGGCCGTCAGATAACCAACAACATGAGAAACTTCCCAGACCCGTCAAAGGTCAACCTCGTGTTTGCTTCCAATGACACATCAGATTCAAAAAGAAGTCGACCAACTCTGACCTGATTCTTCGATCCACCGGCGGCTGTACCCTAGCGTCTATTCAGCATGAAGTTTGTCAACACAACATGGATGGCAAGGTCCATCTGGTGGCAACAACAACTCCATCTGCGCTGGTCCTAGCTTGAAGCATTGGGATTGTCCTCAACTCGACACCTGTGCTAGAGATGGCCCTCAAGTTGCTCCATCTGTGTCATGGAAAGTATCCAATTTCGGCTCCTTGAAGCGATTAGGTAGGTGCTATTGTTGGCTTGCGCTTGGGGCAAGCTGAGGTCGAGTCTCCTACCATCTGCGGTGTATAAAGTATCGTCCGCTCTTCCTGTTGTTTACACTCCTCCGACCAACTTCTTTGCCGACCACAGCACAGTCACTCGTTTGTGTGCTCTTTGTTTCTTGTTTCTTTTCTGACCCGAAATCATTCTTTTTTCTTCCGGCAACATGTTGCTGCCTAATTCGGTGGCCAAGAAGGCAGCATTGGCCCTACTCATGGTCGATGCTGTGCTTGGCGATCCTCTAGCCACTGTCGACCCTTGCCCAGGTGCCGACAAGCTGTCTCTGGCACCCATCACGGTCACTGCCCAATACCAGCCGGTCTCGACATGCCAGCCAACGACTGCTTGTGTCAAGGGCAAATGCTCAACCGCATATCCCTTCACCACCTACCCTTGGGTGTCCACGGTCGTCCCGTATGCGTGGAACGGAACAACCTCCCAGAGCACCACCGTCACTGCTGTTGACGCCACATTGGTGGTTTCGGAGCATCTCGAGACACTGACAACCATCACCGCCGCCCCAACCGCCAACAAACGTAGTTGGGCCGATTGGTCCAACAAGAAGCCCGAGCAGGACACAACCACCATTTACGAAACGGTTTCTCGACGAGCTCTGGTTCCCTTCAAGGAAGCTGGTCCTCTGTGTATCCCAGGTTGGGAAGGCAGTGGTCTCTGCAAGAAGTGCCAGAAGCAACCTGATGGCAGCCGGTACCAACTTGTGGACGTCGTTGAATGTCGCTCTGGCACCAGCAAATCCGGCAAAGAATGGAAGAGATGCTCGGAGTGGTACGAGACGGTCATTGAAAGACCAGCTCCTACTTCGACTGTCACCGCCAGCGCTCTTTGCTCGAGCAAAGGAAGTGTCCCATCCGCTGGCACTTATACCTGGACCTTCCCCCAGACCGCGCCTCCTGTGACCATCACTGCCCCGCCGAGGACTGTCACAGTTACCATCCATGGTGAAAAGACTATTTCGGTTGAGGAAGAGCACGTTTACACCATCCCAGGAAAGTCATGGGACGCTTGTGTGACCAAGTCTTTCTCTAAGGCCACGACATTCAACTTCAACATCGAAATTACCAAGGTCATCATCTTTGAAATCCCTCGCTCCACGCAGCCCGCCAAGAGGTGAGTTTGTACTTTTGGTCTTGTGAATTCTGCTGACCTTTATAGCTCTCATGTCATTCCTGTTCCAACTGGGTCGAACTCCGGCCATGGTTGGTGGCCATTGCCAGACACGGACAACAATGGTCAGCCCAACTATGGCGGTGGCAAAGGATGGGCTGATTGGACTCCGGCACCGGTTCCTTCCACTACATCAACCGATACTACCGGTCCTATTGGATTCACCACGTCTTCGTCATCTTTGGTCACTTCTACCACCACTGCTGTTGACAGCCCGATCATGTTCACCACAACCAGCACCACGACTTCCTCTGGTGGTGACACTGGTCCTATCGGTCAGGGCACTACAACTACGAGCACCACGAGCATGGGCACCGGTGATGATGGCATTGGTCAATCAAGAACCACCAGCTCGTTGACGACCACTTCGTCCACATCAAACGGCGGCGACACTGGCCCTATCGGCGGATCTGCCACCACCACTTCATCCACGACATCTGGTGGTGACACTGGCCCAATTGGTGCGTCCACTACGACAACTGCTTTGTCCACTACGTCTGGTGGCGATACTGGCCCAATTGGTGCGTCCACCACGACAACTGCTTCGTCCACTTCGTCTGGTGGTGACACTGGCCCAATTGGCGGTTCTACGACAGCCACCAGCTCGACAAGCACATCCAGCGGCAACGGTGTTGGTCCCATAGGTGGATCCACTACAGCCTCGAGCTCGTCAGCCACATCTAGCGGCAATGGTGTTGGACCCATCGGGGGATCCAGCACGGCCTCGAGCTCGTCAACCACATCTAGCGGCAATGGTGTTGGTCCCATCGGCGGCTCTACCACGGCCACAAGCTCGACCAGCACATCCAGCGGTGACAACGTTGGCCCGATTGGCGGATCGACCACCGGGGCTTCGTCCTTGACGTCGACCAGCTCTTCGTCCGCCCCTGCCACGACCACATCGGGAAGTGCTCCTATTTGCAACCTGAATGCCAACATCTGCCTCGATTCTCAATTGGTTACTGCCAACGTTGTCTCGACCGTGACCTGCCCCTTGCTAGGTGGCCTCTTGTGTACCGTGAATGACTTGTTGAATCTGGTCCCGACGCTACTCGGTGGTAACCCCAACGTGGCATCAGTCCTCATCGGGAACAATGAGGTTATCGGTCTGTCTATCACGCCCGAGGAAGTTAATGCGGCTATCAACGCCGGCGGCTTGAATGCTCTCTGCGGTGTTTTGCCCACTGTCAGTGTCATCATTAACGACCCTACTTGCCCGATTGGAGGTGGTCAGACTACCACCACGTCTGCATTGACAACGACCACCTCTGAGGTGACGACCACCACCTCGGCTTTGGCCACCACAACTCCGGCGTTGACCACCACGACGGCCAGCACTACCTCTTCTGGACCCGCGACAACCACAACGTCGTCTGCTCCGATTTGCAACCTGAATGCCAACATCTGTCTTGACTCGCAACTCGTCACCGCCAACGTTGTCTCCACGGTTACCTGCCCGCTCCTCGGCGGCCTGCTTTGCTCTGTCAATGACCTGTTGAACCTTGTGCCTACCTTGCTAGGCGGAAACCCCAACGTTGCTTCGGTTCTCATCGGCAATAACGAAGTTCTTGGTCTGTCTATTACCCCAGAGCAGTTGGCGGCTGCCATCAATGCCGGTGGCTTGAACCAAATTTGCGGTGCGCTGCCTACAGTTAGTGTGATTATCAATGATCCTACCTGCCCAACCAACCCAAGCCAGAGCTCAACTACCACTTCTTCCACTTCGTCTGCTTTGACCTCAACCACTTTGAGCACAACTCAGGTCACCACTTCCTTCTTGACCACAACGTCGTCCAGCACGACATCTGCCCCTGCAACCACCACCACTGCTGCAGGACCAGTCTGCAACATCAACGCCAACATCTGTCTGGATTCTCAATTGATCACTGCCAACACTGTTGTCACCGAAGCCTGCCCTCTCCTTAGTGGGTTGGTCTGCACAGTTAATGATTTGTTGAGCCTTGTGCCTGGAATCTTGGGTGGTAATCCCAATGTTGCTTCCGTGTTGGTCGAGAACAACCAGATTATTGGTTTGAGCATCACTCCTGAACAACTGCAAGCGGCCATCAATGCTGGTGAACTGAACACGGTTTGCTCCGCACTTGGGACAACCACGGTTACCATCTTCGATCCTACATGCCCTGATGTTCCATCGGGCCAAACAACGACGTCGTCGACCACTGCGGCCGCTGTTTCGACCACTCTGGCGACATCCACCACCAGCTTGTCTCAAGTCACCACGACCACCAGCAGCGCTGCTGCCACTAGCACCACTGCCGCCCTTCAATGCGGTATCCAAGTCACCCTCTGTGCTGGTCAGACTCTTGCAGATGTCGGTCTCTCGACCGTCACTTGTGACCTCGGTGTTGGTCTTCTCTGCGATCTCACTCAAACCCTTGAATCGGTCTTGAACGCTTGTGTTGGCACTTGTGGTGTCATTGGTCGAACTGGTCTTCTTGGTGTCAACTTGGAAGGTCTTGTTGGAAACACTGACATTGCTGCCATCCAAGCCGCTGTTGGTGCTGTTCCTAACTGCGTTCCCTCAGGACCAACCTTGGATCTCAGCGACCCTGGATGTCCCAGCACTTTGTTTAGACGATCTGCCATTGCCAGACCTCGTCGTTACTAATGTTCAAGCTGATATGGTCAGCTATGTTGTTTCTTGGATGGGTTAGACTTGATCTACTTCGATGACACTATCTTGGATAGTATTTAGCAACTTGATATGATTGCACTTAATCTACTTTATGGTACTATCTTGAATTGTATTTAGCACAAGACATGAACATGAACATGATATGCCTTAATCTACTTCTATGGTACTACCATCGATAGTATTTGACAACAAAACATTGACATGAATTAATCACATTTGTAGATACTGAGAAGTTTAGCTTCGCATGGTTTGGTTGTTTTGATTAATCAGTCTTCCCCCATTGCTTCTGGACTGGTTCATTTGCAACTGGTCGCTGCAGCTTCTGTGGAGTTCGAGGTAAACTGCCTAGTGCTCACTTTCCCCCCGAGCTAGATCTTCTATATGTGTGACAGTGTGGCCGGTCCTCTCTTTCTGCGTGGTTTGCGGACAGTTTTCGTTCGTGCAGGTGCGAGTGTGGGAAGACTTGATGGTCCGAAAATAGGTGGAGACGAGAGAAGGTGAGCGGGACGCAGGTTCGATGCTAGGTATAGGGTTTGCGCCGAATTCGAGTGCTGGGACCAGAGTCAATGCAGAGATTGACGGCCGAGGTCGAGTTGGAGGAGGGAGATGACTACTTTGGACAGCCAGAGGTTTGCTGTGAAAGCGTGGGCACTGTGGGCCTCAGCACATCCTGATTCATTGCACGGTGCTTCCGCAGCAGAAAGTCATATTGTGCAGCCAATCTGCCCCACCTCAGTTGAGAACGATCGAACGCAGCGCCGGTGGTGAATTGAAACCCCTGCGATGTGTGCTCTTGCCAAAATACTGCATTGCCACAGGAGGTCATGGCATTGGCCGTCTTGCCGCCTGCGCCTGAAGGCGATGACGTTGTGGTCGTGGGATAAAGTCAATCTCGAAGGCTTCACAGCGAGCGGAGGGGCATTCTTCATTGAGGTGAGCTTTGAGGAGATTCGAAGGTGGTCGTCTTCATTTCAGCAGTTTCCAGTCATGTTGGCCAGCCATCGAACGGTGGCTCGCATCGCCATCGGACCTGTGGCGCGCTCGAGAAGGAAGACGAGATTAGGCTGGTTTTGTTTGTGCATTGTGCTGGAGTTGCAATAGTAAATGTGGGCAAGGAGGAGCAACGCGAGTGCAAATGACGAACAGGACGGTTTGAAGGATATACATTGCATTGCAGGATTGCCCATTATTCTACTGGTATGCTGTGTTGGTACTAAAATATGAGCCAGCAGTTCATTATCAGATAATTCACGTGGTCCTGCAGTTTGACCACGAGCACTGGGTGAACGTTGCTAAGAGGGAGAAGCAGGTACAGTCAGCACTCGATCTGGACTTGATTGCCCTTTCGGTCCTTCGTTTCATGCCTTCTCCGAGGACTCCCTTGCACCCTTGGAGCCTTTGGAGACACTTCCGCGTTTGAGTTCAAATTCACGCTCTGGGCTGCGTTGGGGTATAAAGTCCTCGTTGTTCAAATGACGGAAGCGGATGAAAAATATGACCGATTGCAGCGCCAGGGCAACGGCTGGCCCAGCCCAAATGTAGATCAACCAAGGGTCTTTGGTGGCAGGGATCAGAATTTCGCCCATGGCGGCTGACAGTCCGTTCATGAACAAAAACATGGCCGTGATCAACCCTCTCATACTCGGCGGAGCACGAGCATATGCGAGCTCATACGAGGTGACCGCGCAGAAGCATTCCGACCAGGCCGCGAAAACCATGATGGGAACCTGCCACCACACGCTCAACGGAGACACATCGTCGCATGTGGACGCTTGATAGCCACACGGCGAGGTTTTATAGACTCGCCACTGAATGAGGGCGCCCACGGTCGAACTGGCAGTCGCGAAACTGAATCCGATCAGAATGCGGGTGATGGGGCCCAGCTTGATGTGGAATCGGTTTAATGCAGGGTAGAACACATAGGTAAGGAAGGGAATGGTGACAATAATGGTCAGCGGGTTGAAATTACCCAGAAGATCATTCGGTGCACCGTTTGTGGTCATTGCTGCAGCCTGGTTGGTTGTCACAGAGCCGATGCCGCCGTCGTTCATATACCAGATGGGCATGTAGAAAAGGATTTCGCAGACCTCTGTTAGATTGTTAGTGGATATTGGTTGCGTCTCTGCAGCATCTCACCAATTGTTCTGCGGATGTCATCCACAATTTCATCTGTCCAGTCGACGTTGATACCATGCTGTGCGAGGACAGTGGGTTTCGCTTGGTCCCAAAAGTCCTTTCGCCAGAACTTGAGTTTGCTCCTTTTGAGAGCTAAGCCGATGATGCGGAATGCTCTGGATAAATCCGAACTGCCGCTTGGGGGAGCTTTGTACGTCCTCTTGTACATGACGGCAAGTAGGATCGGCAGCAGGAAGTAGATCGTGCCCGCCAGTAAAAATGCCAGCCAGAAGCCGACATACTTTTCTGCATAAGTTGTGGGCAACATGTAAAATGCGCCGATATTGATGAAGCCGTAAAACAGAAGCATGGTTCTGGTCGCCGTAAGCTCGGGGTCGACAATGACCTTTTCTCCGGACCCGAGAACCTTGGTGTAAGCCTTTTGATGCCGATTCTGATCCATGATGGTGGGCGCAATGTTTGGCTTGAATAATCCGGTGCCAAAGGAGAGAATGAGCAAGCCGATGATGAACGGAGGAGCCGCATGCGCAGCACCTTTTTGAAGCACCGACGGAATAGCACCAAAAAGCTGGATGAGATGTGCCACTCCGGCGAGCGCAACGCCAATACAAATGGCCTTGTATCGACCGGTGTGCACGTCTGCCAGCCAGCCACCGAAAATGGGTGTTACATAGGCGGAAAAGTTGAACAGTAAAGTGAGCCCAGAGCTGGCTTGTAATCCCATACCGAGAGCACCGGCTGTCTTTTGTGTATGTCGAGGAGGTGCACCAGCTCCATTTCCACCTAGTTCTGTTAGCATTGAACAACAATATTTGCGGCAATTTTTACCTGCTGGGAGAGGGAATTGGATGAAGTTGTTGAAAACCGTTTTGGCTCCATAGTAAGACGCCCGTTCCGCAAACTCGACAAAACACAACGCAAAGGATACCAATGGAATATTGGCAGGTATCTTTCGCAAGCTTTCTTTTTCTTCTTCGGTAGGGGCAGGATATCCATCGTCCTCGTCTTGTGTCGCGCTGGTATTGGCTTCAGTTGAATGCTTCAATGCCGCCTCTGCATCCGCTGGTAGAGTAACGGATAGTTTGCGCTCTTCTGGGTCCACCTTTACCGGCGGTCGTGCAGCAATGACTTCCGTCAAAACGTTGGTAGTACCTGGGCCGGCCGCTGAATATTGTTAGTCTTGATACCAACAATGGTGGTTAGGTACATACACATGATGAAACGTGCTTAGGTTTTGGGCAGTATATTTGAACAATTCAATATTCTGTTACCGGCTTGAAGCAAGCTATGAAGCGTATCTATACATGTTCCAAGTCCAACCCTCTTGATGCAACCCTACAAGTGGCGTGGGACATGGCGCCGGTGAGCTCAGGATCAGCGAGTAGCATAAGCAATGTTAAGCCATCGCCTTGGCTGTCTGCACCGATACCTACATGATAACAAAAGAGTGCGGATGGCGCAATAATCCTGGCCGCCATTTGGCGAAAGCGTCGGTTGATATCAACGTTGCATCAAAAGCAGAATGAAGAACGGTAGATCGAAACCAACATGAACGATCTTACCGACTGTCATAACACTTGCATCGATGGCCTTGCTGTTGCTATTACGTTTGTAGTTGGTGTGATCGCTTCCACTCTTGATGCCATGGAAATGAAAATCGACGCAATTGGTCAGAACGTGATTGGCTGAAGATGAAGACACCACAAGCTATTCGTCCAAGGCTTGTCTGATGTGCTTGTCTTGTGGATTGCGTGATGCTGTGCAGATTCCTTTTCCTCTTCCACCATAAAGCTGAAGAATGCATTCATGGTGATCATGATGAAGTATCGCCAAAATTGGGCACGTGGTTCTTGTAGTACTCCTCCATCTTATCAAGCGACCCGTAGAAAAGCGTAAGGAGGACGGCGCTAGAACATCAAGGACATCGTAGGGCCGAGGCGGACAGGTTGAAATCGACTGATGCGCCAACGTAGGTCAATCCTCGACTGCGTCGTTTTGTGCTAGGTCCACAATTGACGTGGAATCACATCCGCCTTGGAGTGCTCGAGAAAGGGACCGACGATGGGACTGTTGGGCGGTGCCAGTCTCAGAGTGTGGGTTGTCAAGATCATCAGCGTCCACTGTTAACTGACAAGATGTCGCAAGACGGTCGACGCGTCACGCGACTTGGACCAATTTGGCAATCTATTTGGCCGAGGTCTACGCGTGTCGCGTAATTGTGAATTCCACATTTTACACAACCCAGTTGATGTTCACAGTGGCATTGCTATATTATCACACTTGAGCACTTGAGATTGGTGCTGGAGAGTCGGCGTCGCGGAAATCTAAACATATTGTTCAATGCACGATTTCGCAAAGCGGCGTATGGCACCGAGCTTAGATGCCGGGTTTGAGCCAGATCAACCCCTGGAGGTCTGATGATCGATCGACAGAAGGTAAGAGTGATTGGCCCTGCTTGAACCGTGGGCTCAGGGATTCCCGCATCAACGTCGAATCTTGCAAGAGTGGCACTTACGATGTCGGTGGTCTACAATGAAGCTCCTTCCTCCGTTCCAAGAGCAAACAAATGGCAAAATGCTCGTTCTCGCCGTGCTTTTTCCCTCTCGTTGTGGGCTCTGCAGAGATCCAGGGTAACCTGGTATCTTTTCTGGAGTCGATTCTTGTTTGTATTGTACAGCTGCGATATGCCTCCGAAGAAGGTCGCAAAGAGAAAAGCTCCTGCGAAGAAAGGGGATCGACCACCTAAACGACGAGCAACTGGGCGTCACCCACTGGACCACGATCCCATTGAAATCATTCAACCGTCATGCGCAATCAACAATAGCATGCGCAGTATGTGCCTTGTATTCCTCGGCGCTTACAGTGTTGACCGTACCAAGTACCATGGGAGCCACCAGAATGGCTCACTGTTCCCCCGCCTCCGGTCCCGGGATCCAAGGGAAACGAAGACGACGATGCCGATGTTGAATTCATCCTTCCCTCGGCCCCAGAGTTGCCTGCCCAGCGACAAAGGCGGAAGATTGTCGACCATCCAAACAGTGGCCATGAAAGCAACACTGGGTTCGCTGAGGCAATAGCTAACCATACTCTCCTCAACACTACCTCGGATGATCTTAATCTTCCAGAAGTTCTCACATTGGAAGATCTCGAGCTAGGGCGTTCTCTTTTGTTTTTTGATATTGAAGATTTCTTAGGCAAAGGTGAATGCTTGTCATTTGTACTCAGGCCATCCTAATCCTCGACAGTGGTCAACGATGTGGATGAGGAGGAGAAAGATGGGTTCGAGCGACAAGATGATTTCATTCGGCTATGACAAGGCATTTGGTACCATTTGGTTGGCATATGGGCTGTTGCTGCAAGGATTTTGGACGGTTTCAACATGTAAATTATGCTTCATCATTTCACAATCTGAGTACTCCGCCTGTCCCATGAGACGTGCTTGAAGAGCTTGGCCGAAGGAATGTAGAATCTGTAGCGCAGAGACGTTACTTGAGTTGGGCAATTTTTATGCAGCCCAGCCGCGAAGCCTTACACGAGCTTTGGGCCAGACTTTAGGTAGGCGCTGTGGCACGCCTAGACCCGTGGTAAAGTAGGCGGTCACCGGGGCTCGTTCAGTGCAGTTACAACTGCTCTACTTCCATACATTGTCCACCGCCAGCTCACATACTATCAGGTACAGCCAACTCGCATCTCCATCCATCGACGCTCTGCCACAATGATATCCTGTGCGAATAACTGCCTTCTCAAGTGTTGCAAAGGTATTCAGGGGCGCGCTGCTTGTCCAGCCTCCAAAGACCTCGCAATCCACCGGAGTTGTCCAACTCACCTTGCCAGTGCTGCGGACTGCGTTCGTCAAAATGCGCCATAGAGAAGAAACATTGCCCTCAAGCCGACAGACCCTTGACAGGCAGCATGGGCACGACGGATACCCCGTTGCAAAAACGACATATGGAATGCGCACTCGGCTCAGGACGTCGACGAGATCAATCATATCCCATCGACCGAAGATCACACCTATACTGACAGTGCTGCCGACTGTGTTTCTCGAGAGACATAACGCAGAAACAGCCACTTTCCTTACGCCGCGAGAGTCTCAACAACGGCGTTGGCACCACGAGTGCGGTTTGTAGCAGCCTTGGATCGATGAAAGAAACAACGTATTGGCTGGAGCCCGCTGGAAGATACAAGGCCCTGGTTTCGGTGTCGCTTTGAACAGTCTTCACACTACTCCGGCGACGAAACAAAACGGATTTCTTCATAAGCAGTCCATGTATGCCAAGTCGGTGTTCTTCATACAGGAGTTCATGCAAGAGCTGTTTCACATGGACGTCGGATCAAGCTTCAATCCAGATTGTTGATTCTCCAATCACAATGGTGATTTCCGTCAGCAAAGGATTGCTCCTCCCACCAACTTTGACGGCTAGCCTATCGTTAGAGCGCGAGCTTCGGTGGCCTCTTTCAGATTTCTGTTTTCTCTCTTTCCCATGCTGACTGTTTGAGAAACTTGTCCCACTCAGACTCGGTCGAACGAAACTCGGTCCTTGCGACGCCATCATGCCTTTCATCCTCGCTACTTGCCATAGTGGCTGCGCGAGCCCTGGACGAGATGTGCAGGTCCACCGCTCAGGATGATCTCCTTGCCGTGCCGGTCTCATCTTCGTCGCCTACGAATCCTCTTTCCTCCTCCCGATCATTTTCCTCTTCTCCTCGAGCCACAACTCGCCGAAGGAAGTCGACGAGTCAACCTAACTGCGGTTTCGTGCCCCAGCGCGTTCCCGCAACGACTGCAGACCCGAATTCCTTGAGAACACTTATCATGAAGCCTTCGGAGGCTGATGTACACAGAAAATAAGAGGCAGGCGTCGAATGCATTCAATATTCTTTGAGGAACCCGTGCTGTGGTCTACTGCGCAGCAATTCACGGTGACATGCTAAGAGATGTGCCGAATATCTCCTCTCGGTACAAAAGCCAGCCTGCGCGAATGTCATTGCTCGGACAAAGAACTTCCTAGCTTAGGACCTATACCACCAAAAGACCCGTGGTGGTGAGAAGATCTGCGTCATGCGAAAACATGTGAGCAAGAATCAAACCTGGAGCTATACTTGGAAAATATCGAGGCTGAGAAGCCAATCTTGACTTGGACGGTTGCGATGAGCTTTTCCGCCACCAGTCTGCTCCGGATACTATGTTATTCCCGTCTGTGATCGACTCCGGATACTGTGTTATTCCCGTCTGTGATCGAAAGCTTGAGATGACTTCTTCGGCGAAAGGCGGTCAGTCGAAACCACCTAACCTTGGACAAATCTCCTGCAGCCATCCTGTCTCGAACAACAACCAAGGCCTTCCTTCGCTCGATCGATGTTTGACAAGAAAGCCTTATAATCCTATGCGTATGGGCGCCGGCATTTTGATACATCGGTTCACATCCACACTAAAATGTTTCAACGTTGAGATTTATCACTCGCCAGTGTCTTGCCGAAGTTTCTCGTGCCCTTACTGTTCACCGACAGGTCCAAGTTCGCGCTCTTGGTTGCGGTTATGCGTGTATCATCTTGAATGACCGAGGACGGACCATGGCTTGAGAAAGAAATCCCCTTTGGATCTGCTCACCACGTGGAAGACGAAGCGTCCGACTTCCTGGCTGATAGCAATGCCCAGACACCTCCACGACAGAACACAAATTCGCCCACAGGCTGCCCTCGACATTATCTTTGTTATTCCCTTCGACACTTGTTTCCCGAGATGAGAAGGATGGTACGCTGTTCTCGCAAGGGAAAATGGCTGTCGAGTGGTGTCATGTGGTAGGAGGCAAGAACTTGTGCAAGATCTGGAGGGGTCGGGCTGGTGGAAACGGGCATATGATCCAGGCAACCATGGAGTTGACCTTGATGACGGTGAGACTGTAGTTGGACACGGAAGTCCTTGAAATTGAGCCAGACGTAAGTAATCGTGCAATCATCGCAGGGCAAAATAGTGAAGACACAGCCAAGTACTTCACTGGTTTGAATTACGAGACTCTACAATAGTGAGCTTCAAGGAACACATGGGGAGGTACATTGGGTTTCAAAGGTGGCAGTTCATCAACCCTACTTGCGCACAGATCGACGACCGGCATACGTCTTCTTTGTCTTCTTCGGTGGCCGTGGCAGCATTTCGGCCTCTTGTTCCGCCGGACTTCCATGCTCATTCCAATAATCGTCTAGGAGCTCCCGTGTCACATTTTCGAGTGGTTCCCAGGTCATCTCATCGTACCCGTATCCTTCCCACTTTATATTGACCACATACTCGCCCTTTCCTCGTTTACCAAGTGCCCCAATCCAGTCTACTTGGTAAACGTCGTCCTCCTTTGCCTTGCCTTTGCCCTTGCCCTTTGGCTTCGGTTTCTTTGGTTGAAGTTGAATTATTTTCGGCACCCTACTTCGGTATGCCTTGATGAGGGTCACTCCAGGAGGCGGTAAAGGCACCCACTTCATTGTTTCTTCATCTTCCTCGTCTTCATCGGCAGAGGAGTGGTTTGATTCCGGTTCGACCTCTTCATCTTCTAGGCGGCGTTTGGTTGCAGTTGCACGAATCTCGACGACAACCTTTGGGGAAGGACGGCGAGCAGGAGGAGGGGTCCGAACGGCGGCGGCAGGAGGAGGACAAGAAGGAGCGGCGGCATTGGCATCTTTGGGCTTCCAGCTCTTGGGCTTTCTCAAGTACCCTTCCTCATACAGCCAATCGGGCTCTTTGATTGTGCCTGAGTTTCGTGAGTGCATTGCCAAAGCTATAGGCTATAGCCTTACCTGGTGGAGGGCGGTAACTGGGAGACAACAGCGGTATCCCCAATTTGATGGGGTCAATGGGTGATGGCGCTTCATGCCAGAATTCCGAACCTTCGACGACCAGCCGTTTCGCGGGATCATTTCTCTTGGGGGTCTCTGGCATCTTGAGGGCGTGACCGGCAAAGACAAGGGAGCGTCTGGTCTTGCAAGGATACTGAGGTTACCCCGGGGTCCGCCGAATCCTACAAAGAGTGAAGTAGAAGGAAGGCAAAGGAAAAGCTTTGAACACAGGCTGTCGACTGTATTGCCCAATTGGGAATGCTGTCAGCCAATGGGGCGCGCACTGCTATGACGCACACTGCCAGAATGCTCGTTGATATTCATCTTTCTGTCCGCAGTGAGTCTCTCACGCGTTTTTCTCTGCCCTTCGTCTTAAAATCCGTCCCAGAAAGTCGTCCTTCTGCTCGTCTCTCTTGCCGGTCGTGACAGGCGCCAGGGCAACCTATGCCGCCTTGTTAGACAGGTATTCCGCCTTCGTTTGTGCAAGTGTTTCTTTTGTCATTGTGTCAGCCTCGACCGTGCCAGGAGTTTTCAGCCTCTGCTTTCTCTGCTACGCTTCAGACAACGAGTCGAACAACCCAAGGGTAACCTTGCGGTTCTGTTCTTGCATCCAGCCTCTCCTCATCAGCCTCTTTGGTTTACAGACGTCTGGACGACTCTAGGGTAACCTAGTAGTCTTGTTCCATTTTTTACGCTTCTCTTCGATAGCCTCGCATGCCTCCCAGACGCAAGAGATTGAGCTCCATCCAACTCCCCTCAAAGCCTGCCTGGTTGACCATTGACCTGGCTTCCTGCACCGTCCAATACCGAGACCATCCCGAAGCAATCCAATGGAGCCGGGATCTGAAGAGGAAGGAGGCCGAGGGTACTCCAGAAAAATGGTACCTTCAGCTTTCGCACGATCGAGCCAATTCGGGGCGCATGGCGATGAGAGTTGTTGGTCCCGATAACCAGTTGATTGCTACGGTGTCCTTTCCGGATTTTGACACCTCGGTGGATGTGTACGTCTACCAAGAGACCTATCGTATAGAGGTCCGAAAGCACCAAAAAGGGACCATCAAGATTCTGGAGATGTACTCGTTTCGACTCGGAGTAGCCTCGGATGCCACAACGGCCACAAAGCTCTTTGAGCAAATTCGGCGTGGCCTCTCGGTTTGTCCATTTCTCTTCTGCCCTTGAAACACTAACGATCGAACAGCAGTCGCCTCTCGAATATGTGAGGCATACCAATGTCCCTCGTTCTTTGCTCGCCTCCGGCCACAACCTACGAGCAACAACCCGGGCCCATGGCCAACAAGGAACTAGAATCGTGACTTGGATTATTCCCGGCCGACCACAAAAGACCGTGCAATTCACAGGGTGGGTGGCATCAGCGCAGTTTTGCCGACTCTGGAAATGGGTGACCGGAGAGGATGCAAACTTGGCAATCATCCCAGCGAATGGTGCAGAGCAAATCACCGATGTCGTCGACGACCTTCCTCAAGCGACTGCCGCGAAGAACATCCTGCCGAAGGACTGGGGTTGCTGCGGCCACTGCAAGCAAGGTCAAACCCCCTCTGACATTACCCACATCCGAACTCGTCGCTTTCGCAAGGAATGGATCGGGTGCATTTCTGGTCTGGAAGTAAGTGACCACAGCACGTCTGTGGGCCGTGCTCGCTAACATACGCAGTGTCTGTCGTCCAGCTACTGGTTCCATGCAAATGCGACGTGTGCGAAGATCTCGAGTGGTGATATGAAGAAAAAGGGCCGTCTGAATTGGTTCTGCGAGATTTGTCGCACGGAGGGTTTGAGAACACGGGGCAATGTCCGATCGAATGGCTTCAGAGGCCGCGATCCGAGGTAGATAGGCGTTTTATCAAGTCTCCGTGGCCTTGTCGTTGCTTTATCCTTCCTCACAGTTTGTGATATCAAGTTTCGTTCCAGAGTGGACACACCGAACGACCACATTGTAATTACGCTCCATCCGCACCAATTACTAGTAGTTGGTACTGCGACAATTCAGAATCATCCCTGGCATTCATTTTCATTTTTTCAAACTATCTAGGGCGACCAGGATCCCGACTCTTCTTCTTCCGACTCGGAACTTTCTGCTGCTGCCGCCGCCGCCTTCTGGGCCTCACTGAGGCTGTAAAATCGTCTAGGGCGGGCAGAGTCAATTTCCCCTAGCTCCGCGGACACGGCCTCTACGATGAACTCGACAACCCCATGGGGATCCGGCTGCATAAGGTCGAAAAAATCGACCTTCCCAACATGTTAGTACAGCAACCAATCCCTGAGCGATGGGCTATTCTCTTACCTTTGGCCCTACTTCCAGGCGTTCCAGCTCGGCACGAGCGTCGCCCTCCAATTCGTCGTCAAAGCAGTCGTTCCCAAGAAGGGTGGCAACCGTCCGCTTGCTTTGGCGTGTTGGTTTCCGAACCTTGAGCGTATGTACACGCTCCACAGCGGCATCTGCAGCTTTTTGGGCGTCCTCCATGGCCTCCTTGGTCTTCTCGGCACTCAGGGGCGGCAGGGTCGGGCCGAATCGGTCAGGCCAGGATTTCACGAACATTTGGTATTGGGCCAGGGAGAGCCCAGCCCATTTCAGGTTCGGGCATGTCATCTGCGGCGCGGCAAACGCACATGCCTTTGAGCCGAATTTGAGGACGGCATATATCTCAATGCCATTGGGATCGCCATCGGAGATGTAGAGGAATGGCACGGTCTTGAAGGCACGATGCCTGGCCAAGATATGCAGAAACTCCCGGGTCGCCACATCGGGGTAGCCGCCAGTCTATAGTGGTTAGAAAAGTTGATATAATGGGGTTGGACGTACTTACCGTTACCAGGAACACCCCACGAAACCGGGCGTCTTCAAAGGCCTTGGGGAATTTCTCCACGATGCTGCGGTGTTCGCACACAACAACAGCTCGGATACTGGCCTCTGCCTGGTTGACTTTGGCAATATCGACAAGAAGGCGAGGGATTTGATGGCGTTTGCCGCCATTCAGCGAGGTGCTGTATTTCGCTTTCTTGTCAACATATACCCGGGCGCTCGAAGTCTCCATCATGGCCAACTTAATGCCTTCCGGGATATAGACCTGGCCGACAGACTCCGGTTCGACACCGAGCAAAAAGGGGTGGACACCGATTGTCAATGCTATGTCCTTCATTATCTTGTTGGCGTCCTCGGGCGTGATGCGGTCCGACTTGATCTGGTACTCAAAGGCTCGTACCATTTCCGTCTTCCCTAAGGCGGCGTTTCGCATAAGGAACCGCATTATCGTGACGAGTTTCGCCAAATACTCGTTGTCGGAGTGGCGCTCTACCGACTTTCTAGCCTTGATACAAGTTGTTCTTGTTTGACGCATAACTTTATTGCCATTTCCGTCGACGACGACCGCCTTCGCTTTGGACTCCGAGCTGACGATTGCTACCTGGCGATTCGCGTCTATAGTATTGCATAGACGCTGCAGGCTTTCGAATAAAACATCCGATTTTGGTCCGGAACGCCAGTCGAGGTTGAGGTATCTGTTGCTTGACGCCATCTTGTGTTGGTACTGATTGTGGTGGAACAGAACACAGCTACTAGGTTGCCCTAGAGCCGTCCGAGACGTCTTTGAGATTGAGGAGGCGACGAGGAAGCGTGTACGAACGGAACAAGACTGCTAGGTTACCCTAGAGTCAATGATCGAGGAGGCTGTCGAGGAGAGGCGTGAACAAACGGAATAAGACTACTAGGTTACCCTAGAGTCATCCGAGAAGTCGTTAAACTGAGGATGTAGCACTGGAGAAGCATAAACAAAAGGAACAACACTACTAGGTTACCCTAGAGTGGTCCGAGACTTCTAGGATCGAAGAGGCTGTCGAGGAGAAGGGCGGAGGAACCGAACAAGACTACTAGGTTACCCTAGAGTCGTCCGAGACGTCTTCGAGATTGAGGAGATGGCGTCGGAGCGGGGTGAACAATCTGAACAAGACTGCTAGGTTACCCTAGAGTCGTCCAGACGTCTGTAAACCGAAAAGTGGTGACTTAAATGGAGAAGCAAAAGAGAACAATTGGATCGATTGACTTCCGGATGAGAGATATGGTCGGACCTGTGCAAACAGTGCAGACAAGAGAGGTAAAACTGTTCAAGGCACCGAGGTTACCCAAGGGCCTGACAAGTCCTGATGATGGGATGAAGGGAAAAGGACCGCAGAAGGAATTTGTGGGCGCGACGAATGACTCAAGCTTGGCTGCGGTGCACATATGCATACTCACAAATACTTGTTCTAAACAGATATTTTCGGAGTTTGCTTCTCTTTTTCGACCAGTCTGCTGTCCCTTTTTCCAGGCCACGCAGAGATCCAGGGTAACCTGGATGCTCTTTACACACACCTCTTTGTATATTCGCCAGCCGCCTCATACTGAACAGTCTCCCACAATGGCGGCAAAACGACCAGCAAGCCCACCTCTTTCACTTCAACAGAAAAGGCGCCAGCGACAGAGTGGCCTGCCCCCTTCGGTCAAAAAAGACATCGATCTGCATCATCTCAAGCCATCAAGGCTTGACGAGGCGGTCATCAACATTAGTGACAGAGAGAGCAAATTTGCCGAAGCATTCTCAATGTGGCCGAATTTGCACCCCGATCATAGTCGGGCCCAATGGAAGTACATCCAGGCAATGTCGCCACGAGCGGAGGAGTTTTTAGACATCTGCGAAAAACATCCTGACGACAGACCCAACATCTACCGATGTCGTCGAGTTGTCGAATTTTTCATTTCTCTGAGTGAGGATCACGTTGTCGAGCGCAACCCTCCTCTCAAAAAAGCCATCCAATATCGACAAGCATACTGGCTGAATGCATACATTTTCCAGAGGCAGGCCCCAGAAGTTGGTAAAGAGTTTGCGCAACTAGGACAGGGAGATGGCATAACGTTTTACGAGGAAGTCATTGAGAATGCGATAGAGTTCATCTCTCGAGCAGAAGAAGGGGAAAGTGACACCGTGTTCATCACTTCATAGTAGGAAATCCGTGTATATGGACGTTATATTAAGCTTTCTTTTCTTTGTGTTCTCTCCCAATGGTGCCGGATGTTTTCCGTCGGCAAAATGGCTCGTACCGAAACTGACATCCCCGCAGTACTAAACGAAGGCAACTCTGGCGCTGGAACCAGTCCGAAATTGTCCATGGATTCGGTCGACATCTTACAAACGAGTCATGTTATCAATGTAGCCTTCCAGATACGTTGCTATTGTTTACATCACCGACACGGAAACTCGACCATAAGCTTCAGCCCCTGCATGTATGAAGGTCATAGTCGATGTGAAAGGATCACAAGTAGCAATCTGTTCTCCTACAAGATGTCCCGATACTATCTGAAGCCTAGGTCCCCGATTGCTCCGTACTCCATCAGGTGTTACGTACAAAACACACTGGTTATGGACAACTCTTGGATCCCATAAAGATCAATGCGCGTGACGGTGGTATGGAAAAGGGCAGATCGCGTAAGCTTCAAAATTGAGGAACCCTTCTTTTTCTGGTCTTGTCTGGCCGCAAGACCGGTCCGTAGATCAGGGTACGTGGTAGGGGCAACGAAAGGAGCAGACGGAGGATATGATCTGTCCAGCTGTTAGCCACACAATGATGTTCGAGCGGCACAGACTTGCGTGTCAATATGAATAAAGTTGTGATGGAGCGAATTGAATTGAAAACAAGCTGGAAAGTTGCGCAGGAAGATATCTATCCTGCGGGTTTGCCTGGTGGTATATTCGGAGCCAGGACGCAAGAAGCTGAGAACTGTGACTGTTAAATCATGTGGATATGCGATTGAGAAGCTCGAGATGGAAGCGACAATTGAGGGTCGCGAAATGCAATCGGATCATCAGACGGCTCGACCTTGAATGAACTTCTGGTATCAAACCACAGTTGGCTCCCATGTTGATCTCCCTCAAAGGTGTCTGAGGTTTCCCAGCTATCGCCTCTATGCATCATGAATGTTGGCGCAATGTTGTCAACTCATGGCAAAGGCAGTGTGCAAGAGGAAGCATTGCCGCAGGCTGAAGATACCTCGGCACAAGATCGAAACGCGGTTACGCGCACGCGTCAAGTGCACGCGTCGGGCAGTTTGACCCGGAACACTTAATGACACGACTAATTGCACGATGGACGAACACGATGGAACTAACAAGCTTTGATCGTTGCTGTGCAGACTGAATGGAGCCAAATCCAGTGCCAGTTATGCCTCGAAGCTCGCTTCCATTCGTTTCAAGGCCACACGAAGCTGTCAGAACTGTTATCAAAATGGGCCCCCAACGAATAAAGCTCCACAGGTAGTCGCACCGAAGACGAAACGTCGCAACGGCATAAAATACACCTTCTGCAGATGCCGCCGGATCAAGCAAACCCATGTTGCAACCATGCACCCAGTTCAGCATTTTTCCGAAGCGAATCGTCCTCGCTCTAGCATTCGATTGTTCTGAGATTGTCAGAGCGTCGAACAATTCGGTTGTACGTTTGACGCAGGCAACACCAGCTGCGCAATATACGATTCCTGACGGGCATTGCAGCAAGCAGACAGTCTGATCGGCGTCTCGGTCCCCATGTTATGCAGGCGGCTACTCAGCCAGCCCATGTCCTCATCACGGCATGCCCATCGGTTTCTTCGAATGCATCCTTCCAGTTCTGCAGCAGAAGAGAGAGAAGGGCAGCAGAACTTATCAAGAGACAGGGTCGTGTGATGCTACGGTGCGATTTGGGCGCCTTGTCTCTTACGGTTTGCGTGCTCACCACGCGGGTGGAATATCGTCTGGGAGTAGTTCGTCTGAGGACGTCCATACCGGGTTCATGCCCGAATGCTCACGAAGACCAACACCGACAAGACTTTTTCTGATCAGTGGCTTGTGCAGCTCTACCTTGTCTGCCATTGGAAACAACCCATCTTCGCAGAGACCGACCACTTCGCTTCCTAACGACGGAAAGTCGAGGCGAACCAAAGATGGTGTAGAACCCATCTCACCTGTTTCACCTGGCTGCTTCAACTTTGGCAAATCCTCCAACGGCCTTGACCAGTGTGCTGGTCATTTTCCACGGCCGTCCTTGATGAAGTCGTTCATACTTGTTCGTACACAGCGGTCTTAGGCCCGATGTCGGTTGGGCGACTTTGAACAAATACAGAACATCAAGAAATGTCGTCAGAAGGGTCCAGCCGGAATTGCCACGAGTTGCACAGAGATAACACCGATCTGTTGTCTTGTCGGAATCTTTGACAACGGCTCCTCGGTGATCATTGCTCCCTCAATGATGTGGATATGTTTTGCCTCCCTTGCATGTCAACTTTCCATTGTGTCTGCCTACGACAGACCCCTGAACTTGGCTCTTACTGTCTGGATCTTGTTCACTTGCAGGTGGCTGTCACTCTCCTGATATGCTCGCTTCCATCTTGAACCCGCTCTGAACTGGCTCGCCAGCAGTCGCCGCCAGCAGAATTCATGGCAGTCGCTCAAGTCACACTCTCATCTCTCGAAATTCATTTGACTGCTGGAGTCTTGCCAAAGGCCATCGTCGGCATCTCACTACAAATCCGGCCGCCAAGTGGACAGCCTGCTCTCCTGCAGCTGACCTCGCACCTTTCGTCAACGAAATTTGGCCAGACATGAGCTGATTGTACTATTTTACGGGATGCTGACGGATCAAATAGGTAGTTTGGAATGTCCCTGATCTCCGCAGCCAACGGGCAGAAAGCCCTTCCACGCCTGGTCTGCACTGCTGGCAAGACTTGCTTACTATTGCCCGCACAATGTTGCTGCTCTCCAATGCTATGACCGAGCAGTAGCGGAGGCTGCTTGATCCTACCTGTGCTCGCTCCTCGACGGCTTTGTCCGCGGCATGACAAAGTTCCAATGCCTGTCCAGACCAGAAGCTGTCTGTCTCGAATCCCGTTTTTGCAAGGTCGTCATCTACCTCGCAGCAGTGAGATCGTGACTGTTTAATGTGCGCAAGACATAGTCGCTACTTTCGTCTCGACTAATCTTCCCAAAGTCCTGACAATCTTTGCGCGGCCAACCACGTCATATGAGTTGTCTTGATAGAAGTGGGTGTCCATGAACATTGTAAGCTGGTGCGCCGTTTTTGGTATTGGTAATGTACATCATCGTCAACCCCACCCTGTATTGAGTTCATATGTTGTGCTTCAAACTTTCTGTGCATTCTAGACACAACGTTGTTCTGGGCGGGTTGGCAGAGTGGTAATGCTCGCGCTGGTTTACCACGCGATTCGGGTTCGACTCCTGAGCTCGCCATTTTATTTTGTTTTTTGCCGTTATTCACAGTACTGTCCATGTGTTTTGGACAACCAGATTCTATCCACTTCAAGTTGCCTGTTTCTTTTACTTCGCACTAACTTCATTGCCCACGGCTCTGTTCCCTACCACCCTTTCATCTTTCAGCATCGCAGCTCAACCTGCGATTGTCAGGCAAGATCGATGCTAGCAGGACGATTCCCTTCAGCACCGTCAGCGCTGCACCTCACCCTTCCGAACAACCTGGATTGTTCTCTTTCATTTTTCAATCTCCAAAATCTGCCTGCGCCAGGCCATTTTTCCCTCTTATCAGCCTCTATGGTTTGTCCTCATCTCTGAGATCGAACACCACCTACTCCTACCTCGCTCATCACGACGAAAATGAGCCGCTGTTATCCGTCTTCGTTTCCCGTCGTTCCGACCTCAAGTATGATCCCGGCTGTCACACCGCAGATCACGGCTACAATCAAATTCATCGACCATAAGCTCAAGATGCTCGATCAAGTCGAGGACACTAAGAAGAAAATTATCTCTTCGGGACAAAAATGGGGGGAAAAGTCGTCTGAGAAGATGGAGAGACGCATTTGGGTTGAGATTTGCCCGTTTGTCCTGCTCGGCTCCTGGTACATCACACAAGTGATCACAGCTACGGCAAATGCTTTCCCGAATGATGCGCAGAAGAACGAATTTCTCGCCCAATACGAAGAGATCTTTCGGTTCCACAGAACTGTGAGTCCACATGCTCCCTGGAAGCGACTGCATCTTGGTACTGACACCATTGAGTGGCGACATAAAGAAGTTTCACAAGAAGTTTTGAAACCCTACATTCACGACATCCCCAAAGAGCCCTTTGCAAGTTACAATTTTTTGAAGCCGTCAATCTACACGGAACTCAGAGCGTCCGCAAGCCTGACACGATTGAACAAGCTCAGGGAGGTCGACAAATGGAAGAGACCATCGAAGTACTATGGATATGCTGTTGAAGCACAAATGGAGTGGCAAATGATCAAAAGGGAAAAGGATCGTCTTGACAGCCAGGGTGATACGTATGCGGAACAGGTGTGGCCGAGTCATATGGTTGACGATCACCTTGAAACATTGGAAAAGATCCTCGAGAAGGGGAAAGCTAGACAACCAGAAGATGAAGACTAAGCTGGGCATAACAACCGGACAATGTGGATCATAGAATTTCATCCAACAAAGTACGTTTACCTAATATTCGCACCGTAGGACAATGGTGAGGAGAGATGGCAGAAAACCTTGTCGGTTATAAAGAGCTGTGCTCGGTCATCCACTTTAACACTTAGTACTAGCTGTTCGTTGGCTTCCGGCGTAGTCTCGCGGGCGGACGTATTTCCCACAAGCTTGTCAATGATCTAATCAAGAGGCCCCATTAACCCATGAATTCCGCATCTCTGGCCTGTCTTTGTGAATGCTCCTCCGCTCGACGACGGGTCTTGAAGCGGTAAAGAGTGGACGGATCTGATCAGGGTAGCAAATGTTCCGGCAGCGAGCGAAAAACATTGGCGGATCTGGAGAGCCGTGGTCATTGTTGTTGTGTGGGGTTGATGCGGAGGGTGAAGTAGATGGTGGTCGTGCTGAGCGATCAGGCGGAAGACAGAATAGTGTGAAGAATGATCTCGAATGCAGGCCGTACGCCACAGCCGGATGGAGTGTAGAATTCATGGCTCTGCAAGGTCCGCGTGGCAGGTCGGAGCGAAAAGTGGTGGAACATCTGTCGGGCTGCAGCGATAAGACTCAGCAGGGGCAAGAAGCTGCTCGAAGCTGTTTTCAGTGGCTGGCAGTGTTACTTTTCACCCTGAATTGGCGTTGAGTTGTAGAATGTTGGACGTGGAGTTTATTTATTTACCCTACCAACATGCTATGTCCACACCTTCGTAGAAGGGTTTTTGTGCTTGAAAAGAGCAAACAAATCCAAATGTGTTTGTTGGTACAATATATGACTCGTGTTGCCCTACAAACAGATTGCTCTTGCTTTGACCAAACCACTGTTCTGAAGGCAGCACGTATTATGACTGCATGGCCAAGCGAGCGTCATCGGCAGATATTGCCCCAGAACAATCTGCATCTCTTGCTGCTCTCCTAGGCATGCCAATCATGGCAGCGAGCATTTTGAGGGGTCGGGAGGACATGAGGAAGTTGCAGGTCGGTAAAAAGCGAGCGATCAGATTGGTACGCATACTTGATGATGCCGTAGCAACTTGTTTGACCCGCGAGCGGGAAATGGGAGTCTTCTTGTCAAGATCTGCTCCTGCCCAGCTGTATGAACTTGAATCCCATTGGCAAAGTCAAAGTGGTTCATCTTGGGATGTAGTATGAGACTGGAACAGTAACAGAATTATTTGACTGCTCGCTGGCAACCTGGCCGTGAGCTCAAGTCCACCGTCGTAGGCAAGGACGATTGTAGGAAGTCACGACGATATGTGTGCCGCAGAGCAGGAGCTGAATCCCGTAAATGTATAGTTACCTGGTAATTTGCCTTTTGTCACATCCTAGATCAAGAGATGCACACGATGAGGATGGGGTGGCAGACGTTGTTACGGCCTACAGCTCTCCTCATAGGATTGCTGGAGGCTGTACGGCACTGGCTGCCCTATTCCTCGGCCCCTGTACGAGGACCAGCCAACATGGGTGAAGTGCACTGCATGTTCGTGGGCTTGCTTGCGACGTTTCCAACGTATGTTTGCTGCTGAATCGACGTGTGGTTAACTCCCCATGTTGCTGGGAAATTGTCAGGGTGTCCACTGTGCTTGTGATTCCTTCAAACCGTCCGACTTGTGGAAATTGAGGTACGCTGAGATTGTTTCTGTCCACTGCTTTTGCTAACCATGTCGGTGATAGGCAAAGGTGAGTGGTGGCAGGTAGGTGAAGTTTTGTATGTTTTGTTTCGGTTTGAAAAAAGTCCTGGGCCCGGGCAGATTGATACTCAACCGCAGCTAGGAGGAGATCTGAAGATGCAGGACCAGTGATGAGGCTGTTGTATGTGATCTCACAATCTTATTGGTTGCTGTTGGCTAACTGATGGACAGAGTCTCGAACACTAGTGATGAGGCTGTTGTTTGCGATCCCCAAAAATCTTATTAGTTGATGCCAGCTAATTAGTGGACAGAGTCTCTTCAAGTGTCGTTCGAATGGGTCCTCTTCACAAGCTTGCCAGAACAAACAAGGAGAAGGGAAGTTGCAGAAATACCGGAAATCGAAGCTTGCATGATACTGACAAAGACGAGGAACACACATCCAACATTGTTTGGCCAAAGTTTGTTGGTGAGCAATTGATATCAGTTTTAGGTTGCTGTCGGCGGTGCAGAGAAAGAGTTCATCTCCTTGACAAGGTTTGAAAGTGTCGGTTTGAACCTTCCCCCCAACCTGATTGTGCTGTTTGAAATTGACAGTGATGACAGTTGGACGGAGTAGCAGTGGCAGGATCTGGGGCAGTGAGTGATCTGGCAGTTGACCGTCCTTCAAGTTTGTTGTTGTCAGAACTGACCAGCCGCAGTCAATGATGAATGGTACCGAGGTATGTCGGACCGATTGGCTGAGACGCGACACCGTGGCTTGGAAACACCTTGGCTTCAAATTCCTGGATCTCTTGCGATGGGAGGAGTCATCCTCCCTCGTGTTTCCATCTGGATGTTTGACCCAACCGGACTCAGACCATGCGCGAGTTGACTGTGCCCATGCGGCATTAGTGCTTGCCAGCGGGAGTCTCCAGCCGGTACCAGCGACCGGGTAGTGTACGACTTTCTTCATCTTCAGCTTCGTCGCTGGTTCGACCGCCGCATATTGAAAATTTAGCCTCGAACATTCAGAGAGAAGAGGTGAGCGAGATGGCCGTGATCGAGGATGAGAGCATCAGGCCTGCCGAGGAAATGTTCGGAGCTTGACGATATCGTCCAGTTTTTGTTCCGGTGAAATTCCAGAGGAGATCAGATTTAGTGAGACGACTGATGCCTGTGTTCATGTGCACGACCAAGGTTACCGCTGCGGATTGTCACTTCAATGATGCTGCCGTGGGATTCGTCTTTATGCAATGTTTCTATGTTATGTCTTCACTGTGGTTTTCTCGCGCTGCACTCATTGCGCCTGCACTCTCCAACCTTCGTTACCTGATGTCTCCCGAATCCATTCACTGTTTGAACCTGCCTGCGACGCCAGCATCACTCCAGTGCACCTGCGCCACCCTCAGTTCGCTTCCACTGTTCCAGTTTCACTTTCCGTTCACTTTCACTGTCTTTCACTGTACCAGCTTCACTCTCGAGTCTCAGCGAACAAGCTCCCCCTCACTTCAATCTCCTACTCGTCCGTCCTCTTCCATTTGTTGTACAAACCTACACTGTCGAGTTTGTTGAGCGGAGCTGAAGCAGCCGACCCCATGTGAGTACAGACAATCTGCCAACCAGTTTCATGATTGCTAACAAGGCAGTAAAGCTGGCACCACTAATCGCCTCGCCGCACCAAATCATGGCTATCGAATTCCTCGAAACCCTCGATCTCAAACAGATCCAAGCGAAGTCGGGCCTATTTGAGAAAATGGAGTTTGTCGTCTCCGACGGGGAAGATGAAAACTTGGCGGCAATTGTGAGGAAAACAGAGCAGAGCCCACCAGCATACAGTTTCAATTTCCTCTTGAACCTGAGGACTGGCTCGTTCCGTATCACCGAGTCTCTCGGCCATGCCATGCGTGCATGGATCGAAGTGTCTCAAGAACATTACCTCTTGCTCAAGGCCGCACCCAAGGACGAAGACGTCGAGCCCGACACCTTTATCATTCAAATCGCTCTCCGTTCGGATTACAACTTCAAAGTGGAACACGCTGGCCAAGCCTTCACACTGTCCCCTCACCAAGCTTTGAGGTCATGGAAACTATCCTTCTGCATGGCAAAGAACCAAGATTACATTGAAAAGCACTGTCGAAACATTGAAATCCGTATCCCTGACTACAAAAAAGCGACGATTGCGCACCAATTCGACGCACGCATTGTTCGACACATCCTGAACAACAAGGATTCTATTGATGCAAGAGAGAATGCGAAGCCCTATTGCTCGGTGCAGCTCCGTGCATTGGAAGCCGAAAGCAAAGCAGCTGATGCCGCAAAGGCTTTACTTGACCGCAAGTCTGTCCAAGCTGACGTTTCCGGCCTACCTGGTTTCGAAGATCGCTTCATGATACGATTGAAATCCACCATCGCAAAGGATCATTGGAAGCTGGAAGCGCAACAGCTCATCTGGTTGTCACCTAGTGTCCCGGGAAAGGCAGGGATGTTCGATCTTGAACCAACCCAACTCCCAAACGCCCGAGTACAAAAATGGAGAGCCACATCGGTCATCATCAAAGGAGATGTTGTTGCTGTCTTGGACAACTACACCACTCCTGAGTTAGCTGCTGCTGCCAAAAATACTGGACGTGTCTACCTCGATGTCGTGTTGGATCGCGAAGATCCACTCGGTGATCGGTCCAGCCGCGCGATCAACAAGATGCGGAAAGTCCTTCTCAAGGAAAACGGAGAAGACATCGAAGCAGACATTTATCGACTCCCTCTGAGTGGCTTCTTCCTCGAAAAGAAACCGTTCCCAAGCAATATTGATCCGCTTCCGTACCGAGATACCAGCTTCCAGAAATTTGTGGTAAGATTGCAACTCGAAGCAGAGTCCCATCGGAGGGCCATTGACTCAGTATTCCAATCCCCCACCGGTTGTGCCCTGATTCAAGGACCGCCTGCCACGGGCAAAACAACGGTCGTTGCGAAATCACTGCTCATAGCCCGCGGCTTTGTCGACCTTCGCGGCAAGATCGTCTGTGCAGCGCACACCAACGAAGCCGTCCGTGTTGCCTGCGAGCGAACGGTGCAGCTTGCCAAGCAGATGTTCCACATCGATCCAAAAGATCACATTTGTCTCGTGCTGACGCGTGCAAAGTCGCAATATTTTCGCCTGTCAGAAAAGGAGTTTGGGATATTGGAAGATCTGACATTGGAGGCTCACATGAAACGCATTGCCGATGCCCAGCCTGCAACATATGGTGCCTACCGTGCGGGCTTTGCGCAGATCATCAAGTGTGGTCGCATCGAAGACAAGAGGCTTGCCAAAGCACACGACAAAGACCGGGCCGAATTGTCAAGACTGGTCATGATGCAATGCACCATATTCTTTTCCACTCTCGCCACCTGCCACGACAGGGACTCCTTTTTCGGTAATCGCAACTTCCCTTGTTCCTTGCTGGTCGTTGACGAAGCCTCGCAGGCAACCGATGTCGCATTATTTCAGGCATGGCTGGCCCTCAATCCACGCCGAGTTGTCATGGCCGGTGACCAAAAACAGCTCGCCCCTTACACTGAAAGCGTCGAAGGGGCATGGGCATGGGGCACCTCAATGTTTGAGAAGCTTCAGAACAAGGGCTGTCAACGAGTCATGTTGGATGTGCAATATCGCACCGTCCAAAACATCTATGCCGGCACAAACTTTCATTATGACAATCTCGTCCGTGCTCACCCATCTACGGTCAACCGGCCTTTTCAATTGCAGCTACAACAGATTTTTACATTGGGAGAGCTTTCTTTTACCGATGCCGATGGGAAGAAGGTGGTGTTGGATTCGAATATCAAACTTTTTCACATCACAGATACCGATTGCATAAAAGTCGGGGCCGGCCGTTCGAGTGCAAATCAGCAGGAATTCCAGTTCATCGCAGGAATGGTGGCTGCTTTTGGTCTTGCTGGCGTCAGTCCATCCCACATTATGGCCCTCACCGGGTACAATGGACAACATATTCTCCTCGCCGATTTGGAGCAAGACTTTCCCGGCCTGAGAGCCCGGAAGATCGACTCCAGCCAAGGTGGAGAGGCCGATATTGTCGCGTTTTCTGTTACTAGGACCATGCAGTCGGGCATCGGCTTCTTGCAACAGAGTCGGCGCCAGAATGTCGGTACCAGTCGCGCTCGTGAGGCCATGTACATTGTCGGGAACCCAAACCTTTTTGTTCAATCCAAAGGCTGGCAGGGATGGTTTGACTCACTCAAAAAGGCCAACAGCAACCTCGTCGTCACGATCAAGGGTCCAGTCAAATGGAAATTCGGCGATCGAGCCGTGACACTTCCCGCCAGCGCGTCAGCAATCCCAACGGATGTTCGTTCTTCGACTGCCGATGTCGGCGAAAAGCTTGCCAACATGAAGCTGGAACCGAAGCTGGAAAAGGAAAATTGGACTGACAATGACTGCAACGCGTACATCAGCGGACTTCATGACAGCGAGAGAAACCCGGCTCGTCATTTCTTCAGACAAATGTCGGCAGCGAAGCAGCAAGATGACAGAACCCAATGGATCTAACTTCGTGATGAGTTTCAGAAATTGGTTTCCAAGGATGTGTATGACACCATCTGCAAGATTTCGACACGCTAGGCGGCGGGATGGAGTGTGATACTGGACGCGGCAGGATGCCTTGGTTTTGGGCGCGACAATGCGGGTTAGGCGGCATCTCCAACCGAACTCCACCCCCGGAATCCGACTTTGCACCCCCAAAAATTGTTTTGTGATTGAAGTTTAGGCATGCGGTGCCGCCAGGTAGTAGTTGAATGACTAAAAGTTTCCAATGAAATTATCCATGATCTTGCGGTTTGAATTTGTTTTGCTGATTATCATGTTTCTGCGCTTTTACCCACCGTTTACTGATACAATATCAGTCTGCATTTATATCTTCGCTGATCAACAGCCGATCGATCGGTTCCACACTCTCAACTCCGCCGATTCGGTTCCTCGTAATCCGTCTCCATCTCGCGTCCCACCAAGCTTCCTCCATTGATTCGCTTGCTTTGACGCGGCTACCAGCGCGCGATATGTCATTGCCTTCCTTTACGCGTCTCCTTTGCGTCTGCCCTCACGAGTTTCGGACGGTTTACAACGCATGGAAATTGGAAGAGGAGGATGCCGTTGGCAGCAGTCATTTGTATAGGAACACACATTTGAAGAGGAGGGCACACGCGCAGAGCTACAACCTATGAGCTGGACACCGCCGCTGGATGATCTGCTCCAGGACCTCAACATCACCGCCGCTGCAGTAGCCTTCGGGCTGCTCGCCATGGATGTGAGACCACATCACCGCAGAGGATCCTTTACCGGCCGCTGTTCTGAGAATGTTTGACGAGCCAGACTGACGTTTCGATCATGGTCAAAAATATCCGTACCAGCTTCCATGGATGTCGAGGTTGGAAGACACGCAATGCTTCGACTTGCCCGGCCTCCAACTGTCAATTGACCTTCCGCAACTAAGCACCGGCGACTGGCCTGTCTGTATCGCCGGCGATAGCATCCATTTTGGGGATCCGGGCGGCTCCTGGTCATGGACACTGACTGCTTCTCAACCTGCGAACGAATCTCAAGAGCCGCGACTGGCTCGTCATCGATCAGGTTTCACACTGCACAACTCGCCAGTCTGTCCGCCGATGCAGTTCGCTGTTATGTTGACTGTCACTGCCTCCAGGCCTTGTTCGTAGGAACCCAAATCTATTGAAGCCACAATCTTGTCCAATTCCAGCGCCGTTGTGTTCTATCCACGACAACAAGCTCTCAATGCTCGAGACGCCTGACGCCGCACCCAGTATCCAGTGTCACAATCGTGCCTGTGGAAGTATCAAGCTGGGTACAGGAAGCTGAGCAGCTCCGGTCTCTCTGGACCTCCCGTGGGCTGCCGGGGAACTCGTCTCTGGCCTGGTCAACTTCGCCTCGTGACAAGCCTTGGACCACCACCTCGCGCCCTCTCGTCGAGACGACCGGAGCTGGCTTGTAGGCGCACGCACCTTCCGTGGCAATCATCCGCACTCCAGCTTTTTCTTTTCGTGCTTCACCGTCGCTTGTTGGTGCGCTCCTATTCTCTTTTGCTAGCAAAGAATCCGTTACACTATGGGGGGAAGCGGACTGAGGCTTGAAGATTGAGTGTCCCGGTCGAAGCTCTGCTGCCAGATTACCGTGGACGGCCCTGCTGCCGAAGCCCACCGCTCATGATAGTGGCGGCTTCACTCACCAGATGTTTCTCCCCAGGCTGGAATACTACATTGAGCCTTCCAACTGCCTCGACCCTAACCGCGAGCCTGCCAGATCTCGAGCCACTGCACACGATGCGGCCGACTAAACAGCGCCGATCCTCCATCCAATGCTTGTCCAGCGACTACCGTTATTTACGATTCTCTCAGAATAGGGAGGAAGGCATGTGTATCTCGTACTTGAGGAGCGTCCCGATATACAGCAATTCCGCGCCACCAGTTCCACATGGCTCGAACCAGACTTTGTCTGCAACCCATCCGATGCTTCATGACGCTGAGGAGAAGAAGGGTTAAGCATATCCTCCCTTTCGCCTTCTCACAAGCTGACGTTGCCTCCAGGTATTATTATTGCGTTCAATCTGCTGTACGAAATCACGAGCGTCCTTCTTGCGTCTCCGGTTTACCGTCCCGCTCGACTCAGTGACCCGAACAGTCGCAACCTACACGCGATGCACCTCGGCCTCCCTTTCCCACGCGTCGAACCGATCGATTCTTTCGACATTTTCCTCGCGACCTCCGAGCGAGGCCCGCAAGTGACGAAATCATACAAGAGTTGGCTGTCCTGAGACATGAAGGTTAGCTGAAGCCCGCATGCGCGGCACTACAATGGACACCTTGGTTTACTGGCACAGTGTCTTTGTGCCGGTTTTATGGGGTGGCCGACTTCTTACTCTGGCGGGACAGTCATTGATTCCGTTGACTCACACCTTCGTATGCTGGCAACCGGCCGACATTAGTCCACTGTCTGTGGCAAGCAATAGCACGCGTTCAACACTACGAGGAACTCAAGGAGTCGCCCCTTATCACTGTCTACCAAGCGTAGGCTGGCTTCAGCTGGACTGTCTCGGGCTCCTGGCTTGCCAATGGTCTTTGCAGCCGAAGCACAGGATCTGGCATGTCCAGCGCAACGATGTCACCGGCCAGTGTTTCAAGATCGTGACACACGTTCCGCCTTCTTGATGTCTCCGGCTGCGCATGGACGTATATCACCATCAGCAAGTCTTCCGTCGAAGAGCTACACTCCACGGAAAGAATCCTAGGCTGTTCCAGCGACAACATATACGAGTTGGAAAAGCTATCTTAGTGTATCGCAGCCTCCGACCACGACCAGTACACTCCACAGCATTGTTCGACGCGGAGTGACGGGGCCAAACAAACGGTCATCGCTTCGGCGATACCGTCCCTGCATACGGAACCCGTGGGATACAGCTCAGGGTTTAGGGTTTAGGGTTTAGGGTTTAGGGTTTAGGGTTTAGGGTTTAGGGTTTAGGGTTTAGGGTTTAGGGTTTAGGGTTTAGGGTTTAGGG